ATGTCCTGTACCTGATTGGCATCCACCATACCACCATACTTACTATTTCGTTCTATTGTTTTATTGTTTCGCGTTAAACAAGTCGTGCAGCTTTTCTGTTAAAGGCAAAGCCATAGCACGAAACAAACGGCAGCAGACGAGCATGCAAGGCAACCAGCCGGCAAGAGCAAAATCTAAGCTGGAAACCTACCGCGAACGCAATAGGGTTGAACAACAAAATCACCTCTGTAATAAGCAGAAGGAGCTAGCAAGCTCCCATCTTGTGGCCGAAGCTCGCAAGTCCTTGCAAGCCCAGTCGACGCGGGACCAGTATGATCGGTACCAGGAGAAGTTCATGGTATGGCAAATTGTAAAATGTACCCCCATTTTTGCACAAGCATAGATAAACTATGGCCCCCGACTCGACGCACTAACTAACTCAATCACTCCATCCCTTGGTATAGGAATGGTGCGACGTTTCTGGATATAAGGATGATTACAACGTCACGAAAGGCAAAGTAACCCGTTACTTTGCTTGCCTGACCTGCGAGACGGAAGATCCTCAAAACGGTATGAATATGAAAAATGGAACTAATGTGAGCGGTCATACGATACGACGACGACGACGAAACGCTATGGTGGTGTTTGAAATTATAAGAACTAACGAAAATATAAATGCAATAGGTATCATACGGATCAAACCGTCGCCAAGAGACAGGAAGGGCAACAACAGCAAGGACAAGTCCGGCGAACGGCGGGCAAATATGGATGACCCGTGTTCTGATGATGATGTCGATGGAGGCGATGTGGAGGACAAAAGCGATGACAACTGCGAGGGGGACGCCAGTCGAGACGTTGACATCCACAACAGCAACAATGAGAACAGTGAAGAGCGGTGGTACTCGACGGCAACCATTCTCTTGCACCTCGCTGCCATTGGCGACCTCTATAAGCATCAGTGTGAAGACAGGAACAATTTAGCGATGGATTATGGCACAGTTCCGGCCCCGAAGACGTACATTCAACCTCTGATCGACGTTTACCGCGTGAGGATGTCCGCCAGGAAGAGGTCGACAGATACCGACTTTGGCTCTATCGACTTCACCCAGAACCCAACTTCGATTGTTCGGCAGCTAATGAAGCGATTTTGGATGCGCAATGTGGAGGGCGCAGCCAGCTTGAGAAAGCGCCGCTTGAAAGGGTTACGCGACCGTGCGGATGTAAGTCTTTGCTTTTTTATGATGTTCCGCAGCGAGGTCACACGCCAGATCCGACTCCCGGATCTTTTCGCCCACGACGTCGAGCCCAACCGCAACAAAAATACGAACGATGCCAGCTGCAGAGAAGGCCAATTCGTGCTTGGAGTTGTGCTGATGATGAGGCAAGGCAAGACGAACAAGGACGGCAAGATTCAGTATGGAGTTGCAGTTCGGAACAAAGAAGTAGATGTGTGTCCAGTTGGCGCTCTAGCCTTTTATTTGCTTGAGCTTTGGTCGGTAAGTGGCGTGCATGTGGTAAATGTCGGCGGCCGACGCGTGGTGTCACTCATATTTCAACACTCATTTAATAATGCGTTCTTCCCCCCCCCCCTCTTCCTTTTTTTTGCTGTACTAAGAGCAAAAACAAAAGGGCGCCTGATCTCACCAACCCTAAATGGACCGACTACCATCTGTTAGCTGGAAACAAACCAATGGATGTACCGATGACTTACAACTCCCAGTTCCAGGCGCAGGTGGAGGCTCTTCATGAGAGCGGGATATTGGACAAGGGCACAGTGACTCACCTTGGGCGCAAGCACGGCTCCAGATTCGCGCATATGTGTGGATCTACGGTAGAGGCGATCGCTAAGCACGGGAACTGGGCATCGAACCGTCTCTCAACTCACTATCTCGAGGGTGTAGAGCCTTCAGTGGCCCTTCGATTGGCTGGATTTGACCGCGACCGTCTAGAGCGCTTTTGGCTGGCTCGGAACACTGTGATCCCCAGCATTGAGCTCCAAAGGCAGTTGTTCCCTTTCATCGAGGATGCTTGCTCCGACACGTTCTGGAGGCTCACGATTGACAACATTATGCGTGACTGCGACGTTTTCCACGGACGCGAGGAGTTGCGTGAGAAGCTGCGACGGGGCGAGTGCAAGGAAGTCAAGCAGGTGTACACGGACAAGGATATGCAGACCGTTCTGTCGAATGAGGTCATTTCAAGAAAGCGCCATCTTAGCCTTCTCGCCCACCTGCGAAAGGTTATCCTTCAGGATGCAGCTGTCATCCTGTTCGGGGGTGGTGCTGCCGCCGCGCACCCTGTTTTCGATCACCCTGTCTTCAAAACACCTGCGTTTCAAGATTTCCAGCAAACCCTGCTCGAGAGCATGAGAAATCCCTCTCCTCTCACGGATTCCCTCGCATCTGCCACACCCATCATCCAACTGGAGTTTGACAGGGTCGGCGCGAGGCTCGGTGTCCAAGATGCTGCAATCCGGAGCCTGCAGCAAAGCCAGCAAGCCGGACTTCAGAGTTTGCACGCCGGTATGAATGTTCTAGCAGCTACTTTACAAGCTCAGAATGATAGGACAGCATCCGAGCTGAAGGACTTGAAGCGGTGCATTGGCAACAATGACAAACTGGCAGGCAACAAGCGACAATGTTTGAACAAGGATGCCGTTCGATCTCAGTTGATGCAAGCTCTCAAGTCAACGGTGGAAGCCGTGGTGGCGATTAGCGAGGACGATGAGGTGAATGTCAGTGACGACGTCAACGGCAGTGCAGCAAGCCAGAGTACCACTATGGCTACCGCCATCGCTCTTCTTCAGCTTCCAGAGCCGGACGCTGGCCAGCAAGAATCAAGACCTCCGACTTCTTCCACTGCAGTTCTTTCAAGGGATGCGCACCGCCGCGCAGCTCTGGCCGCTTTCAACCCCAGCGACAATGTCGAGGACAGAATGCGACAAGTAGCCGTCTTAGTCGCCGACGAGAAGAGGGCGAGAGGAGAGACCCAACACCATATGCCCCTAATGCCCGAGTGCAAGCTGATCCCACGACCGAATACGCTCGACCAACTGTGGCAAGAGTGGTTTTACCACGGCGTCGATGGGTCCCCCTCCATCGCAGAGCTTAATAGGTGGTTCGGATCAGCGTGGCGAGGCAAAGATGCACAGCTCTACAAGTGGAAGAAGGACATTGTACATTCGGTTCTGCGCTCTATCCCAGCTGGCTTGCAGGTTGACAAGTCCGCCGTAAACAATGCACTTGCCTTCGTAAGAGGGCAAATCGATACTGTTGGTTCAATTGATAAATACTACAAGGCTCTTCCCAAAGCACCCTCGAGAAAGTACCCAAAGAGAAGAGAATAAACACCATCCTTGGTCTATCACAGTGTTACATGTCAGCTCGCTCTACATATGGTTAGGAGCAGGGTGAGGGCAAAGCTGAGGGAAGGAGGAGAGAAGAGGATAGTAGAGAGGGGAGTAGAGAGAGTGATGATAGAAGGACCTAGGGATAGAGGGAGGGAAGAGCAGAGAGGAATAGAGAGCAGAGAGTGTGATGTAAGCAGGAGGGCAACGCAGTTCTCAATGTGTTCAGGCACAGGCACGAGAGGAGAGGGCACATGAAACAATCTATTCACACATATGTGACTGGTTTATAACTGTCTATCGTGCTCGGAATAAAAAAATCTATAAACCATTATAAGCCGCTAATCTGCGTATAATGTAGTGGGGTTGTCGTTCAGTGTCGTGTAGAAAAGGGAACAGATGTATAGAATGTGAAGGGAAGAAAAAAAGAGATCGAGTGTTGTCTTTCTGAAGAGAGTGTGTTGTGTGTGTGTTGGTTAGGTGCGGGTGAGGCTGGAGAATAGGGTATGCTTTTCGCCAGTATCAACTTCGCTTAATTGAATAGGCCTTTTTGGCTCGCACTTTTTATACCAAGAATAACATTGATCATAAATTGATAATTTTGCGTGAAATCCACTATAGTATTTAACCTAAGACTGTAATGATAATAACCCTCTGCCACCCTTCCCACGCCCTTTCCATCGCTACTCCCGTTCTTTGTCATCCTTCTCTCTGTCCTTTTGTCTTTCGTGCGCAGCTTTTGTTCTTCTCTCTTGCTCTCAACGTCCCTTGATCGCTCGACTCGCTACAACGACACCCTCATACGCGAAGAACAACAGCTACAATCTCACAACAGCAAACACACAATATCACACTCACAAACACAACAGCTCAACGCAATCACTTCTCTGCCAGAGCGATTCCAGTGATTCCCTCCCACAGACACTCATTCTTCTACTTTCCAACCACCGCTTGACTCGCTACAGCGATACCTTCACAAGAGAAGAACAGCAGCGACACTTTCACCACAACAACAACCACAGAGATAACAACGCACTCACGTAAATACTACAGTCCGATACAATCACGACAAGGTAATAGGCCTAATAATCCGTTCCCACATACATAACGAAAAAGTCTAACGGTCACCAACCATTGCTGGTACCGCAGCGCACGACAATACATGAACCCACCAACCCACCTTGAATGACAAAGGCAACAAACACAGAAGCGAGGTAGAAACAGTGGAACAGTCGTCAGGAGCAGTCTTTTTGTAGTGTGGGACTGATTGCGCCTCAGCTCGGGAGTTAGGAACAAGCAAGTCCCCACAATGGCACGAAACACACGCAAGGTCAGTTGAGCATGAACGCATAGCAAACTGAAAGCAACTGACTACCTGGTTTGTTTTCTTTTGATTTACTCGCAATAATAGCACCGAGTACTGAGGACACCATGAACGCCTACAGTGCTCCCAACAACAACAGCCACGCCTTAACCAAGCACGAGTCTGAAGACACCATGAATAGCAGTCACTTTTGGGCGCAGCTTTCACAAAACTAACAACCTTCACATTTTTACTTCTCAACTATGATAAAGCAAGTTCCTGTCCAGGATGAACTCCCAGCAGCAGCCAAACAAACAACCCGTGCTGAGAAGAACAACCAGCTGCAGCCAAACAACGTCTTCTTCCTCCTCCATGATCAGGCCACGACGCGAAAAAATCATCCCTCAAAACAGTCGCCCGTTGTTCAAGGTCGAGAAAATCCCGAGGGAGCTCATTGGCGACGACAAGGATCACAAAGCTGCTGCAGGAGCTAATGCCCCCAAGCTGAACATGCTGCGTCGAAAGCTGGATGATACAGACTTTGAGGAGAACAAAAAGGCCGAAGGAGCCATCAACAGTAGCGTGTCTTCTGAAAGTGGGCCAAGCTGAACCCTGAGGCTGAGGCTAAGAAGCCGTCAGTCGGTGGTGCTTTCGATGCAGAACAGTAGGGCGTGGCCAAAGAGACCAAGATGAAGCGACCAAGAGACGACGAGGATGATGCCGAGTCACACAAAGCTGCCGCTCGAGCTGAGCCAAGGATGAGACTGGACAACTTCTCCACCCCATAATCTCACTAAGCAGTCTCTTACGTCTACCTGGCAGCATCAGCGGGGGCAACAGCATCAACCCCACCCGCCAACTTTTACCAGCACTTACAGTCCTTGACCCGATGCACGCGTCATATTATTTTGACTCAACTCCAGTTCTTTTCCTTGGCATATTGTTTTTCGCTCCGTTTGCTTCTTAGCTTTGTATTCTGTTCGTTGCTCCATTTCCCTATATTCTTTGTATAATCAACCACTACATATCTTGTTTGTTCCAGCATGTAGTTTAGCTTTCCTTCCTCATTTGCTCACCTTCCTAAAATCCTTTCCCCCCAAAAGAAAAAAAAAAAAAAAGCATAAAGCAGCAGTTTAGCCGTTATCCTTGCGTCTTATCTTGCATAAATTACAAAGTTTATTACGTGTAGTGTATTTTTATGTGTACAGGAGCGGTCATTATTGAGGATGATGATGGCGACTTGATTGCTGTTGTTGTTGTTGTTGTTGTTGTTGTTGTTGGTGTGCGGTGTGGTGGTGATGGGGTGGAGGAGGGTGTCCATAGGGATGCTGCTGCTGTGAGTGTTGAGCATGACCATATGAAGAAGACTGCTGCTGTTGTTGTTGGTGTGGATGACCTCCTAAATGATAGCTAGACGGGCCTATGGAAGACGAAGACGACGATGAAGGTTGTAGAGGTGGCGGGAGCAAAGATGACGACGAAGCCGAAGAGTACGCAAACGACGACGATGAAGAAGGCATGTGCTTAGAGCTTGACGATGGGTGCATGCCCGACATCGGCTGGATGTACGAGGGCGAAGCAACCTGACCAGGCACATGATGCTGGAAGGGGCTCGAAGATCTCCTCACGTGGTGCTGGGACGGGTGTTGAGGATGGTGATGATGATGTTGCATGGGTGGTTCCGACATCCTAGGCGACGATCCAATGCCAACAAGACTGGGCAACCCAGGAGTCGATGACGATGACATTGGAATAGGCGAGTAACGTGAAGCCAGATGACCACCATGGCCCAAATGAGCAGGGGAGCTTGCTCCGTTCGACAACCCTGCCGGTCCAGGAGAGCCTCGCATGGGTCCTGAGCCAGGCAACTGAGGAGAGCTGCTGTACCTTGGTCCAGGTCCAACATGGCTCTGACTGTGACCATGAACAGGGCTCAGTCGCATAGACGACGAATGTTGCAGAATCATTGGTGGCTCGTTGATTGTGCGAGGATGAGGTGACAGCACCTCCATCTGGCTGCTGTGTCGTTGTTGCAAGTGGTGCTGGGGAGGAGGGTAAGGCGCATGTCCGTGTCCATATCCATGACGGGAAGACGGACCATGCGGTGGCTGACCATAGTATGAACCCTGTTGAGGCATGGGTGATCTTGAACGCGAGTCCATTCGAGGTGAAAGCTGGGATCGAGGGGCCATCTCCAGAAGGCTGACACTGCTCGAGCGTTGATGTTGTGAAATCGACATCGACGATGCAGGATAGTGCGAGGGCGAAATAACGGCCGAGGATGGTGCTGGGGGAAGAGATCCTGATGGGGACGACAACCTTTGCATACCATGCCCGCTCACACCCGATGGGTAGCCTGTGGAGGGTGGAGGAGGAGATCTGTATCCACCGCCGAGGTGGGACGGTGATGAAGAGCTGTAATATGGTTGGGCACCATATGGAGATCCTAGCACTCCTGAATTCGACGAATGGTGATGCTGCTGCTGTGGGGGAGGAGCAAGTTGAGAAGGATGGCTGTGGCCATAGTAGCCTGATCCGACTGGTGGGTATCCTGAACGGGACGCGACAAGGTTGGCCTCGGATGCGCGTCGTTGATCCCTGCTGGGGACATGGTTGTCGGCGTACATTCCTTGGCCACGATGAGTCGAGTCGTACTCGTCCTCAGTCTCAACATCCTCCTCCTCACGCCGCCCGCCTCGACCGTCAACATATGGTTCTTGTGGGTAGTTTCGACGGGGATCCTGTCGTTCAGGTACCTCCGCCTCCAAGAAGTGCTCCTGGGACTGAGCGGCACTGCCTTCTTCGCTGTTCCCGAACCAATCCTCTGGAGCAATGTTGACATCCTCATCGTCATTGTTGAGCAGATTGCCAATGTTCGTGACTCGTCGTGGAGGCGAAGCAGGGCGCAGTTCCTCGCGATGGACCAGTTCGGGCTTGGACTCATGCGTGGCAGATGGCATGAAGTACCCGGGTACAGGCCCTCCTGGGAGTGGTTGCTGAGGGTGGTGCGAGTCGTCGCCTGGTGCGCCATAGTCAAAAGTATGCCGTACTTGCTCGTTCGGGGTCTGGTCTCTCTGGTGCTGATAATCGTAGTCCCCGTCTGCAAATTGCTCTTCCTTGTTGGGTGGCAAGGGCGAAACTGCCACGCGGTCTGGAGGAATAATGCCGTCGGCAGCGAACTTGTCGGCATTAGTGCTGAAGTGATTCCGGACCTGGATGAGAGACTTCGTCTTCATAGCCTTGGCAATCTTGTCCCAGTCCTTTCCATGGAGGCTCAGCAGACGCACAAAATCAATCTTCTCCTGACTTGACCAATACGACGAATAGTTGGCGCGGCGGGAAGATCCATCGGCATTCGTCGCCTGACCATCCTCCGACTGAGTGCCAGATATCGATGGCGATCCAGGAGACGATGGTGGGTCACGCGAATACAAGGCACGGAACGATGTTGCAGCCTGGGCTGACGCTGCTTCGTTCTGAGCAGCCTCGTTCTTGGACACAACTCGCTTCCGTCTCCGTTTGTTGCTTCCCGTCTCGGAATCCTCCACGCTCTCTGCAGTGTTGACTGGCGCGGCGGTTTGTGCCGTAGGGGTGCTGGGTAGATCGTCCTTCACGGGTTCCTGAGCGGCAGCGGGCGTCGCCTTGCCTCCTCTACGACGAGAGCTTCCAGTCGAGCTAGTTTCCTTAGTCGTGCCTGCTAAACTGTTGGGCGTTCCCGGAGCTGAAGCACTCGCAGTGTTGCCGCCACGACCCTTCTTGCCCTTGGTCTTCTCAGGCGCAGCCACAGGCACATCCTTGTCATCACCGTCCTCGAGCAACGTCCCATTGTCGAGGTTGTTGGCGTCCTCTAAAACACTAACTCCAAACTTGCGCTTGTAGTTGAAGCAAAAGTTTTTGCACTGGTCGACTGTCTTGGTCCCAACAGCGTTCGCCACCGCCTCAAAGTCACGTCCATATTTCTTGAGGGCTGCAATGCACTTGTGGTGCTCTGCTGTAGTCCATCGTCCTGAGGGTACAGTTGCAGGGGCGTTGCCGGATCCGACAGGGGTGGTAACATTGTCCTCGCCTTGCTCCAAGGTCTGAGATCCTGCATTGTCCGGTTCTCTGCTCTCGCTCGAAGGATCCTCGACCAAAGAGTCGCCAGTATCCATGGTATCAACCACGGTCATGGAATCCTTGTCGTCGTCGGCTGTTGCCTCAACTGCCGCCTCAACTGCCGCCTCAACTGCTGCCTCAGCTGCCACCTCAGCTGCCGCCGCCGCCGCCGCTGCTGCTGCTGCTGCTGTTGCTGCCTTGGCTTTCTCCGACTTGGACTTCTTCTCCTCGACGACTACTTCCTCCAGTGCCTTAGCCTCTGAAGCTGCTGCCGCTGCTGCCGCCGCCGCCGCCGCAGCAGCAGCAGCGCGAGTCTGATTGGTTCTAGATTTCGCCTTCCTACGCTCCGGTGCGGAAAGGGCAGGTGTCGAGACGGTCGACGATGGTCCTGGGCTAGCAGTGTTGCTGTGACTTTCCTCCAGACCCGGGGTTCCACCCTGTTGACTTGCGGCATTGCTCCGAACACGACGGCGGGGTCCTGGTTCGATATCGTCTCTCCATGACTGGCTGAGATCCTGAAGCTCACGCAGCTCCTTCGACTTGGCCAGCTTGGTCCTGTTGGCTTGACCGATATCCTCAATCAGAGCACTGCCCTTGTGTTTCTTGCCAGGCTGTCCAGCGGGTGATGATTGGGCAGCTTTCTCCTTGCGCTTTCCTGCAGCAGGCTTGCGCTTCCGACCGCGGTTTGAAAGGAGTTCCTTGAAGCCAATCTTCTTCTTCTCACGGTAGTAAAAGAGAACACACTGCGAAGCCGTCTTCTCCTCGAGTCCAGCTGCAATCTTGCCAAACTGCTTGGGGTAGATGAGATAGCGCTTGGTAAAGATCTGGCGTTCTTCCTCCGTCCACGTATCCGTGACAGGGCCGAGTCGGTAGTAGGTAGCCGGATCGGGGACAAGATGGTTGCGGTCGATGTAGCGGATCTTGTCGCGGACGACGGGGTCCAGGATCATGGGCGGCACAGTTGCGGCGGTTCTCGAAGCGCGAACATCTGGGTTCCTCATGTCGGCGTTCTCCAGACTCTGAATGATCTCCATGAGCTCGGCTTCACTCCTGACAGCATCGCCGTTGTGAGCTCCGCGTCGGTTCCTAGGTGTGAACAACGTGTTTTCGCCCACGACCTGGTCCTCATCCCGAATGTTGGCAGCGGCAGGAGTCTGGAGCTGCTTCTCCCTCAACTTGTCTAGCTTCTGCACCTTCTTGTCCCAAATCTCCCAGTACTGTTTGTAATCTCGCTTCAGCTGAAGCTCCTTCTCGTCCAATGCGGAGGCCTTGGCAGACATGTTCCTGAGCAACGCAGTCCGCAGACGTTCGTGGCTGTCAATGTTGTCCTGGTAGAACGGATAATCCTCGACTGATTCGTAGACCTGGAGCTTGTCGTGGTGGTGGTGCTGAGAGTTGTCGTGTTGGTGAGAGGGTCCAACGGCGGAATGGACGCGACCATACTTCTTCGCGCGGGTGTTGTTCTCGGCGTAAATTTGATTAAACAGCTGCGGCCGCCGCTTCTGCTGCTCCTTCCGCTTGAGAAACGGGTCATCCTCATCGACCGCTTGGTGAAAGTCCTGTGAGGTGAAAGGCCGAACAACAGCGGCACACCGGTCATCTCCTGCCTCAGAGCTCTCGACAGCCATGTCGACGTCCTCGCTGTCAATCAATTCCAGCTTGAAATCGACCTTGTCCTTGTCTGGCACAAGACTAGCTGGGCTGAGTACATCCATGACTGCCTCGATCTCCTCCGTGACGGACTCAATCTTCTGGACATGCGTCTCGACATCTTCCTTGACAGCACCTTTTTCCTCCTCCATAACGTCCTTGGCAGGCTCGGTCGTGACAGGGGCATCGATGTCCATTTCTGCGTCGACTGCTGGCGGACCGGGTTCAGGTAGAACAAGAGGCTGCTCCTCTTCGACAATAGGTGTCATCTCGTCTGGAATATCGATATCCTCCACCACTGATGGCTTCTTGCTATCTCGGTGCCGCTGAAGGAGCTCCTCGTAGCGTTGGATCTTCCCGTCAATCCTGTCAATCTCGATCAAAATGTCGGCATGGTTCTCAAACTCAGTAGCCTGCTTGGGAACCTTGGCATCTCCCGAGACATAGACGGGCGACAGTCCTGGGGAAGGTAGTGAGCTCGCAGTTGGGCTCCCAGCAAGTTTGGCGTCAGTCGAATCCTTTGTCGCCACTTCGGTAGAGACATGGGCTGCACTGTCAGCGCCATCTTCGGTCTTTGTCTCCGAGGTCGCCGCCATGTCCTGAGAAGGGTCAGCGGGCGGTGGGGCGTCGTGAGGCATAGTACCTTCCTCCTCATCCTTGGCCTTGTCCGGTTGGTTGCGGGGGTCAAAATCGTTGACGTTACCTAGAGCTACAGTCGACGTGTCCTCGGAGCGGTCGGAATTGCTGTGAGGGAGTTCGAGTGAGCGGCGCTCAGGAGTTCGCTCATCCCTCTTCACATGGTGGACGGCAGCGGCGACAGTGTCACTGGGATCCGACATCTTGGGACGAGAGTATGAGAGCTGTGAGTGGAGACTATCATCCTGTTCGGATTTCACGGTCATGGTCTCATCCTGGGAAATATAAGACGAGCGCCTATCATCCATCGGTCCCACGTCGCCTCTGCTTCCTCGATCCAAGTTGTCGCGATAGCGACGCTCAGGCCGGTCGTTCCTCTTGTATCTGTCGAAAGGACCGCCCATTGAGACTGCTGGGGAGTTGGGATAGCTACCGCTGATGTTATTGTTGGCGTGATGATCCCGCTGGTGACCCATATCGTTGTAGGCCGCCTCGTCCGACATTGGCGCGCTGAGAATCCTCTGCCTTCTCGAGTTTCCGCGGTCTTGACGCAGATCGTTCTCTGACCGAAGGCCGGCTCCGTCAGATCGAAAGTTAAAGCTACGTTCCCTCTCTCGCTGGATATCCCAGTCTCTCATCTTCTCACGGCCTATGTCGTCCCTATCCTCGTCGCGCGAATGAAGCCGCTCATGCTCCCTTGGACGATCTCGGTCATAAGAGTCATCCCCACCTTGTTGCCTCGAGTCCCGTTTGTTGTTATTGATATTGCTATTGTGATTGGGGCCGGAGGGGGTTGCTGGTTTTGTGGGTAGGCGGTCTGTACCATTGGACGGCTCCTCTGACTTGACAGGTGTGTGGCGAGCCTTGTCAGCATTGTAAGCATTCAGTTCCCGATCCAGAGCCTGGACAGCTATGGCACGTGAGTTGGAAGCTCGCTCTCGATCCCGCTCCCGCCCAGACTGCTCAAATGAAGCTGGCCGTGTCGGCAGTGATGGTTTATGATCCTTGTCGGTCTCACGAAGCCAAATGGGTCGCTCACGATTCCTGTCTCGCTCGCGCTCATGCTCACGCTCCCGTTCGCGCTCAACCATCTCACGGATATCCTGCTCAGGTCCCTCTCTAGACGAGGTAGAGTCTCGGTCGCGCCCCATTGCGTCAAGGCCCCAGGGTCCACGATCCCGAATATCTCGCTCGCGGTTGTCACGCTCGCGCAGATCACGCGTGCTGATACCGATATCCCGAAGGTCTCGGTCTCGGACATCCCGGTCCCTAGGATCCGCATCTCGTCCAAACCCAGAATCGCGCTCCCGTGGGTTTCCATCTCGAATATCTCTCATATCCCTCGTATCTCGTGGATCTCGGGAGTCCCGTGGATCCCGTGGCGGCCGAAGTTCTCGGAGGTCGCGAATATCTTGTCGAACGTCCTGGCGACCGTCTCTATTCCTAAACTCCCGGTCCCTCTCAAACTCTCTGGGGAATTGATTAGGTCGGCCCCTCCAGTCCTCACGGTCCATGTAACGGGCAGGACCCAATCCGAGACCAATGTTTGGACCCATCCCAGAAGTGTTGGAGCCTGAAAAGTATTCCATAGAGCGGCCGCTGTGGTTATTGGGTTCATTAAAGGTTCCTTTGAAACTGGACGTCGGGCTGAAATCGCGAGAGTGAGAAAGGGTCGATGTGTTGGGTGCTGAACTTGATCCAAAATGCCTTGATATTGATATTGACGACGATGGAGATGCCTGTCCTGTGTGGTCGTTCCCGATCGCAATGCCTTTTAGACTGTCCGACGACCGGAACCGGATATCCCTCGGATTGTTGAACCTCTCTGGATACTTTACACGAGGAGACTAGTAGGAAAATAAGGACCAAGAGGGAGAAGGCAGGATATTTGTTTGTTGCGTTAGTGATGTGCCTTCTTATTTTTTCCTTTGGCCTTACTTGGTGTCTGAACATGTTGCCCCCTTTTTTACTTTTGTTCACGTTTTCTCTAACGAGACAATCCTGAACAACTTGCAACTTGGAGATGGCAATAAAAAATGGAAGCGGGGGGTGATATGGATGAGGGGGGAAAAGAACGGATCGGGGCGTGTGGATAAAGAGATGAGAGCCATATTACCTCCTGAAAGCCCATGTCTGAAGGTGGTGAGCTGTCGGGTCCGTTCCTGCTGGAGGGAGCCATTGGGCCACTCCTTGGGGGTCTCCTCCTATCAGCGTTTGAGCTGTAAGTAGTGGGGCGTTCGGAAGAACAAAAGAATAATAAAATCAAACTCTTGGTCAGCTTTCTTTCAGAGGTCAACAACCCACTAAAGAAACAAGAGCCACCTGATTGTCCTTGGTTATTATTTTCTTGTTATTCAATTGCATACAACCAAACGCCTTACAAGTCTCTTGGCCTATTCCGCTCATCTCTTTCCTGGGAGCGACTCCTGTCGTATGATTTCCTACAGAACAAATAAATCGAGAGGCAAAGGAAAGAAGATGTTAGATAAGCCGACTTTTTGCAAAGACTTGGTGGTGAAAGAGATGAATTGTATTCCTCCGATAACTATATTAGGCGCCGCTCAATTACCTTTGGCCTGAGTATGACCGGTCGTGACTCTCAGACCTGGGCTTTGTTGGTGGTGGAGGTGACCGTGAGGACGAACGCAGGTGCTGGATACCTCCTGGTGAGCTGACTGTCGAGTGAATGCGAGATGACTTTAGCTGACTCGAAGCCGTCTGGAGTGGCGACAATAATGGTGACCTCTCCATGATTTGTGTTGTCGTTGTCGTTGTCGCTGTCGCTGTCGTTACGTTGGTATCGGTGCGTTTAATATCGTTTCAAATTGTGTTTGGTGTCGTATCGTATCCTGCCTTTTTAAGAGTTGTCGCTGTATTGTTGATAGATGTTGGTGTTCAGGTGTTGTCAGGGCAGCACAAAGTGTCGTAAGAAGAGGTGTTGAAGGAGAAAAAGGTCCTTGATAAGAACAGGCGAGAATCGTCGAGGGGTAAGAAACTGATGAACTATATGTTCTGTGCGTCTAGTTGTCTATCAATTCTCTGTTGATGACTGTTCGGAAGCCGGCGTTTGGTGTGGGATGATGTTGTTGATGTTGATGTTCGTCGCCAGCAAGAAAGGAGAGGAAATAGAATGGGTTGTCGTTGTTGTTGCTTGATGATGTAGGCCCTTGGGTTCTGATGAAATAAAAGATCCTGGTGGTGATTGGAAGAACAAGAGGAGGAAAAAAAGTGAAGAGGGAAAAAAAGAGCAGGTGGTGAATAACTGAAGTGTTGCTTTGCTGGCTTGTGGGGGAGTCGACCCCCGCCACCGTTATGCGTTTGCTTGCGCCCGCCCGTTATTGATATTGATATTGTTGCTATTAGTGTTCGACAAGGTTCACCACACGCCCGTCTGTTTGCACCTCGCCAAGGGTATGTTGGTCGGCTCTTTTTTGTGTTCTTTTAGGTCGCTTTTTATGTTTTTTGCCGCCATTCCTGAGAGTTCGACTGGAGGTGTTTTTTGCTTCGTTGTTTTTGTCGGTATACTGTCAAGTCATTACTACCTTTGTTGAAAGGCTGTCTGTCCTTGTCAAAGGAGAAGGGTGGTGAAAGGCTAAAGACGGATCGGGTTGGATGTGTTGTAATCGTTTGGTGGCAAGAAACAACGATGAAAGACGGAAGAAAGGTCAACCAGAATGTTCACACCAAATGTCGAGTGGATCAGCTTTCGCTGGTGAAAAGCTCACGTCACGTGGAAACCCGTGATCGCAAGGCCTGTGAAGCACCATTCATTTTCGCGCCAAAATGTTTGGATTGAAAAAATGATCTTTTATGCTGTTTGGTTTGAGTACAATGAAATGCTGAGGGAAGATATGAAATATGAGAAGATAAAAAATGTTGCAAGTGTGCGGTGAAGGTATAGCCTCGTTCCTTTTTTTTTTTTTTTTTTTTTTTTTTACATGGCAGTGGCAGGACCAGCGGGGACAATAGGCACACCCTGGATCTGAGCACGCGACGTCGAAAAGCGCATCTTCAACTCCTCCCAGAGCAGGTTGCGCTCGACGGCAACTCCTCCAAGCACAGACGAGTTCTCTTGAGCACGACTATCAGATTGAACGAAAGAATTAAATGTTAGATACAACGCTTTACACAGACAGACCTGGAAACATAGTCATGGCATTGGGACGGCAGGGTGAGATTGGAGAGTCAACTTACCGGATGAGGTATGGGATGACGTGGTGGATGGGGCCGTAGGGAACGTATTTGTAGATGCCATAGCCATGCTGGCCGAGGGTGTACGAGATCTGATCGCACATACCCATCAATTGGCCAAACACGACCAGCTCGGACTGAGGCGACACTCCAAGATCCTGCATGCGCTCACAGGTACGAATGACAGAGTCCTTGTTGTGCGATGCAACGAAGAGAACAACAGGGGAGCTCTTCATCGACAAGGCATCATCCTTCTTCTCCTCCTTAGCCTCAATCGACTTTTGCTGGTGAGCCATCTCGCCCAGCATAAAGTCAACACCAGCGTTGTAAGAGACGTGAGTGGCCACAATGCCATCGCAGATAGGGTCTTCCAAGCCCAACTCAAGTGCTCTCTTGCGCTCGCTGACCATGTAGGCGCCGCGGACCAGCTTGGCGGCCAAGACGTAGTTGTTTCTCTGAGCACGGGTATAATCCTGCTGAAGACGACCGAGAGCATCCTTGAGGTACATCTGGTAAGTGTTGAAGATGAGGGGTCCATCAGCATGAGGGGTATGGTTGTAGTGCTCCTGGAGATGCAACGCCACGTTGTCGATCGCAGGCTGGAAGTACGATTGTTCGGCATCAATCATGAGTCTTGTGCGGGTTGTCTCAGCTTGGTCGCAGAGCTTCTCCATGCGGGTCAAAAGACGCTTGTAGTCATCGAGATCCTCCTTGAAAAGACCGGGGACAGCGGTGGTGGCCTCGCTATCAGCCTGCTCGGAAGTGAACAGGGCACGAGTCTCATCGCGGTTCAACGAAACGGTGCAGGCGAAATCAACCCAGTCAACACGGCCATCCTTGTCCTTGTCAGCCTCCTTGAACAGCTGATCAACAACAGCATCCAAGGAATCGTGATTCTGGAGAGGGCTGGGGAGCATCTTGACCAACTGCTTGAACTCGTCCTTGGTGATCTTGCCATCCTTGTCCTGGTTCATGGCTCTGAAGCGAGACTCGAGAGTAGTCAAGGTGTTGGAGACTTGCTGCAAGAGCAAAGGAGAGCCCATGGCGGTGATCTTGATGGCAGCAAAGGACTTTGCCATGTGGGAAGCGGTAGCAATGCAGGTGCTGATCTGGTCAGCAATGTTGTCGGCGCTCTTGTTGAAGCGAGAGCGGATCTCCTCGGGGGTCTGGCTGTCGAGGTCAGACTCGTCAAGGTCAACCTCAATCGAGAGATCGAGGATCGATCCAATGCCACCGTTTCCGAGCGACTTCATCGTTCCAATGCAATCCTCTGCAGTCTCGCCACTAGTAAGTTTTATGCAGTGGAGAGAAGGTTAGTGCTGATGGTTCCAATGCGAATATCGTATAACAACACAGCCACTATAACGTGACAGGGAGCACAGCCCACTAGCGCGTTCTAACTAGCTTGCAAGGTGAGACATGTTGATCCAAACCCAATAATCCAAATTCCCCGGGTCGTGTCACTTTCAACGAACATGGTTGAGAAAGTCTCCGCCACCAACTCCGTCCTGGAACATGGTCCAAATGGCGGCTGTCGACTGGTGCCATTCACTCCCAGTCGGAGAATATAATCCCATCGCGATTAAAAAAAAATAACAAACGAGAAGACAGAAGAAGTGGAAAATGAAAACAAAGGGGGAGTTAAAGAGCAGGAACAGGAACAGGAACAGGAACAGGGGAAGGGGTAGGAACAGACGAGGAAGAGGAATAGGGGAAAGAACAAGGACAAAATAGGTCTACAAACAGCTAATCGGGGGAGAAAAGAAAGGAGAGTAGGACAAAGAAAAAATAGAAAAGGCTCCCAAAGGAACTTCTCGAAGGAATGCACAAAAATAACAAGCACAGCACGCCACCTCACAAACAGCAAGTACAGATGTCTGCATGTAAACAAAATCCATCAAAGCTCTTACCCGCAGAACTGGGCAAAGAAGGTCTTGCGGACAACCCAGTAGACAGGAGGGGTCAATTGAACCATCTCGGCAAGGTGAATGATCTTGGGGGCCAAATCAACCAACAGGCTGAACGTGCACAGCTTATAAACAAACATCGACAACAAAAGATCCGTGGTCGACTTCTTCTCAACTCCAATGCGGTTGTGCTCGTCCTTGAGGTCCTGGACAACGTTACCTCCAGTGAAGCTGGAAGAGCTGTTGTGGGCGTTCGCTTCCATCTGAGGTGCCTTGGTGAGCTGGTTGAGGAGAGTCGCAGAAGTGGCCAGAGCAATGGTGCCTCCAATTGCGGTCTTGGTCCAGAAAGTCGACGGTGAAGCCTTGGCAGCCTGGGATGAGGCGGGGAAGGAAGAGGAAGAGTAAAAGCGTGGGAGAGGAGAAAGGCGCGTGTGTCCTCGAGAGTGGGGCGTAAAAGATTTCAAGGGGGAGGATGACCATTGACGAGCAACGATGGGGGAGGAGGCCCAAGAGCCATTGAGGCCGTGCAGTGGGCGGACAGAGGCGAGGATACGAGAGGCCATCGATTGAGTAATAGGTAACGTATGAATGAGTGAAGGGGAGTGAATGAAGTGAGGGAATGAATGAATCAAGAAGATCAAGTGCAGAGATCAGGCGTGAGGGGTGATCAGGAGTTGGAAGGGGAAGAGAAGAAGGGTAAGGGAAGGACGACGAGGACAAGAGAGTGCGAAAATGGAGTGTGTTGTGTGTCCGTTGGAGAAGAACAAAAAAGGTAGGTGGGAAAATAGAGGGGGAGAGAGAGAAAGAAAAGAAAAAAAAGTATCACACACATAGCGCGGCACTCTATTTATGTGATTTCGATTTCGCCCATTAACCTGACTACGATGAAGTCTCAGTCGATGGAAAAATGCTCAGAGGAAAAAGGAACGCCTTCCTGCACCATACAAACAGGAGCGGGCCATGAATCTTGCTCTTTTGCATTGTTCACAAATCGATCAAAGAATGAAGGGAGAAGAGTGAAGAGTGTGTTCCCTCCCCTCTCTCTCAATCTTTCTTCGCTTCACACCATTCCACTCTTGTTTCTTGTCTCTTGCCAACTCTCGCCAGGATTTGCTGTGGGTGCATAAATTAGTTTGTATATAAAAAAGGGAAGGAGCTATGGGTGTGCTTTCATGACGCGGTCAAGAGTCTCGACTACCAGGAACGAGATATCATTCCTAGTCTTGGCAGTCTGAATCACATCCTTCACATCGCATCCTGCATTCTCTATAGTAGCCGACATCAGCCGCCCACTCCTCGGGTGCAGCTTCATCGACAGCTGCGGGAACACCGCTTTCCGTCCATTCTTGCCAGCCTGCGTCGTCCTCGTCGACGAAGCTTTGGATGGATCCACGCTATGAAGCGTCGATGATCCAGGCAGAACCCTGTACTTCAACACTAGCACATTCGACTCTTCCAGATATTGTGCCGACTCCAATCCAACGGCGTCCTGGTACAGTTCTGTCGCCTCTAAACATTCCTTGTAGGCGCTCTCAAGCTCCGGCCGACGCAGAGCACTCATCAAGATCGTCTCCTTGGCTAGAAGTTCTGCCTGGTTCCGTTGTACCGTCAGCTTTTGGTTGCTCTCTTTTAGTCTACTCTCCTGCCACTTCAGCTCTTCTATTTCCGCCGTCAGCTCATCCGACCTTTGGTGAAGGTTATGTAACTCTTGCGTCTAATTGAATGGCAAACGTCGATAGTTAAGGGCTGGAGGTCTGAAATATTCAAATATACAATACGAATCGAGAGGACTAATTACCTGTTTCGCCAGAACTTGTTGTGTATACTCTGGTGTCATGCCCTGCATAGGAAACGATAGCGAGAAAATCGAAATAGATAAGTATTTCTGGTAGTGGCAACGCACGTATCAATCTCACATCGTCTGTCTACTGAGTTAAATCTTACCGTAAAATTGTCGTCTGCCTTCTTCAGTTCTGTATAGTTGTTCTCCATGTAATCCATCTCCTGCAGCATCGACCTCAGTTCCGTGATAGTCTTGTGCAGTCCATCATAATCTACAACGAAGAAAACGATACCGTTGATATGAAGGCGACCAAACACACATGCCATTTCAAAAGTAAACCCCAATCCACCTTACCTCGACATGCGACCTCGGCAACCTCGCCAATCTCTGCCTGGATCTGACTTACGACCTGCTCCCTCTCCTCCAGTTTCCTCCTCAGGTTTGCCGCCTTTGACTCTATCAATAGGTGAAAAATAGAAAATGGCAGAGTTAAATAATAATCTTATTCTCGTTACCATCTTTCACACTCCAGTCCAAGCACGCCAAAGTGTTCAAAGTTATCTTTCATACCAAGACTTTGGTTACTGTCGAGAGTAATGTTGATAGGTATATCCTCATCAATCGCCCTCAGAAACTTTTCCTTCGACGTTTGTTCCGTGAATGAAATCGCCAGCTTGTTAAAATGTTCCTGTTGAATTTTCAAAAAGAGTGGTGTGACTCCGGTTAGTTTCCTTTTTCCTGATTACGTGTTTGACGCTTTTGATCCTCTTTCCATTCGATGCCATTCTTCTCCAGACGAGTGCCATGGGCAGTACCTTGTAGTGCAACAGGTCGCCTTCAAGCCGAGTAAGCGCCAGGGCAGCACCTCCCGAGACCGCCTCCAGCTTGTCTAGTTGGTTCTGGAGCATAAATTCCTCCTGGAATGCGTGGATATACAGCCTTCCATGCTTGAACTCGTTCTTGAGCCTAAAGAGCGCCACCAAACGTGAATAGACATTTAAGAGACATGTCAGAAAGATGTCCGTTGTTTGTTCTCTGTACCAATGGTTGCTTTCATTCTCCTGTTGTGGAAGTCACGATCACGGTTATTAAAAAACGTCGATGAAAAGACATACGCGTCACAGACTTCGATTGATCGTTTTGTCGCCTCTGGATCCATGTTCTGCTGTTCTTGTCGTTGTCGTTGATGAGAGTGAAAGAATGGTTGATGACAACAGAGAAAACTCGCGTTTTTTTATTTGCCTCAAAAGAGAGGGAAATCGTGACTGGCTGAGAGAGAGGGCCAAGCACAAGGGGACACAAAATTAAGTCTGCTAGCTCTGGACAAGGACCTCGTGAACATGTCGGGCAGTGCTGGCATGGACAGCAGTGACACCGGCACGGTGAGGGGTGAACAGCTTGTGTGATGCAAGGTGGTTCAGCCGATAGTTGCGGTGGATTGCATTGTCGATCAGGTCCCGAACAAACCCAGGGGGGGACACGTTCGTCATCAAGAGGATGTTTGCCAACGACGATGAGTCTATCAGGGATGAGACGGTTCCAAAAAATAAATAAAGCGAAAGTGTTAGATCAGATATGCATAGGGCATGAAACGAAGTGCATCAACGTCTCAAACAAAACACGTACCTTTCTCGAATGAAAGGCCACAGTTGGCATTGACCTCAAGCACGACTGGCTCGCATGTATCCATCTCGACCGTACGAATATCAACTATATGACATGCGATGAATCAAACGAAAAAGAGGCATCCCGTTAGTACATGAACGACAACGATAAAAGCTAGCCTCACTTTAAACATCACTGAAGAAATGGAAGCTTACCGCGTCCGTAACCGTTTCCATCGAGGGCAAGATAGGCATCCTTAGCAACCTGCTGAAGGTGATCCTGCCACGCTCCATTGGCCATCTGGTACTTGCAAAACTCCTCATTGCCCGATCCTCCCTCCAAATTATATCCATCCCAGTATTGGTCAAAGGAGAGAAGGCGCTCAAACTTGCCGAGCTTTGGGTCAAAGGCGCGCTCGGCAACAGGGTAGACACGAACACCCCAGTCCTTATCACCGACAACCAAAGCAGTGAACTCGCGTCCAGCCAGGTACCTCTCAACAAAGACAGTAGGCGTTTCGATGTCAATCTCCATCTTTTGCTCCTTCTTGAGCAACTTCGCCATCCGCTGATCCTGCTTATTCTGTTCATCTGTGCGCTCCGTCAGGACCTGGCCTGTAAGCTTGGCCCCAGACTTGCTGGCACTGAGGGACAAGTTGACCTGCTCCAGCAACTCGTCTGGTGTGTGGACAACAGACTTCATCGAGATGTTGATGGACGCATAGGAAATCGAAGGCTTGACAATCATAGGGAAGCCGATCTCCCTGATGATGTTGTCGAGGTCGGTCATCTTGGGTGGGTCGATAAACTCTTCGAAGGAGGAGGTCGGCACATTGGCCTTTTGGAGTTCCCGCTTGAGGATCGGCTTTGAGCTGGAGATGATGTAGAAGGCTATTTCACCGCCGGAATTATGGGTATGAGAATAAAAGGGATTAAAGATGTGGCATCCATGTAGAGTCAGTCACAAGAGCCCATGTTCGGCTTATATGCAATGCAATGCACCTCCTTTCTCTCAGTACTCTTCCTGCCGTACTCCTGATTTTTTCCTCGCCCCCTCGTTGTCTTTTTGGTCGTGACTCCTCTTGTTCTGCTTCTTGTTTGTCAGGTCATTCATTCATTGTCCCATTCCCTCCCTAAACCAATCAGACCCCACAAAAACGAAATACAAGAAAAGCAAATTCCACCTTACCAGAGTCTGAGCCGGTAAATGGGATCTTGCGCTTTTCCAGTTCATGAATCATCGAGACGCCAGGATAGCCATCCAGTTCTACATGCAAACATCCAAAAAAAAAAAGTTGTTTTTTTGGAGTTGTTAGTCCATTTTGTCAATCACAACAATAAACCAAAGTTGAGTCAATTCTGGTTGTGCATGATTCCAATTCCCTTGTCCTCCCTTTCTGGACTCATCAGAAATTAAAGGTGAATAGCGCAACAAAACAATAGAAAAAAAATGCGTGAACACTCTAATCCCCTCCTCCCTATCCACCGTTTTTTTTCTCTGTCTTACCTGTGCCATCGCAGAGCTGAAAGACAACCAACTCCTGACCACGGTCATTATAGGTCTTCATCTCCTTGGCCAGCGCATCCGAGACTTCAACAATGGTCCTCAGCGAGACGTGGACAATTTCAATGTCTGTGAAATCAGCCTTGAGGAGCTGATCCCGCAAATCTTCTACAGATTTTGTCCTGTCGCACTCGTTGCTGAGCGTGATTGGATCTGTTGGGCCGCTCTGTAGAGCGCGGTCATGCTCTTCTTCTGCCTGCTGAATGTTTGAGAGGGCAGCCAAGTTGTTGCTTGAGAGAGGGCGGTGGCCTTGAAGGGGTCGAAGGATGCGAATCGCTGCGAGGGGGACTGAAGAAGGCATCGTGTGTTGTAATGTTTGTGCAAGCGTGTTGTGGGGGGGTGACTGCGAGATTAATATTTTTTAGACTTGGCGCGAAAAGAACGAAGCTAAAAACGGAGGTGAATGAGAAAGTGGAATGAGCGTACAACGAGGAGAGAATGGAGAACGTGAAAAGTGAGGTAAAGAAGGAACAGGTGAGAGAAAAGAAGAGAGTGGTGTGAAGGAGAGGAAAAGAAAAAAGGGGCTGTAGAAAAAGAAGATGTAGTGTGAGGGAGTGAGTGTTGAGTGAAAAAAAAAATAAAAAAAATGAGAAAATCAAAAGCCTTATTAGAGATTTTGGGTGTAGTGCATCAAGCACTTGCAGGAATACGCACCCGTTCGTTCACTCAGGAGCACAGGGAGGGCACGATTTCCCTTTCCACCGGCCTGTGCGTGTCTGCAGCGAGACGATTCGTGGCCTGTCAAATTGAACTGGTTGGCCTTTTTTTGCATGAAACAAGCGGCAGTTGATTGGCCACCGACCTGAACACCTGCAAACTGCACGCCACAAGCAAAAGATGACTACAGGAATGTGATATGTATGACCTTGCAGCCAACATGCTAAAAGTGCCAATCCCAATGCAACACATCCCTATGGATCAGGAATTCCCTATCCATCATCGCCGATCTGCCGGATCCACGCGCCTCTTCTTTTTTTTTGTCCTATGAAAATCACGGAACTGGTACTCACCACCTAGGCGCCAGATCACCTGACACATGTTACTGTTTTCAAGAACTCATCCGTGCTCCATCTATCATAAAAGGTTTTGGCATACTTTTGCCTAGAATCGCCATTCAACCTCTTTCCTGTTTCCTATCCTTTTCCTCGTCGCCCTCTTTATCAAGAAAGTGCATGGGGTGACAAACTCACTCAGTCAAAAGAGCCCGCAGTGTACAATGAGATGAATACCCTAAAAGACGAATTATCTCGTCATTGGTGCTCGTTACACACGCTCTGTTGTTCCTTCAGGGCAAAGAAAAAAAATGAATTGGCATGAAAAAATAGTGTTTATGATTATCGTAACAAGGTGCATGAAGGAAAGGAAAGAGATGTATGTTGTTGTTCGTCTATGGATTATCGTGAATAATTAAAAGCTGCCCATGGCGAATCCTCCTGCTCCACCGCTAAAGACAGAGTTACCCAAGCTGCCTTCCATTAGCCGCTGCATCACTTCTCGCTTGTGTGCCTCATCTTGCTTCTTCTTGTCTGCGGGCGATAGATCCGATCCTGACGACGCGCCGCTCTTGCCGCTACGGATCGACGCCGCATCCGATGGTGGTGGCGCCAGGGGTGCAGACATGGGTGGAGGGTTGGACGCGGCGGCGGCGGCTGCTGCAGCGGCAGCGGCCTTGCTCTTGGATCCAGGGAAGGAGAAGAAGGACTGTTTGATGGTCGGCGTGGACTGTGATGGCATAGCTGCTGGGGGTGGTGGCGAAGCCGGGGGAGGAGTCAGGGGTTCAGTGTTCCAGTGTTGAGGGGGCATCGCTCCCAACAACGAACCGCGATTCCTGACCATATGAGGGAGACCAGTGTTCTGCGATGTAACGGATCCACGACGGAAGTCGGGCGATGATGGGTTGCCGATAGAGGATCCGGGTGAGAGTGGTGGAGGAGGGGAGGGTTGGAAGATTCCGTGGATGTTTTGTTGTTGTGACATGTACGAGCCGTTAGAGGAGTAGGGGTTTCCTTCTGAATGTTCACCCGAACGCCATGCATGTTCGGCTGAAATGCTCTGGCTCTGTGCCTGTTGCTGTTGAAGCTTGAGCTGCTGCTGTTGGAGCATCTTCTTGGCCGCAATCATCACCTTCAACGACCGGATCTGAAGTCCGGTCTGCTGAGAAAGGGCTGCGGTCTCGTAGACCATGGCCGCTGTCGACATGTTGAGCATCTGGTGAAGGGCGTGTGTGGCGAGATCCCGGAGGCGGTCCAAGCCATACATATCAGCCAGGAGTAACAGCTGTGAGAGGACCTGGGAATGATGTTGTTGTGCAGTGACCAGGTGATCAGTGTAGAGATATTGGAGGAAGGCTAGGACAATGGTGTATGGCTCTGGCAGCGACAGCGTCCTCTTTGAGAATAGAGTGGCGTCATTCTCCTTGACGTCCCCGTCCCCGGGAGTTGCTGCTGCTGCTGCTGCTGCGTCCTGTTCCTCCTGTTCCCTGAGAAGCGCCCCAAAGTACGGCCATCGCGCAGAGAGGATCACCGAGTTGACGGGGATGCGCTGATTGTCAATGGTTAGAATCTCAAAATCGGCCATCGAGGGGTCATTCAAGAGTCCAAGGCCGAGCTCCTGAGCTGTCTGGGTCATGGTGGTGGGTGGGTGCTGGTAGATGCCGAATGCCTCCAAATCAACAATCGAGACATGCTCAAAGTTGGTCTGACGGTTCTGGTAGTCGTCAGCGAGATTGCGGGTCTTGTTTCCAAAAACTAAATAAGCGTTTGAGCCCTCAAGCAACAATCCACGGTTCCATGATCCCGAGTTGAAAACGGAGCCAGTGTCGATACGAGTCCAGACCAAACTGGAAAGGTTTAGCGACCAGATGCTGAAAGATTGCTGTGTGCTGGTCAGGTATGTTCCAGAGAGCAACAGGTGCTGCCCAGCAATGGCGCCGGTAGGGAAACGGAGACCAGGAGGCAAGAGGTTGCCAGACATGGACTGGGAGTGGTCCTGGACCTGGAAACCAGGTGGGGTCAAGACCTGGAGCTCTCGCTTGACATCGGTAAAGTTGAAGTTGGAGTAGAGGTAGACGGGGTGCTCCTCTTGTTGAACAGGGGTGGTCGAGGTCATCAATGTCGACAAGCGATAAATAGACGAGCGTTGCTCCTTTGGGGGCGAGCTGCCAAAGCTGCCAGGTCCTCCAGAAAGGCGCGACATGGGACCGCCCTTCTTGGGTAAGGCCAAGTTGGACGCACTCTTGCGCAATGAGGGTGTATAGTGAAGGGAGGTGTTGGAGGATGCCTTGCGGAGGTACGATGTGGGGAAGCCGTCGGTGGTAGGTGAGAGGGAGTTGGCCGAAGCCTGATCAACTTCGCTTCCGATCTGGGGGATGGTGGTTCCCTGACCACTGCCACTGACAGCAATTGAGCGGTAAGAGCCACAGTGCTTATCAAAGGGCATGGAAGAGACCCACTGCCAACCATCGAGGTCGAGCACGTTGATCTCCTCAATATACTGGTTTCCAATGTCCTGACCGCCAATCACGACCAATTTGTTGCCAGAGATGCTGGAGAGATGGGCGTAGCGGGGTTTGGGTGCATGGGGCGACGAAGGAATGCGGACCTGCCGCCACTGAAGGAGCTCGAGATCGAGCACCTTGATATCGTCAAAGACCACCAGATCCTGCTGCTGACCCTCGGCCGAACCAGGGGCTGGACCCATTCCTCCGAAAAACACGATCATGTTCTTGTAGGCGTTGGCGGAATGGAAGTATCTCTCTGCTGGAGGAGCCGACTTTTCGTTCTCGTCCTCGGCGCCTGGGTCGCCGACAGCGGCCTGTGGGGGGAGCACATTGACGATCTCGGAGACATTCTCCCAGCGGAACTCTTCCAGGTGAAGGATGTAGAGAGCGTTTGTCATCAAACGGCTTTGGATCAAACGACCACCAAAGAGATACAGCTTGTCGTCGACGATTGTCATAGTTGCTCCGACCAGGGGAGGGGGGATATCCCCTGTGGTGATGCGGGAGGTTGTGGTCAGGTCCGAAATGGACTGGAGTCCTGGTGCTGGTGCTGGCATGGTGAATGAGGTATGGCTGAGAACTGAGACTGGTAAGGTGGTTGTGGAGGTGTCCTGTGCAGAAGGTCGGTTCTCGATCGGTGACAAATAAGGACTCCAATTGGTTTTTTTTTCTTGTGTTCCCAAAGAATAAGTGTCGTTATCTAGAAAGCAGCGATGAAGAGAAAAAGAGAGCGGTGGGAACGTTAGCAAACAATAGCCTTGACCATCTGGTACGACCAAATCGACAGCGGAGAACCGTTTTCGGAGAGCAGGGCTCCTGTCCAGGCCGAGTTTTTTTCCCTTCATCTAAGGGAATGAACCGCCGAATGCTGATCCGCTTTGCTCCAGCCAGCGGCATGGATATCGAGGTTTAACGCGCATTGAAAAAGATTAACTAAAGGAAAGGGAAATAGAACAATAGGGGGAGGCGAGAGAGAGATGGACTAAAGAAAAGTGAAATGGCAGATGTTTCTGGCTAATATGGTGTGCTCGAATATTGAGACAAAAGAGCAGCCTAATTATCGCAGATTGATCTTCCTCCCTCTTCTCCCCTCATACGATTGCTTTTCTGCTCTATCGCCAACCCCTCCCCCTTTCAGCGTTTTCACAATCAATAATCCTCCTTCTTCCGTTCTTTTCCTCGTTATTACTACTTTTTGCAGGGAAAAATAGTAAGGCTACCAGGGATGAGTAAAAAAAAAAGAAAGAGATGAGAGAAGGATTACAGATGAGCTGCTTACCTGTGTGTGTGTGTGTGTGTGAAAAACGTAGCGTTATTCGAGCTGTGCGGAAAAAAAAGAGTAAGGATGAGACAATGAAAGTAAGAGGGCGCAAGGTAAAAAATGATATGTAAAAAATGAAATATAAAATAGGTGATGGGGTTGTCGGAGGTGTGCAAGGGATGAGGAAGGAGTAATGACAGATGGAAGTAATGGACAGTGGGTGGAAGTGGCGAGATGAAGAGGGAGGCGAAAGTAAGAGTGGAGGTGAGAGTGAGAGGGGGGAGAGAAGGCGAGAGGGAAGGAGGAGGGAAGGAGGGAAGGACCAGAACGAGGAAAGAAGAGGAAAAAGGAAAGGAAAGAGGAAGGAGACAGGGCAAATGGGGGGATGAATGAGAGTGCGATGGGCAGGATACATATGATGGTGTGTTCGTATCATGCAAAGATCGCGACAAAGGGGAGGGGCGATAACAGTTGTTGGTTGTTGTGTTCTTTGCCGTTGGGTTCATACAACGGTTGACTCGCCTCTCTTTTCACCCTTCCATTTGGGTCTCGAATGCTCACACTTCAACTCAACTCACTCCTCTGTACTCAAACGACTGGTGCCTGAATTTTATTTTCAAGGCGATAATAGAGTGTGAAAAAAACGGCTGGAGGGCAAAAAAACTATCATGGTATCGCCTCTGTTCCTTTCTTCTTTCCTCTTTCTTCTTTCTTTCTTTCTTTTAATATTAACATCAAGGCTCGGTTTACTTGAGCACCAAACAGAAACACAAGTCATTGAAACCGCAATGCCATGTATCATGGTGATGATGTGCCATTATATGGATTTTTCAGGGTCATCGCCCTTTTCTTTTTTCTCCGATACGATGGCGAGTCTTTCTTTGTTCATAACCACTATCAGCAACAACTTAGCAACAAGCTCTTTTTGATTGGTTTGAGGTGAGTTTCAATACCCCTGCCCCCCCCTGCCTGCTGACTGGCTGACTTACTTCTCTGCATTTCGACGGAACTTGGAATGGATTCACAAACGCATGGTTGTCGCCTGAAATTCTACTTGCAGAGACTAAGACAGCCAAGGCATAGCCTTTGACTTGGAGAGAGTGAGAAAACGCCCAAATCGCATTGTCTGTTCGGTACATACAGATACCGTCTGTGTGTTTGTTTTACTTTGTTTGTCTTTCTATCCCTTTTGTTTGTTTTAAGGCGTACCCCATTTCCCCACTTTCCATACCCCCCACTCTATCAAAACAACAAGAGAAGGGGCAATCTTGCCCTGCTGATCGCTCACTCAGATGTCTTCAGAGCACTCTCTGAACAGGACCAATTGTACTCATAACCTCATACTGCATTAACGTTTTCTCTCCCTTCCATTACATGAACATATAAAAAAAATCTTTGCACCGCAATTTACTTTTCCTACCTTCTCACCTGTCCCCCCTTGTTTTTTTAATGCCTTGTTCATTTATCGACACACTCGATCCTCATCACAAGAACAAGAACTACAAATTTTGGGTTAGGGTGCCTGTATCTTTGGGAGGTTGGAAAATGATTCATAATTTTCATTGTTGTTTGTTGGTGTTTTGAAGAAGGTACGAAGAGTAGATACAAAAAAATTGGACGACTCTCTCTCGGAGAGATAATTGCGAAGGCGGAGGAAAAAAAAAAAAGGTCGGCCTAGTCTAGTTCTGAGGAGGCGCTTTGGCCCTGACATTAGTAGTTCATTATTCAGGATAAAGAAGGAGATATAAAAATGAACAGGGAGCGAAGGCCAGGCTCCTGGGGTGGGATTTCGAACTAAAGAAAGAGGGAGAGCGAGAGAAGGAGAGCCGAGTGGGTTCTGGTCAAAAAATAGGTTGAAAGCTTTTTTTGGTCTAGAGCTCAATTCATTCTTTCAAAGGAGGGAAGACCACCCTGCTCTGTTCATAGGGGACGGGTGTGCGGGTTGGTGGTGCTAACCTCTCCTTGAAGGTACTGTACAAAACTCGACAGGATTGGCCTTTGGTTCAGAAATGGCGACAATCGATGTAAAAGAGAGTTGAGCGAGAGCATCTTTTCCTTTTCTTGCCCTTACTGTGAGGCTCCGATAGACCGATAGAGTTTACATCGCATTAAAGTATGGCGGCGTTGCGTGAGAGTTGCTGCCTCTATAACAGAACACTCTCGCCCCTCATAAGTTCAGATAACAGCTAGTCCATACAAAGAACCCAAAAAAGGCTTGATGCAAAGGACCATGGGCGTATCGGGGGAGGAGGCCGAACAAGTTTAGATGTGTGTTGGTCTCCCTTTTTAAATGTGCAAAAGTACAAGTGGTATGGAGCAACAATGTCAATCATCTATGTTGAGCCCTGTTTTTTTTTGCTTGCTCGTCGTTTGTACTACCACCTCACTAACGTGGGATACCTAACATCATTTCAAGTCAAGTTCGTTTGCACAGCACCCATGAGTAATCGGTGATGATTTCGAGCGGAGAACATAAAAAAACCTCGCGAGGACAAAGGGCACACTAGTGGCAAGTGCAAATGCGCGATGGTCTTTTGAATAGATCTCTCAAAATATCGTGCAGGATGCATGATCTCATTAGCTTGTGGGGTACACAAGAGAGCACGTACGATGCTTGGGACTTGCTTTTTACGACCTTTCTGTTCAAAGATGACCAAGTCAGATGTGGATCCAGGACAAAGACGGAGCGTAATGGTACGTAGACAGTGTGTAATGTGGACACTCAAGTTGAATCCGTGGGTTAGAAAGTTAGATGATGAAAAGGGCATGAAACAACTTGATGGCGCAACCCAAGTATTCGGTTGATCAACACCCGGATCCATCAGTTCCAAACATGCTGTGTCAATTATCACTTGTACATCTTGCGAAGATTCTGCAAAAACAGGCAACACTTTATTTCACAATCGTTATCTAGTAATTGGCACTATCGACTTCCTTTATTATTTTGTCATATAATATCAATTCATGGTGGCGACTCTGGTAGCGCGCGGCAAGGTAAACTACTCATTGCCTCGAGGGAGATCTAGAGCGCGATTTTGATCTTGATCCGCCCCACGCCTTGCGTCGGTGTTGGACTGGAGCAGTTGGGGCACGCATCGGTGGAGGAGTGCGCGATCGTCCTCTAGAGGTCCTTGGCGAGCGCGAATCAGACCTGCTCTTCTTGGATGCCTCCTTGTCACGTCTGTTGTGAAACACAATGCAAATAAAAATACTTGTTAATGGATCTGTAAGATGTTCAATCATATCCTAAAGTGTTGGGTGCATTCAGTCCAGTACATGTAGCATACCTTGAAGAGCGGGTGGGTGAACGAGAAGTCGAACTACGACGACGATATGATGATCTGGAAGAGCGTTCATGACGGCTACTACGTCCACTCCTGTCCTTTGAACGATCACGAGAGGATCGGCGATGCCGGCCATCCTTGTCGTCTCGACGGCCGCTGTCTTTGCCATGACGTGAAGATGATTCCTTGGTTGATCGGTGCTTTCTCTTCCTTCGTCTACGCTCCTCCTCCGAATCTGATCCTGAAGACGATGAAGAAGAGTCCGAATCATCCGATGCGGAATCACTATCACTGCCACTGCCTCGTCTCTTTTTCTTGTGACGCGATAACGACTTTTCATCCTTGTTCGACCGCGAGTCGGCCGCCTTCTTGTCAGATCCTGCTTCTGCTGTTGGCGAAGATGCTGCTGTTGGGGAGGCGGCGCCTGGGACCTGTTTCCTGAGGAATCCGAAACGGGAGCTGCCCTTTGGCTTTGCTGTGGGTGTATCTAGCTTGATCAGGTTCCTGCACTCGTACGTCAAATGGCCACCTAATTAAATGAGATGGGGCGTTCTTTGTCGGTCAGTCAAGGGTCAAGGGTAAAAATACTGTGCGCCTCTGTTTATTCTACTCCAAGTATTGTTCATTGCACTTACTTCCTCCACACTTGCCGCAAGAGCCTGCACGGATGCCTTCGTCGGACTTGACGAGACGCTCAAAAGCCTGGAGGCCACGCATAAAATCTGACATGGTTACTTGAAATGGAAAAGGTGATGTAAGGGTGTTGATGGAGAAAGAGACAGTGAAGAGTGCCTCCAAGCATCGACTTTTTCAGTTCGTTGTTCTTTTTTTCTGCACGTGATTAAAACAAGGGCCTGCTTTTTTTTCGTGTGTTCGTTTTTTTTAGCTCCAACACTCGCACTCACACTCTCACTCCACTCTTCTCTCGATCGTCTGAACAGCCCCCATTGCTCAACAAACCTGTGGCATTCACCCTGTCTGTTCTCCCGCCACCCTCCCAATTCACATATCAACGAAAACCACACACAGCACAACATCAACTACTACGAGAGAGCGAGAGAGAAAGAACGTTTAGTGATGCCGCCTTCGCCTCGAAAAGGCACAGTGCCCAAGCCACGACAGACCTACGGTCGCCAAAGGAGTATCGTCGGCCAACGGGACAGGGACACCAGTCCACCCTCGCCATCAGAGGCCAACACAACAGCTGCTTCGCTCCCAAGGGGTTCTTCTTCTGTCTCTTCGCCTATTTTAAAGAGAGGAGGGTCAGACCTTGATTCGCCGCCAGTCCTGAAGAGAGCTGGATCGACTATTGCCCCACGCGCACCATTGGTAAGGGCGATATCAAGTTCTCCACATAGAAAACTGGTGGCAACACACTCTCACTTTTTTCTTGGAGATCTTATCAAATATTGACAAAGTCTAAAACCACTCGATATAAAACAGGATCTCCAAGCGGCGTTGAGGGCTTCTCATGAATTGAGAGAGGCAGGCCAGAACCATCAGTTCAGAGACGAAATCGAGTATATTCTGGATGGGATCCGCACAAAGGACAGACCCAAGATCCGGAGAACAAGGTATGAATTCCATGTATCACCTTGTGTCTGAACTGCAGTTTGTTTATATGTGCCACTGGCAAGTTGAAAGTATGAATCTAACAGAGTATCTGTCAATTGACTTTTGGATAAATACTTTTTGTAGCTGTCTAGATCTTGTACGGTCAATGCTCAAGCTGGAGTTTGCGGACTTGTTCAGGTTCCACAACTACATGTCCACCGTCTTTGAAACGATACGGACAGATCGTGATCCAGTAAGTTATTTTTACTATTATCTTACTCGCTCGTACATGTGATGTTACGCCTCGAGACTCCATTTCGCGCTGTGAAATAGTTAGCTGACTATTCTCCTTCCAGATTGTGTTTTCTTGCCTAGTGCTTATGATTGCAATCGGCTTTCAGGATACGACGATTCGCCGGCAGATTATCTCGATTGATCATTTGCTTGACCTCCTCATCGAAAGTCTGGACATGGATATTGACCCGATGGCGACAATGCCTACAGCACGACAAGAGTTGATTATGGCAAGTTGAGGAGACTCTCATTATCTTGAGAAAAGTGGTAAACATTGCTGCAAGGAGTAGACACTCCACCATGCTGACCTTCACATATTGTTCTGGTGATATCATGAACCGTAGTACAACGACCTCAAGGACATTGTCAAGCAGTCAGGAATTATCACCAAGGGACAGAAGGTCTTGGCGAAGTCCATTGTCCTTTCAACCATGACTGGCATCATTGAGGAATCTGTTGCTCTTCAGGATGCCGAGACACTGTCGCTCATTGAGCAACGCCCAAACTTCATCAACACCGTCATCGACATCTTGGTCGATGACCTAGCATGGATAAAGCAACCATCCGCAACGCCTGTAAGCAAACCTTGTGGTATCCTTGCGCCATTACTTGAGACAAGAGCAATTGATTCCGATTATTAATATATCTTCTTTCTTTTCTGATATAATTAGGGAGTATTTCTGCCAGACGTGCTGGATATTGGCCGGATACAAAACTGTCTGTGCATTCTGGAGCGACTATCACTTGTTTCCAAGACACCTGCGACTGTCCTTGCAGACAACGCCAGGGTGTTTCCTCTTTTCGTCCAATTGATCACACTGTGTCGTGCGCACGCCTTTCAATACCCGCAGCATACAGGTACGTCTTTGCTTCGTTCGCCTTTTTCAGATGGCAGATCTTTGGATGGTTTCAGCGATGCGAAAAATGGAATTGACCAATTAATAATTTACTCCGCACTGTTATTTTAGATTCTATGAACTTGATGCTGCACGCGCTTCGGTTGTTGATCAATGTGACGAATGGATTTGAACCCTGCTGCGAAAACCTAGCCCAGAGCGGATCGATCTCTGTGCTGACCCAAAACATCATTCAGTTCTATGGCCATTGCCGGAACTACACCCCCGGAGAAACTGAGATGGCGACGACAATGAGCGGAGGTCAGGATCTTATGGACGATGTCGAACGGATACACTGGACAAGAGCCGAGTCTCGATCGGATTCGGGGTTTTCTTTCGAGATGATGACACCAGGAGCGACACCCTCGCGCCGTGAACGTGACGAGTTTAGGATGAGCAATGAGACGGATGATTTGGAGGCTGCTTTGAAGGCTGAGGGGCTTTTGAGTAGCCGGCCGAGCGTGATGGAGGTTAAGATTGAGAATGATGCCAATGGGTGGTATGACATTCTGCTCCTCTCGATCGGATTGCTGATTAATATGCTCGAAACTAACGTGCGGCGGAGACACCAATTAACCGACCAAGGTATGTTTTTTCTCACTCTGTTGCTCATGCTGCATACGACTTGACCAAAATCAATCGCTTTGACAGGACGGAAAATAGCACTGACTCGCTACTCCCTCTTATATTAGCCATTGGACTGGACTGCAATGCGATTGGAGATTGCTTTATCCGAGAATGTCAGTGCGACAAGAGCACGGACGCTTTGGAACGATTGGTCGAGATTTACAATACCGAAGCAACCATAAGCGAAATGGTACTTGAAACGTCGCTCGATATTTCATGCGTTTGTCTGCCTTGGGGATAATTCTAACCAAAGCCGTTTCAACTTTCAAACAAAATAGACCGAGAACCAAGTGCTGGCGGCTTATTTGGCCCTTTTACTTGGCTGTGCTGTTGGAGGAAACCCAGAGAACGAGACACGGCTGTACCAATCGATTCATGAGCAGAGTTTGGTGCCTATGGTTGATTTGCTGCGAGACTTTATGGCTGCCCAAACACAAAACGCAACCGACAATCAGGACTTTGATGATAACGGCTATGGCGACAACAGTGATGATACTACTATGACGAGTCAGGGTGCATTTCAAGGTCATGGTGTGTCGATGGGCCGGTCTGTTTCTATGATGTCTGTGACCCTTGAGAATGAAAGTGCCCAAGCAACCGTAGACGGAGTGGAAGGAGTCGACCAAGCTGGAGGAGGAGGTATCTCGTTCAAGTCTACGGGCGGCCTGGAAACACAACAGAGTTTTCTGCAGATCATTGACGTCTTACAGCGTATTGAGCTGCGGCATTCGGAAATTCGTGAATAACCAATGAATCGATGACTTGTAATAAAAAGACCACCCACACTCCCCACTCTTATTTAACTTGATCTGCTCCCGCCTTGTCTTTGCTCTTTGTTGTTGTTTATGTTGTTTGTTTTATTCGTCGAAAAATGCAATGCGTGGTATATGGGTACAAATACGAAAGAGTTTCCTTGCTCCTCGCCTAGTGTTTATTCCCACATCTGCTTGCCGCGCTTCTTGAGTGTCACCTTATCATGATGCTTATCGATTCTCTTCTCATCCTTCTCGGCGTTCATCAATCCACGCTCGAGCGTCTTTCCCTTGCGAATCTTGGCCTTTGTGCTCATTGGCTTCTTCTTAATCGTCTTCTTTGGCTTGTCACTATCATATTTCGTTGGTGATTCGATATAGAAGAGTTGTTAGTGAATTTGGACGTGAGGTACTTTCTTTCTCCTTCTCTCCTGCAATGTCTTGGCCTCCTTGATTTCTACACATCGGAGGGTGGTATGTTGATCTTACATGGTGACCTGTTTACGGAGCTTGGCAAGTTCCAACTCTTTCCCGACCTTCTCCTTCATCGACACAGGCGCTAATATCACAGCAAGAAATAAATAAAATGTTAACTTACCAGCGTCCTTAGTACCAACATGGAAATCAAAAGAGAGAAAGAGAGAGAGAGAGAGTTTGTATATGACAAATATATTAACGTACCTTCCTCGCCTGATGCTGCCTTTCGCTTGTTGTGTGGCGCATACTTTGATTGGTGAATATCTGTTTTATGGTAGGAAGGAGGGGGAAGGTATGTCAGGAAGGGTTGTTCGAGGTGTTGTGGTACAATGGCGCAAAAGCTGATCCGAGTAACTGCCATTAACATCAGGTGCGCTAGTCTCCAGGCGTCCGTGTCCTCATTCCTCTGTCCATACTTGGTCTTGTCTTTCCCATGGTGCTTGTTGTTGTGAGATGTGTGTGAGCGAGTGAAGAAAGAAAAAAGAAAAAAAAAAGAAAAAAGAAAAGAGTGTGCTTCAAAGTGTTTATTTCAATTTGGCAGTCACTCCAGGACACGAAGGCGCTTGGGCGAGATCATGATCACGTCGTCGTCCTCCTCGTCCTCCTCGTCTTCGACTCCGTCCAGCTCATACAATCCGAACCCCGGGGATGACGAAACCAATCTACTCCTGAACGACTGCCGCCTCTTAGTTGGAGTATGGAACGATCCGGATCTTCTCCGCGGCGACGCCTTGATATTGTGATCCTTGGTATCATCCAACGCCGCCTCGTCTGCGACATTGGACGCGTCCTCGTCAAATCCACCATCAAAGGCATCATCGCAATCAGCTGCTCCGATAATCTCACCGAAATTCTCATCGTCATCTTCCCCTGAATCAGCGCCCTCACCCAGCAATCGCAACAGTTCCTCCTGCTCAGCATCGTCGCCAACTCCGGCACCATCATGTTGATCATTAGACTCGGCTTCCGCTCCCGCTGAGGGCCTTGTCACTGTAGTAGTTGTAGACGAGGTCACCGCTGCCATAAACTCAAACATCGAAATGGTTCTCCTACGTCTACTTGAGCCGTCCTTGTCAGCAGTCTCACTCTTGACTTCATCGTTATCCCCGCTCTGGCTGAGGCTCCGTTTTGCAACAGTTCGCTTCTGAGGGAAAACGTCTGACCGCCTTCCGCGCGCCTTTATCAGCTCCAACGAATCCGATGCAAACGCAAATTCCTTTGACTTTGGCGAAGGCTCTCCATCGTTGCCCGTCAAAAGCGCCAACGCACCCTGATGTGAAGAAATGCGGCGCTTTGTCGTCATTGTCGTGGATGTTGTGCGACTGGAGCTGTTGTCATCGGTCGCGGTCTCCTTTGCACTCGTGGTTTGATCGGCTTTGTCCTCAGCGTAAGTGTTCTGTTCACCAAATACAGCAGAGAACGTAAACTTGGCTAGCTCAGGACCATGCTCTTCAGCACCGATGGCGGCGGCAACCTCCTGCGCATCAAGAGTCTCAACAGCTTCCTCCTCCTTTTGGCTATCGTCCGACGTGACTTGGAAAGGGTTCTCCTCTCCTTCAGTATCCTGACTCTCAGCCTTTGGAGTGGAAGCGAAAAGTTCCGTGGAGGATTGCGAACGAGTGGGTGTCATCACAAAGTTGCGAAATCCATTAAATCCTGCAAAGCATGTCTCGACAACCTTTTGGGGCGTCCGGAACACTCCACGAAGTCCGGTGAACATGGGGCTCTGAGGGCGAAGAATAGTGCTGGCGACCGGCGCACTCGATCGCCGCTTGGAATCTACTCCGCTGGCTCGGTTATTCTGCTCATCATCCTTGGCCAGGATATCATCTGCCTCAGTCACCACCTTGTTGCCAGCAGACTCATCCTTTTCCTCAATCATCGGCTCAGGAGTATGATCCACTTCCTTCCTGGTCACTTCCTCGTCGTCTGACTGCTCTTCTGCCACCTCGTTGCCCGATTCAAGTACCGCCAGTGCCGCTTCTTCCTCCGCTTGCTCAGTCGCCACCTTGTTGCCTGACTCAAACACCGCCGGTGTCGCTTCCTCATCCACGCTGCTATCCTGATCCGATTCCAATTCCGCGTCCACATCATCTACACTAGGCTCGGGGATGGTAGACGCTGGTTCAGATGACTTGTGGGCCAATGTTCTTGCAGCTGGCGACTGGAGCAAATCTGGGAGACCGCGTATCCTTTGAGCGGAAAGCTGTAAGAGCGCAAGTCTGGAGGCAGATCCGGGCGTGTTCGCACCAGGGGTCACATTCGACTTTTGGTCATCCTTGGTTCGGTTACGGACGGGGGTATGTACAGGGGTGGTGTCCGGAATATCGACGTCAGGAGTAGCAGTCTCCTGTTCTGCGTCCGCTGGGAGTTCGGCCTCGTCAATGAGTGGGGTGTCGAGTTCCTCTTCAATTGCATGTGTCAAGTCGGGATGGTGTCGTTGGACAGCCGCAACGCTTGGAGAATGTGAGGGGCTGTCACCGCGAGGCTCGTCATTCGATATAAAAGGGTTGTCTGCATCCGGCTGAAGAGGTGAGGCATGCAGCTTGAAAGAGTGATGCAAGTGCTCCTCTGGGACGTCTTGGGTTGAAAGAGGAAACTTCAAGCGGCTCGGGGTGGTTAGCCCCGCGCTCGATTGTCGCGAAGCTGGACCTCGTGTTGGTGTCGAGAGCGGGCTCTCATCGTCGTCGTCTTCCTCCTCGACGTCGTCATTAAAATTCCTCGACTCTGTTGCAGCTGCAGGTACAATGAACGGGCTGGTTGTCGATGTTGAGCCGATCTTTTCCCGGAGACTGTCATCGCTGTCGTTTCCGCTACTGTTACTGGAACGCTCGTCCTGTACCGAAACTGGCTTCCTGCTGACTGATGAAAGTGCATCCTGCGCATCGATGACTTGCTTCTTTGGTGTGGTGGCGATCTTTTGGACCTCAGGAGAGAACAGCATGAGCTTGATAGGTGTGGGTTTCTCGAGACCTTGGAAGACATTTGTCCGGCTCGATTTCGAAGGTGTCAGGATCGATTTGGGAGTACCGCCAGCAGCAGCCAGTCTTGACATAAACGATGGGGTCGAGACACTCGGTGATTGGTGGTCGCCGCGCTTGACGGGCGTATTAGGAGGGTTGTTCTTTGAAAAGACCTCTGGGTTCAGATTGGGACCAAAGGAGACCTTCTTGGGAGTCCTGCCCAGTTCGGTGAAAAGGTCCTCGGATGACTTGCGCTTCCCTTTGGTGGGGGTTCGCCAGCAGCTATTTTCTTCCAGCTCCTGTAGGTCGTCTGTTGTATCCGCTGCGACACTGGGCTTTGAAGGTTTGTCGGTTGAGGTGGTTGATTGTCTAGGCGATTTCAAGAATGCTGGGAGAGGAATGGGCTTTGGCGAAACAAGCAGGCTAGACAGCTTTGCGGCGCTTTTAGGAGTGAAGAGACCGAGGGATGATTCCAGTGCGGCGGTGCTCCTTGAAAGATTTCTCTTCGGCGTCGTCGAGGTTCTACCGGCCGTAGGTGAAGGGGCCTCTGCCAGGGCTGAGAAGTCGCTGTCGAAGGACGCCTGAATGCTCTTGATGTGCCGTCCTGGCGTAGTGTTTCCGTCTGTAGCCTGGAGGGGTGGCCGTGGAGTGGTCTGGATAAATGACCGAGGAAAGAAAATACGGGGGAAAAGAAAGTCAGCATTGTACTCCTTTTTCATTGTGATATGTAATGTGGTGGCGTAACAAAAAAGGGGTTCAGGTTGTACCATGGCGGTCTCGAATCTGAAGCTTCGTCCTGCGATGGTCATGATGTCGTTGTGCTCGATGGGTCGAGCGGTGTCGTGGACAAGGACGTTGTTGAGCAGGGTTCCAATGTTCGATGTGTCCTTGAGCCAGATCTAACAATGAGAGCAGAATAATATCGTCAGTCAATTGCTCGGGATATTAAAACAATAATACTCATTCATCTCTATTGCTCTTGTTATTGTTGTTATTGTTTTTGCTTACTTCGCCGTCTTCCCTTCGAATCAACTTGCAGTGTATGTCCGAGACAGACTCAAAGGGGACAGGCACGTCATTGTTACCACTTCTGCCAAAGGAACAATAGGACTTGTCGATAGGGAAGCGACAGTACTCGCTCATGTCATGCTTCTTAAGGCCGACAATGTAGCCCCACACGCCTATCTTGAGGTGACTCTTTGACTTTGGTGTTGTAGGAGGTTTCTTGGGCGTGACACTCAGGTCCACATTCTTGTACATGTTGCTGAGTCTGGCCGATTTCCGTGAAGTGGGACTGTCGAGGGGCGAGGCAGATCCTTCCTCCTCCTCCTGGGCGTCAGCTTCAAGTGCTCTTGTTGTTGACGATGGCATGGGTGGCGAGACGGGTTTGATTCTTGTGGTTGTGGGGATGGTGAAGGCTGGAGAGGAAATGGAAGAGGAGGAGGAGGCTGAGGGGGATGCTTTAAGGAATGACTTTACAGGGGCTCCGAAGGGCGAGGCCTGGAGCGCACTTTTGCGCAATTGGCGACGAGCAGGACTCTTGGGTGTGTCGGACATGGTTGGCTCCCCTTTCGCTGAGCTTATGTTGTGTTTGTTGGTCCTGTGCTGTGCTGTAGCTAAGTTTCTGTTCCTGTTATTGTTTGTAGTTGGTTGAAGCTGAAGTGGAACCTCTCACGGTGTGATGCTGGTTATGGAAGAATATGTTGATGTTGAATGTCCTCGAGGGGAGGGATGCCAGCTGTGTTGAAAGGAGTATGACGTTGCAAGAATAGGAGCCAAGGTGAGGGAGGAAGTAGAGTTGTTGGGGTGAAAGAACAAACAACAACACAACAAACAACACGCGAAAAAAAATGAAGTGGACACATGAAAAAGTCCATGTCCTCACAGGGGCTGCACAAGATAATAACAACTAGTGTGGTTAAGGGGTGTCAGCATCATTTTTCAATTGACACAATTTCGCGTGTCGCCAATTTTGGAAACAAGAACCATGGATACCCGTTATTCTTCTATGTTTGTTGTACAATGGTTCTTATTTTAAATGTTTCTATGTAATAATAAAATATCTACATCGCGAGCAAGCCGCTGGCATACACCGCAACAAGCACAAACATAAGCACGGCCTTGACCTGCACCATGTTCAGCTCTGACACAAACGAATCAGTCGCTGTCCGCCACAGATCCTCATGTCCAATATAGTGCCCCTTCATATCCACCAACATTTGCTCTTTCTCCGCCTCGCGTCGCGCGACCGCTGCGATGTCAACAACAACTTCCTTGACAGCAACAGGGGTGTCCTCGGGAGTATCGTCAAAGAACTCAGACTGGGCCTCAACAAACTCGGCCTCGTCGCTCTCGTATCCGGCCTCATCCTGGACCTCGACTACAGACACTGCAACAGTGGCAACCTCGACAACAACAGGAGAGGCAACAATATCAACAATAGCAGCTGCTTCTGTTGTCTCGACAGTCTCTGCTTCACCGGAACTGGCAGTCTGGAGCTCAGCCAATGGACTGGCCTTCAGTGAGACCGACTTCTTCCTGGAGAGCCTCTTGGGTCGGAGGGGCGTTGTTCTGGTCTCAGAGTTGTCGACCACATCAGGAGAGAAGGTCACCCTGCGGGTAATGCTGCCGACCGACGCGTTCGAACTTCTGTGACTAAGGCTCGATGTCCTGGGTCCAGGAACGGGCGAAGTCAAAGGAGAACTCATAGTGGTCAACGAGGCTTTGACATCTTGGTGATCGGCAGACTCAGAATCGACAGAGGTCGACTTGGCCAAAACCTCAGATATCGAGGGAATGACAGCCCGTGCGATCAAGGAAGATGCATCGACATCCGAATCAACAACACGGGAGCTGGTAGGGATTTCTGCTGCTGGCTGAAGGATCGACTTTTTCAGGACGGATGTGAGCTTGGTAGTTGGCTCCAGCTCAGGTTCAGACCCCTTGGTGTCTTTCTTCTCAACCTCTGTGTTGCTGGCTGGGACTGAGAGGTTAAGCGTCTGAGGATCCTCAAGTACCTGGAAAATATCGCGGCCTGGCATGGGAGACTCGATCGGCCTGTGGTGTGGGACATGGAAAGGACCAAGAGTCGGGCTGGAGAAAGGCGACGTAATAAAAGTCGTCCCTGAGGAGGTTGTGATAGGGGAGGTTGTAGGGGAATCGGCTAAGGCAGCGGAAGATGGCGCAGACGAATCACCTTGGGTCAAAGGAGCGGCGGTGAACGTAGAAATGATGGGCATGGGAGGGGCGTCAACGAGAGACAGGAAGGGCGGCGAAAGGGGAACAGAGTGTCGGCTGAGAGAACTGGAACGGCGTGGGAGGGTTGGCGGGGAGGCATTATCGGGGACATTCGTCAGGCTGCGGGGCGTGCTCCTAGTACGGCTCCTCCCGGTCCTCTCGGACTCCTGCGAGACCTTGGGGGCCGTTGAAGCCTGTGGGAGTTCAGCGGGTCGGTAGGAAAAAGAGGCAACAACGAGATTAGGGTCAAAGGTACTCAAAGTTGTGAAGCTGGCGCTTCTCCTCTTACGACCGACGGACGACACCGCCGCCTCATGTGGTCGTAGGTCGGATCCACCACCAACATCTCCAGAAGAACGGACATCTACCTGCTCAGGATTCTCCAACTCAACATCATCTTCATCATCATTACACTTTAGATGGCTCGACGACTTGCGCGGGGACGGGCCACCAAACGTTGGCGACGACGACTCAAACACACGGCTGTCTCTTGGTCGACGGGGCACATAAGGCTCTCGCTTGCGGCGGCTTGGCTCGTCACTCCCGCTCTCCCTTTCTTCGTCATCGGGCTGCGACGGCTGAGTTGGCTCCTGAGCAGGGTTGCCGGCCGGGTTATGTCCCTTACGGGTGACCTGGGCAATGATGCTCTGGCCCTCATGGTCGAGGGTTGTCCAGATACGAACACCGCCAAAGTCTGGAGCAAGCTCAACACGGACAGTAGGGTCGTCGGGCTTGATGAAAAAGTCGTAGCCATCCTTGTAGACCTTGCGGCCAACTCGAACCTCAGTCCATCCCGGCGCCGCTTTGTAGCACAGCTCGTAAAAGCCCGTCTTGGGCTCGAATGTGTCAAGGAGACGAGTGCCAGAGATGTGAGAGGCATAGGGTGGGTATCCGCTCTTGTTGATGAACTGGTTGAGACGAGAGACGCCTGTCATCATGCTGGCAGTGAGGGACTTGACGACCGAGGTAGGGAGCGTGCCGCGGATATCAATCTGGATCACAAAGGTGACATTCACCGAAACGGTGTTGCCCTGTCCATCAAATGTGGGTCTCAGAGACCAACCGGACAACTCAAGCAATGCACGGATACGACCAGGGTCCTCTGGGATGGTAGAGTCGAGAACCGACGTTGAGACGTTGCAGAGTGCCGCTGTCTGAGGATCGCGGTCGACAATTGTTACTCCAGCCAGATCACGGCCACTATTGTAAGAGAATGTGAGTAAGTAAAAAAACGAGTAAGAAATGGCAGACACGAATGATTTTTTGAACGTGCTTCATGCGATCGCTTGGCAAAACGTACGTCAAAGATCCAATGCCGCGGAGTGCGACATGGAAGAGGTACTCGTTCGAGTTGAACGTCTCTGCGATTGATAAATTGTCAAAGCGCTCATCCCAGAACTGTCGGCAGCCAGAGGACTCGATAACGGCGTTGATCTGCTCAACTGTCCAGCCTCCACTGATGACACCCTCCGCTCGGAGCATTGGGAGCCCGGCGCCCGAGATCACTCTGCTGTAGCTCTTGAAGGTACCATCGCTCGAGATAGCCTTCCAGCGATCCTCGGGACTCGATGCCAACACCTTAAACATTGCCAACGCCTTGCGTGCCGTCTCCGAGTGGCGATGAGGAAGGACGATCATGGGCGTAAGCTGAGTCGACGAACGGTTGGAATCCACACTGGGAGCGGTTGAGTGCCTCTTCAATGCGTTTGGTGTCGAGTTGAAGATCATCGACGACCGGTTCAAGCCCTGCAGGGTAATGTTAGGACTGCCTCGGATAGGGACAGCATGGCTATGTCGTGGAGCAAAGGATGAGCTACGACTGATCAGGGTGCTGTGGCGACGCGCTTCCATGATGGCTGAAGGCGACCGCATTCCGAACGCTGCAAAAGCCATTGAACTAGGTCGTTGAGGAAGTGAGGTGTCGACGGTAGCGTGCGTTTTGGGCACGCGGGGGACGATCCTGACTTTGGGTGTAAGAGAGGCATCCGAATCCGACGTTGCGTCCTTGCCATCGATCGAGGTTGTGGGCGTCAATGGGGGTGTCGCCAGAGTGACTGTAGGTGTAACAGGCTGCTCTGGGGTGGATGGCTGGGCCGTCCTAGGTGGTGGATTCGATCTGGGTGTGTCTATCCGCTTGAAGGAAGCCTGTGAAGCCAATTGATGACGATCCCGGATGTCGGTTTCTGGTGGGAGAGTTCTTGCAGCCTGAGGTGGTGCCCGCCGAGTACGCTCAGGAAAATGGGCTGGTGTTTGGGTGAGTTGAGGCGATTGTGCCCGGTTGGTATCGTCTGATGCCCGAGATATCTCGTTCTGTTTTCGCATGTTGTTCTCATAGATGCCTCCTTTCCCAAACAAAACTGAATCGCCAAACATTGCAGTGTCGCCGAGATGTGCGTTGTTTTCCAGGAACTCGGGTGAGAATATTGACGGGGCGAGGGAACGAGTGGACAGGAGACTGGGTGCGAGCGAACTCCTGGCTGTCGAGCTTTCACTGACCGAGGCCATAGCCAGCTGAAGGTCGTCGTCGTCAGAGTCCTCCTTTGTATTCAGTTCCTCGACATGGTTATCTGGGCGAAGTGGTTCGATAGGTGAAAGGAAGGAGGATCCGGACTGAACATTCTCCTCGGAATCCCGCTCGGTAAACATAAACTTTTCGGGCTTTAGCGGCTCACTGAGACTTCGGTGGCGGTTAGTGGTCTGAGAGACAAGTTTGGTCATGACCATTGGAACGCCGTTTTTCTTGAGGTGGGTTTCGATGGTGGTGATGACTAATGGTCGTTTGGCGAGCGCCCTCCGTGCAATGAACTTTGGTAACCGGCTGAGGAGATCTGTTTGGATCACGTAGGTGACCTTTGTGATGGGTGGGTTGGATGGCAATGGCTGAATGACCCATCCTGCAACAAAGATATCCGCCCTGACTTTGCCGGACATGAGCGGGATTTTGCTGGATTGGACAGAACAAGAGGCAAAGTAGATGGTTCCGTCGGGTTCCACCTCTATCCGCTCGACCATCGAGATATCTCGTGTTCTATTGTGTATAAATGGCATTGAAAGTTAAGATCGTGCTTGGCTCTGCAGTCGTGCCTTTTGGGCATTGCCGGACCAGTGGGAAAAGTATGAGCCAGATATATCGCGGATGATACGTTACTTTGAAGACATGTTGCCCTTCATGACCATGTACATCAGGTTCGTTGCTTCGTCGTACGACTCTACACAGTTTAACTGGTCATACCAATCGCTATTTGAATTGAAGAAAAGTAGCAATTAACATCTGTATCACCCTAATCGATTTGCAGATCAAGAGGGCAAAAACTACACTCCAAAGAAATAGCATTCGACACTTACTCCCACAGCTTTCGCACTCCAACGATGGAGAAGACGTCTTGTGCGCGGAAACCACGAATGACATGCTCGCCCTTGAATGCTGGATGCTTGTCGCCATTGCCGGTAGACTGGGAGACAACGCAGTCGGACTTGTGTCTGAATACCTTCTTCCATCCTTCAGGCTTGGAGGCTGCCTTGAGGAGCTTGATGGCCCCTATTGCCTGCTCAATGTGATACTCCTTGGTGCGTTTATGGGGGTCAGGGGCATAAAAGACAGACTGGTGGTTCTTTTCTGCATAGTCGGACTCATCTCCACTCGGCACAAACTCGTGGCTTCCGGATGTTTGGTTATGACTGAGGTTTTGGCCTAGGGTCTGGTGTTGTGACTTTTGGGTTGTTGGTGCCTTGCGGCTGGTGGCGCGGTGGTGTTGCTCGATCCATTCGAGGTTATCGTCGGTAATCGCCAGTTCTGACCGAGAAGGGCCCTTCATTGAGGAGTGTATCGGGTATTATTTACAAATGAAGAAGGGTGAGAGGTATGGAACAACAAGTAAAAAGAGAAAAAAAAAGGCGGAAGAATAAAAAGGCGCCCGCCAAATTTTACAAAATGATGCCCAGAGAGTATTTATAACGCCCTTGAACAGAGCTCTCGGATTGACTGGGCAGGATTAGAGCGAAAGGCAGGAGAACTGTGTTCAGTGCAGCGAGAGTGAAGGAGAATACTGCTCCAAGGAAAGGAATGGATTAAAAAAGATATGAATGTGTGTTTGTTCAATGCGATGCAAGGAGAGTGATATGCGATATGCGTTGAGGACAACTGCTGCTCGAGTCAGAGAGGAGCTGGGTATATGTGAGGGAGCAATGAAGACAGAGAGAGAAAAGAGGAACGAAGAGAAGAGGAAAGAAAACGAAAAAGGGAGCACAGGCAGGCAGAATGGAAAAAGAAAAAGAGGCTGGATAAAAAGAGAGAAAAACTGTTGGTTGACTGACTGTAACAACCCCGTTTTTTTTTTCTTGTGTCTTGTGTGTGGTGCCGGTTGGAGAGGTGTGGAGTTCGTTTCAAAGCCCTGTGCTGTGGAAAAGCGTTCAAGGTTGTGGCAGTAATAAAAAAGGGGGGGAGGGGAGAAAGAATAGAATGAAAAAGAGGAGGGAACGAGTAGCGAGTGAGAGTTGGGATGTTGCCGTTGTTGTTGTTGAGCAAGGACGAGATGGAATGTCCCGATGGAAGGTCGTGAGCCGATGGATGCGTGAAGAAGAGGAAGGAGGATTGAGATGACAAGGGAGAGCGAAGAAAAGAGATGGCGGCAAGTGTTTGTTGGAGGGAAGAGAAAGAGGAAGGAGGACAGGAAGGAATAGTGAAAGTGTGAGGAAGGTCTTCGAATATTTAGGAGAAGGGAGGGTGAGGAGTGCCTGGAAAAAAGCGGGAGGGGAGAAAGAGAGGAAGAGCCAAGGAGGAGAGAGAGAGAGAGAGAGAGAGAAAGAAGGGGGAAAGGAGAAGAGGAGGAGAGGAGGAGAGAGAGGAGAGAAAGAGAAAAGGCAGGCAGGAGGACGAGAAGGATAGCTAGGAACAAGAAATGGCAAGGCAAGGTGGAAGAGGAACGAGGATGACAAGAATTGCTGTTGGAACTTGGAGGGATGGTGCCCAGTCAGTCCGTCGGGGATTGAGTTAGGTAATATGAATGTTGGTATTGAAAAGGAGGGAGGGGTGAGTGGTGGTTAACTTGTGGTTGAATGAGAGCTATTTTACAAGAGAAAAAGAGAGAGAGGGTGCCAGGAAAAGAAGGTTGCTGTCCCCGAAATTTTATGAGAAAAGCTACATATCTGACTTTTTGCGTTGGACGAAACCTGTTGGATGTGAACAAGAGAAAGGAGCCAGGGTGCCAAGAAGAGGAAGACAAAGAACCATGTCCCCAGAGCTGGCCCCACAGATTTGCCAACTGAAACTGAAACAGCGCTGATGGTGCCTGAATATCGGTTTTATCTCCATCCATGAACCATCAGATATACACCATCCGTTTTTGTTTTTTTTTTGGTAATCAACGATCACTGATTATTGCCCTCCTCACCAGATTGTTCTGGGTTAATGTACAAAGTCAATAAATAGAAAAGGGTGGACACACAGAGAGAGAGCCCTCCCCTTGTGTTCATCACCATCATCATCCGTGTACACCTTCCAGGCCAGCCACCCTCAGTGAGCATTTCCTCCTTTTCTCTTTCTCCCTCTCCCTCCTTCATCTCTATCGCTTCACTCACATTCATTGAAGTACTTTGTTTATTACTACTAACAAATAACAACGTAAACAACAACCTTGAACAAAGATGGCTGGGGTCAGGTTGTACTTCACCAGCCAACAGCCAACACCCAGGAGGATCTGTCAATATACAATATCCCTGCGTTGTTCTCTTTCTTCAAGAGCAAACCTGCACCACTCAAGCCCATCCCCCTACTCGCCTCTGTTAACAAGAGGTGGATGGAATAAAAACTTGATCGGCAGATCGGTATATCCTTTCTTGAACGACCCTTCGATAGCATATCTTTTAATGTCTCAATAATACTTTTACATACGCCAAATATATAGTAATATGTACCATGCAGACACAACTGCTTGTTTTGGCTCAATGCCTTCTGCCTCTCCGTCTAAGACTTGCAGCGCTCAAGTCTGTGTGTGTGGGAAAATCGAACGAACGAGAATGCCTTGCAAAAATCCTGGGTTCATCCTTATTGTCACGACGTAACATTGGCTGATTCGTTATCCCTCCTCGCTCGTCCTCATTCTTCTTGGTACCCCCTGTGCCTGTTCCTTGATAAATCGCAACCGTCAGCTAACTTGGTTATCTCAGTCACCAATATCAATGTCCATGATCGGACGAGTATTGATGCTTATGCTTTGGTGCAATTATGAGATGAACGTCTTGAGAACACATTGGAATGAAATAAAAAAATATATATTGAAAAGACAGGCTAAAAAAACAGGAGTTGCTTTTCAGGCACATGCTCCTGTCCTTGGGCTAGAGGCACCAGATAGCTGGGGTTTTTTGTGTTAAGGCTTATAATGTTCTATTGCTCGTCGTGTCTGCGTCGTTTCTAAACACGATGTCGCGTCAACTAGATCGGCTAGACACCATCCAACGTGGCAAGCGCGTTTCGTTTAGACTGGACAAATTGGTCCACGTACAAAAATGATTTGATGTATACATACGTGGCACTTACCAGCCCTCTGCCAGCCCTCACTCACCCCCATCTTAAATAAGACCCTTCAACATCACTTCTCACTTCTTTGTTTGTTTCGTCCAGCATCATCCAACCCTCAAGCACCCTTCAAACAAAGAAGACCACAGGATAACTAAGCAGACCGCCGCAGGACACAGCATACACACTCTCAACATCACTACCGAATGACCGACGGTTTGTCCTCCTCGGCATTGCCACTCAGGAGGCACCCCCACGGCACCTTAACAGGACCTGCCACAGTCCCCCTGACTGACTCGGCCTCCCCAGCACCAGCATTAGCCTCATCAACTTCACAAACCAACACCCTCGCCAATAGACTCACCACACAACGGTCCCGCCAGAGTGTTCTTCAAGAAGAGGACGTCACGCCAGGATATGAACTCCAGTGGTCTCATCTCATCCATGCCGAAATCATCTCTGTCACAAGTGCCATGCGACGAAACTCGCGTTGGTCTGGAATGAGCGTCAGCGGAATGAGTATGGGCAGCCTTGGTATGAACATGGGTCTCCGTGGACGTGAGAACCTGAAAGAAGGCACCTATCGCAACCAGGTATGCCTCTGAGTAGCTCGTGTTCGATTGTGTCAAGAATACACCAATAAGGCCTGCTTCTGACAGGTAGTTTTCGGTCTTCTTTTCTTATTCTCATCAACGTAATAGGAGAGTCCCCTCATGGTCGGGTTTAACGAACTGAGATCTCGCCTTGCCACAACAACTTGTAAGTGTTTGGGAGGTTCAGGACAGTGTACCGAAGCTTGGATCGTACTGTGCACACTTGCAGCCTTTAACCCCATCAATCACACCCCATGCGAACAATAGCTGCCAAAGACATGGATGCTGTCGCATTGCTCGAACCCTTTCTCCAGGTCATCCAGTCAGGCGATACCAATGGACCCATCACTGGTGCAGCACTGACTTCAGTGGAGAAATTTCTCATGTACAAGATCATCAGTAAGTTCTTAGACGTATGCTATATTGAACCTGTTGTCAATAGCTGAAGAAATGACCCATGACTACATATGCTGACGATTCGATCTCATACATATCTAATAGACAAAGACTCGCCTAATGTCTCCCATGCGATGCAGCGGTTGGCGGTGGCAGCAACTCATTGCAAGTTCGAAGCTAGCGATTCTGTTTCGGATGAGATCGTTCTTTTGAAGATTCTTCAGGTGCTACGCATTGCCCTGACCAGCGGTCCAGGAAACACTCTGAGCGACGAGTCTGTTTGCTCCATGATTGAGACCGGACTCAGCATGTGCTGTCAACTTCAATTGAGCGGTATGTCAACCGACCTGCACGAGCTTTTTATTTCTATCCCCATCGGGCGAAGCTGCTACCTGCGGACACTAACCAGGCGCCTATTTTTCTTTGCACTCCAATAGAAATGTTGAGGAAATCTGCAGAACACACCATGACAGTCATCACACAGACAATGTTTGAAAAGTATGTAAATATGCATGGAGCACCCTTGCATATCACTGTGAAGACATCTGGAAACCCTCAAATCTAATTATGGAGTCGTCTTTTTCTTTGACTAGGCTTCGTACCATCCCTATTCCTATAGAATCGGCTGAAGGTGAATCATCAGAAGCAGATGATAGCGAGACAATCCTTGTTCAGCCCGCCAGCATTCAGGACAGCACAGACCAGGTCGACCTCACCATCAACCATAATCCTGCAACTGTGGAAACGGAAGCCGAGGCTCTTTTATCAGAAAAGTCTAAGGCTAACATAGATGAGCGAGAAAAGCAGCAGGAATACGAGAAGGAGAACGCCACATTGAACAATGACCCCGAATCCGCCGAGACCCTTCTCGAAGTTGAACGTAAGCCCACTTCATGCTCCCACAATGGCGATTCCCAAGTACCTAAAACTCGTGGCGCGTCTTGATGCTCATAGAGTTTATCTATATCCTCATTTAGCACCAAAATCCTACGGCCTTCCTTCGATTCGGGAACTCCTTCGTGTCTTGATCTCGCTCTTGAACCCCCAAGACCAGCAGCACACGGATCGCATGCGTTTGATGGCCTTGAGCATTTTGGATGTCGCATTGGAGGCAGGCGGCAGGAGTATCACCAAGTTTCATGCTCTTATGGCCCTTGTATCCGACGATATGTGCAAGCACCTGTTTCAAGTATGTGTCGTATTCCTCTGCCATTTACTATCTGTGCGAGATAAGCTAGTAATTTGATCTGCATGGTCGACTCACCCCTATCTTCTCTCTTCAAATCTTCTTAGCTTGCCAGGACTGATAATATCCCCATTTTGGCATTGACACTGCGCGTAATTTCGACCGTCTTTGACACCATGAAGACCGACTTGAAGCTGCAACAGGAGCTCTTCCTCTCTTTTTTGCTGGATCGTTTGAGCCCTCCAGCGTTTGCTGTCAAGCCCCTTCCCTTCAACCCTGACTTTGGCGAACCTCCACGGCCCATTGTCACCCCTGAACCCGAAAACAGTTCTCGTGCTGGATCACCGAGCCCTTCTGTCAAGAGCTCCAAGGGTGAAAAGGTCGAACTCACCACCGCACATGGAGAAGTTCGCGAGCTTCTTTTGGAGTGTCTGGGCCAGTTTGCTCGCTCGCCTACGTTCATGGCTGACCTCTGGGTCAACTATGACTGTGGTCTGGATACTTGTGATTTGTTCCAGGATATGGTCAAGTTCTTAACAAGGGTAATGGCCTACTCTTGCCTTCTGGAGATTGGAATAGTTGGCCACTATCACAAAACATGCGGAAACTAACTATGACTATTACCTTCCTTTGGCGCTCACCTAGAACTCATTCCCGGAATCGACCACATATTCCGCCAGCAACTCGCACATGCTTTGCATGGATTCACTGTTACTCTTTATTAACCATATGGTCGACCGCCTTTCCGTTCCAAAGGTAAAACACGCGACTAAAATCACCTTGACACGGCAAATGTACTCCCCGGTAGGGATGTTGGAAGTAACCAAAGGCATATTTTTTAACTGAGTAGGAAGAAGCCGAGATTCTGGACCGCGATCTGGATTCGTATGATACCCTGTTCAAACGCCGCCAGCAGAAGGAAATTCTGGTCGAGGGCGCCGCTAAATTCGACAAGAACCCCAAGGCTGGCCTTGTGTTCTTAGAGGCAAACAAGATGATCTCAAGCTTGAACGATCCTGCTGGTGTTGCCTTGTTCCTCAAGTCTAGCACTCGTCTCAGCAAGAGCCTTTTGGGCGAGTACCTCGCCAAGCCCGCCAACTCGGAGGTTCTCAAGCAGTTTATCCAGTCGTTCGATTTCAACGGAAAGCGTCTGGATGAGTCACTTCGCGAGCTTTTGGAGACATTCCGCCTACCCGGAGAGTCGCAGCAGATCGAGCGTATCATGGAATTGTTCGCAGCTACCTACTTTGCCACCAAGCCCAGGGCTATCGCATCTCAGGATGCAGCTTTTATTCTCGGATATGCCGTCGTCATGTTGAATACGGATCAGCACAACCGCGTGGTCAAGGGACGTATGTCCCTTGAGCAGTTCTCCAAGAACTTGAAGGGCGTCAACAACGGCGAAAACTTTCCTCCAGAGTACTTGGCCGAGATCTTTGAGGCTATCCGCAAGCGCGAGATTGTTTTACCTCAGGAACACGAGGGTCAGCTCGGATTCAACTATGCATGGAAGGAGCTTTTGCGTAGAGCCGAAACCGCAGGACCTCTCACCGTGTCCAACACCGCCATGTACGATAAGGAGCTCTTTACATCCTCCTGGAAGCCCATCATGTCTGCAATTTCGTATGGTATGTATACGCCAGCTGTAAGCTTTCATTGTTTGGTTGTGAAATATATGGTAGAAGTGACAGTATTTAACATATTTATCCCTTTTGACATGCATCAACTAGCATTCAACATGGCTCAGGATGATGCGACACTCCAAAAGTCGCTTACGGGATATTATCAGTGCGCTATTTTGGCTGCACACTTCAAACTCCCCGATATCTTTGACCGCATTACCATGTCGCTTGCAAGGATGACTGGATTGCTCGACACTCCTCACAACCCCGCAGACAACCGGGATGTCGTCGTCGAAGGCTCGACCATTACTGTCAGCGATCTCGCCGTTCAGTTTGGAAAGAGCTACAAGGGTCAGTTGGCGGCCGTTGTCGCCTTTGGAGTCGCCAACGAACATGGCAACATGATCCGCTCGGGCTGGAAACCGATCTTGGAGATCATCAAGAACCTCTTTGTCAACTCTCTCCTTCCCGGATCGATGCTGGAGGTGGAGGATTTTTTGGCTGGTACGACCATGATTCTGTTGAAGGCACCCGTCGTCCCAGAAGTCAAGGACAAGGTGCGCCAGGACAGCTCTCTACTCTCGACACTTTCTTCATACCTCTTGTCATCGTCCTACTCCTATGAGACTGCCCGTGAGGACCCAACCCCCGAGGAGATCGAGTCGACTCGCTGCACCGCCGACTGTGTTGCCGCTTGTCGTTTGGAGGAGCTCTTTACCGACATTCGCCTCCTCGAGGACTTGCCATTGACACAGCTGATGGAGGCCATCAAATTTGTTGCCGATGGCAACTCTGTCGTCAAGACCGCCAAGCCCCCTACACCCTCCAAGCTCTACAATCCCGCCAGCGTTTTCTTCCTTGAGCTCATGATCAGCTTGACTGTCCAGAACCGGTACCGCGTTCAGTCTCTTTGGCCCATTGTCTTTGAGCACTTAAGTGATATCATTCGTGAGGCTAGTTCTCAGAGCGTTTTGCTGGTGGAGCGCGCTGTCGTTGGTCTTTTAAGACTGTGTATTCGCTTGGCCCACAAGGACGACATGTCGAAGGAGGTACTTGACGCTCTGGACCTGCTGCTTGGATTGCCCATCGATGTTGTCCCCGAGGTGGCTGAACAGATGATGGCGGGAGTCTTGAACTTGCTCAAGGCAGACACTTCCTGCGTTCGGCCCAACTTGAACTGGGATGTTCTCTTTGCCCTCTTGTCCTCGACTTCCAACCACCCTGAAGCCGCTAAGTACTCATTTGAGGCAATCAGCATGTTTGTCGCTGAGAACGATGGCGAGAACGTGAGCGTTGAGAACTATGCTGACTGCGTCGATCTATTGATCCGCTTTGCAGCCGCCGGTGCCGTTGGTGCTGATGGAGTCTTGAAGCAGGAGAGCGGACAGCGAGGACACAAGAGCCATATGTCCAAGGCCCAGGCAAACGCAGTGGAGCGTGCCAAGAAGGCTGTCGAGATGCTGTACAAGTTGCACAGCCAGGCTCCTCGCCTGATCACACAGTCCAAGATGAACCCCGAGTTGACTTGGTCTGCCTACTGGTTCCCGATCTTGGTTGGTCTCACTCAGCAGTGCTCCAACCCATGTCGCGAGGTCCGCAACCATGCAATGATTTACCTCCAGCGCGCGTTGCTTCTGCCCGAGATTGTGACGGACAAGATCTCAGAGTGGGTTGTCGTCTTTGACAAGGTCCTCTTCAAGCTGTTAGAGGATCTTTTGAGACCCGAGATCGTCCAGCAAGACCCTGCAGGCTTTGAGGAAACGCGTAGCAAGGCCTGCGCCATCGTCTGCAAGACCTTCTTGCACTACTACTTCCGCCTCTTGGAGTGGGAGGGTCTTCAAGCACTCTGGATGAATGTTCTGGACTACTTGGATGCATTTATGCAGACTGCCCAGAGTGACCAATTGGTATGTTGACAGTGATTCTTGGGTTTTTGCCACTGTTCAAGCTGCCGCTGAAATACATGATTAACTTGTGCCTGATTTTTCTTTGTACTTAGTACGAGGCTGTTCCAGAGTCTCTCAAGAACTGCTTGCTGGTTATGTCTACCTCGGATACTTTCGCCGAGTCGATGGCCAACATGCCTGGCAACTTGTGGAACGTGACATGGAACAGGATCAACAAGTTCTTGCCCAACCTCAAGGCCGAGGTCTTCCCTCCTCAATCCTCAGAGTCTGGATCGTCCTATGCAGCCTTGATGATGGGCGTAGGCAAGACGCTGTTCTCGGGCACTGGAGCAGTCGATCCAGCAGGGCAGAAGCCGCCTTCAGGACCCTCTACATCTGCATCATCACCGAGTGTTGACGCTGGCCTTGCTGTTGCACAGGAGAGCCCTAGCATCCATACATCGGACGTGGTTGCGGGTTTGGATCACGTCATTGGCCAACAGCAACAACAGGAGCAGCAGCCGCAGCAACTTATTCACGAGGGTGAATCTAGTCTTCTTTGACTCTCACAACCATAATAATAAATGCCATCATACACCGTTTCTTTAACAACGACCTATAGGGTCTGCGCAACCCTATCCTTATCATGGGAGTTTGTTTTTTTTTTTTTTTTTTTCCTTCAAGGAGGACTCCTGGGAGATCGGCAAGCATGATCGACTGACTACACGTGACCCTGCGAACTGCAGGCATAAAAACTCTCCGACGGTTGAGTTTCGTTGTTCCCACATCTCTCTCTCTCTTCTCCAACTCCACTCACTTTACACTCTCTAATCAACATGACCGCAGGAAAGGTACATTCACCTGCGCAACAGAAGCAAACCCAAAGGGATTACGCGGTACAAGTCTGCGGTTTCGAAAGAAACCCGTGGAATACCCATGTTAACTCGGTGCTTCTGCCCTACTCGTTCTTTCCTGTGAACTCTCATGGAATCCTTTTCTCTTATGAACAAAAAAACTAGCCCATCACTTGTCGCGCCGCCATCGCCTGGGAGGCTGGCAAGCCCTTGAGTATGTCCGAGACACGGTTCTACTTATTTTCACGCCTGGTCTTTTTTTTTTTTTTGGTTTCACGATCAATTGCAGTGAAGTGTATATCTTCCCACGACAGTTGTCTCTCTGACACCTAGCTGACTGTGTTCGCGTAATGGTATAACTGTAACTTACTAGGCATTGAGACCGTTGAGGTTGCTCCCCCCAAGGCCGGTGAGGTCCGTATCAAGATTGTTGCCACTGGCGTGTAAGTTGTCATCAGGTCTTGTTGTTTGATCTGGCTCTGTAGATATGTGAAGTCCACTAATGCCCTATGCACATGATGTTTATGTGCCTGTTTAGTTGCCACACTGATGCCTATACCTTGTCTGGAGCTGGTAAGGACGCTACTTCATGGCCGATCATCATTACAGCGCAAGATTTAGTACTTTTATGTGAATTGGGCAACATTTCTTATGCAGAGGACTAACGACGAATGGATGGTGGCTGAAATAGATTCCGAGGGTGTCTTCCCCGTTATTTTCGGACACGAGGGTGGCGGAATTGTCGAGTCGGTCGGTGAGGGCGTTACGAGCGTCCAGGCTGGTGATCACGTCATTCCTCTTTACACGGCTGAGTGCCGCGAGTGCAAGTTCTGCAAGAGTGGCAAGACCAACCTTTGCGGAAAGGTTCGCGAGACCCAGGTAAGAACTCAAAAAAAAATGGCGGAATCAAAAAAGAGCATTGGACGAGGAAAATAATTCGGGTTGGGAAAATCGATCTAGATGAATGTGTCCTAACCTTCTATGGCCCCCATGTTTGTACGAATATTAGGGACGTGGTTTGATGCCCGATGGTACCTCCCGCTTTACCTGCAACGGCAAGTCGATCTTCCACTACATGGGCTGCTCGACCTTCTCCGAGTATACTGTCGTCTGCGAGGTCTCGGTTGCCAAGATTACTCAGGAGGCTCCTTTGGAGAAGGTCTGCCTCTTGGGCTGCGGTATCACCACCGGTTATGGTGCTGCCACCCGCACTGCCAAGGTCCAGAAGGGCGATAGCGTTGCCATCTTTGGTCTCGGTGGTGTCGGTTTGAGTGTTGTTCAAGGAGCCAAGCAGGCTGGAGCTACGACCATCATTGGTGTTGATGTCAACTCCAAGAAGGAGAAGTTAGCCAAGGAGATGGGATGCACCTTGTTCGTCAACAGCAAGGAATTGCCAGCTGGCAAGACCATCCAGGCCCACCTTGTCGAGATTACTGATGGTGGTTTGGACTATACCTTTGACTGCACTGGCAACGTCCACGTCATGCGCGCCGCCCTCGAGGTAACATTCTCTTCTCTTTTCTATGCCTGTATTGACTCTTTTGCTAAAGGCGAATAGGGAACTAACCGAGATGCTGTAACTGAACCATCAATAGGCCTGCCACAAAGGATGGGGCGAGTCGATCATTATTGGAGTTGCTGCTGCAGGACAGGAGATTGCCACACGTCCCTTCCAGTTGGTGACCGGTCGTGTCTGGCGCGGTTCGGCTTTCGGTGGTGTCAAGGGCCGCACCGAGCTGCCCGGCCTTGTCCAGGACTACTTGAATGGCAAGATCAAGATCGACGAGTTCATCACCCACAACTTTGGCCTTGACGATATCAACAAGGCCTTTGAAGCCATGCACGACGGCGACTGGTACGTTCTTGTCACTTTTGTGTGTTGCTTTTTTGCTTGAATTTTTGAATATGTTGGTTAAATTCTTTTCTTGCTGACATTACTTCACTTTATCTTTTGCTTTTTCACGCGTTTATAGCATTCGTGCCATCATTAATTACTAAGAGGCTGTTCTGTTCGACATCAGAATGAAAACTTCTTTACCATTGAATCTGTAGCAAGTGTTTGCGCCTCTCACCGTTTGGAGAATAAAAAATGAAAATACAAACCGGCGAGAACAATGGTCCAGAATTCCTTTTGATAGAGTTCAAATGAATGCTTGGTCATCAACAAAAATAATTGGTGGCGTCGTATCAAATTTTCATCCTAATCATCTGTTTCTGCAAATCCTTAGAGCCTCCTTCGCGATCAAAGGGCATTCCCTGGCAAAGAAACGTTACTATCTTTGTTTTTATGTTTTTATTATTACCTGGGCGAACAAACTGCGCGTGGCGGTGGAAGTAAAGATGGTTGTGACGGTGGTAGCGGTGGTGGTTGCAACAAGTCCGATGCCAACCCTGACTCGAGATCATCATCATCATTACTGCGCCGCCTCTTATTGCTTTTGCTATAGCTCTTATTGTTGGTAAGATAAGAGTCGTAACATCATGAGCTCCTGGAAAGTTGGTTTTTTCGAGAGGAGTTTTAAAGGCGGTGGTGGTATGGGGCCAACAATCGACATCCGTCTACTATTGACACTCATCGTCTTCCTGTTTTTACTGTTATTGTTGTTCTGGGTATTCTTTGACGTGGTGGTGTCGGCTGTTGTGGTTGTGGTTGCCAAGGTGGTGTTACTGTTGCCTTCGCTGTGACCGCTACTGGTGTTGTTGCTGTTGTTGATCCTGAACTGTCTGCCAAAAGTGTTCTTGTTGGGTCGTGTAGTGTCTGAGCTGGGGTATCTGTAAGCGTCAAGGTCGCCATTATTGTTGTTACCCAAATACAACTCTGTATAATTACGCGAGTAATTGATCCCCTCGCCGATGACGTCGTTGCCGTCATGACCGTTGTAGTAATAGTAGATGGTATCACCCACATCCTGTCCATCCCTCGACCTATTACTACTGCTACGCCAATACTCCTCCCAACCACCATCACCCCCTCCACAACACCTTCCAACCCTCCAACAACAAACAGTCCTTTTCACAGTCTCAAACGCATCCTGCGTCGTCCCAAAGATCAAAAACGCAAAGAACCCCACAAGGCTTCCACTGAATTCTGAGAACATGACCAGATTCCGATGGTTGTTATCCTGCTCGTTCGCATTCGCGGCGGATATGGGTTTGGGTGTGATTTCTTGGTTTTCGGAGGCTTTGGGTTGTACGAGGGCTTGGAGGACGGCCATGATGACGACGATTCCGATTGAGAGGCAGAAGACTAGCAGGCGGATACAGTGGCTATTTTATTTTTATTTTATTTTTATTTTATTTTATTTTTTGTTATATGTGAAAAAGATGTTGAAAGTGAGGAAGGAGGAAGAAAGGTACAGGGTGGTTTTCGGAGAGGTACAGTATCAAATTGAGTGATGAGTTTATTCTAATCCTCGGATCTCGTAACGGCGCACACAGATCAAAGCCGACTGTCTGGTCACTCTGTGTTTGTGCGACAAAGAACGCAGTAAAACTTGAAAGAAAAGAGGTGTATGTTTGCTTACCTGGGTTCAATGACAACGTGCGAGGAGGGTGTCGAGGTAAGGAAAAGAGTCTTTCGGACAAAGACACAGTGCTGCACAAGATAGATCGCCGTGTGGACTAATCCATTCTGCAACAAAGGCATGAACGCACGAACATTAGTTAAAACGGGTTTTGCTTCTTTTGCAACTCGTCAAGCACACAATGGGTCTAATGGATCCAAAACAATCAACTCCAAAGAAAAGAATAAAGCAAGATATCACAAAAAACCCTTCCAGCAGACAACCCAGGGGGAGAAACTTACGTGAGAAGAGAATGCCAGGGATGGCGACAGCAAGCATTGGCCCCGCAAATGTCCCCCTCGTCACGGCACCATCCGCAAGGTTACAATAAAACCGCCTCGGAAACGCCGAAAAGTACGGCTGGTCCCGCAACAACACCACCGCAACACACGTCGCCACCAGCGACACCACCACCGAAAATAAATAATACCACTTGATCAACTCTCGCTCCGTAAATCTGGCCTTCAGTACGACCAGGTACCAGATATTGAACGCCATACAACCCGCCAAACAATTCATCATCAATGGTAGGAGCTGTTCCAAGAACGCCGAGGCGGCGCATCCAGGGGTCTCATAGGTCGAAGCGCTCAGGTCCCGGTTGTGGTCATGAATGAAAAGTTGGAAGGGTTCGTTGATGTTGTTGAAGATGGCGATGAGGCAGAAGACTTGGAGGGTACAGTTGATAGACCGGGCGATGCAGTGGCCGAGGAGGAAGAGGAAAAGGAGGATGCTGACGTATTCGAGAATCACGTAAATGATCTCTATCTCGCCTTTCATTTCACTGTTTTCCAAAGAACCCGGTGCCGAGGGGTGTGGAGGGGAACGAAGAAAGGGAGGGGTGCCGAGAAGGAAGGGATGAGTGGAGCAAGAGAGTGGTAAGTTTTCGATGAACGCTCTTGAAGAAAATGGGGTGGGAAATTTTGCTGTGCGTTGCAGCTCTTTGTTGGTTGGTGGTTAGGGGTTAATTGATTGTGCCTGCTAGTTGCAAGGAGAGGAAAGGAAACAAAGAGCGGTGAAGGGGTGAAGGGGTGGTTGGGTGGATCGGTCGAGGTTAGAAAGGGGGGCGAGTAGCAAAAGTCAGTCCAAGACGCTCTTGTGACCCATGTCGGTGTGTATTGTGATAGTGGCGTAGAGGATGGAGCAAGTAAAAAGGAGAAGCGTGGGGTAGGAGAAGACAAAAGATAAAAGGAAGAGTAGCGATGCAATGAAAAGAAAGGGTAGTAACAAAACGAGAGGTGGTCTGGTCAAGAGACTTGGAAGAAAAGAAGCGACTTCTACTTTCCATAACAAAAATATTGACAACAAAGACGATGGAGGGGCAATAAAAGAAGGAACACAACGACAAGTGGTGGGTGATCAAAGCGGGAAGGAAAGAAGGGTGTATGTACCGATGCTTATTGACCAAGTGCCAGGCTGGGGGTTACTTGAAACCACTAATTGGAACCCTGGGAACCAGAATCTGGACGCCGCATTCGTTCTCTGCTCCGCCCAACCCGATCTATTTGTCTTCTGCAACGCATTCATTGAACGGATACCGTCGTGGCATTACCATTGTGCTATGCAGGAAAACACGCAATATAACGACGACAGCATTTGAAGGGCGAAGAAAGAACTTTTTGTATTAAAATTGCATTTTGCAGTTTGCTATGATACATACCCTGGGGCAGAAAGGACAACGAAGAACGAATATCAAAGAACGGAACGAAAGAAAAGAAAAGAAAGAGAACGAGGAGTAGAAGAAGCAAAAGGGTATGTACAAGCCCATCTTGGTCACTGCCCATGGTGACAACAATGTGAAAAAAGAACGAAAAACAAAGAATCCCAGAAAGAACATAAGGGATGAAAGGAGGTCACGAGGACATCGTTACAGAGAATCCATAATGGTCGTTGGCCAGGACGTGCCGCTGACATGGCTGGTCCTCCGCATCCTGGGCTCGCCGGTCTTGTCGCGTTGCTCCTTCAGCTTCATCATCTCCTCCCACTGCATCTCATGCTGCAATCGCATCCACTCCAGCTCTTTCCTCTGCTGTTCCTTCAGCAACTGCAAGTCCACGTCGTCCTCGTTGTCCTCTTCTTCTTCATCGTCCGACATATCTGTGCAGCTGGATGAGGGAAGCGACGCGGTATGTGGCACGCGCTGCAGATCTTCGGGTCCCGAGACGACCGATGCGGTCCTTTGTTGAACATGGTCTGACCAGAGCTCAATGTTCTTCTTGGCCTCATGCGTCATCAAAATCGGAAAGAGCCCCTCGCTGGTGAGACTACTACTCATGGGGTCCAAAGAATGCGAACGAGACGAAGTTGAGATTGACGGCGCAGAGAAGGGTGAAAGAAGATCCTGCGAGGCGATTGTGGGCTGGAATGGAACTTCTGCCACAGTGGGCACAGTGTGATTTTGTAGCAGGGTTGACGCAGGGCTCGATACTCCGCTGGAAATTCCCGAATCAGATCCTGTTCCTTGTGCAGTGAGTGTCGAGTCCGCAGGGTGCGATAGAACATCGCCCTTGAGGACTTGAGAGGATGTTGCTGTCAAAGTCTCGTTCGCCAAACGAGGTGTTGGCTCCCTGAGCAGGAAAGACGAGACGGGGGCACTGGAGGCGATAGTGGCAGCAATCGAAGGTCGACCAACAACAGCCTTTCCAAACGCCGGAATCGGTGCCGCCATTGAGTAGCCAGCTTCAGATGGGGCCTTGCCTCTAAAGTCACCGTTGGTTGACGCTTCTGGTGGGTTAAAGATGCGCAATGAGGTAGGGACGCCCATGGAATGAGGGATGAGCGACGCCAGGTCACACGAGGGTGACCGAGCATGGCCGCGACTGAAACCTCGGCTCTTGATGGACGAACTTGACACTCCGTGACGGAAAGGCGAGGTATAGCCAACGTCGTCGTCCTTGTCAAAGACGGCGTTGCTGACGCTTCTTGATCGCTCAATAGTTTTGGCAACGACGGGCTTGAAGGAAGGGTTGGGCAGCGTGGATGAAGATGCAGCCAGGGTGTTGTCAGGAACCAACTTGCGGTCGAGGGAGACAGGGAAGGTAGACCTGTAATTGACGTCGTGGACGCTCTTTGGACGCGATGGTCCTACAGTAGGACCGCGGGAAGCATTGCGTTGTTGCAACAAAGGCGACAGAGAGCGAGGCATGCCTTGAGAAAGCTGTGTGACATCTGAGTAGGTTACCGACCGGGGTTTACCCTCAATAGGCGCCCGCTTGGGTATGATCTCGTTTGCCGCTAGGGGATGGAGCTGGACAGGTTTGAGGGGAGGAGAAATCATCATCAAAGGCACAGGGATCTCTGAATGGTGAAGCTTGATAGTGGCCGGGGGCAGAGGGATCTCTGATTGATGAAGCCTGATTGAGGTCGAGCTCGCGTAGCCTTGGTCGCTCTCAGGGCTCAGGGTAGATTCTCCCCAGACCAATGGAGGCGATTGAGCAGGCTGAACGGCCAATGGCAGACTGGTGAGAGCACCTTGGGTAATAGACTGGGAGACGGGTTGAGAGACAGGCAGCACTGCGTGAAGACTCTCGGTGGCTCTCTTGGCCTCCTCCTTCTTGGCAGCCAAGATTGCTGTAACAAGCTCCTGAATCCTGGAGACGGCCTCGCCTTGGTCTTCGGAAGACAGGATCTGCTCGCGAATCATCTCAGCGACAACTTCCTCCACAGTGTCAACATCGGTGTCAAAAGGAAATTTGATCTCGTGCGTGCCAGCAGGTCCGGACCCTCCGCCAACAACAGGGCAAGTACACTCCATCTTGAAGTTCAAGCGGCTTCCAACAGACTGTCCATACTGTACGACCTGGATAAAGCACATCTTGGTAGAGTCGCCATGAGAATGAGCTGGAGCAGCCCTTGCGGGAGACTTTGTGGCCGCAGCTGCAGCTTCAACCGCCAACAGCATGGCTTCACTTCCAATGGGAGGAACCGGCTCGAGGACATGGCTGGTTAATGGAGGTGTAGGCGGCAAGATGTTGGAGCGAATGTGATATGTCTTATTGTCGACATCGACCGTTGTCAGGGTGAACTCTGCTGCGGGTATAGTGCCGGGGCGCGGGGCGACTGGGACCGGGGCCAGGGCCGCAGTCTGAATTCTAGATGGTATAATGCCTGACACGGAAATAGGTAGCGGACTGGCAGAGTTGAGAGAGACGGAGGAAGATGTCGAATACATAAGAGAGGGCTGGTTCAGAGGGTCGAGCATATCGTGGCTGTCAAGACCGTATGGCGAAGTCAAGGCTGCGCAAGGCTTCAAAAAGTCCGAGTCAAGAAGCTCCTGGGATGAGGGGCGAGTTGTCGCATCGTGGTCCAGACAACGATCAATAAACTCTCGGATCTCTGGGTCCTGGACATGCTCGAGTGCTTGCGGCTTGATGCCCTGGGAGACCTTTCTGTAGATCTGGGCCTGGTTCGTGCACTCGGCGTAAGGATAGTCCTTGGTAACCTGAGCATATTTGATGCGCAATAAATGAGCATGCCAAACAAACATAGGCGAAACATAGACGAAACGAACAAAAAAAGGACAAATAAGAGAGCAAGAGGCTAACTGTCAGCATCTGAAATAAACACGCCGTCGTTCATATATCAATGTAATGAATGCAAGGATGGGGGCTGGCTGGTCAGCCGCTCTCTGCGCCCTGTTTGAGCTTGCGTGAGATGTGTGTGCGACCATTGCGGGTGACCATGTGCAGACTATTCCCTTGGTACTTGTCCCGCTTGCTCTTCCCGTTGTTTTTTTTTTTTTTTTTGTGTTTTGCCCCCTCCTCCCTATTTGAAGTTTGTCCTGCAAACTCAAAGCCTTACTTTCTTTTGTTTTTTTCTTTCCTCTCCATGCTAAAATCCGCTCTCTCTCTCCTTGCACCTTTCACTCCTTTCTTTCCTGAAGGGGAAGGCTTGATGGCTGAAAATCCATGTATCTCTGGAAAGTGATGCCATTTCGGCACATTGTATTCCCATCATGGTGTAGTGCTGGTGCTGGCGCTGCTCGAAGGCTTTGTTGGGGCAGGTTGATTGTCGGCTGCTTGGAGAGTAAAAAAAAGATATGAATAGGATGTACTGATAGAGCGTCTGATGGCTTACCATTTCCAGGACACACATGCCAAAGGCGTAGATATCGACCTTCTCGTCGTACTTTTCATCGTAGAGCTCGGGGGCCATGAACTCGGGAGTACCGAGGACAGAGGAGACGTGAGTGCGGTGACGGACAACAGCGAGGCCGAGGTCACCAATCTTGAGCTGGCCATTGTTGCCGTTGATAAAGATGTTGTCGCACTTGAGGTCGCGGTGGATGATGGGCGGGCTGTGGGTATGAAGGTAGGCGAGTCCCTGGAGGATTTGTCGGCACCAGGACTTTACGACCTTGGGCTTGAGTGCGCCCTTTAGCGTCTTTTTGAGATATTGCTTCAGGGTGCCCGAAGACATGAGCTCGGTGATAAAGACGATGCGTTCTCCTCCAGCATGTGTCGCAGGGGTTGACCAGGAAGCATAAAAGTTGATGATGTGGTCGTTGCGGATGGACTGGAGGATCTCGATCTCGGAGAGGATCTTTTGGGCTTCCCGTTTGGAGAGATGGTCGAATCGCAGCTGGTTCCAGGCAACCTCATTTCCTTCTTCGAGGTCGCAGGCGCGGTAGACGAGTTTGTAGGCGCCCTCGCCGAGAACCTCATCGCAGCGCTGAAACCGATTGGTCGGGTCTGTCTCAAGCGGCGCCTCGTTCTCGGAGTCTTCGAGGTCGCCCTGGGTAGCCGATACTGCCATGGTTAGCAGGGGTATGGAGGATGTTGAAGGAAGCGGTGGTAGTAGTGTTGGGTGATATTGTAACTGATTTTTTGTTCTTGATGTTGTTAGATGTGAGTGTGCGATAAGCGAGTGAGGGAGAGAGAGGGAATAAGTGGTTCACAGGATAGGGCTGGTAGTAGTATAGGACTGGGAGTAGTATAGGGGGGGATGACGGTGCTGGTGGGAAGAGTTGATGTGATTTAGAGGGAGAGAGAGATAGTGTATGTGTGTATGTATGTGTGTGTGTGTGAACCCGCAAGGAACAAAGAGAGTTCGATGGGGGTTTAAATTGACATTACTACTAGGGGATGGAAATGGGTGTGTGAGTGTGTGTGTGTGTGTGGAGGGGGTGTATGTGTGGACCTGTCCCTGAAGAGAAAAAGGTGCAGTAGATGGAATAAGAAGAGGAAGATGTTGATGAGTAAGGGAAGGGAGAAGAGGATTAGTTGATGATGCAATCAAAAAGAGGGAGAGATAAAAGAAAGAGACAGAACATAACCATGGGGCAAGCACAAAAGAGACACAAAGGCACAAGAAACAACGCTGTCAAATAGACACTGTGCTGACTGATTGAGACAGGCAGCAGGGCAGCAGGACAGCAGTGTCGAAGACGTCAGAGGTGCACTGACTAACACATCCACACATCCATCCACACCCCATGTGCAGATAAAGAGGGTTCGCTCTTTTAGGCCCCACCCTTCCTGAATCTCATTCGCCCCTTCCCATAAGCCATCATCTATCGGCATCATGTGCTCTATCACTGCCACAGGCTGCACTCGCCCTCTCACTCGGACAGGGCAAAGCTCGCCTTCTAAAAGACGCCAGGAACCCCACACACTGACTGCTTCAATTCCATGGACGCACACACTGCGGATCATCCTAAACCCTTGGCAAAGAAGAGAGAATTGTTCTATTTGTTTGTACCTGTTGTTTGTTGTTCTTTCATGCACTTAGTGTCGACCACTACCATCTCTTCCTCCTCTACTTGTACTCCCAGAGTTCACAATCTTTGCAGTCAACCTCGGTCTTGCAGGGTGGAACCTCCTTGACCTTGATGACGCCTTCAATCGTATCAAACAGTCGATGTGTTCGGATGTCGACCTTCCAATTATCTTCCGTGACAGGGTCATACACGCATGTCCGCCCCGTGTGACATTTGCTAGACAACAATAACGTGAATGTGTAATAGGCAAGAATTGTGTTAGGGTTGGGAAAACGTTTGATAGACCTCCCAGAAATGGAAAGTTGCACCAGGGGAGGACATAGCATTGCAAGAAAAATAAAGCTGCAGTTGTTACCTTTCCATGGCAAAGCCAGAGTAGTAGCATGTGCTAGCAGGGCCGTTGCAAACTCCTTGAAAGATTGGATCAGCAGTATGTCCAATGTGAAAGAGTGGGAAATCGTCCCAGTTGATGGCTGGTGGCATGGGAAGATGCAGTCTCTGGGCAGCAAGACGGTCTCCTGGTGTCTCAAAAGTCACTGTTGGGATACCAAACGTCAGTCCCAGCAAGGCGGTGAGTCCGCCTCCCAGACTGTGTCCTGTCAGCCAGACCTCTGCGCCCGGATACATATCCTGGACTGCCCACAAAAGTGTCTGTTGACAATAAAAAACAACAATCAACCATTAGCACCAGTGTCAATGCGCATTGATCGACAATAATGACCTTTCCCGTCCATCGTTTGGATTGATGCTTACCATGGCGATCCCGTAATAGATATCTCCGCTTTGAACGCTGTTCTCGACGCACGTCTGGTCACATTGGTATCCACCAGTATTACAATCGCAGACACCACGCCAGGTTCTGTCCACCTTGGCACAGCAGCACGAAAAGAGGAGGTTGTCCTACAGTGTATTCATGCCATAAGCCTTAAGAATGTTAGTGGAAGCCAATAGGATATTTCATTCTGCAACACCAAGCAAGTTACAAAGTGTGTGTCATCCAGGTAGGCAAACAAGTAAAGAAGACAAAGAGCCCAGCTTACGTTGATCTTGTCACGCGTGGACGTGCCGCCACCTCCGCCAAGAATGGCAGCACTTGTGCCTTTGATGGCGATGATAAGTGTCGAATTGTCTGCCGAGGCAAACACATGACCGCGAAGGCCGTCTTCCTCCCAGCCAAAGGTCGAGTTCTGCGAGAAGGCGCAAGAAGACAAGAAACATAGCGCATGAAAAGAAAGAAAAAAAAGAAGTATTTTAGGAGACACGAACATACAAAAAAAGGAGTTTCGTCGCCTTTGGACACTTTTTGTCCCGTTCGCATTGATGTCACAAAGGAGACTTTCTCCTTCTGGAAGAAAAAAAAGGCAAGAAGCACAAGCAATTGACAACAACAAACAAAAACAAACAAACAAAATAAAAGCAATGGAAGGATCACTTACGACAGACCAATTGCCCTCAAGGTCATACCAACCAGGACTGGCTACCTCGGTGTAAGAGTTGTAGTTCATCTTGGAGAGTTGAAGGACGGACTCCTTGTCTGTCACATCGGGAGCTGGAACAACCTGTTTGGTCCACGACTCAGGACCAATCGAAGTATCAAATGACCTGAACCCCTGATTCCGATAGGACTGGTCCCTGGGTTTAAGAGTCGTGGTGCCCTTCACCTTGACTCGATGGACAAGCGACTCACCCGTCAACAGCTCTGATCGTTGAATATCTGACGCTTCCAGGTCCATCCTCCGAAACAGGCCCGGGTACCGATCGCCGCCATGGTGCAGGAGGTGTCGAAGCGAAAGCGTTTCGTCAGGAAGTTCCTGGCCCTCTGAAAGGATGGTCACCGGCGAGCCATATCGCGAACTGGGGTGGCGGTGCGAGTTGAACGGGCGCTGTGAGTTGTCGTTTCCGCCAATATTGTCAGAGACAGAGGCGAGGAAGGGGTGGGCGTGAGCTGAAGGGGAGAGATAAGTGAGGGCCAAGATGTAGAGGGTGAGGAGCGGGATGAATGCAAGCGAGCTTTGTCGAGGCATTGGCAGGCGCAGTGTGTGTGTGTGTGAGTTTGTGTGTTAAGGGAAGAAAAGTGATGTCAAGAAGAAAGGAGAGGAAGAAAAAAAGGAGAGGAGAGTGATGCAGAAAGGTTGGGTGGGACGGGACGGGAAAGGTTGGGACGAGAAAGGAAAAGCAATGAAGAGAGAAAGGGAGAAGGGACAAGAAAAAGGAACACAAGCTGAGGGTCTGACTTCCAGTTGGAGCAAAGCTTGGCTGGGCGTGATAGACTGAAAAGCAGTCGCATTTACTAGCTTAAAGTGCCACCATTTTTCTGTTGTTTTCTGTCTTCACCGCTCTCGCCTCTTTCTCTCTCTCTCTCAACCATACGCACACCAATCAACAACCATAATGACAAAAAGGAATCCAACAAAGAAGACAACAACAGCACCAGCTGCCATGGACACCGACATGGCACTCGAAACAACAACTACTACTCCACCTAATTCCGTGCAAGCAACACCTTCCACCTCCAGCCATGCTCAACAGACCCACACACGAAGCAGCAGCAACAGCAGTACATACACCAGCACACATGGCACAGCCGAGATAGGAGGCATGTCCATCACCCTGCCCTTCAGCAGTTTCACTTCAACACCGACAGACCTCGTACAAAACACGGTCACTTCACTTGCTAGTCCAAGCGACACGACACAATCCTCAGATCCAGGCACCGACAATCTCACGACATTTTCAGGCGCACAACCGATGGCTATCAAACCAGTATACAAGAAGAGAGCCTACCCACCAACACAACGGCCGGATGGGATCATCAAAAAGACCGGAGTATCAGCGACTGGAGAAATGACCCAGGCACGACAGGCGATCGGGAACGCGGCAAAATCCAGAGGCAACATCTACGACCGGACAACCGGTAAAACGCACACACGAGTACCTCCAACAACAGCAGCAGCATCATCATCATCGTCGATATTACACGCGGCAGAACCCCTCGAATCTCCAACAAGAGAGGAGCGCGTTCAAAAGCAGAAAAAAGTCAAGATCGTTAAACCACAAAAACAACCAAAACCTAAACCGTCCAAGAAACTCAAGGTCGTCAAGCCACCTCGGATCTGGACACCTCATCAGCCACGGAGCCAGCGGCCGCAACAAGCGATCAATGATCAACCTCCAGCACCAGCACCACAAGGTGACGCCACGTCCAACAATTCCCATCCTCCAGGAACGATCGAGCTTTTGATCAAACAGCACGACGCGCATCAGGAACGACTGTCGCAGCTGGCAACACGACCTCTTCCACTGCACGAGCTCCAGATGCTGGTCTGTACAGAGTTGGAGCAGGAGCATGAGACCCTAAAGGTCATGGGGATAATGCTACACAAGGAGCTGCTCAAGTTGCGACTTGAGGAAGGTGTGATGTTGAATATGCTCAAGCTCTCGGAAGGTGGCGTTCTGGATGTTACGGATCTGGAGAAAATCAAGGCTCGCAAGCCCCCATCAGCGCAGCAATTGCAGGCGTACGACCGGATGAACGAGCGTCATTACCAAAAGAGGCTCCGGACGGCCAAGGCCGCTAGAGCTGCTGCTATCGCCATGAGAGCCGCGATGGGTATCCACACGGAAACAACAGAAGGAGACACCACTCTATATCAGATCAAGCCCCGCGCTCGCAAGACTAGGAAGCGTCAGCCTCCTGCACGCAAAATATATGAGACCGACGAGGGAGATGAGGATGGTCAAGGAGAGGAAGGTGGAGAAGATCAAGACGAGGAAAGGGCGGATGAAGTGGAGACCGATACTGATGCAGAGCCAAATAGGCATAGGTATCAGGCTCCAGGAGAGTCCTACGCGTTCCGTCCTGTCACCTCTTCGGACCAGCTTCAAGGCCGAGGTGAAATTGGCCGACCGGAGGCTTCTAGCGCACCGGCTTTCGCTTCGTTGGGTAAGCTACTATATGTAAGCGGAACAAATTGTTTTTTTCGGTAATGACAGTAACAGTTTACTTACATTTCTATTCATTTCTCTGTCTTTTATTATGCCTTCTAGAGGAAATCAAGCAGCTGGTTGTAAAGCGCGCTCTCAAGCGCACTGTAGACGATATGATGGAGCAAGAGGCGGATGACGAGGATTTGTATGAGCTTGAATTCGACGAGCACGAGGAGCAACCTGGTGAGGAGCAGAGAGGTCAACATGACGACGATGAAGTGGACCAGCACACAGACATGGATATGGATGTGGACAACCAGTATGGAGACGAGATTGGCGATGAGGGTGAAGAAGGAGAGGAGGAGGAAGGGGAAGGAGATGAAGGCGAGGGTGGGTATTATAGCAGTGATGAGGACGGCGAGGGACCTGGAGGCGACAACGAGGAGGACGAGGACGCGGCACGATTGGCGTTGCAGCGCATGTTGTCGATCTACGGCGGCGGCGTCTAGAAGAGTACCTGATCTGAAACAAGCCACAGTTCAAAAGATTAAAGCTGTTCGAGCTCTGAAATTTTTTACTCCCTCTCTTATCAACTTTTATTGTAAGCGGACTTGCTATGACGGATTGTAGTCTGACAGACAGGCATCCATCGATAGATACATGCATCCATCCAACTCCACCGAGAACCATTATCACAGGAATCATCGACGTATACGTATCTTTACAAGTGGCAACACTTTTTGTTGCTGGACTGGACACTTCTGTACCAGTCTGTTTGGGATCTCTGTCCATGGACTGATGGCTAAATCTATGAACATCGGGGCAACAGGATGCGATGGCGGGACTAGATCTCTCTTCTAAGGAGAACTGTCATCAGGATCTCCTTGATCCACGCTGTCAGGAACAACACCTTCCATCAAGTCTATCCTCCTGGACCTAGAACTCGGATCAACACCTATCAGTCTACCAATTTGAAAAGCCAGTCTCCTGACTCTCGCGTGGTCTCTTACCCTAAATTAACCCTAGGACGAAAAAATGAAGGACATCTACAAGGAAGAAATCCTCGCCATCCCTGAGGGCGTCAAGATTGAGGTCAAGGCCCGCCAGGTCACTGTCACTGGCCCCCGCGGTACCCTCAACAAGAACTTCCGTCACGTCGAGATGGACATTGTCAAGTTGGACACTGCCCGCCTCCGCCTCGTTGTCTGGCACGGCAAGCGCAAGCACGTCGCTTGCCTCCGTACCATCCGCTCCTTGATCAACAACATGATCATCGGTGTCACCAAGGGCTACGAGTACAAGATGCGCTTTGTCTACGCCCATTTCCCCATCAACGTCATTATCGCCGATGATGAGAAGTCGGTCGAGATCCGCAACTTCTTGGGCCAGAAGATCGTCATGAAGGTCCCCATGTTGGAGGGCGTCACTATCTTCCACTCCAAGGACCAGAAGGATGAGATCACCCTGATCGGTAACGACCTCGGCAACGTCTCCCAGTCTGCCGCCAACATCCAGCAGGCTACCACCGTCAGGAACAAGGATATCCGTAAGTTCTTGGATGGTATCTACGTCTCCCAGAAGGGCGAGCTCAAGGGTGCCGATGACGAGTAAATTTTGCTCTTTTTTCCTCACTCTGGACCAACAAGACAACAACAACACCAACAAGACTGGAACCTCCCGACTGCCTCCTCCTGGTCCCTGCCATGCCTTCCTTGGATCTCTTGTTCTTTTTTTCATAATAAATCGCACGGCCTAGCAGAGTCTCACTTTTCTGCTAGACACATTGCGACAGTTTTGAGGTGTTCTTGACAAAAAACAACCTACACTCCCCATCCCCCACAGGGCAAAAGCCGTAAAGCCCTCTCCGTCGTCCTGACCCCTCTCCCTTCATTGGGGGGTGGATGAAGGACCGACTGGAAAACAAAATCAGGCACCACTAGTTATAACTTGTTCTTTTGTTCAAATTGCTCCATTGGCGTTCCTGTGGGAGAAGGTTGATACGGAGGCTGACTGTGGTATGTGTCGCGTTCGCTCTTTGAGCACGCGTTTTTATTTTCTTTCTTGATGTGGGATGAATCTCTGATCGAGCAAGAGATCCCATGTGCTTGGATATGAATGCGAGTTGGTGATACGATTTTGAAATGAACAAATAGGTAGTTTCAAACAAGCGAAAAAAAATAAACAAAAACCATTGGACAAAATACTACAAATGCTCTAGTGAAGGATGCTCTAGTGAAGGATGCTCCTGTGAAAGTTGCTGCAGTACATGGAACTGCGGGACAACCTTGTCTTTTTGTGATCGAAAGAGTGCCGGACCTGCATAACAGATCTGAGATTGAGCACCCTGTGGGCTCTCACTTACGGCTCCATCTCGCGTTTTTGGAAGCCAGTTGGTATCTAGGCTAAGGTGTTCAAGGCAGGTTTACCAGCACTGCCATCAGGAATCCTTTCCTTCTTTCCTATCTTTACACCTTGCTTCCATGAAAGGTAACCCACGTCCAACCTTCCACTAGAGAACTAGATGCACAACAATTCACAATCAGGGACTAACATGTATTACACCTCCACTTTGACGTAATCTGTTAGACGCAGGAATTCCAGTTGCCTGCGCGTCGATCTCAGTCCTTACTCGGCCACACTTGTCAGTAACAAGAACAGCCGGCACACACGAACAGGATATGCACCACTGCTCTTGCAACCAACAACCGAAAAACAGGAACAGGACGAATTGACTCCGGAATAGGGATAGAGTCTTCCAACCCATCGTTGCTCGAGAACGCGGTCTTTGTCTTGCGTGTTTGTACCCCCTTGGTCTTTCGGCGGCATGGACGGTACTATGGTGCGGAGAGGATATGAGCACGTACCTCTTCATTGCACCATTGCTGGCTACTGTTGCTTGGGTATGCCATATACAATTTATTTGTCGTAGGGGAGTCTAATCCTTGTAGCTATTTTTTTTGCGATCCTCGCTGTTTGCCGGACGCTCCAAGGAAAATACCTAACTGTCCCTTTGACACTGCACCTGACGACCTTCTTCATCGTCAACATCCCAGTCGCCCTCCTCCGCCTCCGCGCGACTCTCTTACAGGAAACCTCGACAGCAGGACTCACCCTCATCACCCCTTACTTTATCGACAACCTTCTCTTGGTTCTCATCTCGCTCTCCTACAAAGCCGCCCCACCCGTACTCGCCCAGCCTGCCATCACCAAGGAAGGAGCATGGTACCCTTGCCCAGAACAGTACGCCTCCTGGATTGAACGCGCCTTCTTCACCTGGGGTGGAAAGTCTGTCGTATTACCTCGGAGTCTATACCTTTCTGTCGGTGATGTACATTTTCAGTCTCATGCTCCGCGAAACGATCCAGTACACCGGCTCCTTACACCCCAGTCGAATCCTCCATCGCAAAGCCCTCGATAGGATCCTTCACTCGCCGATCCGGCTCTTCGACACCGCTCCTCTGGGCCGCATCATCAACCACTTCACCCGCGATATGGACACAGTCGACCAACAGGTCACCAACGTCTCTGCTAACATAATGGTCGACTTCTTGGGCAACCCCACTGTCACTGGTGTGATCGCCTATGTGAACTCACAGTTCCTGGTTCCCGATCTGGTCATCTCGGCGCTGTTTGTGGTCATTGCCATGTTCTACACTCGCACCTCCCACGAGCTCAATCGACACGAGATCACGACCAACTCGCCCGTTTTTTTGCATTTCGCCGAGGACTTGAATGGAGTCACGACGATCCGCGCCTTTGGGTTCGAGAAGCGGTTTAATACCTACTATCAGGAGCTGTTGGACGAACACAACCGGCCTTAGTTTTATATCTGGGTCTGTAACCGCTGGCTGTTGATCCGTGTGGATACCCTAAGCGCGTTTGTCTCGCTCTTTGCAGGGTTGTTTATTGTCCCCCGAAGGGATACCATTAAAGCCGGTGCGGCCGGTCTTTCGCTCACCTACTCTTTGGCGTTCACTCGTCATGTTCTCTGGTTCGTCCGTACCATGGCATATAACGAGAATAACATGAACTGTGTCGAGCGTGTCCAAGAGTACATGGCCTTCCCTCAAGAAGCCCCCTCGATTGTTGAGTAGCACCGTCCTCCAGCGGGTTGGCCCCACCAGGGCGAGATCCAGATCCAGAATCCGGTGATGCAATACGCATCCGATGAACCGGCTGTGATCAACGATATCTCGTTCCATGTCTTACCACGCGAGAAGATTGGGACTGTGGGACGCACGGGCGCAGGGACATCGACCTTGGCGGTGGCGTTCTTCCGGTTCATGGAGATGACTTCTGGCAAGATTGACGATTGATGGAGCTGATATCTTGAAGATTGGGGTTCATGATCTACGGTCGAATTTGACGATTATGTCGCAGGATCCGGTCTTGTTTATCGGCACTGTCTGGGCGAATTTGGATCCGTTCGAGGAGCATGATGACGCTGCTCTTTGGGCTGCGCTTAAGCGCGTCCATCTCGTCTCCGACATCACCACTCCCGACCCCTCCTCCAATAGCGCCACCTCCAGTAACAGCAACAGCAACGAATTCGGAAACTTGGACAGCGAGGTGAAAGAGAACGGCAGCAACTTTTCTCAAAGTCAACGCCAACTCCGCCTGGGCACTCCTCAAGAACTCCAAGATCAATATCATGGACGAAGCCACGGCCTCGGTTGACCACGCCACCGACGCCAAGATCCAGGCGACGATCCGTGAGAGTTGTTATGACGCGACTCTGTTGACGATTTCACATCGGCTGAGGACGATTATTGATTTCAATCGTGTGATTGTGATGGATCATGGGAGAATTGTCAAGTTGGATACGCCGGAAAGGTTGATCAGGGAGGAGGGTGGGGTTTTTAGGACGATGTGTCAGCGGTCTGGGGAGTTTGAGCTGTTGTTGTTGTTGTTGGCGAATACTGCTGCTGCTGCCAAGCGACCCAGGGCCTAGAAGAGCTGGAAATGGAGCTTGAAGTTTTTTTTGGGGGGGAGAGCGGCGAGGTAAGAGGTGAATCCTTTTTGTGAGTATACAAACTTTTAAACTTCATTCTCTTCTTTCTTCTTCTATCCCACCAAACAGCAACCAGCGGCGCGTGTGTCGGAGCGAGAAAAAAATAAGCTAGCTCCAACCTTTATTTTTTCGACTCTTGCTCTCCTTCTCTTTGTCCCATGCCTTATGTTTGCCTCGCTGTGTTTCAAGAACAGATGAGGCGTTGGCCACGATACGTCGGAGAAAAGCAAGATGGAAAAAGAACAAGGGTTATTAAAATACAGGGGTGCTGATTGGCTCACTCGAAATACGACGCGTTCGTCCGAGTTCAAAGTCTAGTCCATCTGGATGCACCTCAAGGCGTTTATCCTCGCTTTCACAAGAAAAAAAAAGAGATCTGGCGGGACGGCAGCCGTGAAAAAAGGAGCTATTTGAGCACACAATAGCTATCTCTCTCACATACAAAGCTTGTTGGTCTCCTTTCATTTCAGGATGGAATGGTTGCTAGATGTTGTATGTGTATCTTTTTCCCTTCTCGCTCGTTTCGTACCGTATGTGCCCTTGTCGCTTTCCCCGAACCTTTCTCTTCCTTTGTCAACTGACAAAAAGATATGCAATCATTCAAGGAAAAGCTTTTGAGTTTTTGAGTTTTGGCTATCGCGCTGTTTGGGTACTATATGGCGTTGGCTTTGTGGGTAATAGTAGTAGAAAGAACCTAAGTTCCGTAGTAGGTTCGTTTTTTTTTCTTGCACTTTTGTACGGTTGGTTCTGACAAGTCGTGAATCATGATCTAGATGAAAAGACATGCAGAGAGTGTCTTACAAGTGGATATCCACGTGCGGTGGAGATAAAAACATAGCCCACCTGCTGTGTTTGCATTCCTAATGCTCGCCTTTGTTGATGTTGTTTTGTACAACGCCCAAAGAACCAACCACCACATAACAAGCGTCTTTTGTTCTAGTTTTTTTTTCTTGATGGTTGAAAACAACAAAAGCCGAAGAGTCGAAAATTTTCTTTCATGGGAATACAAAGAGCACAGGGCAAAAAGGTCAACGACTTAAATAGAATGAGGAGAGGTAGGCTTTGAGGGCGAGGAGTAGAAAGGCGTAGAAGAGTATAGGCTCCTTTTGTCTCGTTGTCTGCCGTTCTTCCCGGGCCGCACCTCCGTAGGCTGAATTCAATGGCGAATGAATGTGGTCGACAGGGCAGGGGTGGTTGTGGCACCTGCTGAGGGGTTGATTGGTTCTATTTTGGAACAATGAAGAAAAAGGGGACCGAAATGATGCGTGTCTTCCTACTTGAGGGCGCGTTTTTTTGGTGGTGGTGGTCAGTGAGTCTCGTTCGGATATTAATGACGAATGGGCGAGAAGGGATACAAGTAGCGTGAATGAGTGAGTGTGTGCGCAGCTAGCTTACAAGGAAGAAGGGTATATTTTAGAGCATGTTGCTGTGGAGTACTCACTTGCATGCTACCGTTGTTGTTTTTATTGTTGGTAATGTTGGATAAGGATAAGAGGAAAGAATTTTAAGAGCAAAGCCTTGAGTAGAGACGGGTTGAGACAAGAAGGCAGAGTCGCGACTGTCGGGCGTGCAAAACAGTTCTAGGAAAAGGCGAGACAGGGATGCAACTAAACCGGAAATGTGGCGGGGACAGAACCGACAGCCGAAACGATTATGTGGTACTCGCTCACTTGTGCGAATATGATCAGAATGGATGGCGCGGAATGAATAATATATGCGGACTGGGATTGATCATTTGGGCTGTGCAAATGAACAGGTGAAATTAAGCGCCCTCCCGGACCACTCTTGACTTGTTTGAGGAGAAGGAAGGATAAAGGATGACGGAAGTAGAGCGTAGATTGTAGGGTGTAAGCAGCGTGGGGTAGTGGAGGAAAAGGAGGAGGGGGCTCATGATGATGGTGCTGATTCTTGAAAAAGAGAGAGACTGCACAGCGTTTTACACCGCCAGCAATTGGAAAAGAAAAGAAAAGAATACCTAGTCAACATAAAGCCATAAAGCGTAACGGAGCATATCCAGGCGGAGTATAAACAAGAACGTCTCATCGTCTACTCTTGCTCTTTCATTCATACACATTCAGCCATCGTTCTTGCATCTTTGTTGATAAGCATTCCACCTTTAATGCTTCTATCTTCTGTCTTCATTCGTCTTTCCTTCACCTATCCTTCTTTTCCCTTTTCAATTTTTTCTATTTTATTTTTATTTTCATTTTTCCGTCGCCTCTCCTTCAATAGCCACCTTCTATCACCCATCACCAGTATTTATATCATCCATCACCAACACAATTAGAGTTGTATGCTGTCAGCATCGCCTCATCGTACCCTTGTGCTCCCTCTTTTTTTTCCAGTCTTTTGCTTTCTTTGTTCTTTTTGTTTTCTTTCTTTTCCTTTTCCTTTTCCTTTTCCTTACTCTCTCCCTTTACGTTTACCCGCCCGCACCCTGGCTCATTACTCAAATCTTACACCTTGCACATTACATACTCCCACTCCCACTCTTACGCACCCTCCTCCCTCCTCTTCTTCCTTCTGCACACTACACCGCGATAGTCAACAGCCCGCATGAATCCAACAGCGACGGCTTTGGCCAACCTGGACATCCTCCATCACATCTTCTCGCTCAGCATACTCAATCAGCAAGACCTCCATGCATGCTGTCTCGTCAACTCCGAATGGGCCGCCACAGGTCTGATCCTCCTCTGGCACTACCCAAAGTGCTACACCCTCCACAGCTTCACCCAGCTCCTACATACCCTTCGCCACGAAATCGATCTACCTGGGCCTGTCGTATCCCTCAGCCGAACCCCACTTATACTCGCCGATATCAAGCACAATCAAGCCAATAACAGGTCAATAGCAGCGACGACGACAACAACAACGCCAGCAAATGACCACCTGAGCGCAGCGACGCCCTCGGCCTTCCCAAGAGTCATGTCTATCCGCCGCTCGTCGACTATGCGCGAAAGGACCACTTCCCGGTCGGGGAGCTCACATTCTCTTTCACACACGCCTTCCTTCTCTTCATCTTTTCTCGTCCCCACGCCTTATCGCCCGGTGCAGCGGCGAGAATATGGTATCCCCTTCCACGGTCAACGGATATACCATCGTGGACAGCTGATCCGAGCTATTGACTTCAACCCCATAAGAGACGACTTGACGCTTCACCACTTTGAGATCTTGGCCCGCTCGACAAGGATTGGCTTCAGGACCCTCGACCTCAGGAATGTCCGTTTCCCCTTCTCGGAGAATCTCTTGGCGATTTTGGTCGCCTGTACATCCCTCAGAGAGCTCTCGCTCCGCGAAATTCACATCCCGTTTGAGGCGATCGAGTACCTTGAACCCTGCTTCGCAGCCTTGACCGTGCTGCGATTCAACAACTGTCCAGATGAGATGCAGGATCTTGAGCTGACGCCAATCCTCAAATCGTGCTCACAAGTTAAGCTACTCGAAATTCAAGGAGAATCCTTCACGGACGAGTCGCTCAACTGGATCGGGATAACATGTCTACAGCTGGAATCCCTCATGATCGACGCTCCCTTAATGACCGACGCTACGGTCCGCCATATTGCCACCAACTGTAAAAAACTCAGGACTTGGCGTCTGTTCAACTGTTTGCAGCTTCAGGGCGAAACCGCAGAAACACTCGAGGAGATCTATACCGTCGACCCAAAGTCAATGCCACTACACCAATTGCCCCGCGGAGGAACGAGACATCTTCCAAACGCACTCCAGACCAACAAGCTAGTCGGTGCCGTATTCAATACATCAGCAGCAGCATCATATACAGCGGCCTCATCCGTATCCGCGACATCCTCAACTGTCTCTTCGCCCTCAACGTCGTCCATGTCAGGACACTCAGACGCGGATCAACATCCTTCGTCATTACAGTTCCCGTTTGACCATCATATGGACCAGGATCGCCTTCACCCTTCATTTTCATTTGATCGGTATTCAGCTTACGCGAACTTGGGGCCTCCTGTCGGGATATTAACGTCGCTCGAGCTTCACAACTGCAACAGTATCCGACCAGAGACGATCGACAGTCTCCTCAAGTCTCAGACCGCGCTCGAGGAATTGGTTTTGGGCGGAATTTCGATAACGGACGAGGCTCTCGTGTCGTTTACCCAGAACCCGCAGGATCATATCAAGAGCCTCAGCCTGCTCAACTGTGGCGAAATCTCAGATGAGACCATGATGGCAGTCATGTTCAACTGCGAACACCTCCTCAAGCTCAGGATCTTTGGCTCTCATTTCACTCTCAGGACGTTCAACTCTATCTGGATGCACCTGCTCGAACTGGAGGAACTTCATCTGGAGCATGTGCCCCTGGTCATAAACGAGTCGCTTCAGCAGATCTTGACCAAGTGTACCTATCTGCGGTCATTGAAGCTGTGGCATTGCCGGAATTTGACGCACGATTTGTTTACGGACATTCCGACGCCTTGCAACAGTCTGGAGGTGCTCGAGTACATGGACAAACACCCGCGGCCTTATATTGGCGATGGCTGGGCGGCTCAGGTCCGGTTCTTGCAGAGTATCGTCATTCGATTCGAGGGTCTTCGTATCCTCAAGCTGACCAAACTGGGTGACACCGTTGTGCCCGTACCATTGGTAAGTTTTTTTCTTCTTTTTTTTCTTTCAAGTATAAATGGATGGAAAAAAAAAGTGGCGCGGAAATTTCAATATTACACAATCACTTTCCGATCATGGTTGACCCATTCTCCATTGGATAATCAAAATATGCAGCCCTTGAACAATGCAAATTCTTTCTTCCTTTGTATCCAGTTCACTGACCAATGCACCTGCTTGATACTTTTTTCTGCTCCTTATTTTTTCCCGCCCTGCGATTCCTTCTTTTTCATATATTCCCTCACCTTCCAAACAAAAAAAACAAAACAACAACAACAGAACCTAGTCTCATACCTCTGCCAACTAGACCGCCTGGAATCCTTCACCATCATGCAGAACCCGCGGATGGACTACGCAGACTTGAGCGACCTGGCCACCAACCACAGGACCCTCCTCGAGATCGGCGTGGGACCCTCCAAGGGCCTGACAGAACAGCAAATCAATTCCTTTAATGACTCGCGGCACCAACCCTGTATTCGCCTCTATAAGCGGCCTGTTGAGTCAAGCGAAGAGCTTGAACATTACATGGCTTGAAGTACCCCCCTCATTCAGCTTAATTAACAAAAACAAATGAACACAAGTCCGAACTTAATTCGCCGAAGAATGTCCTTTACTCTATGTCCTTTTTTTGTGCTTCTCATGTTTTTATTAATGTCCTTAAAAGAAGAAAAAAAAAAGACTACGAGGCCTCGACGGGAGGATTAGGCGTGGTAGGCGTGGAAGGAGTCATAGGGGTGTTAGGAGTAACAGGGGTGACAGGAGTAGTGGGCATAGGCAAAGATGTCGTCTGTTCAGCAGCAGTAGCTGTGGCGTCAGAGGAAAGAGGGAGTGCAGCAGCGGGCATCTGGACGCTTTCCATACTCTGGTTATTCTGCCACCCAACAATCAATGGCGTATCACCTTCTTGGTTCTCAAAAGGTCCTCCGCGCCTCCTACTCGACACGCTCTCATTATCAGTCTGTCCTCTAGTTTGTCCCTGCCCTTGCTGCCGCCCTTCATCCTCCGAGTCCTCGTCATCTTCATCGTCAGAGGATGAAGAGGAAGAGTCCTGGTCTGTGAGCGCACAGCCAACAACATCGCCACTAATCGAAATCAACGCGTAACCTTGGTTCTTGACACTCTCCTGGAAAAAGCTCTCATCGACCCGCAGACCTACAATCGCATCTCCACCCAGCGCTGCAACATGAGACCTTGCCACGGCTTGGATCTCCATCAAAAACACATGCACAAACCCGCCCATCCCACTCGACACCGTCGTATCATGCAAGATATGCGTTTCCTTGACGAAATGCAGCGACAGCTTGCCCAGGTACCGCGTCGGCGTCCGTCCCGGGATAAACGAAAGCGGCGTCATCTCGATGAACGGTCGGTCGGCCGGCATCATGGGCAGCAGTGCAATCCTGCTGGCCGACTCATCCAACTGACCCTGTCGGCTCATGATGGACGAAACAGATTGTTGACGCGTATGGCGAGGGTACCCCAACCCAGGCCGCATGGCGCCTGTTGTCAAAACATTCTCGTTGTTGAAACTGCCGTTAGAAGACCCTGGTCGGTTGTTGTTCGAGTTGGGAGTTGGCGCCAGATTGGATACATTCGTCGCTGTCGAGAGCTGTCCCCTTCCGTCCTGGGTTCGATATCCCAGCTGGCGATTCACTGGACCGTCAAGAGGCGTGCTCGGTTCACTGTCCATTCCCAAACGACTGTACCGTTCCCGAACAGGCGTATTCGGCGCCGTAGCAGCGGTCGATCCAGTAACCGTCTCACCCGACGTCTGTGGGACAATGCGGGGAGGCAGAGCTGCTGTCGAACCGGCGTTGATATCCATCATCGTTCCAATAGGCGTTGCCAATCGACTCGATGAAGGTGTCTGGTTCTGGGGCGAATCCGAGATCTGACATTCGTCCATTTGGAACACCATCGGCGAGTCCTCTCCTGTAGCCACGAGTCGTCTTGGGTCCGATGAAGACCTAGATGGGAAGCTTCCGCTTTCAGACTCGGAGCGGGAGTGACTGGTTGAAAGAGCCGCCGATCCAGGGACAGACCTCCAGGGCGAGAGTGTGATCGGTACACCTAGGGGCTCCAATGTATCCACTTGCCGTTGTTGTCCAAGTGCAACGGCCGTCAACTGGATCTGGACCTCGTTCGCCCTCGGCAGCTGAATATTGTAGGTGATGCCAGCCAGAACACAGTCCGTAAAGTATGACAGTCGGAAACGAAGATCTTCATAGATCGAGCGGAAAAGAGCTGCCAGTTGCCGGTTGGGGTGGTGAGAAATCATGTTGATATGTCCCTGTTTGATGGTGGTAATTAAATGGGCATTGTCGGGTATCATAGGGTTGGTGCTGACAAAGTATGGATGGTTAGGAAGTGTCTCGGTGCTGCAAAGGAGAAACCCATCCGTAAAGACCGGGTCCAGCAACACAGCCATCAAGTCCTCGTCTGCGTCGTCGTCGATCTGGATGACAACGTTAGTCTGGTAGTTGTCCTTTTCCGCCTCGTCCTCCGAGTCCGAGCTAGATCCAGAGCTGTCGTCGTCCTGCTGAGCCGAATTGTTCCCGTCCGGTACGGGTGGTAATGGGGTTGGATCTCCGTCGTCCGACTCACGCAGCTTAGCAGCCTCCAAGTTCTGTCTATTGGCTTCCGAGAGATCCATGATCTTGCGCTGCATCTCCAGCAATTTCTTGTCCTCCTCGTCAATGACATCCAGGTTCCTCGAAATCCTAAGCGCCGGTGGTGTTGGTAGTGCTGAGAGGTACATGGCCGTCCCGCATGCGACTGCGACAATCAATGAGTCTCCGACCGTGAGCTGGAATCGGAGACCAAAGATGGCGTTCAGTCCATGGATCTTGAGTTTGTACATGAGTTGTCGGTGAAGGTCGTACTCGACAAAGGGAATCGCGTCACTGACAATCGTCGCGTTCGATTCACCGTCCTTTCTCTTCTTGGAGCGGCAAACATGTGCCTCCACGAACGCGCTCTGGCCGACTACGCCCAATTCCGCAGGTGGCTCCACAGTGCTCAGCAGGATCTCGGGAACATACTTCCTCTTGCACTTTTGACACTTGATGAGACTCATCGGGAACGGCGACGATTTCCGATGAAATGGAATATGGCACATCCTACAGGCTGGAAAAGCATATTTTGAATAAATGGCGGAAGTAAATAGCAGGGGGTTAATTGAGACATCTATTTCATGAAAACACATACGACATAAAGGGTGTGTACAATACTTACCAGAGGGTTGCTTTCGCTTACTTTTGCGCTTGGCCAGCATGTCCATCCATTGTTGCTCCTTGAGTGAGTTTTGGAAGCTGGCCTTGGCTCCTCCAATAGACGTCGAGAGATTATCCGCGCCATTGTCGACGTACGATCGACTAATGCTTCCTGACCGTGAAAGGTTTCTGCCCGAGTCAAAGAATCCAGGTGTGAAGGCGGTCATGTCCAAGTTCGCGGCTGTCCCAACTGCAGAAAGGACGATCAGCTCGTCGTTGATAGTGGCTACTTCCTGATATCCAATGATATGCGAACATCCAACCACGCGCGCATGCGACTTGATCTCGTCTCTCAGCTCATTCCACCAGGCGTCGCGCGTCTCAACATCGTCGTTTTCAATTAGCTTGACTGATCGCGCGCTCACGATACCTCCGAGGTTAAACACAGTCCCCGGAGGGAACTCGTGAAGTGTGAAAATCTGCTGCTCCAGATATTTGTAGTTGTTGATGCTGTTTTTGGCGCCGCTAGCAATAGAAGGAGCAGAGTCGGTACTGCTGCTACTGTTGCTCGAAATGGATGAACCACGCCTCCTGGTTGTTGGCGTTGGTGGCATGGTGTCCGTTGCTCCTGTTGGCGGTACACCGGTTAATATGGGACTCTCTCCTTGCTCAGGGTCCAGGACAGACGTGAGAATATCTTCCGTTTGAAGGTCGTTCAGAGTGAGTGCTTGCTGCTTGTCAGTGTACTGAGACGATGAGTTGGAGACCACGGCAATCTTGACAGCAGTTCCGACAGCACGAGCGGTGATGGCATGCTCCTCGTTCTCCAAGTCGAAGCATTGCTGATACCCCAGCACGGCGTTTCCTCCCATGTCGAGTGTCTCTTTGCCCAATAATCGTCGAAGCTGCCCTGAAAGTCGAAAGAGAAGCCGCTGGCGTGCCTCGTTGGAAGAGCGTTGTGTTCGGAAACTGTCACTCCAGTGATACTCTGGATCATCCTCGTTGACGATTGCATCCACGAACCCGTGCATCGCGACAATCTGGTATCCTGCTGGCAAGGAGGTGGTGGAAAAGAACATGATGCCCGCAGAAGAATCCTTGAACGGGTTGACGTCGCCGAAAAACTGAAGTTTGACCTGGACATTGACCTCGCCACGGACACCGCGAATTGTATCGTAAATGGGGAACCATCCTGCAATCTGCCAGGGTGAATTGACGGGCAAGAGTGGGTTCAGGTCGATAAAGACGGAGCCGACAGAGTCGTTTGCAGTGATGGCGTCGTAGTCGAGCACCTTGAGCTCTAGGGGTTCGTTCTGGAGATCAGCGTCATCGGTGACCTCGAAGCGAAAGTCCTATGCCACCATGTCATCCACACAATATTCTTGTGAGTAGTGCATTCGCTGCGCTGTTGAGGAACATAAAGCTCATTGCAACAAAGAGTGCATGGCATTCTTTTTTTACCTCGTTCCAAACGGGGTTGAGTGTTTTGCGGCAGACGGTTGTGCGTTGGGCCTCAAAGTCAGCGAAGCGCACCTCGACGTAGGCATCGGTCAGGTCGGAGGCCTTGTCCATGACGGGCAGATCCCTGGCGCCGACGACCCTGATCTTCAAGATGCATGGCATTTCAGGCGGGGGGAGGTGAAGAGAGTGGGAGAGTTGAAAGGTGTGAAGGGAAAAGGAAAAGGTTGGCAAAAAAGAGGTCTGGGAAAATGACATCTCAAGTATGCACTCGTCACGTGCAGTAACCCGCACTCAAAATCCCTTTTGATGATTTTTGGCGGCGTTTTTTTCTTTTGTTCACACTTTCAAGCATAAAAAAACTTACAGCTCACCATGCCACGCCGTCTGTCCCTGCTCGGGATCGCGCTCTTAAGCACGCTCCTGATGATGTGTGTCTGGGTCTCTCTTGTTTTCCTTGCCGCCCCATTCAACTACCATAACACCTCCAAACACAAGTATACTCTTCCAGCAGAAAAACTGGACACAATCCCTGTAACAAATCGCCAAGCAACAGAGTACCGACTTCTCGACTTGGACAACATCCATCAATATCTTCCTCTGGATGACACAACAGAGTACTCTCCGACAGACCACATCCTCATCCTCACTCCTCTCATGGATGCAGCACTTTACCTCGACAACTACTTTCAAAAGCTTGGCCAGATTGACTATCCAGCGGAACTCATTTCTCTTGGCTTTCTTGTCTCGACGACTACAGAGGACAGCAGCAATGATCCTACTCTGTTGTCCCTCCAAAAACGCATCGCAACTCTTCGCGCACATCCCGACAGACGCTACCGAAGGATTACCGTTCTCTCTCAAAAGTCCAAGCTTTCGAGTGTCGCTCACGACCAGCGCCATGGATACGAACTTCAAGCTGCCCGCAGGAAGATACTGGCTCGGTGTCGAAACGCTCTTCTCATGTCTACTCTGATTGACGAGTCGTGGGTTCTTTGGCTGGACAGTGACGTGGTTGATTACGCACCTGATCTATTGTTTAAGCTGATAAAGTACGACAAGGACATCATTGCGCCCAACTGTTTCCGATTCGAGTCGAGCTGGTTCAAGACCAAGAATGTTCCCTATGATCGCAACAACTGGATCGAAACCAAAGAGTCGCTTGCCAACCAACGTACACTTGGAAAAGACGAGATTCTCTTCGAAGGTATGCTTTAACGCAAGCAACACTACTATATCGACGATGAAGGCAATGGCTGATGCCAAGGAGTCTGACTGATTGATTGCGCGTTAATATGCTTCCATTAGGCTACGAGAAGGAACATCCAACTTATCGGCAGTCGATGGCCGATTTGGCAGGGAGTGTGCGAGGACTGATTGAGATTGATGGAGTGGGAGGGACGTTTACGTTAGTCAAGGCGACTGTTCATCGGGCAGGAATCAACTTTCCGAGTCTTCCTGTGGACCATGAGATTGAGACTGAGGGAATGGCGAGGTGGGCCAAGCGCGAGGGCTTTGGTGTCTTTGGCGTGCCCCATCTCATTGTCCAGCACGCGTAAACTACGCGATATGTACTGTACAGATTTCATTTTGCCACCATCGTAGCAGTCCCTCGCTGAAATAGTTTTTGTTTTGCAAGCCACTGCGAAAGAAAGAAAAAAAAACGTTACTTTTCTTCAGTCAACTTGCCTGCTCCCGACCTCTCTGCTCATTCCCTTCTCTCCACTGCCATCCCATTCGACCATGCCGCCAAAAGCAAAAAAACAGAAAATAGGTGCGTAGCAGGACTGCCCACCAACAAGAACTTGCCCCTTCTTCCGAACCCACATCTCATTCTAAGGCACATACATTCATCCTTTTACCACCTTGCCATTGTGCATTCAATAGTTCGGTCGACAACCACAACCACGACTGTCTCTGTTGTCACCTCAACAACCACTGCAGCAGCACCACCACCATCGGCTCCTCTTAGCGCAGTCGCCGCTCGGAGACAGCAATTATTGGAGCTCGCCAACAAGCCCTCTAGCCCGGCTACTCCAGAGGCCGAGGAACACTTGGAGGTCGACAATGTGGATGGTGACGAGGAGGAAAAGGCATCGCTGGACAGCAACGAGAGCGGCGACAGTGACTCGGACGATGCCTCGGACCAGAGTGAAGAAGAAGACGGCGGTGCCAAATCAGCGACTAAGGAGGCCATAGCAGCTCAACCGAACGAGAGGCGCGACCGGAGGTAAGTCAACTGCCTGTCTTTAGCTTCAATTTTTGCTGATCTGAGATCGTTGCAGAGTTACTCACCTTCCGTGTATGATTTGATTTTTTCAGGCTGTTCACGGATCCCCAATCTGTGTCAACTTTCAAGCCAACGAGATACAATGTCGTGTATGTGTCAAATTCTGGGAGTCCGAGCATGGCCCTCATTGGCATGAGACGTGGCGAGGTGAGTACACATGAACAGGATCGACGTTTTCACCACAAAACTCGGAATCGATGTACAATTGAACCCGTTACTCACGGCATCCACATCTACTACCTATAGACGCTGGTGTTCCAAGGATGCGCGGATGTGATACCTCTTCTGGGACACTCAACAGCATTGGGATACATCATGTCAGGGACAGCTGAAAAGAAGCGCCCCGGATCAAAAAAGAACGTCAGGTCAGGACCAAAGGAGCTCGACCTGTCCTCAATTTCGACATTTCCTATCATCTCGCCACGAACCCATGCCCTTGCTGCTATCGAATCTATCGCCCTTGCAGGATCACAAAGAAACATGCTTGTCCCTCAACAAACGACACCCACACCACCAGAATTGAAGGTTCAGTTGGAGACCCTGACATCTCAGCTGGCTTCGGAGGATTTTGACACGGTGCTCGCCATTCGATCGGCCTCAGAATGCGGGATCCTTGGGATCGAGAAGGTCGTCCCTCTATTCAAAGGTATTCTCTCCATGAAGCAGAATGCTCGCATTCGCGGCAACGAGGGCGAGGAAAAGTTGGCGCAGATTCGATTTGAGACCAGTCTGCCCGGATTTCACCCTATCTTAGAGCCAACAGACAGCATTGCGGCGCTCAGGACACCCAACACTTGGCAAGATGCTATGCAGGCGCTGATCGACTCGACCGTGGACGAGAACTCGCAGCGTGTCAAGAGGCCTCCTGTGTCGGTTGTGTGCGGAGGCAAAAAGATGGGCAAATCGACCTTTTCGCGCCTGATTTTGAACCGCATGCTGAACAGGTAAGAAACCTTTGCGAGTTGAAATTCTTGCTATATGTTTTCGCGCTCAAGGCAAGAACTTTGCTAAACAAAAACATTTGTTCGTGGATGCTTTTAGATACAGAAAGGTGGCGTTTATCGAATGCGATATTGGACAGTCCGAGTTTACACCAGTCGGGATGGTGGCACTTCATGTCATCGAGACACCGGCATTAGGCGCACCGTTCACGCACCCTCGGCAACCGTATAGAGCGTTCTTTGTCGGAAACAGTACCCCCAAAGACGACCCCGACTACTACATGGCCTGCGTTAAGGAGTTGGTCAAGACATACTACGGCGAGGTCTCGCACACGCGCTCATGGGATGAGAGCGACGATTATCACAGTGACGACGAGGAAGACGACCATATACCACTTATCATTAATACGCAAGGCTGGATAAAGGGCATGGGATACGACCTTTTGATCCAACTCCTCGCCTACACCGCTCCCTCTCACATCTTTGGATTCCACTCTCCATCAAATGGTGATTCCAACTTGCCTCCGTCGTTCTTCACCACCATTCGGGACCAAGCTCTGAACGCAGGACGTGAGCAGCCAAAGTTTCTCTATGTTGCTGCAGTTGTTCTTGGCGACGATAGCAACCTTTCGCCCTTTACAAAGTACCACCCCGCGGATCACCGTGCGTTGGCGTTACTGTCATACTTTTATCTCGATCAAGAGACTGGTCTGAGAGGTGACGTGGAGAATGGGAATCGACTTGTTTGGGATTTCACACAGGCATTGGTGGTACGGCGGCCGTGGTGTTGGGACTGGAAGAACGCCAAGGGTGTTTGGGTGCTGTTTGATCAGGTCCCTCCCAGTCAAATCCTGTATGCTTTGAACGCAAGTCTGGTGGCTTTGACAGGCGACAAGGAGAACCCACACGACAACGACAATGGTGGTGAGACGGAAATATCTCAGCCTCAGCCCTCTGTGGCTGCTGATGGTGCACCTGCAGGACAGATCGTACCACTAAGCTATTTTCCACTTGGACAGTACCCTCCACCACCTCCGGAACACACGACTTGCCACGGTCTTGCAATCATTCGGAGCATTCAGCCTTCGACTCGCACACTCCACATTTTGACCCCTGTGGCACCATCCAAACTGAAGAAGTGCAATGGAGTTGTGAAGGGAGCGATTCATATGCCTATCCACGCCAGTCTGGATCACAACGAGGACAACAGTGCTGTCCGAGGTGTCGCAGGCGTACCCTGGAAGGATGTTCCTTACCTGAACTACGAGGCACCTAGTGGCACGTACAGCAACAACCCATCCCAGCCACCTTCCCCTGGTAGCCAGTCTCCTCGACTAGGGTATGCTCCTCCGGTCAAGATCATTGGGTCCGACGCCAAAGTGACCCGCAAGAACCTCGGTCGCAAACGTCTGCAGCAATAGTTTTCCTAGGCACATAAAAACGCAAATTCAAAACCCCGTTCCTGAAATTATACTGTTCGAAAGTCACACTTTCTCGTTTTTTTCTTTTTTACTTTTTCTTGAATCGCGAAACGCCATCGACATTCTTTCGTCTTCTTTCTGCACACCTGCCATCGAATGTCAACTCAGCATGAACACCACTTTCTCATCATTCCAGCAAGACCTCGCTCTGGAGCAGGACTCTAGGCATTTCGACGATGAAAAGCACATCACTCGCTCAGACTTGCGTGCCAAAAAAACCGCAGAGAACAACAACGAGGGAGGACTCAAAAATCTCGGACTGGCGATCATGGTTATCTTTCAGGCGAAACGGTCTGCACTTAGAAAGGCTATGGCGGATCTGGATGCTGAATGTACGTTTTGTTTCGACGAGCATTTTTGGTTTGTTATTGTAATCGCGTTGTGAAGACCTCCATGGATCAATAAAGGATATTAAAGAAGGCGACGTTATTATTTACGCCTCTATTATTTCTAGCGACTGTTTCGGCTTCACTCAGGAGTCTAATCAATCATGTAGAGACCGCTGACACAGACGATCAAGGTGAATTGGCAATAACTAGGATGCGGGAAGTCTACCGACCATTCCTGGATAAGGTATGCCAATCTAGATCAGACATCTCGTTCAAGGTCTCTGCGGATCCAGTACCTTCTCCCAACTTGAAGGCCAAGGAAACTAACTTGGATTGAATATTTCCTCCGCATTTTTATGTACCCACGACGGCAACCTCTAGATCATTAAAAAATCTGATCCAGACAAGGAGACCGCATTTCTGGTGTTGGAGTGGCTTATGCTAAAGTTTCCGTACAGGCCGCTAATGGTCCGTGCTCTTGGCGGGGATCTGTCGCCCTCCAAAGACAAGAAGCGGAAATTGGCGGTTCTTGTGGCCATTGAGGATGCTATTGACACGCAAATCAGACCTCGGTCTATGAGCGGGAAAGAAGGCGTGTCAAAGTCGAAGTCAAAATCAAAGTCAAAGTTGAAGTTAAAGTCAAAGTTGGTTGATGAGGAACCTGACATCCCGGTGGCACAGTCTAGCAACGGTATGGAGTGACTTTCATGTTTTTCACTCTGAGTTCATCAGTGACAAAGAATTGGAGCAAGCATTCACACTAATACATTTTAATTTTATAATTTTAGATCCAGAAAAGCCAGTTGAGCCATTGGCTGACGGGAAGACACTCTCGGCATGGATGGCGTCCCTGTCAACGATAGTTCAGAATGACGGGTAGGTAATCGCTTTGAACATGGTGATTGTAGTATTCTGCATAGGTTGGTAATCTAATGATTGGATGTTCAGTGCTTTTGCTCCAGATGGCAGTGGGTCTATGACGCGTCTCACAAGTCTTGCGATGGATATCGCCATCGAGATCTCACGGACACTTGCGGACCAAACGCTTCAGGAGATTAAAGCTGCAGAGGACAAGGAGCGGATACGGAAACCAGTCCTCGTGGTGGAAGTTGGTTCCCATGACGAGGATAAGCATGATAAGACGAATGCCGAGGACACGCAGCCATTTAGCCTGGGATTCGTCAGGGGCATGAAATCTATGCAGGCCATCATCAAGTATTTCCTTTTGGTATGCAGACATGTCTGTCAAGTCGCGATTTATAATTGCTCGAGGGAGAAACAGTCTGAACTTGCAGTGCCTTACAGCCGTTTTTTCATCCATTCTTTTAGTCGGCTCATGACCAGGTCGATGTAGCAACTGCAGGGATGACCGATATTTTGGATATACTAGTAAGATTTAACCGACATCACATGGGTGGCAAGGCACTTCCGTCGCGAGAGATAATGTTTTCATTTGCCCAGTCCTGGAAGCTAATCTCTGCGGCGCTTGCGAAAAGAAGACTGGCGCTTCCATCCGAAGAGCTCCTGAAGCAAGCCCAAACGCATTCTCAGATGGTAAGAATAGCGGTCGTATAACTTTCCTCATCTTCGAACTGCCCACTGGCGAATGTCATACTAACCGCTACATTGTGGCCGTAGAACGAGATCCCCCCTTACTTGAGACTACTGACGACAGGCTTGCTGCTCGGGTACTGTGGCCCCCCCTCTCAATTTGATACCGCTGTGAGAGCCTCGAGCGAAGTTCGGTCCACCCTCCTAGGGCTCGCGAATGTGGTAGTAGGTTTACTTTCATTTTCAGTGCTATCACCTTTGTCGATCTCTCATTTCCGTAGACTAACCACTTCATTTTTGTACTACATGATTGATCTGCTTAGATCCTAGAAAATATCCCCGTCAGTCAAGCAACAGCAATTGCTATACAAACATCTCTGATCCCGACGCTGAGCGAGGTCGAGGTTCAGGACATGAAGACAAAGATCACAGCAATTCTTGATAATCCTTCAGAGATATCCCTGGGCTCTGCGAACGTGGCGTCGTCATACATGGCAGTTTACCCTGAGCTATTCGTCCCTGGATTGCTGGCTCGCCTTCGTCGTGAGGGTCAGAACGGCTCAGTCCAGAGTGACAAGGCCGATGTTCGGAGAACCATGAACTCGTTGCATATTGTAGAGGCCATGGCTGAGAGAAACTTCTTTGACATGGTTCTTTCAAATCAAGCAGGCGATTTAAGGTACGTTGCGCACTCTTTCCTCCTTCTTGCCTTGAATATTGTTATATTGATGAACGCTTGAACTAATATCATTCATTGATATTGGTTTTAGGCGCAAACTGGAGGACTTGGTCATTGACTTGTTTCGGGAAAAGGATATCTCGATCAGGGTCACTCTGGGTCAGATCGTTGCTTCATTGAGTAAGGATAACTTTTTTCTATGTTTCTGAGAGGTGTTTGTCATGAGAAGGAAAAAAAGGGTGAAAACTAACTTTCTTTCTTCCTCTCTCATTCATGCCGTTCTTGTCAGACCCGACCAAGATTATTGCCATCTACGGACCTGAGATCAACTCTACCGACGGCATCGTGCGCTCCAGAGCAGAATCCGTTTTAATTGAATGCATGCTTTCTCAGAGACGAGACGCGTCCATGAGCGATGGCTTTGTTGTTTTTCTTGAGTATATTCGGTAAGTAAGCGCGTTTCGAATGTGCCAAAGGTGCAAGTTTCGTATCCATGAATACTATATTCAACCCTAACTATATCCTTCCTTTGATAGCCGTGTCGGTCGATCAAGAGCAAACCACGAAGGTGCATCGACCAAGCCCAAGACCCCTTCTCAACTCGTTGCAAAAATTCGGTCATTGGACTCAAATCCAGCGCCACCAAGTACGTGCATTAATGTTGATTGTTTAGTTGTTGGCATGTTTAACAACCACAGCAACTGACACTCAAAAAAACTGACAATCAACATGATTTGACCTCGCGCTTTTACACAGGTTCACACGTGGACTCTCTCGACAAGCTACTCCGTGTGGTCAAGATATTCGGTGAGACGATTCCCTCGACTTTGTGGGACCGCCTCCTTTCAGAACTAATTGCAAAGTCTTGTGGGTCACATTTTGATCCTATCCTTTCCCGTGCTTGGTCACAGCTGTCACCATCGATCGTCAAAAGCGCGAACGCTGTTTCAGCTCTTTTTGTCCTTGTCAGTGACATTCTCGAACAACAGGGTGAGCTCACCGAGGAGATGCTGGAAGCTGCATTGGATGCAAGTGATGAATCACTCGATGACCTGCGGCTTGCTCGACTTGCCCCACTCGCGGTCCTGAAGGTAACCTTGTTCATTTTCTGTTTTTCATGACTTCGAGAAGGGATTGTACCGACAGCCAACACTAATTTTTTCTATTTTCTCTATTGAACATAAAGACACTACCCATTGAACAACTCGAAGAAGTACGCCTGTTAACCACGAAGGATAACGAGCATGTGTCTGTCGCTGAACGCCTCAACCAGCTACTACGTTCTAGGTAACCAATTCTCTTTGTCCAGATGAACAACGTCCCCTTTTTGTTCCTTTCATTTGACATACAATCTAACTATACTCTGTCTATCTCTTTTGTTTCATACTTTGCGCGTCGTACAAAAGGGTAAACAATGCCTCCGAATTTGGATCGGTCAAAAAACAGGCAAAAGAGCTCGCGGGCGATCTTTTCCCTTACCTCTCGTCCCAACACCCTATGTAAATAATTCTGCTTAATTCAATGAGAATAAAATGAACCTTGGGGCGAACAAAAAACAAAAAGAGGCATGGCGTCAATGGTTTATTAGAAGGAGAAAAACAACCCATAAGAGATAAAGGTATCAATGGTTGTGATAGCTACATTGCAAAAGGAAGAGACGCGTTTTATGAAAAATGGCAAAAGAAAGCGCCCAACGTGGGGGTCGAACCCACAGCCTTCAGATTAAGAGTCTGACGCTCTACCGATTGAGCTAGCCGGGCTTTGATATCTGCTGACTTTTTAGCACATTCATATTCACAAGGTTAGACTATGACTCATTTATTTCCCTCTCTATATGGATGTGCTAAAAAGTCAGCAGATATCAAAGCCCGGCTAGCTCAATCGGTAGAGCGTCAGACTCTTAATCTGAAGGCTGTGGGTTCGACCCCCACGTTGGGCGCTTTCTTTTGCCATTTTTCATAAAACGCGTCTCTTCCTTTTAACGCCGTGCACCTTTCTTCTTGAATGCTTTCGGGGGGTGGTCTTTTTGTGTCTTTATTAATCAATGAGTTCAGTGGACTCTCCTTTTGATACACCATTGTGACGAGAAGAACGGTGAGAGTGTGGTAAAAGGTGAGCTGTAAGGAGACGGTGGCGATGCATGTGGTAGTGAGACGCGTGGGTAGGTCGTTGATAAAAATAGGGTGAGGTTGGGTTGCACAGGGCATCGAAGGCTATCGTTTGGGCGCTGGTTTACTTTTTTTTTTTTGTGCTCACTTCCTTTCCTTTTTCCTCTTCTCCCACTTTACTTTGCCTCATCTCCTTTCATCTTGCTCTCACTCTCACCTTCCTTCTCCCCAATCCTCGTGGGATTCATTCACTTGTCGTCCCTTTTTCCTCACATCCATCGCACCCACTCACACGACCACGACAGCTACAAGAGACACTCTCCTTTTTTTCGACATTCATTCTCTTCACTAACGAAAAAAAAAAGAAACGTCAAAACATGCAGGAAATGAAGGTTGGCCCAACCTCGGGTGCCGAGTACCTACTTCGCCGACAACAGGGGCAGAAAATGAAGCTCAAGGAGAAGTTTGTCGAGATCTACGACATGTTCCTGACTGTAACGTCGACATTCAGTCTGTTGTCTATGCCATCACTGCCACTGTTCCTTTTGCCAGTCCTCGCATGTCCAAATGAAAAATCGTCGCTAATTTATTTTCTGCGCTTTCTTTTCGTTCTTGTTCCTCATGCGGGGCATGGATAGGGTCAAGACCCGGCACAAGGGAAGGATCCTGAAGCGTTTTGGGATGAATTGTTTCTGATCAAGGTAAGGAAGAAAAATGCGTCCGAGGAACAAGAGTTGTGAGAAAGAAAGAAAAGGCCAGATCGTCCAGAAGTTAAACACTCCCTTTTGGAGATATACAATAGGTGAATGAGGAGTACCTCGCGTCGAGTCTGCGCCAACTGTCCGAGGACCAGCTACTAGCCATCAAGGATGGGATCAACAGCATCTTCCTACACGCTGTCCAGACTATGCGGGATCCCATGCCCCAGCGTCGTCTTCACGCTATGCAGGTATGACAGAATAGGCTGTTTTGTGATTATTCTTAACGTTTGATTGCCTTGACTTAGCCTTTAAATTGAAATTGAGCCTGACTCTCGGGATCTCCTCTTTTTGCTCCTGCTTCTGCGCCGTTATCTAGACGTTAACCGTTGTGCTCGGAGAAATCTTTCGTAAAAAGTTCCACAACTGGAGCTTCGATGTTATCCACCTGCTGGTAGGCTATGTTTATTTACTTGCTTGCTTTGGCTCTTTCGCACAATAATCTGCATGTGAACAACTTACGCTCAACGTTCTCACGCCTTACTTTCTTTTCAACTGCTAGACGGGCCTTTCGCATGCGGACCTTGTATTCAGAACACTCCTACATGAGCTCTGCACCATTTTGGATAGTGAGGAATCATGTACGTCAACAAATGAGTATCCTCTCCCGACGTTGGTTTGTACCTCTGTTCAAATGCAAAACATTCGTTCTGACCAAAAACCATTTCTCTCCTTCTGAAACAATAGTACATATGCAAGTCGTGGCGCTGCGGCTTGCAATTGCTCTGGCGTGTGGAAATGACAATGTGAACAAGAACAGCTTGAACGAGTATTTTATGCAAAAGGACATTTTTCCTTCTCTGATCAAGGTATGCTACAACTTGGACAGATTTGCTGCTTTGTGTTCAAGAGAATCAGTGGTCATGTAATTTAGCCAGCTACCTTTTTTCTTCAATGGCAAATAGTTCTTTGTCAAGGTGAATTCTATCGAGCTGGCGTTTGAGGCAATGTCATTGTTGGGTTTGCTGGCGAACTACAACAAGTACGAAACTCAGAACCGCTACCTTGCAAGTTTGGCTGCCCTGAACGACGACGTTATCCTCCGGAAGATGGCAATGGTGATCGCACACACCTGCGACAAGATGCGAAAGTAAGTTTCCGTTGATGTTGCAAGGCTTCAAAAACTGCGGCAAAGGATGTTGATTTTACAGGTGCTGATCAGAATTAAAATCTTCTAAGCATAGGTCTTACACGGAGGTCATGGATGACGATGAACAGTCAACGGTCTCCAAGTTGACGAGCGCGTTCTCATATGTAACAGGGATGCTGTGGAACCCCAAATCGCAGGACATCTCGGTCACAGATGAGGCATTTGCAAGGCTGTAGGTTTATCTTGGTCGTTTTTCCTGTCATCACGAACGGTTTTCAGTGCCATGTAACCACAGTTATTCTTGACGGTATTGACTGACACCTATTAATTTTTCAAGGCCGGACGGAAGAGTTACAGTGCTTCTCGTCTTCTATGATCTTATTTACACCAACAAGCGTTTCCTCAGGGTTTTCCTCAACTACTCAACATCATCAACGCCGGGCGCAGTCCAAGACAACACCACTGGACAGCAACCCAATATGGATGTTAGCGAGACGGGACTGGGTGCCTTCTTGTCCTTCTCATCATATATTCTCCAGCACAACCGGACAAACCGAAGTTCGCCATATACCCATCTCTGTCTGATCATCCTGTTGATCTTGGTCGAGGATTCAACATCATACCCACACCTTTGCAACATTCCTCAGTCGCAGGACTCCACCTTTGCGACCGCTGCCAATGCTGCTGCCACGACGTTCGGAGCCAATGCTCCTTCTTCGACGGGCGTGATTCGTCTTTGCCGCCAAAGGCAGCCTGTTCTTCCAAAGTTCAAAGGACCCGTACCTATGGCTGCAGCACTTCTCGATGTTATTCTTGGATTCTTGAAGCATAATATGAAGAAGAAAATGCAGGTCGACTGCTTCCGGTGAGTCATCAAGATGTTTGCTTGAAAATGGCCAACTGTGTGTAGTTTCAATGACAACAGATTTTGACCTTATTGACACCCATCTTTCTTTCTTGACCTAGCATCGCTGTCGCTATTATCTTTAACATGGCAGCCCGCTTCAAGGCCCTCCGAGTTCGTCTTCGTAAGTCTGGCAACCTAGGATGCTTGGTTCTGGAGACGACTTTTACAGTGCCAGCAACATGACACTAACTTGATGGTTTTTGCCATTTTTCAAACAGCATATCATTGGGTGGAGATGTGGAACACGCTACAGGGGCTCGTCAAGTTCCTGCAGGCAAATGCCAAAGTCTTCCAGAGCCAGCCCGAGGCTCGCGATCTGGTTGCGGAGGTAACGACTTGCTATGATTTGCAGCGGTTACCATGTCAATTTTATGCCCTTGAGCATTTGATCTAAACGCCATTTCTCACTTTTATTGGATAGACGATCGATTTGGTGAACTACTTTGTGACATTTGGAGACATGATTATGCCGGATCCAGCAAGTCTTTATGCGTTGTATTATGAGATTGTGCGCTCGGGCATCGATCCCTTCTCGGACCTTGCCAAAGAATGTAAGTCAAGCAAAAGTCAAGTGAACTTAAAACTCTTATTTGATTTTGGTGGCGTGTTTTTCGCTCTGCTAATCAACTGCCCTTTTTTTAGTTTCGATCTCAGTGCAACCACCACTGCCAGCTCCTCTGCCCCACCACGACCTCACATCCCGCAACCGCCTAAACCTCGCATCATCTCCAGTCTCCAGTCCTCCAGAGTCAGTCATCGGCTCCCCACCTCCAGGATCGGTCTCAGTCCTGGGTTCCCCTCCACCATCCCCCTACCATCCGAACCCACACTTCCGATCGGCTTCGCCCTCTAATAGTCACCATCACCACCAACAACGCGTGATTATCTTGAGCCTGTCGAACATTAATCAGGTCTACACGTTCTTCTTTTCACATCTCCTGGCCTGGCGCGATGCCAACCCTACACGCAGCCTGGGTCCTGATCTGGTCTCGACGATTATCAAGGATCATTACCAGGATTTGACCTTGGTACCAAACACGCTTGACAGTTTCTTGGCCATGCGACAGAACGGTACTGCAGGATTGGGAGGTGGTCGAAATGGTGGCGGATACGGTAATGGTGCTAGTGGTCTGTCAACACACACTCCAGTTGGGTCTTCCCCCGTCAACGGACTGGGTCCTCATCCGGCCTGGGATGGGTACACAGAGGTTCCAGGAAAAGTTTACTTTTTCAGGCAGCTCACTCGATGGATCGTATCAGATTTCAGGTCCATATCTCGTCACAATGCGTCCTCTGTGGCCCTCCCAAGCATCTCAAAAGCCACATCCTAGAATTGTTCTCCACTCAAAAACTGCATGTCACCCAAAAAAAAAAAATGCTCTTAAAATAAAAAGAAAAGTTTGCACGTTTTCTGCGATCTGTTTAGTCCCTACATTATTATTACCAAGAATTAAAATCGCCAAAACCACGCGAGACAGTCTTCTTCTTCTTGGGAGGTTCTGGGGCTGCTGACGCGTCGTCCGCCCCATCTGCTTTCGATTTAGGATCCTTACTCGACGACTCTGCAACAGCTGTGGCGGCCGCGAGATACTTGCCCACACCGCCTCCAACAGTTCCACCTCCCTCAACGTCGCGTTTAATCGTAGGTCCGAACCAAGTCGAGTGATCCAGCGGGTTCTCCTTCTTGATAGGGTTCGATTTAGCCTCCTCTTCATACTTGCGCTTGCGTTCCAGTCTCTCGGTGAAAGTTTGATATGGGTCGACAAAAATGCTGACATCTTGCATGATAATGCCCGGTGGTGAGATTGGGACATCGGTGTCTTCGTTTGTTGGAACTAGCTCGAGCTTGTCCAGTACGTCCATACCGCCTACAACCTTTCCAAAGACTGTGTGCTTTCCGTCCAAATGCGTGCATGGCTTGAATGTGATAAAGCTATGGAATGAAGTGAAATGGCGTTAGCAGGCTGTTCTATAGGACATGCTTTGGTTCACACCATACAAACAATTACAAAAAGGGAGGCTTACAATTGAGAAGAGTTGGTACCAGGTCCCTTGTTCGCCATGCTGAGCATTCCTCGAGCGTTGTGGGAAAGCTTGGCCCTGATCTCGTCCTTGAAGTTCTCCTTCCAGTATGATTCGCCTCCGCGTCCGGTGCCTGTGGGGTCACCTCCTTGAAGCATAAAGTTCTTGATCTTGCGATGGAACTTGACATCCTTGTAGTATCCCGACTTGGCCAGCATAATAAAGTTGTAGCACGTCCTTGGCGTCTATGTGGAAAAGTCGGAAACAAAGTGTGAGTCGACGATGTTGCAACGGGGTACTGTAGAAAACAGTCACTTCAAGGTATAGGTTCTTGAGATGCGATTTATCGTACCTGGTCGCAGAAGAGCTCAATGTTAATTTTTCCAAAGTTGGTGATGATGCTTCCGTATCCTTTGGCCTTGATCAAGGGAAACATGTACTCCTCATGACTCATCAGGGCGCGTTCGTTGGTGGTCGATACGCTGACGGCGGTTGAGGTCAACGAGGCACTTGCGCGTCCAGTAGTATACGATGCTGCGTTGTAAGCCAATGCCGGTTTGTTCGCCATGGCATCCATCGCCTTGTTGGCAGTGCCTCCCACAGCCTTGGTTGCCTCCTCCTTCTTTTTCTTTTCGACCGCCGCCTTTTCGATCTTTTCCATGTTGAGCTGCGAAAGAATCTTGCCTGTTGACCCCTGCTGGTTGATATTGTTCATCGGATCCCGCTTCTTCTTTTCCTTCTCTATTAGTATATTTAAAGTTGGGACAAGGAATAACAATTGTGGGGTGAGTTGCCGGTTGGCATAAGCGGTATATCGAGCTTGTTCATCCACAAATCCATATGATCTCCTGTTAACCAGAATGATTACCTTCATTCAATGCTGCAAGGTCATTTTTGACGTAGTGGAAATCAGCCAAGTTCTTCTGATTGTGAGGATCCTATGTGTTTCATACGAATAAGTTGTCGGGTTTTGATTAGATACCGAGTCTGCGTTGTCGTGATAACACTTGCGATTGATCACGGCAATCCAGCAGACACAAGTACCTGGATGGTAATGATATCCTTTCGCGAGAATGACTCGTCTGTCATGAGATCCTTCCAGAACTTTGCCTTGATGTTGAGTCGCTCCACAGCCTCGAATGCATAGACGTTTCCTGAAGTTTTGATGGCGACAATATGGGTATTTTCGTTGAACACTCTCAGGGTGATCGGGCAGTGGTATTCATCTAAGAAGGGAATTCAACCGAGATAAGTTATCTCGGTTCTTTCTGAGCTCTGAGTACCATCGTGTAGATGCATAGCGAAGTGATTATTTACCGTTGGCATTTTTGAAAAAGTTAAGTTTGATCAGTGTCTTGGGATCGAGTTTCTCTCCTGTCGCAGGGTTCGTTCCAAACTTTTTCAGGTATGGGACAATGTTACTAAAGGAAGAGAGCGATTAAATCGATCGATCGATGGTTAGTTATTTGCATGTATTGCAGGAGGGTTGTGAGAATATGCTACCGTTTATGATCTGCCGTTTTATCGTTCAATCGCTGCCTGTTAGAACCTTACACAAGGTCAAAGATGATCCCGTCTTCGGTGCAGACGGGGTGCTCAAAGGGTTGGAGTGAGAGCGAGCAGCAGTCGAAGGGCAACCGGCGGAAGATCTGGGTGTTCCTGCGTCCTCCTGCGCCTCCAAAGATCATACCGCCCTCCGAGAACTCGTTGCTCCACTCGGAGTGAGTGATGTACATCTTGTCTAGAAATGACAAGGACACACGAAACGAATGAATGTTAACCGAGTGTCATTATATGTATTCCTTGTCTCCCTTGCATATCTGTGATGAGTGGGGCTGCTGTTCTTGCCTGTTCCTTTTCCCATGATGTCCTTGTGGTCGTCTTGTTTTGGTGGCGGAGTGGAAGTGCGAGCGAAGAGATGGTTGACCAGGAGTTGCGAGGTTCTCAAGAAGAGACAACAAAAAAGAAGTGTCCGTGACTGTTGAATGCTAATCAAAGAGCAGACGATGGCCAAGCACGTTCAACACCGCCAATAATGAATTGGATATGAGAGCCCTTTCTCTCTGAATACCTATTCCTGTTCGCACTCACAGCCTCGGTCTCTCTTTCTCTCTCTCTCTCTCTCTACTCTTCTCTCTTCTCTCTTTCTTCTCTTCTGCACTCCAGCCCGCATATACATACTCATTCCCACCTCACTCCCGCCTCACTCCCGCCTCACTCTCTCTCAGCTCACTCTTCACTCCCGCCAAACACCACACCGCGTTGCCGATCAGTTTTTTCTTCTCACTGCTGGTCGCTTCTTTCGAAATCACGCTTTTTGTCTCTCGCACTCATTCAACAACAACAATCAACAAACAACCAACAACAACCACACAAGAAGCAGAAGGAACAGACATACCAAAATGGAACAGTCGACAGGTCTTCCTGTAAGGATAGAACAATACCTAGAAGCTCGATATCAGAAGGAAAAAAAACGATCATAGACTCTTATTCTTGACCACACCGAGAAAAAAAAACTGACTCTTCGGTATGATATCTGCTGCAAATAGATGACCAACGTGCTCATGTTGAGCTCAATCCTGCTGGTCTTCCTCTGCTTCCTTGTTCAGCTCTCGTACGAGAACTACGCCAACATTCTTCATCTGCACCACTCCCACCCAAGTCACTACCACCACCACCTCCACTCTCCTTCCCCGCACTCACCACTTCTCAGCCCAGGTAAACAATCAAACTATCTGGTATTTGACGGAAAACAAACAATAACGCGTTTAATATCTGGAGGCGACAAACACTATTGTATTGCAACTGCTGTTTTCATCTCAATTTCGCTTCTTTGATTACCCTTGTGTTCAATCGTGTCTCTATCGTCGGATGTATTGAACCTTGCGCCGGAGTAAACACGAAAAGCAGGAGTACCAACACGGGGCCTGCCTCTCGGGTGGCCACCAGCCACACACCAAGCGAGATAACAACAAAGAACAGGACAATGAGAAGAGATTGAGCAAGGAAAGAGAGATGGCTAAGGCGACCACTCGGATGTGCAGGATGTGCAGGGAGGATAAGACTCATACATTGTGCTTTTGTCTCCTGGAGATCTAAACGGGAGAAGAGACACCAGCCCATGGCGATACCATCTGGGCTATGGGCTATCTTTTTTTCCGTCATTTGTGTCGTACCGACAGTTGGATCTTTTCTGGACCTTTACTTATATCCTCTTTGTCTCTCTTTCTTCTCAACTGCTACCCTTGTCTTTTCATGTAGGCAAATCAAAGAGGTCGTAAGAAGAAAGGCAACAAAGGATGCTCCTGGATACACCCCTAGTCGTCCTTCTTCCTATTCCCTTGATTCCAGAGTGTGTGGCAGTTGCTCCATTTCTTTTCAGTTGTACCATAGTCCTTTTCATTCATTCATCCAACATAGCATTCATCCATTCCCTTGTCTTCTTTTTTATTCTCTCTTCACTCCCACCCCCTTTCATTGCCATTGCAAAAGAAGCATTTTAGCCACTCCAGCATATTTCTGTTTCTGTTTCTCTTTCCTTCCTTCCCTCCCTTGTACATTTAGTCGCGCCACTTCGCCAACACCCTTCATCGCACAAATAACACAAAAGAAAACAATGCGCCAATGCAATCATTTGAGACACTCTTCCCCATGTTCACACGGTCCAGTCCAAATAATTCGCAATAGCCTCCCTCTCTCCACTATTTTGTTTGTCTGGAATAATGCGGTCTTCTTATCCATCTCTGCTGCGAAGACATGGAACGAGAAAATGGGAAAGATGAAAGATTGCGCACCGCCTCGCATGTGGTCCCTGTTGTCTTGCCGTGTTCCCTTTGATGTTTCTCTTGTGTTCCCCTGCAAAAATGAGGCGAGGGTGCCTTTTTTTTTTCTTTTCTTTCTTGTGAGCAGTTCTATTTCTTTCTTGGTTGGTCAGGGTTCCTTCTTCTTTCCTTGGCCTGGAAACTTGTTTTCGCTGGTTTGTTTGTGCCCAGAGGTGGCGTAGATTAAGAGAGTCTCCAGGTAACCCTGACGAAGTATTCTACAACGCGTGCGATACATTCGATGACCACTGCTTTGCTCTTTTGTTTATTTGTTGGCTATCAATCAGATCGATCGTGCATCCAAGAGGGTGTCTCTAGTGAGTTAAGAGAGAGAAGCAAACCCAAAAAAAAAAAAAAAAAAAAAAAAAAAAAAACCAACGAGGGAGGGAGAGGGTAAGAGGGAGAGAGAGAGAATAAGGTACGGAAATGAAAGGGTTGTCTTCCAATTTGTCTAGGATCTCCCTGAGTCCACAAAAAAAACCAAATAGTGAACATGTCAGTCCTAACCAACTTTGTATGTTTGAGCCCGACCATGTGGCAACCTTTACATAGCTCATGGTCAATGTTTATTACACAGTGACCTGGTACTTGAAGAAAGAAAAGTAAACAAAGCGAGGAATGATATACCAATGACCTCGCACATATGTACGAGGGTGTGGGGTGGGCATTCGAATTCTATAGATGGATCCCATTTCCTTCCCCCGTTGAAGTCACTGGTGTACTTGTTGCAAGCAGCTGGCTAAGTTGAAGGAAAGTACCTTTCAATTCTCGCAGACCTTTCTCTTTTCCATTCATTGTATATCTCGTCCATGAGATGGAGCAATTGAATGTGTTCATGCTATCATAGAGCTGGCAGAACACGGACCAGCCCAGGCTGGAATGTAGAATGAGGGCGATTTTATCCCATCGAATCATCGATCCGGGACCTTGCTGTTTGATCAGGCATGGGGCGCAATCGAGTTATGGAAGGATTGCCGAACCCTTGTTTCCCTTTCTTGCTAAAGAAAGGGTGTCTATCCGTGTTGCTATGCACACCATGGCATGTAGAGCATCGGTGTTGCTGCTCCTGGCTTTCTCTTTTCCGTTGGCAATGGAAGGTCGAACCCAACAACAACATTGTGCTCTCATCTGTTGTTCGTCATCTCTATAGCAATGGAATCGGACCTTTCTCATTATGATGTTCCTTCTCGTCTTCTCTTCCCCTTTGACTTTCCTCTCTTTTCTTTGCTCCTTTTGTCTTTCTCCCCTCCTTTATATCTCCTTTGCTCATTCATAAAAACACAGCCTCCACAATACACAATCAATCTCCGTTACGACTCTTCACTCACACCGCACGACCTAGACTCTCTTCTAGCTCACGCTCACACCCTCCTCCTCTTTCCTTTTTCTTCTTGTGAGCAAAGCACGGCGTCAAAGCAAAAACAAAAGCAAATGATTCTCCATTCAAATCGACATATCTCACGTTACCTTTGCCTTCTCTCCATCGCGACATTTCTTGCCAACACCTCATGGTCAATAGTAGGCTCTGCCGACGCGACAATAGGATGCTCTCACTACAAGGGCGGATCTGCATGCCCTGCCGAAGCCCCCTGCTGCCAATCGGGTTGGTGCTCAAATGCCCAGTCCTTTTGTTCCTTGGCCCTAGGTTGTCAACCTGAGAACTCGCATAACAGTAATACCTGCCTGCCTCTACCAGAATGCGTGTCTTTCACCGAGGTAAACCACAATGACGCGCTGGTGGATAGGGATGATATTATGGGGATAGGATGAGCGATAAATTACAACCCTTATTCGTTGTTTTTTTCTTCTTGAAGTGAAAAAAAAAAGATTGACAAAGTGGTTTTTCTTTCTTCATTTTTTTTTTTTTTTTTTTTTTTTTTTTTTTTTTCGTTGCCAATGCCAACCCTTGCACATTTGTTAGAACTTCAATTCGATAGACACGGTTATTGGACATGCAAACTTCTCGGGAAACCCATTAGACGCGGCCTGGACGTCAGATTTCCAACCCAACAATGCTCGCATCGAGAAGGGCAACTTAATCCTCAAACTACAAAAGGGAAACACTATCAACAAGTTTGGAAACAAGCCTGGCTTTGGTGCCACCGTCTCCAGCACCAGGTATTTTTTTTTTTTGCAAAAGCGGATGTTATTCTTGATGTCTTTAAGAATTGTTTTCATGGCCACTAGTAGTACTATGTTCGATCCAATGTTTTCGCGTTGATTGACACGTTCTTCCTATTTTCTTTCCTTCACCGATAGATGGATGCTGTATGGAACGGTGTCGGCGAGGATCAAGTCTGGATCGCTCAGTGGAGGAATCATCTCATCGTTCATCTTCCGCAGCTCCTTGACCGGTGACGAGATTGACTACGAATGGGTTGGCAGGGATCCTACCGAAGTTCAAAGCAACTACTACTGGGTAACTGTCTTTCCCATTTTATTTGGGGCACAAAAACAAAAGCGTGTTAATTTTTTGTTGTTGTTGTTGCCAAAAACGCGAACAATCCCCCGCTTACATAACGCGTCTTATTTCTGAATTTTTTTTTATAGAGAACTCCAGCAAACATGGACCCAAAGGACATCGACTACAGCCACTCGGATCGCAAAGATATCGGAATCCATCCCGCACAAGAATACCAAACCTACACCATCGAATGGCTCCCCAACAGTCTCACCTGGTTCATCAACGGAAAAGTCATTCGTACCCTCCTCCGGTCAGAAGTCAACGGTACCAAATACCCCAACACGCCTTCTCAGATTCAATTCAGTATCTGGGATGGAGGTTTATCAGACCCCGAGACCCGCGAGTGGGCTGGGGGGCCAACAGTCTGGGAGGAGGGACAACCCGCGTATGAGATGATGGTTGATTGGGTTGATGTCAAGTGTCATTCTCCAGTGGATCCGAACGCTTGGCCGCCAAAGGATAAGGGGTACCAGAATTTTGTTAATCCATTGGCGAAGGACACGTCGTCGCCGTTGGCCAAGGAGGCTATTGTGTTGGGGGATAATGCGCCAAAGTTCTCGACACTTGAGAATGGAGGGTTGCATTGGGGACGGTTTAATGGTGGTGGTGGCAAGTCGCTGGTTGGGAACAGGTCGCCTCTTCCCAAGTGGAACCAAGGTGTATCACGCTTTGGATCTAGATCTGGATCGTCGTTGGCCTGGATATCATTGGTATCCGTCTTTTCTGTCTTTGTACTTCATGTTCTTTCATTATAAAGTACGGTTCTTGAGCAGGAACAAAGCAGAAGCAAACCCATTTGTTATTCATACTCATAGTGTGTCGCAATCAAGCATGTCCCACATCCAATGAAACCTTTTAAATGTCCAACATGACTATACAGAATGGTATCAAACGGTTTTTTTTCTCCTTTGTCCAACGATCCGTAGTTGTCTTTTCGTGTGGTTAATTTTTTTTTGTTTGCAAAAAGGCTAATTTATGTTATTTTTATTTCTGCGAGAGGGGGGATAGTTACAAGTACAAAACAAAAGAGGGGAAAAAAAAAAAAAGAAACTAGAAAAAAATACACACACAAACAACTTTATGGCTCGGGCTCGGGGGTACCCTCCTTCTCATGATGCAAACAATGGTCCTCAGCACCCGAGATATGCAAATGCTCCAACAACCGACCGGTCGAAGACTTTGGCACGACTGTTGCGCACTCACAGCTCGAAATCACCTCATTACCCACATACAAGGGTAACTCTGAGATTAAAGCAGGCTGGTTGACATCCATAAAGTGAACAGTGTAACGGAGGACGTGTGAGATGTTGAGCCAGCCGAGTCCACGCTCGGTAGGGATCAATTGGTGGTTGTCGACCCGGAGATCAAACTCGATGGGCTTGAAACGGCCGAAATCCATGTCTGCCTCGTCGTTGGTGACCAGGTGGATCGAGGAGACGAGTCTAGAGCTGTTGATGACACAGGTTTGTCCCTCACTATCAGGTGGTTGGAGAGTATGAATAGAAAAAGAGCAATTAGCCATGTTGTTTGATGGGAATGTGTATTTTGTTCCAAATAAGGCATCCTAAGGTCATTGGGCTGTTGACGCATCGGAGGAGAACAATGAGGGGGAAGAAATGCCAATGGGAACACAAGGACACGATACCAGCCAAAAAAAAAAAAAAAAAAGGGTGGAATAAAAGTAAAAAGAGGAAAGTAAGAAGTAAGAAGTAAGAAAGAATTACACTAAAGGAGATAGCCTGAACGGATGCAGGAGAAGGGACCAACGGGAGATTGACGATGAAAGGAATGTGTTTGCTTATCCCTCCTAACCTCCCTTTCTTCCTTGTCCTCCTGATCCTCCGCTGTGCACCAAAAAAAAAGGCTCTTCTTTTCCCTTTCCGGCACACTAACGCACGCATAAACACACCCTCCTCTTTGATCTGATCTCCCCGCCGTCAACTGATGGCGAGAAGAAGGCAGATAACGCAAATAGAAGCTGTCGGACAAACAAAGGCAAAGAAAGATGGGGTAAAGAGGAAATAAAAAGAAAAACCAACGCTTCTGTTAAGTGAACTTACATGGAAGCATTCTTGGTGACATAGTCGATGTCCTCAAGCTGGATGATGGCACAGTCGACCTCCTTGATCACGAACTCCTTGCCACGGGCCTTGAGCTCGGCCTTGGCCAAAAGACGATCCTGTCCGAGAACCAAATGTCCGGGGGCCGTCAGCTTGCTCCTGTACTGACCGGGGCGATCCATCGAAGACGTCAGGTCGTTATCGCTGGTGGGACCGATTGGGCGGCGGAGGATCAAGTCGTGCTTGACCACACGGGTGGACGAGAAAAAGTAGTTGCGGCGCAAGGTTGCATGGATCTCGTACTTCCAGTCGATGTAAGGTGTGTCGAGTTTGTTGATCAATGTTGGAGGCAAATCGCCAGGGTGAGGGAGATCGATCCTGAAGGGAATGAATTGCTCGCCAGCCTCGAGCTCAATGGTTCCACTGCCGTTGGTGTCGTTTGCTGCCACAAGGTCGACAGTGACCTCGACCAAGTTATCGCGAACCAGCTCCTGATCAACTGACCCGCTCTTTATCATTGCTCCGACTATTTTTTTTTGTGAGAACGGTGAAATAGCGGGTAGATTATGAGCGATGGGCCAAGTCAGCATTTGAACTCAAGGGAAGAAAAAAGGAACAAGGCGATCTTTGCATATCATGTTTCGCTTGTGTTTTGAAAATCTTCAATAGGGAAAGGAGGAATGCTTACTGTGTCCATGAATGGCGATGGTGGCGACCTTGAAGGACTCTGACCTCTCGAGATTGAGGGTAATGGCACCGCTGAGAGTCTGGTAATTGGTTTGGTTCAAGTCGAGCTCGACAATGAAGGGCTGCTCGGTGTCGAGCTGAACATCGTAAGTAAATCCAAAACCCATGGTGAATGTAAGTATGTGTGAAGTGTGAGAGTTTGTGGTTGCTTTGGTTGATGTGAAAGTGGAAAGAGAAAGAGGAGGGTGAAGGGGGATAAAAAGGAGGTAGTAGCAATTGAGGGCGTGAAAAGTTGAAGGAAAAAAGGATAGTAAGAAAGAGAAAGAAGGAAAAAGAAAAAGGGAAGAACTAAATGTTTAAATAATAAACCCGTGGACGGTCAAGAAAGGGGGAGATAATCTTCTTCCGGGGAGGTATGCTTGACTAACTTGGCGTAGAGGGAAAACCAGACAAGTGGACACCCGATCTCTTTTCTTGTTATCAGGTTGTTATTGAGTCCATCTACTTTTCTAACCGAGATTCCGTACTCACTGGAGACGAGGGTTTGGTAACGGTGCATTGAAATAGCAAAGTGAATGGTGCATACGAAAAAAAAAAAAAAAAAAAAAAAAAAAAAAGAGACTGGTTTAGTGAGCAGATCCCAATAATAAACTCATTCACAGGTTGTGAGCAATGGTTGACTGAGTATGATGATGAGAACTGAAATGAAAGGGACGCCTTTTTTTTCTTTCTTCGTCTCCGAAAAGGAAAAAGAAAGAAGAACGGCGGACTGGGCTGAATGGGTGAAATGCCATGGGGATGAATGCTCTTCTCTGTAAAGGTATGTACAAGTTTCATTCACCCTTCCTCCCCAGGATGCCATGCTGGGAGAAGGGAGAAGGAAGGCGCAGACACATCATAACCCATGCTCGCTTATTACAATCCTCGGGTTTCGACCAAAAATGAATCATCTTTGTTCCTTTGATAAGTTGGATGGAGTTGGAGAACAACGTCTTGAACTAGATAACAGGAACTAACTAATGAGCATAGCCGAATGTAGGCAGGGTTGTCGGGTGAGCCTTGTCGACATCATTGTCCACCACATCGCCCCGCAGTCAGTCATCGATCGCTATCTTTTTTTTCTGTCCCTTCTTCCTTCCTCCCTCCCTTGTGTTTCCTGTTCTGTCCCTTCTTTCTTCCTCCCTCCCTTGTGTTTCCTGTTCTGTCCCTTCTTTCTTCCTCCCTCCCTTGTGTTTCCTGTTCTGTCAATTCATAGCCGAACAAACAAACAAAAACAAAACAAACAGAAGGATGATCGGCTTAGTTAGTCGTTGTTGAGTGTGATGGTGCCGTTTTTCGCGCCAAAAGTAGACACGCTAATACGGAAAATATTAAGGTACGGGTCGCTCATTGAGCTGCGTAGCTTACCAGGGCCGACACGGAGGGATAGAACACACCCTTTGAGACACCAAGGCATGGGATGTACAGGTGTAGCTGAAGCTGAAAAAAATAATATAAGGTGAACTTGCTTGGGCAATGATGACAATGATACTGGCAACAAATGACGATGGAATAAAAAATATAAAAATAAAAGATACATTAGGAGTTAGGGCGTGAGGGGGAAGGAGTTGAGCAGGTGGACAAACCATGTTCCTTTTCCTTTTCCAGCAAGAGTGTACGATGCAGGGAGACAGTGAGCGAGGGGAGATGAAAAAAAAAAACTTGTCCTTCAGGTTGAGAGCTAACGATGTCCTTGTTCCTCTTTCGGGAATGCACTTTCAAAGTCCTCTTCTCTTTCTCCTTTGTCCTTGCTCAACACGCATACACACTACATATTCAACCTACCAACAACACGAGAGCACTGTGACCAGGCAATTGGATGCATGATGACATTTGCGCCGGAAACAAGGTCGGAGCGAGCGAGGAGGAACAGTATGTTTTTGTTCACTTGACAATTTCACATAAGCATTTCTCTGAATAAGCGCATCCTCGCATTCTTTCTTCCTTTTTCTTCTCTTTGTTTCTGGTTTCCCCCCCCTTTTTTTTTTACTTCTTCAAACATGCCTCACAACATATACAACGTCTATCTAATGCCCTTTGCCAGAAGAGGGTTCTGGCCGCTCCAACTCGCTTTCATACGTCGGCGGCAACTCATCTGAAATATCGGGCACGACAAGGTCGCCACGCTCAGGATACAACTCCCGGTACAGCCCCCCCGAATGATCCATGCGATGAGTATTTGAATCCAACAACGTTGTATGCTCGATGCCCTCGCCATATCCTGGAAGCGCCGAGTTATCCGGCGCGTGGTGATCGTGATGGTCTTCAATATGAGAGTAATCGTCGTCGCCTTGATGGAGAGCCCGAAGGGTGTGGTGAGTCCAGGGGTCCTGCAGGACCCTGCCAACAGTGAAGGGCGGTTTGACAACCATTGACCGGATAGACGAGTCTGCAAAGACGATGGTGAGTTGAACCATATGTCCGATCCTCATCCAGGTTGTGAACTCACACGGGAGCATGTTGGTATTCATTAGTGTCAGTTCGCACTCAATGGGATCTTCTCGACCCCAGGTGGATGAAAAGTCCTCCTGGTCTGGATTCTGTAGCACGACGACGTTGGAGATGGGGGTGGTGTGGTAGTACTGTGCGATTGAGCTCTGTTTCTGTCGTGGATGGCCCATCATCTGGTACGTCTCCTTTGTTGGCATTCTATTTGTTCAGGGATCGGAATACAACACATAATGGAATAAGTGAATGGAAGAAAACGATGAATAGTGGACGTACAACTGAGGAAAGGAAAGATGGAGGGGAAACAAAAGACAAGAAGGAGGGGGATACCAGATGTATCGAATAGGTACATACACGAATCGTTTGCCACGTTTCTGGAGGTCGTGTGAGTCCATGTCGAATTCGATACACTCGTTTTGTATAGCTCCGACTAGGACCTCCTTGACCTTGAACTGACTGCTGTACGCATGAATATACAGCTTCACCCTGAGCCGCTCCTGATCTAGCGCCACAAATTTCGAGGTGTGAATCGAGCACTCAATTTGACCATCGCGCGAGGCTCCAAACTGCGAAAACGCCGTGCTGGAAGGCTCAACCTGGACTCGTCTCATCTCCAGCTTCTTCCTGAACTCCTTGCGCCTCGATATCAGACCCACAGGAGTCCCGCTCGATACCAGGAAATATTCCCAACAGATGGAGGACTGCAACAGACTTGAACAATCGGTTGTTGCGATATCTCCAGGAATGTCGAGTTGGAAGGGGAAGGTGTATTCTCCTGGGAGGTAGTGTGCTGGGCTTGTCAAAAGGATGTGTTCGACCCTATCGATGTTGATGGGCTCACTCTTGACAGTCAGGACAGCTTTACCAAATTTGATGAAAGCTATCGTTTGTTATTTGGAGAGAAAAGACCGAGAATATAGTCTTGTTAGCCATGCGTTAACAAAAAAAAAAGAAAAGGTACAGCGTGATACTCCACTCTTTGCTGCAAAAGGATTCTTCTCTTTGTTCTTGTAAACCACCAACCAACCCTGCCACCCACGCCCAATCGACTTCACAATTGAATGAATAAAAGGTACGCTCTTTTGTACCTTGTCCTAGGAACGCCACGGTCAATTGTTTGAGCTGAAAAGGCTTTGTGACAGTCATGACCAGTTTTCCTGGGACTTTGTGAACCACAGCGCTGGGCGGTCCCAGGAACTCGACGAGTAAAGGGTCCTTTGTGTCGAGCCTTGCGTCGAGTGAAAAGTTGCTCATGGTCGTCTGTATGTTGTGGGGTTTTTTTTGACTCTCCGATAGGAATATGGGGTTGTTGGTGTCGGAGAGAGGAGATAATTGGATTGATTCAGGGCTGCAGAGGGGTATGCAAAGAATGGAGAGGAGGGAAGTATCGAGCAACGGTTGAGAAAAGGAGGTGAAAAAAGAACGACAGCAAGTGGGCAGGAGTATGGGTGTGTTTGTGTTTATTGGAAGAAAAGAAAGAGGAGAAAATAAGATTAACGAGCAAAGGGATAAAAAGGAGCAAAAAGAAGGTAGGGAAGGAAGGAGATAGCAACAACAACAACAACAATAACAATGATAATAAAAGTCGACGACTTCCTCCCTCTCCTCTCTCTGATGTGAATTGAGATGGACACGAAGAAGAGAAATAAACGCGCAATTCTCCGTTCCAGCCCCTGTCGACCTGTTGACTCAATTGAGCCCAGAGTGGGCGGGTAAGTGGGTGTCGTGCTCATACTTCTTCCACCTGTTCTCTGTCTTTTTTATGCATGTGTACAAGGTGCATGTATTTATTATGGGCTGTTTGTATCGCAGCAATCGATGGGCCATGACTCTATTGTGTTTGTTAAAGTTGCTGCTGCTGTAAACAACCTAAATGCACGCAGCCAACTAGCGTGCTCTTTTTTCCTCACGTTTTTCTTTTCTTTGAAGAAGCATTCGATAGAACGTCCCACCTTTTGTCCAACTGTTTCGTTTTCAACAATAAAGGTCAGGCCCAATCCTGTCCATGTCTATGCTGACGCCGTATTCGTCCCTAGCTATCCAATCAAGCTATCAACCACGAGCCAGGGCATACAGGGCGTTTATCCGTCGCAGGTCCAATGCTTAATTTTCTTCACGGTTCTCGTGACACTTTCCCACTGTTTTTCAGGAACACATCACACTCCTACCATCATCCTAGACCTGTTTAATTAAGCAAGGGGTGTTCTTGATCAGTGCGGTATCTTGACAATGGAGGATACCGGTGATAGAAAAAAAACGACGCAGCTTGCGCATGCTTCTCCACAGTTTCTACCTCCGCCACCACACTGCCGCTCCACTACCTACGCGAACCTGATGTGAGGTGTTTAGATTCGTGCGATCGAGACTGCCGGCTTGTATGGCTTGCTGGACATATCACGCGCGTTTTACAAACGAGGATTTTATCGTGATTGCCTGAAATTAAGCTCTCGCGACATGTGTAGTGGTCAATCACCGACATTTGGCATCGACATGTCGTCTTGTTTCTTTAAGAGCGTGACTTAAGCGTGAATAAAAAAAAGGTGGAATCTGGTTTATTGGCATGTTGGGGTAATCTGTCCAGGGTGTATTAATAAAAGGCCTCGTCCGTGTAGAAACAAAATTTGTCGCGATTGTGTCGTTCGAATTCTCTCTAGTCTTCGTCGCTGGCGATGCCATCAGAGTCGCTGTCTTCGGGAGGGACGTCGCGCAAGTCCTATCACAGTCGCGAGAAGCGATAGAAAAAAGAAAAAGAGAGTAGTGAGAAATCAAAGATCAGCGATTGGTTCAATTGTTAACTAATTAAAAACCCAAGGAATTCAACAGAACCCCGTCTCATGAAAAGTCTCCTTCGGTCATGGGATGCAGTGGTTAAAAAAAAGGTCAACTTACAACCTTGGCTGTAAGGGCCGCGTTCTCGAGGAACTCCTTGACTTCGGCATGAGTGTCGCTGGGTGCCTTATCTCCAGGAATCTGCTTCAACTTGTTTTGAACTATATTGACGTCAACGGAGACAGAGACCAAAAACAGTGAGAAAAAGGTCATGGTGCAACCAGGTTTTGTCAGAAATGATATATAATACGGCCAGAGCATGCATATTTTCTGTATTGCACGTGCAGGGGTCAGTAAAAATAGCCGGACTTTTTTTTCATGCCATTCCTTCATGCTTAGAGCCCATGAATGAAAGTGAGGCCCATTATTAAAACCGATCGACAAAGAGGCTTCCCATTCATATCAAACGACAAATAAGGAAAGCCATGAGAAAGTAGAAAAGCAGAAACTTACCCGTTGTAATGGCACCTCCGTTGACGAGGATCTGGACCATCTCGAGGGCAATCTCTGGGTCATCGTAGGCTGCAGCTTTGTGCAAAGGGGTTTCGCCCTCAATGCGGTTGATGACGTTAACGTTGATGCCATCGTAGTAGAGCAGGATCTCCAAGCATCCTGTCGAACCATGCCTTGCTCTGTAGCATTGAAGTAAGAACGGTAGAAAAAGGTGATAAGGGTCGAGTTAGTATGGAAGATAGTAAAATGGTACCAGAACAAGGGTCGTCCTGTGCAATGGATACCATCAGGGTTTTTTGTCAAGGATTTTGGTGTGACAACGAACACGATGGTCAAAAGGGAGAAATGGTAGCCCTAAACACGTACGCATAGTGAAGTGCCGCATTGCCGAGTCCGTCAGTGTGGTTGACGTCGAAGGAGCTGGCGTCAGCCGAGAGGACCGTCTCGAGCATGTCCAGGTTGTCTTGCTTGCATGCAGCCACCAAGAGTTCATCTGTTTGACATGAACGTAAAAAGTAAAAAGTGATGAGAGGCGTGTCCTACGATGTCGTTTCGTATGAGTGTCCCGTGTGGTTTATTGCGCCTTGTTCTTGCGGTGAGTGAGGCGAGTGTGTCTTTCACGTACTGTTGCTTGCGCCTTCGTCGTCAGACATGGTGTATATGTGAATGTGTATGGGGAAAGAGTGAGTGTGAGAAAGAAAAGGAGAAAAAGAGGTGTGAAAGGACATCCTTTTAGCTCGAAGGGCCTAGTCGATCGCAAGTCACAGGGGAGGTGCCAATTCGCTGTTTTGTGGTGTACGCCACCGTTTTGACTTTTTCTTCAGCTCTTGTTCTGCTGGGCCTTTTTTCTCCTTATTCCTTTCTGCTTCCCCTTCTCTCCCCTTTCCCACAGGAACAACAAACCTTCGACCAACAACCCTAACACACTCTCACCCACTCACCCACATACCATACACCCGCCAAGATGATGCTCGGAAACCAACCTCAGCCAAAGGACATCGAGGTAACACCATCTCTCTTGCACACGCACACGTACGGTCGTGTTTTGTCACGCTTGCAACCACACGTTGGCAAATATACAACAGAAGGAAGCACTGATCATTGTGAACAATGGCGCGAATAGTGTAACCGGCAACATCAGCAACACTCGTAACTCATACTCTTGCTCGCTTATATTATACATTACATAGGTCACGGCGCCGCCAACGGACGGCATCTCTGATCTCGCCTTCTCAAAGACAAGCGATTTGCTCGCTGCCACCTCATGGAACAACGAGGTACGGACAAACAATCAGGCCGTTTCAAAACACACTTACACGCGCGCGCGCGCGTTTTAGTGGTATTTATTATTTGCACAAGGAATTTTCATTCAAAGGAGACAGAAAACTGACCCTTTCAGCCTCACTTACTATATGCTAATAGGTCCGTATCTGGGAAATCATGGGAGATGGATCTTCAAGCGCGAAGGCCATGTACAACCACGACGCCCCCGCCCTGTGCTGTCAGTGGAGTCCTGTAAGCTATCCCTTATCGTATAATTACTCCCGTCATTGACATTTCCACTTGGGTTTGTTATAGAATGATACCAAGATACCTGCTAACGTATTCTGTTCTTATTTCATCATATCGCTATGCTGACGGGACAAATACAATAACCAACGACATTACAAGGATGGAGGCAAGCTCGCATCAGGAGGAGCAGACAACGCTGGAAAACTCTTTGATGTGACGACTGGTCAAGCTACACAGTTCGCGAAGCACGATGCTCCCATTAAGAGTTTGCGTTGGATTGACGGGGCCAACATCGTGGCCACAGGAAGCTGGGACAAGACCATCAAGGTACACGAGGATTTCACGCCTCCCAGCGTTCACACCGTGTATGAAATACGGCCAAGAGGAACACACAGGGCTGACTGTTGTATTCTTTCAATACGTTCAATTTGCTATTTAGTACTGGGATCTTCGTGGACCCAGCCCTGTTTCGTCAGTGGCGTTGAATGACCGTCTTTACTCAATGGACGCACACGGACCCTTGCTGGTTGCTGCCACAGCCGATCGTAACATCAGCATGTTCGATATGAGCAACCCTACAGTTCCTTTCAGGACCATGGACAGTCCCTTGAAGTTGCAAACACGCGTTGTCTCTTGCTTTACCACAGGCGGAGGGTTTGCGGTCGGAAGTATCGAAGGACGTGTCGCCATCCAGTACACAGATATCAAGGACAACCAGTACGTGTTCAATCGAGCAGGAAAATGGAAATTGGAAGTGTGTGTTAAAGCTGCCAGACTCAGATTCTAACATCAACTTCTGCTTTATATTTGTGTGCGTTTATAGAGGAAACTTTTCTTTCAAGTGCCATCGTGAGGGTGCTCCTGCAGCTCGGGACTCGACCGTTTTTGCAGTCAACGCCATTTCATTCCACCCCGTCTTTGGAACATTCGCCACAGCAGGATCAGATGGTGGTATCACTTTCTGGGACAAGGATTCTAAGCAGAAGCTGAAGGTGTTCACAAAGAAGGCTGGTCCCATCCCAGCAGCTACCTTTAACAGAACCGGAACAATCTACGCCTACGCCGTCAGCTACGATTGGAGCAAGGTAAACATCCCTAGTAAATATTTGTGGATTTTGATCGGCTTCATCTTTTGCTTGCGTAATTGTAGCTCACATTATGGTTTTTCTACTCGATTTTATTTGATCATAGGGTCACTCTGGTGCATCGCCCGACTTGAAGAACTCCATCATGTTGTGCCCAGTTTTGGAGGGCGATATCAAGCCCCGCAAGAAGGTCTAAAATCAGCGGCGGGACTACAGAGAAAATAAATAGTTGCGGGAGACAAGGTAGCAGTTCCCATACACACATGTACCATCATTTCTTTTTTAGCGGACAAAACGAGCATAGCGAAATAAACAGAAAAAGAAAAAAAAAAAAAAACTCATGCCGCCACTCTCCTCCCTTCCTTTTGTTGTGAAAAGAAATGTATTAATAAAAAACAAAAAATATGAAAAATGCGCGGCAGTACTCTATGGAAAAGAAAAAAAGTTTTGATATCTTGTATTTCTGGGCGGGGGGACAAACAACCTTTTTAAGCCTTCTTCTCCTCCTCCTCCTTCTCCTCGAAACCAATCAAGGACTTGTTCTCTGCAACCATCTCTCCAACGTTGAAGAAGACGTCAGAGACAATACCGTCCACTGGCGACTTGATGATATGCTATTTGGTGGTAAAGATGACGATGGAATGATCAGTTAACGACTCGCGACATCCCTCACATAGTTCGGTGTCCTTACATACAACAAGCTAATAAAAAAATAAAAAAAGGTTCTTACCTCCATCTTCATGGCCTCGAGAATGACGAGAGCCTGACCCTTGACGACCTTGTCACCGGGCTTGCACATGACCTGGGAGATCTTGCAGGGCATGGGGGTGCGCAAGCTACCGGCCTTCTCCTCCTTTCCGACAGTCAAGAACTTGGGCTGGGGAACGTCCAAAGTGACCTTGCCCTCTTCGGCAAAGACGTGGATCTGGTCGCCCTCCTGGACAACGCTGGTCTTGTACATGCGGTTCTCAATCTCGGCAATAACGCTGCTCTCACCAGCCAACTTGGCCATCACCTTGCTGAAGACAGTGGTCTTGTTGGGGGTCTGAACACGGACGTTGTAGGTTCCATCCTTGTTGAACTCGACACCGACCTGGACGTCCTGGTCCTCGAGCTTGAAGGCGAGCTTCTGTTCGCTGACCTGGTTGAGGCGGAGGCCAGAGTTGAGGGTGAAGGGAGAGGAGCCATCCTGAGCGGCAACGGCAGCCTCCTTGGAGGCCTCGAGATCTCTCAAGACCATCGACAACGAGGCCTGGGCAACGGTGGCGGGGTCAAGAGGAGGAGCGGGCTTGAACATATCGGTCTCGTACTTCTTGATGAATCCAGTCTCAACCTCTCCGGCAATGAAGGCGGGGTGGGCAGCGAGGGTCTTCAAGAACTCAATGTTGGTGTTCAATCCGACAACCTCGTACTCGCTCAAGGCCTTGCGGAGGACACGGAGAGCAGCGGTTCTGTTTTCACCATGGACAACCAACTTGGCGATCATGGGGTCGTAGTGAACAGAGATCTCATCTCCCTGAACGAATCCAGTCTCCAAACGAACGGTATCCGAGGCCTCGGGGGTCTGGACGTGAAGGAGGGGACCGACATCGGGCAAGAAGTCGTTGCTGGGGTTTTCGGCATAGATACGAGCCTCAAACGCCCATCCGTCCATCTTCAACTCATGCTGGAGCTTGGGCAATCTGTTTCCAGCAGCGACCTCGAGCTGCCACTGAACCAAATCGGTGTTGGTGATCATTTCGGTGATGGGATGCTCGACTTGAAGACGGGTGTTCATCTCCATAAAGTAGAATTTTTGGTCAGTGTTGTCCATAATGAATTCGACAGTTCCTGCTCCAACGTAGTTGACAGCCTTGGCAGCGGCGACGGCCTTCTCTCCCAAATCGCGTCTGAGCTCCTCAGAAAGACCGGGCTATTATTGTTGGATATTGAAAACGTTGGTCAGTGAAATGGTCCAATTGTGAAACGGTTGCATGATTGCAGTACAACGATGCAAATAACTTACGGCAGGGGCCTCCTCCAGAATCTTTTGATGTCTGCGCTGAACACTGCAATCACGCTCAAACAAGTAGACGGCGTTTCCGAGAGTATCGGCAAAGACCTGGACCTCGACGTGGCGAGGGGTAACCAAGTACTTCTCGACCAAGCTAGAAAACAGAGATAAAGTTGATGGAAAAATGGTAAGAATGAGGAGTCTCAAAATGCAGCTGACAATCGCACACACACGATTCAAGTACGAAGTCCAATGGTTGCTCACTTACACCTTGTCGTCACTGAAGGACTTCATGGCCTCACGTCTGGAGGACTCCAACATGATTTCGAAGTCCTCGGGAGTCTCGACGATACGCATACCCTTTCCTCCACCTCCCTTGACGGCCTTGATCAAGACGGGGTATCCGATCTTGGCAGCCTCGGCCTTCAAGAAGGCATCATCCTGGTTCTCACCGTGGTATCCAGGAACAACGGGGACCTTGGCGGCCTGCATAATAAACTTGGACTCGCTCTTGGATCCCATTGAGGTCATGGCGCTGCCGGGGGGTCCGATGAAAGTGATGTTCTCCTTGGCCAAGCGTTCGGCGAAGCCAGCGTTCTCAGACAAGAAACCATATCCGGGATGGATGGCCTAAAGAAGTAAATTGGATCACAAATTTTGGGAGGGAGAGGGGGAAACGAGAATGCATGTTAGTAAACACAAGAGCAAAACAACAACAACAATAAACAATACCCTGTTTTCTTTTCCTTGTAAAGTAAACGTGAAGCGCGGATGAGAGATCTAATGAGATAGTTACCTGAGCTCCACTCTTTCTGGCGACCTCGATGATCTTGTCGACCTTGAGGTAACTCTCTGCAGATGCTGCTGGTCCGATGTTGTAAGCCTCGTCGGCCTATTAATTCCAGTAGTGGGGTGGGAAGAAGGAATAAAAAGTGAGAGAGACGTGGGAAAAAAAATTAAATCCGGCCAGTCAGTTATCAGAAATTACAAAAAAAGAATAACCGTAGGTTGTTCGGACATTGAGCCGCAAAGGACAGAGGGCAGACAGGCGGCGGACGACCGACTGTCTCCGCACCATAGTCATTCTGACTGGACATAACACTATATAACAAAATGAGAAGGTACTTACCATCTTGACGTGGAGGGCGTTTCTGTCGGCATCACTGAAGACGGCAACAGTCTTGATTCCGAGCTTCTTGGCGGTCCTCATAATTCTGCAGGCAATCTCACCACTATAGGTCATGTCAATAAGCAGCCGAGGGGGGGGGGATTGGAAAGTTATTGTTAGTTGTCTTATTTTTGTGAATTGTATAACGGGACTGGTGCGACAAGTCTCTGTTAACAAGCAGAGAGAGAATTAAGGTGTGTGTCTGGGTTGCTTACCGGTTGGCGATGAGGATCTTGTCGAACAATGGCTTGCGCTCTATTATTTCAGGGGTAAGAGTAGTAATTCCATTTGTGGAAGATGAGAAGAGTGTGAGTTTATGAGATCTGATGGAAGTGTGTATGTGTGTGAAGCTGATCTGATCCGAAGTGTGTGTGTTCAGAGTGAGTGTGTCCGTGTGCCTCCTTGGAGATTCGAGACAAGAAGGGGTGTGTGTAAAAGAGAGATGTGCATACCAATCTCTGTTGTGTACCAGCGGAAGGGTTTGGCTGAGACGGGATTGATGGAGGTGCCCCATCGCATACGGAGGGCAGCCCTGTTGGCGGAGAGGAGGAATGAGGACATGGTATAGGGAAAGGGAGAGTAGGGAGGGTATGTGAGGGGAGAGAGAGGGAGAGAGAGAGAGAGAGAGAGAGAAAAGAAGAAGAAGAAGAAGGATGAGAAAGAAAAAAAAAAAGGTGGGGATCAACAAGTCAAGTGTGTGGGAGAGTGGTGAGAAAGGGGCGGAAAGTGCACCTTCTCTTTCAAAATTCTCCCACGGTTCCCTTAATGACTGCCATGCTTGGAATTAAAGATTCTGCTTGATTGTATTGACCTACTGATCGACTACGAGGAGCGGGGTTTTTGTTGGAAGGAGGGTTGAGGGTTGAGAATTATCTACACGAAGGAAGTTTACTGCTGGTGAAGAAGAGGATCCAGAAAAAGAAGAAATGTAATGTATATACATATGGTCTACGCTACTCTTCCTTCTTGGAAGAACGGACCTTGGCTGCTGCCGGCGAAGAGGAGAGAGAGGGTGTCTTGGAAAGGTAAAAGACTTTGACAGACCTGACCCACTGCTTGGCAAGAATCACCCACCACACAACGTTCATAAAGAACATGGTCGTCGTCGTAATTGTGAACTTCTTGCCAATCAACCACGGGGCCTCATACCATGCCACCCCCAACTTGGCTCCAATCGCATACCCCATCCACCAGTTGCCAAAGATCCTGCACCAGAAATAGGTCACCATCAACGCCGTGTCGACAAACCGCTTCAGTTTCGAGTTGAAAAACGTTCGCCCTTTGCTTTGGAGTGCCCACCGGAAATGAAGGATAGGCGTGCTCATGTTCATCAGCGACAGCATCCCGATAAAGTACGGCCCCGGGTTGGTCAGCGTCAGCGCGTAGAGGTAGTAGGCCGATCCCAGGATGACGGCCACATGGTGGAATAGAATCAGGTTGCTGCCCACGCCAAACGCCGCCCGTTGGTAAAACTCAAAAACGGTGTCCTGGGTCAAATAGCCGAGCTCAAGTCCGACCAGGAAGGGCGTTATTTGGGTCTTGTAGGTCGAGATATCGTTCTTGGTCCAGTCAACGGTCGAGAGTAGGTAGATTCCGGTGATGGTCATGATGGTGGAATGAGTCGAGGCGACCATCTTGTTGCAGAGGTGGTAGTATTTTTGCTGGTCTGCCTTGAGTGGTAAAAAATCCCGGACCCATCGTTGGCGTCGGAGTGTGCTAAAAAGGGCAGGGTAGAGCGTCAATCCTGCAATGAGCGACAGCGGGATATGCGGCGATATGGTGTCCATGGCTTGTTGTTGGCAAGGGAGAAGAGGGAGCGGAGAGGAGAGGAGAGGAGAGGAGACAAGAGTGAAGAAAGAAAGCTAAGAAAGAAAGAGGACAGAGTGAGAAAGAAAGAAAGAAAGGAAGAAAAACAAGGAAAAGGATTACAACAGCGGCGGCTAATCAGCAAAGCCGAAGGAGAAAAAAAGTCCAATGAGGGGAAGGTGCGCAGGGATGCAGTTGGTCGACCGCTCAAACTGTGGAGCAAACAACAGAAGGAAAAAAAGGAAAAAAAGAGGCCCAAGCTCATTCGCTGACTTGAAGAAGTCATTCAAAGACGACAAAGAACCACGTCGTCTTCATGATATCAGGCTGAGGTAAACGGATAACGCATAAAATGAGAATGGCTGGCTGGCTGAAGGCGCCTTGCAAGTAACCGTAGCAACCAGCACACATAGAAACTGATTAGATAGAAACACTTCAAGTAATTCGCACTTGTCGTTTTCATTTTCTTTTCTTTTCTTTCCTTGCCCTTCTCCGCCCCCTTGTCGCTATTTTCTCCTTTTCTGGGCATCATCAAAAAATAAACCTGCTTGGCATTCTGTCGACAATTGGGTTCGATAACTCGCCGCCCGTCTTGAACGCTGCGCAATGGCTGAATGTTGCTTTCAAATCACATATCCCATCTTGACCATTCATTATCCGCACATCTTTTCATAATCATCATGGATCACCAAACACGCGTCGCGCTCAATCGAAAGAAGGAATGATGAACGTGCAAGATCTAATAAAAAAAACACGTAGCTACTTCGCGGCTTGTTTATTGAGAGGAGCCAAAGTTTCCGGATGACACTGTTGGTGCTGTATCAAATCCACGCTTCTTGGTGATACCATCGTAGATCGTCAAGGCCTATAGATAACATCGACACAAATAGGTTAGAATACATATCACAGATCAGCTCAATACAAATTCAACTGAAGCCGATGATCTATTCATTACCTGAGCAACCATTCCGGCTGCATCATTGGCACTGGCTGGCAAGATAAGCGTGTTGGTCTCCTTGGCAAGCTGGGCAAAGGCATCCACATACTTGTCAGCAACAGTCAACGACACAGCGTGGTGTCCTCCTGGAGTGCTGGTAATGGCATCTGCAATTCGACGAATACCCTCAGCACTAGCCTGCGCCCTCAAAAGAATAGCCTCAGCCTCTCCCGTAGCCCTGTTGATCTGCTCTGCCCTGTCGGCCTCGGACTGGAGAATCGTCGACTGCTTGAGACCCTCGGCAACGTTAATAGCAGCCTGGCGAGAACCTATGATCCCCAACCCAAACTGAAATTGATTAGAATACGTCCTTCGAAAAGTGCATCATATCATGAAACAAGCCAGGATTGAAACTTACCCTCAGAGTCCAAAATCTGGGCACGCTTGGTACGTTCGGCCGAGACTTGCTGGTGCATGCTCTCGACAACCTTTGCAGGAGGGTGAATATCCCGTATTTCATAACGAAGGCACTGGATTCCCCAGTCCGCTGCTGCAGTGTTGATAGCTTCGACAATGTTGGAGTTCAAGTGCGCTCTCTCCGCCAACGTACGATCCAAAGTCATTTGACCAATCTCAGCACGCATGGTTGTCTGAGCAAGTTGGGCAACAGAGAACTCGGCATCCTCGACACCATATGATGCCTTGTAAGGGTCGACCACTCGGAAGTACAGAACACCATCCAGATCCAAGGTAACGTTGTCTATTCGAAGAACAATGGATAAAAAGGTTCAGTCTTCCTAAGCATCTTAAAACTATGCGGATATAAGTCACGTCTCTGACTTGTGCAGTACCTTGGGTAATGGCGCTCTGACTGGGAATTTCAATGGCGACTTCCTTGAGGCTCTTAACATATCTCACACGGTCCAAGAAGGGCATAAGAATCTGCAGTCCTGGCTCCAGAGTCCTGTGGAATCGTCCCATGCGCTCAACAATCCATGCTTCCTGCTGTGGCACAAACTTGACAACCTATCGTCATGCAATTGCAAGGAGATGCCTGTGGTTGTTAGGTGTTGACCATAGTACTCGACAGCAACTGTTCAGTTAACAAGGATAGACGCCTACAGTGTTGATGGGCAATGACTTCCTTGGGCTCCCGATACCGCTGTTGCTCCAGTTGCCGTATCCACCTTCATCTCCATAGCGGGTCGCATAGTTGCGTCTCAAAACAAGCGCAGAAGGTGCCGAGGCAGTCTATTGTTGCGGAAAAGTAGTTGGTAAAGTGGACCGATAGTTAGAAAGCGAAGTCGAGCACTGTATTTCTGTTTGTTTTTTTTTATGTCGGGTGGTGATGGAACAAGTCGTAAGCATTCGGTAGTCGGCTTGGCAACTTGCCAGACGTGATGCGCGGAAGGCGGCAGCGGCAGCCAAAGGGACACGGGTCGTTGAGGTGACAGTGCGAAGCATGGTGCAATGTATGTTGTGTTGTGTTTCGTCCTTGAGTGAGTGAGTGAGTGAGTGAGTGTGAGGGAAGGGGCGAGAACGGAAGGAAGAAAGGAGAAAATGAAGAAAGGGAAAAGGTTACGCGAAAAAACGTCAGTCGCGAACACTCCCTCGAGGCAAGTAAAAGTAGCCACAAAGGGATACCTACCCCCGTGGGGGTGACGTTGCAAAGTCCAAAGTTCACACTACTTTTTTTTATTTCACACCCTTCAACAACCTTCTCCTAATCACTCTTTCGCCCACAGAACCTTTTCACACACTACACACTCTGACATGTCCGACAGATACGAGATCGACCTCAACGTCAAGCCCGGTGACGACCTGCAGGACGAGGAAATGGCCGGTATGCACTCCAGGACACTCGCTATAATAACAATCACAGTAGACATCAGCCCACTGTTTCAGCAAACAAACAGAGCAACATCTGCAGGACCATCAGGATCAGCTGTGAGAGACGGCCGAGGATCACATCTCATCACACACTCTACAGAAATGAATTGCACATTACACCAGTAGAGGCTGTCATGAACACACTATGTCTAGACATTGTCAGAGAGATCACCTACAGTCGATCGAGAGGCCACCGATACTCTAGGTTACATAATCGATACTCTAGACAGGACAGAGCTGACACCAAGGCAGTGCTTCACAGGACCTCACACGAGTAGACCAAGGAGACCTATAGCACTGTAACAGGTCACACCCTTGAACAGACTCGAGTTTAACGCCTTGATCCTTTTTTACTGTTGTGCTTTGTAGAGACTCCACAGGTCGCCATCAAGAGAAAGGGTCGTGGTTTCCAGAGCGGAGGTAGGAACGGAGGACACAAGGAAGCATTACTTCTTGCACTAATACTTGCACACTGTCATCAATGGGTCAGGATCTTTTGCTAATCTTGGCTTTACCTCTCCAACTTCATGGGATTAGATCAAAGAGGCGACGGTGTTCACAGCAGCGCTTTCGACAAGCTGAACTCGAGCGACGACAGTGCCAGCGGCAGGGCATTGAAGTGTAAGTTCAGGAGATACGACTAATGCGTTGCAGATCATCGTAGATCGTCAGAATGGAGCATATTGCTGACACCTCTTCCCTTGTCATTCGATGTGAATAGCCATTGAGGGCTGGATTGTGTTGATCACAGGAGTTCACGAAGAGGCCACTGAGGAGGATATCCTGGACAAGTTCGGAGAGTATGGCGAGGTCAAGAATGTGCACTTGAACTTGGATCGTCGCACAGGATACGTCAAGGTAATCAGATTTCACGAGATCAAGGCAAAGTAATCGACCCTTCAAACAGGACGTAGCGAATCTAACCATGGTCTTCAATTGTCTTTGTGATAGGGGTATGTGTTGGTCGAGTACGAAAAGTTCTCCGAGGCAGAGGACGCCATTGCTGCAATGAACGGAGCCAAGCTGTTGGATCAAACGTTGACTTGCGACTTTGCCTTTGTCAAGCCAACGAACAACGACGACAGAGGACGCAGGGGATTGACATCGCGCAGCAGAGGAGGTCATGGTGGCCGTCGTTCAGGTCGTTCCAGCAGTCCAACTCGTCGTTAACAAAACAAACGATAATCCGTGGCCCAAGCAACACACAACCCTTTCGACAACAAACCAACCAAAATAAAATATCCTTTTCGCAAAGAACCATTAGTACATATACTTGCGACCTTAACCTTGCTGCTTGCAAAAGAAAACAACAGTTGAAACTTTCATCAAACGATGACCAGTGCCACCTTTGCAAGTAGAAAGAGGCAAAAGGAAAGCGCCCAACGTGGGGGTCGAACCCACAGCCTTCAGATTAAGAGTCTGACGCTCTACCGATTGAGCTAGCCGGGCTTGTTGAAATCAGATTTCTTTAGACATTGATATTCTCAATTCATTAAATTCTCTAACTGCAAGGTAGCTTTGTGTATTAGGAAATTCCATAAGTGCATTTTTAAATGCCTGGGGTCTTCAGGTACCGAGGCCAGTACCCATGCACTGGTGGCCCCTTCGAATGCGGATCATGTACCACGATTTCCCTCCATCAGTGGAGCTCAAGTCGCGCACAGGGGCAGTCTTGCTCCTGATCGAGACGAGAACCCGATTTGGGACGTGTCGGACCTCCTCCGCGGCATCACTCCCATAAGCATGTTGACTGAATGGTCCGCGGTCTTCCGGACCCCAATGTTCATCTCCAAGGCGATCCTGCACAAGTTTATTGGCTATCTGGAGGCGCAGGCCTCGGGGCTGATCTGGAAACCTCGGTGCTCCGAGACGATCGCGTGGGAACAGAGCCAGGGCATCTCTGCCAAGGACAAGACATCCACGTCACAGGCCCCCGAGGTGACTGGGGTCAAGGATACGGTTACATCACGCACGATGGTTTCTGTCCGTGTGGCGCTTCGCTAGCCACACATGGTGAAAGAAGGTACCCTGGAGCGGCCAAGGACCCACGCGCTGCTGGCGAGCAGTTGTTGGAGAGTTTGTTACGAAGAAGGAAGTTGTCAATGATGGAGAGGATGAGAAGAATCCCCTTCATTCGTATCTAGTCTATTTTCTTCCGTTTAAGCTGTGAAGAGCAGCGACAATTGTTACGCAGAGCCGGGTTCCGGACCGGACTGCGACTGGTGGGTGGTGCACTGAAGAGTTTGGTCTGTAGTCCCTTTTTACATCCAAATGACTTCTCTATGCTGTTTGTTAGAGAAATATAATTAAACAAGCATATAAATGCATGGTTTCTAAATCACTGAGAATAAAAAAGGGCATTCGTGTGTGTGTGAAAAGGACCGCGAATGCTTCAAAAAGTGGGAAGGCATGGTATTGGTCGTTCGCAAGCACTTTTTTGTGTGCTAGCAAAGGGTTAGGCCGCTTTGCTTTTTTTTTTTTCCTTCCTTTCAGCATGTTAGGTTGTCTTATTACGCTAGTTTGTTATTATTGTTAAAAATTGCTTTGCGGCGAAGAATTGAGGTTGAGTGGTTAGTGTCGGGTCACTGAGACGAGAACCGATGGTGTTGAGGTTTGTGGGCACGATTGGTGCCTTCAAAAATGAAACTCATGTTATTAATGACGAAAACAATTTCACGAGGCATTCGGATGAGTGTATGTTGATTTGTTTTCGTTGGTTTTTACTGTTCGGTTTTTTTGGGCTACGGCCAAGGTACAAAAAAGCTACGGGCAAGGTACAAAAAAAGCTACGGGCAAGGTACAAAAAAAAATATCCATGGATGCATGCTGCATAGAGTCAATCTTTTTTACGCTACAACCAAGCCGAGGTCGATGCCGTGGGTTCCTGCACCACCACCGTTAGCGTAGTAACCATTAGTGTTCATGGTCTTCTCGCGGCGGTCAGGACCAGTCGACTTTGTTGACTTCTTGTCACCAACGGCATGGGTGTTCATCTTCTCATGACGAGCCTTGACGTCGACGATCGTCATGTCCAACTGAGGCAACTTGCCGTTCTTGGCGCCCTTGATCACGATGTTCGCACAGTGGTGGTAATACTGGTCAGTCGAGTAGGCGGTCCAGGACATAGCAAAGAGACACTTGTTCGAGTCAGTGCACGAGGGGACGTTCTTGGGAATTTGGACGGGCCACTCGTAGTAAATGTCGGGGCAGGTCTTGGTGTACTGACCGATGACCTTCCAGGACTTGCCACCGTCGTACGAGAGCGAGAACTCGCAGGCACCGCCGCCGTGGCGGGATTGAGTCAGGCCCTTGGGAGGGGGGAACTTTTTGTAGTTCTTGATCTCAAAGTTCCAGAAGCGGACGGGGATGATCTCGCCGGCCTTGTAGGTCGTGACGGGACCCTTCTTGTAGCCACCTGTAGTAGTTTGATAGGTTTAACAAGTGTAAAATATTGTATTAGTACATGCAGTCGCAAGTGGGAACGAATTGACAAGAATGTGTGTAAAATTAAATACTGAGATCACGAAAAGTGACTTACCGCAAGGGAAGGTCTTGCCCTCGTACCCGATCCAGGCGTGGACATTGTTACTGGGGTTCTTTGACCAAGGACCAGCTTGGCCGGGAGGGTTGGAGATGGCAATGTGGGCAGAGGTGGAGGAGAGGAGCGAGAGGACGGAAGCCAACACGGCGCTGGCAAAGAGAGTGGTCTTCATGTTTGGAGGTGTATTTGTTTTCGGGTGTGATAGAGAGGGGGTTGAAAAGGGTAAGTGAAAGGGCCTGGCAGGGGTGAAGGAGAATGAGGGTTGACAGTGAGTGTCGGTGGGAGGGTACTTGAGAGAAAGAACGGAATGGGGGATAAGGGACAAAGAAACAAACAAAAAGAAAGGGCCTTGACGTTCGTTTTATACTTGCTCGGGTTACCCTTGCCGCTGACGGGTGAATTGACGAGTGAGTGTTGGGTGAACGAATGGGAGAGCGAGGCTGAATAACAATAATAATAAAGAGCATCAAGGTGATGCAAACTGACCGTTTGTTTTTCCTGTTCATCTCGCTGGGGGCTCAGGGGAAAAAAAAGAGGGGCGTGTGTCGACTCTAGTCCAAAGTGAGGCAAATTTGTCCAACTGGACTTGAGTGAGAGCGATCAAACTGAAAAAAAAGGGCTTGTGTATCACAGGCACACACAGTAATGTAATGTGGGAGATGAATGACCACACAGGCACGCAATTTAAAAAAATAGCAATAAGAAGGCGAGAGAAAAGACAGGCTCTATGAAATAACAAAAGGAACAGAGTTATGTGTCGTTGAGCTGACAACGGCGACCATTGTTCATCCTCTTTTCATCATCTCCAGTCCAGACCTGATATCAAAGACAAATGATAACAAGCACAATGGGAACGTTTTTCCACCGGAATGAGGCTGGAATGCACCTTCATTAGCATTTTTGTTTTTCCTTTTTCTTTTCTTTTCGTTTCTTTCTTTTGTGTTCTTCCCAAATGAAATGAAGGGCTCTCATCAAAGGATAAAGAGAGAGACAATGAGGGAGAGAGACACCCTGACCACTAGCATTGCCCTTGCCTTGTCGTAATGAAGAGGGCCAGACTGGACTGAAAGGCAGGCACTCAGCCGCAAGCACTCCATTGATTCCTAGTTTTGCGCCCTACATGTGTCCGAAGTCTGAAATGAAATTAGGCGGAGTAAGCATTCTTAGCGTCTTGCGTTGTGCATACGTTATCCCTTGTACGTTGATCTCGGACATTCTCTACATGCATCCTTCACGTGATTTGATCATGACTGTCCTCTTGCGCCCCCGTGACTTTCTGAACCTTGGCCATGAAGTTCTCACACGGTCGCACCATTCTTCCTTCTCCACATCGCACTATACCCCCAGAAGCAGCAAGCATGTCGCACACCAACATCGAGGACGAAGAGACCTTTGAGCCCATTTACGCAGCCCAGGAGGACTTTAACCCCAACGACACCGTCAGCTCATTCCTCAACACTGCATACGACCCCACTCGACTGCACCCCCTCGCAGGTCTTGGAGGCACCGGCGGGCTCGACTACCTAAACTTGGAGGACGATGCCGGCAGCTTGCCTGGTGCACATGGTGGCGGCGGTATCTTGCCCAGCCGTGGATGGTCGGATGATTTGACTTATGGAACCGGGTTGACCTATATCACTGGTGCGTTTCCCCCTTTTTTCTGTATAAGGCACGCGCGCTTTCCTTTTGGATTTATCTTCCTTGAAAGCTGACTTGGTTCCAGCTGGCTGATTAATTCTGCGCCCTCAAATGCCCCCTATATCTTTGCTAATACTCTACCCGTTTTCCTTTTTGTGATATATGTAGGGTTGACATTGGGAGGCGCGTATGGGTTCTTCGAGGGTCTTAGGTCATCGCCCAGCCCTGCTATTAAAATCCGCATCAACACTGTCCTGAACGGGATGACTCGTCGTGGACCATTTATCGGCAACTCTGCCGGCGTCCTTGGTAAGGAGCAAATATCTCCGAGAGAGCTTGAGCACCTAGCTGACTATGACGGCTACAAAATTTGACTGCGCTAGAGAATTAACCACAACTGCGTCTCTCATGTCTTACTGTAGCTCTTATGTATAACGGGATCAATGGAGGTGTTGGACGCGCTCGTGGTCATTACGATCCCTTGAACTCTGTGATTGCTGGCGGCCTGACTGGAGCAATTTTCAAATCAACAGGTAAAGAAACGGTAGCTCAGGCGGATCAAATGCGACACCTGGAATAGGTGAGTTGAAGCTTAATTTGCTAACGCGTTCTGTACTTTATTCTTTTGGAATGATAGCTGGACTGCGCGCAGCAGGCTCAGCAGGAGGCGTTTGCGCAGTGGCGGCCGGCATCTGGGCCTATGGCAAGGAAGCCTTGAACTTGTAAATACTAAAAAATAAAGGGCTCCATCCATGTCACGTGTAACGATCTTACTATCTTGCTCCTTTTCGAATGTCGAATCAACTTTTCTTCCTTTCTTCGTCTCCATCACTCAAGCCCAAGAACTACAACGACATCACAATGAGTCACCAGGACGAAGAAGAGGACTACATGTCCGAGGCATTCCTCAACAGCTTAGTCGCAGAAGAGCCAGCAAAGTCCAAAAGCAATATGTCGTACTCGGAGCGGCGGCGTCAAAAGGAGCGCGAACACCTTGCGAACCTACCCAAGCCATTGCATGTTCGGGAGAAGGAGGCTCGTGAACAGGGGCTGGAGAAGGAGATTGGGGAGGATAATAAAGGAATGGCTATGCTTCTCAAAATGGGGTTCAAGTAAGTTTGTGATATCCATGGTGTTGTTGGTGGAAGAAAACACGTTGGGTTTCTTGGGATGATGAACTCATCAAATCGAATACTCTTTTTGTTTCTGGTAGAAAGGGAGGCACATTAGGCGCGTCAAAGTCAGCCTCAGAGCCGACGACAGCTTCAACATCAACTTCACCCTCAGGATCGGCCCCTCCAAGCACCACCTCATTAATTGATACTGACGGTGGCGCCTTACGAGCACCTCTCGCAATCCAGATCAAGCAAGGCCGTGGTGGTCTCGGCATGGACACTTCACGGAAACGACAAGCTGAAGAGGCACTCCAGAGGCAGGAACAAGAAGTGCACCGAGTTTTTGACGAGGGGTTCCGTGGCCAGAAGCGGGATCAGTTTGAGCTGGAGAAGCGGAAGCGTCAGTTGGGCGCAGCACGTGCGATATGTATGCGCCTTGATGCAAAGGAGGCTGAAAGCCGTTTGGAACAGGAAAGTGATGAGCATTGCGCGACGACAGCTACACGGACAGCAAAGGACGGACGGAGGTCTAATAGGTTCTGGTGGATTGATGATTCGATGCCTGACGAGGTTTTGGGTACGAAGTTGATGGGACCTGGGGCCGAGGTGTTGGTTGATCTGGACCAGGATCAGGATAAGCAAACAGCGGAGGTCCGGGCGTTTGATCACAGCGACGATGAGGATGGAGATCTTGAGCGGAACAAGGCAAAACGCGTCCGACTCGACTCATCAGTGTCCCAGGAGGTTGATCAGACGGATTTGCAGGACGAAGAGCCTCCCAAGTGGGGTGAGCGACCGCACTTTGCACAACTTGAGGTATGTTTCTTTCGTGTGTTATTCGCGCACATTTGTACGAAACATTCAAAAGACATTGTATTAACTCTGCTCCGTGTCACATTGAATAGGTTCACGAGAAGCTGGAGGAGGTCGTGGCGTATCTGCGGAGCGAACATTCATATTGCTTCTGGTGCTCCGCACAATACGATGGACCAGAAGATATTTCAGAAAATTGCCCAGGAAAATCCGAAGATGACCATTAGCTTGCCTCATGTACTGTGCAATAAACAAAGTAACGATGGTTTGAAAGCCATTTGTATTTTTTTGACCTAGTCTTCATCATCATCCTCAGAATCGGATCCATACGCTGCAAGAGCACCGAGAGCGGATGCCGCAGGTTTGGTGTCCTTTACTTTTTCAGGCACGGATGGCGTGGTCACAGTAGTGGCAGTGGTAGTAGATTGAAGAGACGCCTTGACGCGATCCTGGAGTGACAGGGGTGTTGTTGAAGACTTAGCAGCCTGACCTTGATACTGACCCAAACGTGCAGGGTCGTACTGATGAGTTTCATGGTTGTATCCGTACGCACCATAGTCGTAATAATATTGACCGTCCTCTCCTTGGTACAATGTCGGTGCCGGATCGTTGGTTGCTGTATTGACAGCTAGTTCCTGCTTTGCTCGCTTTGCCGTTCCTGCTGTTTCAGCACCTTCAAGTCGGTTCTCAGCCTCAACGACGTCTCCAGGGAGTTTGGACTCGATCGCCTGTCTCGTCATCTCCACTGCCTTGCGCTTGTTCATCGCTTGCATTTTTGGATTAGGATCCTCTGTCGCCCACCTGATATTCACAACCTAGAGAGACAAGAAAAGTGCCGGGAATCATCAGTATGTCATATCCCTTCTTCCTCGAGAATATGCAGGTGCGAAAATAGATACATCGAGAAACAGACACATTACCTCTCCATGATCCAGAGACTGATTCGCCATAGCCTCTTTCGCAAACTCGGCATTAAGTCGATTCTGATAGGTCACAAACCCAATACCCTTATCCTTCAAGACCTTGACCTTTTCCAATTCACCCCACGGTCTAAAGTGTTTCTCTATGATAGCCTCATTAGCTGAGGACGGATGTATCCGTCCAACATAGAGAGACTTGCTGTCGGAGCGCATAGATCCAACACCACCACGGTCGTCCCGGTGTTCATCAAACCGCTCACGTCCAAACACATCCTTGCCAGTGTCTGCTTGATCTAGACGTGTTGGTATCCTGTGCAACCATCCGCACTCCTCCCTATTGTCGCAGGAATGAAAAAAGGGTCGGTCCAGTGGTCAATAACGTGTTTGATAACTATCTCTCAATTGTCATAACACAAACCTTCCAACACCGCGGTCCATGCAACACACATACCCATTAGGACAGCAGCCTTTAGCAAAGAACGCACAGAAATAGGCGTTCGGATTGTAGGTGCCCTTGGTTCTCCCAGTGTCCTTGACAGGGTCACATCGATAAGGCGACTTTTCCTTGTTCAGAGTTGATCGATCATCTCGAGAACCACCTGACCATTTGTCGTAGTAAATATTGTATGTCTGTCCTGGTTTGCCACCACCACTGGTGCCTCGAGTAGGTCCTGAAGCTTGAAGGCCAAGCACTTTGTCCTTGGCGACTTGTCTCCGTGCCGGCCGTGATGTCGCGTCTGCTGGTGATGCCATTCCGTGTAATTGTATGAGTGTGTTGTGATGGAGATGGAGAAAAAAACAAGGGCGAAGTCGAGTGATTATTTATGTGTTCCTGAGGCTGATTTATCACATGACTGGAATGTATCATTCACGTCATTCACGCACAAGAGAAAAAACATCTTTGAAGGTATTCTGGGAGGACGATGGTTGTGTGAACGAGGTATTTATTGAGTCTCGCCTGGATTCTCAAAAAGAGTGCGATGTTGAATGTAATCTGCTTACGGCGCTCTGCAGCTAAAACAAGAAACGAGGCCAATAAAATAAGCAAGAAAAGACATTGAATGTCATGGCTTAGTTTACTTGCCTTTCTTCTTGTCCTCGATCAGATCGATGTTGTCCTCAGGAACCTAGTATGGTCGCACAGACAAAGACGAGGATCGTTAGTAAACCGCCAATCATGATACAAATGACAGGGCACAAGAGTCGACTCTTCCTGCATGTTATGAAGTTGGAGGCGCAGCTTAGCTGCATAAATTAACCCCGAGTCACTTACAATGGGCCAGTGCTCCAGAATGAGGTCAAAAATTTCGTCCGACACATCTCCTTGAACCACAATCTCGTCGTTGCCCTGGTTGTTCTTTGTGACAGATGATCCACAAGCAAACTTGTTGGCAAACAACTTGGCAGCCTTCTTGAGATCCACATCTATGTAAATGTGAAAGGTAAAAAACGGTGAGTACCAATTGATCGGATTGCGCATTGAACACAAAAAAGAGGAGACAAGATCGCCTGCTGACATTCTTTTTTGTAATTCTATGTCTTTTTCTTACCAAAGTTCTCCAATCCGAAAACGCTGGTGACACACTTTCTCTTGGTACGCTCAATCCTCTTGATCAGAACCTTAGATTGCTATAATGTTGAACAATTGAAAAGATGTATAGTAGGGAGTTAGAAGTCAATGCTTCACACGACGTAATTTCCCATAGCGAAAATGAAGGTGGCGCGGGTTCTCTTACCATCTTCTTTTGCATCTGCTTCTCAATCTTGGCGGCCTCTGCAAGATGATATGAAAAGAAAAGTAAAGGTGTGCGGACGAAATACGAAATTAGTACAACTCGGACTCTTTCACAATGCCCTTTGCGAACATAACGCAAATTTCCTGAATGTGCAGTCTAATTCCACAAGAAAAGTTGTGTCGCGTGCGTACCCTTGGCCTTCTTCTTGTCATCCTCAGGAGTTTCATTAAGGGAGGCAGCGGCGAGCTGGTCGTCGAGGGTGTTGTAAAGGATGGCATACAGGACCTTGTCGTTCTTGCTCAACCACTGCTTGCACCTATTGCAAATATGGTACATTATTGTATTAGTATTAATGTCCTTACTGTTATTCGTTCATAGCCAGAGAGAAAAAGTGAACGTGGTGGCGAGATGGACTAGGTTTGTTGATGCAATGCAAAGTTGAAGTTTGGTTGAGAGGGTTGCTTACTTATCGAGAGTAGGGCCAAACTCGCAGTACTCTGGTGGCAGGGAGCAGAAGCCGCAGTAAGGGACCTCGCGGGGCTTGACGTGTTCGCTCGATGGTGCGTCTGGGCTGTCCATTGTGTGGTTGTGAGGTGTCGAGTGTTTGTGTGTGGAGGTAGAAGAGTGTGAAAAAAATAAGGCCTTCGAATTTTGTGTTGACCCTCTCGAAAGCAGTCCGATCAACACCTTTCTCTTTGTTTAGCAGGCCCGAAAAGTTGGAGCATCATTTTTTGTTCTTTACCATCGCCCTACACTTCGCCCTCATGAATCACCCACCGCCACACCACCACCATCAAGGCCCGCCAGGACTGCCTCCACAGGGCCGGTTTCCAGGACCAGGAGGACCACCACCACCCTTCATCAATGGCCCACCACCACCACATCAACAACATATCCTCGGAGGACCCCCAGGAGTGCCGCCTGGCGCACACTTTGGTGCGCCACCTCCGCCACCACCAGGAGCGTTCATCCCCCCAAACATGCTGCCCCCAGGATGGACTGAGCACAAGGCCCCTGACGGAATGGCTTACTTTTACAATGCTGCTAGTGGTCAGAGTTCCTGGGTCAGACCAACTTTGCAGCAGTTTCCTATCCCTCCACCACCGGGCAACGGCATCCCACCTCCACCAGGCATGTCTGGTTATCCATCATCACAACAACCTCTATACCCCCCGGGAATGGGACCTCCTCCAGGTTTAGAGCCAGTCGCTCAAGCGTCAATTGAGGAAACAGGAAAGGGCAAGAAGGGCAAGAAGCCCAAGAAAGAAAAGGCCGTGAAAAAGTAAGCAAACCTTGATGCTTTTCGTGAAGGTAATGCTTGTTTAGGGGATTCACTAGAGCTAACCTAACAATGTTGATCTGCATTGCACAGGACACGTATTATGGAGTCGCCATGGTTCATTGTGGAGACCAACCTGGAGAACACATTCTTCTACAACAAGGAAACCAAGATCTCGATCTGGATCCCCACACCGGAATTGGAGATCGTCCTTGCCAAGATGGGTCAGGAGGCAACTGAAAAGATTGAAGCCGAGAGGAGAGCCAGAGATGCAGAGGAGCAGGAACGTCTCCAGGCATTGAAGCGCCCCTTTGAGACTGATGCTGCTGGACAAGTGGATGGCGATAAGCGCTCCAGGAATGAATCAGAACCTCAAGGAACAGAGTAAGTGGGAACGAAAAACGGATAAAGATCATAGTCGTGAATGGGAGAATCGCGCCTGTACTGACAGCTCCGTATCATCATTTCGTTATACGTTCTAGGATGACGGAGGATGATGTGGCGTGGCAGTTGGCAGCAATGGAGGAGATCATGGAAGACCAGGATCAACACATGGCCAGCCAGGATGAGGATGACGACGATGATGATGACGACATGCAGGAACGGCTCCAAATGCTGCAAAAATCCTCAACCTCAACCTCACGCGCAGCAGCTTACCTCGAGATCTTGCCCGAAAACATCCAGGAGCGAGAGATGGCCTTCTTGGATATGATGCGTGAGCGTGACGTTACGCCGTTCGATACTGTTGAAATGGCGTTTGGAAAGGTGGAAAAGGACCCAAGGTACCGTCTGATCCCTGACGAGAAGGACAAGACGGTGCTCTTCGATAGCTTCTGTGTCATCCGTGCGCGTGAGATCAAGGAGGCTAGGAAGAAGAAAGAGCAGCAGGAGGAAACGGAGGAGAAAGAGGAAAAGGAACAGGATCGAAAGACAAAGGACAGACATTCAACCTCTTCATCGTCCCGCGACTCGAAATCTCATACGACAACAAAATCTTCATCATCCTCAGCATTGAAAACCTCCGACAAGCCCGAGGATGTATACAGGCGGCTGATGGAAGACTACACGACAAAGACATCGACATGGCTGGATTTCATGACAAAGTACAGAGTTGATCCTCGGTTCTTGGGCCTTAAACCGGGCTCGCTGAGAGAATCTACCTTCCGTCAGTATCTCTCGGACCTGAAGAAGGGAATCATCCAATCACCATCAAAATCCTCTTCCTCCTCCGACAAGGACAAGCGATCTTCGTCATCATCGTCTCACCCACGGTCCTCGTCGACAAAGTACAAGGCGACAGATGCAGAGGTCGACGAGTTCATGAGCCTGCTCAAGGACACCAAGAAGGATATACTGTACGAGCACAAAAACTCATCGTCGGTCGAGTGGCGCAAGATCAAGAAGCTAATTGACCGCGACAGGCGCTACGATGCTGTAGGTTCCTCCACCGAGCGCGAGCTGCTGTTTAGAAAGTACGCAGATCGTGTCATCCAACGGCGGGACTAGGCGTCTAATAATAAAATCCATAGAGGCTTTGTCTTGAGAAATGTTTTTTGGTTTTTTTTATTATTATTATGCAAATGAGAAAAGAAGGAAGTGAATGCAAGTGAGGCGTGAGGGGTGTGAATAATAGGTTGCGTCTGTGTGTTTGTGAATCAGAGAGTAGTAGATGAGAACAATAGTCTTATGCGGTCTTCTGGCGCTTTCCGCCCTTGCGGTCCTTGTTTCGTCCACCGCCTCCAAAGCTAAACTTCTTCAGAGGATCATTCTTCTTTCCGCCGCTACCACCGCCACCACCACCGTGCCTCTTGTTCTGACGAGACACCCGTACCGAGTTTTGGGTCTTCTTCTTGAAGTTGATGTGACCCAATCCCTCAGCCTCTCCAATCTTCTCGCTCGACACGGCCTGGACCTTGGGCATCATATAGTCTGGGACGTGCTTCATGTGTGCCTGGACGCGTGTTGGATGCAGCGTCTTGTCGTGGCGCAAATATTCCAAATCCTTAGGCTTGTCCTCAAAATGGGCACGAAGCTTCTCAGAGTTCAACATCTCGGCCTTCAACTCCTTCAGACGAGCCTCGCGGATCGACATGCGGGTGACGGCGCGCATGGCATCGTCCATACGGTATCTGAATCCTGCCAACTGTTGCATTGGGATGGTATATGGGTTGATGGTGCATCCAGACGCTATCAAAGTGCACAATGATACAAGTAATTAAATCGGTTAGTGTCAAAATCAACAACATATATGGCAAGATTGAAGACTGAACGATCGAGAGAGAGCAAAGCAACACATCGGACTTACCAGACTGCTGCTTGACAACGCGGTTGAAGACAGCCTCGTCGTCACCCTGCATCTGGTTCCAGCCTCCGCCTCCAATGATCTGACTGCTCTTGAGCGACTTCTCTTTCTCCTCTGCGGTGACCACAAAGCTCAAACTCGTTCCCATCTGTCCACCACGGGCTGTACGGCCGACGCGATGTGTGTATGACTTGGCGGTGGGTGGGAAATCAAAGTTGACGACAGCTGCGACGTTGACAAAGTCGATACCGCGCGAAACTCCGTACTCCTGATCCTTCTTGGGTCCCGACTTCTTCTTTGACTTCGTGGGTGCTGTCTTGGTGTCGGGCTCGGGTTGTTTCCTCTTCTTGGAATCTGTTGGTGTGACATCGCCTCCCTGCATCTCGGCCATGGCGCTGGCCTCATCGTCCTCGTCCTCGTTATCGCTGGCCTTCATCATAGCTTCCATCTCGTCCTCGTCGTTATCCAGATCCTCGCCTTCAGAGCCATCAAACTCCATTTCCAGATCGCCCTCAGGGATACCATCATCTTCCTCAGCTTCTTCCTCAGCCTCCTCCTCGTCCTCCTCGTCCTCGTCTTCGTTGTTCTCCTCGATCTCCTCGACAGACGCCTTCAATTCCTCCTCCTTCTCGCCTTTGAGTCCACCCTCATCGGTGGCGATCATGTAGTCGTACACTCCCTTGTTGAACTCCTCGACAATGTGGACGCGCGAGTTCAATGGCAGCTCCGAGTTGAGGACGACACTAGGGATCGAGAATTGTTCCAGGAAGAGCTTCAATCGGTAGCAGCGCTCAATGTCGTTCACAAAGATGATGCACTTGCCCTTGAGCAGCTTCAACTTGAGCAAGACGTAGAGGATCAAGTATTTGTCGGTCTCACTGCAGATGGTGTAAAGTTGCTTCAAGTTGTCCCAGGTCGAATCCATGGTCTTGTCCTCCATCTTCAAAATCGCTGGTGAACGCAAAACCAACTGCTTGAGCGAATCGACATCGTCGCCGAGGGTTGCTGACATGAGGAAACTCTGGAAGATCTTGGGCAAAAAGGTCAGCAGCTCCTTGACGTCCTCCTCGTAGTCGTAGTTGCACACCAAATCGGCCTCGTCAATAACAAGCGTCTGGAAATGGGTCTTCAGGTCCACTGCGTTCAACTTCAATTGGGCGAGAATCCTGGAAGGTGTCGAGACGATGATGTCGGGCTGAGTGGCGAGAAGGGGCCTGCAATGGATCACATTTGAGGAAGGAGAGCGTCAATACGAGTGTGTCTTCTGATCAATCTGAGATTTGTCTACAATGGCAAAACATAATAGAACTGAGCGTGTTTGCTTACTGTTGGATGTTGTCGTTCTGCTTTCCAGCAATGTTCAAAACGCTGACAGCTCTGCCGCAGAAGAGCAAGATGTTGTTGGTGAAAGCTGTGACTTGTCCGGCCAATTCGACAGTGGGGACAAGAACCAATCCTCTAGTTGCGGTCGCCTCAGGAGAGTTGGCAGGAAGGGCCTATAAAGTATATCAGATGCAGTATCCAATGCGTGAGTATTCCATCGTGATGGACATAAAAAGCAAGGTGTGATTGCGGAGCGCAATTAACACAACAAAAAAATCAAAGAGTGGGTAGGTAGACATACATCCTTGACGGCGAGGATCTTGTGGATGAGAGGGAGCATGAAGGCAGCAGTCTTTCCGCTTCCAGTTCTGGCCTTGGCGAGGATATCTTTACCAGCCAGGGCGAGAGGGATTGACTTTGCCTGGACGGGGGTGGGTTTCGTAAAGTTGAGTTTGGCAAGACCACGGAGGAGACGGTCGTCGAGACCGAGGTCTGCAAAGGTGAGGTTGTCGTCGACGGTGTTAGGGGTAACCTCGGCAGCCTCGGTCTCTGTCATGGACTTGCTGTGTTCCTCCGACATTGTTGAAAGAGAGAAGGTGTGGAGGGGTGAAGGGGAGGGGGAGAATGGAGGGGTGAACAAAGCAAAAGTTGATGCTTGCCCTTGCCTGGTTCAAGCTTCACTCTCAAAAAAAAAAAGAAAAAAGCATTTGTGTGGCTTGTGTTTATGGTCACGTGTACCAGGCACTGCACTTTCAATGATTCTCCACATCTACGCAGGTCTACACTTTTGCTCCAGGTCATAGTATCGGCACCTGCAACTACTACGGTATAGCTCCCACAGGCAACGGATGAAACACTCCAACGCCTCCTGATACATAGAAACACTGGAAGCTAAACAGGCACGGTTGTATGTGGTGGTGTGGTATTTCAATTTTCATTTTCATTTCCTCAATCGCCTAGTCTTCGCCTGCGGGGACCTCCTCCTCCAAGTAGCGGATCAGTTTTACGCGAATCTCAGTCATGTCGTCGCCACGGAGGGTATCTGTCACAAAGAACGCATCCACTTGCATCTGGACCTATATCACCAAGAAAAAGACACGCAGCAAATAACTGTAAGTCGACGAGGAACATTATATGACAGTTTGCATTCGCCTTCAACAAGAGGTGCTGACTAGAAGAACCAAAAAAAAAAAAGGCCAGCAGCAGAATGTCCAACTTCTCTTACCATCTCCAGCGATCCACGCAAGACACCGCAAAGGATATTAGAGTACCAGAGCTCATCCACAAGGGCCTGTTCAGGCAACTCAACACACTCTGCCAAGGGGTTCTCATCCAGAACCAACGAAAACTCACGCCCATCGGCCGAGATGTTGGTGACGGCCGGTGTGATGTTCAAGAACATCTTGAACCCCACCTTGGACACCATCTCCGCCGTCTCTCTGAAATCCTGGCATCTGCCAACTCCTGACCGTGCCAAAAAGTCTTCAATCAAACGGGTTCCAATGTTGTATCCCCTATTAGCATTGTTAGTGTGAGAGACAAAGATGAGTGAATGAAACACAATTATGTAGCATATGTATAATACCTTAATAGGGCTACTTTTCTTCGTATAAGGCACAGCATTTGATCAAGACAGCAGAATGACGACCAAGGCGTGTGCATAAGTAACAGGCACGAGGTGCGACTTACATCTTCTCGAGCTGCTTGTTGACCTCTGTGAAATCCTCATAGTCCTTGACGAGCTGAGCTACAATTGATCCGTACGTCAAAGTGAAGAGCTCCGCGTTCTACGCGACAACATAGGAAAAAAGACAAAGCAACGCCATTAGAACGAAGCCTAACTTGCTGTATCTTGGTTCTGATTGTTCCTGCTCGATTATTATCAACTCTTTGTGAGAGGCAAGGACTGTGTGCTGGAATCGTCAGTGCCAAGAAGAGCGTGTCGTTCTTCCACTGTATCCTTTTCAGGTCGGTTCAAGATGACACACTTCTCCATCAACTGACAGGCTGTCTCTTCGATGAGCCTAGCTAGGTGACCAGCTAAGTGGCTGGTTGACTGGGGAGTGGGCTGCTTACAATCTTCTCGACTTTGTTCTTCCAGATGTCGTCTCCGAGAGTCTTGTATTGCTTGGCCATCTCGTGTCCTGTGTGTTTGTCGTAGTTGTCTGTGGTGGCAAGTTGTAGAGATGAAAGAGAGAGAGCGGGCCAAGAGCGAAAGATGAAGGCACTTGTAAGTCTACACGTGACTTCGACATCGCCCAAATGATCTTGCCGTTTTCGACAGACAGAAGAAAAAGCCCTTTATTTGAAAACGATTAAAAAGTGTCCTTGTACTAATGGATGGACAACTAAGAAGAATAATTATGCACAGTACAGTTTTGGAAAAAATCAATGCGCGCCTTCAGGCACGTTTATTTGTGAGACTTGGGGTTGTAGCCGTTGTTGGAAGAGTAGATCGTGCTGTTGTTCCCAGTCTGACCGGCGTTTCCGCTGCCAGTGGTAGTGGCGTTTCTGCCAGGGGTCGTGGTGGTGTTGTAGATGGTGTTGGTGGTCGAACTGGGCTGGATCGTGGTGTGACCAGTGCTGCTCCCTGAAGTGTAAGTCGTGGAAGCGTTGGTGGCGCCAGCGGCCTGCTGGCCGCCAGTAGAGTAGGTAGTCGAGGACACACCGGGGTGGACATGAGTGTTTCCACCAGAGGACGAGGTGGTGTTGTACGTGGTAGTGGAACCAGGCTGGCCGATGGACGCTGTGGTCTGCCCGCTCGGAGCAGGGATGTTCGAGGTACCGGTAGTGGTGCAAGTGATGGCAGTGCCGGGCTGGACATGAGAGGTAGAGGCAGCAGGGACACCTGAGGTCGTGGTAGGGTAGCTAGTGTTGCTTCTAGCGGGCTGGGATCGCGAGGCATAGGCAGCTCCACCAGCGGCACCAGCAGCGGCATCAGCTCCGGCAGCAGTGGCGGCAACAGGTGCAGAGGCAGCGTGGTAGGTCTGGCCGGCATTAGCAGACTTGACGACCAATGGCTCAGTCTTCTCCGAGACGACAGTGCGGGTGGCTCCATGACTGGCCCGAGTAGTGGTGCTCACAACGGGGACATGGGTGGCGCGGCTTCGGCGCCAGCACCAACCAAGGAGACCAGCCAAACCGAAGGCACCCAAGATTCCGAGGACGGTACCGGCAATGGCACCACCAGACATACTCTCGGACTGAGCCGAGATGGGGATATCGGTAGGGACCGGGGTGGGGGCAACGAAAGGCTGAGCGGTGGTGCTGCCGGCAACGTTGGTATTCCGGGTGCGAACAGCAGGGCCAACACTACTCGTGCGGGTGGTGCCATTGGCGACCTGGGTGCTGCCGCCATAGTAGGTGGTTCCGTGGTAGTGCTGGGTGCCGGAGCCGCCATTGCGTTCGTACTGGCTTGAGGGACCATAGAGGTTGCTCAACCCTCCGCCACAGCGTCTAATCAAACCCTCGACGTTGCGCGAATGCTACTCAAAGCAGATGGACAAATAAAAATAGACGCGTGAATGTTAGAAAACGTGTTTCTTTGCATTTTTTTCTATTGCTTCGCGAGAATATTACCTTCCATTTGAATGTTGTGTTTACCTCGTAAAAGTTGCTGGTGGTGCGGCGGCACTGGCAGACAGCATAGTCGTCAATGTACTGTTGGTAGCACTGCTTAGCATTGCAGGCGTCCTTGTTAAGATCGGGGTTGTAGCACACAACTTGAAATGTGCGGGCAACAAAGAATATTTTTTTTATGACCGCGTCAGTTTCTGACGTTGTCATGGTCATAAATTATATCTATGAATCGGGTTGGAATGTTGGATAAAGGAGAGGACTTACGAGGGAAGACGTTGAGCTGCTTGCATGCATGTGCAACATCGGTAGGAGAGGGACAGACATAGGCCGAGGCTGTAGCGGGAGCCACGACAATTGCTGTCAGTACAACAGGAACTTTCATTAGAAAATCAAAGGTCGATCTGGTCAAGAGATAAAGGGGTTGATTGTCGTCTTCTTGTGTTCTTCCTGCTGATAGAATTAGGTATAGTTGTGGTGATGAGTAGCGTCGGAAAACGAGCGAAGTCCAGAGGGAGGGCGAAAGGTGAGTTGCAAGAAAAGAGAAAAGAGAGAAAGAGAGGAGAGGAAGAGAACAAAAAGACTGAAGAGAAAAAAGCATGCTTTTGGGGATGAGGGACTCATTACGATGAACGACAATGACGATATGTTCAGATGAGCATACCAGATAATGAAGGAAAAAAGGAGTACCCGAAAAAAGTAAGAGACAGTCTCTGTTCTCCACACTTTTTTTTTCTCATCCTACCAAAGAGGTCCCTTGCATGACATCCTATGAGTTACAAGTCAGATTGACCTCGCAACATCAACGCGCCTCACACACAATAACAAGCGCACGATAATGGGACTGCGATTCTGCAACCAACCTGGCGACTTTCCCTCTTTTGAAAGTGCAAGAAAAAAAATTGCCGGCCTCAGAAACGTGTTTCAGCGATGTTGTCAGATCCGATTCCTCGCAGTTGTAACTCACACACCATTACTTGCAGAGGATATGCTTCGCCCTTATTTTTAAAATTCATTCACTTGTACTTTATTCAAACGCAATAAGAAAATAATAATAATGCTCACTCAAACAGCTCTGTGATTTTGACACCAGGCGACGACGCGAAGCCTGCTGGCAGTTTCCGATCAACGGGACTGTTGGAGTATCCTCCTCCATAGTTCGACGGGGATCCTGGCATAGATTTTAATGACCGAGATGTTGAAGAGTAGAATGAGGCAGGTGCGAAGGGTGATGTTGGCGTAGATATGAATGAGGGTTGGAGAGGAACCGAATGGATGGTGGGGGTTGTCGACCTTGATCGTGGTTTTGAAGAGGTGTAAGGTTCCGATGAGATGTTCAGTGTCAAGTGAGCGGCTCGTCCATTGCCAACCGGTTAGGGAGACTTTGGCGACCTTGGCGACCTTGGCGACTTTAGTGAGGACAAGGATGGCGATGGAGAGACATCATTGGAAAGTGTAGTGATGGCGACAGCTGGCGAACGAGATCCCTTCATCGTGGCAACGGCAGGTAACTGTGGAAGTGAAGGCAGAGCCTCGGATCCGGGGACATGCAGGGATCGACTCTTTTGGAGCTCAGAGCTGTCGGAGACATTGCAGGGGGAAACGGTCACTAGCCTGGTAATGGTTCCTTGCTCGCCTGCAAGCATGGAAAGTTCTTCCGCCTGACCCAACATCTGAGCCTCGTTTGAGAGCTTGCTCGAAGAATCGATAGGGAGGGTGGTGGTAGTGGGTTCCCGTGGATTGTTCAAGAAGGACCGAGTCTCCAACTCAATAGCCGCCGACGATTCTCCGTTCAGATGTGCGAGACTGGCCTGGGACTGCGACTGAGGTCCTGCATTCAGACCCTGAGCAAATGTCGCAACCTGGGGGGAATGCAGCGGCGTCGCATAATCCAAGGAATAGGTCGACAGGAGACAGTGCGCAGAGGTAAACCTTGCTGGGACCTGGGCGACCGTCACGCCGGAGATTGCTTCTGGATCGGCTACATACTTGGTGTCGGTGATAGAATGACTGTACTGGTCCTTGTCGTCATAATGCTCGCTTCCCTCTGAGGGTAACCTGTGGTTCCTAGACGCCCAGGCGACAGAGCCCTGGACCGACTGAATAATCGACCGGATCAAGCAACCAAGGATGGCCAGGCCAGTCACACCGCCAGCAGCGGCAATGATGTACAACAAAGGAGGAGGGCCGTCCTCCTTCTGCAGGCCAAATGGAGTATCGTCCAAGACGATGATCTGGTTGATGCTGGGAGGGAGAGGCACCCGAGTCGAGGTCATGTTGACACAGACATGGTACTTGGTGTCGCATGTTCCAGCATAGCAAAGTACGTCCTTGGAGCAATAGTTCAGGACGCATGTTTGATCGACCCCATACTCGTACTCTCGACACGTCTCTGCCTCGCGTGCCCTATCAAAATTACAGCCGACGGTATACATGCGGTGGGGAAGAGGTGTCAGGGTGATGTATTGGTGTTTGTTTGGGAGACACTGGCAGACTTGGTCGATACAAGGAATGTTCGAGGGGCAGGGGTTGTCATCGGAGCAAAACAAAAAGTTCTGGACACAATGTTTCCTATTGTAGATCGATTGAGAAGGATCGCAGTGTGGCCCTTTGTTGTGCTCATCGGCATCGTCGTAATCCCGAAGAGGTAAGGAAAGCTTGACCATGGCTTGTTGTGTAGAGTGGAGTGATAACAAGGTGAGTGGGCAGATGAAGGCCAGGTTGATAAGTTTGGAGTTCGAATTTTTCTTGAGGTGGGGCCGTGCAGGATGAAGAGGGGCGGCGTTGGTGTTTGTGGAGGATAAAAGATCAAGAATGCTGGAAGTGGGATCTATACCAGGAAGGATGGGAGGCGGGTGGGGGGAGGGAAAGGGAAGAAGAATAGAGAAGAAAACACGGTGATAGAAAAATAATCATAACAAAAGAAGGAAAAAAAAGACAGGCACGCAAATGGATGTGAAACGCATGTCGCGGACCTTGTGTATTAATAAATACGTAAGGGTCGGGGCAGCGGAGAGGACGAAGGAACTAAGAGAGAGAGAGATAGAGATGGTAAAGGGGGTAATAGGACCTCGTTTCGTTGTGTTTTCTACTAGGGATGGTTGTTCATTGGTGATTCTTTGCGAAGGTGCAAATGAAATAGTGCTCTATGCTCTGCGCGGGTAACATCGACGAGCATTGGAAAAGAGTCGCGCGATGGGTCTGCGTTCTTGAAGTTTGATTTCAACACAAAATGGCCAAAAGAAACAAGCAGGCCCCGATGTCGATGTCTTAGCTAAGAGTATTGAGGCACCGATAGCTGCAAAAAATAACGTTGCATCATTCGGTGGCGGTCGGCCAGTCTACATTCTGTAGGACGAACACCCAAGCCCTCTAACGCGTCGTTGTCGCGCTTGTAAAGAATCAGCCCGTAAGACTGATTAGGATGGTGGAGACACGCGTCTCATCAGATCAGTACCCTTGATTCAGGTCATTAGTTACGAGAGGGTGAACCGTGCATCATACATACGCCGGTAGTTAATGCTATATAAACATGGGGTTTGGAGGACAGTGGTCAGAACTCGGAAGAAAATAAGGACGACATGCATGCTCATTTAAAATTGAGGTGAAAGGAAGGAAGGATGCACCCCTATGTGGGGAGGGGGCAAAAAGGACAAAGGAGAAATTAGTGGGGGAGAAAGGCAGACTAGACAACACAGGGGAGCAGTGGCGGATCCACAACAGCCAACAGAGGAATACGAATAAACAATTCATACGCAACATGGGTTTTGTACTCGTTCGTTTGTATTCTTCATTCTTTTGTGGGTGTCAATACAGCTCAAGAAAGAAAATCCCGCTCGGGAAGAAAGGAAAAGAGAAGCAACGTTTTTTCCCTCCTCTTCTTCAAAGAGGGCTGGACACCCTTCAACAGATTCTCACTCTTCTTCTCTTCTCTTCTCTTCTGTCTCTTCTCATTGCATTCATTCTTTCACTCTAGCACAAAGTTGTTCTCAATCATCTCCTGAATCGCTCTTCGCTCTCTTCAACCTTCATTCCATTCGTTTCTTCTTTTATTTCCATAACTTCAGCGAAGTTCTATTCTGCACGGCAACTTGTCAGCAAACAACAACAAACACTTTACTACAACCTACACCGCCGCCTTCTTCACCACCCAACGGTCGCTTTCCTTCTCCCTATATTTGCCTCTTGTTCCTCGACCTCCAGCCCAATCAAAAGGAGCCGTTCAAATTATTTTCTCTTTGTCTCCACCAAAAACAAAACATGTCATCGTCTCCTCTCCCAACAGAGTTGGATACAGTGGCGATCCACCCATTGGAAACCTCTCAGACACAACTCTACTCAGCAACAGCAACAACATCAACAGCAGTAATATCAGAGGAAGAATTGGCGAATGGACAGCCCTCGACATCGAGCACGCTGAGAAACAATCGCTCGTCCCTCGAGAGCCACAGAGCAGCAACTGTCGTCGTGCATTCAATCCACGATGATGCCATAACACGCCATCAAATATACCCCATCGGACCTGAACAGCAGCAACAGCAACCACCACCAACACAACAACGACCACCTCCACCATATCAACAACAACAACAACAACAACAACAACAACAACAACAACAACAACAACAACAGCAACAACAACAACAAGAAGGAGACCAACTTTTTGATGGTCAGCCATCCAGCCCTCCCGCTCTCACCCGGACCACTCGATCCAGGACACGCACATCGTCAAGGGTCTCAGTCGATTACTCGATCCCTTCGTTCCGACTCACTAAGACCGACGTCAGTCTGTGCGTCAACCAGTCCGAAGCCGTCTGTGAGATCCATGACCACCATGGGCCTACAGCCATTGCTGAAGAAGAGGCGGCGCTAGAACATTCGGCTGCTCTTATTGCCGCGAAACAGGCATTGTTATCTCAGCGGAGGGCGAGCGACATCGAGGCTGCAGCGGGAGCAGAAATGCGAAGAGGAAGTGGGGCAGGGGTTGGTACTGGATTCAAGGCGTGTTGTCTTCGCAGATCATCGTCATGTCTCTGTCTCCCTCCTCTACTCCCCCACCATCGTCATAACGTCATGGAGGCAAATAGTAATATAACGGATACAAGTAGACAAGGTGGTAGTCACAGTGAGGGACAGGGCGATGATGGTGGTAAAGAAGACGAAGACGAGGAGGACGACCGCCATGAGGACGTGGATGAGGAAGAGTGTGATCATTTCTGTTCAGGGATCTGTTTACCTCGTTCGCAGTTTTTCCAAACGAGTGTCATTTGCAGTAACACCATGGCCAGAGATGCTCTTGGTAAGTAACACGAGTGGGATGGAAGGGCCTCTCTCTTCTCAATGTGGTTGTGTGCATTTTTTCCTTTCCCACATCCTTTCTTCCTTTCTTCCTTTCCACACACACTAAAATATGGTTCACTTCCTCTCCCTACTTGTCCTGTGAGCAGCGAACGAGCGGACATTTCTGGCCTGGCTGAATGTGAGTATAGCACTCTGCCTGGTCTCGTTCACCTTCATCTCAAAATCACTTTCGCTCGACAGTGTGAGTAAGGAGGGGAAGGATACGACCCAAAAGGACCACCTCTCTAAGGCTGTCGGATACGTCTGCTTTGTGGTTGCCCTCTTCTGTGCCATCTACAGTCCTCTGAAGTACCTCAGGTAAGCAAACAAACTGGGCTTAGTGAATCCAAAACAGGGTCGCTGCTGTGTGTGGGCTGTTTTTGAGTTGTTCTCGTACTGCGTTCACTCATTCGCTCTTTTTCTCTTCTTTCCTCTTCGACTCTTTCTTCGATCAGGAATATTCGGCGGATATCGACGCGGTATCCATTCGCCCAAGCAGGAGCTTGGACGTTTACTGTTGGAATGATCCTCGGAACACTCATCATGATTGTCCTAGTCCTTGCTTACACCACCATGCCTGTATGAAAGTAAAAAAAAAATCTCGAACATAAATTGCATTACATTTGTTTGTTTGTTTGTTTACTGAGAATTTATTTTGGGTGTGCTGGAAATGAAATCGAGAGACCTTTAAGCCATGATCAATCCAAAGGCAGCAGCAACAACAGCGGTGGCAGCCATGGCGATGTTGTTGGAAGAAGCACCGCTGGTGGTGGTACCCTTGCTGCCAGCAGCAAGCTTGGCATCGGGGGAAGCAGCAGCAGCAGCACCAGTGGAAGCGGAAGAAGGGGCAGCAGCAGGAGCAGAGCTCGAGGAACCAGCAGCAGGGGCTCCGGTGATGGTGGCAGCGGGGGTGGCGGGACCGGTGGTGACACCAGCGGGGAGGGTGCCGTTGACGCACTTAAGGGACAGGGGCAAAGGTCCATCAGCGCGGGGGCCAGAGAAGTCCCACTGAGCACCGTAGATGCGCTTGACTCCGTAGGTCGAGTGGCTGACGTCGCAGTCGGCCTTCTCCAGGCAGCAGCGCATGCCGTAGACACCGATCTCGGGCTCAATAACGTTCACGAAGTGGTTGAAGCCAGCGCAGGTGGCGCCAACAGGGGCCTTGATATCGTACTGTCCGCCGCTGTTGTGTTTAAGGAGAGAGAGAGAGTGTGAGAGAGAGGGCGTTGATTAGAATGGCTTTGTCATCTCGATTGTGGACTGTGCGGAACCTCCTCATTTTGAAGGGTCTAAAATGCCAACTTACGTATCGCAGGGGTTCAAGCTGTAGGCAGCAGGGTCGATTTGTCCCTATGGACGAGAATGAGAAGCAAAAGGCGAATGTTAAAACAGGGTTGTTCATTGAGGTTCATTTTGAGGATTGTTTGTCCAACGGGGCGGGATGGGAAGAAGAGCTCTCGTTTTTGTGTCTCCAAGATAACGACTACAGCGGTCGACAGCGGCATTTACAAGCGTCAAAGCTCTCTCCCTTCCTTCTTTGTAGTAGCAGCAACCAGTGTCTCCATTTTATCGTGTTTCACTTACGGTGATCTGAACCCAGCCAGGACCAGTAGCCCAGTGCGAAGAGAGGACAAAGCCAGGAGGGAAGATCTTGGCGCCGGGGGCACGGGAGTTGGCCTTGTTGCAGAAGGCAATGGCCCTATCTTCGTTCTCGGCAATATCTCCTCCAACCATGGGAGGAAGGAAGAAGCAGTAGTTGTCGCCAGCATCGACAGAGGCGATCTGACCTTTGATCTGGGCCTGGGCACCCAAGGCGAGGACGGCGACCGAAGCAGCGAAAATGGTAGTGGCACGCATTATTGTGAGTATGTGATTGTGTGTGTTATGAGGTTGAGCTTGTGTCGAGAGAGGTTTCGTTTCGTAAAGAGTGGAGTGTGTAGTGGAGAGTAGGTAGAGAAGGAGGAGGACGTAGAGGTGTTAGGGTAAAGGGTAAAGTGTGTTGGGCCACAAAGTGGGTGGGCTTGGAGTGAGGTGCAAAAGAGGAACAAGGAAACAAAATAGAGGGGGGGATGTCGAGGATTATATAACAAAAGTAAAAAGCTGGTGCCAGGTTTTTTATGGCCGGTCGAATGGGATGGTTCTTTGAACTGGCTGGCCCTTGAACTGGCAGGAGATATGGCTTTTCCAGGTTTGTGAATAGGAAACTCTATCAGGCGTTTTTTTGCTCTCAACACAAGCATTAAAAAAAGAACTCAGACGATAGAGTACGAGGGAGAGCGACAGGGCATGACAGGTACGACAGATATGGAGCCTCTCCCCGGGATGGACAAAAAACAAAGACGAATGAGAATATGAGCATCCAGTTGGTGCCTATGAGGGGGAGAAATGGTTTGGCGCCAATTTTTTTTCACCAGGGAAAAATAAAATAACGAACGGGTCTAATTTGGTTGACGTGGAGTGTATTACCCGGATAGCCAACTTTCTTCAATCCAACCTTCGCTAGCCTCTATCTCTTCGCTTGCTCTTATTTTTAGCCCCTCTCATACTTGTTACCCAAAGGTGGTAGCTCGCTTTCTTTCTTACGTTCTTGTCCTTGCGGCAATGCTTTCCCTTCTCTTCACCTTTCTAAGCCGATGCAAAGCTGGATGTGACCAGAAAGAGGCAATTTGCAAGTGAATGACTGGACGTGCACAGGTAGTTCAATCGAGAAACAGGTGCAGTACGTTATCAATTAGCAATGCTATTTTTTGCTCCGCAATTGCGTGAGTGGTCCTTGAGATGGTACTTATTCATGTGTGTGTTTGTAAAGGTGAGTGGGTCGGTGTTTGTAAGAAGCGTACACCTGCCTGTATGCTCTTGCAGCTTGCAAACAAGTGGACGACCGCTTGATAGACAAAAATGGACAAACGATGGACATTCCTATCCTCGCATTCAGGGTCATTCGGACAAAGATAGCCCAGGTACTACTTGAATCAAGAGAGAAAGAGAGCAAAACGGAAGCGCTCTTTGGCAAATTACATACAAAACCTTTTTTCTCTTCTTGAGAGCCAGAGGTTTGATAAACCCCTTTCGCACGAATAATAGGGCCGGAATGGGATACATGTCGCCTGGATTGGAAGGGGGGAGAGCACACCTTCCAGCATTTATCCAGACACTCGAAGAGCTCATAAGGGTATCTCTGGTACTGTAGCTTATGGTCGTCCACATAGTGGTGGATGGTATGAGCAAAGACATGTTACATGGCATGCGCACGCTAAAACCCAAATGCAATGCAACTCTGTCCGTCTGTCCGGTCCGTCTGTCCGATCCGAACAGCTATGGCACAAAAAGGAGGTGGATCTAAATGTCTATTTTTTGCTTTTTTGTGCCTTCTCCTACAACACACAAAGCTGCTCTCAGATATGTTTACACTTCCTCCTCATCCCTGGATTGTCAATGTTAGTTAGCCCTGGTTTAGAGCGTCAATGGGCACACAGATGACGATGATGATGCTGAGAACTCTGACCCCAAAGCATAGAGCATATTGGCGCCTTCAATGGCTTCGTAAAGTGAATGGATGCCTAACATGCTCAAGAAACGCGTCCTAGACACAAGAGGGATAATGTAACATCGCAACTTCCAGTCTGCAGTATTGATGGGATGGTGGTGTCCTCCCTTTGTTAGTTTGAGTTTGTTCGTTCTCATTTCAACAACAACATACAACGAAGGACAGCCATGCAACGAGCCAAACAAATAAAGGGTGGGATGTGTAGCCCATAGGAAGAGAAAGAGAAAAAGAACGCGGACAAGTGCTTTTTCGAACACACCATCTTATCCAGCCCTCCTCCTCCTCCTCCCTTTTATTTTTTGGAGAGGTCGTTCGTGGTGAAAGTATTCAAGGGATCGATAGCAATTGAAAAAAGGGAAAGGGAGAGAGAAGGAGTGGGAGAGGGCATGCAGCTATCCAACATTCACTCTACCACTCACTCCAAGGTTTTCTCACAAACACATAACATAACAAAGGAAAGAAATCATTTATTGACGCACCCTCGACGGTGGATGGGTGCATCCTATTCCATCCTTACTCCTCTTCTTCATCTCCCTCCCTCTCTTCTTTCCACCCTTTTCTTTCTTTCTTCTTTATCCTTATCCTTCTCGCCTTTCATGAGTCCTTCTCGCACTTGTTTTCACCACCGCTATCACCTGCACCACCAGCTCTTTTGTCCCATATTCATTGTCGTAATTACATTGAACCGTAAATTGTCGATCAAGACAAGAAGGTCTAGAAGCCTCATCTTTCTCCAGCAGGAACTTTAATCCTTATCCTATTTGCATCCTATGGCACCCAAATCGATCATCAGCAGCAGCAACAACAACTCTCCACCTTCCGCCTCAGACAACAGCAATAATACCACCACCAGCAGTGGTAGTGGCAGTGGCGCAAGCGGCTTCCATAGCCGACATGGATCAACAATCTCGATCCTCTCCGTCCCACTTCTGGACCCCTTCTACCGAGACCTAGTCGCGCTCAAGACGGACCATACAGCGCTGTATGCAGAACTGAAGCGCACCCAACAGACACTCCAGCTGTCGTACCAGGATCTGATGATGGCCCGGGAGCGGTCCAAACGGGCCGAGACGGATTCGGGTCGACTCAAGTCTCAAATGGAAACTATCTTGTAAGGCGGGAAGGGCTTCTTTGTTTGTTGGAGGGTTATATGCGTTTGTATGTAGGTATTCAGAGTTTGTCTGACAAACATAGTTTTCTTTCTTCTTTCTTTCTCGCTCGCGTGTGTGTGTCTAATCTTTTGTAACTATACAACACATACACATTCATGCAGCAAAAGACATGTCGATCATCATCCAGAACGAGAAGCACTCGTCCAACAACTCGTCGAACTGCAGACAAGACTTGACATTGAACTGGGTGCCCGTCGAGTCCTCGAGCAGGAACACAGTCTTCTCCAACACGAGTTGATCCGCTATCGCCTCAATAACAGCAATGACAAACCTCCTTCTTCATCGTCAACAGCGAGCGCTGCAATTGCTACTGCTGCTCAGTCCAACCCTTCATCATCTTCACCGGTGGGCTCGATCCGGTCGGCGACTTTTGCGTTGTTTTCGGGGGGCGGTAGTCGGAAGAGCACCAGGAGTAGCATCATCAATGCCGGCACCGGCACCGGGACTGGAAGTAATAATAACAATAGCAATGACAGGACGCCATCTATCAGGAGTGTGCGCATGACGGACGAGATTCAGTCTATGCAGGAGTCGTCTTCTCCTGCACCTCCTCGCCATTCAAATCACTACAGCCTCTTGTCTGCTCCGTCCACCCCACGAACAACCTCCAACTATGCCACCTCTACCTCTGCGTCCACACCTCCCCCGCCTCCAGCAACGCCAGCACAGCAGCAGTACGGAGGCGGAGTCACCGTCATCCAGGATCTGGACCATGAGAACCTGGCAGCCATCCAGTCTCGGTTGCCATCGCTGGAACAACTCGAGGGTCAGAAGCTGTTCTATGACAAGCTGGCGGAGGAGAACGTCGCCATGAAGATAGAGATCCAGGACCTGCGATACCGCAACAAAGCCGAGAAAGACTCTGTACGTTTTATTACTGCACCCCACGAGCATTTCAATTCGGGTTGTATTCATTTTGTTGTCCTTTGATGCATTGGCGTTAACGCTTGTCGATGCGTTTCCAATCCTACTAGATCAAGGGATACATGTCGTTGTTCGAAAGCCTGCAAAAGAAACAATCAAACGCCCTGGCGGTCGCACAGGCAGAAATCGACCTCCTCCGTTCAACAATCCAAGAACACACACTCCGTCTTGAATCCCGTGAAACCCTCCTCCAAACTTTTGCTGCTACTGTCAACTCTCAAGCCATCGAACTCGAGATCCTGACAAGAGATGCTTCCCGTGAACGCACCGCCCGCGCAAAGATCGAACAGGAGATGGCGTCCTTGTTAGAGGCGAGCCTCTTGATGCTGGAACGGCTCTTTGCAAACGTGGATCAGACGGTTCGGTCGGGGCTTGTGAGGGTACTGGATCCGATTCGGCAGACGATTCATCATTTGGAGATCCCGAGTATTCTTCAGGAGTGGGATATGTGTGAGCAAGGAGTGCAACGGATTGTTAATGATTTGGCGAGGAGTTTGGTATACCAGCAGGAGGTTCAGGAGAGAGGGCTTGAGGAAGGTGGAGACGGAGATGGCGCTGGTCCGTCAAGAGGAAGCACGGGGTCGGCCCTTGTCAAAGCCAGCAACAACACGAGCAACAGTAGTAGCAGCAGCCCTTTCGGCGGCAATAACAACAATGGTGCACGGAACCCCCGCAACAGCGTCAGCTCAACTCACTCAGCCATGACAGCATACAGCACCTACAGCACCAACAGCAGTGGCAACAACACGTACAGGAGCTACCAAGAGGAAGGTCCGGAAGAATCAATGTTGATCCTGAACAACAATTTCAGTCAACAGGTCCTTGTCTGGCGCAAGTTCACTGCAGACACGTTCCTGGAGGAGTGTGTCAAGAGTGTTGAGGACCTGGCCCAGGAGAGACGAGAATTGCAGACCAGGGTTGTGGAGCTGACTCGTATCATTGTTGAGCAGGATGAGGCTCGTCGTCTGAAGGAGATATCAGCTTCTCATGAGGGGGGAAGTGAGGTGGAACGGGAGGAAGAGCCCGCCGTGGAGAAGGAGTCCGTAGCAGAGAGGACGGATGAGAAGGAGAAGGAGAAGGAGGAAACAATGGAAGACCAAGAAAAGGGGGACACCACTGTGGACGACAAGGAGGACGACGCAAGCAATGCGGCTATCGACCTCCCCACCCCAGAAACCAACCTCTCATCAGACACACCATGCAAGGACAGTAGGGAAGATGCAGAGGAGTCGTCGTCTGCAGGAGGATACTGTACGGATCAGGAGAACCACTCCAAGGACTGGCAGGAATCTTCACTCCCACTCAATGCTATCGACCACCAGAACAGGACGAGCGGTGCTGGTTCAGCGGAGGATGGGGATAGTCGAGAGATGACCAGACGACTGGAGTCGATCCTTCAAAAGGTTCTGGATCACCTTGAGTCTTCCAAGGAGAAAGGAGCGGTATCGTCGTCAACGACAACAACAGTGGACAAAGTGGATACATCGGGAGTCGCAATAGGAGCATCGCCAAGGAGTCTGGACGACGATGATATTCTGTCACTGGGAATATCTGAGGCGCCTGTGAGGGTTATGAAAGTAGAAATGAGCACTGTCCAGGATGTGAAACCGTTGTTGACCACCATGAGCTGCTCGGGGTCATCCACCACCTTGGACAGCAGCGACGTCTCTAGACTCAAGAAGGATGACCTCGAGACTCTCGTCCAATTAATCCGTCATGAGCTGACAGGGACCAACATCGCGCCTTCAATGGAAGCTAATGCATTGGACGACAACGCCATAGACGCGTCGCAAACCCCAACCATGGCACCCCTTCAGGCTGTAGAAATTGAGGATGTCGTCGTGGTCGACGCTGGAGAGCAGGAACAGTCAGCAGACATGGAGCCGCCACATATTGAGCCACCAGCCTCAGAGCCTGCCACCACAGCAACAACATTGACCATCATCACTACCGACACGTCCGCCAACGAACCTGCCAACAATAGCACCACCAGTCATACAAGGACACAGACGCGTCCAGAAGGGATCTCCACCTCATCTTTAGCACTAGCATGCCGAATATCCTCTTCGTCCACAGCCTCAACACCAGCAACATCCTTAGCCTCCGCATCCACGGTATCGTCAGCCTCCAGCAACAGTAGTTACTTCTTCTCCTCAACCAAGCTTGGCAGCCTATCTACCCCATCCTCCCCAAGTCTGTGCGGCATCGGTGGTCCAGACGGTCAGACCCTGCTGGACGTCGAAGCCCTCTGTCGCGACTTGGCCTTCCGCTCCTTCCCCACACAGCACCAATGGTCCAAGAAATCCAAGAAGCAGCCTTCCGTTTGGTATCCCGCCTCTTCTACCTTTTCCTCAGCAGGAGCGTCAGGCCTTCCGCCACGACCACCACTACCATCTTCTACTTCTCAGCATTAGCACAATAAACAAGACGGAGGGACGATAAACGTATATTTTTTTTTCTGTGCCAAGCAAGCAGGCGCGAAATTCATGATTTTATTACAAATCAGGAGCAAGTTTTGTGGACAAAAAGTTGGGGAAAGATTGCACACACACGCTTAGTTCTTGATGTTCTCGATCAAGAGAGCTATAGGTACAAGAGACAAAGAGGAAAACACGGTTGTTAGTTTTCAAAAAGTTCCAAAGGTGCATTTAAAGGGAGTCCATCGATTAGAGAAAAAGGAAAGAGACTTACTGGGGGGGAGAGACTGCTTGAGCTTCTCGGCCTTGGCGGCATCGTTGATGACGAGAGTGTACAAGTAACGGGAGCAACGGACCTTGAACTTGATCTGGCTGCCGTTCTTCTTGATACGGCCGGCTATTAGGGTTTTCGATATATGACAAGACATGCTTTTGGTAAGTACTTCAATTCTCCTTCATCTTTTCAATGTTTTTTTGTGCCGATCTCCCCAAGATCCTTCCCGAGTCTAAGCCGTTGTATAAATGCTGTCGAATGATTTCCTGTGAAAATTGTTTGTTTCGTAGTAGCGAGGTGGTTTGTGGGGTTGAGGGTTCCAGCTGTTAATGCCGCTGTGAAAGTATGCTTGTTGCGTCCCGTCAATTAATATGGGTCGTTCGCCTTAAAGGCTCGTGTTGTTCTTGTCGAGTTGCTGCGTGCGTTCCAGTCGATCCAAGCATACTCTGCTGCCTCAAGCCCTTTGCCAAAGCGGGCGATCCAAATTGAATCGGCAGCGACAAAGGGGAGACACGGGGTTCGCGTTTGATGTCATTGGGTGTGTACGCTCCATTGCAGCACCATATGTCCTGCACAAGCCTTGGGCCGTCCACCACGGCCCATACAACGTTGATTTATCATGCTGATAATCCTCAATTGCTGATCGCTGTGCTTTCCCGAAGGTTGGGGTGAAGGTGACCGTGAGATAGGTTGACTGTCGAGTGGTGAAGGGTGTCCTGCTCGTGGGGTGGGCTGGCGTAGTTGATCTGATGACCAGTAAAGGAATACATACACTTGGCGTCCTTTCTGCGGGCAATCTCGAGGAACTGCTTGATGTCTTGAACTTGCTTAGGCTGTTATCAAGTTGAAAAGACGAACAAAAGAGGGGTCATCGGTTAGATCACTGTCTTTTGATCAAGATCTCTGTTCCGTCCATGAAAACGAGCGGGAAAGTGTCCTTGATGATCAAAGTGCCGCCATGAGATGTTGGTTGTTGGTTCCGATCACTCCTTTCATTCCTTGTGCCAATGCCCCTGCACACTCCTTGTTCTGAAAGTAGTTGGGTTGGTAGTGTGTCGTTTGATGTGATGCAGCATCGTCTTGGAAGATGAAGACGAGGATGCGGTGATGCAGTCGCTCTTGAACACCACTCTTGCATCCGAACTGGCGTGCCATCGCCAAAGACGTGAAGGAAAAAAAAAAAGATCAAAGTGCCGCCATGGAGTTGGGTTCTCTTCCTGCTGGATTGTATGATCTCCTTATGGCCAGGGAAGTGTTGCGAGAGTAGAGTGTCGATGATGTTGGTGAAAATGGGATGTGTTGTTCCTGAAGAATTGTCGATGGTGCGGGTGTGCAGTAGGTTGTTCCCGATGTTGTGTTTGGAGGTGTATTGGGACCGATGGATCGATCGATGGATGATGTCCACCATCCGAAAACACAGATTCTTGAGCCGCGCTGTACCATGGCTGATAAAGGTAAATCAAAAGAGGGAGCTTTCGCTTCACACAGATCCTGACTTCAAAAAGGCAAAACAAAAATTAGTCGGGCATCACATGATCATAGCGCCACCAAATGTAGTTTATTTCGGGGGCGTGCAAGCACTAGATGTGGAAGGACTAGAAGAAGAACTAGAAGAAAAAAAAGAATAGCAAGAAGAAGTGGAAGAGCCATTGACTACACGCTATTGCGTTGGATAAACAGGAAGAACTGCTGTGTCTCCATTTTACCACCTGGCCCTCCTCCTTGGAAGAGACCCCCGACCTGAGCACTGATCCAAATGTCAACCGTCGTCAAGCCAGGAGCCAGTGGAATGGTATAAACGTGGTGTCCGATCGAGGGGTGCGACGGAAGTGCTACCAATCCAGTTGGCATCAATTTCCGTCCATTCTGGAACACTGACATTCCGATCTGCTGTTGAATGGGTGCAAGCTGTGCGGCCAACAATGGGATAACCGTCACCGATGCCGCGTCCTTGTGAACAGAGATGCTGTGTGCATACGTCTCACATCCAAGGCTCATTCCAAATGATTTGTCCTCCGTATCCACCTTGATCGACTGAATCATAGCATGTCCTACAATGCGAATGAAAGAAAGAAAAATATAGTTGTTAGCAATATGTTGAGGTAAAGAACATACAGCGGCACCACGATAATATCATACACCATGGTTGCAGTACCTTTTCTGGGGCCGACGTTGGCGTCGTAAACAGTAGAAATATCAGCAGGAGTAAAGATCTGAGGTGTGCCCGCTGGGAGTTGCACACCGGTCCTCGAATCAATAGCAGATCCTTGCATGCCCATCTGGAGACTTCCTGGAGATCCAGGAGAACTCATTGGCTGTGATCCCGTTGGGCTTTGAGGGATAATAGGCGGCTGTGGGTGTTGGAGCTGAGGTGGCATCTGAGGAGGTTGCATCTGAGGCGGCTGCATCTGTGGAGGCTGCATTGGCTGAGATTGCATCTGCTGATATTGCAATGCTTGTTGTTGTTGGAACAAGTGCTGCTGCTGTTGCTGTTGCTGCATCAAGAGCTGCTGTTGCTGCTGAGGGTGCATCATATTAGGGTTGTTGTTTGCGCTCATCTGAGAGGAAACACGACGTGAGCGCTGTTGTGCCTGTTGTGCCTGCTGTGCCTGCTGTGCCTGCTGTTGCTGCTGTTGCTGGGAAAACTGTTGCTGTTGCTGCTGCTGGTGCATATGCTGCTGCTGTTGCATGTTGTATTGTGGGTTGAACTGCTGTGGAGGTTGATGCGGGTGTTGAAAGTTCATGGGCTGTTGGTGCTGTTGCTGTTGCTGCTGCTGGAACTGCTGCTGCTGCTGCATCTGTTGTTGTTGCATTTGCTGCTGCTGCTGGTATTGCTGCTGCTGGAGGTGTTGCTGTTGCTGGTGTGGGTGTGGATGTTGCTGCTGAGGGTGTTGCGGTTGCTGTTGGTGAGGGTGTTGGTGTGGATGTGGTTGCTGCTGCTGCTGTGGGTGCATAGGTTGGTGCGGCTGTTGCTGTTGATGCTGTACCTGTGCCTGAGGCAGCTGCTGTCGTGGCATCTGGCTGGAGCGGCGTCTCAGTGAAGACTGCTGGACAGGCGAGGTCATACCGTCAACATCCACATCCTCGTCCTCGTCCTCGTCATCGTCGTCATCATCTTCATCGTCATCGTTACTCCGGCTCTGTCGGCGCTTTGACGGCTTTGTCTTCTTGCCCGATAATGTCCGCTTGTTCTTTTTGCCACTGTCGCCTTGGCTAGTTGACGCAGCCCGACGTCCGTTGAATTGGCCAACCGAGTTCTTGCTGTCCTCTGCGGTAACATCGCTCTTGACAGCAAACTTGGGGAGCTTGAGGGGTGACGGGTAAGGACGAACCGGGGTTGGTAAAGGATCGGTGGTATAGACGCGCTTCCAGTCCTTGATTAGGAAGGCTGACTTTCCTGTCTCGGAGTATCGATTCTCGCAGACGTACACATCCTTGGGGTCGAAATCAAGGGCCAAGCCGCGAACATAGTCCTTGTGGGCTTGCACGTAGACTTTATGAGAGACCAGCGCAAAGTCAAACTCCCATTCTCCTGACGCCTTCAGCACCTCCTTCTCGTAGAACGTCTGTCCTGGAACCTGAAGAGTTTGCTCAGGTCGAAGGAACTTTGAGCCAGCAATAAATCGGTTGCCCCTGCAATCATTAAGCATAGATGCAACATGTTAGCACCTTGCGCGTTGATATTGCCATCGACAGCATGTCGCCTTGAAACGACCTCATGCGTGGTGGAACTTGCCTGGAATCGACTTCCAATCGCTCGACAAGCAAGATGGTCCTGAAAGGGTCGGTCAACTCAACGAACTCTCCCTTCTGAACAGTAAAGTTGTCCTTTGCGTGCTTTGGCACCTTTTGTCTGTCACTCTATTTACAGAATGAGGAAATTGATATCGATACGCGTTAGTCAAGGAGGTCGACAATGTAACTGCATGCAGGTCAACTGCAAACGCAGCTTCTCCAATGCTCACCTTATCAACAGCCGATGCCTTGGGATTGTCAACCAACTTGTAGGAAGAGTAGACGTCTTTCTTTCTGGTGTTGAACAGCTTCAGAAGCACTCTGGCGTCCTTGTTAACTCGTGATCCGTCTTCGTTAAAGATGAGCGCATTCTCGAAAATAAGCTGGAATTCCCGATCAAAGTCGTCCACATTCTTGTAGTGTCCGTTCTTTATCCTGGCCTACAAGATGAGTGCGTAAAGCAAAATTGGAGTGAATAACAGCATTCTTCTTTGACAGTCTTCCATAGCTTGGTAGTTACAAACTCAACCGGCGGCCAACATACCTGGACAAGCTGCAGAGACATGGGCGATTTGATGACTTCGTAGTACTCTGGGTACTCATCTTTCGATGGAAGGGTCAAGAAGATGTCCGCTAATTCGCGACCGCTAGAACATGAGTTATAGACGAAATAAAGGACAGCGTCAACAAAATGTTCTTGATCGCGACATCGTCTAACGCAACGCAGACACTCCCAAGTTTCACTGATCGACTTACGTCTTGTCCTTGTGGTTCATAATCAGCTTATAGAGGTCGTTAAAGGCACCGACGAGTGGGCTGGCAGGGATCGTGAGGATATTCTTTCCTTCCTTGCCAGGCTTTGACTCCTTTTGCTGAGGTTTTGCTGCATCCTTGTCGTCTCCATTCCGTTTGGGCTTTCCCGCCTTGGTTGACTTTGTCTATCAGCAAACAAAAAAATGAGGCGGGCGGTCAGCTAAAGCGGAGTGTATCGCACGTGGAGTGGTGTTTCAAGATTGAGCACTAAAAATGCACTGTTTGTCAACCGTACCTCTGCAAACATTTTATCCCACTCTGGGGACGACTCATACACAAGCTCCAGTGCAACCTGTCCGTGCTCGTTCTTGGCCTTCTTGTCTGCACCGTACTTTCCGATAAGTTGCTTTGCGACATCCAAATGACCTGTGAAAAAATCACAGCGTAAATAATAAACAAAATGTTTACGTTAGCAAGGGTGAAATAGTAAAAGGCGTTGGGGTTTGCATCCTGCATGGAAGGTAGCGACATACCTCCGAATGCAGCCCAGGCAAGAGGACGACCCCTGTACCATGTATCCTCGAGTTCGACATTGGCATTGAATTCCATAAGCAGATCGACAACGTCCTTGGCTCCATAGTAGGCAGCAGCGTGGAGAGCTGACCAAGTGAAGGTGTTCTCCTCGAATATGTTGGTTTCGAAAAGGGTGTCAGGGTGAACATTTCTCTGAGTCAGATACAGACGTAGAGCCTTGGTGTCGTTCTCTTCCACTGCTTGGAACAACTTTCTCACATCTACAAAAAAACCAAAACATAAACGCGATATTGGAAATCGCAAGGAGATGTTGCCCAAAAAAAATAATGCAAGAGGGAGTAGTAGACAAAAAGGGTCAGTTACCATCTTTTTATTCCCTGCAGGGGAAAGCACCAGCCAGCTTGGACGATCACCCTTTTCTGCCTCGTTTGTCGATATGTAAAGAAGAGTGAGTGACATACCATTTTCGGGGAGCACTGCTTGTTCAGGCTGCTTCAACTTGAGCTTGAGCTTTGTTGTCTCGGGACCCTTGACCGCCTATACCAATGTTGCGTTTTGAATGATAGGTATATTAATATACTTGTTGTTCCAACCTATTGATACAACAGAGAAAAGGCGACAGGGTCCTGTGTGTTCAAGAAAAGGCTTGCGTTGTGACCCTGTCGCTATGGTGAATTCTACTCTCTTTTCTCTCTGTCACCCAAAACGCGTCTTTTTTGGTAGATCAACCATCCACAAGCACTGTTCTCCCTCTTTCTCTCTCCATGGTAATCATTCCTGACTTTAAACATTAGTGCCCCATCTTATTCACCCTCTTTCTCACACACACGGTCTCTCTCTCTTGCCAAATCAACATCGTCCCCCTCAGCAATATAGTCCCTCCTACGGGTCGTGGTGCCTCACTAACATTGCTGTTTTACTCTACATCTAGGTTCTTTCAAAGTTGATGGTTGGAAGTTTTGAGAAGGAGGGAGGGGAGGGGAGAAATAACACGGTCCTTGCTTGGTAGCAACACGTTTGGCGGGAAAGAGGCTCTCTTCTCTCGATGGGGATCGGCCCTCCTGGGAAGAACACACTCAAGGAACTGGACCCTGCCTGTGTTCCCTTTCTTTTTGAAGAGAGAGAGAGAGAGAGACAGAGAGAGACAGAGAGAGATTGAGAGATTGTTGTTACCTGCATGGACACGTCTTCGTCTGGCGAGATCTGCTTTGAGTTTCTTCGACTAGAACTCATTCCACCAAAAAGAGGGGCAATAGGGTAACTCAAAAAAAATGTATGAAGTACGGGTAGTATTTTTTTTCCACCCGGACTGGAAGTGGAGGAGGGGTGGTGAGTGAGCGGACGGAGGAAGGTCTGAAAATAAAAAAAAAAAAGAAAGGGGGACGAGGGTGTGGAGAGGTGGACGCGATCGGGTGGTGGTGACGATCCAAGTGTTGAAGGAAAGGCAGAGAAGAGGGGAGAGAGTGAAAGTGAAGAGCGAAGTAGCGGATGTCAAAGTGAGTGGAAGAAAGAGAGAGAATCAAGAGAATCAACTTCAGCTAAGAAAAAGAACTTGACAGGACCAGGCCCGCTTGGAAGTGGAACTGATGGAAATGGGTCACGTGAATTGAACTGGACAGACAGATCGCTATCTTTTTTCTATTATGACTTTTGCTTTGAACACGTTGTTTCTTTCTACTACTTGGTATCTTCGCCTTCTTCGCTCGGGACAAGCCCTTCATCCTGAGCATACCAGATCACAGTCGCCAACCCAAGAACAGCAGACAGCACCGTAAAGAACAACGCAACAATGCCCTTGGCCGTAAACGTGCCAGGCAACAAATTGGGTCCAACATTCTGACCAGTCAGATCAAGACCCTGATTTCCTGCCGCGTTGCCGCTAAAGGGGATACCAAGGTCCTTGCAGTGCTGAAGATGAGTTGGATCAACGGTCAAAACACCAGGCATCGCTTCGGGTGCCTCAATGATGGTAGTCGCAAGACCGGCTTGGAGATGCCACTCGATGTGACAATGGAAGAGCCAAACACCGGGGTTGTTCGCCTGGAACCGAATGGCAACGTTTGTCAGGGAGGGGACGAGGACAGTGTCTCGACGGAGCGGGTTGGTCGTATTGAAGTATGGATACGGAGTTGACTCATCGTAGATTCCGTCGCCTCGACCGACAACTTGGAAGACATGTCCATGGAGATGGAAGGGGTGGTTGCCTGCATCGTTGTTGTTGATAATCATCTCGACCCAGCTGTTGTGCTTGAGAACCAGTGGGTGGGCAAAGGTGCCATAGACTTCAGGGTTGCTTGAAAGATTTCCCATGCTCATTGCAGTGTAGAGGGAAGGAACTTTTGGGAGCACGTAGGTGATGTCGTTGAATGTAGCCTTGTTGATGTGGTCGTCCATAACCTGGAAGGATGCGGTTAGCGAGATATGGTTGTCTGCAGGAGTGACCGCCATGGGGGTGACTGGGGTGAGCAGAGCAGCATCGTCAAAATCACCCCAGTCGATCAGTTCAGCCGGCGCCAAGGGCGAAGCAGCATCGTAGACAATCGTTCCTGTGATGTTCATCTGCAAGGTGTCAGGGACAGAGTCAAACATTTCCGGATCCATGTCGCCGTGGATGAGAAAGTTGTTGGAGGTGGTGTTCTTGGCCGTAACAAGGACAGAGTATCGCTGGGCAGCCGAGATAGGGAATGTCTGGACAGTTGTCCTCTGGACATCGACTCCGTCGACCTCGATGATGTCCATGTCGTGTCCGTCGATGTGGATATGGAACATGGCGAGGGCAGACATGTTGATGATGCGGAGACGATAGACCTTGCCGGGCACAAACGAGAATTTGTTGTCCAACACTTGGTTGATCAATGCCGACTTGGGGACAGGCTCAGCACCGGTAGGGTTGAACATCGACAGGTAATCATCCAAAAGGACCGAATGCTCGTCGTGGTACCAGTCTGTTGAGTAAAAAAGAGGTTAGAGGGAGAGTGGATATATGATGCGTGCATGGACTCTATTCATTGTATGCAAACCAAAGAAATGAATCGACTCACCAGCAAATGCAAGAGTGTACTCTTCATCATAATGGTAGACCTCAGTTGGGTTGTGGATGATAAGAGGACCACGGAGTCCATCGACATAGTGGCCCTTGTTGTGGCCATGGATCCAGTAAGTGCCGTATTGCTCGATGGGGATAGTGTAGGTGAAGTTTGCTCCTGGAGGGATGGGGCACTGGGTGACCATAGAGGGGCCGTCCATCTGGTTGTTTCCTGTCTGAAACAGACCATGGGCGTGCAGTGATGTTGGCTCGCTGATCTGGTTCACGACGTTGATGACCAGCGTGTCATTCAGGGTGACATTAATCGCCGGTGGTCTATTATAATGTGAGATGGTTAGTTTGAAAGAACATAAAGGAAGCTCTTGGAGGTCATTGTAAAAATAAGAGTGAAACGTACGGGAACTGTCCGTTGATGCCGATGACACGGCGCTCCATGAGACCATCGGGATTGGTGTTGACGTAGGTGATATTCCAGTCGTAGGTGACGACGGCAGCATGGGCAGCGGCAGAGACTAATGCCAGGAGAGCAAGAGTCTTGACCGGGGTAGCAGCGAGCATTGTTTTTTTCGGTGAGGCAGTGTGTGCTGCAGAAAAAGGAGGGTGAATGCGGCAAGAGGGAAAAGAGAGCAACGAGGGAAAAAGAAGTGCTGGCCGGGTGAAGAAGAAAAAGAGAAAGAAAAAGAAAAGAGAAAACCAAGGAAAGAACGGCGTGTTTTTATCTGATGGCGAGCTTTCTTGATGGTTTCAGTATGTGAGGGCGGAAGAGAACAAAGCGGGGGAGAGACTTCGACACACCCCCTATCAATGGAAAATATCACATCTCTCTCGCTCTCGCACGATTATCAGATGGAGGTTTATCCGCCCTTTGTCTTGTTGGCCTCCTCCTCTCCATCAGATAACTCCTCCATACAAAATTTTCTAATTGCTCCATTCTCTCGCCCGCAATCAGATAGCTAGCCATCTGATAGCGACATAAAAAAAATACTATCGTCGCCTCGAGTCCACCCACCTTCGCATCAAGTTTACCCTTGAAACTCATCGGCCGCCCTAACTCTTCTGACTCTTTCTTACAAGTAAGCTACTATCTCTCTCACCAAACAACCGTTCAACCGCCGACAACCTAGCCAACGACTACACCTGCATACATGTCTCCTACAACAGGCAGGTCTGGACCAACTGACCCCGAAAAGTTCAAATCGGGACAACCATCCTCCACCTTTCCACTCTTCTTTTCTCATCTTGTACTAATGCGGAAATAAGACCGCACAGGCACACTCTTTTTCCCTTTCACCCTTCTTCTTCGAGCGGCATTTTTTTTTTCTCTCCGTTCATCTTTTGAATCTTATTCATCCTCCTCCTCCTTCAACCACCGCACACTCATTCACCCCCTAGTGTCTCCCTTTCTCGCGTAAACAACAGCTTTTATTTACTAGTGCAGGGGTACTTCATCAGATTCGCTCCATATCATCACCAGCAGCGCCAAAAACAATAGCATCATCCACATCCTTCTCGCCTCCTCCTCCTCCTCCTCCTCCTCGTATTCATCCTCCATCTCGATCTCTTCCTCCTCAACCACTTCAACCATTTCCCAAACACCAGCAGCCGTTCTCGCAAGACTCAAAACACCAGTCTGTAGAACTCTCAGAAACCTCTCCATCTTCAACCAAACCCTACTGTCGCACAAAACTCCCACCACTCTCACTGTCGTCGCTCACATCATCTTCTAAACCCGATGACATCGCACATAACAACAGCTCCGACGACGACGACGAGGATGATGATAATTGCCTGGTCGAAAAAATCGAACGAAGCTGGTCGCGGAGATGCAACGCTACCGAGGACAACGACCTGGGCGACAACAGCCACTGAGCTGGAGTGGGATACAAGAGAGGTGAAAACGACGGCTGCTCGACCTTGCAGATATCAGAGGCATACGACTGTTGCGAAGAAGAACTCGATCGGCGGTGAGCAAGAGCCTGGACCGGGGACTGAAATTTATGGACTAGAGTCGCCGACGACTGCGAGGCAGGGGCTAGACATTGACTCATTTGTTTTTGCAGTGGGTTCGGATTGGGCGCACTCGTCGGCAAGGGCATCCAGGGCGTCGTGATTGTTGGAGTTCCTTTGACGAGCTCCACTCTAGACGTTGTCTTTGTTCTTGCATCTGTTCCTGGAGTCGATTGGAAGAGGTGGACAAAAAGGATGAAGAAGAGAGTAGAGGAGACCTCGGCGGATGCGACATGTCTGAAAAAAAATCTGAGCGCGTCCATGTGGTTGAATAAGCAACTAAGATTTTGTTGTTAAGGTGTCAAGAATTGGGGTGAGCAGAATGCGCTTTTATTTTAGAGCGAGTGAGTGCTGCATGGTGTTCATCAGCTCTTGATACAGTAGTGCCATATAGTGAAGAGAGAAACGAATATGCGACAATGATAGATGAGGTTGAAAGAGGTTCTATGTCCTGATGTTCATGCATGTCATGCTACTTGATGGCCTTCATATTGCGAATAGGCCAGAAGGTTCCCAGTCAAAGGCAAATGAGACAATTACCCCTCATATATCCGAATTTTTATCACATCGTCGACAGGCTATGCATCATTCATGCACATTCCAACCCACTAGGATGAGGGTTTCAATGTGTACATGCAGACACCGTGGGCAAGTTGGAGAGGGCGTAGAGTTCATTCTTTGCATTATTGAGGACCCCTGTCAATTGGTTTTTCTCTCCGCCACCAACATCGACCTTGACCAAGGACGTGTCTTTTTCTGCGCATATCCAGGGAGGCGACAAAAAACACACGCGCACAACATTTTCTAGAAGCTTTAAGCAAAAACAAAGCCCGGGTAATCTGACTTTTGCAAGTTCAACAACAAAATACGACCTGATGGCCTGCCAACCATGTTGACTGAGTCTTTATTTCACCTTCCAACCTAAGATTGCATTTGTGTACACTTCTGTGTCCCCTTTTTTTTTTATTTTTTTTAGGCTGTTTGAAAATGTTAAGAGGACCAAGTGGTCGGAATAAGATGAGCAAATAAAACTAGTGCAAAAGATCTACATGTTTGTATAACGGCATACTACCGCATTGTTGTAAGTTGTAAGCTGGAATAGGATGTCTGGGTGTCGAAATGATGTACAAAAGATGTTACGAGAAAATAAAGCAGCAAGGACCCAAGAAATAAGGGACGAAAAAATACAAATAGGAAAAGGTGAAAGAAGAAAGATGATATGTCAGAGCCTTTGATACTCCTGCGAGGAATCGGAGTTGTGTCGTAATATCTTGAAAGATTCAGACTAAAGGAGTAAAATTGTTCGAGATGATGTCGGTGGCCTCGGCGAGAGTAGTAATGTTGTTGTTGAGATTTCTGAATATGTTGTTGTTATGTTGTTGATAATGATGTTGTTGATGTCGATGTCCTTGTGCTCGTCTTAGGCGGTGATGGCGGCAGCGGCCTCAATGGTTCCTGGGACACCAGAATCCAACCTGGCACGGGACTGAGCTCGAGCGGCTCCGTCTTTGAGATCCTCCTCGGTCTCATCGTCTCTTTTACGCTTCGACTTGCTCTCCTTGGCCTCAATCGTGGACGCTACGGGAACTGCACTAGTTGGCGGCAACGAGATAGTCAGATCCATCCTTGTCTGACTAACGGATGAGCAGTCGTTGGCGGCAGTAGCATTGCAGTCCTTAGTCTCCTCGGAATCAGTTCTTTGGAGCCTATGGCGCAGCTGGTACGGCTGGGGGACATCGTTTCCTGCAGCAACCATGTCGTGGTCGTCATCGTCGCCAAAAAGCTCCGACATAAGCCTGTCCGCCGACTCGACTCCGTTCTCACGTATGCTGAATGGTCCGGAGGAGGATCCATCGGTGTGGCTGCATTCGGCCTTGTTGGCATTCTTGAAGAAAGGGCGAGCGTAGTGAGGAGGGATGTTTGGAAGAGCTGAATCAGCCATGGCCTGAGGTGGTGGGCTTGCTGTTCTGCTGCCACCTTTGACGGTGTGCAAGGCCAAAAGCTGTTTGAAGATAGGGGTATAGCTGAAGCCTTCCATCGCTTCCTTGTGGATAGTGGCGCACTGCAAGACCAGCAACTTGATGTTGTTCTATTTCAGTTCAAAAATAATAAGTATGCAGAGAGCATGCTAGCTATCAATTTCAATGGTTCTAAACAATCAGCCGCGAGGCATGCCATGCCAGGAATGCAAAATCACGCCGCAATTGTTACCTTTCGAATACGATCGAAAAATTCCAGGCAGGCCGAATTCATGGCGTTCCTGTTGCCTTTGGTGTCTTGGAGAAGGCCAATGACACTGTGAATCACTTTGTTCCTGATCAGCATGCGGCTGAAGTAATCGTCGTTAAGATCAATGCAGGCTCTGAAGAATTTCAATGCCACTAAGCATCGAAAGGTTCAGAAACAAAAAGATAATGTTAATCGCCATAGTTCTACTGAGAACAGAACCTATCAAGAATCAATGGCTGTAGAAGCAAGAGGACAAAGGACTTACCGAAACGCAATTTCTTGGAATTATTTTTGAAGAGGAGGGTGATCTTCTCTAAAAGGCAGTTGGAGGTAGGGAAGACCTTGAGCTGCGAGGGATGTTGCTGAACGAGGAACGTCATGAGTTTGCAGACTTCCTCACACCGAGCGGATGTACGATGATCCAGAGACGTCGAAGCTAGTAGAAACAATAACCAAAACGCAATAGAGCTGTTGGTCAGTACTACAGAAAGAAATCAACTCCTTTTCTCACAAGGTCGACATTGCGACAATTCAGTTCAAATACTTACATCTCGTGAGCTCCAGCACAGGTTTGACCAGAGTGCTGAGATACTGCGTGTAAAACAGGTCCAAGAATGCCTCCGCGCTGGGGTCAGGGCGGTCCGAGACGTCGTCAGCTGATTCGCTTCCCCGCAAAGCAGAGGTCGAGATGCTATCTTCTGCCGCCTCGGGGTTGACATTCAGCAAAGTCTGAACGGCATCGGTAAACTGGGAAATGAAGTCGACATTGGATTGTGCGATGATTTGCTTCAAAATAGCGTCCAGGAATACTTTGGAGCCTTTGTGGGAGTTCTGCTCGATGATTTGCATGCGGATCACACGCGGGCTGGTCTCCAAGGCTATCTGCATAATCTCGACTCCTGCCTGCTTAACCCGGGTGTCATCGGACACAAAAGCATGCTCGAGTAGCTCGAAAAGACCAGCAGGGCAGAGTTTCCTGTGAAGGCATCGTGTTGATTGGAGGAAGATAGAAAAGAGTATGGTTAGATCTCCTGTTGAGAACATAGGCGTGACTCTACGATCACACATATTGTAGAAACATATTCTTACCTGTAGACGTCGATAGTTGTCTTCTTGGCCATAGTGCAAAGCTGGTGCACAAACAGCACAACGTCATTTCGGCGACGCTTTGGCTCCGATGGGTTCTTCAAGATATCGAAGAGGTCCTTCATCAACTGGCGGTCATAGGCAATGTCCTGGACGAGCTCGAGGTTCTTGGCCTTACTCATGAGAGTCACCACCGAAATCGCGTCTACTTCCTGAGTATCAGCCAGGACCTTGTACTTCAGAAACTGGAGACGGATCACCTGGTTGATTAGCTTCATGGTGTCTGGATCGCCGATCGGAACGACCTCCTTGAACTTGCCCATTCGAGAGAACATCTGCCGGTACTGGGCTTTTCCCTCCTTCACATCTGCATCGTCTAAAGTACCAAGAAAACGTAAGGTGGTGATATGAGTTTGAAGTCTGATAATACCAGCATTTGTTCATGAGCCAGAGCAATCTTGCAAAAATCCACATAGGCTGTTCACTTACACTCCAGGATACCAAGGCAGCCGGTAAAGTTGCTGGTTTTCAAGATTTCCTGGATGATGTCCGAATCGTAGAGGTTCACTAGAGGCACAAGAAAATAAAGAAACAATGCAATGATCGGTTAGTCTGTCGCTTCCGGGTTTTGAGCATTCCCAGCAAGATGCGAAAACAGCAAAAGATGACAAGTTGTTTTTTTTCAGATGACTTACTCAAATGCAGGAGGATCAGACGGAGGGTGTGCAAGCACGACGCCTTCTCCGAATTCTCATAGATTTCCAACAAGGCGACGAGCTTCTTGATGTACTTCTACAAACGAGTATAAAAAAGGCGGAACAAGCAGATGTTAGTACGGCTATCACCTATGAGAGTCCAAAAGCTTTTAGTTGATATGAACAGGTAGATTAGAGCTTACCTTGTCGACGATGTACTGGCGCAGTTCCTGCTGGATCTCTCTGTCGGCCGTTGTCATTGCCTCGAGGAAATGCTTGATATCCACGAGGTTGGCCGTGGTAGGATTGGGCAGAATTGAGTCGTCTGTAAGCGTCTCATAGTTATTGGCTGTGGAGTCGTGGTCGATGTTCATCGGCGTAGCAGACTGCTGCTGGGACTTCATCTTGACCTCGGAAGGGCTGTGTGGCTGAACAGGGACTTGCTCTGTCACGGTTGAGAAAGTTGTTAGTTTCGTGAGCCATGTTTGTTGTCGAGCACTGCGCCCAGAAAGTGACTGTTGTTGAAGGTACCTTCAGACTCATGCATGGTCGAAGGCGCTGCAGTTGTTGTTGGGAGCACTGTAGGTCGTCCTGTTGTCCTCAGTGCTCGATGCTGTTATTGAGTAATGCGCGAGAAAATTGAAAGTTAGCAAACAGATATTCATAGTTTGTTATTCATTGGTGCTCTGGTCTTGCATTCGTCCTCTCATGAGAGGTCGCTTTCTGGTCGCGTGTGTTTCGCGACATGGAGTTTCGCTGTTTCCTGCTTCCTACTTTCTAGGCTAAGTCCCCTGCAGCAATAGCTGTCTACGGCTGCTTCCAGTTGGTTGTTGTGATTGTTGCCTTTGATCTGCACGGTGAGTCGTGTGTGTTTCATGGGATGCCGGGATTAGCTGCCCAAGAGTAGCTTTGCTGCTGTCACTTGTTCATTGCCTGAAGGGAAGGAGAGGTTGATCGTTTAGACACACTACCGTGTTATGGTCGCGTTGAGCTGTTGTGTGCGTGTGTGTATGTGTGGTTGTATTGTTATGTCTGTGGTTGTTGTTGCTGCGAGAGTGTTGTCGTTGTCCTTTTCGTGTGGGGGTGTCGTTGTAGTGAAATGAGCGATGGTTAGGAGAGTGGAGGGGAATGAGTGTCTGTCGGGAATCGCTGGTGGAGAAGAAAGAGAGGTGCGGTCCAAATTGCGTTTCGACAGACGCTCTATATGAAATTGATGCCATTAAGGGCCTTCCAAAAATCTCACCACTAATGAGACAATCCCTCGCATGTACAAACGTAAATACGACCAACCCTTTGTTTAATGTTTGTTGCGTTCTCAAGGCTTGGTCTCTTGGAAGGGCAGCTCAGCATAATGGAGCGCCTGCTTGAGCGAATCCACTTGGTAGCGGTACCGGTTCGCCAGCTTGCCATCTTTACCCCAGCACACCCTAAACTGCTGCAACAACGCCGGGTCCTCGATCTTGGGGATAAGCGACTTGAGGTACATCAGCAACTGTCGGGACGACTCTGTCTGTATCCGCTTGATTGGAGTATTCTTTGTCGCCGTCTTGCCCTTGGTACCATCCTCAGGGTTTGCTGATCCTTTTTGTTTCCGCTTCAAAAGTTGCTCCTGCATCGACCCAGTACGGTGTCCCTTCGATCCTTTGCTGGCGCCTCCACCCATAACATCCCGCAAAGCCTTGAGATCCCGCTCGTCATCGCTATTGCCTGACATCTCCTCGTCCTCGTCACTATTCTGCTCATGGTCGCTCTCCTCGATCTCAATCGTTGATTCCTCCAGCAGCAGATTAGCCAGCAGATTCACAATCTTGCATGTGTAGTATCCTTGAACCGCCTTCAATGGGTGGTGGCCTATGTAGGTGTTGTTTAGTATCCACTCCAGCCCTAGTGACCGATGGAGAGCAAACACCCAGTTCTTGTGGCTCACGCCCTCGTCGAATCCTGCCTGCTCTAGTTGGCGGACGAGACGATGAAGCGCACTGCGGTGAACAGGGTCTTCCTTGATATCCAAGGGCGATCCTGGTAACCGACGAGGCTTTATCCTTGTATGAGGAGGTGCGACACCCGTTAGTGACCGGTAGGCCTCGTCAAAGTACTGTAATGCTGCTGTTGAGGGTTCGTGCACGGAATTCATGCCGCCCATAGCAGCAGCAGCCTTTCTTGCCTCCTCAGCCGCCTTTTCGTCCGTCGTTTCCGGCAACTTGACCTTGGCGAGCTCAAAGTTCCTGGAGCCTGACTTGAGTTGATGATCCGATGCATCATTCATCTCCCGGACAAACCGAGCAATGATCCTCTCTGCCTCCTCCTGGTTCTCCTGGACAATCTCCTGTGTGAGCTCGGCAACGTGTCCGCAAGTCTCGCACTTCCACTCGACCTTGTTGTAAATGGCGAGCTGTGACTCTATTGCGACGATGGAGCAGATGTCTGACCGAGTCGCACAGGCAGTGTTGGGACAGACAAAGCCTTGTTTTGGATCGAGCAGCGGAGTAAATGTTGGGTCGGGGATGATGGCCAGTAACGCGTCTTGATTAGGTTGAATAAGTGGGTTGGCGGGGAAGTACTGGCACAGTGGACAGATGCATGTGAAGTGGTATTGTTCCTTGAGCTGCTTTTGGCGTTCCTGAGTTGTGCCGATCTGGTCAATGTAGCTGATTGTCAACTATGGCAGCATGAAAAAGTAACAATCATGTCACGTTAAAAAGTGCCAATTGAAACAATTATTAGAACATTAAATATACGTGAAGATCCAAGTAAGAGAGTTACCTCTTCTCCTGGCTGAATGTCCCGGATCACCCGGCACTCGACCCTCGACCCCTTGAAAGTATAGACGCAGTTGGGAAGGCACGAATGGTTCATGAACGGCATGCTCTGAACATAAAGCGCCAGCCCAACCGCCGTGGTAGTTTCCAGATTGGTCACCGAAAAGCCATAGGACAACAGTTTCCGGAGAAGATCAAAGCCCCTTGTTCCACTCGTACCTTTGCCTTCCCCCTCGGGCTCTCCGGATCCTCGCATGAATGCCGCACGATCCTCCTTCGCCATGACAACACAGGACATCACTACAGCCATGACCTTGGTGAACTGGGCCGATTCATCCAGGGTGCTCTTGGAAGAAAGGTCCTGGTTACTTGCTGGTGCTCTGAGGTACTGATCGATCCACGTCGCTCCATGCTCGTCTAGCCACTCCTCTTCCTTCTGATCCAGCCCTGAATAATACACCTCGTTGACCTGCTTCTGAGCTGCATCCATCTTTTTGTGCTCGGCCTTGTAGGCGGCTGATGTCCTCACACGCTCTCGACGACGAACCAATCGGCACAGGGCGCGAACGGTGGTGGTGTCCATCGAGCGCTTCGTCCAGACATCCTTCATCACCGCGTTCTTCATCGACTGCTGGATTCCCTGACACTCTAGTTGATGATGGAGCTTCCAGTCCTTGATTTGGCACGTCTATTGCCATTGGAGAGGTGATGAACGCATCAGATGTCAATTCTAACGTTTGTATTACTAAACAACTTGACAAACAAAGGCGGAGCTGTATTATTTACCTTATTGCAATACCAGACGACTTTACACCCAGCACATCGGACAAGTTTCCGTTGGTTACTGGCCGAAACACCTCCAGCCGAAGAACTCTTCTCGTCCTCACCCTGTTCCTCCCGTGTATCCTTGAAACAAGCCGAACAAACTGAAGGCAGCGAGGCATCATTGACGACCTGACAGTATCCCATCTCCTTGAAGACAAGCGTTCCGGCTTTCAAGACATCCTTGGCTGCCGAGAAGAGTCCTCTACCCTTGTTCTCCAAAGCTGTGTCCTTGATCTCTACCAGACTTGATTCTGAGCCGATACCTGATGACGTGGCCGAGGGGGATGTTAAAGGGGGTGCTGCGAGAGTCTCCACTAATGGTTGTGAGGCGATTGTCTGCTCTCCTTCCTCAGCGCTGGTCGATGGTGGTTGTTGTTGGGATGGCAGTGATTTCTGTTGAAGGGGTCGACGAGGTCTCGTGGTTCCCAGCATTCCTTCCTGCTCCGTCTCGCCTCCTTCTACCCCTGAATCCTGATCGAGGAAGCTGAGTCTGGCAAGGCCTGGATAGACCTCACCGATGTTTTGTGCGTTCTGCGACTGAACATAAGGAAGGTTGCTGCTGCTGCTGGCTGCCGGCTGTTGTGGTTGGTAAGTTGATTCCATCTGGGTGTCGTCCTTCATGACCTCGTCAGCGTCGTGTTCATTGTCGCTGCTGGTGTCATGCTTCTTGGTTCTGTAGTTCCGTTTGGTTTTGTTAGTACGACTAGGTGTGGCTGACGAAGGGCTAGTTGGTGTTGTTGTTGCTGTTGCTGTTGCCACAGCATGTTCATCGATGGAAGTGTTCTCTACGGTCGGGTCCATGGTTCTTGAGCAGATGAGTATGATGTGGGAAAGAAAGGGAGGGAAGCGCGTTGCGTGTGTGGAATCAAAAAGAAGTTCAAAGAACAGGATGCCAATATGTCAATTGAAGTGACTGTTAATGGTGGCACAGCAGCATTTGACGGTTGCTATGCCAAATGACTCAGTTAATCAGGCCAGGAAGATCTTTGGTCCTTTGACATCAAACATTAAACATCAAACATCAAACCCAGGCCAGGCCCCAGCAGTACGCATACGCAAATTGAACGTGTTTGTTATTTTAGAATGTGGAAATGTTCATGTGTTGCTTAGCTATTATTGTTACAAGCCTATCTAGTCAATAATACATAGGGTGTATTATGTTATGTTATGATGCCTGTGGAGCTGTGGAGAGATGTTGTGCAGTGGGTCGTGAAAATAAAAAGGGGGGATAAAAAAGGACAATAAAAAGGAAGATATAAAAAGAAAAATCTAAAATCTCTAGAATATCCTTTAATAATGCATGCCGGTGTGTGTGTTGCCCAGAGGACTTAGAAGAGAGCAAGTCCGAGGGCAGCGGCAGCAGCGGTCAGGCCCAAGGACCAACCAGCAGCAGACTTGATTCCAGCGCCATTGTCGCCCTTCGCAGCTGTGGCCGTGGGCACAGTAACTCCACCGGTTCCTGTTCCAGCTCCAGCTCCAGCTCCAGCTCCAGCACCAGCACCAGCACCAGTACCAGCACCAGTACCAGTAGTCGCGGCGGGAGTGCCAATCGAACTAGTAGCAGTGGGGACAACAGGGGCGGTCGTAGCGATGGTGGGGACAACAGAGCCCTCCAAGTAGGCAGGCTCGCCAATGCACTCCTCCATCGAGACAAAGCGGTAGCCCTTCTTCAAGATGGCATCAATAACAACATCGGCCAAATTCTCAACCGAGAACTGGTGGATCTCGTGCTGGAGCAAGATGAACGAATCGGTGGCAGGATTCGAGTCTTTAACGATTTTTTGGTTAAGCTCCTCCATCGACTTTTGGACAGCAAGGGCAGGGGTCTTTTCGCCAACGTGGCGCCAGTCGTTGGTATCGACGTTCCAGTACGAGATGACGAGACCCAACTCCTTCATCACCTTGGTGCAGGCGTCGGAGCAGCGACCCTCGGGGGCACGCATGTAGCGAGGACGGACACCGCTGTTGGCAAACATCACATCAGAGGTTCTCGAGATCTCACTCTTCATCTCGGCTTCGGTCATCAAGTCGAGGTTGCTGTGGGTATAGGTGTGCGAAGCCAATTGGTGACCATGCTCGAGCATCTTCTTGAGGGAGCCCTGCTGCTGGAGAGTCTTGTTGACCATCTGGCCGCTGGAAGGTATGGTGAAGTAAAAGAGGAATGAAGATAATGCAGGGTTAGATCAATTGATTGTCGCACTAACAGCTGCTGTTGCAGAGACAGAAAAAACGCAAAAAGCTGTATTAGTCAACTTACACGAGGTAGAAGGTGGCGACGACGTTCTTCGTCTTGAGGATCTCGAGTAGCTTGTCGTTGTAGATGTATGGGCCGTCGTCAAAGGTGTAGGCGACAACACCGGGCATCTTGCACTTGGAGACTCTGGCGGCCTCAAAGGCAGGCACCTGGGCGTTGGCCATGGTGGCGAGGAACAGGGCAGAGGAGACGAGGAGGGCGGTGAACTTCATGATGGTGGTGATGCTAGGTGTGAGGATTAGGTATAGGTTGAGTGTGTGTGTGTGTGGGTGTGCGGAGAGAGAAGTAGATAGGGTGGGTGGGTGAGTAGAAACACAAAGGAAGAGGAACAAAGAACTGATGAAGGAAAAAAGTAAAGTCTGGGTTGTCCCAGCCTTTTATACGGACGAGGTCTTTCCTCTCTCCCCTGGACCGAGCACATGGAAGGTGGCGGTATTAACAGATGAATCAAATTCCCTACTTGTATGCTTGCACGCCTTCACCTTCACTCCCATCGTCGCATTATTCTCTTCACAAGCAGGAGGCGCCGGTCTGTTTTCTGTTTGAATCTGAAATTAGATTTTGTGATTCCTCGGTAAGTTTGTTTTGCTCATTTCTTTTGGAGAGGAGTTGGGATTAAAGTTGCATGTTGGGTTGCACCAGGCCGTGGTCTGGAATAAACAACATCGAAAGGACCAAGGACCTCAACTTGACTAATGATTCCCTTCCCCTTCCCCTTCGCCTTCACCTCCACCTTCACCTTTACCTCCGGGAATAATGCAGCGGGGTACTGTCTCAATCGTGGTCTCAATGCCCAGTCTCCTTCCGACTGTTTGTTCTTGTTATTATTGTGTCATCATCATCATCATCGTAACCACGGCCATAGCCATCATCGCCGTCCATGACAAACGTCTTATATCAACCACAACCTCACAATCAAAAATGAAAGGCGAAAACTTAGTGGAGCAACCAAAAAGTGAATGTTCTATTTTCTGCTCGGACAAACAAAACACAGAATTTCCTGGCGCTATGGCTCAAGGTCGAAAATAGACATGCGTCAGAGTCTAACCCTCGCCCACCTTTTCTCTTCCCCCCCCCCCTCACTCGCCCCTCCGTCTTTACGCAAATGGATTCCTTCAAACGACTCCACATGGCTACACAGCTACTGCGTCATGCCTGCCATTAACGCCCACTTGTTCCACCGTCATCCTCCGTCCGTCAGTCCCATCTATTTCCTGACGTTTTGTCAATGCGAACAAACGCCTCAGCATGAAGCCTCGTATGATCAAAGGTCTGACCCTGACCATCAGAAACCTATTTTTTTTCAATTTTTTTTTTTTGAGGCGACACGGCTTCCCTCCCTTCCAAATTGCAATCTTCGAAAGAACAATATCCTCAGGCTCCCCGATTGATTTTGTTTCAGCTCATGTACATCCAGAAAAAAAAAGGGAATGCAAATGGGAAGAGCCCCGCACCACCAAAGGTAAAATGAAAGGAGCGAGCTTGTTCATTGCAAAATACAAGTGCTACATGGGTTGAGTTAGCAAGGGCTGGGTGGATTTAGATCGGGCTGGGTGGACAAAAGGGTTGCGCATTCCAGAGATGCAGTAAACAAAAAAAAACAATGCTATCCTGGACACAGTGACAGTCATTGTGAGTTCGATCAAGAGCTCTCATCGTCACTCTCCATCTCTTCCGCCTCTTCATCGCTGCTTTCAGCATCTTTGTAGACAGTGGCCTTGGCCTTGGCTGCTCTAGACGCCATCCTATGAACATAGACACACAACAAACATGGGATAAATCAAAGGTCAGAAAAAAAAATGTGTGTTGCATAAAAGCAAGTGCACCTTCCTGACAGGATTGGTTGCTCTAATACCACAAATAAGTTGCTTACTTTCTGGTGGGTTCTTCTGCAACACGCTCAGCTGCCTTGGCCTTCTTTGGTCGTTTGGCTCGAGAGGGAGACGAAACTCCTCTCTCGCCAACAACATCCTCCATATCTTCTGCACTATGTGGGGATGGAGACCGGGATCGGCGCTTGGTGGCCTGTCCCATCTTGCGCTCAATAGGTGTCTTGGGCTTGCGTTCGGTCTTGTGCTCTCGTGCCTGGACCCATGCAGTAGGGAGATAGTTCTTCGTGGATATCTACATTTCAATGCAATCAAGACGCCACCAAAACCAAACACAAGTTAGCTCGTAATTCTCCTGGGGGTCAATCCAAAGTCAACAATGAGAAGCGTCAGAGAAGCATCCATACCTCCACAGACACGTCGTTCTGAGCGAGTGGTGTAAACAACTCTCTGGGGAGTTTGACCTGTCCAGGGTAGCTGGTTAACGTCCAGCCATGCGACCGACTCCTTTCTTGAATCAAATACTGAGCAAGATCGCTCAAGATATAGAGGTTCTATTGTACGACGAAGAGAGACATCGCCGGTCAGCAAAGGAGACAACAACGTATCGATAGAATCTCAGCAGACCTTCATACCATATACTTGCGGCTTACATGTGTGTTGTCATTTGGGCTGGCAAATCGGACGGTCTTCATGAGCGAGGCGACATAAAAGATCAGTGAGATGTTCTCCGAGTTGGCCATGGTGTCCAAGTAAAATTCGATATACCTAATAGAGTGTGTGTGATGTATTCTTGTTAGATTGTTATCCTACCAGTTCAACTCCTCGAATAAAATACAAAAACTACCAAGGAATAACTTACTTTGCAGCCAAGTTCATGTCTTGGACAGAGTGTGTTGGGAGAGCGCCTCCAAACACAGCATTTTCACCATCATCAGCGACCTTGATGACAAAGTCGGGGTGGTTCGACAGCAAGTGTAATGATCTCGCGAGAGTCAATTCGTTGAGCATGAGGTTGCTGTCTACTCGTTCCATCAAAAGGTACATGTATATACACATGTTAGTTCGTCATAGTACTACAACTCCGAGCTCAATCCCCATTGTTTCAAGGACTAGACATATAAAAAAAAACATACCGATGGCCTGGCTCTTGGACTGGATGGTCAAGAACTTTTGGACCTGTGACTTCCAGTCGATTTCGGGCTCGTGTGCGACCAATATCAGAACAGCCAAATACCGAATGTGTAGCTCCTTTGCGCGAAGGTATTTCATGATCCTGGTGGCAAAACCATGGCGCACACGGTAAACTGGATCTTGAATCACAAGCGCCAGGCGGCTATAGTCAGATACAGCAACCATCTTTTCGTAGGCAGGGCGCCCACGCGTGAGCTTGATCACAAAGCGGGCAGCATTGAGTCGCAAATGGCTCTTCATCACAGCACTACAATGTTCACAGGTGGTTGGGATAGAGAATGTCAGTGTCGAATCATTTCTGTTGCAACAAAGATCGTCAGACATTTAAAAGAAACATGATATCTTACTTTGTGTTCTTTTCGGCAACCAATTCACCCTCTTGATTGATAAGTGCCCACAAAAGCTGGAACACAGGGCGAACAGCACTGTGCGCCGCCTCGGGGTCACTTTCAAGGAGCACAATTGCCCGGTTGACCAGAACCTTCAGACCCATAAGCTATAATGGAACACATACAAATGAAGATAACAATAAGTCAAGAGTCGAAAAGAGAGTCGGGTGATTGCTTGCGAATTCAAATGGATCGATCTGAATACCTTTGACAAGGAGTACTGGTCCAACTCGCTCTTTTCTACCCAGTCCTCAGTAGCATCGTACTGTGTCTATGGAATGAAGGTCATAATGTGGATTATCAGTATCGTATGCAAACCGCAGATTAGTCAGGCGAAGGTACAATTACGAGCCATCGTTACTCACTTCCTGATCTTTCGTGTTTGTGAGGAGGAGCTTTTTCATGATAAATGCAACGACAGCTCCACTGACACTCTCAAAGACTTGGGGAGAGTACAATGTGATTTGGGACAGGATGGCAAGGTTCTTGAGCAGGTTGGGAGATGAATCCAGGTCCTCCGATATGTCTTCGACAATATCCCTGCACATTGCGTCGTTGTCGGCAATGCTGGCAAGGACGATGGTCGCGTCGGTCGCCTGCGCAACAGTACCCGACGTCAGGAATTGCCGGAGAGTTTCCTTGGCCATTGCATCAGCGGGCACAGACTTGGGGAACTGCTTGGCAAACTCTGCCAAGGTCTGCAACGCATCGGAAGCTCCAACAAAAGTCGAGTTACGAAGGAGAGCCGTGATCTCTGCCAAATGGTCGATGAAAATGGCTGGGAAGATGGGTGAGATTGACCTCAAGAGCTCGCCTGAGATTTGGCGGTTTTCGTCGCTTCCAGCAATGTTCTGGATAAGCTCCGAAATGACCTCAGAATTGATCAATGTGACGCTAATTCGTTGGATAAGGATGGTGAAAATCTCCAAAATCGGTGGCGAGACATTCTCAATCCTTGCAATCGTGTCCTTCTATAAAGCGCGTAGTATTTGCGGCAGTTCACATTAGTGTATTGGGTGGGATACTGAATGCGTTGATAACGACGCGGCATGTTCAAATTCATCATCAACAGTGACTTACAGCTGCTTTCCGGATTTCTTTGAGCGATTGCCTCGAGTCCATACAGTCCGAGATCAGCTGCAAGAACGTAGAGTCATGCATGCTGGCATACTTGTACAACAACAGTGAGCTCTTGACAGGATCGGGCAGACGATCTACAATAGCATTCACGTTTTGATTAGCACATATCCGATTTACGTTGACTCAACTGAAGCAGTAGCTACAGCGCACTTACCGCTGATGACCTTGATAATAGATCCAAGCTTCTTTTCAAAGTCATCTCCCCCTCCATTCTCCTTGCTCTTCTATTCATGCAAGAAAAACAAGAATATGAGATCTCTCTAAGTCGGCGGTTCAAAGAGTAGCCTTTTGTTCGCGAGTCTAAGTGTCGTCGTTTGATCCTACCTCGCGAGTTTCTAGAAGTTTTAAAAGTGCCGTCATGTGAGATCTCGTACTACAAGTACAAAGGAGATATGTATGTCTATGGTTAGAATAGCGTGATAAATATTAACCTGAGTGCAGCGCGAAAGCGTAAACATAGACGTACTCAACACTTCTCCTGAGGACTGAGAGGAATCCAGTCCGGCCTTTATCATCGAGCGCGCCAAAAGTTGTGACGATGCGCTGTGTCCGTGAAGCTGCGCTGCCATGGGGTGGGAATACTGTAGTGTATATTGCGTGATCGACAAAGGAGCTAAGAATACGAAAGTACGCGTCTATTAGCTTCTGTATCGGCTTGAATCGCTTGTAAAAAATATCAATCTTCGCCTATATGTCGCGACTTACAAGATCTCATTGTCGTTGACGTAGACAGCGTGCAAGATTGCGGACGCCATCCATCCAAAGTGAGATATACCGGCCTTGGTTCCATTCTCACTATTGTGAAGGAGAGAAGCTAGGTTATCGTCTGAACGCTGAAGAAGTGTGTTCAATCGGGATAATTGGGAGCGGAATGGAGAGTGGACTTACATCTCAGGGTAGGCTTGGTTATAAAGAACTGCAAGGGTTGTGATGGCTTCCTTTGAGACCGACTTCTTTTTGTCCCTGCAGCGGTGTCCAACTTGGATCAACGTGCTCTTTTGGATATGGTGAAGGCTCGTCTCGTAGTCAAACTCTCCGATAATCTTGCATGCGACAGCTCGCACCTTCTCGTCTGGGTCAACAAGTTTTTCAGATAGGCAATCTATTAAATGTAGGATGGGTTACAGTTAGGTACTTTGATCCTGAATTGGCGCTGCCAGGATAGTATTTAGATTCAAGGCGTGAGACTTACCACTCAGTTCTTTGGAGAGGCTTGTATGATTTTTGATAAGGTCAACGAGCGACTCGATCCAAGCGATCCTGACTTGAGGTATTTTATCGTTACGTCTATGTTCAGGATGTAAGATTGTTGGTGTTAAAAGCAGCTTTCCATGGCAATCCGCGTACATGAGCACCAAGTAGGAGTATCGATCTTACCTTTGAAGCCATGCCTTCCACGTCGATTCATATTGTGTTGCCAGCTGTGAAGTTTTCTCTGAAAACATTTCTCCGAGCGACCTGGTCGCCAGTGTCCTGATCGTAACATCCGAGAGCTATTGGGAAATGGCAAAAGACTTATTAATGCCAGTGCCATCAATGGAGAATGATGTAGGTGAACGAAACGGTCATGTACCTTCAGTTCCTCCTCCAGCTGAGGAATGACATTCAACAGCAGTGCTGGGGTCGACTTGTTGAGCTCGATAACGAGCTTATGAACTGTCTTGAAGTCTTCCAATTCCTTGTGCGACAGCTCTCCATTTCCTGCGGTCGAGATGATATCGGAGAAATACTAATTATTTGCAAAAACGACCGGAGTGTGAGTACATTGCGGGGAAGAGTAGAGGTGCATGGTAAACAACATCACTACCACTGCAGGTTCGAGTATTACCTGGAAAACATATCTCTGAAGCCTCTCGGCGCAGTTGTTCCCCAGATCGCAGGCGAGGCGGTACGCTGCTGGGTTGTCAAACTGTTTTGTGGTGGCAAAAAGGTATGGGAGTGCTTAGTTAGCGGCAATGCGGACAAAACTTATCAATTGACATCCTTGAAATGAGGTCCCATCCAGTATGGTACCTTGTGCTTGTGCAAGAATTGTGCCAGGATTATATCAACAATCTCCTGCGGCAGCTGGGCGGACTCGTCAATGATGTGTTGAAGAAGCTCTGACATGCAGATCTGAACGTTCTTTGCTTGCTGAGGGCTATATCAACATGAACGCGTTTCATGGTTTACTTTGATTAGTACTCAATATACTATCCCAGGCGAGAATAGAGACGACGAGAGGGTGTTAGGAGGACTCACCGAATGTCATCAAAGACGTTCTTGAACAAGGTGGTCATAAGTTCTTCTGCGTTCTTGAGGTCGGTGATCAGGACAATGCTCTTGACGACTGAGAGTGACTCCAGAAGGTAGTAGTACATGTTGGCGTATGTACTAGAGGCATCGGCGATATGTCGAAGCTCACTCACAAACAGCCCAAAGATGACCTAGCGTATTGAACGAGATCAAAGAAAGTGCTAATTAGCGACACTCTCCGACCTGACCATGGTCGACTCCCTGTATCTCCACGCATCTGAAACGAACATGATTGGAAGTCCCGCATACCTTGAGCTGGGTGTTGTTGTAAGGTGCATCTGGAGCGTAGAGTCGCAGCATGTCTGCGATACAGCAAGCGGCATAAATCCTGACGCCTTTGTCTTTATGATTCACAATGGAGGGGTCAATTAGTTGCTTGGTGACCGACGAGAACGACTTTGTGTCAACAGTCTCCTGTTCCAAATCCTTGAGCTCTGCATGCAAATCCTATGGGACAACAGAGGTGACCCTCTCGTTTCATTAGACACCTGTCGCCATCGAATTCGCTCAAAGTCATTCCAAAACGTGTAAAAAAAAAGTGGAATGTATGGGAAAAATGGTGGCGTAAAAAGTGTGGGTACCTTGAGTTTTTTGTGAAGGTCAGATGTGCTTCCTGTCAGCTTTTGGCGGAACTGGAGTTCCTTGAGACTTGGTTTCGCCATGGTTGAAAGAGAAGAAGGCCGAGGAGATGGGGTTGATGAGAGTGTGAGTTGGCGGGCAAATAGGAGAAGAAAGGAAAAAAGAACAAGGGATGAGGACTTGCGTTCTACCGACAACGCGAAATTGGTGGCCAATTCATGTAAATGTTTACTGCTTGTGACCATTTTTGCTATTTTTCTGCACACAACGCGCCTTTGTAACTGAAGGGTTGCCTCTCTCCCTTTCTTTTTCACATCACCTACCACATTCGTCATGGAGCAGACTATTCAGCTGGCTACCACACACAAAGTTCCAGACGTGAAACTCATGTCGGTCGAGTTCCCAGGACATGTCAAGAACATCAGCAGAGTCAAGGAGGCCCTGGGAGGTGAACACGCCATTCGCAATGTAAGCCTCTCATCTCTTACCACGTCCTTCACGAAGAACATTTCCGCTGTACGACTCATCCTTGTGCTTCAAGCACAAGAAGATAAAAAGGCTAAACGAGTGGTTTGACACGTGCCGTGAAATAGGTGTACGTAGGAGGTGCGCCACTGGACCTCCGGTACAGGGTCGGGGACCCCTTCTCAATACCCATTCAAGGAGAAACTGTCAGCACACCCAACTTTCTATTGAAGGTGACCAGGAGATACAAAGTCAAGCGGCCGCCAGGCTCACAGCGATCCCTCCCTCCTTACCGTGCCCCCACCGAAAACGATATCCCACACGACGAGAACGAGGACCCAGAATTAAAATTCGAGATGGTGGGCCGGATCCCACGGACGATCCGTTTTCCCGGTCTCGCTGACTACCAACACATTGTCGACCCCAAGGATGAGTTTGTGCGCATCAAAAACGACCTTAGAAACCTTAACTGTAAGATCCATACAATAATGTTCGTAACGACATTGAGGATTGATGCGGTTGTTTTGATTCATTGGTCCATATATCTCATACGGACCTTTCTTCTATTGGAATAGACGAGCAACTCATCTCTGTCAAGGTGGACAACAAGAACCCTATCGAAGACTTTTCAACAATGCAACTTCTCCCCCCCGCCATCATCGCCAAGGCCACAACGCCTATTGTATACAAGTAATCCATCTCCAACGCTCGCCTTACTTCGTTTCATGTCGACCCAACTCTGATTGTAAATTCGATGCTAATTATGTCTCTTATCGAATGTCGCACATAGGTACAAGGCACGAGACGAGGCTGCCGTCAAGGGCACTCCAGGAAAGAAGAGGAGAAGACCAGTAACGAAAGGGCCTGATGGATCCGGGGTTGGCCCAGGGTCGCCAGAAAGTGATGATGGTGATCTGTAGATTAGCGTTTAACAATAGTTTTATTTCATTGCAAAAACATTCTGAAAAAAATGACCATGCTATTGTGGAGGGCTCTGGTCGTTCTGCTGCTGTTGCTGAGGGAATAATGGCGACAGCATACTTTGGAGGTTGGGCTCTTGGTTGCTTTGAGCAGGATCCTGGGGCTGGAAGGATGGGGCTACTTGTGGCTGATAAACTTGAGGGTTGAATGAAGGATTCGATGGGGCGTAAGATGTGTCGAGCTGTTGACGAGCCCTGAAATCGAACGCCTGCGAAGGGGCTGCCGTGGTCTGTTGTGATTGCTGCTGCAACTGCTGCTGCTGCTGTTGAAGTCTCGATATCGTAGCCTGAGCCTCCTGGATCTGCTGTTGATAAAGAGCTTGCTGTTGTTTTTGCTGCTCAAAGAGCTGTTGCTGTTGTTGCTGTTGTAACAGGAGCTGCTGCTGCAACTGTTGCTGTTGCTGGAACTGCTGCTGCTGACGGTTTTGTTGCTGTTGTTGCTGATGTGCGTTGGGGTTGGTGCCCACCATGTCCTGGAGCTCCCGCTGCTGTTGCTGATACCAGGGTACGGTCCCTGTGCCTGCCGAAGCGGATTGAGCAAGGCTAGGACGAGCCATCACTCCAGGCCGCTGCAAGATCCTGTAGCCGTCCTCTGGCTCATCAAACACGGGTCGTGGTGGCAGAGCGATGATCTGACGTGGTGCAGAGTTGGAAGAAGGTCCTTGTGACTGATACGCTGCCGCGGTGTCGCTAGACATTTGAGGAGGTTTCCGGTCCTTTGCGCCTCCTCGCTTCTTGTTCTTAGCAGACTTGAGCATCCGCTTGTGCTCCATCTCCTTCTCATCGTCAGAGAACTCCAGTTCAACATCATCCACCTCCTCGTCAAACTTGTTACTGGCGTCACTTCCTTTCATTGCCTTGAGAGGACCTGTCATGACGATAGAACTGTATGCTGGGATCGAGTAAACTGTGCTGCCAACCTTGCACTGTGATGGAATCTCTGATGATGTGTTGAATCGGATCGAATAGAGAGGGCGTGCCACGGGTCCAAAAGTCTCGAAAATCTATGATACACGCAAAGAATATTCATAATGCGCATTAGCGTCCTGAACGATGGCAAAGATTTCATCGTCAAGTTCGCAAGATTTGAAACTCTAGTAGTCGACATACCTCGCCCAGAACCTCTCTGACAGCTTCCTGATCGCCCTCTGCAGGAGTCACAACAGCGGTGATAGTTCCAGAATCCAGGACACTGACTTCTCCACTCGAGTGTGCTTGAACTACCACCACATTGTCAACGAGGGACATGACAGAGCCGAAAGGCGTCAAGACGACATCCGCTCCCAGTTCGATATTTGGCTTTTCGACTTTAGGCAGCTCCAGGATCTCGTTGGTGGTATGCAGAATGATGTTTGGTGAGGCTTCCTCGTCGTCGTCCATTGCCTCAATCTCGATCAAGGCCCTCTCGCGTTGTTCCAGTGTAAGAGCCGACTTTGGACGTGCATGTCCATCCGAGTCTGAGTCCGAGTCTGAATCAGACGAGTCACTAGAGGGGTATTTGAACGGAGATGTAATGGTTAGCTATCTGCATCAAGGCAATGGAATGTTCCCGTATGTAATTCTCACGCTCAAAACAATAGATGGAAAGCGCTACTCACGGCTCGTCATCGTCATCTCCGCTGGACTCCAAATCGCTTGATTCGTAACCGTCAGACTTGTCGTCTCCACCGGCAATCACGGCATCTAATCGATCCTCAAGGTTGCTTGTGTCCATCATAGATGTCGTCTCGACAGCAGCGGATGCTTCGACAGTAGGCTCCACGGTTGGTTGCTGGGGTATCGACTGTGGCGCCTGCTGGGTCTCGGTATGCATCAGAGTAGGCTCTATTGAGGATCCTGCGATGGCATCGCCCATATGACTATCGACGTCCATGCCAGTGCTGACGGCCGCTGTATCGTGAAGGGTGGGGTGGGCGGTTGCCTGTGATTCGACTTGGTGAGCAGAGACGTGTGTTGCATCCATGACGGTATCTTCCTGCACTGGGACTGGGTTCTCGTGTGTGACGTCCATGATGGCCAGCTGTGCTTGTTGTATAGTGAAAAGGGAGGAGAGCGAGGACAAGTGTGGGCGTATGTGGTATGGGAAGAGAGAGAAAGAAAGAGAAAGTTGGGCGTGTTTCTGTTTTTCTTTTTCTTTTTCTTTTTTTAACCCTCTAAAGCTGTTAATTTTGTGGCTTCGAGCTGTTTCTAACAACAACAGTCACTCCCCTGGTTCCATGCTCCTTCAACTCAGTTACACCTACATTGTTCCTCCGAAGCTGATCTCCACCCACCTTTTCCTACTCAACCAACCCACCGCCATGATCTCCATCAAACTCGCTCGCCACGGTCTCAAGAACACCCCCTTCTACCACATCGTCGTCTTGCAGAGCAGATCGCGGCCCACCAGAAAGCCCATTGAGCAGCTCGGAACATACAACCCTATCCCCAACAAGGATGGCTCCAAGGACATCTCTCTGAATTTTGAGCGCGCAAAGTACTGGATCGGTGTCGGTGCCAAGCCCAGTGAATCCGTTGCCCGTATTTTGGCCAAGGTAACCAAGGAATCTCCACGCAGCAGCATGACGACTCTTTACAGGAATGGCAGGAATGCACTTGACTGCTTGACGCCATCCCCGACAGCACAAAAAAAGTGCAAAGAAGCTTCAAACACTTTGTTGTTGCTTCGGGATTGTCCTTGAAGACATGGATATGTCTACACATTGCAGAATGGGCGTTCGGGGTGTGGTTGGTCAACTTGTGTATTGACCCTTTGTTGCAATTTCATTTACCATGAATCGTTTTCATTTCTAGGCTGATATTATCCCACCGCGACCCAGACCCGGCATGCCCAACCCCAGCCCTTCAACCCCTATCAACGCTCCCACTACCCCTTCTGCATAATTGCTCCTAGCCTGCCGCCTCGTACTTTCTCATTTCTATCTGCACACTTGTATTAAAATCTACCTGTTATCAACAACAACATCAACGCGCGCCAGGAACTGAAAAACAACGGAAAGTCTGGATATCAATTAGGCAGGACTGGAGGACATTCAATTTATTGAGAATCAGTTGGGACATGTCGTCAATTTACTCCAAAGTTGAGCACCAAAGACCGTGACCACGCACGCAGGAGGCGCGAATCGCAGCAACGGGAACATAGAATGGCACGGTGGATGTGGGAGATAGAATTCAGGAATGGAGAGAGCAGGACAAAAGAAAGGAGTGCCTATCGTTGAATTTTTTATTAGACGGGAAGATGGGGATCAGATCGTGAACCAATGGGATCAGGAGCTGGACTATGCTGTACCTATGGATGTGCCATGCTCAACCGAGTTTGATCATGTGCAAGAGTGGGAGGCATCGGCATTGCAATGCTATTTCTGGTTGATGTTGATGTTGTCTGGGAGCACAGCTGAGAAGAGAGTTTAGCAATGTACATATGCAATTTCAGATTGATAAACATCAAATGGCCACTCTGTCGATTTGTGTAGAGATGCAGTGTCGATCCATTGTCACTGTTGTGGTGGTACAGTTCGATCCCGAGGGATGATATGTAGGGGCGATCGGGAATAAGCATATATGTTTTATTTGGATAGTGCGTACGATGATGGGTGTGTCTCTGAATTGGATGACATTCCAAAGTCGCCCCTTCTCTCTTGACTTGGCTGAGACTGAGCCCGCTCCTGTTTCTTTTCTCCTTTCCGCTCCCTCTCTCTCCCTTACTCTCTCTATCTCTCTCTATCTCTCTCCCTCTCTCTATCTCTATCTATCGCCCTCTCTCTCATGTCCTCCCTTCCTCGCTCGCTTCGCGTAATCAAAAAAGAAAACGAATGAAAAACGGGTCTTCTTTGGGCTAATACATCCTGCACCCTTTCCTTCTCTTACTGTCCCTTCTTGTCCTTTTTTCCTCTCCTTTCTTTCGTTTTCACTCTCTTTCTCGTCTCGTCTTCTTGTCGTTGTTACTTTTTTTTTTGTCGCCGTTCACCTTCTTCTTTCTTTTTAATCCTATCTTTTTATCTTCCTCCTTCCCTTCCTCCTCCATCGTCGCTAGCTCCACTTCCTCAGTCTTGACCATCTTTTCCTTTCACGCCTCCTTTTTAATCTCCTTTTTTTCATTCATTTAATTTTACTTTCTGGGTAAAATACTGTCATGGCGGCAAGTGTCTCCACCTCAATCCAGGCGGCCATGGACCAGCAGTTCAACCACACCCAAGACCAGCAACAACCCTCTTGCTCTCATGACGATATGACCTCGCAAGATCCCTCATTTCAACAGACCATGAACTCTCAACAAATGCAAATGCAAGAGTACGACCAACAAGTATTCCAGCAGCAACAGCAACATTTTGAAGAGGCGCACCTATGGCAACAGCAACAGCAACAGCAGCAACAAAATTCATTTAACGGGTTAGATGACCCTACCAATCATCAACAGGACCAGTCTCTCCTCTCCCACGCCCACCTGAAGCCAGGCCACAAGGCCACCCTTCTTTCCTACACTCAGACACTGGAACTCTACCGCCAAAACGCCAAAAAGACCAACGACCCTGAGCTCCAGTTCGAGTTTGCAGCCTTTATGATCGACGCTGGCAAGCCCCTGGACGACCCACAGACCAGAGCAGAATTGTTTGACGAGGCTATGAAGCTGTTGAGAAAGCTCGCCACGAATGGTCACGCAGAGTCGCAGCATTACCTTGCCGAGTGCTTTGCCTCTGGATTCGCACGGGGTAAACCTGACTTTGATAAGGCTTTCCCGCTCTGGGTGCAGGCATCTAAGCATGGACATCCCGATGCTGCCTACCGGACGGCGCGGTGTTACGATGAAGGACTGGGAACTCGCAAGGACAATGCCAGAGCTGTCCAATTCTATAGGTAATAATGTTGCTCTCAGTCTCAAGATACTTCGACAATTTGACAGCCATGTCTTGCGCGGAAGGAGTCAATGCTCATATTACCTTTTGATAGGCACATCTCATCGCATACTAACTCGGCTCAATTGACTGGTATATAGGAAAGCGGCGTCTGCAAACCACCCAGGAGCAATGTGGAGACTTGGAGTTGTCACCCTCTATGGAGAGCTCGGACTGTCGGCTTCACCTCGCGATGGTGTCAAGTGGTTGAAGCGATCTGCTCAGGCAGCCACCCCTGAGTTCCCCTTTGCACTTTACGAACTGGCCCAGCTGCACGAGAGAGGTATCGAGAACATCGTCTTTATCGACCCAGAGTACTCTGTTTCATTGTATTCTCAAGCTGCTGAGCTCGGACACGCTGCGTCTGCTTTCCGTCTCGGGGAGTGCTGGGAATATGGAAAACTGGGAAGCAAACAGGATCCTCGCCTCTCGATCCATTACTATACTTTGGCTGCTCAGCAGGAGCACCCAGAGGCATGCTTTGCCTTGGCCGCCTGGTACCTTGTTGGTTCAGCAGGCATCTTACCGCAGTCTGATGCCGAGGCGTATATATGGGCCAAGCGTGCCGCAGACAAGGACTTGCCCAAGGCTCTTTATGCGATGGGATACTTCACCGAGGTTGGAATTGGCCCACGCAAGGACATGGATCTCGCGATTGAGTGGTACAAGAAGGCATCTGATGCAGGAGACAAGCGCGCTACCCAGCGTCTTGAGGGTATACCTGTAGACGCGTCAAAGGACAAGAGCCGGGACGAGAAGTGCATTATCATGTAAAAGACTCCTCGTCATGATTGTCAAATTATATTACTATCTATCTATCTATCTATCAAAGCGCTCTTTCATGCCATCCACCAACGAACCCTCACCTGCTTTATCAAGCAATTCCCCTCCTCTCACTCTTTGTACTCGACTTTCTTTGTGGATGATTAAACAGCACTTTGTCACCATTGATTTTTAATTGTCTGATCGGTTCAAAGAATTATGCGGCAAAGAAGTGTAGGGCAAAGTGCTCTATGACAAAGAAAACATAACAGCGAAAGTGTCCTGGAGTAAAAGGATGTCAATAAAAGCAACCCTCTATCTTCTGTCTGTTCATTACATCTTTGCACACCTTACTCTGCCACAATGAACTACCTTCCAGCAACCATTCGCTCTACTCTCTCGACCGCGACACTCTTTTTCAAGGTATCTCAACCTACTCTGTTGCCTCATCTCATCAAGGCAGCAGCGGCGACAAACATGAGCCTCTTCTTTCCCGTTCGCCACATCTCTGGCCGTCCGAAGACCCCCAGAGCCCCGTTGAGAATGTCCACGACACCACCTTCGACTTTTGGTTCTTCGAACTCTCATTCGTCCTTCAACGACGACGGCAATCATGCACAAGAGTCAAGACATGACGCGCTTTATCGATCGTCGCCTTACCCAAACGATAGAGTCAAATCCGCCATCTCGTTAGACGATATTACACGACCAGGCTTACGGAGATTGCTTCACCTGACGGAGGCATGCAGGCTTATCGAGGAAGAGGCGCATCGGAACGGCCAAGTATTGTTGGATCAAATAAAGGAAAGGTCGCCGCAGGAGACTAATACCGCACTTGGACAACAGGAGTCGACACCGTCGGGGCAGAAAGAGTTCCGACTGAGTGAGGAGAGAGAGAGGGAGCGAAGGGAGGAGATCAAGAAGAGGAGCCTTGCGGATGTATTGAGGAACTGGGAGTTGTCGGAGGAGGGGTATAGGCGTTTGAAAGAGGCTCGACGGATGAGGAACGAGCTGGTGCACCCTGTACTGAGACGGGAGGATGTTGTTATTATTCTGAGGAACTGGAAGTGAGAGAGGAGGGGGAGGGCAGGATGACAGCGGACAAGGCGCCATGTCTACAGGACATAGTCTCAACTTGAAATAAAAGATGGACGCGACACGCACTAAGGTTGCTAATGACAGTCACTCTTGCTGTGTGGTGGACCAATGAGGCCAAGGGGTCAAAGAGACGAAGAAGAAAGGGGCAGGGACCGCTCCAAAAAGAAAGAACGACGAACTGATTTCTTTGTCCTTCTTCCCTCTTCTCTCTTCTACTTTCCACTCACACTCTTTCTCTTCCCTTTCTTTCCCTTCTTCTTTCTTCTTGGCTCAAACACCTCCACACACACACGCGCTCTCTCCAACTACTCTCACTCTCTTCCAAACAAGTGCCTTGGCAAACTCCTTTCCTCACACCCCTCACCCATTTTACCCAATTGGAAAAAAAAAGCAAATGCGCGTCTCGATTCTCACCGAACAGGGTGATCTCCACACCATCGAGGTCGACTCCCAAATGGAACTCGAAAACATCAAGGCTCTCCTCGAAGCAGACGTAAGCTACCTGCTAGCACCATTGCTAACTAAGAAAAAGTTCCCTGTTCCGCCCCTCATTCAGAACAATAAAACTGACCATGCATTGCCACTTCTTCACTTTTTTTTAAAACAACAGTGCAGTATCCCAGCCGAGGAACAAGCTCTTTTCCACAACGAGGTTGAACTTCAGGATCCAAAGTCCACACTGGAGGCCAACAACGTGGCTCCTGATGATATCTTGACCTTGCGCCGCCGCATCAAGAAGCCAAGGATGACCAACATTGCCTCTGTCGGCGCAGGAGCTGGGTCTCGGCCAACCGTCCCTCCAGGCCAGATCGCACAGGGTGGTGGAGATCCTCACGACGCAGAACAAATCCGCCAACACATTCTCAGCAACCCAAGCGTGCTTCGTCAGCTTCAGGGGGTAAGAAAAAAAATATCATTCAGAAGATGTCGCAGCGACTAAGAGAAAGGCCAGGAAAAATGACAAGGATGACAAGAGGGTTGATATCATGTTGGACTGATGTGAAAGTCTTTCCTTTCTACTTTATTCTTTATTCGATGATAATAGAACCAGCCAGAGTTAGCCGAGGCAGCCCAGAACGACCCCAACCGGTTCCATGAAATGATTCGGGAGTTGGAGGTGCAGCGACGCGGCGCAGAAATGGCCCGCATGCAGGAAATTGTAAGTTGTCTCTGCTTTTTTTTTCTCACACGCCTTTTACTCCTCTGTATTTCCCTGTGCTTTCCCTACCGAAATGAAATCTAACCTGGACTCTTAATTTCTCTGATAATAGAACCAACTGAACGCAGACCCATTTGACATGGAGGCGCAGAGGAGGATTGAAGAGGCTATTCGCTTGGAAAACGTGGCTGCTAACATGGAAGCCGCAATGGAGCATAACCCCGAGTCGTTTGGACGTGTGACGATGCTTTATATTGACGCTGAGGTCAATGGACACCCCGTCAAGGCTTTTGTCGATTCTGGAGCGCAAGCAACTATTAGTAAGTCAGGACCGCAAGCTATTTTGCGTTGCATTGTTCTGGACGAAACCTTTCAGTCATGAAGCACGTTCTCAAATCATGGACACTTACGTAATCCCCTATTTTTTTCTCGTTACAATAGTGAGCCCCGAGTGCGCAGAGGCCTGTGGCATCATGCGTTTGGTCGATACTCGATTTGCCGGTATTGCTCGCGGAGTGGGTGTTGCCAAGATTTTGGGAAGAGTTCACAGTGCCCAGATTCGGGTTGGCAAGACCCTTTTCTTGGCGTGCTCTTTCACCATCATGGAGGGCAAGGGTGTCGATTTGCTTTTTGGACTGGATATGTTGAAGCGCCACCAGGCCTCGATTGATCTCAAGAAGGATTGCCTCATCATCAACGGCCACGAGATTCGTTTCTTGTCCGAGCACGAGTTACCTAGCAGCGCCAAGGATAGCTCTGAGCTGACCCCCGAGGAACTGGCCTCTATTGGTAGTGCCAAACCCGATGCCGCAGCCGCAGCTACTTCCAGCTCAAGCTCGTCAGCACCGGCTGCAACGAATACCTCTGGATCTGGCTCTACAACATCTGCACCGGCAGCTGCACCAGTGGCTGCTCCTGTCGCTGCTCCAGTTCGTGCATTGACGCCTGCCGCTCCCGCCCAACCTGCCGGTGAGTACCCCTTTTCTTTCCTTTCCTTTTCTTTCAATGTGACTGAAAGCGTGAGCAGACAATGAACTAACGCAGTTTGCTCTTGTAAACACAATAGGCGGACCCCCCACTTTCCCTGAGAAGGACATTGAGACATTAATGGGACTGGGAGCCTCACGCGAGCAGGTTGTCTCAGCTCTTGAAGCAGCCGGAGGCAATGTAGACTTTGCAGCAAGTTTCTTATTCTAGACTGTGCGCGAATTACAATGACTGACTGAATACATTACAAAACAAACAAGCACACAATGCATACGCGGTATCACAATTGTTTTGTGCGAACGATTGCAAAAGAGCCAGGACTTTTTATTGCAAAACGGGGGAATATGTACAGCTTCTGAGCGAAATTTTGCGACATCCCACTTAGAAGTAGAGTGGATCGAACTGGTCGTTCTTGTTTCCTCCCCATGTTGGGCGAGCTTTCTCAAACTCCAGTAGTGACCTAACAGGAGCAAGGATACGCGTGTTAATTAACTTTCTCGGAATTGATGTGTGAGGGGACATGTACCAATGCAGGAAGAGGGGACTCTAGATACTCACGAGAAGTCGATTGAAGAGACGCCAATATACAGGCCTTCGCCGTCAGGCGTGAAGCTGATTCCAGAGATGTCACCAACAAAGTCAATCTTTTGTGCCTGAGAGTAGTCTGTTGTCGTGTCGACAATATGCACATAATTGCGGTCCTCTATTTTCGGAAATGCAGAAGGCACGTTTGATGTTTAGTCACAACAATAGCTTTTCACCCTTCATATTCATAAAAGCGCGTGACAATAGCGATATCAGGCAGAACACGAAACAACATACCGGCCATGGCAAGGTACCGCCCACAACTAGAGTACCGCAGAGACCGGACAGACTCCTGGACGTCCCGACTCAGGATATGAACAGGAGATGACAACATCCGGGTGTCAAAGATACATGTCGACCGGTCGTCATTTCCGGTAGCCAGCATCCTTGAATCGGGCGACCATGCAACAGAGAAGGAATATCGTTGGTGTCCCTTGAGGGTCGCGATAGTTTCTCGCGAGTTCACGCTCATGACATGTCCATCTGTCTCGTCGCCCACTACCGCGAGCATATGACCATCGGGGCTTTGTGAAGCAAACTATTTACGAACGGGGAAAAAAGTGAAAACCAACACGCGTCAATGGAGAGGTGAATTTAGGACAGTGGGTTGAGCAACAAAGACCAAATTAGTGTATTTACGTTGATAAAGGCTGAAGTCGGGAATGTTGCTGAGACTTGCAAGGTTCTCAGATCCAAGCATCGCAGTTGATGGTCGATGTGATCGTTCGATGGCATGTACGCTATCGGATCTAAGTGTAGCCATGGGCAAAGTGTAGATGTGGGTAAAGTAAGCGTGAGTGCCTTGCCTTCTGCCTTGTTACTATCATTGATTGCACTGAACAAATAACGTACTGCCTGCCCTGGAACGCGTGATTTCGATGCCATTGACCTCGAGGTAATGCACGGTCGTGAACGCATCAAAGACGGGGCTATCACAGGTCTGTAGGTTCATGAACGTAAATGACCCGTCTTCTCCACCGACCATGAGGTACTCGTCCATTGCTGCCATGGTCGTGATATTGTGAGGCACCCTGGAGTGAAGACTCTTCAGAGGTCGACCGAGGACTGCTTTCGACGATCGGCACTGTGGTGACCAATGCTTGATAGTGTTGTCGTCTAGGGATGAGAGGAAGGTGAACCGCGCGGTTAAAACTCCGCCAGGAATAAGTTGCCAGCACTCATGATCCCATGCAGTTGTTGGAACTGGGTCGCTTACGAAGATAGTAGACATCGTTCTTGCTAGTGGCATAGACTAGGTTCCGTAGTTGTGGGTGGTGATGGCTGCAGTGAACGTTGGTGTCGGTGTATCTGAATCTGTAAAACTCGTTTCCGTCGTAGTTGATCACATTGCGATTCTAATAAAATTGGGTGCAAAAGACGTATGTTAGGTATTGGGGATAAGAAGGAGCAGCGATCCATTCGAGCTATTCATTCCGCTGTTTCTTTGTATGTTACCTCCACAAGAGGAGGGAGCTTATCGTAGAACGGATACGAGTAAGCTGGTGCTCTGTGGCTATCTCGAACATAGGAGCAAGGAGCAATTTACAGGTCAGCTCAAAAAATTACAGAAATAGTCAAACGCGTTGAGAATTGTCGTTATGAACGTACTAGTCTCTGTTGTCGCGAAACATTTGCTTGCCACGTTCACCATCTCGCCATCTGATTCCTTGCTAATCGACGATTCAACAGAGAGAAATATAGAGACATTTAGCACTTCTTGACTTCTTGTCCATGATCCTTGCATACGAAGGGCGCAGGTGCACATTCACACTAAACCGTACACTACTGACAGCCTAAAAGAAAACATTGGGCTTACCATATCTGTTCTTCCCTCCTGCACGTCATGCTGTTCCACAATGGTTTGCCGAGCTGTGATCAGGCTCCGCACTGGGCAGATATAGTGTTTGTGATAGGGCTACCGTTCCACACCATATACAGACCAGACACGCAGGTAACAAAAAGCGACCGATAGGAAAGGAGAGACGAGGCGAAAAGAGGGAAGGAGGGAAGTGAGCATTGTCGTTCCAACTGGATGATGGAATTCACATGGTTCAGATCCCCTTGTTGAAAGGACAAATATTGAGGAGAGGAGGGGGGGAGGTCCTTACGTTGAAAAACATAGAATCCACACCTCCTTCGCTGACAAGGAGGCTCTGGTCGTTGAATACTGCATCGATGAGTTCGTCTAGGTCGATAGAAACGAAGGGAGTGAGTTAGCACCCTAGAAAGCGCAGTGAGCTGTTTGAAGACAGGCGCAACACTTCGAGGGTGAAGGAGACGCTGAAGGAGAGGGAGTGTGGTAATCAAAGAATGAAGGGAAGGGCGATGGTTGTTGGTGGAAGGGGTCAATGAAGAGAAGGTGGGTGGTGGCGTACCGAGGTCGGGCAAGATGGTACCTTCCATTGTAAAGGAGCTGTTGAAGGACAAGGCGTCGTCGCTATCCATGCTTATTTATAGTGTGTATGCAGCGAGTGGTTGAAAGAAGGGGTGCGAGGGTAAAAGCGAGAGAGAGAGAGAGAGAGAGAGAGAGAGAGAGAGAGAGAGAGAGAGAGAGAGAGAGAGAGAAGGGGGTTGGGAGGTAGGGTGCGAGTAGAATACGAAGGGCGAGTGGAAGTTAGAAGAGGAAAGGGAGTGTTGGAGAAGAGGAGAAGAGGAGTCAAGGAAAGGGTCGAGCGAGCAGGGAACAAAAGCTCTCTACCTTGAGCGTGACTTGTCTCAAGAACAATTGGGCGCATTGACAGACTGCTGTAGATGCAACATCGGTAAATACCTGGCGTGATACCCCTGGGCTGAACGGGGACAAAAAGGAACTTTCGCTTCTGGCTTTCCTGTCGAACCAACTTTCCTTCATTAACCTTCACTCTCTCCCTTCTAATCGGACCAGCTTCAATGAACTTGGAATTGCTTGGTACTGAATAACATCCCTTAACCTCACCATCACCCAATGGACTATTCTCACTTGCATACACCCTCACGTTCACACTCTTCAACTGACAACAACAAATGGAAAGAAAACGCGTCTCGACAGAAGAACTGACCCTGCTCGCCCTTTTCCCTTCGCACTCGACTCAACCCCGCATTTGAAACACAATAGACCCCTTTGAGCAGGACTTCCCGGAGGTCATCGAGGATACGCTGGAGGATGGTCCAGCTGTGCGAGTCAAGTTCAACCGTCGAGGCACCCTTCTGGCAGCAGGCTGCACAGACGGAACCATTGTCGTCTGGGACTTTGACACCCGGGGTGTCTCCCGGTCATTGATCGGCCATGTCAAAACTATCACCAGTCTCAGGTAAAAGATTTGATGTTCTTATTGGTCCTACTTGGCTATGTGGTTTGGTGTGTGTGAATCCTTATATTTTTATCCGCATCTTGGCTTGTGCTAACTATTATACCTTCCTCGATATACAATAACTAGCTGGTCGCGCAATGGCCGATATCTGTTGTCATCATCAATGGACTGGAGTTGTATTGTGTGGGACTTGCTGACAGGATCCAAGAAACACACCGTTCGATTCGATACTCCAGTCCTCAATGCACAATTCCATCCAAAGAATAAGTAAGCTATCACAGTAAAGCTCGAACGACATGCTTGAAGAAACCCCACGGCATCCTTGACCGAGCCTCTACTTACATTTTCGCTTCTCACCTTTGAACAACATATTATAGCTCTGTGTTTATTGCGGCATTATTTCAAGAGGAACCGGTGTTTGTCGACTTTTCGAATGGAGTTCAGCAATCGCCAATACTCAAGGAAAGTGCAGGGGTTACCGGGAAGGGGACAGATGTGGCGACTACTACGAGCACTGCACAGTCCCGATGGACAATGGTAGCCACATTTGACAAGTACGGGAAGAAGATCTACACAGGATCAAATCGAGGATATATTAACATTATCGATACCGAGACCCGGACTGTAAGTTTACCAGTTTCTCAGCAACTTGAGCAGCTCTGGAATAACCATGTTGTTCAGGACCTGACGTCTAGGCTTTTGCATCTTCGTTTTTTTAGATGCTGTATGAAATCCGCCCGACGTTGAGCGCCATCAAGAATATCCAGTTCAGCAGGAGGGGGAAGTAAGTTAGAACCTCTTCTCCAATGCATTTTCCAAATCGCTGCTGTACGGATCACATGTACTTACTTTTACTTTTGTCTTTGTACTCTAGAGAAATGGTGGTGAATGCCAATGACAGGATCATCCGCCTATTTGCAACACGGGACGATGGACCACCAGAACAACAACACAAATTCCAGGATTTGGTTAACAAGATTCATTGGAACCAATGCTGTCTCTCAAGCGACTCGGACTATGTCATTGGAGGCTCAGCTCATCAGGCAGAGCACAACATTTTCATCTGGGACCGGATCGGTGGCAACCTAGTCAAGATCCTGGAAGGACCCAAAGAGCCACTGGAAGATCTGACAGTATGTTGCTGTACACATTTGTTCAGAGGAAGGACGGAGTATATACCAGCGGTTATGTAATGATTAACATCACTTACAATTGCCTTTGTTATCGTTGTAGTGGCATCCTATACGACCGATTGTTGCCTCAGTATCAAGCTACGGAACGATTCACATCTGGGCTACCAATTATCAGGAGAACTGGAGTGCATTCGCACCTGACTTTAAGGAACTCGAGGAGAACATCGACTATGAAGAACGCGAGGACGAGTTTGACATTGTAAGGACTCACGTTGTGTTACTGCATCAAAAGTCATGTTTGTTCAAATAAGAAAGCTCTATTAGACAAACTCACTTTTGACACGTACTTTACACAAATTAATTAGGTACCGGAAGAAGAAGCCTCGAAACGAAGACACGATGACGAGGATGTCATCATTGACGTGACGACGATTGAGAAGGCCAACCCGTACAACGATTCAGACAGCGAAGACGACGAGGAAGAAACATTCTACCTCCCACTCTTGCCCAGCGACCAGCAGGATGAGGAACACCTGCATACCAAACACCACCACCGCCACAGTCGTAGACACACTACCACTCACCGACATAACAGTCAACACGGTGGTCGGGATCGTCATGACAGTCATCATCACTTGAACTCCAAACAGGATTCTGGCAGCAATAATAATAACAACAACTCGACGACGAGCCATCATCATAACAGAGACGGCGGCGCCGACTCGGCTGCGGATGCTTACAAGGACGGCAACCACCATCAGCGGGGACGAGATCACAAGGACCGTGACCATGGAAGCCACGGCAGCGACAAGATTTCCTCATCTTCGTCGTCCTCAAAACCAAAGAAGCGGTCTGATGAGTACTCTGACCATCAAGACGGAGGACGTGATTACGAGAACGGTCATCTTAGTCTTGGTGGTGGTCATGGTCACACTTCTGGAAACGGATACGACCGGGATCAGCAGAATCTGCAGCAACAGCATTCACGGCGGAAACTAGAGGACTCTCAGTTGCACTCTCGAAGCATCAAGAGACAGCGGTGAAAGGAAAACTGCTGTCTGCTCCATACAAGCAATTAAAGAATGAAAACAATTTTACCCCATTGCCCACCAAGCTCTTTTTTCATAATTTTATTTAAATGAGAGATGCGATGTTGAAAAATGACAAAAAAAATAATAGATATCAAACAATAGGCCACTCCTAGGTATCAAAAGGATGTTGTGATGAAGCAAGCGAGGCCAATCCTGCTGTTTGTCTCCGTGCGGACTCTTCTACCTGGTCCTCCTCATCCTCTTCTTCCTCCGTCTCATCAATCTTCTCAACCAGACGATGTAGACCACTTACAACAGCAGCACTCACCAACAACGACTCGTCAGCGGCTGCGGCTGCGGCGGTGGCGGCTGCTTCCAGACGCTCCTTCTCCAGCTCCTTGGCCATCTCGAGCGCAATTTGCTTGTCCAGATGAGATCCTTCACGCATTCCCCCGGACTTTACAGTGATCCGCGTCGGCATCTCCCAGGGTGTCGATCCGACATATGTCCTGGCGGAGTACAAATGCGGTGGCTCAAAATCTTCCTCCTCCGAAACATGCGACGGTGCGGCGACTCTTTGGGACCACGAGGCAGCGGTCTCCTGAATCTTTTGCTCCTGCTTGCTCTTCTCTTGATCCCGACGATGGTTGATCGCTGAAAAGGGCTGGCGATGTTTCCGGAGCCGGTCCTGGCGATCGTCGTTGTCGTGCTCCTCCTCCAACAGCATAAGAGGGTCGATGATCAACATTCCTGGAGTGGCACCGAGCAAGGGCTGTGCGGACGCTGAAATAGACGACACATCCCTGAAGGATCCTCCAAGTCCAGAAGCGGGGGTGCGTTGGGCTTGAACATTGCTGTTTCCAACATTCTCAGGAATGACCTCAGCTCCATAGGCCCTTGAGAGTCTCCGTTGGAGCATTGCAGCCGCTGGAGAAGATCCTGGTGGCATGGCCAAGGAACTGGCAATGGCAGATGTCCGTGTAGGCGGGGGTGGAAGTTGACTAGAGGCCCGTGGCTGAATCTGGATAGGAAGGGATGTGCCGAAAAAGGCAGCGGGTGCTGCTGAAAGAGTATCATCATCCTCGTCATCGTCTGAATCAAAATCGGCCAAAGAGTCATTCAGATTCCGCCGGTGCACCTCAAGTCCCTTTTGGCGCTTCAGATAGTTGGCACGGAGAGAGCCAACGACCATTCCTGACTTTGCCGGAATCGAGGACGAGAGTTTGATATTGATACCATGTCCATTCGTCGACGGTCCGGCTCCATCCTCTTCATTATCACTCTCGTCCTGGTCATCGTCAATTTCACCGTACTGTACATCAGCTACGTCGTCGTCGTCGAAGCCCAGCTCTTCGTCAAGATCAAAGACGACACCCTCATCATCATCATCATCATCTTCAGCCTCGCCTATTATGAACGACCGGTTAAGGGTTAATAAACTAGTCCAATAAGCTTCGAGTATCGGCAATGGCATGCTTAGAAAAGGCGTTATTACCTTCCAAATCAGAATACTCGTTTTTCTCTGGCTCCACAATCGACACGCTCCTGACGTCTTCGGCAATGGTGACCTTCTTCTTGGACTTTGTTGTTGGAGATCCAGGAATATCGTCAGAGTCGCCTGATCCAGGTGATGCTTGAGAAGTACTCAGTGGCGTCCGCTCAGTTGCCGCATTCGCCGTCGTGTTGTTCAATGTCAGCTCGGCCATCGCGTCCGTTGTCGATGATACAGGTGCCAAGCTCTGTCGGCGTAAGCTATTGGAGGCTAGCCGGTGGTCAAATTCTTTGAATTGAAGTGACATAGCAGCATCCGAGATTGAAGCCTTTCTCCTGTCCAAGAACGAGCTATGGGCTCCATCGACCCGAGAGGCGCTAGTCAGTCGGATGGGGAGCGTGTTGGGAATGTCGAATGGGTGAGCGCCATTGGCATCTAGTGAGCCATCCGCAGCACCACTGCCAGGATCACCCGTGGCGAGCGAAAACGCAGGTGGGGGAGCAGCCACGCGGTCTTGGATCCTGGCCCAAAGACGCTCCTTGTCGCGCCGGGTGTTTTCTATTGACCGCTTTAACGCCATCAGCTGTTGGGATTTGTATGCCTCGATCCTAGCCTCGGTGCGTTGTTGCTGGGCATTCAGGTTGACTTCCAACTCCTGATCCAGTATGGACCGTACTTTGTCCAAATGTGGTTTATAGGGTGCTTCCGATTGTTGGGTCCGAGGGGCGGTTGATGTTGCTGAGAAAGGCTGGTCCGGAGTAAAAGTCGCAGTTTGTGTTTCGGTGGGTGAGAGTGTAGAGGGAGCAAGGACGAGTCGGAAGGCTACTGAGTAATGAGGGCTGGTAAGGAGCGCAGCGATATCTTTCCCAGTGACAATCCCCTCTGATGGCACTACGATGCCATTGGAAGGCGAGAAGGGTACAGAACTGGCCACAAAGACGAGGGAGGTTGACTCGATGTTGACAGAGTTGATATCGGACTGGAAAGTGTAGACATCGTGGTCGCAATTAGCGCACCGAACGATGGCCTGATCCTTGGATATTGAGAGAGTACAGAGGATTTTTTGCTCCTAAACACCGGAGAAAGATAGACAGAGGAAAGAGAAAGAAGCCATGGTCAGAGTCGGGCTTTGTCCGTATTGGCGGTGAATAACTCTTGCTCTTTCTCTTTCTCGGGACACTGCACATCCGCAAGGTGGGAAAAAGGAGTGAGTGGGAAACCCTAGTGCGTGTCTTACCACTGACACTCCAGCGAGACCGAGCTTGAGCTCCTTCCCTGCGAGGGACGAGTGTTCCTCTGGAGCGGTGGCGATATGTAGCTTGACGTTGAGACATGGACAGGCAGCGAGCAGTCTGTCTTGAGCCGTGACGGTGGGTGGCGGTGGTGAGTGTGGATTTGCAGCAGTCGAGGTGGTTGCGGTGGCCATTGAATGTGTCCTGTGCTATCAGCCTGTCTGTGTGCGAGTGATGGATGAGAGGGAGAGAGGGAGAGAGGGAGTGCGATGCTGAGTAAAGTGAAGGAGTGCGTTGTGTGCGCAGGAACGGAGGAGACAGAAGCAAGAGTGGGGTGTGTAAAGAAAGAAGCTTAAAAACGAAAAAAAAAGGATCAACGCCAAAACAATCAAAGAGATGAACAAACGCGAGGCAAGTGTTTCATGCAAGTGGCCCATGGCTACGGAAAAAAAAAAGTGCTGAACTACGTCACGGGTGAGAAAAAAATCACGTACACTGTGGCAAACCGCAATTCACCCAACACCGCCGTTTGCACGTATAATTTGGCTCTTCGGAATTCAGACGCGGTCCATGGGTTTCATTCAGAGGCAAAGATGACTCAGTCCAGCTCAAGAGTCAAGTCTGCAGTTAACAGCATATCCAACACACTTGGCGTTGTCATGACGCAGTAAAAGATGGCTTTAGGGGTTTGTCTACGAGCACAGTATTGCACCGCGTCTCAATGGCGCCATTCATACCTCTCTCACAACCATCCACTCTTATTTTTTGCTTTCAGAACTACAGTTCTCAGATATCACTCGTTTATTTTCTTCGAAAGGTTGGAGGCTTTAGTAACGGAGTTCACCCTAGAAACTCAGGCATGAAAAAGGTGTACCATTCTACGATGTTTGCCAGACCGACAGTGGATGGCGTGCCGTTGGTTTCTATAGGTTCCCTCATACATGCATGGACTTTGAAGCGGCTCCTCAAACACGTTGCGTTTGCTTCCTTTTGAGAGTCCAATGGTATCCTGTCTGAGAACGAGAGTATATCCATTATTGACATAAAAACTAGCGCCCATGCAATCTCTCCGAAAGCAAACAGACGGTTGGGAAGGTATGGTTATAGAGACAATGAGGAGTGGGATGAGATGAACGTGTCGTGAGGATCACCTAATCCTGACCTGGTATGACCACTCTGGAGGGAGGAGGGAGGGAGGGAGGGAGGGAGGGAGGGAGAGAGAGAGAGAAAGAGAATCAAAAAGAGACCGAAGAAAAGGCGAGAAGAAAAGGCATTGTGGAAATTAGCCCTCCGATCTCGTTCTATTTCAGCAGCCGGCATCGAGACCGAGTTACCAGGCCAGGCATTGAAAGTCCGGGTGAGAAGTTGTGAACAGAGCGTGGGACATTAAGAGGTAGACCTTCCTTTTTGAGCAAGCATCCTTGGAGCAAGGATAAGTATCGAAGAACTTAGGGGAAATGATTATGGTTTGGCAGTTGAATAGCTGAACAACAAAAAAAATATTCAATGCCAGCTACCTTCCTTACTTTTGTTGACTAAATGCCCGTCGGCCCTTCAGCCAGTCCGACCTCTACAACAACCCCAGGTGGCAGGCCCAGATGAATAATAATAATAATGAAGGGCGGTCAAGAAAAAATATTGGAGCCTCGAACCGCTTCTTTATATATAAAGGACATGCCCCTCTCGTTTTGATGGTTCTTTTCTTCACTCTCTCCTCTGATCCCCCCTGGTACCACCATCAATAAATTACCAATCTGCCATCCACTTGCATCCGCCTGCATTATCTATTATCCCTCCTTCACATAGCATACATCCAATCGACGCAGCAAATGGTCGCAACAGTAACAAACAAGACATCCAATGATGTCGACCAGACCCCTCGCACATCCTGCGAGATCATCCCCACCTATGCTGCCTACACCCCTCGCGCTCCCTCATCCCCAACCTCAAGCCCCGAAAAGTACACAAAGTCAACTGCTCCCTCCATCATTGGCATCAGTCAGTCCCCTACCCTCGTCGACATCGCAGACAGAGCCCCCGATGGCGGTCTCCGCGCCTGGCTGGTCGTCTTGGGCAGTTTCTTGATCCACTCCTTCTGCTTTGCCCCCACAGAGTACATCTTCGGTGTCTTTGAGAACAACTACCTCGATATCTTTCCTAGCTCAACCCATGGATCTATTGCTTTGATCGGCACCCTTGGTTCATCCTCGACCTACTTTGCTGGCTTCATCAGCGGTGCGTCTGCTGACAGGTTCGGCTATCGCACCACCGCCCTCCTCGGAACTGGGATCATGGCCTTGGCATTGTTGCTGGCTTCCTTTGCCAATCATGTCTGGCAGCTCTACTTGACCCAGGGTGTCCTCTTTGGTATCGGTGCCTCTTTGGTTTACTATCCTGCAATCGGTGCCCCGTCGCATTGGTTTGATGCCAAGCGTGGTCTTGCCTTGGGTTTGGCTGTTAGCGGAACTGGTCTCGGTGGACTGGCACTCGCCCCTGCTACTCAGGCACTGGTGGATTCCGTCGGTGTCAAGTGGGCCCTCCGCGTCCTTGCCATTGTCAGCATTGTTGTCTGGTAAGCTTGCCTCTCCTGTTTTACATCCTCTGCTTGTTGATCATGTTTGTGCGAGTGTACTATCATATCTCGATTCTAATACCCAGTTCCCTACTACTCTATTGAACAATAGCGGTACCGCCAGTTTCTTGATTGTCGAGCGCGAGAGTGGCAAGAAGGTGCCTGAGCCCAGCCGCGAGATCACCGACCTCGAACTCAACCAGATGAGCGAGAAGCTTTCGCAGAAGGCCAAGCCTACTGGCATTGCCGGTTTCTTTGCCGATCTCAAGGTCTTCAAGGACCCCCAGTTCCTCTCGCTCACCTTTGCTGAGCTTTCTGCCTCGATTGGTTTCCTCATCCCCATGTATTATTTCCAGAGTAAGTCTTTCTTTCCCTCTAGGAGACCCTATGATGTATGTGCGTATTCAATCCCTTCACCATTCTCTTTTACCGCTTCGAATCATTTTAACTAACTGCCCATCTCACTATTTTATTTTTCTCCAAAATAGCGTACAGCTTGTTCATCGGTCTCACTGCGCAAGATGGTGCCTTGATCGCTGGACTGTCGAGCGGTGCCTCTTGCCTTGGAAGAATCACTCTTGGTTTCGCTGCCGACCGTTTGCCCAAGACCGTCGTCGTCAGTTTATGTGCTTGGATGACCGCTGGCTCGATCTTGGTCATCTGGACGCTCTCGAAATCTTTCAGTGTCTACCTCGTCTTTGCTCTCGTCTACGGTTTTTTCGCCGGCGGTTACGTCTCGTTGGTGCCCTTGGTCATCTCGGAGACCTTTGGTGCACATCAGCTGTCGACCGTGATCGGTTTCATGTACGCCGCCAGCGGTGTCGGCATGTTGGCTGGCGCCCCCGTTGCCGGAATGATCCTCGGTGCAACTGAGCCCAACATCTCGTATCTGCCCGTCATCATGACCGCTGGAGGAACCTTGCTCCTTGGAGCGGTCTGCATCTCGGCCTGGGTCTACTTCAGACGATTGGACAAGAAGACCAAGAGGGATGAGAGGACTGCTGCTTCTACGGCTGCTTCTGCTGCCTCCAACGTTGCCAAGCATTAAATGCAACAGAGCACAACAAACAACAACAGTAACAAACAACAACCCGAAGGTCAGAAGAAGAGCGCGGGCATCACCACCCCACGTTTTGTATATAACAACAACAAGTATACCCAACCTCTTAGAGCATTCCCCTCGCATTCATATAGATAGACACACACTTTAATAACAATTACATTTCACCATGTCACTGGAAACAATGCTACAGACAGGTAAGCATTTGCATCGCAATTCCGACTCCACAACTACAAAATCAACAAATTTGTGTCAATGTATGTTGGGTCGGATGGGTTGGATTGCGAATCGCGCTAATTTCGAAAGAAAAAAAAACTGCGAGAGAGGAAAATGCAGTGACAAGGTTGTTGCGACAGTTTTTATTCATCCATGAGTGAATGAGGAGAGAGAAAGGCTGATTCTATTACTCCATTCCATTTGTTAGTGTAAGTGGTAGAGAACCAAAAGAGCCGTTGACCCCATCCCCCGATTGTCCAGGGCGGTTGCCCAACCTATCTCAGACCCACCTCTCTCCCCCCTCTTCGTTTTTTTTGTTTGATATTTTTCTTTTCTACGATGCCCTCTCCACACCTGTCATCATTTTACCTTTTCAACATTTCTCCTCATACAGCCAGGCACACGACATGACAGAAATTCACCAAGAGCCTAAAGCGCACGGAGTCTCGACTAATGGCAACAGTCGCGACAACAACATCGACAACACACACAAAGCACAGGCCAGTCCAATTTCTTTGCCCCTGAATGTTTATTTGGGAGCAAGAACAGAAATAACAACAACAACAACAACGAGGACGAATAACGGGAGAGCTTGGCGGACGGAGACGGAGCAGAGGACTCTCGAGAGCCATGCTGTTTTGGAACCAGAGGAGGAAGAGACTGAGAAGAAGGCTAAACGGAGTCGTTTTGAGAGGAATCGCGAGTCCAGATCCGGAGGGAGTCATGATGGATGCGATCGAGCGCGACACTGCAGCGATGGAACCATCAGCGACAATCAGAATGATGCAAGAAATACCCCGTCATTCTTGCTGGATGTCGCAGAGGTGAGCGCCAAGAGGTTGGGCAGAGTGAGGAAGGCAATCGAGGTAAACTTGCGACTGGCAGCCACTGCAGATGGCGATGCAAGCACCGGCACCAGGTTGGCACTTTCAGTGCGGTCTTTATCTCACCTTGCTACTCCTCCTCAGTCAGAGACAGACATGTCTCCTCCTCTTCCTAATTCCTCTTCTCTCAATACGTACAACTCCATCGACAACTCTCGTCTGCCTTATCCCATTTCGACAAGTCCTCTTCCTTCTTCAAGTCCATATGATCCCTCCAGTCACTCTTGCTCCTCCTGTACTTCCAACCCATCGTCACCAGCACGTACACTCGTACCAAACAACACCTCCCCTCCTTTTCCTATCATCCATGTCGACAAGAACCAATACCTCTGGCCAACCACCACCACCACTACATCATCACCACCTCCTCCACTCTCACCATCATCATCCGTCAATACTGCTTTCACTCGGTCGCACAAGATGGACAAGGGTTGGAAGGCTTGGTCAGTCGTGTTGGCCTCGGTCCTGATCCAGACTTTTGCCTTTGCACCGACAGAGTTCATCTTTGGCGTTTTTGTGCAGGAATACCTCAACATGTTCCCCACCGCAAGTCCTTCGTCGATTGCCCTAATTGGCACCATAGGATCGTCGACCACCTTCTTAGTCGGGTTCTTCTCTGGGGCATTCTCGGATCGATGGGGATACAGAGTTACGTCTGCTATAGGATCCTTGATCATGACAGCCGCACTCTGCCTAGCCTCCTTTTCAACTACGGTACATTCGTGTTGTTATTTGCTAACGACAGGAGGGTCCAAGCACACGGTCGTTTTACGTATAAATCTATTGACACAAACTCGAATACTGACGACATGCCTTTTGTACTTGTAGCTGTGGCACCTCTATCTGTCCCAGGGGATCCTCTTTGGAATCGGCGCCTCTTTGGTTTACTTTCCAGCTATTGCAGCACCTACACACTGGTTCGAGAAGAAGCGTGGACTGGCTATGGGTATCGCAGCCTCTGGTTCAGGACTAGGTGGATTTTTTTTGGCGCCCTTGACTCAGTTCTTGATCGACCGATTTGAGGTGCGGTGGACCTTGCGAGCCCTGGGAGTATACAGTCTCGTCATCTGGTATGTAGTAGTGGCAGTATACGAAAAATATCCGATGTTACTACGAATGAAGAATGCACGGACATCCATCGTTGACAACTTGGTGTTCTCTTGGACAAATGTATAATAGCGGAGGCGCGAGTTTACTGTTGTTCGAGCACGACAATTCTGATGGAGAACAACGATGGAACGAGGAGAAGCAATACAGGAAAAAGACTAGACAGAGTTTCATCCTACCAGAGTATACCAAGGGGCTACCCTTTGCAATCCTGGTTATCTTTCAGTTTATGCTATCGATGTCCTACCTCACCCCGATCTACTTCATGGAGCGTAAGTGGCATACGGCAGTTGATACTTTCTGGAAAATATTCCTTTGTACAGTCAATGTCGCCCCTCTAACAATAACAGCAACTACCAATCTCTCTTTACACGACTAGTCTACAGCACGCATATCGGCATCTCGAGGCAGATGGGAGCGGTGATCAACGGCTGGTTCAACGGTGCATCGTTCGTGGCGAGGATTGTATCAGGCCTCTTGGCGGATTTGGTGGCAGCCGATGTACTCCTTCTGGTCTGCTCTTGGTCATGCACGCTGGCGATCTTGGTACTATGGACATTCTCAAGGTCCTTTCCGATTTATCTCATCTTCGCCATCGTCTATGGGATCACCTTCTCGGGAATCACCACGGTAACCCCGGTCATTGTCGCGAACCAATACGGTTAGTTAAACCTTTTTATATATGTGCTTTCTCACCTTGCACGCCTAACCATCTCCCGTGTTCAAGGAATGAGCTCGGACCCCAAACAAAAAGGAAAATATAAGTTCTCACTCCTAATTGCCATCTTTGTAATTGCTTGCATGTAGGTCCTCGACAGGTTTCTGGAGTGTTGGGGATTGTGTATGGGTTCTCCTGTTTGGCGCTGGTTGCAGGATCGTTCATCAGTGGGCACATCCTGGAGCTGTCTAAGCCCTACATCGACTACTTGCCGGTGATCATGTATTCTGGCAGCATGTTTGCGGTCTCTGCTCTTTTTGCCACCACGTGGGTTATACTCTTGCGGAGGCAGATGCGGCGGATGCAGACGATATCTTCAGACAATAAGGCATACAAGGAATAATAAAAAAAGCTTAAAAATATATACATCCACAGCACATACGCATCTTGATCTGATGCACATTTCTGGTTCGTTTCCTTTCTTCATTCTTATTTTACATTACCCCAAGCTTTCGCGTCTCTCCATCTTGCATAATGCCTAATGAATTAGGCCCAAGTCTAAACGGCGAAATTATCGTTCATCAGCGCGCGTGGTGCACTAAGGAAAATAGAGGGGTTCCATCAACCCCCGTCTTTTATTCGCATTCTCTCCCCTTACCTCGTTTCGTGGTTTCTCTTACATGTTGCCTTGAAAAAGTATCGATTTAAAAGGTAAAGGTATATAAAGCACTCCTTTTCCAGGATGGACGAGCTGAAAAAAGCGGAAAGAGAAGGAGGTCTACAATCCCTACGCTAATATATGGATTACCCACCCCACACGAGTCGTGTTGCACACACGATCCCCTTGTTAATTGTCCAAAAGGGTAATCAAGGTTGCTGGACAACCCAGATTTCCATATTCGTACGGAAGTACATAGCGTCGCAGTTGCAAAAACAACAACAACATACGACAACTGTCTTCTGTCGCTCTGCAGACACAAAATGGAAAAATAAGCAAAAAGTGTAACAGGTTGGGCGTACGACAAGAAAAGGTAATCATGAACGGACGTTGAATAGACTCAGACTCATAGAGTCGGTCGTCTTGTCCTGATCCTGACCAAACGGACCACGAACTCTTATAAATAAGATGGCAAAACGAACCCCGTTGAACATCCACTTTCTCTCGTTTCTTTCTGCCTTCACCCCTGTTTGGTCCTTCAACAACAACAACAACACGCCTTCCGACTTTTCCTGATTGCTTCAAACATTTTTTTTGTGTATCTATCCCTACATTACTCCTTTGATATCCATACATTTTTCATATACCACCATGGAGTCGAAGCAGCACGATATCAACATCAATACCACTCCTGCTTCAGAGGAGCCAGAGACGACAATTTCATCCGCACTGCCGCAACAAACGCTCGTCATTTCAAGAGAACCACTCCCAAGGACTGACACGACCATCTCAGAAAAGACCCAACATGCCTCACCAACACCAATCTCCCACAAATCTTTCAAGGACGACAACGACAAACACGGTGATCATTGGTCCCCCTCCACAACATCAAACCCGGTCAATGCACTGGAACCACCACTCGAGCAAGAAAAACAAGGCTGGGTCGCAACATTCCTGAAGTCGTTAAATGAGGGCGGCACCAAGGGCTGGCTCGCCGTCCTAGGGTCCTTCCTCATCCACTGTTTCGTCTTTGCACCTACAGAGTTCATCTTTGGGATCTTTGAACACCACTACCAGATCGTCTTCCCCGGCGCCTCGGCCTCGTCAATTGCGTTTGTGGGCACCACGGGGAGTGGGATTACGTACTTGACAGGGTTCTTGTCGGGCACTGTTGCGGATCGGTTTGGGTATCGGCCCACGGCGTTTGTTGGCACGGTCATTATGGCCGTCTCCTTGATCCTCGCCTCCTTCTCCACTGAGGTAAAATTATTATACTGCTTTGTTATGTTTGCCCTCGTTTTCTGTGTTGTGCAGTTTTGGTCGGGGGAATGATTATAGACCCAGGTAGGAAAAGAGAATTTGTGCTTTGCCCTCTCTGCCTAAAACCACCACCACCACCAATCCTTCCTTTGAAAGCGGACGTAAAACCGAGAAACAATAGGGGTTTATGCTTTGATCCAAGGTCTGTGCAACAATGACAGACGACAAGAAACAACACTGACGTATGAATTGTGGATTTCCACGTTTTCCCCTTTGTCGTTATAATAGTTGTGGCACCTGTACGCATGTCATGGAGTACTTTTCGGATTCGGAGCATCGTTCGCTTACACGCCTGCGATCGCGGTGCCGTCGCAGTATTTTAGCCTGAATCGAGGCCTGGTGATTGGACTTGCTGTCTCGGGCACAGGGATGGGAGGGTTTGTGCTTGCACCCATGACCCAGGCGCTCATAGACAAGCTTGGCGTGTTTTGGACACTGCGAGTCATTGCCCTTCTCACCTTTGTCATCTGGTAAGTATGAAGCGTTTTTTTTGCTACTTTTTTTCGTGCGGGGTGTACCTCCCACATGTGCACATGCGTTTACGAAAAAAGTGAGGCATTAGGGGTTAACACTCTTCGATTTCTCCGCCCTCATTGTTCTGTAGTGGTCTCGCTAGTTTTCTCATCAAGGAAAAGAAAGACGACCTGCTCCAGCAACAGCTCGCCACCACCATCGCCCATCAGGAAGAACATTCCCTGGGCGGGTCTTCGACCGATTACGGCGAGACGACCGTTTGCGAAAATGATCCCGAACAACCATCCATCGAGCAGATGGGCCAGGGCCAGCCACAGGAACCATCGGCAACAAGAAAGAAACCTTCATTCTTCCAGTCCCTTCACGTGCTCAAGGACCCTCAGTTCCTGTCGCTCACGCTCGCCAATGTTACCGTCTCGATCGGGTACCTGGTTCCCTTGTACTACATGCAAAGTATGTTTCTTTTTCACATAATTGTCTTTTTTATTTTGGGCTTTGAGAGGAAGGAGGAGACGAATCGGCAACATAAATTACACAACGACAGCCATATGATAGTTAACAAAAGGACGAACGGAGGCTCAAACGAGGCTGAGGGGAAGAAGTTTTACAACACGAAGTGGGGGTGCGGTGTGTCTATCAAGCTGGAGTTCCTGTGCATGTGGTGTCACCTTGTTCACCATAAGGACCGACCGGGCGTTCAATCTTATTTTTCTGAGTTTTCACTTTTTCTTTTTGTTAACCCATCAAATGTCCACCCTCCTCTCTTTTTCACTTCTCCCTCCGCCTTTCCGCATTTTGTACCCTTTGTCCATGTACTCTAACAGCTTACGCCGTTTTTATCGGCCTGACGCCCGAACAAGGGGCTTTGATTCTGGGTCTGGCCAACGGATCAGGATTTGCAGGAAGGGTGCTGTTGGGCTTGATTGCTGACAGAGTCTCCAATACCAAGACGCTGCTCTTCTCGGCCTGGGCGACAGCCTTCTCGGTCATGGTTCTTTGGTCCATTGCAAAGTCCTTTGGCACCCTCTTGCTCATGGGCATCACCTTCAACATCTTTGCCGGTATGAACATCATTTTCTGTGTAACTTGAATCAGAAACGTGGTTTGGAGAAGTACAGGAAAAGCATGCCGCTAACGCCAACTCTTTCTTTCTTTTCATTCATGATTGTTAGGATGCTATATTTCGTTGGTCCCTGTAGCAGTCGCCGAGTCCTTTGGTACGTCTTGAAAATATCTACGCAGTGCTCTGGACCACAGTTGTCGTCTATTGTCTCTACTTACTCAAATGGCCTCCCTCCTCTTTTTTCACAACAACGATAGGCACACAAACGATCGCGTCGATGATTGGACTGATGTACGCAGTCGGAGGAGTCGCGATCTGGGTAGGTTCTCCTCTTGCAGGCTTCATCCTGGACTCGACACTCCCCAACCTCTCCTACACGCCTGTCATCTGGACCGCTGGTGTTTCTGTGTTCCTCGCCGCGGTGTTTGTCACCTCTTGGGCAATCTTCCATTGGCGCGCCATCAGGACCCCTACTGCAGGTCGACTCCAAACCATCGACACTCTGTGAAAATACTTGTTTGTTTGTAGAGGAAGACAAATACTCCCGTTGTAGATATATCCCAGACGAATGGAAAAACACTCAGTCAGAATATAATTCCATAAATATTCCTGAAGTCCCTTATTGCGTACTTTGTCGCTTGCTGTTTGCTGCTTGCTGTTGTGAGTTTTATTTGGACATGCCTTTGAGTTGGAAGGCTCTTGATTTTGACCCATCGCCTCCTTCCAGTTGCTCGAGCTCGACCACTTTCTGCTTCATTGTTTCCCTGATATCCAAGATCTCCTCGTCCAATGTCGTCTGATCTAAATAAATAAAAAATACAATGACAGGCAGTTGAGTCAAAAAACCATTGAAGTCTCATTCTGCAAGAGCCCTTGTAAGAGTGTCATACACCTCATCTCTGCCTCGACTCCCATGTTTGTTTGTTTTTTACCTTTCTTGATCATCGTCTGGACGTTCTCCTTGGGCAACTTGATAAACATGTCTCCCAAGTTGACCCATATCTTTTTCTCTATCAAATGTTGTCGACGCAATTGAAAAGAAGAAAGAAAAAAAAGCAACCACCAAAACTCTGTCAGTGTTTCGTTTTCCTCCAGCTCCATGTTTTTTTTTTTTCTTTTTCAAGCGATCAGTGCTAGAAATCTGTATGACTACTCCTGTGTATGTACCTTGAGAGAGCTCCTTCTTCAGTTTTGAGAGTGCTTCCCGATTGCTGTTCCTCCTCCTGTCATAGTCCACCATCTATTGTTGTGCACAGGTAAAAGAGGGAGAGAGGGGGTGGGAGCGGGTTGATAATGGCTTAGATTCTCGCTGTTTTCTGCGATGCTCGGGGTCCATGCGACTGATAGTTCCTTAGTTTTTTCTAGTCACTCATTGAAAAGAAAAAAAAAAAAGCGCGCCACGCCATATTTTTTTTTTTTCGTCACTTGGTATCTCTTTTTTGCGTACCAGTTCTTTGTTGGTGAGGATGTCTTCTGCGATAAGTTCCCGCTTCTGAAGATCTTTTCTTGTCGAAAAAAAAGAAGGGTCATAGATGTTAGTGATCCCATGTCAGGGTGGTCATGTCTCTCCTGATGAATAACTCATGTCCATGCGCTGCGTTGTTGCCATACTTGAGACGAATTCCGTGTTCATGGCTTTATGCTTCTCTGTTGCTGATGTTGTAGTAGTGAGAGTTGAACAACCACGTTTATTTTGTGTATGGTCTTTTTGAAGCCACTACTGTTTCACTCCTTAGTCGACGATCAATTTAATGCGCTTAGTTGTTCGTCCGCAGTAACAGTCACGGTAGCAGTCGTAGTGACTGTGAAGATAGTCGTCTTGGTCACAGCTGGCAAAGTCTTGGTCTTCGTCACCGTCACCGTGCTCGTCAAATATGCCACCTTCCGGATCCGACCCGCCTCCCCAGTACCAGCATTTCCCTGTCCATTATCGACCACCCCCTCCAACGCGTAGTCCACCTCTGCCGTCAAATCCACACCATTGTTGCACACACACAAAACTCGGATGGAACTCGACCCACTCAAGAACGCGCACCGGTTGATCTCCCCCCTACCTCGACTGTTGGTTCCAGGACTGGTGCTGCCACTGTTGTTGGGGCCGACGTTTCCGGCATCGCGAGGATCTCCACGTTGTAAACATCGGACGTGACAGAGAAAGGAGAAGGATTTGCAGAACGCCGAGACGGCTGATCCTTGGAACTCTGCCGCCGCGGAGAGGTCTGCAGAATCGTATCGAGATCTGTCGGATGCCAGTTGTGCCGTCCGGTCCAGGTTCGGGTACGCCAATGACCGCTGTTGAGATGGTTGTTGCGGTTGAGCTTTTGGTTGATATTCTTGTTGTTGCCACTTTGGTTGATAACCCTGTTGCTGTTGCTGTTGCTGTTGGGCATACGTCGGATCCGTCAAGGCTGCGGCCCAAACGATGAGTAACACTGAGCAGGTGACGACGCCAAACCAACTAATGTTGTACAGTCGCACTAGCCCTCCTCCTCCCCCTCCTCCTCCTCCTCCTCCTCCTCCTCCTCCTCCTCCTGTGCTCGTCGCCATATTGCTCTTCTTATTTTTTTTTACACTTGATGAATCGATTTACTCGCCCTTTCCTCCTCGGCGAAAAGAAAAATTAACTTGAAGGGCTCAGAAAAAATAAACGCGGCGTGTCGGGCGGACGTCGAGGTGAGTAAGGGTGTGTGTTTGCGTTCGTTTGTTGAATTGGTGCGTGTGCGGCAGGCGTTTGAATTGTTGTTGTTGTTGTTGTTGTTGTTGTTTGCACCCTAGTCTGTATCAGTCAGTCCCTCGCCGCCGCTTTTTCTTGCCGTCTGTCTGTAGTGTGCGTGAGAGGAGATTGATGAGAGGATGAAGGTAGAGAAAGTAATAATAGTTCGAGAGCCAAAAAAAAAAAAAAAAAAAAAAAAAAAGCCGACAGTCATCGGCGCTTTAAATCATTGAAAATCACTGAGCAACAAAGGACAATCAAAAAAAAAGCTGCTTGGGACAGGAGTCATTTTTCTTGCACGCTAATCGAATAGGGGGCGCATGGGAAGTAGGAACAGAGCGAGAATCCCAAGACTGGAAAACCCCCTCCCACCCCTTCTCCTTTTCTCTTCTTTGATGATCGAAATGGTGATTGACAGAGGAAGAGGAAAAGGGAAATGGGAGAGAGATAGAACTAGAGTGAATCCAATTGCTCCCCAATGCATACTCTTCCATGCCCGACTACATTACATGCTTGTTGTATATGCTTGATCGTAAAAAGTACATATACCTAGCTTCAATAGGACGCTCATTACTTAAGGATTGAAGTACAACTCAAGAAGAAGGGAGTTGAGAAAGCTGGAAGGTTGAGTGAGAAATGGTTGCTGTTGCTGCTATTGTTGAGCGATGCAGCATGGTACTGTTACTGATGGTGGCAGAGAGCCCAGACCCGGCCCCCAGGCTCCGATACATACATACATACCCATGTCGGACTCTGTCTCCATTTCTGTTTTTTCGACCCTTGTGAGCCACACACTTGCCGCCACCAGGGGCGGTTACTTCCCTTCTTGACTGAGCAGAAAACTCAAAACGAGACATGATTCATCGTCGTTGCCGATTTTCTACTTTCACGTTCACTGGCATATCCCTGAAAGTAGAGAGAAGAGAAATGGAAGGTGAAGAACAAGGAGACGAAGGCAAAGAATTGAGAGCTAAAACAACCTTGAATGAGACTTGGCCAATCTGCCTTCCCACCAAGGCTGACTGACTGGGCCGCTATTTTTGAATGGACCAGACATACAGCCCGTCACTTGGCATACATTCATACATACTGCATACTGTTGTTCGGCTTCAAAAGAAACATTTATAAAGTACCGACAACAGCCTCGTCCCCTCGTCCCTCTTTTCACCTTTCTCTTCATCCCACAACCACCAACCACCAACCAAACAACCATCATGTCGACCACCGAACAAAAGTACCCCCCCCCCTCCCCCTCCTCTTCCCCAGCACCTGCCTACTACTCCACCCAGCCGATGCCCCAGCCGATGCCCCAGCCGATGCCCCAGCAGCCCATGGTTGCCGCTCACCCCGGCCAGCAAGTCGTCTACGACGCCCAAGGCAACGCCTACATGGCCATGGCCCCCACCGGCACCCCCAACGGCGCCCCTGGTATCCAGCACGGCCAGCCCATGATGCACCCCCCAACCATGGTCCACCCCGCCGACCGCCGCAACCCGGCCCTGATCCAGCAGTACGAACACACCATCCGCGAGAACGAGATTGGAGGCGTTGAAATCTGTTGGTTCCTCTGCTGCGGTTTCTTTGGCCTCATTTGCTGTCTCCCCAAGTACAACGCTGCCCAGGACGCAAAGACGAAGCTCCAGATCGAGTTGGGCAAGCCTGCTTAAACGCCCCCCTCCCCCTCCTAGCTTTCAGCAATATCAACAGCAAACAGCATGGTCACCGGCGAAACGAAACAACGGGACTTACTCTCTTTTACACTTGTCCATCGTCGCACAGCATCATAAGCATGGAGCTCTTCTCTTGCTGCCATTCTCCTTAGCACCTACATGAATCGATACCAATCCCCTCTTCACTCCTTGTACATTATCTCTAATAAATCCTATCCTTATGAAACAAAGCAATCGATCGACCTTCCTTGTGAATGCAATAACGGTATCAAGATTTATTGTTTCTATCATCTCTCCTTTCCTTTGATTATCTCATCCTTTCCCTCGCCACCCCTCTCAGGTCAGCATAACCCTAATCATCGTTCTGCTGGCGACGAGCAGCGAGCTAACGGATATATTAAGAAGCAGAAAAGGCGATGCGTTAGAAAAAAGGGGGTCATGACCCGAGCGGACCAATGCACATTGACATAGCAAACAGCACAAGAACCACCAACAAAGCGAACAAAACTTACAATCTCCTGAAGTGACTTTCCACCAGTGGTAGGACGGGCAGCAACGGTTGGTTTGGGGCCAGCAGCCGGTGCACGCGGTGGCACAACAGGCTTGGAGCCAACTGATGGCTTGGGCGCCAAAGTAGGAGGGCCAGGACGACGAGCAGCAGGCGTAGGGTTCGAACTGGGAGCAGGAGCAGGAGCTGAGTGTGCTCCTCCACCGGCAGCCGCAGCGGCGGCAGCCTTCTTGGCCTCAAGAGCCACCTTCCAGCCAGGAACACCGCCAACGTTGCCAGGTCCGCCAAATCCACCGTGCAAGGCATTTGTGTTGGTGGTTGCTGCCACAGGGGCGCGCTCAGTTGTCGGCGCCACAGGAGTATGACGGGCTGCAGAGGGCGAACTGTTGGCAGAACTCGTGGGAGTAGCTGCAGCAGCTGGAGGGGGTGGAGGCTGGCGCTTGGCAGGCAAGCTTGGAGGAAGAGTAGGTTTGGGAGCAGGAGCCTCGACGAGGTAGTTGCTGGGGACCCAACCTTCCTTTCCATCCTTCTTGGCGAGCCACCAACCGTTCTCGTCCTTCTGAACAATCTCCATCAAGTCGTCCTTGACAAACGAGACTTCACCATCGTCCTCAGAAACAAAATTGTAAATGGCCTTGTACAAGGGATTGGAAGGAATCACAGGTGCGGGCTCGGCAATAGGAGCTGGAGGTGGTGGAGGAGCATGACGCTTCACAGGAGCTGCGGAAGCCGACGATCCATTTGAGACGGAAGGACTGCGAACAGGAGCCTGGACAGAGGCACGCTGGTTAGCAGCAGCAGAGTTGACAACAGGAGCCGCGCGAGGCTTGCTATTGGCAGCAGCAGGGGGTCGACGATTGCCCTGGGACGAGTTGTTCGCCTTTGCAGGACCTCCCTTCTTAATCAACTTGCCCGACGTGATGGGGCGTGGGGGCTTGCGGATCTTCTCACATGGCGGCCACGATGGGCTGTCGGCAGGTTCACCGCTTGGAGCTGTCACGACGTGACTCTTGTACGTCTCGGTCTTGGCACGCTCGTCCTTGATCCACTTGACATTTCCAGTCTTGCCCTTCTTCTTTGTAAACTCAAACTGAGGTCCGACGTTGACACCGATACGTCCACCTGACCGCTGGAGCAAGTGGGCAATGAGCTCGGTCTTGAAGTCGCACTCCAAAACAATATCGCCCTCTTCTGGGTTCATGGTGTCGACCGAGAAGATCTGTTGTGGCCAAGTTCAATTTTTTGTTGTGTTAGTAAACTCACTCACCCATCAACACCTGGAACGTCAAAAAATATTATGCAGAAGGACTCACCATCCAGTCATCTCTGAGGTTGGAAATAGACACGGCCTTGATAGCGTTCAGCATGACCGATCTCTCCAGCTTCATCTGAAGCACCTTGCCCACCAAAATCGACACAACCAAGTACATATGCGATGAAGTCTATCAAAAAGTGAGAAGAATGATTAGTGCCGGGTCCGGAGAGTGCATATGCAAAGTAATAGGTAGTGACGCGATATTAAGCATAGACTTACGAGGACAAGGGTTCTGGGGCTGGGCTTACTGGAACGCATGGGACGCGCCACCAAGAGCTGTACTCTGCCGGAAAAGACGCAAAAGTCCTGGTCGTTGATACCGATCGCCGACTTGATGAGCTGTCCCTGGCCGCCCTTGCTGTTGACGCCCAAATAATCTCCCAGGAAACGACGCATACTGACAAGGGAGAAGCGTCTGCGCTCCTTGCGTCCGGCAAGAACCTGGTGACCGTACTCGCGAAGCTGCAGCCAGCCGATTTGATCCTTGTTCTTCCTCCAGCAGCGCTGAATACGGATGGCGCACTCGTTCTTGTACTTCATATAGTTTCTCCAGACACGCTGAATACGGATGGCCATGTTGTGCCAGTAACGGTCGCGCAGGTGCTCGAGGGAGAACAGGGTCTCGGGGTGGCGAATAAACACCTTGGTGGTTCCCATTTGCCACTCCTCCGGTGCGATGCTGGTATCCTTGAGAATACGCTCGACTCCGCTCTTTGGATCGCCCTGCCATGTGTACTCTCCTGCATATGAGGTCTTGGGCGAAAGAAGATAGAATCGCTCCAAGAACTTTTCGTAGGTCTGACGTGACGCGAAACCGGCGCGTCGGACACGAATGTTCTCGCACAGTCCCAGGTACTTGACTTGATGAAGAACCATCTTGGCGTCGAACTCGGTAGGTGACTTGTTCTGGTTGGGCTTGATCGTACGGATGTAGGAGGGAGTGCACTGCATCAGGTTCTGGACCAACACGCCGGCGGAACTCTTGATCTTGTCACCAGCGGTAGGAGGGCGTCTCTTGTTATCGACATCGACAGGCTCGGGGAACAGAGTGGAGAGGAACTGGTTGTTGGATGAGGCGATCAAAAGCAGGATATCCTTGGACAGCAAATCCTTGTTCTTGTCGGTCATGCCCGAGACCTGGTACATCACATCTCCAGCGTAGTGCTTGACAAGGAAGGATGCACCGCGGGACTCGAAATGAGGGTTGGAGGAAAGACCATTGAGACGCTGAACCAAAGAGTTGTCGGCGGCGTTCGAGTCGGCGTGAGCGGTCGCGCAGGCATCGTTCATGGCGGCGAAAATGCCTGGGGGTCGCTTCTCCTCGATGAGGTCGCACACAATCTTGTTGTTGAAGAATTCGATGGGAGTCCACTGAATGCGCTCCCGGACGTACTCTTCCTGCTCGGTCTTGAGGGTGAGCTCAATAAAGATCTGCTGCAACTTTTCGTTGACATAGTTGATGCAGAGCTGCTCGAAAGAGTTCTCCTCGAAAATCTCGAATCCGTAAATATCCAGAACACCGACGGTATAGGCGTGAGCACTACGCTGGCGAAGGGAGACGTTGACACGGCTCACGATCCACTCGAAGAGGTTGTTGTAGATTCCCTTGCAAAGGGCGTCTCTGACAGCAGCAGCCTAGCATATCGTCGCATCAATTGTAAAGTTTAGTAAGTAAAGTGGACTCAGAGCAATAAGACCCAATATGTTTCGTATGAAGTATTGCATCCCATACCTGAACAGGGTTGAGTGGCGACTCGAAGACCGATCCACGTCTGCCTCCACGCTGAGTCTCGACGACACGGACAGTCAAGGTCCTAATCAAAGTGTCGGCATCGACCTCCATGATATAGGCGATGAAAGCAATAACTAAAACAACAGAGACAAATGAGAACATTACAAGATTAAACACACAGTTATCGTAATTCGATGGAGACAGCGAGTCAAGAGAGTAGGGTGAGTTGTTCTTACCCTCATTGTCGCTGATCTGGGCATATCCTTCGTCGTTCTCCACAAACTGCACGTTTCCAAGCCAAAGAATGATGGCCAGCATGCGGAAGATCTCGTCCTGCTCCTGCTGGATGAGTCCAATAACGCGCATAGCTTGCTATAAACAGACAAAAAAAGGGACATGATATTCCTTAGAAGAAGCTCAAGAAGACCAATCCCATCCACGAGAAGCATTCGCGCGAGAACATACCAAGGTTTCGTTAAAGTCATGGACATCGTCAATGCCATCGACTGAGAGGCACCCGCTCCTGTTGGTGAGCAGGAAGCTCTCGGGTCCAGTCATTCCAAATTGCTCTATCAAAGTCAAAATAAAAATAATATATGAGCTAGGCTAGACTCGATCCGCAAAAACGAACAGGGAGACACTTGTGCATGGAGGAAAACAATGGTCGATCAGGCCCCTAAGCATTACCTTGGTAGTTGGAGGTGGCAGCCTTGCAGTACTGGTAGAAAATGTGGAAGTTTCTCTCGTTTTCGATCTGTCCCACCACGCGGTTCTATTAGAAAGTGGAAAGATTGCAAGGAGAGAGGGAGTATTACTATGGCTGTTATCCTGAACATTCAGTAGTCAAAAGAGTAGTGTCCATGAGTCCGTTACCTTCTCAAGCAAATAGTTGGTAATAACAGCTCCAACAGGCTCTCCCTGAGTGTTGAACTGAATCTCGAGGTATTTTCCCTATCATGTTGGAAGGCGGCACGACAAAAGGAGGTACTGTAAGTCTCAAATAAGGTGTACAGGCAAGAAAATCTTACTCCGCAAACTGGCAGGATTGCAAGAGACATACGTGACGACTGGAGTTGTTGTTCTTCAAGGTTTTTGCACATCCGAATGACTCCAGGAGAGGGTTGGTCGCCAGTACCATGTCCTTGATCTCCTTGATTTGTGACGATTCGCCTCCAGACACTGTGGCGATGTATTGCATGATCTAGCAGAAGAGATAGAAGGCGGGTAAGAAACGTGGAGCTAAGAGGGTGGAGGATCAAAGAACACAGACAATGGACAGCGAAGAAAATTCAAAGTAGCATCCTTACTCGCTTAGCAGCCTCTGTAGAAGTCAACATGCAAGGAAGAAATGAATATGAAAGCGTTAGAAAGTGTTTGCATTGCCACATCTAAAGTTCCTTGTACATTGTCTCAATTGGATTAGCAACTGCGTACCAGTCTTTCCAGCTCCGGATTCTCCACTGATAATGATGCATTGGTTCTCCTTGTAGGCGTTCATTGTGTAATATGAGCTCTCGGCAATAGCAAAGACGTGAGGAGGGACCTATTTCGTTTACAACAAGAAATCGGGAAGACGTCAGCGACCCATCTCGGGTTGCACAAGCGGCACACACATAATGTCATTCCTCTCTTTTGGCCTTTTGGTTACTTGTTTACAAAACAACCGCGGCACAACAGGGGTATAAAAGCGTCATCATTGTTACCTCAAGACGGTTCTTGCCCTGGTAGGTCTTCAAGACTTCATCGGTATAGATTCCAAGATCGCGGAAGGGGTTCACACTAATCAACACATGTCCGATATAGGTCTATGCGATCCCGAAAGAACAAAAAAGATGACAATCCATGTTAGATAACAGGCTGGGTTAATCGTTGCACAGTTGTTGTCGTTTACTACTCCTGTGGTGATGGGAATCCAAAGCTGCCAGCCGTATCATTCGCTCCTGCATTCTCTTTCTTTCCTTCGTCCCAAAGAGCACGACTGTTGACCGGATTGCCTTTTGCTCACGCCTTTTTTCAATCCCACGCATTGTGCTATATCCAGTCAACCGTCCAAAAACAGCCTCTCTCTCTCTCTCTCTCTCTCTCTCTCTCTCTCTCTCTCGTTCTCCTTACGTAGATTTCCTGGTTCTCGAATCGCTTCTTCAAGTTGTCGTTGATGTTTTCGTTGTTGACTTTGGTCAACAGGGTCATATCACTGACTCCTGCCGACTTTTTCTTGATGCTCTCCTGGAAGAAGTTAGCCTTTTGAGGCGCGTTAGACTTTTTAGATTTTGGTGCCTATGGTGGTGGAGGAAGAAAGTATGAAGTGAAAAGATAAGCGTTAGAAAGGTGTAAGCTTATAGCGGGGGAAAGCTGCCTGCGGTTAGGATGAAGTTGTTGTGCGGCAGAGAGGGAGGTTTACCATGGCTGTCTACAAGAGTTTGTGTTGGTGATGCGTGTGCGAGTGGTTCGGGAGGGAGGACAGACGGAGTGCTGTTCCGAGACAGGCGTAAGAGAGAGGAGGAGGAAAATGAAAGTGTTAAGGGAGGAGGAAGATGGAAGTGTAAAGGGAGTGAGGATGATGATGGGGGAGATGAATAAGAATAAGAAGTGAGAGAAGATGCTGCAGCGGTCGAAAAACGGCGGGTGAATTAAAATAAAAGGCAAGTCGACGTGCGACTGGCATAATTGTCATGACGTCTTTTTTTTCCTTGAAGCTCAGCACTGGTGTAATTCACTACACCTTCTCAGGCACAAGATCCAAAAGCCCATTTCGGACCACCAAACGACACAACTCTTCCTCTGCTTTGCCCTCAACTATTCGCCTCTCCCTCTAATGCAATCACCGCACCTGCCACCCTCCTATGGCTACCAGTGCACCGGTGCAACAGTATGGTCATATTAATCTGAGTTCCCCCGGGTGATAGAGAATCCGGCATCTCCCCCCCCCTTTCAACTAGTTATTGTCTCACAATGCAGCACCTCATTGGCTAACCGTCGGTCTCCACGCTGTGTCGCCCCCCCAAAATATGGATCCAGGGCAACAAGTGGATATGCCATACAAGATGGAAGCCAAGGACACTGGTGCTATTCATCATTCAATAGGTAGACAGACCAATGGCTCTTCTGTCTGCCCTAGTGTTTTAGGTAGCAAACCGGTGTCTTTGACGCACAAAGATGACAAGAGCGCGCTTAATGACCCTAGATACACGATCTAGAAACATTCATTGGCTTTAAAATATGGTCATGAAAACGCGTTAACAACTCTCTCTCTCTATCTTCTTTCGTTTCAATAGCCTTCAACCGTTTGTTTGGCAGCCGCATTGGGATACTTTTCTTCATTCTATTTAAACAGCTCGTTGACTTACCGAAAGTTCCATGCCGAGTAGGGCAGTAGCTTGGTAGTACGTGGCTCGGTTGCCTTCATTTATTCGAATCAACAATGAACTTGATTGTTGCCTCTCCATCCATTTTTTCTTCTTGTATTGTTGTTAAAGTTGACTCGCCTTTGTTCATCTCCAAACCAGCGTACTCATTGTGCTTTGTCACCTCCTCCATGTCAACACCTGTTTCTGTAGCTTATGCTCTTTACCCTGTAAGGAGGTGCAAAGAGGGCCTCATTGTAAGCGAGGTCCATGCTGATGATTAACTATTGTGCGCACGACAGAATTCCATTGGTCCCTTCAAGCAATGTGTTGCACAATGAATGCCCAATGCACATCCTACAAAGAGTTGCCCTTTTATGGTAACGGCATTCTCTTTATTCTCTGGTCAACTGCAAAAAGATTCCTCTTGCATTCTGCTTGCCGACCGTCTCTTTCCTTGTCTGCACTTATGACCAGTCTTTCCTTCCAAAAAGTCTTTTATAAGAACCATCTCGGCCACTTTTTTTTATCGTCTCTTCTTTCAGATTCATTTTCACAAATAACTTTTATCGCCCTACATTTCCCTCACCCACCCTCCCAGCCATCTCTTTCAACAATTACTCGTATCCACTTTCTATCTCCCACTTTCTATCTCCCACTTTTTCTCATACACTCCCTCTCCGCACCTCCCTCACGACCACATTCACTCAATTGCTCACACCCATGGCTCCACAAATGCGTGTAACCATTGCCGGCGGTGGTATTGGTGGCCTCACGTTGGCCATCATGCTGGACGCTGCCAACATAGACTACATCATCCTCGAACGCTCATCGTCCCTCAAAACACTCGGCAGCACCATTGCACTCAACGCCTGTACCCTTCGACTCTTAGAACAACTCGGCCTCTGGAACGACATTCAAAAGATCGCCAAACCCATCGCTGGCTTCAACATCCAACACGACGACCTCTCCCCCATTGGCAAGATTGATTTCTCGTTTGGCGAGGAACACTACGGCTACTACGCCTATGTTATGGCTCGCCCTGCCCTCTTTGAGCTCCTCAAGTCTCGCGTTCCCGCTAACAAGATCAAGCTCCGTAAACAAGTCGTCGACCTTGTCGAGGATGACACGGGTGTCACCTGTATCTGCGAGGATGGTTCCCATTACAAGAGCGATATCCTTGTGGGAGCTGATGGTGCGTACAGTGGTGTGCGCGAAAGCATATACCGTCGCCTGAAACAGCAGAACAGACTCCCCGCAAACGATCAAGAGCCCATGAAGCTCACTCATCTGAGCATTCTCGGCGTGTCCGAAGCCCTTGACCCAGCCATTGTTCCAGCCACGGAGGACAAGCACTCTTGGTTCCAACTCATGCTCTTTCGCAACACTCGCTTTTCGGTACGTAGAACAGCCTTTATTAGTTTTTGACGCGGTACGGAATGCGATTTCTCGCAAGCTTGTTCCTGACCAAATCACCTCTCTTTATCATATTCATATACCCAGATCTGGCTGGCACCTATCGACGGCAACAGAATTTCGTGGTGCTACGGCGGTGAGATTGAACCCAACCCATGCACAAGCCTCACTACTGGCGTGAGTGAGTTCTGGGAGTGGGGGCCCAACAAAACCCACGCAATGCTGGACGACATACGCCATCTTCCAACCATATTCGGCTGCACTGTCGGCGACATTATTGGCTCGACTCCCAAGGAGCTCATCTCATCCGTGGTACTTGAGGAAAAGTTCTTTGAGACCTGGCACACCAAGCGCGTCGTTCTCTTGGGCGACGGTAAACGTATCTCTTTATTTTTTGCTTGCAGTGTTTGCACAAATGTTCGCACGAATGAAATGGAATGATAAAAAACTAAATGTGTCATGCCTATACTTTCCTTTTGTCCATTTGATTATTTTGTTGTTTTCAGCTTGTCATAAGGTATGGGTCTTTACAATAGTTGTTATTTTTGCTTATGATGACAATGGCTCTATTCCACGCAACCCGATGGATTTATACTCTAACACTTACGTCCTCTGCTACTTGTACTATTCGATCTCCAGGTTCTCCCCTTTGCTGGTCAAGGCACGATCCAAGCTATGTTGGATGGTCAATGTCTCGTCGACCTTCTCCACAGCCTGAATGAGAATCCCACCACCGCAGATTTCGAAAACGCGTTCAAGACCTACCATCGCGAGCGATCAGGCACAGCCCGGAAGGCCGTGATCGGATCCAGGCTCTTTGGCTACTTTATCGACTCAAAAGGAGCTATCGCCCAATGGGTCCGCAAAATCACTCTGGGCTGGATGCCCCAGTGGTGCGTCAAGTCCATAACCAATTGGGTAATGCGTCATCGCCCGCAACTCTCCTTTCTCCCTGCCATCGAAGATCGCGGTCTCTACAAGGCTTGGTGGTAGATAAGAGTGCACGGCTCATGTTTTTCCTTGTCTCTTTTTTTTTGTCTTTCGTTCACGTCTCCTTATTATGACCACATCTATGCTTCGACCACGTTCTTTTTATGTTCAAGTTATCTTAATCGTATTTTACATGCAATAAACAGTAAAGTAAAGATATGCTCTGCTATCAAACATCGCCAATAAGGAGAATTGAAAGGGGTGGAATAGTTCGCGCGTGCTGAAAAAGACGAACCACATTCTACCTCCACCTCCCTGTTTGAACTACATTTTTTCTCATTCACTCACTCTCTCTTTCTATATCCTATCACCTTCCGACACATCCATTTTTTTTCCCCGCTCGTCAAACAACAGCTACAATCCTCATAATATATAATCAAAACCAAACGCGGCATCTCCCCACCCCTCCCTTATCTTCTATCACTCGTTTCATCATCCACTTTTCCTTCCCGACACCCTCCCATAAAACGAAGAAAGTAATACGAAACCAGAAGAGACCATCCATCCCTTCACCTTCCCTCTCTATTAATTACCTCTCCCTTCATGCTCTTTTCTCTTTTCTTCCTTCCAACTTTTTCTTACCTCTATTCACCTAGTACTTATCTCTCATTATATTATCTTCTTCGTTCTTCTTTTATTGGATACCTCCTTCACTCAACTATTTACCGCAATAGCTTCTCGAAACAAAAACATCTCCATTCCACAAATGTAACAGATCACAACAACACCAGCTTTCTCCTTGGCCCTTGGCCTGAAAACAACGAGACAAGAACCAAATCTCTCTCCTCACGCCTTTTACTCGTCCATGTCTTATGACAGTTGATCCGTCTTGTAACGACGAGTAGAAAACTCATCAACAATAACAATTGCACGTAAGCAACAAGGAAAAAAAAGAATAAGTAAATGAATTATGAGTTATAGTGATTAAGAGAAGGACTTTAAGAGACTTCAGGAAGGAAAACCCCGGCTGACCTTTGGGCGTTCCGCAGAAAGACTCTCTCCCTTTCGAGGAGTTTGCTTGCTATAAAAGAGGGGAACGGAGGCAAGACCACAGAAAGGCCGAGCGACAACTTATATCTCCCTAGGGTACCTGTGTAAGTGACAAGTACCGGATTGTTATGGAAAAAGAGAAGGTCCTGGGGCGGCGGTCTTTTTATACATACCGTCACTCTGTTGTCACAAATGGTGAACAGTAAACGGTGAATTATTGGTGTTTGGATTCATGGGGAGGTAGGTTAAAGGGCGGACTTTGAGGGAATTACACAAACCAACAATGCTTTATTTGAAATGTTTAGGAAATATTGACTGCTTTTTTTTGGTCCCAGCTCTTGGGTCTTGCCCCAGTGTTTTATTCTATTCCAGCAGAGGGGACCCAAAACAAATGTTAATTGAAGAGGCGTGGAGGGAGGAGAGTTACCCAGCGAGAAAGAAAAAAAAAGCGACAAGGACGATGTAATTTATGCAATCAAAGAGACTTCTTTTTGTGCAGCACTCTCTGGGAATATTCCTTCCTGTCAGTCTTTATCAGTCGATCTTAATTGACTCCATCACAAGAGCCCAATCCTCGACGATCACTCGTTGATCAATTGCTTATTTTTGTTTACATTTGTGAAGAGCAAGAAGAGTATGCTGAAAATGATTATTTTGTATTTGTACATGGTTATTATCATGTTGAATGATGAAAGGGGGGGTACTACACTAAACCTTTTGTCCACTGCTTGGATGCAAATAATAAAAATAAAAGAAAATGCAAGAGAGGAAGAAACTACAACAAAATAAAATGCATAACTAAAAGACAAGGTGGCAGTTGGGAGGGACGACGAGTCCAGTGCAGCGGGTATTAGAAACGTGTTGAAGTTTCTTGGAGTGTTGAATGAAAAAAAGAGAGAGGACCAATTTACTTGTCGAGCTCGCCACGGTAGGCCTTGGCCAACTCCTTGACGGCGTCAACGGTTCCGATGGCAGATCCGGCGGTACCGATGATGATGATGAGGCCCATGAAGAACAACTCGATCTTTCCAACCTTATTGATGCCATAGAGCTTCAAGTAGAAGACGAGGGGGAAGACAAAGGTCAACATGCCGTCGCTAAGGGCTCCGAGGAGAGACATCATCTGTCCAAAGTAAGGGAAGAAGAGGGCGATGGTGGCGACCAAGACCATGGAGAGAGTGCGGATGATGGCACGGTAGAGCCACTCGGTCTTGGTCGAAAGGCCGCGAGAATCGAGCTTCAAGGCGGACTCGATCTGAAGGTTGAAGGTGGTCATGAAGAGAGGGATGGCCAAGAGGACGTGCAGGGTGATGATGATGGTCGAAATCGTGCGGGTGGCACCTCCGGGCAAGTTCTGGTAGATGGGCGACAAGACCGCATGTCCGTAGACGGCATATCCAGTGGTCGAGCAGAGAACGTAGAGGACAGTGACAGTCAAGACTCCCAAAAAAATGATCTTGTTCCAGGAGCGCTTGTTCTTCATCGACTCCTCAACGTGAGGGAAGATAACGTTGCCTCCGTAAGAGAAAGCAAAGGTGGCGAGTGCGATGGGCAAGTTGCGGGGGATGGCCGCGTCGTGTCCGGTGGAATTGTCGGGGTAGGTGACGGGGTCAAGGTTCTTGGAGTCAATGATGGCAGCAACCATAACGATGAAGACAACGATGGCAGTCGAGAGAGCGCCAAAGATGGAGAGGAAGGCGACTTCACGCATGGTCTTGGTGAGAATGATTGGAATGACCATGATGGCGGCGGCGATCATGATCCACTGCTTCAAGGTGATGGTGCTTCCAACAGACGAGGCGAGGTCCTCGATGTTGGTTCCAGTCAAAATCAAGTAGAGAACAGGTCCTCCCAAGGCGATAGAGTTGTAGAAGAAGGTGACGACAATGCGGCCAGGGAGACCGAAGGCAGCAGCAGCAACATCGGGGTACTCTCTGAGGCGGTTGCGACTATTCGGAGAAAAAGGTAGAAAACATGACGAAGTATGACAAATAGGAGGCGGGTTAGAGATAAAGAAAAAAATAACAAACAGTACCAGATTGGTCGTCCGCTTAGTTCTTGTTGACAGTCCGATCTGCGAAAAAAAAATGTTGAGGGGGACAAACTTACCCGTCATAGTAGAGGCACTTGATGAGCTTTTGGTTGGAGTAGACGGCCATCGCGCAGGCAAGAGCCAAGATGACAAGACCAACCCAACCGGCATCACGGAGAGCAGCGGGGAGGCCGAGGGTTCCTGCACCGGCAAGAACACTGACAACGTTAACATAGGCTTGGAAGTCGGTAGCTTTTCCTGCAGGGGCGTTGGCATAAGCGTCACCCTCGTGAGGGCCGCTGGAAGCGACGCTCTCAACGTCGACTTCCTCGAACTTTTCGACAATTTCAGTCTTGGTCATTATGTATGTGTGTGGATATGAAGAATGTGTGGATTACAAAGAATGGTAGTCTGAAAGAGAAATAAGAGTAATAAAAGGAGTGGAGGGAGGGGGAGAGAGGGTGTGAAGATGGAAGGAGTGAAAGGAAGGAAGGGTGGTGGCGATGAGGCAGTAAGGGTGGTTTGCAGAGAAGCAAAGAAGGACAAAGGAAAAAAAATGAAGAGAGAGTTAGGGACCCTTTTATACAAATTGGCTCCGCCTTTAGCTCTCTTCTGTCATTGAATGACCGTTTGTCGGATCAGGGGAAGGTATTTCGATAGCACTTGATACGTCTCGATGGCAAAGGGGTTTCGCTGGTCCAAGCACGTCATTCTACCACTGGTCCGTTATTTTACACGGGGTTAGCACGAGAAAATGTCTGTCTCTGGGTTGGTTGGTCTGCGGCCAAGACGACCAAAGGATAAGAAAACGACTGGAGTCTGAGACTGGTTAAAAAAATAATTAAAGGAGTTTTCTATTTGGTCCTCTTTCACATCCTGCCCTGTCCTACTCCCACACATGTTGCACGAGGTAAGCCAGACCAAAAGGGCCCTCGACAGAGAAAGTAAAAGAAACCTCCGCTTGCAGCAAATTTTAGGTGGATGAAACTCCGGCAACGGCCAAGTGGCCAACAGCAGCGAAAATACTGCCGAATCGCCTCGTTGGAACCCCTCGATCCTCAGCAGCCAGCCAATCCCAGGGTTGGAATCGGCCAACTCATCTGATAACGCCATAATCCGCTCGCAGCAACTCATGCAGACAGGTCACAAAGAATCACTGGCTTCAAAGTGCGCGCTAACTTGCAATGGTTGAGCCATGGGGAGGGTGGGGTACTGTAGTGACAGTATATACCTTCTTTATTTTTCTTCGGTAGTTATACTTTTGGGATTAAAGGGTGATTATGCGGCAGACGAAATGGTAATCGTGAGCAATGTTTCGAGTTGTTATGAACGTTCTCTCTCCGGATGGTGTGCGAACATTGCTGACTAGCGCCTTATTAGGCATTTTACCACGGCCACCGAGCCTTTTTTTTCGTCTGTCATGGTTGCGGTCCGTCCGATCGGAAAAAGGCCAAGAGTTGTGAACGGCCATTCTTATTTTTTCAATTTCGTGGTTCTCTCAGCAGACTCTAACTGATAACATGGTCGTTTCGCTTCTATCCCTAATAACACTCTCTCTGTCCCTTGTGTCCAGGCTCTGCAAGAAGCACCAAAGCGGACAAAATGGCGCCACCATGCCATCCTCGCATCATATCGCACCATCCCGCAACCACACGACCTAGACCCTCATTTCCATAGTTTCTCACTTTTCCTTTCTCGCACTTCCTTTCTCGTTCATTCATTGTCTGTCTGTCTCAAGCCTCGCCGTTTTGGCTCTAACCTTGAATACATTCTAGCAATTGTTTGATATTCTCGAGTTGTAAGCTGTTCCTAGGCAGCAATAGGACACCACGTCGACTATCAGACAGCAGCAGCATCCCCGTTTATGGGTACTTTGGGCTGAACATTTTTGTTCCTGTCAAGATTTCCATCGTTACACTGGATATGTTTACCTTCTTGACCTGTGCGTTTGTTTATGTTGATACAGTTGTTGTTCGCTCTGAAATAAACAGATACAAACAGGCACCTGGTCTGTCCTGACTTGACCTGACCCACTCTCAAAATGAGAACCTTGATTCTTTTTTCTCTATCTTGTGATCGTGGGATACCTCAGACCCCCTTAAACTATACCTATACGCATTCATTAACTCGTGTTGCAAAAAGATGTGGTGGCTAGGCAGTGGCGGCGATGCCTTAGGGTAGCAGTCATATTCTTTAGTAGACATAGTGTTAGTAGTGCACCTAGCCTTCTTGTCTGCTCTTTGTCCTTTTACACATCACTTCTTGGACGAGAGCAGTATTGACAAGAGTTTCGCTGGCGCGCTGCAGTGTATCGTTTCGTGTGACTCTTTAGGACGCTATTATCACTATCCCCGACTATCAACCCCCCTCAACCTACAACCCCTCCCCCCCCCCCGTACCAATTGAGGACTTAACAGCGGTCCTACAACTCTGGCCTTCGACCCTCTCCCCTGAGTAACACTCGTTAACTTTTCCCTTGAAATCAGGTGCGACTCTATTGGAGATACTCTGAATGGATAGAATATCCATTGTTGTCTCGAGAATCCTAAACACCTTAACCCGTTCTTCAAGCGGCCCGTGTTTGACAAATCAACGCCTTCAGCTGCAGCGGCAGGAGAACAGTGAACCCAAAATGAAAAATGATCTTATCTCATCGCAGGGGGGTCAGACAAGCCCCACCTTTATCTCTCCCCTCCTTCTCTCCCCTGACCGGACCTCCCCCCCTTTTTTTTAAGCTGCGATGCGGGGAACTGACTTAACGAAGATAAGTTGACAGGGACTAAGGATATGAACGTTGTGGAGAGGGGTTATATTTCTTTTCCCTCTCCGTCTCTTTTTCATCTCTCGTGCGGCAACTCACTCGCCCCATTTGCTTCATCCATCCAAACTACCATTTTTCTACCCTGAATAGACTTCTGGGTTTCCTTCGTAGACCTGTTCGAACAGGCACATAAGCAGTCGTCCCAAGATGTTCTTCTTTTCCTCAATGGCTCGTCTCTGGCTTCCTTCTCACTCACCCGTGACAAGCAGGGATACCATCAACACAAGAGAGAATAAACGAACACTTGTCTCTATTTAAGTGTTGAGACAGATCAAAACCCCAAGGTCAGAAAATCCTATCGCACGCACAACCTACAAGCACGAGCCAGTCTGAGCTTCTTTTACTTTTACTACTTTTCGTTTCTCAATGTTGTCCTCCTAGAGAATGTGGTCTTGAACTGTATCTCTTTTGATATTTGGGCTACCTGCACCATAAAACGAGCAGGAAATGATAGCAACCCTAGTAAAAGTCCACTCCTTTCGCGACCAAACAATATAAAAAAAGGAGAGGTAAGCGATCTTGTAGCGGGCCATCCTACATAAACGCTTTCCATTCATTCCACTCGATCCTTCCCGGAAACACCGGTATCATAAAAGCCAAGATAAATATAATCATACTTGTGTGCATCATTTGCGTTCAACCCATTTGTCTGTTTCTGCGACAGCCTGTTTCTCCAAGTATCTCCTCGTCTTTACCTTTATGGACGCAAAAAGCGCCAAGGTTGATCCTGTTAATTTCATATGGTCCGTTGCTGGAAGTCAAGGAGGAACAATCCTTCCTAGCCCATGCATTCTCCTTTTTTTTTTTTTTGAACCCCAGCAAAGTTTTAGATTATCATCATGTCTATCTCTATCTCGAAGAGCAGCGAGAGATGCTTAGCAATCGTTTTTTTCCTTTTTTTTAATGAATAAGGACTGTTGGAACAAAGTATGTGAACTAGGGTAATGGGGGTAAAGAGTGTGGGTGAAAATATTGAACAAAAAATATACAACTGGTAATTGGGAAGAGCATATCATGCTGGAGAAGAAAGTAGGTGGGTACGAAGATGGAAAGAAGAGGAGAAATGCAAACTTGGCTGGTTGAGCGCACTTTGCTATTTTCCCTTGGTCGCAAGCACAACGATGAGGCGCGAAACGGGGGAAGGCGAGCCGGTCGTTTATGTGACCTTGGCCATCTCTTTCTTCTTCTTGCCTCTTGGGGGCGTCACCGGCCTCCCCGCGCCCAGAGCACCGTACGAGTACTTTTGCTTCTTCTCCGCTGGTTTCAAGATCTGTTTAAGTGTGAGTAGTACAATGAGAGAAAGGTGCAGTTAGCATCAGAAGCAATAAGCAGGGCATGGAAGAAATACTAAGGAAAGCGATAGGAATGAAAAGGATATTTACCTGGAAGGAACACATCAAGGTCTCGTCGACGCTCATCATGGCTCCGGCGTTATCGAACTCACCGCAGTAGTTGGGTGCAGAGAACAAGGTAACAAGCTGACGCTTGGCAAAGAAATCGTAACCGTCCTCGACGACCTGATGCGCGCGGCAGACAAGGTCCATATCGTGCTTCTGCAAGAATCGACTGACCACATCTGGTCCAAACGTGAACGAGACTCCACGGTCGTTTTCACTCCAGCCAGTAATGTCCTTGTCGGGGTCCGACCAGAGCAAGTCGCACAAGAGACCAGTATCGGGGATATCGGTAGGACGCATCACGCGACGGATCTGTTCCATGTTCAACAGGTCAGGCGAGAGACCACCATGCATACAGAAAATCTTCTCGTCAACAATGGCAGCGACGGGGAGACAGTTGAAGCAATCGGTAAAGGTCTTCCACAACTTGATGTTGTAGCGGCGTTTGCACTCATCATAGAAACCATAAATACGGTTCGTGCTGGCGCACTCGTGGTTACCGCGAAGGACAAAAAAATTCTCGGGGTACTTGATCTTGTAGGCAAACAACAGGCAGATGACCTCGAGCGACTGCTTGCCGCGGTCGACATAGTCTCCCAGGAAGAGGTAGTTGGCCTCGGGAGGGAAACCGCCGTACTCGAAGAGACGGAGCAAGTCGTAGTATTGACCGTGGATGTCACCGCATATCTTAATGGGGGCCTCGAGTTCGAGCAGGATGGGCTGGGACATGAAGATCTCGCGTGCGGTCGTGCACAAGAACCTGATCTCGTGTTCGGCTAGCTGCACTTGCTTTCCAGGGCGGGAGCCGCGGACTATAACAACAATGCATGCATAGTAGATGAGAAGAGATGAATAATTAAGGAGGTGGTTTTCAACATTAGGACTGTCAAAAGAGAAACCCACGTTTTTGAGTGTCGGTTGAGCAGACAATCACAGTAATGGGGCCAGAAGCAACAAGTAACATAGATATTGTCTCCGTGAAAAGCAAAGAATTTAGTATCTACCTTCAAGGAGCCTTTCGATAATGTTATCGATATCGATGTTAACGTCGCTCATGGTGGAGCTAAACAGACGGTGCTGGGGATGGGTGGACGGGGAAGCAGGCGCAAGAACGTGGGGAGGAAGGGCGGTTGTTCTAGTGAGCGGTGATTGGAAATGAGTAGCAGTTAGCATGTGGCAATAGCAATGAAGTTATTGACGACGTAGAGAGCGAGACATATTGACTCAGACAGGTCACAGATAGACAGTGCGGTGGTTGCACAACTCGTCAATGCTTTACGCTACGCCTCTCGTCGAAACTACAGCAGCAAACAATGCAATCCGTGCAGACGCTGCAGTAAAAAGGGACAGGGATGATAAATGCATCAAGGGGAAAAACTAAGTGGCACACTCACTCGACAGACAAACTGACAGAGACAGGCGAGTAACCCGTAGCCAACAACCTGCCCAGCTCACCAAAAACATAAAAACAAAGAAAATGAAGAGGGAATATGGTTCAGTGCCTGTGAACTCTAGTGTCTGAGCTCATCAGGTCGTTCAGATTATAACAAAGAACGGAGTGGAATGAAAGGAGGGAGCAGTGAAACAGACCGAGACAAGATGACAGAACAAAAAGGGGGTAAAAGGAACATGGCGAATGAGGATGACCATCGTCGAGCGCAGATGAGGTCTGTTCACAGGGAGAGAGTGTCAGCACGTACACGCCACCCGCATAGGGCAAGACGTTTTTTTGTCCTGGGCGCCACCAAAATCCCACAGTAATTGGCTGCCCGCCACCCAAGCATCCGTAATCATCCATCGCATCGATTACATCCATTGTTTTTACTCCAAACAACACAAATAAAACGCAGATAACAATGATGGTGCATTATAGTAACACTCCGGGGGCCTTTGAGGACATTCTACGATGGTGTATGGTCTTACCTTGGAGTAGCTTGGGGTATGGATGGATGTTGGGAAGGAAGATGCATCCGTCGATGCGATCGATGGATTTTCTTTTATACTGTAAATCCATCCATCGCACACGTCACAAATTGCTTAAGGGTTAACATCGATCGTTTTTGACGGAGGGCACGGGTTAATATGGAAAATGCCGCTACAGCCAAGAGCTGAGAGCGTCAACTCATTAATTCAACCCTTTCATTATCCCAATCATCCTTACTTCATTTGCTAACAGCCATTGAGCACTTTTATTAAACATTTTCAAACCTGTCTGTCGCAAGCTATGAATGATCACGCCGTGTATCAGGATACGCTTGATGACCTTCTCATTGTTTCAAGACCAGTTTATTTCAGGGCTGCTGTTCTTTCAGGGCCGCTACTATTTTTTTTGAGCGGCCATTCTTTTTCGAAGTCTTAGTTTTTGTTCAGGGCTATTACTTTCTTTCGCGAACCCTTACCTTTTAGTATAAATACTAGTTCATACAGGTGGCGGGGCATATCGTTCAAACGACCACACGTCCAGACGATATCAAGATGCCAAGAGTGACTTTGTCATTCAACCTTTTTTTGCTGTCAGCGGAGACATACAGGAGGAAGACTTCTTTCGTAACCTTTGGTGGCACAGGATTTGATATCGGTTGCCCTGCTTTGAAATCTCGTCCCGGAATCTAGTATTTTGAAGATGAGCAGACGGCTATCATTTGACGACCTGAACAATCCCCTCGATATCCTGTTCGAGATGATGTCGACAACATTCGTGGCTCCGTTCTTGTGCGATAAAACTCGTCGTCACCAACCTGCCTGGATGCGGCAATGCGTCTACCTGGACTGTTTGAATGTCGCTTGGAATTCTGGATTGGTGAAAGTCGGACCGGTTTGTTTTCACACTTGAAAAATAGTCGAATGGGTTTGAATGGCTTGTGTGATTACTTGCAGGATCCACTGTGTGACGAGTCTGTTGGCGATGAAGATGAATCAAGCTGTTGACGATACCCCATACAAAAAAAAACAGAGTAACTTACTTTGTAGACGCCCAACCATGCATCCGACGTTATCAATGTTTGCAACGATTTCGATATCAAGCTCGTGGGTGGCGCCGGTTTCGAAGGCGACGACGGTCTCGACGGGGGTTTGTCCTGATGGTCCTTGACTGAACTGGAGGTCGGTAGAGGGTGACTTGGTTGAGGTCGATATCGGTCCACCTGATGCTTTGTCTCCAGATACAGCTGCGGCGGCGATGAACCGCATTGTAAACAACTTGGTCGATCCTGTTTCTGTATAGGGATGAGTGCTGCATCATCCTGAAAGCCGAAGATCGTATTGATGGTATGGTTGAAGATGTTTGCGTTGACGATGAGCTGAGTCTGTAAAAGTGGCGATAACTGTGCATGACCCGGGCATTTCTGACTTTGGGTCGCATTTGAGCAACAAACTTCGCGATTGGTCCTGGATAGGTACAGATCCTCTCCCGCTTTCAGGCTCAGGTTGCCAGCAATCTCATACTTCAAGCCAATCCCAAGTAGTATACCCATAAAGGTAGTCGTGTCCCGCTACCACGCCGCCAACAGAAGGTGACGAGCTGACTGGATATCGGGTATGCTGACACCCTGCGCTTTCTTGTTCCTGATCAGCTGTCCCGATTCCAAGTGATGCCATCGCCGTGTCGATTGGTAGATGATAGAAAAATATCCGATTCACCATCAAAATCGACATGATTCTCCGGGGGATCCGTCTCCGCACAACGCTAGGCGATAGAGGTTTCGACCTGGAACTGACAAAAGCCGTTCTAATCGAACAGTGCTGCAAGGTCGTCCAGGGTGTATTAGGCGATGGCGGCGTTGGGGCCTGTAGCTATTCGGCGATCGACGATACGCCAGTTTCACCTTTGATCCACTAACTCTCCATGCCTCCTCAACAACGCCCTGCCATTCGCCTCTTTGATAGGATCGTAGGACTATTCAATTGAAAAGAAAGCAAAGTCAGCCAGCTAGCGATTAATCCAACACGATCGACAAAACAAAATGGGCCAGTTGAACGACTTGACAACCTAACATACTGTTCGATCCGCTTTGTTTCTTTGGTCTTGAACAAACTGTGGAATCCTTTGCTGTTATAGTCGACTTCCGATAACTTTTCGCGTAGAAAATAGAACGCCGATTTGACCTTGTCAAAGGTTGGAATTGGATCCTTCCTGCTGATGAACGCGGACGGTACTGGTTGCGAGTCTTGGGCTGACGCGATGCAAACAGGTGTCGCTCAATCTGTTCCTGTAACCAAATATGCATTTGATGATACGAGACCGATAAAACAGGCCATTGAGATCGACGTGAAACCCCCCTACCCATTCGCCGCTGTCGTATTCCTCCCGGATAACTCCTTGACTCGTCTCAGGAGTCGGTGGTATATTGCTATAAACAAGAGGACGAAAAGAGAAACCATGTTGGTAAGAACTTTCCCGCAAGACCAAAAAAATGAACAGCACGTTATTATCAATTGCAATTAATACCTCTTTCCAAGGCGCATCGTCGCACATTTTTGAGCGGGAACTCGCACGCCGATAACGTGGATCCATATACATCGCGCCAGCGTCGCATAGTCCAACGTGTACAGCAGTCAACTGGTTCCCCTTACCATCAATTGGCTACACAGATATTCATTTGTCCAGCGGATCTATTCCTGAAGCGGATGCAAAGCCTCATGACTGAATGCCGTTGCCTCAAGCTGATTCTTATCACTGCAATCTCTAAGGCCTGTCAGAAGGAGAAAACATATTACCAGCAGAGGCGACTCTCTTATTGTATCTCGCAGGTTAGGTAGGTAATTAGAATTGAAGGGACAGGCTGCCGTGGAGTTGTGAAGGAAAAAAGAGACACAAACACGTACGTCTCTCTCAGAATGCGCACACAAGATATACGATTCCAACCCTCTCTTTCCAATCATCCTAAATCACACAGACAGGCCTGACCATGCACAAAACATTTAAAAAAAAACGCCGCAAAAAATGCGTAGTCGTTGTTGTCCAGGGCGTGTGAATAATTCAATTGATGATGCGAAGGTAGCTACTTGTTCTAGGGAAGGGCCATGGTCTCGACAGCAGGAGGTCTCCACTGATCGAAAAACTCTTCTATCCTCCTACTAGCCAGCCCTTCTTCCTCTTCCTCTTCCTTACTCTCTACCTTCCCGCTTTTCAAGAACGCCACCAACGCCCGCCACTCATCCTCACACCCCTCCCTCTCCAGCACTTTCACAACCCTCGCAGGACACCCGGCGACAACAGTAAACGACGGCACATTCTTGGTAACAACACTCCCCGGCAACACTGTCACTCCATCTCCAATCCTCACACCCGGGCAAACAATAACCCCACCCCCCAACCAACAGTCCTTGCCAATATGAATCTCCATCGAGAAATCAAACTGTCGGACAGGGTACCGCAGGAGCGGGTTGAGTGGATGTGTGGCGCCAAAGAGCCTCACACCCTGTCCGAGGATCGTCCTGTCGCCGATCGAGATGGGCGCACAGTCGAGTGCGACGCCATTGGGACCCCAGATGACCTTGTCGCCCAAGGTCATGTTGTGACCATAGTCGACCTGAAATGGGGGGTCGATCCTGCACCCATGGCCCAACTTCCCACGCGTTAGGAGGTTGAGTAACGCCTGCCGCTTGTGTTTCAGCGCTTCATGCTGCTGGTGCTCTTCTGAGGTCGAACCAGTGCTGGGATCAGAGGACGGTAGGGCGTTGAAGAGGGTGGTGATTTCGTTGCTCCGTTGTCGCCCTAGGACCAGAAGTGGATCCATACAGTCATAAATCCGACAGGCCAGCATATTATCTTCGGCAGTGGTATCCAGGTCTGGAGGGAGGAGGGTGATCTTGTACACTTGCTCGAGAATGGTTGCATAGTCCTGGACAGAAAGACTGAGCGCGTCGGTGCCGGTGGTTTCGCGCTCTGCATTAGTAACAGCGGCGTGAAGGTCGGGGGCTGCCATGTTACTTTTGGGGGTCGAATGAAAGAAGATGAGTTGATGGAGGAGTCGGAAAGAAAAAAGTGATTGGAGTTCCTATTTTACGTTTTCCTCAGTTCCATTATATTGTAACGAACGAAATGCTAGTGTCGTTTTTTATTTTTGGTGTGCGATGATCGAATGGTAGCTTGCATTTTTGCCTTTGTCCCTGCTTGACGCACCATTTACTTCTCGGTGTAAGTAGTCTTGCTCTCCTTGGTGACAATCTCGACAAGCTTGCCCGAGGTGACGGGGATGGCGTTTGTTGCCCATCCATAGAGGGTCCTATTGAAAGATATGAACATGCTATTAGTTAATACAACATACCAACCGAACAGATATAGCTCACAAACTCCAGCTGAATTGCCAGCTAGATGCGTGCAAATTGCGATTTGAAATCGGTTTTGTCCTTACTCGGCAACCTCGGAGCAGGGAGTCCACGAGCTGAAGTCGGCACCGGGCATGCCAGCGCGGTTCATAGGGGTATCCAAGGTAACGCTGTGTGTGAATCCACGTGTAACAGAGAATCGAATCCAGCCAGAACGAGAATACGAAATGACGCGTGCATCCAGTGACAAAAGTTCAAGATGTGGAGAAATGGCAGAAAAGGAAATATGGATTGGTCAGAAATTAGAAACACACATGCGCCTCCTCAAAGTACTAAACAAACACATTGTATCAAAAACAAAGACGAATATCCTGCGATCCAGTTCAGTTTGTCAATCACTTACGGAAGGATGGCGTTAACCTTGGCGTCGGCGGGGATGCCAGAGTCAGGTCCAGCCAAACTGGCAACCAACTGGTGGACGGCAGCCTTGGCCATACCGTAACCGATCATGAAGGGGGTACCCTTCTGGGCAGGGAAGGCACCAGTCAAAGTCAACAAACCGCCACTATCAACCAACAACATGTCCCAGGGAAGAGAAAAAAGAATTAGTTTGCTTTGCTTTCGTGTCAAAAAACAAGACTTGTCGCCCTTCTCGTGTCACTCCTGAAAGAAACCACCTCTCATAACTTACGCCTTCAAGGACTTAGAGGCCAGGTGGGAGGCAACCAGGGATGAGTGAACAGACTGCTTCCACATCAACTCGGAGTTGGCAAACAAGTCTATTCAGAGAGAGAGCAAGGAGATTAAATGAGACCAAGGGTGAGAAAATTATTAGTACCACTGCAAAAATAAACAGCACAACCCAACATCCCCCAACAACATCCTCAAATTGTCCGTTAGCCTTTTTTTTCCCATGGATTCGCAAGGGAAGTCTTTGTCGTTAGCTTTTGCTTTGGGACTTACCCTTGGAGGCAGCGTTTCCGCCAGCCCATCCACCGGCAACGCAGACGATCGCGTCAACCTGACCGCTAACGGCGCCAACAACACGTTCTCCCTGCTGCTCCAAAGTATCGTTCTTCTCGAGCAAGATGTTGGTGGTAGCCTCCTGGTTAGCATTGAAATCGACCGAGGTGACAGCCTACATTAGATTAAGGTAAAACACGGCAGTGTTAACACTGTACCATTTATCGTGAAGACTGGCGTTTACTTGGTAAGCCTAAGCTAACACAGGAGACTCCTAGAGATAGTAAAGAAAAACGAAAGAGACAACTTACCCACTGCTGCTTGATAAAGTGCGAGACAATGGCGCGGCCGAGAGCGCCAGAACCGCCGTAGACAACGATGCTTGAGGTCATTGTGAATGTAGTGTGTGAATGAGAAGGGGGAATGAGGTGTGGGGAAAACAAAGAAACACCGAGATCACTCCACCCTCTTTTATGTCTTTTGAGAAAGAGGTGTCGACCCTGGGAAAAAAAATCAACTCTGCCCTTCTACAAAAGACCAGTCACCATTTCAAAAGCAAATTGGCGATTAAGATATGTATGGTAGTCTACTTTACTTTTGCGAATGGTATATGATACAGGGTACTATGTTACAAATGACTACGAGTTATGACCATGTTTTGGCAATGGTAAAACTTCAAAGTTATCGGGAATATTACAAGGAGGAAGAAGAAGAACAGATAATAGACAGAAGAAAACAAGATACTAAACGAACAGAAAGAAAAGAAAGAAAAGAAAAAAAAGAACGAAGGGCAATTACAGGCGCAACGAGGAGGGCTGCACGTTGTTGGTCGCAAGGGCCAGGGTGTGCAACTGCTCAAGGGCATGGACGAGGCAGACATAGTCGGGGTGTTCAACAGCAGTGTGGCGCTTCAGGTCCTTTAACAGAAGGCAATACCGGGTCACTCGCTGAATAGGGAGGATCAACAGATCCGCCAAACTGAATCGGCTGGTCGTCTCTTTGCCGCCGACGCAGTTGCGGATAAAGGCGTCGTACTCGGCCGACTCGGCCGATGCTCCCGCTGCCATCATTCCGTGGCTGCTGCGGGGCTTGGCTCCATCCTTGACGTTGCTCAAGGTGGTTGGAGTCGTCGAGTTAGTCGAACCATTGCTGGCGGTCGACCAGCTCGATCCCATGAGGGACTGGTGGGCTGCGGTGCCATTGAGGGCAAAGATCGAAGGCAGCGAACGACGCTTGTCCATGCGAGGACCTCCTGGCACGGCCAACGTGTTGGATCCACTGGAAAGGGTGCTGACTGGGGTGTTGGCGGTAGACGAGGCGACCGAGGCATTGGCGATGGAGATCGTGGCCCGCTTGGACTTCATCAACGTCCTCAGCGCCTTCATGCCCTTGCCATAGGACTGGCCATACTTCAAGAAGATTGACAGAGGCTCCTTGATGTCCAAAAAGATCGTGCCGACCATGCTCAGCTCATCGGACCAGACCTCATCACGAACACAAACCTCCAGACTCTGGGTGATCTGGCTTGCGACGTCCGACAAGGTCGAGATGTGAGCTAACAGCTGGTAAAGGGGGTTGGCCCGGGGTATAAATGGCTTGTCGCTCTCGAGAGATCGGAACAAAGGGTCAACAAAGACCTGGTATATACAACGGAAAGGTAATATTTGTCAACAAGCTGGTCCCAACCCCACGCGCCTTGCATTACATTGCATTACATTGCATTATATTGCATGCCTATTCAAGCAAAGGACTTACCTCCTGGATTGTACGCAGGTACTGGACGTAGTTGAGCTCGGTGGTATAAATCTCCTGTGAAATAAACTTGCGGATCTCCTTGTTTCGGGCAATGGCCTCGGGTGTGTCGAACTAGTGACCGATCATTCAAAGCGTCAATGGGAAAATTAGCAAAATGTTGAAGAATAGGGGGGTGCTGGTTTTTGATTTCTGTCTTAAATTGCCTCTGCGCAAACCACACTCTCTTACCTTGGCATGCTTGACAATTTCCAGTTCGCCTCCGCCATAGGTCATGCTTAGACGACTCTTGGGACGAGACTTGTTCTTGTCTGGGACGGGGAGAAGCTTGGGAGAACAGGCGCTCATGCGATGGCTCATGTAGTCGTCCTTCTTAGAGGTACCCTTGGCTGCCTTTGTATCCTTTCGGTTAGGCGTAGCAGACACTGAGGGTAGAACCAAAGAGCCAGTCGAGGTGTTGGCTGAGTGGGCAGGGGTGGATTGAGGACGCGCGCTGCCCTGGTAGAGCATATCCTGGAGACCCTTGAGGTCAGCGTTGTAACGGGCGTTCTGTTCCAGAGCGTGCTTGGTCATTTGACTGGGTCCTTCCCACTCGTCAGCAGAGGACTCGACAGATCCACAAGAGGAGGTCTCGCCCAGTGAAGAGGCACTTGAAGCTGTACTCTTGTAGAACAATGGCACAGGAGGTGCCAGCGAAAAGGAGTCAGAGTGTCCTCTTTCTTCACGCGTGGTTTCATCCCATTTGGGGATAGGTCTTCGCATGGGCGTGGAACGAAGCGACGAACTGCGCGATGCGGTCACTATTTCGGCCGAAATCTCTTCGGGGCTGAGATTGGAGTCGGAAAGAAGTACCTCCGATAGCGGACGCATCTCGTTCTGACGCTTCTTGAGCTCGGCCACAGACGATGCCGTCAACGACTTGAAGAACCGACTGGTCTTGGAGTTGGGCTTGGCAGTAACATACGAGTCACCTTGAACCTCATCCTCCTCATCTGGAGACATGACCAAAGCCGAAGGGGAGACAGGACGCTCATCCATCAAGGTCTCGATGTTGTTGCCGGACAACCGTCTATCCCTCGAGGTTCGGGTCGGCTGGGAAAGGGTTGCCTCGCTAGCGGCGTGCTGGAAGTGCTGCTGGACACTGTTGCGTTGACGAGACGACAATGTCGATTGCCTGCTACCGGAGGCGTTCTTTCCAAAGCCAAGGTCTGCAGCTTGAGTGAACTTGCGGGCAAGAGTGCTGAGAGGAGATGAACCATTGTTGGTTAGTCGTGCCTGGGTAGGCGTAGCAGGAACGGGTTTGTGATCGAAGGAAACAGCTGGCAAGGGGGGCTGAGGTTTGTTCAGTTGTTCGATCGAAAGGACAGGTCGCAAAGTCTTCTCAACAGGAGCAGGAGGTGGTGGCGTCGATGAGGCTGAGGGAGGAAGAACGGTGAAGACATTGAAGTCGTCCAGGAGCGCAATCGTCGGCGTTGGAGTCGTAGATGCATTGACTGGGCCAGGGGCCATGAAGATGAACTCCTCGATCATCTCCTGGAGGCTTTCGGCCGAAGCGGATCCCTCAGGCAAGTTCAACACGTTTAAAACACCAGAGGACATCTCATCGGCCGTAGTGCCATCGACAGGCAGCTGTCCAAGCCAGTTGGTAACAGCCTCGGGGCCGGAGGCAAGGCTCAATCGTTGGGCCAGATCCTGTGCCCATCCTTCATGGTCAAGAACATCCTGGGGAATGTCGCAATCTAAGACCGGAGCCTCAGTCACCACAATCGACTCGACGGATCCCTTGGAAGAAGTGCGCCAAAAGACCTTACGGATACCCCTTCCAAAGGCTGCGAGAGAGGAACTTCTGGAAACAGAACCGCCGTAGCCACTATCCTTTCGCTCGACTAGGACAACATCCGACAGCTCCTTGTGATGGGTGGGTGTATCGATCGACAGAATCGGCTCAGAGGAGGAAGGTGGAGGAAGAGGTTCGTTTTCGAGGAACTGAAGCTGGATTTGAGGAGGGTGAGGTCCTAGGACGAACGCAGATGGAGCAGGCTCCTTGGCGGGGCGGGACCGGGGCTGAGTGCAGTTTGGCGAAGCGTCCATGGGTTCTTGAACGTGAGGTGTGAGGTAGATCGATTTTCTGCTGAGTGAGGGATCTCTCGAGATACTAGTCGAAGCTGAAGCCGCGGATGCGGCAGAGGCAGAGATGAAATAGCAGTAACGGATCTGAGGTGGTTGATGGTGTTGTTGTTGTAGTTGCTGGCAGGAAGTGGTCGAAAGGGAGGTAAGGGTCTTTCCCGACGAGGAGGACCTTGGCCGTTGAGTCTGGGCTATGGAAGAAGAGGGGGAGGAGGGAGGGAGAGGAGTTGCAGCAATAGGATGATCGATGGCCACAAGCATAGACCTCTCGGATGGTTTGGTGGGAGGGGGAGGGGTGTAAGAGCAGGTCACGAAGGCGCTCATTTGAATGCGTTCTGGGCTTTGCTAGAGGCTGGAGAGAAGGGCCTGGATGGCAACAGCAGCAGTAGCAACGGTTGAAATAGAAAAGACGCTGTAGTTCAGAGGCAGGGACCGGGATCGGGAATCAGGAACCAGGCACGACGGAGAGCGCGATCAATCAATCAAAGAGAGATGATCAGTAAAATCAAAGATAAGGAGAGAAAAGCAAAAAGGAAGGGTTTTGATTAGCGAAGGAACAGGGAGCCAGGTGGATATACAGTAGAGGGAGAGACAGGGATCCGAGACATCGGGATAACGTGCCTCCCTTTTTCTTCTTTTTTTTTCATTAGGCTACTTATGCAAAGCACAAGAGAGGATATCCCGTTATTGTTTCTCCTCCCTTCTCACTCTCACTTTCTCCCTCTTACTCTTTCTTTCGCGTCTCCTTATGGTCCTTCTGAGCGTCAATAGTTGTCTGCCCAGCAGCCAGGGGAGAACAGCCAGTTGGCAAAAAAGAAAATAAAGGGACACTTTGTTGTTGAGTTGCGATAAAAATGACGAAAGGGGGTCTAATTGACTCTCTTGTTCTCTTTTTTTAAGATGTCGTGCAGATACAGCTGCAACAGCTGTTGGTCGTTGTCAATTGCTTTGTGGATGTCCTGTTGTCGATCAGGCAGGCATGCTTGAGTGAGACGGAATAGGAATAGGGACAAAGTAGGCAGGGGACAAACTCGCAAAAACACACACAAATGAAGATATAAAGTAAATGAGGATCAAAAAGGTCTAGGGAGGGAGAGGGATCCAATTGAACGCCATTTTTTTTCTTTCGACAGGGCTGTCGTGTATAAAAAGAGAGGGTCTGTGTCTTTCTTGTACAAAATGTGTGTGCGGGTAAAGCGTGTGTGCGTGTGGAAGGGCGTAGGGGTTGCTGATGGTAGTAGTCGTAGTTGTGGCAGGCCGGTGGTGAGAGGGAGAGAGGTGAAAGAGACACAAGCGCAGTCGAGTAGCGGGACGCGTTGTTGAGGGGTGGTAAGAGAGAGTAAGAGGGAAAGGGAAATAGGAGGATCAGGGGTAGGAGCTCAAGGTCTTTCTAGGCTGTCCCCGTCGGCAATGAATTGGTTTGATCTCGGTGCAATATGGGCCAGGGTTGAAGCCTGTGTAGTTGTTGCGTTGCATTGTTGTTCTTCTCCTTGTGCGCACTTACCACCAGAAAAAGAAAAACGAAGTGCCTGGACAACGATTGAAAAAAAATACAGTTTTCTTTTCTTTGCTTTCTTTCTTATCTCTGACTATCTGCTTTTGCGGGGAAACATTCGCAACAGGATACAGTTGAGTTAAGAGAAAGGGTGAAGAAAGAAGAAAAATTGAAGGAAAGAGTTGAGGTATGTTGTGAGTAGTGGTGGATGAGAAAGTGAGCAGTATGTTGAGAGTGTGTCGACGTGGTTGGAGTATGAAGTGGCGGTGGTTGATGGAGTGTCGTTGTCGTTGTCGTTGAGAAGGGAGAAGGGAGAAGGGGGAGGAGTAAGTGCAGGTGGAATAGTTGAGTATTAGGTTATTAGTGTTGAATAGTGGAGAGTGGAGAATAAGAAGAGTAGCAGGTTGAGGTCATTAAAGTGAATGAGGATCGAAAGAGAGAAGTTTAATCAGTGATGGGTGGTTGAAATGAAACTATTAATAAAGGAGAGAGAAAGATAAAGGAAATATAATAACAAGGGTAGTAAGATGGAGGACAAACGAGAAGAGAAAAAGAAGAAAAGAAAAGAAAAGAAAAGAAAAGTGAAGAGAAGAGAAGGAAAGGGAGGGATAAAAAGAGAAGAGAGGTGGTCAGGAACAAGATAGAGAAGACAGGAACGAGAGAGGGAGAGAGAGTGAGTGAAAGGGGATAATCGAGCGGGACAAACCAAACACCATAAAAAAAGAAAGATGACGAGCGGAATACCAATGGCGTCCTTCCCTTGTGGTAGTGGGTAATGGGTAGCAGTAGTGGTCAATCGTCTATGCTTGCTATTGTAAAACGAGCAATTGACTTGCGCGACCACGACGCTCGGGAAACATCAACAAACAGATAAAAACAAACACCCTATTCCACTCGTCCCACTTGCCCACCCCCTTCCTATCCCTCAATCTCTTTTCCTCTACTTGTGTCCCAAGCCAACAAACAAAAACAGCAAAGCAGACAAAGAACAGCAAGCCCAACTGGAAAACAAGAAAGAAAAGAAAACTACACGATTCGAGGGCATGGTGCTGTTGCCGTTGTTTTCATTTTTGCAAAATGACACCCTCATTCCCTCTTCTTCCCCACACACATGCATAAACAACAAAAGACAACGATATACCCGAGGAGGATTTCTTTTCAACACTCCAAAAGAAAGCAACTGAATGTGTAAAAATAAACAAAAGGTCTGTTTGCTGTCCGTGAGTCCCATCTGGTTGATATCTTTTTTTCTTGCTGGAATTGAATTCGCCTGCTCCTTTCCCTTCCCCTCCGGTTTGGCTCTCTTCATTTCCCGGACATGGGGAAAGAAAAAGATGGGCAGGCAAGGCCCCGTTCATCAGTCATGAAATTTTTAAGCCGGCCTTGTGGGTCTTTGGGACATATAGTCATCATCATCATCATTATCGTTCAGTAATAATAATAAACGAGGGAGGGTGATTGCTCTCAGCACTCATATTTTTTTTTCCTTTGTTTCTTTTCCTTAGTCTTCCCAGCCGGGTTCTGGATCTCGTGTCAACTCTCACTCACTCACTCACATAACCACCCCCAGCTTTAAAGCAATGGCAAAAGAACGGAGTAAAGGAGAAAAGAATGAGGAGCAAACAACAAGGCATACCCATGTTCGATAGCCACATTATACCCACGCCGAATCAGAGTAACCAACATGGAAGGAGTGGGGTGGGTTTCCAATCAATTTCTATGCGCGCTCTCACACATCTTCTTTTTCGTTTTCTTCCCGCTCAACTACACTTTGTGTCTTTCTTCTCTTTACTGTTATTTTCTTGTGTGTCCCCTATTGTAGTTTTGAATTCTTTCTCTCCGTTTCTACACACGTTGCATCCAGGCCAGTCATAATGATGATAATGGCCTCTTGGGGAAGGATCAAAATGCGGCCACACTAAATGTCAGCGCTGGCAATGACGACAATAATGAAGATAATGATGGGCTGAATATGCCTAAAAATGCGAGTTGGCGTCTTGTGCTCGTTTTTTTTTTTTTTTTTGTGTGAGGGAAGTTTCTCCCTGCCCTCCCCTTCATCCGGGTCAATGTATTGCAGGATAATGTACTTTCTGGACTAAAAAATATCCTCTGGGTTGTTGACAACCCTGTTAGCACCCTCCTTCACTCGTGTTTGCTCTCACTATGCAAGTATGGGCAATTAGCCACTTTTTTATCCTCCTTCCTCGTACGTTTTTGCGCGCTTTGCTCATCATAATCATTGTCACCATCATCATCATCAATCGTCACCTAGCCTCTCGTTTTCTTCTGTGATGAATAGAGTAGAGAATGCTCTCTCGGCTGACAATAATGCATTTGTTTGAATATGTTGGGATAGTCAAAAAGAAAAACGCTCTCTAACATACTTTCTTTCCCGCTAGGCGCTCTCTTTGTTTTCATCTTTTTGCGACGGCGATCGCTGAACAGCATTATCTGCCGGAAGGCAATAGGGGATGAAGGAGTGAGAGTTTTAATGATCAAACTATGAGTCTTTTGTCAAGCACTGCTTTGCTCTTGGCCAAGCAGCCCCTCATGTCATCAGACAGGGAGAGAGACAGAAAGCAATCGCGGACTTTTCACTGCATAACAAAAAATGGTGAGCAAGACAGCTTACCTACTAAAGCAAACACCACCATCAGATATGGCCGCTATGTGTGCGATAGCAAATTCAGGTACGATCAGCGGCGCAGACAACTGATGATGGGAGGAGTGAGACACGACTCGATGCGAGGTGATGCGAACCAGATCAGGATGTCTCTCTCGTGTGTTTTGGATCGGATGCATACATAAGGAGGAGTGTGGCTCGATCATTCCCCTCCATTCGGACTCAATGTTCCTTTATGCTTCCATACATATATCCAACAAAAAAAAAAAACTCTTCTGGGAAAAGAACGAAACGTAAACAAATGACAGAATGTGCAATGCATCACAGGGTATTTGTAATTGTCCGCTTGTTGTTAATGAAAACAGTAGAAAATGAAGAGGCAAATAGGCAAGTACTACCATAGAAAATGTATATGACCACGAAATAACTGAAAATTGTGTTTAGATAAAACCGAGTAGAAGGGGCCGGTAGTTGTTGAGTAACGTTGAGATGTGTTCTTTCTTTGCCCTCCTCCATTCCATCCTCCCTTTTCTCATTCTCTATGGAATGCAAAATTCCAACAGCAAGATCTCATAGTGTCCGTTTGTCCTGGATCTCATCGGCGAACGCGCTTTTTCTTTATGCGTCCGTTTCTGAGATTCATCAGCTCCTAAAACCCCTCTCCCCTACATACTCAAAAGAAACTTTTCCTTGTTGCCCTAGCCAGAGCATTAGAAGATTGAACAAACAATGCAATGCGATAGGTCCGTCCATTCCCCCAACCCGCATTTTTTTCTTTGGATTGACGCTTGTTGTCGCATATATTTTTTTCTCTGCTGAGCTCTCTGTCAATCAGATCACACAAAACAAACAATAAAAAATGGTGCTCATCCCTGCCTCCCCCTCCCTCTCTCTACCCCTCACCACAAATAACTTGTATTTGTTAACTTCACTTTGCTTACCTACTCAATTTCATCTCTCTCTCTCTGTCCACAGAAATTGCCCATCTTCCTTCCTTCTTTCCCGGCAGGCAAAAACAAAGATTGCCTATTATGTGTTTGTTTGTTTTGATTTCCTCGTTTTTGTTTGTTGTGGTGATTTGTTTTTTTTTCAGCGGCTTTGTTCTCAATCGTTTTGGACCTTTGGAACGCAGTGGGTGAGTATAAAACGTACTCTTCCAGTCAGCCAGTTAGTCGTCCGCACACTCACAACCTAGCCCAATATAACATATCTGGATTTCAATTCAGTCGACACACACTCCGTTTTGCCCTTCATCTGCCATGTAATCTTACCCTACTGTCTTCCTTCCCTTTCATTTCTTTGAGAAAGAAACGGCCAACGAAAGGGCTTTTGCACATGTCAAAAATGAACATTAGATTATGCCGAGCCATGCCGCTTATCTTTCTCCGTCTCCGATCAAAACGCTTTTTTTTGGGTCATCGTTCCTGGGAACTTTGCAACCAACCTCCTCTCCCCGCGCGCCCTTTCATTCCTCCTTGCTCTCCCCTCTTCTCTCATCATGCCGGAGATAAGATTATGTTCTCCAGCCGAATGTGTGCACCGCGTTATCATTGATGACCCATGTCAGATCCAATCTGAACTCAACCTCCCCCCCCCACTATCTTCTCTCTCGCTCTCTCTGCCTCTCTTCCTTTCTCCTGTTGATCCACTCATTGCACTCATCCATCGCCGATGGACGTGCAAGAACGTTCTCTTATCTCTTTCCGTTTTTCTGATCAGAAAAAAGAAGGTTGTTCTCACAGAACCACCCAACCAACACCAACACCAACAACGTCTAAGACACAAGAACTCCTCGGAGAAAGAGTTGCTTTTCTCATCCCTGTTTGTTCTTGTACGACCATGAACAAAAAAAACAAAAAATAAGAAGCAAACAGAGAGAGCAATGCGATTCATGTCCAGAACAACCTTTGCTCGCTCCTTTCTGTGCCTGTCCAGGCCTTTGGTCAGATCCAAATCAAGACACCATATACAACGTAAAACAACATGCTTGCACGCACGCACAAGCATAAAATCATAAAATCTGCAAAAACATCAACACAAACAAATAAACAAACACCAGCTTTGAGATGCAGATGAAAGCAAAAGGGCGAATGGGCAGGATTTGCTGATTGATGGGAGGCAAAGGAGGGGGGGGTTCTTATTGTCGTTTTTTTTAGTGCCTTATCCATTACTCAATCTCAACCCTCCTCGCTCCCCTATACATGCACTCACACAATCACATTCACACCGCCACTCTTTAGGCTTGGATCTCTTTCATTTACGTAAACAGCATCGGTCACTTTTCAAGGGCAGTTTTTTTGTTGTTTGTTTGCTTTCGAACATTTTATGAAAATGGATGCGAGGGATAAAATTACAAAAGGAGGGTTAGGATGCGCTATCTATTTACAAACGCGTAGAAAAACAAAAAAAATAAAAAAATGACAAGAGTGCGACAAAAACAAAGGGGGATTTAGATAATGTGGTCGAGGTGGGCGAACTTCCAGGCAAAGAGGATGGTCATGACGAACATGGCAGCGGCCTGGGCGGCATAGACGTAGACAAAGTTGGGGTCGTTGGACCAGATGGCCAAGATCATTCCGATCAAGGAACCAAAAGCGTTGGTGGCCAAGAAGAGCGACATGACGACGGACTTGAGCTCGGGGGCAGCAGAGCGGAAGGCAAACTCGAGACCGGTGGCGGACGCGAAGATCTCAGAGATACCGATCAAAATGTAGGCAGGCAACTGGGTCCAGATGGTGATGTCGTTGATGACATCGGAGATGTCAGTGGGGATGGAGACGGCGTTGCCCTGGGGGTCAAAGCCGGAGAAGTTGTAGTAAGGGCCGGACTTGTAGAGGAAGTGCTGCAAGACGGTGACGTAGACGAAGCAGAAGGTGACAATGCTGAATCCAATGATAATACGGTTGATGGGTCCCAACTTGAAGCCGGCCTTGCGGAGGATAGGGAAGATGATGATGTCGAGGATGGGGATGAAGATGACAATGACGGCAGAGTTGACAAAGGACAGCTGCTCGGGTTTCAACCAGCTGGGGCGAGTCATGTTGATGGCCATGTTGACAAAGTTGTCGTTCATGTTGTTGTACAGAGCCCAGTAGACGGGGTAGACCAAGAAGACCTTGCAGGCGTGGAAGGTCTTCTCCAGATCGGTGACGAACTTGTTGTCCCACTCGAGCGATCCATCGTTGGGAGAGATGGCTCCCTGAATCCAGTGAGTGCCAGGGACACGGTTCTTGCGGTTCTTGAAGGCATAGATGAGGCAACGGGAGGTCTGGCCGAGAATGTTACCCTTGGGAGGGCGATCGTAGTACTTTGAGCGACCGAGGGCAAAGATGATGATACCGACAACGAACACAATGGCAGGGATCATGAAGGCGAGGTCCCAGGCCTTCTCGGAGACGGCGGGAGTGATGGCCTGACCCAACATACCACCAATGTTGATGGCCATGTAGAAGTAACGGAAGACACGCTCGACAGTGATGGCATGGTTGATGGTGACACCGGGCTTGGTGGGGTGAGGGTAATCCTCGGAGGGGATCTGCTCGGCAGCGAAGGTAGATACGTTGGACTTGATACCACCGGTACCCCAAGAGATCATGCAGTAGAGGGAAACGAGGAAACCGGGGAGGCCGAGGGTGTCCTTGAGTGAGTCGATGGAGGAGACGGTCAAGAGGACGAGACCGGCAGTGTAGAGGATGGCAAAGATCAAGATGGTCTTGTACTTTCCGAGCCACTTGTCGGCGACGATGGCACCAAAGATGGTGGTGATGTAAGAGAAGAAAGAGAATCCACGGGAGATGGCAGTGGCGTTACCCTTGGTCTGGAGGAGATGGGTCAACATGTAACGTTGGAACAACATGGACGCACCATAGAACGAGAAACGCTCGCACAACTCGGCTATGAAGTTTTTCGAGGTTGAATGAGAGAGCTATGGTTAGAGGGTGAAAAAAAATGTTTGTGCTCTCACTAACATGAACACAGCAGAAAAAAGGTTTGGACTTGAACGGGATGCTCCATGCGCTCGTGCAACCAAGCCAAACCCTCAGTTGGTAAAAAAAAGCTCCACCATAAAATTGCGATGCATACAGTTCGAATGCGATCTGATGATAAAAGGAGAGATAACTTACTGACGATAATAAGCCAGGCGGCAAAGGGGATGGGTCCGGGAACCTGCAAATTGGTGTCGACGACGTTGTCCTCGGTAACCTCCTTCATGGGCTGAAGTTCCAGTCCGTTGTCTTCATAAAAGACCTTCTGGTCGCTTTTTTCGAGTTGAGACATTGTTGATGAGTATTTGAGGGATATATGTGTTTGTTGTTGATGTGGAATGAGTGTGTGAGTGTTGAGGGAAGAGAGTAGGATGGGAGAGGTGTGAGAGAAAGATATTAGGGAGGGAGGAAAAATTGAAGAAAAGTGAATTACTCCAACAGGGTACGAAATAAAAGTGGTATGGGGGCGGGGTGTATGGTGGTGTTATGAACAAAGAACAAGAAAGAAGGGAAAAAAAAAAAAAAAGGTGGAGAGACAAGAGTATTTAAATGTTTATGCTGGAGACCCGGCTCTCCAGGTGCCAACCAGGACGAACAGGAATAATACATAATACAATAGGGTCATGGCTTACAACTCAATTGAATTGATTGCCAACACAACCAATACATTGAGTAGCAGCTCAATAATGTAATGAGTATCAGCTGGGTAACGATCCGATTGATTTGTCTCTGCCTGGGTAAGTCAGAATAAGAGAAGGTTGCCCTTGTTTCTCCTTCAACCACCTGCCTTACTTACCCCACCCCACTCCACTCGACAACTCCAGACCCTTCCTCGACTTCTTTCTCCCCTTCAATCAGGTCATCATCATCTTCCTACATCATCGTCTGATCCTAGTTCGATCAAGTTCTCCTCTACAATTCCCTCCCTGATCGAAGTGAACAGCGGTTCATCCTATTTAGGGCTATTTGTCTTGCAAAACAATTTTTTTTACTTTTCGCCGATTTCCCTTGGGTTCGATCCAGATGTCCCAATAAAAAAGTAAGAAAGCCGCGACAGAACGAGAAAAAAAAAAGGAGGGCGGGAGTTGGAGGAGTAGGAGAGGAGACGAACAGGCAGACGGGCGAATTGGTCGGCTGTCATCCCGAAAGGAAGACTTCATGACATGCACAAAAATCATTGGCTCTTTTCTCTTAGCCCCCACTGTCAACTGCCACCATTGTCCTTTCCGTCTTTCCAAAAGTCCTCAATCATTCAGGGCTGCATGCATTTGCTCTCTTTATTTTTTACCCCTTTAGCCCTACTCTCGGTCTCCATGGGAAAATGAGGGCTTTTAGGTCTTTTCTACATCGATCAAGGTACTGGTACAAGTGTGTCCCTCCCTCGTTATTTATTTCTGATCTAAACTGGTCATTGAAACTGCCCAAAGGAGACTGAGGTTCCTTCGAAGGTTCTTGTACTAGAGACACCTCTGACGTACTCCACTCGTTACAAACAAAAAATTCAATTTTTATCAACCGTGTATTGTTGTGTGTTTGTAGTGGGTTAACGTTCGTTTAGCCGCGAGAATAGGAGTGAGTGTTTTTGCGTTTGTTTGTACTTATGCCGTTGTAAACCATCCATCCACGCATTCATTGCTTAATCCGGCCATTCTAAACGCCATTTTGAGCCAAGGTGTTCCAGGGACTTTGTGCTCGATCGCAAACTTTGGGATGAAGAAAATATGACCAAAACATAAGGCCATAACTGTCTGAAAAGGTGGCATTCTCTCACGATCCGATTGCATGCTAAAAGAAGCAAGCATAATTCTCTCTTCTCAACAAGCACTTTTGTGTCCTGGCTATTAGAGTCTTTTGCCGTTCCTCCACACGTTTTATTACATCCCACTTTTCTCATTTTCGAATTTTAGTCAAATAATATCCCCGGGTTGTCATCCGAGTCGAGCTTTTCTATGATGCAAAAAAACCTAATGAAAGGAGTTAAGGAGTTACCCACTCATTTCTCTTTGCCTCGCTTTGTTTGCTCAAGGGCGTCAAACGGCGGACTAGCCATGAAAAGAGTTGAAGACCCTCAAATGCAAACCATCTTTTTTTCCCTCGGTTGCCCATGTAAACCTTGCCTGATCTCTTTTTCTCACCGAGGAGAGGGTCTATACGAGAAGAGAGAAAAGACTGGGAGGGGACAATACGAATTGGTTAAAAAACCTCCGAATTAAAGTTTTCGCACGCTTGTTTCCATTTCTCCTTTTGGCGTTCGTTTAGGTTCGATTCGCCCAACGTTTTTTTTTTTCACATCGAAATGAGGTACTTGCCCACGACGCAAAACGCAATCTAACAAATAAACAAACGCTCTCTTTGTTTACCGATGACGATCCTGGTATCGTTGTTTATGTTTTGAGTGCTACACTCACGCCTGCACACCCACACCATCAAGCCTATTTGACTACCACTATACTCGTAGGGCAGATATTATAACTTTGGAACCTACAGCAGGGGCCAAGCACATATGGTATGGCTGTATCGATCAATTTATTTTTCGCCCAGTCTACAACCTTGACCGCAAATGGTTCGGGGGGACCGATCTATTCCCTACTGTCGCCAAAAGGGCGAAAGAACATGGGAGAAAAAAAAAAAAAGAAGCCCCGCTCCAGGAAAAGAAATCCACGCTTCCATCCATTTGACTTGTTAACTGACTCCGGTCGCACTTGGCATGGTCCTCTCGGAACAAGACCCGTCCAACGCTACTTTACATCCACTTTGTTCCTGCCCCTATCATTTTATTTTTACGTTCCTCTGACAAACCAAATGGTAAAGGAAAAGTCTAGACTGAAAAGCAAGAGAGCCAGCCATCCCTTCAACTCCAGCCAACCAGGACGTTCATAAAATCCACATTGTATTTTCCAGATCCCGCCCGCTTGCAAACCTGCAAGGAGGAAGTGGGAGTTGTATTCCATGTGGGTTTGTATGGGAAAAGGAGATGTGCCCAGGAATCACGCAGCCAGGACCTGATTGAACAAACCAGAAATGAAATCGGTGGTGTGGTGTCTCCTTTTTCAAACGGAGAATGGATTCTTAGTCTCCCTCTCGCTCACTCACTCCCCGTTGCCCAGAAACAACAACTTGTATGAGTCTGATAGCGATAGCCTCACTTGAACGAAATGAACAAATAATGATTGGTAACCTTTGAAAGTAGCTACAGAATCCAGGAAAAAACGTGAGTCAGGAACAATGATAGGAGGAAGCAAAAGGTCGGCACCTCAAAAAAAGTGAACAGCCAAGAGGGTTCTTTCCTCACCAATCCAACCATCACCTGCTGTTTAGAACAGAGCAGCCCCCTCTTCCGCTCCTCGTTGTACCTGGCTGCTTGGCTTCCGTTTTACAAACTCCTATCTTCAATACCCCTCCTCGCAATTGCCAGTGCAGCAAGTTACGTTGTCGAAAACCGGGTTATGGGGAAGGGGAGAGTGTGGAGGAGAGAGAGCCAATACGAGTTGATGTTCTTCCCGCCCTAATTGTAGGCCCATTCACTCTGTAAGATAGAAGAGAGGGCTGAGAGATAGGCAGACAGTGTGCGTACATGAGAGAGTGAGAGCGCGAGTAAGAATGTACTGTAAAGAGTTTGACGAAAGTACGGACGAAGCTGTCCTTTTTAAGCGAGGATCAGTCATGATATTATTATACATGTCATGGCATCATTCTTCGTTATCATTTTAATCAGTTCCATCAGTGGCGAAGGCAACAGGAATAATGAATCCATCTAGGAACAATGACCTCCCTAATCTAGGTACCAGATCTTCCTTTGAGAATAAAAAGACACATAACGTACAATGGGACCTTGTTTTTTTTTGTTGAGTCTGTTTCCACTGACAAAGTCTGTAGAAAGGACAGGATAGCCTTGTAGATCATAGAAGGTAGTTGAAGGAGAAAAGGGAGCAGCTTTCTTCCTATTTTTCGCAACAAACAAACGTTACGACACAAAGGAAGTGATATGGTTTGGCAACGATAGAAAAACAATAAACAAGTTAACGTTCTGTCGGCCGATCCCTGTGCACATTCCTTTCTGTTAACAAACACTCCATAGCGTCGTCCACATCTTCACTCCTTCTATCTACTATCTCTCGCCGTTCATCGTTTCTCTCTTGATCCCGATCTGTTATCGTTCTGTCCACCAAACTCTTTTCTTTATAAGAGAAGTTGCAAAAAAAAAAGTGGAAAGGCGAGAGAGAAAAGAAGGATGGATCTTTACACGTGTTTGGTCAGATTGTACAATACATACCCTGCCTCAAGTAAGAGATTGTACTCTACCTCTTGTAGCCTCATTTCTTTCATATTGATATGGTATCTTAGTATCTATTTTTTTTTCCACTTTCCCTCACAGGAAGGAAAGAAGAGAACGATGGTAAAGTAGTACGTACACTTGGTTTATTATCGCCACTAATTGGTTCTATTCCCAGGACCATCGATCACTGGTTCGCTTCATAGCCTGTGAAAGTATACCGATTTCCGATGGACGAAGGAAAGACCGGATACTCTTTCTTGGATATCCATTCCCAATCGCCTCATCCGTCGGATGCGATCAGGTAGTTCTTCCTTGTTCATAAGCAAAAGATAGTATCTGAAAGTCTCGATTTCCTTTCATTTCCATGCTGCGGAATCGGTGAACCAGTGCTATCGTGCCCCTTCTCCCCCTTTCTCTCCTTCCCCATCCCAACGGTTGGGGGTTTCACTTCTATCTTTTGTGCTCATGACGACTGTTGTTTGGTTGAGTTGGTTCTATTCTTTTTTCAAGGATTTATACTTTCCCAAAAAAATCTCCGCCTGTTTTTTATTAAATTTTGATTCACAGAAACTGGGAATTTTCCTGGGTCGTCAAACCAAACGCCAGCAAAAAGGGCTAGTTCTCAGGTTTTTTTTAGGAATCTTTTCTTTGGCTATTTTTCTCGTCTTTCCATTGAAGAGGATTTTCAATAAGCTCCATCATTCGTCGACATCTCGTCCCTCTTTCCCCTTGGTTTTTTTTATCCGCGTATTCCATTACTTTAATATATGCGGATCTACGTAACTCGGATGTTGTTCGCTTTGCAACCATGATGCGGCTTATAAGAAGATAGCTGAGCTCTGGCCTGTCATGAACTCATCCACTTGTGCATGGCCTTTGTCCTGGGTGGTCGAGTATTGGTGATGAGTACTATCTGAGTGCCGATTACGTATCGCCCGATGTCGTTGGTTGGATTCTTCCTGCTCTCCCTGTTGGTCCTCCTGATGATGGTGTAGGTGAGGTTGCTGTTGCTGTTGCTGCTGCTTCATCTGCTGTACCTGCTGCAACTGCAGGAGCTGCATATCCAGTCTCCTCCGACCCTCAGGCGAATCCATATCCTGATACCTATCCTCCTCCTCCTCCTCAATCCCTCCACCTCCACCATCACCCTTTTTCAAAGCCACAACAATCTTACTCTGACTCGGCGGTACGGACCCACGGTCGGGCGCCAATTTCAGGAATGTGGCTTGGATCCGATGAGCATAGGCCCGATCGACAAACGACCGACCCATCCACGAGTCCTGGATCGTAAACACCAACTTCCGTTTCACCTCGGCCAGCCATCCGTCCTTGACCAACAGAGCTCCGAGTGTACTTGAACTGTCGACGACTTCTCGAACGACGGGGAGTCTTGCTTGATAGTAGGGTTTGAAGACTTTTCGGTGTAGATCTTCAACTGTCCATGTGATGGCGGTGCTCGAGAGTGATGATGTATGGACAGAGTCTGTTCGATGTCGGTTACTGGAGGGTATATAGGGTGTTGCGGGTGCTGCTGGCGATGATTTTCCTGTTGTTATTGAATGTGCTATTGAGTTGACGATGGTCGATTGGGGCATGTTGTCGTGGAGTAGAGATGCTAGAGCCACTGCATCTAGCATTGATTCGCTTGCGCCTTTGCCCGTGAACGGTACACTCTAATGGCAGACCACAAGATCATGCGGTTAGTTCAGAAACTCACTGCAAAAGACGGTTCACCTTTCACGCACGATGAGAACTTGTTGTGTTACCTTGTGGCATGCTATGAGTAGATCAGAATGAACAAGGTGAAAGAAGAAAACGTGAGTGTTTTTGAGCAACATACTACAGTGTCCCTGCCTTCAACCAACACAGTTGTAATTGCACCGGAGACCAACGCACCATCGCCAAGAAGGACAGTTCGTCCTCCATACCAAGTCTTGAAGATACGTTCCTCTAACATGACCTTCGAGATCAACTGTCGATCTGTTGCATCGATCAGGTCTCCAACTGTGCCCTGACCACCTTCATCCGGCCCCTTCAAGTGTCGTACTGCTTTACTCATTTCGTCTGTCGCATCTGGACCCCATTCAGACTCCTTCGAGTTGTCGCTATGAATGAAGGTTGGCTTCTCTAGCGTTCTTGTCACAAGCCAGCAGTACCTGTTCCCGACGACCGGCATGAACCAGCTCTATGTAGCATAGCAAATGATGCAACAAAGAAATGATGTCAGTCTTTGGTGGCAACGAAAAATAACGTTGATCAGTTATTTATTCTACACAAGCGTCTTTCGGGACAGGGAAGTTCACATTTTACCATGTAAGGCGAGTGCCGGTTGAGGATGACCTTGAACTGCGAAAACGCCTCCCCCAGATCCGGGTACCGCTTCAAGTTCAGAGGGCTGGTCACCCCCACGAGAGCAACCTGTTTGTACCGTTGTTCTTCTTGATCCTGCTTCGGCAACGGTTTCTGACCGTGACCATGACTACCGATTCCGCTTCCATGTTCTTCCTTGACCTGCCGGAAGAGACTCTGCCGGACTGCACTCGATGCTCCATCAGCTCCTACCAACACATCCGCCAAATAGAGGCTCCCGTCAGAACAACGGACCTGTACTTGGTGGCAAATTCTTGTAGCTGGATCGATGATGTTTTGGGAGTTGACGAATCGTTTGCCGAGGTGGATGCGCTCCTTGGGGATCTTTGAGAGAAGGATGTTGTACAAGTCCGGTCGTGTTATGCATTGTCCATAGTGTCCATATCTAATTTGACGTGCATTGCATGAGAGAACAAAATGAAATATAAATAAACGATCCCTAGTACCATTATATCACATGAAAAACTGCAGTGAAAGCAAAAAAAAGTCAAGCGCACCGCTGTTGATGGTCCATGTGTTTGCTATTCGCAACAATATTCCCCACCACCGACAAATCGTCCCTCAGAATCGTGATTTTGCCAAGCGGTTTCGAAAGCAGCTTGATCTCATCAAGAAGTCCCAATTGCTCCAAGAGTGGGAGGACCAGCGGGCTAAGGGCGATGACGCTGCCAATGGGTCGGATCAGGACACTCTGTTCGAGAACTAAATAGTCGATTCCGGCTCTTTGCAAGAGGATTGCGAGGACAAGCCCTCCTAGTCCCCCGCCGACTACTAGAACCCGAGTTTTCGGTGATGTTGGCATTTTCATGGGTTGAGAACAGAATGGGGAGGAATAATGATGGTTCCTGAGCAGCACGTGGCGTTTGTGTCCACTGAAAAATGTGTGAGTAGGCAGTCCGAGATGCAATGAAACTGGAGGAAGTGCGGTCGTTGCAAATGAATGCCGAATGAATGTGTGAATATGTGAATGAGCGTGGCGAAGAAGAGTACGCAGGAGAAGAAGAAATGAAGTGGGGAGCGGCGGAAAGAAAAACCATAGCGCCGGACGGACGCTCAACAGACTCACCCGTCACTTTTTCCTCTCTTTCTCCCTCGCCTCTTGTCTTCATGGATGCATCATTACTGAGGGCATGCCTGTAGTGAGCCTTGAGGAGAGGCTGTCGACTGGTTGACAGCCTACATCTCTTGAGAGCATTCCTCCAATGGAAAAAGTTCCCCTTAAAGAAAATAGACAAAGATCCACTGTGAATTGAAAGCGAACACACACACTTTGACTCTGACCCGAAAATTAGCGATTGTAGATATAGACGTTTTATTTTGCGTTCGCTGTTTTCTCAAGCCTGCTCACAGGTGTCTCCAGGCGTCGACGCCAAGGAGTTGTCGTAAGAGTGGTGATGAAAGATAGAGAGAGAGTCATCTTGAGACGATGATGATTGTCATGTTCCGCCCTTACTGCTGAGAGTTGGAAGACTTGCTCTTCTCCTTCTCCTTCTCGTTCTCTGCCTCAATCTCTGCTACAACAGCCTCAATCTCAGCCAACTCCAAGCGCTATTAACATACAATTGATAATGGCACAAGCGAGTTAGTAACGTCCTTGTTACGCTTCACTGAACATCATATCTCAGCACCGTCTTCGTTATCATATCCAGTATCTCCTCGTGCGTAATAAAGTCTTACCTGGATGACGCTGTCGGACCCCATGATGGCAATCTCAATGTTCTTGGCACCGGTTTGAACAACCTAGATATAGCAAATCGAAAGGTGTAAATAATTAGTATACGAATTCCACATGACCACTGCATTCAATAACCCATTCATACTGAGTGTAGAGTCGATGTAAAATCCATACCTCGAGCAAAGATCTGATGGCAAGCTTGATACTTTCAGCCTTGTCCATATCCTCCTTGTAGTTCTTCTCCAAAAACTCACGAACGGTTTTTGAGGAGCGACCGATCGAGTTGGCCTTCCATGCAGAGTAAACGCCGGAGGGGTCGGTCTGGTATAACTTGGGGACCTTGTCCGAATCAAATCCCATGATCAATGTCGAGATTCCAAAGGGACGAACTCCTCCACTCTGAGTGTATTTCTGTAGGGGTATATGACAGGGGTGGTCAAAGAAGGATGGTCAGCACAGTTGGACAGCTCGGTTCGTGTAATTTGCGCGAGTCAGCGAAAGAGCGCCGCGTTACCTGCTGTACTCCTGCAATGTAGCGCGTAATGTATTCAATCGAGACGGAGTCCTCCACTGTGAGTCTGTGACTCTGGCATTCTATCCTTGCTTTGTTGATCAACACACGCGCGTCGGCAGACAGACCTAAAGAGCGATGAATCACAGCAAAAGACGATTGTAAGCGTTAGCCAAAATTACTTCTAACGGGCTAATAAAACAACGCAACAACGCCAGTTGACATTTGTTCCTGCAGCAGAACTTCAACACTGTGTTAAGATTGTCGCCTTTTTTCCCGTACCAGCGAACGCCAAGCAGACGTGCTCGTCCAACATGCAAATCTTCTTGACTGTGCGCTCATCCTGGAGCTTCAAGACAGACTTTTTCTCAACTCCCAGAACAACAACGTCAGCGCCACGAACACCGACCTATATGGAGAAGGACACCATGATAATCGCGATTAGTTTCAGGGTAGAGTAAGAGAAAGTTGTCGCAAGACGATAAAATGGAGACGTGTCGAGGTGACTGAGTGAGCGAGAGAGAGTGTGTGTATGAAAGAGAGAGAGAGACGCGTTCCTGGTCAGGAAAAGAAGACTTACGGCACAGCTTCCCTTGCGGACAGCCTCGAGAGCGTAATCGACCTGGAAGAGGTGACCGTCGGGCGAGAAGACGGTCAATGCGCGATCGTAAGAGCCGGCCATGGTAGAAACAATAAGTAGAGTTAAAAGTGGTGTGTGAAGAGAAAAGTAAAAAGAAGGGAAGTAGGCGTTGAGTTGATGGATGGGTTTCGTGGTTGAATGAAAAAAAAGGCAGCGAAAGAAGACAAAGGGACAGAGGGACAGAGACCGAGGGCAGCTTTGAGTGCGTCTCCTTCCACGCACACCTTACGGTGACGCGTTCACAAAATAGTCACGGTCACGTGCAAACTCAAGGCAAGCTCGGGCTTTCAAAAAACAAAAAAAACGCATCAGTGTGCAGGATCAGTTTCTATTCTTTCATCCCTCACCAACACTCACACATCACCATGTCTCTTCCTTCCGCAGACGAACTCGAGCAGCTTCAGGAAATTGGTATGCATCTACCTCTGTTTTTTTGTAGACGGTCATTCAGCAGAAATACAGCAAAGAACCAACAACCAACGATCAGGACGCTGGGCGAAGACACCTGGGACTGGGACAGGGTGGCTCAGAGTGACCTACAGCGTGAAAAGCTGCTTGAAGAATCAGTGATAACTCAACCTATGATAAATGCGAGTCGTTGGTCGCTCGAGATCAGTGGGGCGGGATCAATTGGTATACAGATCCAGCGTTCACACAGGAAATCACAAGAAAGCTTTAGGAAACCAACAGCACCCCACAGCACACTTATCACTGAAGTCATGAATGCCAATTGACCGTTTACTTCAGAGCAATGGAGGCTGACATCGCGATCACTTGAACGCTTGGTTTCTATCTTATAGAGAAGCAGTGGGCTGTCAAGGCTATGCACCACGCTGAGACCTACTTCTCGCTCCTTCAGGCCATTGATGGATCGAAGCTCAAGTTGACCAAGTAAGGTCATTAATGGATACGGTTATACAGCTCAGGAAAAAAAATCTGGAGCCACAGCAGTGTAGTTTGGCGACAGAGCGGACAGACACTAATACCCACACCCGCCATTTTCTTCTTATTCTATTCACCTACTTCTCGCTCGCAGCATTGATGATGAGATCTACGTCGACTTCATGTCGACCTTCGCCCCCAACGTCCCCAGGGTTGATATCTTGGACGAGGACAAGGACTTCAAGTCCCCCGAGATGAAGGAGAAGTGGCGCAACTTCATCAGCCGCTACGATGGCGGCAAGGTCACCGACTACAACTTTGGATCCTTGTTGAGACTCGATGCCAGCAAGGATTACTCTGAGGATAACACCATCTTTGGTAAGTTTTTCGCCCGGGAGGGCAAACAAGCGCACAAGGGAGGAGGACGGATAGAAGTAGAAACGATGGATAGGGATAGTCAAGGACCAAGCAAGAGCGTGTTTTTTGTGTCCAGAGAGATATGCGCATAGATCAATTGTGGGAAAGAACACCGGTTTTCCTGGAGAAAAATCGGCTGCTCACTAACCTCCCTCCCTCTCCCACTGCCTCCCCCTTGCACCAACTTCCTTGTCCTTTCGTCGAATAGTGACCCGCATGCAGTTCTTGACCATCGAGATTGCTCGTAACAAGGCTGGACTCAACTCTGTCCACTGCAAAAGAAAGTAAAGGGTGGTAGTAAGCATAGTTGGAAAAGAAGAAAAATCGCATGAAACACGAAGAAAATCTTGCATTAATATCAATTAAGTGTTAACAAATGTTACGAGGCACGAACAAGCTGTTGTAGCTTGTTGAAGGGCAGATGAGAAAAAGGGTTGAAGTTAAGGGAGAAGGAAGGAGCAAAAGAGTCACAGAAGGAGAGGGAAGAGGGGCGGGAAAGAACCAGGGAGAGTCAAACTGAGAAAAAGAGATGTTAGCATCCAGAGCAAAGGGCAGCTAAAGAGGGAGGAGGGAAGTAGGAGGAGGGAGTAAAGAGGAACGAGAGAGAAAGGAGAGAAGACAGGGGACATCAACAAGCTTAAGGGAACACCAAGACGCGTTTCCCCGCTACTGCTCTTGCTTTACTGTCTCACTCTCACTCTGTGTGTGGCGGAATGGTAGATGGGGAGATTGTGCTATGAATTCTTCGGTGCTTGCTTACCAACACTTCTGCCCATTCCATCTATCTATTTTTTCTTTCTTGCATGCAGTTGGTCTTTTGGGATAACTCTGTTGTACTCCAAAAGACAAGCTTGTCGAGCTTTAGACCAGTCATCATTGAACAGCCACACCCTCCATTGCTTTCAGACAAAATGATCGGGGGAGGATGACGATGAAGGTGAAAATTTTCTTGTGCAACCTTGTTGTTGATAGGGTTGTGCCCAAAAGGGTGATAATGACATCAGTGTTAAGTCATGGTAGATGGGGTGGCACACACACGCTGCATGAAAATAGACAGACAAATGGAGAAAGGCCCGTTCCTGAAGACGATGCGGCCAGGCGAATCAGGTCCCATTGCACCACCTATTTTGTTTGAACTCGAATGAACATGGGCTTTAAGTCTAAGGTGGATCATGCTGTCGATACAGCAGCGATGACCAAGAGTACTTCAAGCGTGAAGGGTGCAAACAGCAAAACTGCATACCAAAAAAACAAGCACGAATAGGAAGGGCCAACCAACACACAAACACGGATTACAAACGAGGGTACCCTTGAATTAATCCATCTGGACCGAGAGCATAACAACAACAACCTCCTGCTCCTTAGTAGCATTTGCTTGTCCGACCAATGGGTTGACATCATTCCAAGGCCCCCTGGCTGCTCTCTCCTCTAGTACAAACAAACAAACGTCCTCAACTCCCTTTCTTGCAAACCCTTTCATCATCCCACTTTATCCCACTTTGACCTTAATCCATTTTTGCTCATTGACTTTACAGGAAATATAAAGAGGCCCTCCTCCACTTTTTTCTTTTCTTCTTCACTTCTCTTTTCATCCCCTCTTTCCAACAACACACAAAACCTACACACAAATAAAAAGAAAATGTCGACAGCCATATCCACAAGAGTGCGCTCCACCCTTCGGTGCGCACCCCTCTACCTCGTCCTCATCCTCTCAACCTTCCTCAACTTCATGGCCCAAGCAGCTCCCATCAAGGAGGACGCCGAAGACACTCTGAGCTCTGCCAGCGATGGACCCTACAACCTCTCCGTACAGGCCGGTATTGCCGGCGCTATTCTCATCGTCTTGGGTCTGATCCTCTGCTTCTTCGGTGTCCGTTTCTTCCGCGTCTGCATGTTCCTCATCGGCTTTTACTTTTTCGGAAACATCTCCTACATCGGCATGGTCAACGGCGGCGTCACCTCTCAAACCCTCTTGCTCGTCATCTCCATCGTCGTCGGTATCTTGGGAGGCCTTCTCCTCGTCTGCTGCTCGCGTCTTGGTGTCGCCATCCTGGGCGCCATGGCTCTTTACTCGCTGGGTCTCTGGATCTTGGGCTGGCAGGCGGGCGGTCTCATCCACTCGTCGACCGGTCGTGCCATCTTGCTGGGGGTCCTTGCAGTCGTCGGATTCATCGTTGGCTTCATCCGTGAGAAGGAAACCGTCATTATCGGCTCGGCCATCTTGGGCGCCTACTCGTTCATTGCCGGTGTCGATTTCTTTGCGAAAACCGGTTTCATCTCCGAGGCCGACTCCTTCTTCAACTCCAAGAACAACGTTCAGAATCGTGTCGGCAATCTTTCGGGAGCAGAGTACGCCCTCTTGGCGACCTTTATCGTCTTGGCGATCCTTGGTATGATTGTCCAGTTCCGCTGGTTCGGTCGCCGCAACTTCCGACCCGCCTCAGGTGCCCCACCTCCTCACGGCGAAGTTGTTTACACCGAGAAGCCTTCTCGCTTCGGCATGTTCCGTCGTCGCCATTAAGCTGAACCCGGTGGACGCTTTGTACATCTCTTCATATTTCCTTGGATCTACTTTGCACCTCTTGCATATTTTACTTGTATATCAATCTTTTCTTCATACCTTTCTAATATAATAAACTGCTCAAGTTACAAAGAAAAAAATATTGAGGAAGGAGGGTATATGATTGGCTTCATTTGGAGGTTCAACGGGAGAACAGGTGCTGGTCTTCATACCCCAGCAGAGAAGGCTTCGACACAAGCTTGGCCGACTCCAAATGCGCCAAAGTAATCTACACAAAAAAAAAAGAAAAATCAACATGGTCCAAAGAGTAGAGTAGTAACGATTAGGTCAGCACAATAGATCACTACAAGAAAAACATGCAGGGCATGAGCTTGCGTGGGCTTAAGTTTGCATGGGCTTGAGCTTGCATAGGCATGAAAAAAAATAGACATGGCCTTCAATACTATTTTTTTTATAGGCAACATGAGCTCGTTACCTCGGTGTTTGTGATATCCTGCCGAAGACAAATCAATGCAGCTTCGCGGCAAAGATTCTCCAAGTCCGCTCCAGAGTATCCCTCTGTTGCCCGGGTAAGAGTTTGGATCTCGTTAGGCGTGATTCGTATTGGCATCTTGTTCATGTAACCCTCCAGGATTGCTTGTCGTGACTAAAGTATCAAAAAATATTTGATGCCCTTGTTAAATTTTTTTTCTTTACCGCACGGGACAACAATTTGGAAAAAGTTTGCTTGGACATAAACAACTCGTGTTGGTCGTCTACCTTTTCATCGGGTACTGGAATATGGACGATTTGGTCGAGACGTCCAGGACGAAGGATGGCTGAATCGATCACTTCAGGGCGGTTGGTGGCTATTGTTGCACAGGTACCAAGTGGTAAGTACGGGCACTCAAACAAAGAGAGACAGAGCGGCGAATGAGGGCGCGAAACGTACCTGCCAAAACCAAGACATCCACCTGAGCAGACTTTCCAGCGCTACCAGTGAAGAAGCCATCCATTTCTAAGATACGTGGTATTAGGGTGTACTTGGTTAAGATATGAATGAAAGTGGAAACAAACGCTTGACACATTGCTGTTAAAGAAGAGGCTCCAAACAACATACCTGTAAGCAATCCAGTCACGATGCGATCACCACTGTTCTCTGACGTGTTGGTCGACCCTCTTGAAGGTGCCAGGACATCAATCTAATGATGAAGAGGTGAGTGGGTTTAGTAAGAATCACGCATCATCGTATCGCCCTTTGACCAGGCCTCACTGATGCAATAAAAATGTACCTGATCAATAAAAAGGATGCAGGGAGCGTTTGCCTTGGCTTGCGCAAACATCCTTGCAATGTTCTTTTCCGATTCTCCCACGATCTTGGATCGGATTTGGGAACTCTAGGTATCAGAATATAAGGTCTTGTAAGTTGCATGCTTCAAGCACATCACATCAACAGTTGTATACTCGTTATGTACGCGTACCTCCACAAGCATAAAGTTGATCCCAAGTTCTTCTGCCAAGGCACAGCAGAGCATAGTCTTCCCCACGCCAGGGGGACCGTGTACAATCACTCCTCGGGGTGGCGAGATCCCAAGATCAATGTACTTTCCAGGGTTATGGAAGGGTTCAATGATCGACACCTTGAGGTCCGCGATTGCATCCTGTATTCCGTAAAGGTCATCGAATGTCACTGTAGGAATCTGTTCAGTTGGAAAGTAGAATATCGATGCTGTGGTTAGTGTCACGGCTCAAAAGTTGATGGCAAAAATGGATTAGGAAAAGTTGTCCTGTACCTTGGACAAGAATTCACCCATTCCTGAAGGCCGGATCGTCTTCAATGCTCGGTCAAAATATGACATGTCCACCACAGCTGTTGGCTGGCCAGCAGCCATCTGTGAGATCAAAGCGAGAGCACAATCGACACATAGCGCCTGTAGATCCGTCGGCACAAATCCATGGGTGACTTTGGCGACTTTGCGCAAATATTCTTCCCGTTTGCTCGAATCCATTGGTAGATCTACCATGTAGGAAAGAAAATGACAAGATCACAGTGAGTACAGACTTCTGAAAACACCAACGGTTCGACAAATAGCTTCAAATAAATGAACTATACCTTTTGAGAGGATCCTCAAAGCTCCAAGCCTTTGGTCAACACCTTTCAGATGAAGATCATAGACTTTATCTAGTCGTCCTGAGCGCACCAAGGAGCTGTCAACAGCGTGGAGTCGGTTGGTCAAGGCTAAAATGGCGAGTAATAAAAAGTAACCTGTTAGACCTCGGACCTGCGGATACCACTAAGGGGATGCTCCTGATTGACGAAAACGCTCGTACCGATGATGAAGATCTTGTTTCCAGATGGATGCATGTTGATCGAGTCCACAAGGTGCAATAGTGTGGCAAACAACTTGGCCTCCACACCTATTTTACAGACACATACGGAGTGGTCAGTATGGCAGTTGATGTTGCGTCGACATGAAAGTAACTGACAGGAGAAAGAGATACACATACCCTTGCGAGAAGACCTTGCGCTTGCAATCATGTCAACTTCATCCAGAAGTACAATAGAGGCCTTGCTCTTCGCCAGTAATGAGCTGAACGCGCTGCGGAGGTAATCTTCACTCGCACCCGCGTCTACAATAGTAAAATTCCGTAGTCAATAACATATCCTCGCAATTTTTGGTGTCTCTATGCTATGAATGAACCGAGAACGGCGCAATGTTCTTACTCGTCTGAAAGACGTCTGGGCAGTTGATGACAGTGTATGGTAGTCCCGAATGCTCAGCTAGACTCGAAGCAAGAACACTTTTTCCTGTCCCTGGGCGGCCTGAAATCATGATCCCTTTCATTGGTGTCTGGAAGCAAGATGGCACGTCCGTTTTATGTATCGATGATACTGCATCCTCAAGGTATCCATACAGGTGATCGACGATCTCGCTCAACAGATCGTCATAGCCGCCAACAACGCCTTTGATGCCGCCAATCCATTCGCTTTTCGAGACCAGTGTTCCTGATGAGCCAGACCGTGAGATAGTAGAGGGTTGAATCTGAATGCTTGTTGCCTCGGACATGATGCCGACACTTGGGAGGTCGCCGCTGGTGGTTGAAATGTCGATAATTTGGAATGTTTGGGTCCCATAGGGTGATCTATATGAGATCCAGCCATTGAGTGATACAACTGATCCTGATAGTGACTGAGCGATAGCTGCGCCCTTAGGTGGAGGCCGAGTGTGGTTGTTGAAGGTGGCAGGGACTACTGTAAGTTGGGTCGCGTTGCCTATGTCGTTGATCTGATACAGGGCCTGTTAGTTCTTGTGCCACAGGGTTCATATCTTGCAAAACGCAGTGCTGTGCCAGTATGTCGACTTACAAGTTTGGCATGGACGATAATAGGAGCACTCCCAATTGGCATGGCATAATCTTCATGAAACTCCCGTGGTGCTCCAGATGTGTGCTCTTGCTGCTGTCTTTGTTGGTGCTGAAGTTCCCACCAGAGAAGGTTGCTGACGACAACATCGCAGAGTTTTCCCGATCCAGACTCTACTTGACGCGTGTTGAGTTTCTCCGGGAAGCGTTTGTCTTTGCTGAAAAGAGCGCTTTGCTGAGAGTACACTTTGACAGATGCGTATAGAGGGACATTCTCGGACGCTGATCCTACAAGGCTGAGGGCGACGACCGAGTTCCTTAATTTGTGTTGGATGCTCTGCTCTCGTGAGATATAGACGATAGGGCGAGCTGACGGAGTCGACTCGCGTCCACCCGAGACGAGGTCTCTGCTGCGTTTTGTTTCGTCGACACTTGCAATGACTTGCCACTGCATGGACATGAGTTGAAGAAGGGTTGAATGTGAATGAAAGGTGCAAAAACAAAGCTGATCAAGCAAAGTTTGTTCGAGTTGAACAAAGAAATGTGACTGTCGACCCACTTGGAGTTCAGGTCAAGTTGGAGCACTCTCTCTTGATCGCGCACATTCATGCTCCCCTTCTTCCTCTCGAGCCATCCGTTCCAACAGACACATCCTCGCCATAGAAGCACACATTACAATTCAGGACCCCTTTGCCTCGACCATTCCAATCTTCCCTAGAGCAGAGACACACATATCACTTTGCGCATAAAAAAAGGAGTGAACCATGTCGAGCACTAGCACTCCCAGCCCCATCCCGTTCCTCTTACTCGGACTCGTCACCGGTGGCGCTCTTCTCTATGTCTCCTATTGGGTATGGCCGCCTGCTCAACGGAGGAACAACAATAGCTCTAGAAACACTCGTCGGACAGCGGGAAGGCGGCAGAACAATAGCACCAATCGAGCTACGACGTCGTCTAGTTCAGGAGGCCAGGGGCTTCGTCGGAGTAATGCCACTCGTCGACCAGGTCCTCAGAGACAAGCACCTCCACCGACAGGGGCCCGCCCGGAAGACAATCGACATTACCATAGTGAAGCAAGTAGTTCGGGTGACGAGACATATCGTGGAAGAGGTCATGGAGACGATTCCGACGACGATGGAGATACCACCGACCACGAATACTCGGCATTAGTGGATGAGGACGGTTATGAGCGCCTTCGGATGGATGACATGGGCGACAACAAGCATGACGGCCTGCAGCTTATGAACCTACTCTACGCGATTGCGGAGGACCAAGCTGTTAAAGGTATAACTTATTAGAGGGCATGTATAATGAGATGTGGCCACGCTTGAATGTGCGTTTCTGACAGACGTTTCGTTTCCTTGTAACATTCGACGATAGAAGGTCATATTCACCGTAAGTGTACTTGGCACAGGATACAACATTCGGGAATACTGTGCTTTGTCCGATGTGGTTACTAACCCAGGGCCCTCGCAATATAGGTGGCATTACCTGCAACAACTGTCGGACGGTTCCCATCCGTGGACTCCGGTACAAGTGCGCCAACTGTCAGGATTACGATCTATGCGAGGGATGTGAAGCAGCCGAGGTTCATATCAAATCCCATGTGTTCATGAAGATCAGGATACCAATCCCACCATTGGCCAACAGCCGGACAAAGAAACTACCTCCATTTTACCCTGGAATCCCTCAAGGAAACACATCAACACCTGACCACATGCTGCAGGATTTATTACAAAAGACTCACTGTGAGTGGTTTTACAAGTGCATTTAGACTGCATGATTATTTACCTTTACATTTGTATCAGTCACTGACATTCAAAATTCTCTGTAACCATCTAGTCGACAATGTGGAACTTGACGCCATGTACAGCCAGTATCTCTCACTATCGACCCTGGATCAGGATGGAGGCGGCATTACTCGACTGACTTTTGAACAAGCACTTGGGCCCCTTGGACTGGAGAAGAACCTCATTACCGACCGGATATTCCGGTTTTTTGACCAGGATGACGACGAGACTATCAGCTTCAAAGAAATGGCCTGCGGACTCAGTGTTCTCTGCAAGGGCAACTTTGAGGAGAAGATCACATGTAAGCATTAGATCTTGAGATAGCATTTGAGACGTTCGTTTCGTATACTATAACGAGTACAACTGACTCTGACTGTTACCTCAACCTAGTTGCATTTCAGGGATACGATTTGGATGGCGATGGTTACATCTCACGCGAGGAGCTGCACGAGATGTTCAAGGCTTACTTTTATTTGTCGATGGAACTCATTCGGGACGTTGTCAAGACTATGGAAACTGACCTAATCAACAACTTTGAGTACCAGCCAGGAATGCCCATCTCTGCAACCTTTACAGCACCGATCCCGCGTGAGATTGGAGTCAGGAACACCAGCACCGGTAACGGCCAACATCACGGAGGCCAGAATGGATCATTGGACGATCCAACCCAAAGTCGAGAGCAGGATTCTCTGTTGGCAGATTGGCCGACCTCTCCCGATGACGACAGCTCTTCCGCGTCGCCGACTACTTCATTATCGTCGTCAGGTTCCCCTGGGGCGTCAGCAGACGGAACTGAGAGAGTGCAAGGCAACGAGGAGCGGATATTGAATCAGCGCCGATCGACCGAAATGGGAACCCTTCCGCCTGGAGCGTACGGTCTTGTTGGATCGGATGAGTTTGCTGGAGACACTGATGCTGATGCCGACGATGAAGAGGGAGATGCGCTATCAACGCCCGACTACAAGCAGGACAATGATTTTGAGGATGACTCGCCAGTCTTTGTGTCACCCGTTTCCGCAGGTCAGGAACCGACCAGTGACTTGAGCGACGCGGAGGATTCAGGAGTTGATAACAGCGGGTGGTCGGTAGCAGAGACACACTCGCTCTCACCACATTCTGCCAGCTCCCAGGGCTCGTCTGTAGCGACAGGATCGAGTAGTCTGCCGACCATTGCTTCTCGGACGTCTGCGGTGACCCCTACGGCCAATTCTTCTCCGTCGACAGCCTCACAGTCTAGACAGTCAGCCTCTGTCAATGTCCCAGACGAGGGGAGCTCAAGTAGCTCAAGCAGACCCAGGAAAGACCAACCACTCCCAGCTACTACTTCCTCACCACACCCTAGGAGTGTCTCTGTCTCCAACATCAACCTCGCCTGGGACCGTCCCCACTATCGCTCGGCATCCTCGGCACCTTACGGCTTCAGCTCTCACACGGCAACACACTCCTCAGCGCTTGGTCATCATGGCAGTGGATACGGCTATCCCCAGGAAGTTTCAGGATCTTCCTCGTCGCCTGTGGTGTACGACATGCATACCTCAGAAGAGATGAGCAGGAGCACAGATGGACAGGTCCGGCGGCCGTCTCTAGGAACTCCTTACCAGTCGTACGCGTCGTCGTCGTCGGCACCAGCAGGATCGTATGCGAACCCGTCGTTCTTTTCGAGCACGTTCCCTGTGATGGAGTCGATCTCCCAGGATGCTATCCAGGAGATGGTCGAGAAGACGTTCAGTGCTATCCCGAACCCTTCCAAGCCTGGGTTTATTACCTTAGAGGAGTTCAGAGCCTATGTCCTCACGGACGCCGGCATCCTTGGATGGTTCGACGCGCTCGGCAGCATTTTTTAGATTTTTACCCTAATATAGTGACTGTTAGTTATCCCATGTATTTAAAAGAAACTGTGGGGCACGGTTGAACCATTTGGTTTTTATGTTTTGACATTCAACATTCACGACGAGAAACTGATTAGCAAGAGAGATGTCACGACCACCGTCGCAAGGAAGTCAACGCTATGAAGATGCGTCGCAGACACGAGGTTCTGACGGAGTTTCGGGATATGGGGATAGCAACTGGTCCGCCAGTGGGTCTCCTTCAGGACAGCGTCAAGGTTATCATCAACAAGGCCAAGTTGGCGGTCCATATGATGGCCACGCCTATCGAACGACAGGGCCAGAAGACGTGTACCCGCCAGGACAGCACGATCGTAGACACTATCCCCAACGCCCACAGCCTCCACGACACTATCAACAGCAGCAACAACATCGTCACCAAACACCGTCGCACCACCATCCACAAGGGCCACGACCACCACCTCCACCAATTCGCCTTGTTCCTGGTCAACCACCACCCTTCCCTATCCAATCGATGAAGCAGCAACACCATCCCAATAACACCTACCCGAACCGTCACCACCACAATCAACATCAACGCCATCAACAACACCAACAGGAGACATTCTCCGAACTCCAATTCCCTGTCCAACCACTAGACCGGTTCAAGGTCAAGTGTGCGCCTTTTCGACAGCCCACCGAGATCGGGAGCTTTTCTTATGACGAGAAACGGAATTTTGTCATGGACGATTCGCAATTGGTACGTAACGTTTGCAAAAAAAAAAAAAAAAAGGGGGGATATTCTGTGGATGAATGGTTATTTTTATTTTTATTTTTTTTAAATTAATCAAAGGTTTTTCTTCTTTTTCGTTTAATGGGAGTAGAAATATTACTTCCCACCGGATTTGACAAAGCCCAACAACTTGTCGGTGAACTATGACAAGTATATCACGCGGGACTTGATGGTGGACGAACATATGGACGCGTTGCTGGATGCTCTTATCTGCATCCGGGATCGCGAACAACAAGAACAAGAACAACAAGAACAAGACGACAAGAGGCAGGAGCAACCGCAGCAGACCGCAAGTATGACACAGGCAGATTTCATATGTTACAGAGGTCTTCTCACAAAGATCATGTGCACGCCCTATACCAGGAACGAGCCTTGGGAGATGGGCGCCACACTCTACAACGGATCTATGTAAGTCTCTCTCTCTCTCGTTATATTTTTGCTCTGGGCTGGAAAAAAACACTCTGTCAAATAGATATCTGACAACTCATATGTTCCATACTATCCAAAAAAACAACAACAACAACAACCCATCTTCCTACAATAGATACATAGAAGAACACGTTTCGACAGAGCGCCGAGAGAATGCCGCAGGATCGAACGATCGACACAAGTTGATGTCCTATTGGGGGTACCGATTCGAGACCATCTGTAATATCTCTAAACCTGTCTCGGAACTGCGAAGGATCAGAACCAAGACCAAGAAACGTGGCGCATCGCTGTCGTCTTTAACTGATAGTGTTCCTCTCAGTAAAGTCACCAGGCTCGGTCAGCAGGAGGAAGGACGACAGCCTGAAGGTGATGTTGTTGGCCTGTCGTCAGATACACAGGGGCGCGTCGAGGACCAGGCTGGGGATAGTGATGGGAAAGACGGCGTGAAAGAGAAAAAGGAGGAGGAGGAGGAGGAGGAGGAGGAGGAGGAGGTAGATGAACTGACGGCAGGGATGACGTATCAGATCGACTTGGAAGATCCAGAACTGACAGGTCGTTTGGACGGGATAGTCGACACCAATCTGCAGTATTGTACCGTGGCCCGGACGAAGATCGGCAAGAACAGTATCATCATGGGCGCAGAAGTCGACTGTACCTCAGGTGAGATATAGTGACATGCACTGCGCATGTATTTTGCAGATAGGCCTGTGTGAATGTTGTACGACAACATGTTTTGACTCATGTACTCTCTCTCACTCTCTTATTTGTGATTTGTGATTTGTGCTTTGTGCTCGTGTTTGGGGGTGTCCGCGAAAGTAGAGCCCAAGAAAGCACCGCCTCACAACCCACTCTCAAACTACATCGAACTCAAGACCTCACGCGTAATCTCGAGTGCCCGAGAACAAAACAACTTTGAACGGTACGTCCTCCCCCCCCCCAAAAAAAAAGTTCACCACCCCTCCCCAGTCGTCCCCGGCCCTACGCTTAAATCTCTGATTGACTCGCCCTCGCCTTCGCTTCTCTCCCTCTTTCTAGGCACAAGCTGCTAAAGTTCTGGGCACAGTCGTTCCTTCCAGGAATTCCAACCATCATTGTGGGCTTCCGAGACGACGACGGCAATGTGGTCACGGTCGAGACCTTCAAGACCATGGAAATCCCGAGGCTCGTGCGTGGGAAAGATGGCGCATGGGTAAGTCAAACCTTTCAGCACTCTCTCTCTCCCTCCCTCTCGTTCTCACACTCCTCGGTGCATACATTCTTGCCTCTCTTAACACCTTCTCCCCCCCCCCACTTGTTACTTTTGTAGGACACGACGATATGTATCAATTTTTTGGACGCCGTCCTCAACTTCCTCCGCAAACAGATCAAAGTCGACGACCCTGAAGTTTCGTACACAATCCGGTGGGCGCCCCCTTACAAGGCCATCGAAGTCGAGTGTATGGGCAAGGGTCCCTCATTCCTTACAGAACGCTTCCTGAATAGCAAGAATAAACTCTGACACCGTTGGTAGGGCATCAACGTTTCATATAACAATGTCTCTGAGAAAAGAAAGTTGCATTTTTTTGTCGTTGACCAACTTTATTATGAATCGCTCAATATGCCCTGTGATGTCCTTGCCGTTGCGTACTCCTTGAGGTGACAAAAAATGCAGACTGGAGAGAAAAAGAAGAAAAAGAAGAAATATACAAGGACAGTTGTGAGTCCTCCTGCAAGACGATCCGTACGCAATGCAACATGAGCAGGCCATTGTTTTTTATGCCCCAAAGTTCCATCCGGTTTTTTCTCGTGCTCTGCCTTACCGGCCCTTTGCTATCCTGACCCTGCCTTTACTTTTTTCCTATTATACACAAAATTTGAGAGAGAGAGTCAGACGTAAGTTTGCATGTCCGGTTCGTGCGCATGTTCATATGCCAGCAGGGCCATGTTTTGGAATGTGTGTCCTTGAATAAAGTCCTTACCATATGAGTACTTTTGCTTCTTCTCCGCTGGCTTCAAGATCTATGTGGGCGAGGGTAAAATGAGGGGAAGCAAAAGGTTATAAGTTAAGGATATTCTAGTAACCGACTCCTTGATACCTACAGAACCAAACAGACATCTCAGTAACTAAAATGTGATCGTTACCTGGAACGAGCACATCAGGGTCTCGTCGACGCTCATCATAGCTCCGGCGTTATCGAACTCGCCGCAGTAATTGGGTGCGGAGAACAAGGTGACGAGCTGGCGCTTGGCAAAGAACTCGTATCCGTCCTCGACGACCTGATGGGCACGGCAGACAAGATCCATATCGTGCTTCTGCAAGAATCGGCTGACCACATCTGGTCCAAATGTGAACGAGACTCCGCGATCGTTTTCGCTCCACCCAGTGATATCTTTGTCGGGATCAGACCAGAGCAAATCGCACAACAAGCCAGTATCGGGCACATCCGTTGGGCGCATTACACGGCGAATCTGCTCCATGTTCAACAGATCGGGTGAAAGACCTCCGTGCATGCAGAAAATCTTTTCGTCGATAATGGCCGCTACTGGCAGGCAGTTGAAGCAGTCTGTAAATGTCTTCCACAGCTTAATGTTGTAACGACGTTTGCCTACGATAGAGTCAATCCACGATAAGGATCATTCGTAAAGTTGTTAGTGAGTGCCAATTGGTAAGAGTCCTCCTTGAAGTTCTTTCAACCACAATGAAAAGCACCCGATCACTTTAGAAAAGGAGTATTGTTAGCTCCTCTTTTCCCCCCTGTGCCTCCTTTTTCAAGTCCTTTGGCAACACCAAAGGCGTGAAACGGCGGGAGGACAGGCAGGTGTTCAGACAAAAATTCGGCTGCTTTCTTCTCCAGGTGCCCACACTTTGATCTGTCTCGCTCACTCTTTGCTTCCTTGTTGTCTCCTCGTTCTTTCCTCCTGTTCTAGTTTCTCCAGGCCTTGCTTTCCCAGAGAAAATGAGATCTTACATTCGTCATAGAATCCGTAAATCCTGTTAATGCTGGCGCACTCGTGGTTTCCTCGCAGGATGAAGAAGTTCTCGGGGTACTTGATCTTGTAGGCGAGCAACAGGCAGATTGTCTCCAACGACTGCTTTCCACGATCGACATAATCTCCCAAAAACAGATAGTTGGCCTCGGGTGGAAAACCACCGTACTCGAAGAGGCGGAGCAAATCGTAGTATTGTCCATGGATATCACCTATAAGTGGCAAAATATAGGCATCGGCAGAGCGAGAAAAAGGTGTCAGAACACATCAACTCCATTCCTTCCTGCATAGACAACACATATAAAAAAAGGCGTCTTCCCCCTCTTTATGTTAGAGCGCAGTCCACGACAGACAGACAGACAGACTGCTACTCGGTCACAGCGAGAAGGCTGATAGTGAGAGAGAAGAGGAGAAACCAAAATAAAAAAAAGGAAAATGATAAACAAGGTCATGACCGTACCGCAGATTTTGATGGGTGCCTCCAGCTCCAAGAGGATAGGTTGGTTGATGAAGATCTCACGCGCAGTTGTGCACAAAAACTTGATCTCATATTCTGCGAGCTGAACTTGCTTTCCTGGACGAGAGCCACGGACTATGTAGAGTCGAAAGGAGTAAAGGAGAGCGGGCGAGAGAGAGAGAGAGAGAGAGAAAAAAAAGACGGATGTAATGTTAATAACGAACTGTTAAAGTCTAGATTCTGCTTTGGCACGCCGCCGCCAGTACGTCGTCATTGTTGGTTGTTGTGCGACAGACATGTCGTTTGTCGCTATTTGTTGATGACTGGTCCAAAGAGGGTAAACTCCAGATAACAGTTGATTCACTTTCGGAATGTCGTGCTCGTCTACTTCGTCCTTTGTATTACTCAGATGGTGTTTTTTTCTCTTTGTTCTTTCGTCACCTCCGTTCTGAAGACAATGCGTTCCCTTGGCATTATTTCATTATCACAAGGAGGGTGATAGATACTGAGCAAAAAATAATAATATACAAAGGCAATAAAGGCAAAGACCCAAAAAAAACGACAAGTGCGGTTTTTTGTTCTTTTTGACAGAGCGGGCTCTTGCCGCCAGGTCTTTTGCAACAACCAACACAAGGAGAAGGAGAAGGGGGGTTCAGGAGAGAGCATGGTGGTGGTGGTGGAACTATATCTGTTGATGTGGATATGGGTCGGTGTCGGTCAATTGTGTTCTTGTCGGACTGGTCGTGTGTGTGTATGTTGGCTGCGTGTATGTATTCTTTCTCTGGTTGTGTCGTGGTCGAAGATGATAACGGTGGCGTGAGTGGTTGCCGTGTTCGTGTGCTTTTATGCGTGTGTATGTTTGTACAGTACTCGTATTGTATGCTCTTTTCCTGGTCCGTGGTTGTTTGTGTAAGGTGCAGAGTGCGAGGAGAGGCGGGTGTTTGTGTGCAAGATGCAAGGCACGAAAAAATGTGGTTGCAGCGCAGGTGGATGAAAGCGAAGATAGTTCTCGTTGCTGGTTGATTAGCCGAGACTGGATGGAGTGTCTGTTGTTGTTGTTGATATGGATGTATTTTTACCTTCGAGAAGTCTCTCGATGATGGAGTCGATGTCGATTTCGCTCAGTTCAGCCATTGTCGAGTATTACCGAGGGGGGAGAAGAAGGGAGGGAAAAGAAAAGAGAAAAGAGAAAAGAAAGGAAAAGAGAATGGGAGAGGGAAGGAGGGAGAGGGTGGAAGTGAGAGAAAGGGAGGGATGGGAGGGATGGGCAAACAAGAGGAAAAGGAGGAAGGAAGAAAAGGAAGAAGAAGAAGAAGAAAAAAAATTCAAAAACAACAACTATAGTGCGGTCCAAAGGAGAGGGCGGAGGGTGAGGGAGTGAGAGGGGTTGGCTTGAGAGAAGAAGAGGAAGAGTGAGAAATGAGGAAAAAAAAAAAATTGGTGATTCAAACAAAGCCACCCGCTATGAAATTATTGCAGACGCAGTGCTCTGCGTCGTGATTCGATGGTCCTTGCCTTGTCTCTTGCGTGCCAAACACTAAACAGGTGTTGCTGCAGTAGATCGTGGACAGATCGTAGCACAACGACAACAAAGTAACAATGGCAAAGGGGAAAGATAAAGAGAAGGTATCTACTCGGCAACAAGTGAAGCATCCAAAATGAACTACGAACATTAACAACACCAAATCCAAAAAGCATCGGCGCAGGAATACATGTATCTCAGATCATCTCTGCAAAAAAAAAGATGGGGTTAAGAATGAAAATTAGAAAAGACTAATAGATGGACCTTGCATACAATTTTGGTGGCAAGTGGATCCATCTCTCCCTCTTTCTCTCTCTTTTTTTTTCGGCTCTCCTTACTGTTGTTATTGTTTGCGGCTCAATGATGGCGGTCAGTGATGTATTGGAGAATGATGTCAACTAAACTCTTGTCTAATCTAGTCAAGCCCAAGTCGCTTACGTGATGCTGTTGCGTCCTCAAACGTCGCCGTTGCTGCAGGACGTGGCCGACTCAACAACCAACCCCACCACGCAAACGCCCGCTGGATCGCCTCAGGACTCGGAGATGGCATAATGTTCTCGATCCGGTGCTCGTCAATCAGCCCCCGATCGTCTATCTCGTACACAAAGATACCTTCGTAAGACGAAGGCGGCGGCGATGTTGGTCCTGAAGTCGTTAACACAACTGAAGGTCGGGTCGTTCCCCTCAATTTCCACCGCACTGTCACTGTTGTTGCCGGGAGTGACGGTTCTCTACCTCCGCCTCCGCCCTGATTGATATTGATCTCATCTACTCGCACAGTATCACCTGGCTTCTTTTCCACACCATCTTCAACTTCCTGTTTCAATCCATGTAGTCGCAACAAGTTCGGCGTCGAGGACATGTTATTACTGTCGTTCCCAGAGTCCAGTCCAGAGAGTCCTCTCCCGCCCCGGTCATTCACCCGAATCGACTGAATCTCAAACTCAATATCCCGGAACCACATCTTGAAACTCCACCGGACCGCCCCAGCAAGCAAAAAGTAGACCGGTTTCCCTTGCAGCGACACGTTCGTATGGCTGGCCTCGATTAACCGGATGTTGCGCGCATAGATCGAGGTCGTACACAGACCTTGTTGAAAAAACTGTGGCAGTTCCTCCCGCAATGTCCTGATCGCTAAAAATACATTTGCGAGAGAGAATAATATGTCAGAGTGTGTCGATACAAAAGTCTTCATCGAGGGTTGAGGCCACGAGGAAGAGTTGTGGATATGGAAGATGGTACTTCATTTACCAGTGCCAACGCGTATTTTGTATTCCTGTGGCGAGATGCCGTCATCATTATCCCCAAAGTATTTGAGGATCGGGTCCTGCTGGCGGTTCGTCTGTGTCATCAAGGTCCGTGTCGTTATCGTCGTAGTCGACCGTGCAAACATGCTTTGACAGTTCTGTTGAAGAGGCCCCAAAAAACTCCTGCTATGCTCCTGCTGTCCTCGCAAGCACTTCATGTGACTCCCAGCGGGGTCCTTAGCCGAGGTCGACAAGCTCCGGGCAGGAGTTTGTCGCAGAGTTGCCACCCGACGACTGTTGCTCAATGGCAAAGGTGGCCGTGTCCATGTCGATCCCAAGAAACGCGTGTTGTCACGCATGCCATTGTTGAATGCAGTTGTCTTCGGTGCTCCCTGCTGTGACGCGAGTACGAATCGTGAGAGTGGCCGTGGTATCCTCATGCTTGTTGTCTGGGTGTGGTTCGAGGAGTGCAAAAGTGAAAGGTGAGAAAAAGGTGTGCCACCTCATAATGACCTTTATTCACCTGGACTAAATTATTAAGGGTTAGCAAACTCATTTAGAGCGCATGCACACGTCCTCCGCCGGTGATTCCGCTCCGATTGTTTTTGAACTGGAGGCTTGTATAGCCAAAAGGTATTAAAGGCGGGTAAAAAGATAGCTTGCCGTCTCTTCCTATCGGTCTTATCCTCCCTCAGGTTCACCACAAATGACTGGGTATGGCCAAAGGCAATCTTGCGCTTAATGACTTCAAACCGAGGCGAGCTTCAGAAAGCCACGATAGAAAAACACATAAACAGGAGATGCGATCGACGCGCTTCTTACCTTATGAACAGGTAGTTGAAGAGACCACACGGGGAAGAAGGAAAAAATCAAAGTTCGTGGCAGTGAAACAGTTGCTGATCATCCCTGCATGACCAAAACGGTCCCTGCATATGTAACTCACCATCGCCGACAATAACGGCGTCCCCAAGGTGTCGCGTCCTGAAAACCTTCTCCTCAGGAATCACCTTCGACACTCGATCCACAGGAGTCCTATCGATCAGCTCGGCCACAATGCCTGAAGTATAGAAAGCTTCATTCCTCGCATCTCGTTTACCATCTCCAGCACTGCTTCGTGGCCTCAACGACATTGTTCCTCTTGAGCCTCTGCCTCGTCATACGACCGATTCTGCAGCCAGCAGCTACTGTTTCCAGGTGCTGGTATTTCCCACGTTTATTGGCAAATATAAAGGCACCAGGATCCTCCTCACGAGGCAACCTTTTTGTTAAGTAACAACCGCTCCTTGGGGATCTCCTTCGCGGGCAAGTCAAAGGATACAGGACGCGGCATGAGTTGAGTGTAATAGCCATACCTCTCCTTTGTATCGCTTACCTTCAGCAGACACACACACACACACACACATACAAATGGAGGACGAGGGTTATGTACAAGGTTTTTAATGATGGAATGCAATGCAGATATGCGGTCGCGTTTCTCTAAAGGGGCAAGGGGTGTTCTAACGGTTTTTACCAAATAGGCCATGGCCGTGGTGTCGCATCGCCTCTCTCTCCTTCTCAAGCTGCTGGACCGACTTAACTGGCAGCATCGTCTGCTTCAGCGGCTCAACTCCCTCAGCCAGGCGAAGCTCCTTAATGTTATTGTTGTTGTTGAGGTTGCTAGGATGGTGATGCGAGGTGGGACTTCCGCCGTTGGAGCTGCCGTTATTAAGAGGGGTGTTATGGCTAGATCCATTGGCGTTGCCCATTCCGTTGTTGAGGTGGCCATTGTTGTTGTTGTTGTTGTTGTTATTACCGTGACGAATGTTGCCCAGTCGAAGGATACCGGGAGATCCACCCGCTCCGCCAGGCGACGAGGGTGCATATCCACTTCCTCCTCCATTACTGCTGTTGTCCTGCTCATTCAAGTAGATCGACGCTCCTGCACTCTCCAAGAACTCGAGGGCGACCTGGGTTTGATCTATCGTCTTCATGTCAGGCGTCCGCTGAACTCGCAAGATACAATCCTGTGCCAGTTGGATCCTGCGAATCTTGCCTTCCTTGCCCTGCCAGTCCGACAACAGGTTCTTGAACAATGGCTTCGAGTTCTTGTCCGGTCCGTCGGCCTTGGAGCACAACTCGTTTGCTTTCTTGATCGTCTCGGGTGCTGACGACAACAGGTCGTTCTCCAGAAGGAACCAGGCACTCATCACGCGCAAGTTCTCCGCTGCCACACACAGTGCATTCCGCTTGTTCCCATTCCTGAGGCTGGGGTCGGCTCCGTACAACAACAACATCTGGACAATCTCCTCGTTATCCATCTTTTCCAGAACCATGTGCATTGGTGTCGACTTGCGGGAATCGATCGCGTTGACCTCGGCTCCCTTCTTCAACAACAACTCGATGACAGGAGCAGGTTCCTTGCAATGGTGAATGGCGTAGTGCAAGGGGGTCCTCTGCTGTTGATGATCGACCACCTTGGTCTGGGCTCCCAACTTGAACAACACTCGCATGGTCTCGATTAACACCTTGGTAGACACGATGTGCGAATTCTGGAGAAGAACCATTAGAGGGGTCCTCTTCTTGGAGTCACGGCTGTTGCAATCAGCTCCAGCCTTGGTGAGGAAGATGACAGCCTCGGTGGGGTTGGGGTACTGCTCGCACACAAAGTGCAGCACAGTCGTTCCGTTGTGATCTCCACGGTCAAGGGCGGCTCCGTGCTTGATCAGAACCTTCATGGTTTCAATGGCGTGCCTTGAGCGAGCAGCAAGCAGGATGGGAGTAGGGTGGGGCCAGAATCCAATAGATTCGTGAAGCAGATATGGGTGGGCCTTGAGCAGCCTCTCAATCATCTCTAAATCGCCCTGTGTCACCGCCGTGAAAAAGTCGGATGGCTCGTCCTGACTCAACGCCTTGTAAGGATCTGCAAGGCTGTAAAAGTTGTCAAACTGGACTCGGGGTTTGGAAGCCGAGCCCTGAGATACGGGAGGAGTAGCGTCCTTGGGTGTCGCGCGCATGTCCCGATGATCTGTTCTGCTATCGGTGGTGTGCTCTTCATATCCGGATCGCGAAGGGGGTCCCGAACCTTCCTGCTCCCTGGGTGCTGCGTCTGGAGATCTGTTGCCTTGATCTAAAAAGTTGCCACCATAAAATAATTGACGTGATATTAGAACGCAAATTCACTTCAAATTCGTTAGACGACATTTGGGGATAAAAAAATTACAAATGTCATACTTTTTGCTTTGCTAAGTCCGGCACGGATGGTATCAACGACGGGGAAGAATCCTGGGCTGGACCTAGGAGGAGGGTTGGATCCAGAGTTGGATGATGGTGGGTTGTGGTTGACGACGCGCTGAGCTCCGTTTTCCGTGGACGGTCCAATTTTGTTGACTTCAATGGCATGGCTGTTTCTGGGATCAGCCTCCTTCCGTGTTGCTTCTGGGCTATTAGGACGCAAAGCTGGAGACGAGTTGCTGGGCTTGGAGGCTTCGATTTGCCGGGATGTCTTGTAAATAGAAGAGCTGGATGGTGCAACGCTCGATTCTGAGGCGCTTCTTTTGGTAAAATGATGAGGATCCAAGGGTGCAACGACAGGGAATCCCATGGGAACTTGACGAGGAGGGGCAGGTCGGGTCTCAGAGGGCAATGCAAGGGAGGGCTCGGCATCAACCTTGGTCTCTGATTTGCCCTTGTAGGTCGTAGTGGGGACATACACAATGGGCGACACTGGGTTACGTGGGACATCTGCCTGGGCGACCTTGGCGACAGCTGGAGAAGATCCGTTGAGGACGGGGGATGGGGGCATCCCTGCTGGCGGCTTTGGTGAAGGACCAAGGGAAGGTGAACCGCTAGGCTTCATTGGGGGAGTTCCTGGTGGGGGAGGGGGCACCAATCTACCCTGGCTACCCACGGGAGGAGAAATGGTCTTGGAGGCTCGACCGGGAGGAGGCACCTGGTTGTTCCGGACCTTGGGGGGCGAAATGACCTTTGAACGATTGGATGGCGGTGAAATCACTCGAGGACTGTTGCTATGGCCAGCAACGGCTGGTGGTGGTGGTGGGGCTCCTGGTGGTGGTGGGGAAATTGTCGAGATGGTTCGAATGGATCCCAGGTTCAACTTGCTGACCACAGACACCATCGAAAGACCACTTGCCAAAGCTAGTGATGCAGTTTCAGGCAGCACTGAGTTAATTGATTCCATTGGGAGAGCTGGAGGAATACTGATGTCCTTTGGAGGGGTTGTAAGCGCAAGTGCCTTGAAGGATGGAAGAGGTGGGAGGAGCTGTGGGCCTGCTCCTGCTTTGCTCGCGTCAGTGCCGACGGTTGAAGCATTTGTTTCTGAGACATTCTCGGTAGGAGGGGGACTGCTGACGGTGGGGCTATCAGGAACAGTCATTGGTGGAATTCGGACATTGGGTTTGGCGCCGTTGACCTGATGGTTGTTGTCGGTAGGGCCCCTGCTCTGCTCCATACCATTTGCAGCTCCGTTGGCCTTCGAGTCCTTGGAGGGCTGGTTGTCGATGAAGGAAACACGGACGCCTGAGCGATCACGGATGGGCACAGAGGGAATGTTTTGACCTTTAGGGGCCAACCCTTGGGCGATCGATTGGCGAGCTCCTGGTGGACGTTGTGAAGGTGGCGATGCTGGTCGCATGTGTGTCGTGTTTTCGGGTGAGGACTGGATGGTAGTATCGTTGTCGTAGGGAAAGGGCGTGCTGGGGGCGATCATAGATTCGCTTGAGAGGGGTCGAGGTGGTCGGGGTGAGATGGGTCGAGGTGCGGCAGGTCGAGGGTTGATCTGCTCAGCAGCCAATAGCTCGACCAATTCAGACAAGACAATCTCCATGTTGGGACGGTTCTGGGGCAGGCCATCCCAGCATCGCCTGTACAACATCTCGTACTCGACCGCGGTTCCTGGAACTGTCTTTTCCCGAACACCTGCAATGATGTTGACGGCCAGCATCACATCCTGCAGCTGTGCCTCGAAGGGAATGACACAACTAGAGAGTTCCCAGAGGATGACGCCCAAACTGTAGATGTCGCATTTGGCGTTGTAGGTGTAGGTCGGGTTCTGCATCCGCTCTGGAGCAACGTAGGGCACAACACCGAAGAGTCCAGCCTTGGTTGTGTAAATGGTTTTGTTGACAGACTTGCTGAGACCGAAATCCGTGATCAATGCCTTTCCGCCAGTGTCGATAAGAATGTTGCGAGAGTGAAGGTCAGTGTGGAAGATGTTTTCACGGTGGATAAAGTCGAGTCCACTCGCGATCTCCCAGGCTAGGCGGTATTTTGTCAACCAGGTGATGGAAACGTTCTGAGTCTCGAGAAAGTCCTGTAGACAGCCGTTCTCTGCAAACTGCATAACGATGCAGGTGTCGTGCGTGAGGGGGTGCTTGGTAATGCCAAAGAACTTGACGATATAGTTGGAATCGTGGACCTGCTTGTGCATCTTGAGCTGAGTTTGATGAAAAATGGATATATGAATATAAAGGGAAAAGGTGAGGGTTAGAGTTGCTCCGTGGTTGGTTGGTGTTGGCGGAGTCGTTGTTTGGGTATGGCTCTCACACATCTCGATGAACGAACGCAGACTGATCCCACTACGCCAAGTCAAAATGGGCGTCTCCTGGTTGTTATTGTACTCCTTTGTACTCCTTTGCACTCCTTGCAGCATACAGACGAAATAATAATAAAAGATTCTCTGATAATCTATCCTGTTCCTCTCCCTCCACTTTTGGTTGTACTGTTCCAATTGCCCCATGGTTGGAAGTGAGCCATTATCCCATGGGTTCACTGATCCACATGCTATCCAAATGTCCCAGTCATTGATGAAAAGAGCAAGGTCGTCTGTTTCATTGTCGTTCTGTCGATGATATTGACCATTTGACCGCTAACCGTTAACTGTTGCCATTGATAAGAACTATGGCAGCGTTGAGCCAAGGAAAATACAAAAAAAAAAAGGTAAAAGTGTATATTCGTCCAAGGTGCGAAGCTTACCTCTTTGATGAGATCATTCGTATTATGCTGCTCCTTGATCGCAATGTGCATGTTGCGCCAAGCTCCGAGATGAATCGTTCCTGAACCGCCCTTGGCAACGTTGTACTTGACCTTGCTAATCTCGGAGAAGGGGATCATGCGGACATGCTTGTCCTTGACTGCGTTCTTGAGCCATTCCTCTGCTCGCGAGTTTTTCTTTATCTGGGCGCTTTGCGTCCGGTCGTTCGCCATTCCGGAAGTTTTAATGGGGGCAGCAGTCGATGGTGAGGAGTAAAGGGAGGGATGTTGACAGTGCTGTGCGGCTGGTTGGGTGGGTTGACAGGGCTGACTGGGTTGAGAGGGTTAAGAGGGTTGGCGGACTGGCTGGCTGGCGTTGTTTGTGATAGGATGGGAGGATATAGTCTGTGGTCTTTTATGCCTTGTTCGTTTCAAATAAAAAAGGAAGTAGAAAAAAAAAAAAAAAAAAAAAGAGACTAGGAAGGAGGCGTCAAGAGGGCAAGATGATGAAAGAGGAAGGGAGAAGGGAGCGATGAGAATTGAGGAGAAGGATGAAAGAAAGCAAAGGAATGAGGAGAAGAAGGATGATGATGAAGTAGGGGTGGGTGGGGAACAAGAGAGGCGGACCAAAGAGGATCGAGAAGAAGAAGAAAAAGAAAAAGAAAAAAGAAAAAAGAAAAGAGGGAAAGGGGAGACGAAAAAGAAAAGGAAGTAAGGAGGAAGGGAGGCGGGTTGTGTGGAAATGGCCCAGAGAGTTGTGTGTGTGATCAGGGTGGAGGAAGTGGAGAGCCTTTTGCTATTGCTATTGCTATCGTTTTGGCTGGCTGGGGAAAGGGAGGTATAAAGGAAGAAAAGAAGCAAGGTAGGGGAAATCCCTATTAATAAAAAACTCAAAAGTGCAGGAACCACTGCTTGCTGGTGGTAGAAAATAAAAAAAGAGAATAAAACGAGAGCCAGAGCATCCGGATGTTGCACATGCAGTCACTTGGGGGTATTCTCAAAAAAACATGCTATGAGAAAGTGCAAAAGGAACCAGGTACCTGGCAACAGGTATTCCGAATATTTTTCTTCTTCTCGGAAGAGAGCTGAATGTGAGAGGGTACGAGAGATGGAGAGAGAGAGAGTGAGAGGGAGTGAGAACAAAAGAAAGAGGATATATAGAAAAGAGAAAATAGAGGCTGCTGACTTTGAGCAATTGAAAGCGTATGTATATGTGTCTATCAATGGTAGTGAAAGCAAGGTACAGTGTACAGTACAAGGAAAATAAAATGATGCAGCAATGTTCGTAAAAAGGAGGATTAGCTATGTCCGAAGGGGTGTCGAAGGGGCAGGGGTCGTGTCAATGGGGTATGTGTAAGTTTGTGTGCCTGATGTAAAAATAACGAAGGAAGAGAGTAGAAGGAGGGAGTCGTGATCGTGTATCTACGGAAGATAATAATGCCAATGAGAAATGAGTGAGATGTCGTCTGCCTGTGCCGTTGGGCCTTTTCCTCGAACTGAAGTAACGGACGAAAAATGAAATTAATAAAAGGAGAGGAAGAGGAGGAGGAGGAGAGGAGGAGGAGAAGAGGCGACAGGTAGGGAGAAGGGGAGTGGTGAAAGAAGAAGAGAAAAGAGAAGAGCACAAGAACAGAAGAACAGAAGAACAGAACAACAGAAGAAATACGAAGCATCACCAAACGCCAGGACGATGGCGAATCGAGACGATCAAAGCTTTGATCCCTCTTCGCTCTCTCTCACTGTCTCACTCCGTTTTGTTTACTCCCCTTTGTCCCTCTCTCACTTTCGCTCGCTCCCTGCATCTCTCCAGGTAGCCTTATTTTCTTGCTGTCGTTGTTGTTGTTGTTGTTGTTGTTGATGCTGTTGTCGTTGATATTGTTCGTGCTGTTATTATTGTCGAAGTTATTGTTGTCAATGCTCTCGTTGGCCCTGCCTCCCCTCTCGCCCTCCATTCTCCCAATGATGCCTCGTTTCAGTTATGTCTCTTATTAAATTTTCTGGTGTCCAATGCTTTTTTCGCATGCATATGTTGTTGTTTTGTAATGTTGGTTGAACCACTCTTCCTTCCTTTCATTCATTGTGGTCAATGGATCCCAGCACCGTCAACGAAAACGTTTGCTTAGTCACCAAATTACTTTGCCTAGTACATACCCCGCCACTCTTTCAAACAAAAGTGTACAGTTACACTTGTGTATTTGATTCGCTTTACATCTTCAATTTGCCCTTGTTCAATCATCCTTTTTGCTAGCCATGTGGCTTCCCGCCCAACAAAGCGACAGGCTAGGCACGCACAGAGCGAGAGGGAAGGGCAGGTAGGGCAAGGGTGACAAAAAAGAGAATAAAAAACAGCGAAATATTTCATTTCTCTTTTTTGTTTGAGAGCCTCTTCTTCCTCCTCCCCTCCTCCTCCACTCCCATCCTCGTCCCCTTCGCTTGCTCTTGCTCTCTCTCTTTCTCTCTCTCTCGCCCGTCCCGATCGACTTCTACAACGACCCGTCCGTCCGTAATTCTTACCCATCCTATTTCTATACACCCTACTGAACATGTACACATCGATTGCGCTCTAAAATGTATCCTTTTTGTGGATCGTCGCTCAGATTCCATTTCCCCAAAACGGCACTCTCAATCTCATTCTCACACATACGCCGGACCTCCAAGGTACCTCCACCTCGGTGGGTGTTGTATTATCTAATGGCTCGGTGGATCTGGTCTAAAAGCGTCCTTATTACAAAGCTTAGAGCTCCCGTCTCCGCCTCTCCTTTCTCGATCTGTGAACGGTGCCTGTCCGAGCGGCATTATTTGGTTGGGGTGGTTTTGACGGAACGGGATCTGGTGTACCTCTGAACAGATACAGGAGGTGTGAAAGGGCCTCTTTCAGATGCACGGTGGTTTTCTTATTAGGTCTGTTGACTTGGGAGCAGCCCAATCTAGGTCAATCGCACTATTTCTTTTTTTTTCTTTTTTTTTTTGCCTTCTTAACGTCCACCGACGTTTCTCTTTTTTCCTTCTTTTAATCTTTTATCGGTGCCATCCACGCGCGCCCATCTTCGTTTTTCGTGTTCCTGACTGGGCGTGTGCATTTTTATCGGCCCAACCTTGATGGCGGCTTGATCGTTTCTTTGCGCTTCTTGGCTTGATTGCGATTCGCTTTGTATCTCGTGCTCGGCGACCCCTCCAAATTTAGACGGTTCAACCATAGTTTGGTCAGACCGTCTTGCTCTTTCACACACACACACATACCTCTTTCTATTTGTTTTGACGAAGAAAACACTCGCTTGTGCCTTTGGAGATACATGACCCTTGCACGAGTATCGAGTGTTGTTTGTATTTGTCCCGTTTGACCAAATGAACCCAAAGACACCAAGAGGTATCGTTGATTAATTACTGGTGACACAAACAACTCTTCCTTTCAATTGCCTCTCAGCAAGTTTATTTTTGTCACAAACAAAAAAAAGCACCAGAACCTTTGTTGTTGCCCATGTATCTCGCCATTTCAGGACCTTGTTTTTTTTGCTCATAACAAGGATCCAGCTTTTGACAAACAAAAAACAAAACAACAACAAACAAAATGCAAAGGAAACAAGGAGCAGTACAGTACGGCATTCTTTTTTCAACAGCCGCGACAACGAGAGTGAAGATAATAAGAGAAAGTGGCATCAACGCAACAAGAGCACTACCAGGTCAATGGGGGTAATGAACAGCGAATTGCATGTCGTACAAAGACAGAGAGACTCGTTCTTCCTTGCCTTCTTTTTCCCATTTGTTGCTATTATTGTCCCATTTTTGATCCGTACCATGATGGATCCCTTGGATTCACTCAGTTATTCCTTTACCCGATCAAAAACACGAGTACTAGGATGGGTGGATGTTCCAGACCGTACCTGATACCCTTTTTTGGTTTTTTTATCAGATCATTGATGGGACGATATTTCTACGGAAGAGCGCTCAGACGCGTGATTGGATCCAGTTCCAAAGACGCGACTTTAGCCTGCCGACTGTCTCACTACGACTAGCTAAAATGTTGTGTGGAGCCAGTCAGATCCTCGCCAGGTCATCTGCCCTCATTTTGCAATGAAAGAAGCGAGGTATTATTGTTACAAAGGGGGTGGGGAAAATGCACGTTGGGGTTGCCACTTGCCACCACACAAGCATCGTTCATTGCCAGTTAAATGGACGCCCCTTGATCCTTCCTTGAACTCCCTCACCGTCAGAAGAAAGAACGAAGTCACTCGACCCTCTCCTTCTCTTCTTCCTTACTTTGCCCCTTGAAAATTCCACTTTAGCGAAACTGCCCCACGGTTCACAACATACCTTCCTCTGACGAAATTCACCTTTTCCTTTTAACCCTTTTCTCATTCCTTTCATTCCTTTGCTTTTCAACATTCATTGCTCATTCCCTTTCTTCTCACTCTCTTTCAACAACAACAACCCACCCAGCTCACCACTCAAAATGTTTACTCAGGACCAGCCTCGCCTCCGCAACTGGATTAACGGTCAGTTCGTCGACGTAGTCGCCTCGGGCTCAGACCAACCCGTCAAGACAATCCCTGTCACCAGCCCCTACAACGCAAGGGTCATTGGACATGTCCCGCTCTCCACTGCCACCGACGTTGCCGACGCTGTCGCTGCTGCTCAAGCCGCATTTCCCGCCTGGTCATCGCGCACCATCAAGGACAGGGCCGCTATCCTGATCAAGTTCCACTCCCTCTTGACCAAGCATGTTGACCAACTGGCCGATATAGTCGTCTTGGAGCATGGCAAGAACAAGGCCGAGGCCATTGCCAGTGTCCTCAAAGGCCAAGAGACTGTCGAATACGCCCTTTCTTTGCCTCAGGTCGTCCAAGGAAAGATGCTCGAGGTGTCCAGAGGAATTACTTGCTATGATACCCGCGTTCGTAAGTCCATTTAGCAGATCTTTGCTCAGTGGTAACATTTATATGTGTTGATGGAGAATGGTCACTGATTGTTATATCTATTTTCTTGGGCTTGTCGTAGCATTGGGAGTCATTGCCTCAGTCGTCCCATTCAACTTTCCAGTCATGGTGCCCATGTGGACTTTGCCTATTGCCATCGCCATGGGTAAGCCTTCTCTGCCGCCTTGACTGTCACGAAAGTGCGCTTTGAAGGGGATGCCAACGACATGACTCATTCATCAAGATCAACTCTATCTCTCTGACTAGGCAATACCATGGTGCTCAAGCCAAGCGAGAAGGTCCCGTTCACCATGACCAAAATTGTTGAGCTCCTCAAGGAAGCAGGATTGCCTGATGGCGTTGTGAACCTTGTCCATGGAACTGCTGATGGTGTGTTCTGGCTCACTCGTTCTCGTTCGAAGGTGCAGCCTTTTTTTATTTTTCACAGAGCATTCATGTTTGTTGTACTCAATTCGCCCCACCTCCCCCCCCCCTTTTTTTCATTTTTAGCCGTCAATGCGCTCATCGACCATGAAGACGTCAAGGCAGTGACGTTCGTGGGAACTTCACATATTGCCGAAATGGTCTCCCAGAGATGTCACAAGCTCAACAAGCGCGTCCTTGCCCTGGGTGGCGCCAAGGTACGCTAAGTCTCACTGTGCTTACTCGTCGAAGGTATACCTACCCTCATGTTACTTGGTCACTTATGCTCTATTTTGTCGACATTCCACTTGTAGAACCATATGATCTCGGCGCCCGACCGCAACATTGAGATGACTTCGACGGATGTAGTCAACTCTTACAGCGGCTGCAGTGGTCAGCGCTGTATGGCTGCTACGGTCCTCTTAACGATTGGTCATCAGCAGGAACTCGTCGACAAGATTGTTGCCAAATCAGAGGCCCTTCGCCCAGGAAGCACGGCAGGAGCGGTGGGACCCGTCATTGATCAAGCGTCGGTAGACAAGATCACTCGGTACATCAACGAGGCTGAGGCGTCTGGTGCAAGGATTCTCGTTGATGGGCGTCCATGGACCAAGAACCAGTCCGAAGGCTTCTGGGTAGGACCTACCGTCATCCTGCATACCAACAAGCAGGATGCTGCTCTTCATGACGAAATCTTTGGACCCGTCTTGTCGATCCTTGCTGTCGACACCGCAGAAGAGGCATTGGCTATTGAGAACGCCAACCCTTACGGCAATGCAGCCTGCATCTACACCAGCTCAGGAGCTATTGCGGATCACTTTACCAAGCGCTTCAGTGCCGGCATGTGTGGCGTCAAGTGAGTCACTTTTGTTGGTCATGTTGATCTTTACTCTGCTGCGATATTGTGTAACTTTCAGACAGCTAACATGTATAACTCTCTTAATTGGTGTTTTTCTAGCATTGGTGTCGCTGTCCCAAGAGAGCCATTCTCGTTTGGCGGATGGAACAAGAGCCGCTTTGGAAACCATTGTGATATTACTGGAGATGGTGGAGTCGAGTTCTTTTCGATGAGGAGAAAGGTCACGACCAAGTGGGTCGCTCAGGAGAATGCCTCCTGGATGAGTTAAGACGCAGACACTCGCGTACAAAAAAGGGGACGAACTTTATTTACACGGAATGGTTGAGCTCAACATTTTTTTCACTCTTTTTTCGCACTAATAAAGGAAAGCCCGATTTGATATGACTACTGCGGAGAGATGGGGCGTTCAAGGAAGGACGGTAAACATATAACAGGTAGAACAAATTGATCATTGTTCCCTATCACTCTCTCTTCCCTCTGCTCCCAACCAAATCCACAGATTCGGATGATGACTTTCTCGACAGCACCCCAGGAAATCAACTTCCCCCTGACATTGCCTCGGGCCATCTTTCTCGATAGCGGCGGGGTCATCAACGATAATGACCGTCGGGCACCTCAGTGGGTTCATCATCTAGAGCAATATATGCCGACATCCAAGATTGGCGGACCCGGTCGACTATGGGGGAAAGGCAATGCGATCATGTCGGACAGGCTGTTCAAGGGCGAGAACCCTCTTTGGAAGGCACTCATCGACAGATCCAAGGACTTTCATCAGTTCTATCGGGATTACCATCTGTTCTGGATACAGGAAGGCGTCCGGTTGGTGAACAGCTTCCTGAAGGAGGAGTATGATGAGGCCGTCAATAATCTCCAAGGTCATGGAGATGACGGTGCCAACAAGGAGACACCGCCACTTGTTCAGTTGGCCTTGCCCGAGTCTGAAGAGGAACAGATCCAGATTGCCTATGATGCCCACCTCTACTGCACCTCCATCGTCCGTGCAGACTTTCCCGGCGCTGTTGAGGCGATCTTGGAGTTGAAATTTGAGCAAGGGTTCACGATGTACACCTGTTCGGGAGAGTCGGCGACTGAGCTCGAGTTGACCTTCAAGACCCTTGGTATGTCGACCCTTTTGGCCCAGGATGAGAAAAAGGCGGCGCACGGACGGTCGTCAACGCCAACCTCACAGGCGATAACGGATATCAGTGTCGAGGAAGCAGCGGATGTCGTTCTCAGACCGGTATTTACCAGTCTCTATGGACCGGACCTGATTCAATGCCACAAGGGCTCGAGCGAGTTTTATCGACAAATCTTTGAGGACTCTGGGGTGGATGCACGGGATGCCTTGGTTGTTGATGATAAGGAGTACATCCTTGCCTGGGCCAAGGTTCACGGAGTAAGGACGGTGATGATTTCGACCGAGGATCGCCGTGGGAAGGAGATGATGATTGAGGTGAACAAGGTCCAGGCAGATGGAACTGTGGCCAAGGTTATTGTTCCGGTTGTGGATGATCAGCTCGAGTCCCTGTCGCAGCTGCCCGCCTTGACGGCCTCTTGGAAGAAGCACCTTCACGTTAAGGAATAATAAACCCCATCCTGTTCCTGAAAATATTAATTAACCATTACGGGGCAGGGACGACTTTTTCACTCAATTCAAATTTCAAACCCTTGTGCACGCGAGGATGTGTTTTGTTTTGACAAACACGTCCCTTCTCTCGCCCATCGACTTCTTTTGCAAGGAAACAACAACAACAACAACAACAACAGCAGCAGCAACAGCATTCACCCACAATGTCAACACGGCAGTCAAGACGCAAGCCCCGCAAGACCCTGGCCATCAAGTACGTCGACACACTCCATTGCCTCATGTCATGTCATGAATGCATACATTCACCTGGAGAGAACATCGTCACTTTTACTGCAAGCAACAACAAACAAACAACTAACCCTTTCACAACACACCTTTCTTTTACTTTCCGTTTTCTCATTAGCAACGCACATTATGTCGGATATGTTGAGGAAAACGAGTCAATTGAAGCGATCATGAAGAAGTTTGAGGAACTGGCACGCATGGAAGAGGAGTTTGCAAAGTCCAGCAACGGCAACATTAGCAACAACGCCGCAGCTTCAACGCCAACTTCCGACGCAGCCTCCGGAACACCTGTACCAGAATCAGGAGCTGGCAATGGCGAAGGATCCTCGTCCTCAGTGATTCCCAATGGAGAGGTCATCCTGGGTTTGGAAAGAACACAACAGAAGGCTGGTGAGAGCGAGGGTTTCACGGATGAACAACTTCAGGAGATCTTTAGACGTACATCTGGATTCACCGTCCGTTCTATGCTTCGGGATACGCCTGAAGATATTTATGAGGAGGATGTGTGGCAGGCAAACATTGCGGACGAGGACTACCTTTACGATTTCGAGGAGGAAGAGTAAGTACTTCGGACTCGTGCTCCAGCATCGCTTGGTTGGTATATGCATTGCGCATCTTAATTCCTCTGCTAATTATATATCTGTCATATTATCATTTGCTTCAATTGCATGGTTCATTAGTGATTATCTTATGGCAATGGATGATCACTTTTGGGACGAGGAAATCGCACCTTCAAGGAAACGTGGACGCAAGGAGAAGGAGCCCCGTGTGCCTCGCCCGCCTCGTGAGCCCAAGATCAAGGGCGAAAAGAAGCGGCAAATGGGTAATGATCGGGAGAGCATCTTGCAACGATACAAGGTCATGCAAGTCCGCCTTCAGGATCGTCATGGCAACTTTTTCACAGTTAAGAAGAAGGTTTCGACAATAGATCCTAGCTTGCCGACTTATATCCGTATCCCGCCTGTGCCTATTCCTCGGTCTTGGATTCATCCTATCCGTCCCTTGGAAAAGCAAGCTAGTATCGTGCCAGAAGTCCTTGGATCTCGGTAAGCAAAGGGGGATAGTACTTTTGTCAATCGGCCTCGTGTATGATCATGTTGAGTAGCATCTAACACTGGAGAGCTATGTTTTTTCCCTATTTGCCATAGGTATGAGGAGTCAAGTAATATTTTGGATATGGATCTGACTCGGTTTGGCACGGACTTTCAGGCAATCTACATGGACCCACCACTACTGCGTGAGGGAGAAGAGGGAGGACCCAATAGGATCACAATGGCACAGCTGGCGACACTCAACATCGGGCCCATCCTCCCAAAGGGGTTCCTCTTTGTCTGGGTTGAAAAAGAGTTTCTACCTGAGATGGTCCAGTTGGCCGAGAGCTGGGAGATGCGATATGTGGAGAACTTTTGCTGGATCAAGCGAAATGCCAACAACCAAATTGCCCGCGACCGGTCACCGTACTTTAACTCTTCCAAGCTGTCTCTCCTCATCTTCCGCAAGGTAAGCATTTTGCATATATTTTTTGGTGGCGTTTTAGCTTCGTATTGATTCTTGGAACAAGGCATTAACCAATACTATATTCTTAATCTATATGAAAAACAGGAGGGCGATGTTGAACTGAGGCATCAACGGAGTCCTGATTGCGTGTTTGACTTTGTCAAGCCTAGTACGGCAACGGAGCTTTCAGAAGAGAAGCCTAGGTTCATGTACGAGCTGATCGAGACACTCTTGCCACAGGCGGTCTACACTGAAAGCAACCCCAATGGCGATCGTATGATTGAGCTGTAAGTACTTGTTGGTATCCTTATCCTATGCGATTGAGCTCTATAAATGTACACGTGCAGCTTGCTGATAGTTCTCCATTGGCTTAAATCGTCATGTTTGTTAGGTGGGCGCGTCAAGGAACAAGACGCAAAGGATGGACCTCGATCTGTCAACCCAAAGTATTCTAGACATTCAATGATATTTGTCACACCCGTTGGACATATTATCATCTATTCTCATAAAATAACCCCCAAGTCTCATAGAAACCTACAGAACAGAGTTGATTATCGTTGTTCCGGCAGAATTTTCCATTTTCAAGCTGGCCTTGACATTTCAACACTGCTCTCGGGGTGTTCATGCTCTCCGTCGTTGTCACGTCCCGTTCCTGACTTTGTTGGTCACTGGGTGACACCAAACACATTGGTTTGAGTGTTTAAATTCGGGTAACCAACATATGGCAAGAGGACGGGATGAAGGAGGAAGGAGAATCCTTCGTGAAGCAAAAGGAAACGGATTGGTGACCAGCGCCATGTCTTGTCGTCTTATTTTTATTCTTCCTTCTAAAGAGTGAACAAGTTGCTTCTTGCTTTAGCTTCTCCTCTCTCCATAACCTTCGCTTCTCCTCTCTTCCCTTTTCATTTCTTTTTCTTTCTTCTCTTCTCCACTTTCTGTCATCCGCTGCTCGACCTCTTCCCTCTTGCCCCCAATAATACCTCTCACCTCAACTACGTTTACCCACGACAGCAGAGCCCTACTCATTTTATTACCGAGTTTTCTCGTAATATTTTTTTATTTCCTCCTCCCCCTTTTTCTCCTTTACCAACCGGCCAACAACTTCGCCAAGGTACTTACCATCTGTTCTCCAATGCAAGCACAGACTCTTTAAACAGCGTTCCCCTATTCAGCCCACGCTTAATCATACCAGGCGCAACAGCGCCTGGGCATTCATTCACAAAGGAAGCCCGCAAACTCCCCCCCCCCCCTTCATTCCCTACTCGCCACCCCTGGTACTGCGATGGTTAAACTCAGTTATCTCGAAATGTTAACAACGGAGGGAAGAATAATCTTCCGATCATGAATATGTCAACAGAATCAGGACATCAACGGACAGGGAGATTACAGAGCGAGATTCATGGGTGGGTTGGCAGTGTTATGAGGAGTGAGTTCGTGTCTTCTATTCATGGGTAAACATGCAGTCTCTCTGAGTGAGTTTGTGTGCCTAGGCCCCTCTTTTTTCGTCACCTATGCTTTTTACATCCACACGGAACAACTTTTCAATCGCACTAAAAATCTTGATATTTCATTCATTTCTCGGTAACAAATATTTCTTTGTAGCTGTGACAAACATACAAAAATGGCTTCTCCCTCTCCTTCAACTTTCACTCCTTCTGCCGCTTCATTATCCGGACGATCGCCATCGCCCTCAAGATTGCCGCCGTCGCAACAAGAGTCCCGCAGAAGAAACGAACACTACCAAGAGTTCGGCCGCCGGGAACCATCATCACCCTCATCACTGTCATCGTCACCGCCTTCAGCAAGAGCGAGATTGAACCACCCAGGTCACCGCTCACCCTCTGCATCAACATTTTCGTCTTCCTTTCCTGCTCCTCCCCATCCTCCTCCTCAGAATTCAGGTCACCGCTCACCTCCGACTTCAACGTTTTCTTCTACTTCTTATCCTCCTCCACCACCAATTCGTCACAACCTTGATCATTCTCCCGGCCTGCCACTCGCATTATCTCCTTTGCACTCTAACAACTACCAACAACACCAACAGCCACAGAAGCAACACTCTCAGTACCAATACTCAACCAGTGGCGACTTCATTCATACCACCCCGGCCAGCTTGAACTTAGTCCCGCCGCCTGTGCCTTCAAGCCAATCGATCGCCATTCCTCCTCGCAGAGAATCGTCTTATGGTCTAACCAGTCAACCTTCTCACAGTCGGTCTACTCAGTCACCCATTTACTCGCCTACATCTAACTCTTTTGATTCTCGTTCGTCACCTTCGTCGTTGAACTCGGGAGCCGCCTACCAGAGATACGCCAACACCGACACTACTACTATTGTTTCTAATCTCACACCTCCTCAACCATCATACGTCCCCTCGCGCTCTCGACCTTCCATCAGCCGACCAAACTCAATCGTCTCCGTATCGGCTTACTCGACCCATTCGAACGAGCCCCTGAACCAGTCCAAGTCGAGCAAGACCAATACTAAACTTCAAAGGCTTTATTCACTAAACAAGAAGTCTTCCGAGAACACCATGTCTACTTTGGCCTACAAGGACGGATCTTCATCTACTACAAGGGTGAGCACAAGCCGCCTGAATCTTCCAGAGCACCGGGGGATGTATAGCAACATGAGCCCCGTCAACCTCAATGATCCATCTCACCTAGCTCGAAGATCATCACAATCGTCAACCCGGTCGTCATCTTCATTCACAGGTCGCAAGCGAGGCTGGAGGGCAAGATGGGATGACGTCCGGCCAAGAAAGTATAACCCTCAAGATTACAACATCAAGGGTTTCGGTCGAGTGGCCCAGTTCTCGAACGAGCGTCTCTATCTGCATTGGATCAGGTTTGGGGTGTTGCAGGCCGGTATTGCAGTGATGCTGCTGAGTTTTGGAATTGGCATTGCGTCGTGGGTGGGTGTAGGGTCGTTGGCTCTGTCGCTGTTGACGCTGATCTATGCGACGCAGTTGTTCCATAAGAGACATTTGTATATGGTCAGCAAGCGGAAGGATGTCAAGTTCTTTGCGAGGACGATCCCGACACTGTTGACTATTGGACTTTTCCTCCTTTACGGTAGCAATTTTGTCTGTAAGTGTCATTCTCCATCTCCCTTTTTCATTGTTTGAGTGATACAAACAAGATTCATATGTATAGGGTTGCAAAGCTGACGATCTCTCCTTATTGCGTGTTTGATAGTGACCATATACTATGACGATGAAGCAAGAAGTCCCCCACCATGGACTCAGAAGGACCCCACCAACTTTAATAGCGTTTTTTAAGGACAAAGGTTCTCCTTATGTTCTATTCTCTTACATCCCCTTTACATATTCATCATAATCCATAGGGCGCTCCTATTGATAAAGCAGCAACTAGTAATTTCAAACCATCAAAAGTGAATGCACAGGCCAGGGGCGCGTCTTCAGGTCCGATCTGTCAATTTTTATGCATTCCCGTCACAGCCCCCTCCATTGAGTCACGGGGCAAACGGGTGGCGAGGCTTCTTTGACTGACTGGACGCTGCGCGCAAAAGGGAATGTATGTAATGTGGATGTGAGTGTGAATACTTGTATATGTCAAGTGGTCAGTGTCTCTCTCTCTCTCTTTCTGGCTGGTATGTCTTTTACATACAAGAAAGGAAGCCATCGGTCGAGTAGGACATTCAGCCTTGGCTTCCTTCTCCCCTGCCTTGTGAGGTCTTTCGTTTCGTTCGGGGTGTGGTTGCTGTCGTCTCCCCTGTTCCATTTTAATTTTTTTTTTTTTGCTTTCCCCTTCTTTTCTTCGTTCTCTCTCTCCCTCTTTCTTTCCTTCCTTCCACCCCCACAACTTTCACTCCACACATCACACATACACGCCGTTTACATCCATTCTCACCTCCCTTCTCTCTTTGACTTGATTGCATCCTTACCAACAAACCAACCAAGAAAGGCCTTTGTCACGAAAAAAAGGTACAAGCTACTCTTACGGACGAACAGAGCCTGGATGATGACTCGCGCAGTGACCAGGCGTTACTACTGTCGCAGAACGCCATGGCAGCCGCCTCATCCCTTTTTTAATATGCCTGCGCGTACTCCACCTCAGACCGTGGTCGATCTTGCTTCAATACCGAGAGAACAAGAAATCAAGCGGCGTGATGTGAACAAAAAAAAGCCAGTTGTAAGCCGCATGGAACAAGAGGAAGAGCCACAGGATGTCATCATCCAACTTTTTCTTTTTGTCTACAGACAGGGCATTAGCGACCTTGACTCCAAACAAATAACTGCTTTATGTGCTCGCCCTTTTTGTCATAGTGTTCGACCGATTGGTCTACACCATCTCTCCTCCAAGAGATCGAAGGGAGGAACGTTCAGCAACAGCGTCATCGAAAAAGGATAAAAGCTGTCTTTAACCTTATGCGCGTCTCTTTCTCGTCTTCTTTCTTTGTAATGCCTTTTAGAAACCATATACACGCACTCTAGTGTTCTCTTCGACTAGCACTTTCTCTCTTTGTCAACATCACCTCGTTTATTTTTAAAGATCGATCATCATGAGCCTCACGGATGTCAGCGACGTTGACGGTTGGATTCAGCACTTGATGCAGTGCAAGCAGCTCCCAGAGGCCGACATCAAGAGACTCTGTGAAAAGGTAAACTAACCAAAAAATAAGACTTGCATGACTTTGAAATAGGACAAAACAGGCAGCAGACGTGCTGGATAGAGAGAGAGAGAGAGAGACAAACACAAAAATAAAGGGGATGGGGGCAGGAGAGAGTGTCGCGTCAGTGTTGACACTGTTTGTCAAGAACAAACTGCGCGTTCGATGAAAACAGCAATATGATGGAAATAAGCCTTTCCGGCGACGCGTGGTTTATGAAGACAGACCTAGGACATGGACAAACGACATTGGTTGTAAAAAACAATCATGGTCGCAAGGACACTGGTAGGAAACAAAACACAGGATATGGGGACTTTTGGAAAGGACTAACCAAAAAAAAATCATAACACCCCAACAGTCTGGAGGCAGGAGACACGGAGTGCACACATAAACCAATGTCAAGCAAGGACTCCGGGTTTTTGGGACAAGGATCTCTCTTTTTTTACACACGTACGCGGGACGAACCGTGAGGAGTCGTCGCATTATGTTGTCTATGCTGACAAGCAGCGTTTTGTGTCTCCTTGTCTTTTTTCTGCAAATTCATTGATAGGCTCGTGAGGTCCTTATGGAGGAGTCCAACGTCCAGCCTGTGCGCTGCCCCGTTACTGTTTGTGGTGACATCCACGGTCAGTTCCACGATTTGATGGAGCTCTTCAGGATTGGAGGCAACTCCCCCGATACCAACTACCTCTTCATGGGAGACTATGTCGATCGTGGTTACTACTCTGTCGAGACTGTCACGCTCCTGGTCGCCCTCAAGCTCCGCTACAAGGACCGCGTCACCATCCTGCGAGGAAACCACGAGTCGCGTCAGATTACTCAGGTCTATGGGTTCTATGACGAGTGCCTCCGAAAGTACGGCAACGCTAATGTCTGGAAGGCCTTCACCGATCTCTTTGACTATCTCCCCCTCACTGCCCTGATCGAGGACCAGGTATGACACCCTTTGTTTACCTGCTTGAACAGGCTGATCGCATCATGGAGCGTTCGGTGTGTGATATGATCATTGCGATTGCTCGCTAAAACGTAACGACTATTGCATCATTTAAATGCCTATAGATCTTCTGTCTTCACGGTGGTCTTTCGCCCTCCATTGATTCTCTGGATCACATTCGCTCGTTGGATCGCGTTCAGGAAGTGCCACACGAAGGACCCATGTGCGACTTGCTCTGGTCTGACCCGGATGACCGCTGCGGATGGGGCATTTCCCCTCGTGGAGCTGGATATACCTTTGGACAGGATGTCTCGGAGACCTTTAACCACAACAACGGATTGACACTGATTGCCAGAGCTCACCAGCTTGTCATGGAGGTAATACGCATGTCAGCTTGTTACAATTCTTACCATTAAGGTAGCTATCGATCATTCATTCAGCAACTGACAGTCTTATTATGATATCTTTGCGTGCTATGTAGGGTTACAACTGGTGTCAGGACAGGAATGTGGTGACAATCTTCAGTGCCCCCAACTACTGCTACCGATGCGGCAACCAGGCTGCGATCATGGAGATTGACGAGCACTTGAAGTACACGTTCCTCCAGTTTGATCCTGCTCCTCGCCGTGGCGAACCCCATGTCAGTCGCCATGTCCCCGATTACTTTTTGTAATCGTTGCGCGCTTCCTATTGTACAGTTTTTTATATTCGTTTTACGTCTCTTTTTTCGATTACTCTTTCGTTCCTTTTCTTCCTCTTTCTCTTCTGTTGTCTTTTTTCAAGTAGCTACTTGTCGTTACCAGTCTAGTGTGTCTTTATGTTCCCTTTCGTCTGAGCAATAAAATAAGGTGAATGATATCCGCATGGTACCAGTTGCATATCTTCATTGACCAAGTCCTCCTTGTGCCACCAGTTTCAAGTCTAGAAGACGAAGTTAAGATCTTGCTTGTGACCTAACGCAAGCAAGCCACAACTCAATTGAGACTTCTCATCATCTCATGTCCATTTTGTGCCCTCATCCAATCAATTCAACCTCGTCGATATCTCGACCCCTTCTACACGACTCTCAAGGGACAAAGACTGTCGAAAGTAATTCATCTTCGTCACATGGTTTAAAAAACTGGGTCGTGCATGAATGGGACGAAGAGAAAGCAAAACGGCCGATGTGACTTGGTATCAATTGAATCATTGAAGTGGGGCGCTTTCTTGTAGCTCCGGGGGTTCTTGCCAAGTCAGAAAGTTGACTACGATATGATTTGACTGTTTGTCGCGAATGGTATTTCGACTGGTACAAAATCACTAACATCAGAATGCTCCGAAGATGGTGGTGAGCAAGGGATGCACAGAGTCAACTTTGTCCAAGTCTAAATTGGCATAGGTCTTTGATATAGGAACGCAAACCTCGTAAATGCGACAGGTCCTTGCGCATGGGCCCGATCGAAATCTGCAACTTTGAGGTGAAGCGTGATGGTGCGTCACGACAGGAGGTGGCGTCAACAAGAGCATATTGCTAGGGGCTGGGCAGGTATTGTCTGGAATATCCATCGCTTCTATGCATTCACGGTAAGTGGGGTTCAATGCCTGACAAGTCGTCGTAGCGAAACAGTGGAGTTTATTCTTACCGCCCCGCCCCTTATATATATATATACGTTTTATAGGAATTCTGGCGGTGGTGTTTAGGATACGAAAGTGGCAAGACATATGGGTGGCAGGTAAGGCATCGAGTACGATTGTCCTTCCGTCGAATCTCCATGAACTCCGAGTGTTCTTGCAGGACCCTGCTCATCAAGTTGCAGAGCTGTTGGTATCTCGTCCGTGAATGTGGTCTTCTTGCATTGTCCATTAATTAGATGCTAATATTATTCCTCACTCGTGTTTGTGCATTCTCTATAAGCGCACTACAAAGAGGCCCATCAAGCTCACCAACAATACCAGTACCGACAAAAGGGCGAAGATGCAGAAGCGCGGCAGGAAGACTGGGCAGCCTGGGCGTGAGGTATCTGATGAAGAATAGGTTTGGATGTAGAGGTCTGTTAGCGCAATTAAAATGGTTTGTATACCCCCTCAACTTTTTTTTTGCTCTTTTTTCTTGCTCGAATTTGTAACGATATCACTCAAACGAGATACAACCAAGGGTGGGTCTCGCTCCTTGATTTTGAACACAGCACCATCACTGATCACTTTATCAGTCTCACAGAGTGAGGGATCAAGTTGTCGTTGAAGCAGCACAAATTTTTTTTTTTTCGCGCAACGACCCCCTCTATTTCACTGCTCGAGCGGCTCGAATAGACTTTGGTCTAGGCAATCGAAAAATCAGCGAAAACAGTCTCTCTGAGATGCAAATAGAAGTAGAATAGAATAAAGGGCGAGAGACGGAGACAGGGTGGGCTGCACATGTTGAATTTGAGCATGTCCCTGGAATTTTTTTTGCCCGTGTTTCTGCAGAGAAAAAGGAGAGCTCGACCAAGAAAAAAATCAAAACGCGCATTTTCTCACACTCCGTGGCACCCATTTCTTCTGTCCTTACATCTCACCGACACAATGAATCTCGTTCGACTGGCTCAACATCGCATCCATGCCACTCCTGTTGCTGCTCGGCTCCAGAGTCGTCTCCTCCCCCTGCCATTGCCATGTCTGACAACTTCAAGCATCCGGTTCAGTCATTCGTCCTCTTCCTCGTCCTCGTCTGATGACAAGGCCCGCGCACCATTCAACCACAACATGAGCTTGAGACTTCGTGGCAAGAACGTGTTAATGTAAGAATATATTGACATATTGCGGAGTTGTGGGAGAGAGGGTATTGAGCGTGGGAGTAAAGTAAAAGATGTATGAATGAAAATTGGATACATCATGAACTGACGTGTTATCATACCCGTGGTTGTGTCACCGACTCCATCCGTGTGTGTGGAATAGCACTGGCGCTTCCTCAGGTATTGGTGAGGCGTGCGCACGCCATTTCGCTCAAGCAGGATCCAACTTGGTAACATATGATGGCTTTTTTGATCTGATAACTTGGCTTACATTTGGGATCCGCATCACACGCGTTTCTAAACTCTCATATTTTTTTCTTCTTACTCGACTTTAGTTGTTGGCTGCGCGTCGCAAGGACAGGCTGGAAAAGCTGAAAAAAGATCTGGAATCCCAACATCCTCAGATCAATATCAGAACGTTTGAGCTGGATGTCCGTAATCGTGCCAAGGTCCAGGCCACTGCTGCCACATTTGGAGATGTCGATGTCCTCGTCAACAATGCCGGTAAGGGGCGATCAACCTCGCCTTATCTCCTTTTTTTTTGTTTTGTGTATTTTTTGCCGTTTGAATTGCTTACTCAAATGTCACTCCTCCTTCCCTTTGGTACACAGGCCTTGTGATTGGATTGGAGAAGCTGGAGGATATTACAGAGGAAGCGATGGACACGATGATTGACACGAATGTCAAGGGTCTAGTTCATGTTACTCAGGCAGTGTTACCCGGCATGCGCGTTAGAGACAAAGGCCATATCATCAATATTGGATCTGTGGCTGGACAGCAGGCTTATGGAAACGGGTCAATCTATTGCGGATCCAAGGCTGCGGTGGCGTCGATCTCCAAGGCTCTTCTTTTCGAGACTATCGATACGGCGATCCGCATCTCTGAGATCAACCCAGGTAAGCCAGTCTTGATATTTATCGCCTCAATCGTTGTTGCTATGAGTTTTACACCTACTAAAGCCAGTTGTTCTGTATATGTTTCACCCTGAATGGGAAAAAAATAGGAATGGTGGAGACCGAGTTCTCGGTGGTGCGGTTCAAGGGCGACAAGAGCAAGGCGGACTCTGTTTACAAGGGCGTCCAGCCACTGGATGGCAATGATATTGCCGAGACAGTTGTCTTTGTTGCTGGAAGGCCGGAACATGTCAACATCGCCGAGATGCTTGTTTTTCCTACCAACCAGGCAGCAGCAACCACTGTCTACCGCAAGCCTTGAATTCGTTTGTTGTTAATTCTATTTTCTTTTTCTTTGTTCGGTGTATAAGTACGAAGGAGAATCTTGAAATAAAAAGAGAGAATAAAAGTCCAATCAGGCAAGAAAGAGATTTACGTTATACTTTGTAAAGCTAAATATGAGAAAGGGGAGTGAGGATTGAGAAAAAGGATGATGGAGGAGAAGGGCAGTAACGCTCCTCTCTTGTCCTCCTGTCTACCTCGTTCTCCTCAACGGCGCTCTTTCTAGCTCACATACTCCTGTATTCCAAATATCTCCTTGGTTGGTGCTTGGTCGTGTTGACAGATTGGAAAAAAAGGGGGCGGGCTCGAGCGGGTCAATACAGAACGAGTGAATGGTCTAGAAAATGCTCAGGTGCATCTCCATACCCTTGAACAGAAAGAGAGATAGGAGTGATAAGCAAGGAGGCACTCATGATGGAAAAGGACAAATCGAAAAAAAAAAAAAAAAAAAAAAAGGTTTTGTTGAATCATCTTCATTAGGAAGAGCTCTGATTGTCTGTTTGCCATCACATCTTGACTTTTTTTTTTTTTTTTTTTTTTTTTTTCTTTTTTTTCTTTCGTCCTTTCCTTTTGTTTTGACTTGCCCTCGCTTATTCGTCTTCCTCACCTTCGCCCTCCTTTTACTTCCTTTTTATTCTCTCTTTCCTCTCTTCTCTTCTTCCTCCCTTTTCTTTTCCTTTCTCTTCTGTCCTGTTCTGTTCGTTTCCTCCTCTCCCCTCTTTCCTCGTCCCTTCCCTCTCTCTTTCCCCCTTTTCGTCTTGTCCCCATCCCAACCAGCCACTCATTCTTTTTTCCGCCTTTCCTTCTACCTCTTTCCCTCATTTCCTTTCCTGCCATCCTCACGCTCAACATCATCACCATTCAACAGTTAGTTATTCCAAACTGCCAGTAAGTCACCCTCCAACTCAAACGACAATTGCTACCGCAACGACTATGACAAGAAAAAGAAAAGTAAAAAAAAAAAAAAGACCGACTTTGGTGGAGACACTTAATAAGCGGCGTGGAGCAGCTCCTGGTTTGGGGGTGGCGGGACAATAATGTTGGCCCTTGCACACACAGGGAAGGACACACACGCACCTGAGCAGTATTCCCACATGAGCAGTATTCTATCTGGGGGAAGCGACGTCTAGAATTCTTGCAGAAGCTTGTCTCAGCGACCCAGTCCAATTGACCGTCGACAAACACGGACCAACGACACACACAGCTTGTCCACGCTTTTCATTTGCTCATCAACCCTTTTTCTTTTCTGTGTGTATCATTTTGTAGACAGACAGAACAGAGAGGCCAGGCGAACAACAGTGACTACAACGAGACATACTGCTTTTCATTCCATTTCTTTTTTCTATCTTTTTTCTTTTTTCTTTTTTCTTTTTTCTTTTTTCTTTTTTCTCCTTTCTTTTTTTTTCCCGCATTCCCTTTTTTTCTCCTTCTCTCGCGTTCATTTTTTCGTGCGCCCTCTCCCTCGACCATCCTGTAGGTAGGGTGTGTTTTTTCTCATCACTTTTTTGCTCGTCAAAAAGAGTCGGTGAAGGGCGAGACTTCCCTCACGTCCTTCAGCGATATCCTGGACTGCCCTTTTATTGATCATACCCATCAACGCGTCTATATGGACCAAGCACGCGTGGTTGCTTGACAACTTCATTGACGCGCACCCCAACCCAAACTGACCCAAGTAAAGAACCCTAGAACTTGCCATCCTGATTTTTTTTTCACTTTTTTGTGGATATCTTCATCGTCGGGCAAACAAACCCCTTTTGACCACCCATTCCCCTATTCTGCAGATCTATTCTCCGTGAAACCCCTTTCTTTTCTCAAAGGCGTTTGGTTACAGAAATGCAGCTCAAGATCACCCCAACATTTGACAAAGATCATCGACCACACCTAACAGAGCACATACCGTCAAGACAAGAAAAAGAAACGAGGCGCGACCCAACCACGTCGTATTCGTTAACGCAACAACAACAACAACAACAACAACAACAACAACAACAACAACAGCTACAGCAACAACAACAACTACTACAACAACAACTACAACAACAACAACAACAACAACTACAACAACAGTATCAACAGCAACCTTCAGCGCTTACCCAAGTACAACCACCAACACTGACCCAATCGACGACGCCGTCACACACTCCACCAACACCGCTGCCTTTACCACAGCCTTTACCACAGCACGCGCTGGACACGCAACATAGTCCAAAGTCAACTCCGCCTATAATCCCGACATATCAAGGACAGATAACTTCAATGGATCGACAAGGCGTTGGTCCGACAGCGAGCAACAGCATGGAACACTTGGCAACCATAACTGCGACATCGTCTAACTCCGAACCTTGGGGAGACATGCTGAACATGTCGCATCCAAGAGCCAAAGTGACCTACACTACGGACAGGACACGGTCTGAAGGTACCATCCGCTTATTCACGTCGACACCTTCACCTGATGGTAAAAAAAAAAATTAAACTTCCTCTGCCCTTAACCTGTTGGTGAAAGAAAAAAAGTGGATGACACTAAACCTCTCTCCCCCTCTCTCTCAACCATTTTCTGTAAAAAGGCCGGATGACAACAAGTACAGACCCTGACACTAGCAGGTGTCAAGAAGGCATTGCCCTAAGCAGACATGGACCAGATACGCACCCGGACCCTACTTCCATTCGTCATCAACTACAGGGTACTCAAGGCCAACTATACCACTATTATCTTCAACAACACCGACAACCGGCTCCATATTATGTACGTCCTGAGCCTGGCCACCCTGGCAGGCGTGCGAGCGGGCCACTGTCGACACCCGAGAACGCCACGTCAGGAGCAAAGATGCATTCAGAGAACCCCAGGTCGAAGGAATCTAATGGATATGACCGGTTATCATTGGTATCAGTTCAATTACCTCCCGTAGTTTGTAATTGTATAACGAACCGTGGAGAGGAGGGAGACTAATGCCTTCTTGGCTTATTCTTCGTTGTCGCCTGTGATAGCTGGCAGCTCCTCGACGCAAGAGCCAACATAACACCGTATTTCCTTATCGTCGGCTCTCTGCAGACATCCTATCGAGTGTAGATCGCAGTGGGCTTGCTTTCGGAGGAGAGGGGAACATAGGGCTATGGAATGATGATGGAGGTAAGATTATGTTACGTGTTGTGAGACGAGCGTACAACATTTATTATGAACATGGGGTGACGGCTAACAACTGTGGCTATTGAACGACTGTAGGCTATCCTCAAACCAGGGGTCCACCACATCACAGTGGCATAAAAAATAACCGATTCCACCAGCCTTCTCTGGACCCTGGCGACATGCACAGAGTGGAGTATCGCCAGGGCCATGGCTGGGTGACCCACCATCACCACCCGAGGCACTCATATTCCCATTCTCGATATTGTCCATACCCAAATCGTTCTCCCTATCTACAAACGTACGCACGGTCAGGAGCTCAAGGGGGTCATGCTGCAAGTCAAATCCAAGATTATATCGAACCAGGGCCAATACCACTGAGATATGCCTCCAACCCTGGGGATCCATTCGCTCGACCGATTCAACACCATCACTACCACCACGACTCATATCGATCTGATCAAGTCGAACGACAGGATGGCCTTGTGCCAAGCTCGAGTGATTACCATCGCCACAACTTTGGCCATCAATACCAGCATCGACCAGCCGAGGGATCGCTTCGTCCATTGGATCAACAACAACAGTCCAGTCACCCTACTGGTGATGGCCACTCCAACGACTGCCCTGATGCTCCAGAATTGATACCGTCTTTATTATCACCTCATCCGCCGCAGTACAATTCCGATCCTGGTTATCCGCTCCCAGGTCAACTATCAAGACTTGACGACCCACAGGGATCGATACACGAGCGTCAGAAGATTCATTATCAATCACAGGAGCATCCGCGGCAGCAACAGTCGCCAACACTACAAGAACAACAACAACAACAACAGCAACAGCAACAGCAACAGCAACAGCAACAGCAACAGCAACAGCAACAGCATCAGCAACAGCGACAGCAACAGCATCAGCATCAGCAACAGCGACAGCAACAGTTACAACAACAGTTACAACAACATAACCCAGAGGATTCAGGTGCTCGTCAAGAATTAGTAACGAGCACTGAATTGGGAAGGCAACAAGCACAACTCGGCTCTTCTGGACAAAGTCCAAGGAGCCAGGGGCACGGGCATGGCGGACCACAGTGGCAACACTCTTCCCGCGACGACAATCAGACTCCGCAACAGTCTGGTCATTCTCAGCCCAAACAACCTGCACCTGTGTTTCTCTCAACATCACAGAGAACACGGGAGGCACCAGAGAAGAATCCTAAAAGATCAGCTTCCTTTTCCTCATCCATTGCGCAAGACACGCGTGCCGGAGCAAGGACCAATGGTGCCCGCTCTCTAGTCAAGAGGTCATCCATCCCCCTTGCTATTGAAACACACAGACGATTATCAATGCCAGCAGGAGCATTCGGTAATCAACAAACAGCAGTCATCGAGGTGGCCGAACAGTCCGTGCATGGGAGCCATCAGCACATTCACCATGCAGGAATGCAACCCGGTCACCGGCCATCACAGACAGCCAACGACACAGGGTCCCAGCCCACAACTCGATCCCTTCACGGCGACAGAGATGGTGGAATTGAAGGCGTGTACCAACAAAGCAACGACGACAGTATGACGACGGATGTGGAAGAAAGGGACGATTGTATTCAGAGCTACAGCCGCTACCATGAACGAGGACAACGAACGGGCCTCATGAGGAAGGAGCGCGACGAGGAGGACAGGGCGATGGAGGGTACTCAGGATGCTTCCTCTCGTCAACGCGAGGCTACTCAAATACCAACGGATCGCCCGCTCTCCAGAGCCGGTGAGAAAGTTTGGGAGAGGAAGGTCAGTCTTGGGTCGTTAGGCCAAGTATCAGAGCCGACCGCCAAGATTTTGAGAAGTTTGTCCGTTGACATGGAGTTGCTGTACATGGACTTACCGCGCATGGGAAGACGAACCAACCGAAGGTCGGTGCCATTAAGCAGAGAACCTGGAACAGTCGCTGGAGAAGTAGTCGATTTAAGGGGACAACAGCTCCTTCCGGATGGCCAGGAGAGGGATCAGGACGAATCGATCCAAGGTAGCGGGACAAACCTGGACGATAGTCTGCAGAGTCAGAGTAGAGAAGCTGAGACAGATTCATCCTCCACAAGAGAAGCGTCATCGTCCCTCTCTGTGGTTGCCGATACTGCAGCAAGGCTCGGCGGAATGGCCATGGCGACTTCATCTCCCATTGGACCTTTGACAACCTCGGGTGAGTTTTGATAAATGAAATGTTTGAAAGCAACGGTAGTAACAACGTGTAACATGAGCACAGCTATTACATGAAAGGTAACCTTTCTAATATACCTTTTTCGTACCATTTAGACTTGAGCTTTGGAGAGTCTACTTCGGCTGACAGGGATGTGACCCAGAGAGATCTGCGACGACTTCTAACAGGAACAAATGGTGCTTCACTCATCTTGGGCCAAGCAGGATACTATACGACGCGCGATATCGAAGCGCTGTTTGCCCACTGGGAAGAGAAGTACCTTTCGTCGTGGGAAGCAGGAGATGCCAACAGTCTGCGACCAGAAATTGGAAAAGGCTCCAAAGGCAAGGGCAGGAAGCTGGACGAGTCTCGCGATATTTGGAAGAGGAAAGACTCGAGATCAAGCCTCTATGACGAGTCCAACAAGGCAGCAGGATTCGAGGAGGAGGATGAGAGTGACGATGATGACGATGATGACGATGATGACGATGATGACGATGATGACGATGATGACGATGATGATGACGATGACGAGGATGAAACGGAGAGTGACCAGGATGAGGTTGACGGGAACAAACGCGGAGCCGAGGGCGCATCGGGCTCTTCCAAGAGGAAGAGGCGTTTGTCGAGTAGGCGCGTTAGCAAAGGCAGAGGCAAGGCCAAGGACAATTTGGAGTCCGGTGGCAGGAAGCAGAAGAAGTTGAAGTCGGCCGAGGAAACGAAGAGACACCCCTGTAAAGAATGTGGGAAGCGGTTCTCGCGACCCAGCCAGCGGGATACACACTATCTCACACACACTGGCGAAGTAAAGCTAAAGAGGAAAGCGTGTCGCTTGCATGATATATTGTGCTTGCAATTATTGGGGATCGAGGTTTTAACCACTTTCACCTTTTTGTTTTGTCACCTGAATAGAGACCTCATAAGTGTGTTTCATGCGACGCGTCCTTCAACGTCGCCAGTAACTTGAAGAGACACGCCGTGAAAGTCCATGCTCCCGACAGAGTGCCTCCAGGCGGAAACGACGTGGAGCAGCCATCGTCGAGCTCGTCAGTGCAAGGCATTGTACTGTTGAGTCCGGCTTCTTTGTTCATGTCCGCCCCATTACATGAACCACAACAGCCACAGGAGATACACCAACACGAACAGCAACAGCAGCAACAACAACCGGTTGAACAACAAAATCAGCCTTCGCAAACACAACCCTCCGGAGATCCACAAACAGTGGAGCTTTCGTCCGACAATTTACAGCAGACGAGTCATCCACAATCAGCGCTTGAAAAACAACACCATACACAGCAACAGCAACAGCAAGTGTACCAACTTCTCCTTTGCGCCGTCACAGCACTCACCCCGCCGCCGCCACCAACTCAACCAACTGCGTCGTCACCGTCTGGATCAGAAGGGCAGCAGCAGCAGGAAGCGCTTGTCAGTTTGAGATTGTCACCTCCAACAGCAACAGCAACACACAGAGACGAATCTGTGTCTTCCGCCAAAGAAGTTCACGACGACGGTTCGCCTCGTCCCTCGTCCGACGTTTTAGCAATCCGACGTGTTAGCAATCACCAACGTCCTAACAATCGCCGACGTCTTAACACTCGACGACGTTAAAGCTATCATCTTGCCTGTCTCGCTGCCATTAACAAGCCCGATCCACTTGACGACCTCTACCTCGTCGTTTGGTCGCGCTCGCGTTAACTGAGGCCATGGCAGTGATGGAGCAGCACAAGGACAAACATCATCAACAAAGGCGAAGCGAGCGTCCTCGAGCCAGAGAACAACAACACCCACAAGCCCATCATCAACAACAACATAGCCGATGGAGACCAGAATTCGTGGCCTTGGTGGTGTCATCGTCGTCTCCTTTTTCTTTCTCTGGTTCGGAACATCCGTAGTTTGTTTATCAACATATACACTATCTAACAAACATTCAATATTTTGTCTACTGGGAGGTTTTATTGTTTAAATTTGAAACTATGCTCTTTCTTTACAAAACCATCCAAGCAACGCCAAAGACGAGGGCAAGGGCAATTGAACTCTTAGAAGTTATCAGAGAAGCGGCACTATTTCCAAGGTCGAGCTGGGCAGGGCCAAACATGGGGGTGGTTCCGAAGCCAGCAGTGCCGGTCTCGCCCTTGCTAGGAGCGGCTGGTCCACCCTTGGCCCCAGCGGGAGGAGCACCCCCCGGAGGCGATGCAGGTGAAGCGATTCCAGAAGCAGGCTGCTTAGTCTGGCGCTGTTGAGGTTGGGGCTGACCGGCAGAGGAACCAGGGGCAGTATGTTCTGGAGGTCCGCCGGCGCTGGGCTCGGACATTGGTGAGTCGGCGGGAGGTGTCAACTTGTTGTCTTTGGTGTCCTTGGCATCGGTGGTGAAGATGGAAGTGGCATCGTCTTCGGCGGCGGGCACTGCGGGGTGCTTGCGGTGATGCTTTTTTTTGTGATGGTTCATCTCGAGGCCTTGGGCGGTGATCTCGACATCGGAAGAGTCGTCCGCCTCGGCTTCGATCTTGGCCGCTCCATCCGTTCCAAAGATGTTCTCTAAAGCGGCGTGGACACGCTCCTCCTCAGTCATGTCAGGAGCAGCAGCGGGAAGATCGCGCTTCTCGTTCTGGTGCCGATCCTGTTGCTGCTTCATGCCACCCTTCTTGTTGGCTACCTTCTTCTTGTTCTTCTTGTTGGCCACCTTCTTCTTGTCCTTCTTATCTTGCTGTTGCTTTTTCTTGGCAGCCTTGGCCTTCTTATCCTCCTTCTGCTTGTTGAGACGCTGCTCAAAGTCCAAGTCTTGAAGCTGGTTGTTGCCGACGAGCTTGACATCAGGAAAGACGTCGGCGGCAAAAAGCTCAAAGAAGGCGTTGGCGCCCTGGTGCTCGGTGTCGGCGATCTGTTGAGGCGTCAAGGGAGACTGAGTTTTTTTGTTCCCCGTCTTTTCCTTCTCAGCCTTGGCATCCATAACGGCTCGCATGTCCTCTGGGGGGACGAAATCGGCAGCGCGGGCGAGGGTCGTGGTGGCGTCTTCGGCCATGGGGGTAGTTACGTCTGCGGTTTGATCGGACTCCGCTGGCGCCTCGGTAGTGTCGGTCTCCCCCATGGACAATTGCTGCTGCTGCTGCTGCTTTACGAGCTGCTCTCGGAGTCTGGCAAAGGCTTGCTTGCGATGACCCTTCTTCTTGCCGCCATCAGGGACCATAGTCGTAGCTTCGTCCTTCGTCTCATCAGCGTCCTTATCGTCCTCTGCGTTATCCTCCTCACCTTTCTTGCCCTTCTCGTCCTTCTTGTCACCAGGATCCTCCTTCTCCTCCCCTTCCTCCTCCTCCTCCTCTTCTTCCTCCTCCTCCTCCTCCTCTGGTTTTAGCGGCTTGGACTCCTTGTTGTAGGTGGTGGCATCCGCAGTGGTGTCGACAGTGGCAGGTGCGGCATCGTGATTTTCGGCAGAATACGTGTCACTAGCCTTCTTCTCGGCCTCCCTCTCCAGGGTGACATCCTTGATGAGGTTACCGTCCTTGTCCAACATGACCTGGTCTCCCACACGAGGGGTGCCATCAACGGCCACAGTTTTAGTCTCGGTCTTCGTCTCAGACTCGGTCTCGTCAGTGGCAATAGTCGTCTTGTCATTGTCGTTCTGGACATCCTTATCGTCGTCGTAATCATCGGCCTTCTTCTCGTCCTCCAATTCTGTCGCTGTGGTCTTCTTGCTCTTCTTCTTCTTCTTGTCGTCGTTGGCAGCTGCAGAAAGATTGGACAATGAGACGGGGCTGAGGATGACGGAGGGCGACTCTTCATCAACGACAGCAACGGCAGTGACATCCTTGTTGTCATATTTCTTCTTGGTATCGGTGGTATTAGCGTCGTTGTTGCGGCTCACAGACTCTTTCTCTGCTGAAGTAACTACTCGAATCATAAACAGGGAGTGATAACACGAACGAGAATAAATCAGACGTGTAGCTCATACATTTCATATTATTTCTCTCAATATTTTTTTTTTTCCCCAGCAAAGAGGTTTTTGCAGGTCGTTTTACACGAGCTGCAAAAGTAGCTCTTTTACCTTCATTTTCAAGACCGTCGTCGACTGCAAGTTCCATCTCTCCAGATTGGATATCCTCCACCTCTTCCATCGCTCCCACATCCTTGGCGGTGGCTGCCATAGGAGTCGTAGATTCGACAGCAGCAGGAGCATCGCTAGTCTCCTCCAACCGGATCTTACGATATAATGCCAACGACGCACCCTCTAACGCGTCCTTTTGTTGTTGCTCCTGTTGAAGGTTAGCGGATGGGGTCGTATTGTTGGAATGAGAAACCATCGCTGCTGCTGCTGCTGCTGTTGCTCCTGCTGCAGAGGTGGTCCCCCAAAGCTGTGGGCCAGCACCAGCAGGTCCAGACCCCCCAGTGGACAAGGAAGCGATCGTCTGCAAGTTATGAAGCACGCCCAAGTCGAACGAGACCTTGCTGTTTCCACTGTTGGCCACGACTGACGCGCCATTGTTGTTATTGTTGTTGTTGTTGTTGTTGCTGCTGATGTTGATTGTTGTTTCGGCGTTGGCTGGGGTGGGGAGGACGAGGAGACCTTGGATCATGAGTGCTGCTGCGCCTAAGATGAGGAGGGGTGCTTTTGAGCCCGCACCTCCGTTGGTGGTTTGTTGATATTGTCGCTGGTGGATCATGTTTGTGAGTTGAGGAGGAGGGGGGAGGTATAAAAAAAAATTGTAAGATGTGGAAAGTGACAGCCGAGGGATTCGTTACACAAGAAGAAAACCGTGCAGAGCTTTGGCCAGGATAGGGTATATCGCGAGTGGGGGAAAGGTATTACAAAAGTGATGAAGAGGGAGGAGGAGGAAAGAAACAATAGGAGTCAAAAAGAAAAAGAAGAGAGCCTTTCTCTTATTCTATTTTTTTTTCCCCAGGTCCTGATATGCCCTGACAAATGATTGTGCGCGCATGCATGTGTATGCATATTGCACATCCACGAACACTAATATCTTCCAATTATGGACACACAGTCGCCCTACTTTCCTTAAGAAGACGCTTCTATCCTCATCCGCGTTAATCCGTAACGCACAGTTGAATTGTTGGAACAACCACACTTTTTTTTTTACACGAAAACCAAATATTGCAAGGGAGGCTTAAAATGACCATATCGATGTCACAATTGCACATCTCTAGCTTCAAACACCATTTCTTTCCGTCATTTTGCACAACGACATTTTTTTGTGGATGTTTTTTATTTTTCATGACATGAAAGTGAGGAAAGGGGATTACGATGTTTTTCTAGATGGCAAAAATAAGACCAAAGAAAAAAAAGGAAACAAGAAAAGGCAAAGAGGGAGGGGTGTGGTCGTGTAATAGTGTGTGTAGTTGTATGTGAGTAAGCGGGAGCACTGAGCGGAAGGGTATGGCACCCCCTCCTTCCCCTCACCTCCTTTGGAGAGGGGATGGGGAACTTGAGCGGTGTGTGTTTTAGGGCAAGTTCTTTTTTTTTATCTGCATGAATCGCGCTGACCGTTGTCATTTAGCCACCCTCCTTCTCCCCTAACCACGGCTCGTTTTTATCGCCCCCTGTGTTCTTTTTTGTATCACGGCAGGAGGGGCGTGGTTTTATGAGTCCTGTCGCGACTCTGAGCGAGCGTTGGCGGTGGTAGGGTCAGACGTCATTATCGTTGCCGACAGTGGTGATGGGGAGGGAGCCCTGGTATCGATCGAGTTCAGACGAGGTCCACTTGGGGGCAGTGGTGGTGGCATGTATCCCGTGCTGTTGTTGTTGGACGGCTTGGGCGAAGACGAGTATGGAGGGCGACCACTGGGCGCGACGCGGTCCGGCACGACGACAACGCCATTGTTAAACGCCGACGCTGAAGGAGGTTGTGGCATCTGCGAGGCCCTCTGGCGTCCTATCGTCCCACCTGGAGCTGGTGCATGCATGCTCATCAACGGGATCGAGTCCATGCCAGGAATTATAGGGTTGTAGACCGGGTCCGAAAGCGAATAGACCCCCGTTCCAACCGAGCCTGACGAGCCAGTCGTCAAGTGGCGACTCGCAAAGGGCAGGCAGCTATCGCCAGTCCTTTGAGAGCTCGAGCTCTCGTCCGACAGCTCCTCCTCTTTCATATGCCAGTCCTCTCCAGAATCCGAGACCAAGAACTGAGGCGTGGGCAGACCAGCGAGGATGGCGGCCTTTTGACGACGTTCCTTCTCCCACTCGCCCCAGCGCTTCATCACAATATGTGAACTGTCGAATTGACCCTCTTTGCCTCCGTGATCGGCTCCGGCGACTTCTCCGGCAACCAGGCGGGTCTGACCCCAAGAGAAATCATCGAAATGCCAGTAGGCATAGGCGGGCAAGACAAAGTTCCAGACAAAGATCGAGCACAGGTAGACCATCATCCAGCCGACATAGACCATCTTGCGCGAGGTCATCACAATCAGGACAGCAGGGAGACCCAGAATAGCGGCAAGAAGCAACAGGGGAACGGTTGTATCAGGGATCTTTTCGTCGTGAGATATGGCGCGGTAGATCGAGATGGTGACCAGGTAGATAGTGAACGAAATAGCAGCAGGCAAGACGACCGTTCCGACCAACTCCATGAAGATGACAAACTGCATCGAGAAACAGAAAGTACCGCAGAGATCGCGGACAAGGACCAGCTCCATCAGGTTGTGAATCGTTGAGTTGATCCAGCGACGACGCTGGGACAGCAGAATCGCGAAGGTATCGGGGACAACGGTCTTGCAGATGGCCTGGGGGACAAACATCATCTTGCGCTTGGGGAAGGTTCTCAACATGAGCGTCGAGAGGTAACGATCTTCACCGAGGAGCAGCAAATTCTTCTTGTGAAGCGTATCGACGACGTTCTCGGAGTAGTGCTCGACAATATCGGGGTTGGCCAGAATGGGGACCCAGTAGCCATTGGGGCCTTTGGGAGCCTTGATACGATACATGCAGAAGCATCCGGGCAGACAAGTGACACCTCCGAACATCGACTCGAAGGCCTTGGACATATGGTGGGAAATGTAGTACTCGAAGACCTGGATCATGGTCACCCACGAGTCCGTCTTGTTGGCAATCTTGGTCTCACCACACAGACCCATAATATCGTGGTCGTGGGCCATCGCAGCAATCATACGCGACAGGGAGTCAGGGTAAACCTTTGTGTCAGCATCCACCTATTCATTGTAAATAATAAAGATGAGCTGTTAGGCATTGGAGCAAAATAATTGTCAGCATCAGATACGTATTTGCATAAAGAGTTGTATACTTACCATGAGAACAATTTCGTAGCGGTCGGGAGCAACTCCAGTAAGACGCCAGATGGTGTTGAAAAGCTCGTACTCGAACGAGGTCAAACGCTCATCAAACATTACGTGCTGCAAGAAACCCATCAGAATAATCTGGGAATCACGCTTTCCACGGTTTCCGGGCTTGGCCATGTTCTGCTCGGTGGGGCCTCCGACCTTGACAATCAAACACATGGGGACACGCTTCTGGAGCTTCTTGTCGGGAACAGTCTCGTCGTCGTACTTGTAGAATCCAGCATAGACCTTGGCCATGTTGTGGCGCTTGGTTCCGTCGGCAATAGCAACATAGGAGTGGGCAATGACATCGTCGCGGGGGACCAGGTCGTCCTGCATCATCGACAGACAGATATCGGGGGTCGACATGTTGTTTCCGGCTCCGATAATCATTCCGTCGCAAATAACGACAATCATCTTGTGCGAGTTGGGGTAGTCGGTGGTTGCAATCGAGTCCAGGGTGGTTCGAAGTCCATCAATACCCTCAGAGTAACAGGTGACCAATGCCATGGTGTGGATCAAGGGGAAGTTGAACGGCTGGAACGAGATAGGAGGCTGAGAGATGACATGAGGCGAGACGGGCATGGGGCAGTTGGAGGGCTGCGTTGCAGTTGAGGACGAGGTCGAGGAGCGGCGGGACATATTGCGGATACCGTTGCCACCAAAGCTTGCAACACTCGAGGGCCTCATACTGTTGGGCAGAGGTGGAGGCGAGGGTGGAGGAGTACCGTTGGGACCCAGAGTCTGGTTAAAGTACGAGTTGCGATTCAGAGAGGTGCTCGAGGCAGAGAGGAAAGCCGGGTTGATACCAGGGGATCCTGGGGGAGTGTAGGGCTTGTTGAAGACACTGCCGGGGCGGTTGAAGGACGAGATGGGTCGGGCAGTAGGGACACCCATGGGCGTGCTCAGGTTGCTTCCGCTGCCGTTGGTCGTGGGAGTGAAACGCGATGTGGTGGGGAAGAAAGTCGCGCGCTTGTTACTCGCAAAGGCGGGACGGTTGATATCTGAACTCCAGGCCTCAATTTGCTCCGCGCGCTTCATCCGGTCCTGGTAGGTCTCGTTGTTGAATCCACCGAGCTTGTTGCTGAGGAACCAGCCAAAGAAGACTGCCAAGAAGAACTTGATAAAGACGACACTCAGAATAATAACCAGCGAGACGTAAGTAATGACATCGGAGGTCATGCAGCCAATCGTCTTGGAATCCACGGCACCGACACGGGCAATCTGCTTGAGACAGGCACCGACATTGATCATGTTCTTCTGGACAAAGAGGAAAGAGAGGTCCCTCTGGAGGCGGATTGTTCCGTTGCGGAGAGCATCAATGGCAGGATCAACCAAGTACTCGGGTTTGATGTGCTTGAGGACTTTGGCGTCAATGACATCACCGTCGAAGGCGAAAAAGTCGCGGTCAGGGTTAGAGATGTTGGCCCAGGTGTAGTAGGCGGGGGCATTGTACCGTCTCTTGAGGTCAGTCCAGAAGGTGCGAGCGGCTTGAGGGAGATGGCAAGCAGCGTCGTTCCTGTCGATGGTCTGGTTGATGGGCGAGGAGCCGTCCATGTTCAGCATGACACAGGGGAAGTAAAGGCTGGCTTGATTGTCGTTGGCAAGGGCAGGGGCGGCACGGGTGATCAAGCCGTCGCAGGCTCCGCCAGCGGGCTCCTGGAACAAGAAGGAGGCGTCCATACCCTTGGCAGCGGAGCCGGGGGCGTTCATGATGTCGACCTCTTCGCTCGAGATTCCCTTGTCGAGTGAAGGGTGTTTCCAGAAGAATTCGCCGTTGCCGCTATCCTCTGCGTTGAAGTAGTACCCCATACCGTTGACAATGACGTCCTGCTCTCTAGATCCGGCGACGAACTTTCCGGACTGCTCATCCTGACAGAGCGCCTGCTGGAGTCCGAAGGTCAAGAAGGCGACGCCGAGAACCATCATGACGATCAGCGACACTAGTGCGATCTTTTCACGCCATGCCCGTTGAATCTCTTGCGTGTGCATACCTATTGTTGTGTTATCAATAGCGTATTTATGTGAGTTAACTAAACATCATTCAAGCAACCAAATATCAACAGAGGAGGAAATAATAATAGAGTCGGGGTTTCGGTTGCAATATGGAGCCTCAGGCCCATCCATTCTCTTTTCATTCTCGTGTCCCTTGTCTCTTGTCCACTCTTGGTCCAGATGTCCGTGGGATGAATGTGTCCTTTTGTTTTCCCTTCCATTGCATCTCTCTTTTTTGTTGTAAACTTACCACAGCGCTTCAGGATGGCTGCTGGGAAGCAGCAGGTGATAGCATTATAGTAGATGATCCACTTGGAAGGCCATTCCCGTTTCTCCTTCTTCAGAGGGTTCTTGAGGTTCTTGATATCTGCAATTGTCTTGCGCTTCGGCGCCGCCGCTGCTTTGGCCTTGTTGCGCATCGTCCCAGGCTTCTCAATCTCACGCCCAAGCACACTCTTGCCTCGCCGGATCCCTCCACTACCCGCTGTCGTCGAGCTATTGGGCGCAATGTTGGGATCGTTGCCTGTGGTCGATGCCTGAACCTTGATATGAGATCCATCCAGGTTCTGGGTGGCGTTTCTGTAGTAGTATTGGGGGTGGTTGCGATCGATGCGTTCGCGTTCTGGGCGGACGAGCGACTTTTGACGACGGAACCCCGTCGCGGGGCGCCCCTGTGGGCGGTTGGCGGAATTGGAGGTGTCGATGGTCAAAACGCCCTGGGATTGGCGACGACCGTGAGAGTCATCATGTGCCGATTGACCCTCCAAGTCTTGGTATGTTGATTCCATGCTATGTTATATATTAGGAGGATTGGTGCAAGGTTGTTGTTGCTGGTTAGAAAAGAGTAGGAGGGAAGTGGTTGTTTTGATTGGTGGGACAGATAATTAATATGAAGGTAGGAGTATGGAAAGAAGGTCGAGTTGATGGGAAAAACAGTAAAGTGCTTGAAATTTTGAAAAGACGATGTGAGAGATAGGAGGTATATGTGTGTATATGTGTTGGTCAAAGGCGTTAAAGGAGGAAGGTGCTAAGTAGATGAAATAGATGGACGAGTGCGCCGGAGTGTGGTGACGAAGAACAGTGAGGAAGACGTGAAAGAAAGAAAACAAATGAAGAGAAAAGAAAGAGAAAGAGCGGTGGCAGTTGAAGTAGTTGTCGGTGAAGAGGATCCGGAGTTGCAATTGAGAGTAGAACAAAAAAAAGAGTCAAGCAGGATCAATGGACTAGGTCGGGATAAGAAAGTGAAAGACCAGGATCCACAGGGACGGGAGGATGAGATAGAAGTTGATGATAAAAGCAGAGGTCGTTGTTGTTTTACTAGTGTACTTGGGAGAACGTGGGATTGGGAATGGAGGTAAAACAATAATAAAATAACGGACATCATAACAATAACACACAACACACAGGCATAGCACATACGCCAAGGAAAAAGTAAAAGGTCGATGGCGAGATGGAAATGAGTAAAAGAGAATGAGAAAGACTAATGACTGATCCCAGTAGAAGCCGGTTTGGGCTGGTATTCCAAGATGGCTTACTGACTATTGTCAGGCCAGACTAGAGACGTCTTTCCGCCCCGCCGCGCCCATACAGGAACCAGCTGGAGTAGAAGACATACACGGTGATCATAATAGATACTTGTACTGTACAGTGCACACACTTCACTTCTCAGGCACACAGCGCGAAAACAAAAATAAAAACACCAATCACCCACCAATCAAATAATCCGGGCCTCAGAAAATGTAGGAATAATCAGTTCCTGGCCAGGGGCGATGTCTCTTCTTCTTTTCTTCACTTCTCTGACTCCTGTTATTGCAAACAGACCCTTCTGCGTGTTACTTCACGCTGGGATAGGCATCCTGACAGTGTTAAGTCCAAAGGGTCCAAAATTCAATATGACACTGGCCCCAAAACGCACATGTACAACACATGCCAAGTAGTTATTAAAAGGGAGACAGAAGAACACGATTCCCAGACAGAATCGGGATGCAAAACGGGGTCTAATTCTCTTTCTTTCTCTCTCTCTCTCTACCACTCTCTCTCCCTCTCGATCAATAACAATGCTCCAATGCCCCTTCTCTCTCTTGTCTCTTTCGCTATTATTCCCCAATCTTACTATCGCATTCTTGCTCATTTCTTTCCTTCTTTCGTATATATCCTCTCTTTGTTAAAAATAAAGTAAATGCTTGCACCAGGAACAACACGGAGGTCGTCAAGGAACAAGAAAAAAAATCAAGGAGATCGCGCAAAATAATAAAACAAAGGGATTGAAAGAGAAGCACACAAAATAGCCAGGAGGCCATGTCCATAAAAGAAAAAAAAGGGAAAGAAACAAAACACAAAGAGCTGTTCTTTTGCCAAAGGGAACAAAACAATAGAGAGAGCCAGAAGGGGGCAGCGAAGAGGAGGGGGGGGGGGTATACAGACGTATACACCGCCTACTCAGGTTATAGGCTCCCAATGATAAAGTCTTCAATATCTACCAATGTTACCCCTTCTCTTTACGCTACGCCTTTTCGCTGTCTTGTTTCCATCTGGGATGTTTGTGTATGAGATCGGATAGATGTTGCTTACCTTCACTATTGTACAAACAAACGTAAAAAAAAAAAATCAAGGTGGTGCACAGCAGTGGAGGAATCGCGCTTGTGTCTAATTATTAATAAAGGCAAGTCAAAAATATCAACGGCATGAGACGTGAGCACTTTTTCAAACGAGATTTTCTTTGTATGTGGGTGATGGTTGATGCTGAAGCGCTAGAGCCACAAGGGCAATGTGCAAAAAAAGTGACAGCCAAGGTCACGTTTGCGACAGAGAACCGTCAATGGTTAAGAACTAAACCCATGCGAAGTGGGTGGGTGGCTGATGAGGGGGGAGAAACTCTTTCTTTGCTTCTTTTCTTAGATCCGTCGGATCATGCCTCAAACCAGCGTGATCCATAGACATGGCTGAGAACACAAAGAAAAAGAGAAAGTACGCGCTGCCCTTCGCCCAAAATAGGAGGATCAGTTGATCCGAGAGACAGGCAGGAAACCCCATCCAGAAAAAAGAGGAAAGATGAAGTGCGATAGTGCGATTGGAGAACTTGCTTCGCCACAGACTGGGCAAGAATAAGCGTTGTAAACGATTCCAATGGCGAGTATCCAGAAAAAGAACCCTGCTCTCCGAGTGAGAATGTGTCCATGTCGCATTGACCGCCGTGAATAAATAGAGACACAGTTTGAACCGACTGTGCCCAGCTTTGATCCACAGTAAGATCCAGTCCGATGGTAGTGTTTTTTTTCGAGAGAGGGACATCATTGAAGGCTAGTTTGAATGGGTGGTGTAACGAGAACGTGAGGGCGTAGAGAGAGAGAGAGTGTGTGTGTGTGGTGTGTACCTCTGCAAAGGCGTGGTGGAAGGATGCTGAGGCGAAGGGATCGTTGCCCGTCTTTGTTGAGAGGGGTATTAGAAGGGAGTGGCGGAGAGTTGGTGGTGGTGGTTGCAGAGGGAAAAATGGTGCGAGGAGGAAGAGAGGTTGGAAGAAGAAAGAAAGAGGGATTGAGAGAGGGAGAAAAGTTGGAGTGAGGATGAGGATGAGTTGGCCAGAGAATCGGTTGCAATAGACGCAGGCAGGATCTGCACATGTCCTTGGAATCGATCTTGGGAGAGGAGAAGATTGGAGGAAGAGGGGTGAAGAGGGGGGAGGAAAGGGAAGGAGAGAAAAGAGAGAGTAAACAAGAAAAGAGACTGAGGACGCGAAAAGAGAAAAACAAAAGAATGAAAAACGAGCAACGGGCAAAGGCACGAAGGTAGGTGGAGGTTATGAATGAATGAATGAATGAATGAATGAATGAATTGACCGATTGAATGAATTTGTAAAAATAAAGGAGAGTGTAGAATTAAGGACCAAGGCACACACCGTGGCACTGAGAAGGTAAAAGAAACAATGCGTTATCAGCGGCAACAAGGGGGAAACCAGAAGGGGAGAACAAAGAGAAAGAGAAAGAAAAAGAAAAAGAAAGAGGATCGCGTGCCGGGCTGTTAAAAGAACGAAGGGGCGAGAACCCATCCCAGTCCCAGTCCCAGGATATTTTTTTCGCGTGCAGTCGATTACGTTTCTGATTGTCGAAGACAGTACAATATCTCGACCGGCTGAAGTTTGAACAACTCAGCAATTGAACAAACACAAAGTGATGATGGTGATTACGAAGGCATAGTCGCGATGGGGGATACGTGATTGTAAGAGACATGGTCATATGAACAGGGAAAGTAGGGAGTAGAGGAGGGGTATGAATTGGGGGTCCGGTCGGGACTATGAAAGTTAGAGAGGGAATCATTACAACCATGTTTCAGAACCGTTTTTCCGGTCCCTGGCCCTGATGTTTGTTTTTATATTGATCATGTAGAGACAGCTGCAGCAGCGGATGTAATAAGATGTTGCCCCGCCACGGGGATGCAATAATCAATTAAAGGCAGCCAAAAAGGAGGTTGTTGGTTGTCCTCTCTCTCTCTCTATCTCTCTCTCTCTGCCTATGGATGTGCAACACCTCTCTCTCTTTCTCTCTCTTTCTCTCTCTTTTGACCAATTGAATTGTTCTATAACCATTGCACAACCACGTCTGTGGTCCACGGGAGCTTACTTATGCCGATGAATAAACTGCGCGCGTAAAATAAAAAAAGTGGGAAAGAAATGGATGGATGGCATGAGAGTTCCAGGGAGAAGGAACGAAAATAAAGGTTGCATCGCAACAATTCAAGGGATAGACAAGAATGCAATAAAGATAACACAGAGAAAGAGAAGGGAGCTGGCAGGCGTCCTGATAATAATAACCCATCCTTCCTTCCTACATGTGAACCGAAGGGGGAGGTGAATGGATAGAAACAAAGGAGGATGGAAATGTATAACAAAACAAGGATACGAGAGAAAACGGGAGTCGTTTTGTCAGTTGGCGGTGTGGAGCAAGAGAGAACAAGAGAGCAGCAGCCTTTGTTCTTTTCTCTCTCGCACCCTCTCGTCTGTCTCTCTCTTTCTTTCACTCTCTAAACACACGGATTTAAACAAAAGGGAAGGAAAAATAAAATAAAGGAAAGACTATATGGGAGCTGCATGAGGAAAAAGGGGACGGTTGCGCTTGAATGGCATGGTGTGCTGCCCATGGATATCGTAAAAAAAGGTCGTTGCAAGTCTATCCGAAATGGACTGGATTCATGTATAATTGACTGCTCGCAAAAGTCGTTATGGACCCTCTCTCTCTCTCTTGTTCAACACTCTTCCTCACTCTTGCATGCAGTCTCTTTCTTTCCTTTGTGTTTTTTTTTCTTGCTTGCATAGCTGTTGGTCTGAGCAGGTTTTCACAGCTCACGGGTGGCATGTACATGTCGAGAAGGGCGAAGAAATAAAAAATAATACGAATTGGATCGAGTGTAACCATGGACATGCTGTCTGTTGCAGGGTTGTATTGATTTGCGCTGGGTGACTTGTGGTCCCTGCACTTTGCAATGAGCGAGTGTTTAGCGATGTCAAAAAACACTTCTCCATCAGAAGCGATGAGTGCCACCGGCAACATGTGGGATCGAATTGTTCCTGAGAAGAATGGGAAAGTGAAGTAGGGGCTCCTGAAAGTAGGGTTGAGTCTTATTGGTGAGTTGCTAGAAGATGTTTAATTACCTTCTCAGTCGGGTTGGTTGATATGGGAGGCGTGATAATTAGAGAGAGAGTGAGGGAGTGAGTAGGAGAGTGTGAGAGTAGGTGAAGTTGATGAGGTTGTTGGACAGGACGTGTGCTGACGGGAAGTGGTCGTTTCAGAAGAGTATGTTGAGTTGAGATGCAAAGGGTGCGAGGAATGGAATGCGGGTCTGGTTGAACGAGTGAGTGAATGAATGGAGGAATGGAGGAATGGAGGAATGGAGGAATGGAGGAATAAGGATAAGAAGGTTGCCTCGGAGGAGGAAGGTATGAGGCAAAGGCAGAGAAGAAAAAGGGAGAAGGGCGTGAAAGAGAGAAGGACCGGAGAAGGAGAGAGAAAGGAAAGAAAGAGAAAGGAGGAAGAGAAAGAGAGAAAAACAAAAGGGAAGAAGGACCAGGCAAGAAGGGGGTGCACTGCTGTGGAAGGGAAAAGAATAGTTGTGGCAGTGATCATTCATGCAGTCTAGTTGTGTGGACAGACAGACGGATAGACAGACAGCCCACACACCTACCCAGGGTTACCGACAATAATCAATAATGGACAGAAAAAAATGTCTTCATCTCCCGGGAATGAAGAATAATCCGCAAACACAAACACAAACACAAACAAACAAACACACACACACACAATCAACACAAATAAACTATCGCTATTTGTCCTTTCTCTGCTGATCCTCACTTGCCTTTGCTGGGTAATTAATAAACCAATGCAGGCCGGCCGATAAAAATAAATAGTTGCGAACCAAGGAAATGAACGGACAGGTGGCAACTCTAATGACCCTCATCTTCTCTTCCTCACCTCCGCTGAAAAACCATCTTCCAGAAGCACACCCATAGTTCACAAGGAAACCCTATTTTCCACATACACACAAAAATGCTCATTTCTTAATTCTCTCGCTCTTCTCTTTCTTACTGTATTTCGCCCTTTCTATGTTCTCGATCTTGACCCCCTCCTTCCTTCTCTCAGCATCCCAACGCTCTGTATCTATTCCATGGACGTTTCTCTCTCTCTCTCTCGTTCCTCGAATATTATTATTATGTTCACTGTATGTTAGCCCTTGTAATTTATTGTGTCACAGCATTTGAACAGAGCGAGAATGAGTCTACATGTTGTAATCGCCTAGGTGACCCGTCAAAACACGGCCATTTCTTTACGGGACAAAAAACTTGTTTCCTTCAGTTGCACTGGAGCACTGGCACAACCCCACCCAGCGGAACATGATGGATTGTCCAATGTCAGAATGCATAGTCTTCACTCATATCCGCACATCTTTCTCTTCACCGGTTTTCCTGCCTTCCTGTTTTACTCTTCCTCATAATAGCTTCCAATTTATCTTCCATCCACCGCCTAGGCAACACAACATGCAAGCCTCACTCTACCTGAAGCCAGTTCCCTTACCCACCCAGGAGGGTGGGTTCCTCATTCTAGTTTGTTTTCTTCGTTGTCTCGGAGTTTATGAATTATTATTTTTTTCGCGCTGTGCCCATGAGCCAGATGTAAGTAAGCACGCAAAAGCCAGCTAGAAAATTTGAAAACAAAAAAAAACACAATGGCTCCCGGCTCTTCGATCTATGTTTGCCAGATGAGTGCTGTTGCTATTCATGGGCCGGCTCTGCCCTGGGAGAGATGCTCAGAAATATGAATGGTATGCCCATTGCAATGCTCACTTTTTTTTTTTTTTTCTCTATTCGATCCCTTTCCTATGGCCATGGGTATTTCTGATGTTTGATGCTCTCATGAATAAATAGCATTCGAGATCCCACATCTTTCAATGGTCTGCGGAAAAAAATAACAAGGTTGTCCGTTCTCCTAATTTTTTTACTTTTCTCATTGCTTGCCCTATCTTTCTCCGCCGAAATTAGTCTTTGCTGAGGGTGCATTATGAAGACCCCATGGGTAGCGAAATATACTCTGACCTCCCCCCTTCCACTTGCCAACCACACCCTTTTTGCGAAACAATGATCTGTATACTTTGTTTTTTTTTATTAGTAGAAAAATAAGATAGATGAAGGCGGTGAAGGGGTAATAAGAAAAGGAAAAAAAGAAAATCAAGGGCAAGAAACACGAAGGGGTTATCACAGGAGGAGGAAGAGGATCGATAAACGTTTACAGATCAACGACCATGAGGGCAGACCCCCTCACCCTATAAACACCTAACCGTTGAGCAAGCCCTGCAAGACGGTGTCCAAACCCCATGCTTCCCGTCGTCATGGATGATGTGGACGAGGACAGGTTGGATGTTGAAGAGGAATAGGATGTTGTCAAGGATGGTGGCGGAGACATGTTGGTATCGTTGTCTGGACTGGAGTTCATCCCGTCGAGCTGATGTTGATGATAGTCCTGCTGTGTTGTGCTTTGTGCTCTGGAAAGGCTTGTGCCCTTTGTAAGGAGGAGCAAAGGGGTTGATACCGATCTGCGGTAGCCTGTCGTCTCGTTGTTGTTGTTGTTGTTCTTGTGTCCTGATGCTGCTGTTGAGGATGAAGAGCGAGACTTCTTTGGTCGTCGATGGGAGGATGAAGAAGGCGATTTGGAGTAGCCCCCGTCATGGCGAATGTCGTGTGAACTCTGTGTGCGACTGAGAGTCGGTCGGCGCTTGGAGAGCCCGTGGAGATCGAGTTCAACCGTGTTGAGGTCAGCGGTTGTCTCCTGGTTGTAGTCAGACCTGTTGTCTCGCGGTGTTCTGGGCTCATCGATCACTGCTGAATCAGACTCGAGGACTAAAGTCTCGATCGACACGCTCGACGGAACTCCTCTCAAAGCTTCCTCAAGGCTTTGCTCGCAGCCGCTGTTCTCGTTGCCATCGCTATCTCCATTGCTGCCAATGTAGACGCTAGGCGAAGGAGAGATGGCTTCTGGGCAAGGCGAGAAGCACTCGGCAATGACGTTGTCGTCGTCGCCCACAGGTCCAGTGACAGCCGTCGAAAGCAGAGTTGAGAACTGAGGAGGAGGGGAGTAGTTGCGGTGCAAGAGCTCGTTGTTGACCCACATTGGCCGGACTCGGACAACCTCATTTACGATCTTGCTCTGCAACACCTGGGACTCCTTAGCGGCACTCCAGTAATGAACCCAGCTCAGACTGTGAAGACAGGGCTCCTCTCTCAACTCCTGCTGCTGACGCGACTGGAGATTCTGTGGCTCAAACGAGTTGATGTACCGGATCTCGATCATCGGGTAAAGTTTCTCCATCGTCTCAAAGACTTGGCTGTACTGGGCCTGCTCGTCTGCAGAACCGACAAAGACATACCCCACCATAGGGTCCACATCCCTGGACGGGTTATAGATTGACGGCGACGCGACGCTGGATGTCGAAGTCTTGCGGGAGTGTCCCATCACCATTCCTCCCTCGACCAACGTGTCATCCTCCTCCGGGGTTGTCGTTGTCTCCTTTGCTGCTGTGATCTTGGCACGAGACCCCTTGACGCGACCACGGTTGGCAGACTTGATCGCTAAGGTGGCAGGTCCCAATTGACTATCCTCTCCAGGTGGGATTTTGACAAAGTTGACCCAGCTTCCAAACCTAGACGCAGCGGTCTCGACATACTCCAATGAAGCGGACGACTCTGGTGCCGGATAGAGGTGGACCACAGGCATATCCCACCATAGGGCCGTCTGTGTCAACCATTCAACGTGGCGCTCAAACGTGAGCTCGGAGTGGGTGTCGATATGATGCGTGATGGTGATGGAGGGTATTGGTGGCGGTGGCTGTTGTTGCGCTCGCTCTTGCTGTTGCTGCTGTTGCTTTGTCAAGGGCAGAGTCGAACCCTTTGGTTGCAGCCAAGAGTTGGAGAAGTAGCTGGGGTGATATTCCGGAAGTGCCTCTTCTGAGCCCAATACTACCTGTTGCTGGTGCTGTTGTTGTTGCTGCTGCTGTTGTTGCTGCTTCTTCGCCTGCTGCTTGAGTTGACGTCTTTCCGAGTCTTTGATACTGTTCTTGCGCTGAAATTCCTTGATCCGCTTAATACTGTTGCTTACGCGGTTAATGCCGTTCCATGCAGGCTGCTGATTGTTGTCGTCGTCAAAAGTCGTCGAGGAAGAATGCTTCTGCTGCTGTTGTTGTTGCACAGTGGGTTGAGGCGGCAGGGGTCTTTGGACTGTTGAGACTGTGGCGGTGGCGCTGTTGCTATGATATTGTTGCTGCAAAAGATACAGTCTGTGGGCCTCCTCCTCCTCTGCAAGGGCTGTCTCTACCACGTCGAGAGCATCGAAATTGGGCCTGTCCAGTCGGTAAGGGTTACGTAGCTGAAAGGGGGTTGATTGTTGTTTCATAGCCATGAGTCAAGTCAACAAAGAAATAAAGGAGGAAGGAGGGTGTTGTCGCTTTGTCGCGGTTGTAAGGATGGGGGGATTGGTTAATTAGAGGCGAACGGTAGATAGTAAAAACTTGAAATAAAGTAAAAAACGTGAATGAAAGTAAAAAGATCGAAGGAGGTATGAAGAGAATAAATAAGGATTGGCGAAAAGAAAAAGAGGGAAGACAATGATAGCCAGAAGGAGGGTAGCTGTGTATACAGCTTGTTTATTTGTTTTGCTAGTTTGCTAAAGGCTAACAGCTGGTTTTTGGATAATGTCCAACTGGGCTAGCCATGGCTCTAATCGACCACTGACAGGATTGCAGGGAACCAACCCCACTCACACGACGACGACAGCAACGACGACACAAAAGGGTAGGCGGCTGGTGACATATCGACCTCTTTTTTCATTCCGTATTCCCATCTCGCCTGTAAAAAAAACTGTTGCTCGTGATCATGACATTGACCGTTAAACGTTGATCAAATCCAACCCCATTTTCGGCGACCACATCCGTCTGGAAAACTATCAACGAGTGTCATGTTCAGAGTCTGTAACCCGAAAGTAGGGATGGATGGATGTGATGGTAGGCGACGACATACCCTACTTCAGATCCACATCAATGGTTAAAAAAGCAATTGTCTTGGACATCAAAGCCGTGTGCACGCTATCCCCTTATTCTTTTAGTCTAATCGAGGAAGCAGAGGGGAAGAAAGGGCTAAATGCCGAGGGCGTATGAATTGCACGGGCCTGTTCCAAACCCAACCATGGTCTCTGATGAAAAAGAAGATAAAACGACGTGAAGAAAGGTGGGCTGTAGGCTGTGGTACTGGTGAATGAAAAGTAGAGAGGGTGAAAGGGTAATATGATTTGGCCGCAAGGTTCAAGGGTTGCATTATCCAATCGCAATCGTTCCAGCACTCGATTCTTTCTCTTCCGCGTTTTTTTTGTGCCATGCACAACGTCGACTTTTAGGTACCTTTTCTTCTTGCATGTCGAATTGGGTGTGTTTTCTGTCACAAGGACAGCGAGTGGAAAAAAAAGTTTGACAATAGATGAGCCCTTTTTTTTTTCTTACCATGGTAGACTATTTGGCCCTTTTGTCGCCAAGACTTTGATTGAAGGGATAATAGAGTGAGAGTTTGATAGAAATGAAGGATAAGGATCATCAAGCACAGAACATTTGTGAAGTAAAGCAGCGAGACTGAAGAGTAACGAAAAAGTAAAGAAAAAGGAGGGGGGAAGAATGGGTTGTGTTCTGAGCAAACTTCAGAAGTTTGTTGTTGTGTTGTTGTTTGTTGATATCGTCGTTGTTAGCTTTTCTCTTAATGCTCTTGACCAATGACTCGCGAGAAGACATCCCTTCTCTTTCACACTCTCGATGAGAGAACAAACTTCTCATGTAAGGGTACCTTCCTCTATTCTGTAGCGTGGACACCGGGACGATTACCGAGACGACATGAACAACGAAACTGAGTTTTGCTGTTATTTTCCGTGGGTTTTATGCCATGTATGACATATCCAATGTGGCGACCAACCATCTAGATTGATAAAACATAAAATTTGGAGTGATGTTCTTGGCATGCAAGGACGCGCCCAAGGTTCTGTTCCGGATGTGAGCACCCCGTCCCTCTTCTGTCGATCAAGAGTCGCAAATACTCAATGGGCATAAGAGAGGTGAGTGAGTAATGGATTTGAGGGAGAAGGGAAGTGGTTGAGAAGGCAGACCAGGGTTGGCTCTGGGTAAGGTCCCAACTCTTTTATATTGTCCCTACAGCCTTCCTTCTCCCATCAGCATCCCTACTTCCTTTGCTTGTGCCTTTTTTTACTTGTTTGAGTTGTTCGCTCATTGAACTCATTCGTCCTTCTTTGTTCATCACCAACTCATCTCTCTCTTTTTCTCTTTCTCTCTTTCTCTCTTCTCTCTACTTACCTTCTTGCTTCTTCGTCGTCTTGCTCTCGTTCTTTCGCTCTTTCTACACGCGCACTTCCTCTCTCTTCCTTCCACTCTCTCCTCCTTCTGTTGGCATTCCCAGCATTCCCAGCAAAACCGCCAAACACCAAATTTTCCCCTTCTTGTGTTCCTTGCCTGCGCCACTTTCCTCTTTTATTCTTCTACTTATCTACTTATCACATCCCTTGCACACCTTTTCACGTCCCATTCTTTGACACCTCCGCCCCCACTAGATATATTACCACTCCACTAGACACATTTTCAGGAACGATCAATATCAATCAACCAAATATCCTCACTCTTGATCACCACCCACTCGCGACTGTCATCCGTCAGCATAGCCACACTACGCCGTATTATATACAGCCCCCATCCTTTCAACCCTTTTGTGGCTCCCCCCTTTCCCTTCACAACACACCAACTTGCCAGGAGTGATACTCCTCTGATCCAGCCAACTCGATGTTCTATTCCCCTGCACAGTCGCAAGTGTACCCCTCCCAGGACGACGACGATGCGCTCTGGTAACGATTCAAACAACACACGCTTCAAAAGAAGAGACGAACGAATTAAAATCGCCGCTCCTTTTTTTTTTTTTTTGGTCTCTTCTGCTCTAATATTTTTGGAAGGTTATTTTGTCCCATCTCGGATGCTGCTTCCGAACCCTTCTCCAAAACCTCGTGGGCGTTCCCTTTCCCTTTCCCCTTCTCTTTCCCTGAGAATTATTTTTTCATTTCATTTTGTACTCACGCATTTTTGTGAACTGAACTGACTGGCATGCTATACCTATTATTCCTCGAATACAATCTCATAGGGAGAGTCCTGCACCTGACAACACATCAAGACCATCGTCTCCTTCCCCAGCGCCCAACAAAGACAAATCAACAGCATCCAAAAAAGACGCCCCTCCAAAACGTATCCGCATCTCCATAGCCTGTGTCAGTTGTCGACACAAGAAAATCAAGTGTGATGGTCAAGTCCCTTGCTCCCACTGTGTAAAGTCCGCGGGCAAATGTGTCTATCCCGTAGCCACCAAGCCTGTCAACCACCAATACGTCGAGACACTTGAGAACCGTCTAAAGAGTGTCGAGTTGCATCTGAAGGAGCTTTTGACCAAGGGTACAAGAGAGGCATCCAGTGACAACAACCCTGAACATCAACAACAACAGATTTACATCACGACCGATTCTCAAACTTCCAGCACACATGGCTCTCGTCCTGCATCACACTATATCCCTCTTGCCGCCAAATCTTCCCTTCCCATCTCAAGACGCCCCACTGGTCGCTCCTCGTCCTCACTCCTCGAACTAACTCCAAGACTCACCGATGATGCCAACTCGTCAACACAGTCGGGTTCCCTCACCAAGAGTGGAGACCGCACAGACAGCGGCGGTGCCGACATTAACGTGGCCGAAACCTGCTCTATGGAGGTACTAGAGATCTTGCTGGGTAGCCTCAAGGTCGAGCGGGACGGTACAGCAAAGTTCCTGCCAGGATTGATGCAGCAGCAGGAAGAGTCGTACGCCCAAGCACGGACATACAGCAAGCCTGGACCACCAGGTCTGTCACCCATGACGGACATTCCCATCCTCGACTGGGAGTCAACAGAGTTGCCAAAGCCATACACTCTCCCCACCAGCCTTCTTTCGCCCAAAGCTATCAACGCCCTGATCGACCTCTACTTTAAGAGTGTACACACTTTTCTGCCAATCCTCCACAAGCCTAGTTTCTTGACGTTGTGCCAGGAGGGAGAGTTTCGGGTTCCGCCGTTCTTGTTGATGGCCATGTGTGCAGTCGCGTCCTGTCATGCCAACGAGGTCGAGCTGGAGGAGATTGCCAAGGTTGACAGCTTCAAGAGCCACCATGTCCTCTTTGATTACGCGCGGTCCTTGATGGATACCTACTTGGATGTACCTCGACTCAGTACACTCCAGGGTCTGCTTCTTCTCACCTACTACCAAGTCAAGGTCAAGCGGACCGGGCAATATTTCCGAGTTCGGTCGTACCTTGGTTTGGCAGTTCACATGGCGCTGGATATGGGGCTTGCTCGGGACTTTTATGTTCACGTCGAGGAATCGGAATCGTCGTCAGTCTTCGACAACGTTCTTGGACACTCCAACTCGGTCTCTACAACAATATCGTCCTCGACACTCGCCCAACGATTGGGACCTAACAACGACGCACTAAAGTCCAAGGTAGACAAGGCCAGGTGGACGGTCACCCAGCAAGAGCGCCATTTGACGTGGCTGGGGTGTTACTTCTTGGACGGGATCATCAGCAGTTTGGCGGGTCAGGAATATTGTGTAGCGCATGGTCAGCTCGAGACAAGGAAGCTGATCCGGGCTGCCAATGGCACAGCAGACACGGCACAAGCCGCAACGCTGATCTTTTGGTTCGTGCATCTGGACCTGGTCAAGCAGAGGCGCCGGATATCGGAGATGTATCGCGCCCTGTCGCTGTCGCCTCATCGGAGCCATGATGCGGCCATCATCTCCTCGATCGCGGAAAGCACAGAGATGCGGTCCATTGAGCATGCGCTTGATACCTGGCTGACAACCCTCCCTGTCCACCTCATCTATCCGGAACGGAAACCGACCGCGTGCCAAAACGGAGTCTTTGTCGAATCTAGTCTCCCATCGTATTACACTCTCTACCTGCACCGGTTCTACTACAGCCACGAGTTGCTCCTCTACCGACCCCTGATCACCCTTGCCGCCCACCAGGGTGACCTCTCCGACTTCAAGTCTCCCCTCAGCAAATGTGCTCGTGCGGCCGCAATGTTGACAGAGATTGGGGAGATCATTTTCCAGAACTACCGGTGGCCATGGCCTGGCTGTGGTCTGTTTGGATACCACATGATCCAGGCGATCGAGATCCATATCTTGTTGATGGTCAACTATGGCAAGACGGACACGCAGGAGTTGTTCTACAAGACCATGGGCTTGCTCAAGGGATTCGTCAGTCTCGCTAAGCTGCCCGAGCTGGAGAAGGCGGTCCTCTCGATGGAGCAGATGGTAACCGGGTACATTATGAACCCTGAGAGTGTGTCGTCTCTTCACTGGTCCAACAACAGCAACACCCCTGGATCTGTCCTCCAACGCTACCACCAGTTCCAACAACACCAGAAAGTCGCTAATCCTGGCAACGGCGACAACAACGGCGACAATGTGATGTCACTTTTGGAACATAGCAGCCTGGAGCAGACCCCAGCGTCATCGGACTACAGCTCCTTAGGTGCCATGTCTATGTCGCCTATCACTCCAGCCATCAGCCATCTTATGCAGCAACACCTCCACATGGATCCTCAACAACGGTCGCAACTGAATAGCCCGCTCATGAGCAGCAGAAGTGCAGCCACCAATATCTATTCACCACTTGCAGCAGTAAACATGGTCTACAGCTCTCTCACCGGCGCTGCCAATTCACTGACCGGCGCTGTAGGAGTCGACCTTCTTCAAAACAATCACCACAACGGACATGGCTACAGAATACACGGCGCAAACGCAACAGGAGGTCTCGACGGCGCCACGTACACTAACGACGCACGATCCCATGCAGCATCATCGCCCATCTCGTCCTTCCTCTACAACATGGACGCACCCACACCCATGTCGCTATACCACCAATCTGCTCAGGATATGTTGCCTTACACCAACTACCTCGCCTCTGGAAACGGTGTTGATGACCTTGTCGATTTCGAATCCATGGTCTCCCCGCCTCCACCCTCTTCCACTCCTCTCCCCGGAAACCTTCTTCCGACTCCAGGGCTTAGATCCTCCCTCCCGCCCCCTACAGGCGTCCCACCACCCCGAGATCAGGACAACAGCAACAGCAACAACCAACGCACAGTCACCTTCCTGGCACCCCCAAAACCCCCCAAACGCATCCACCACCAGTTCACAGGCAGTACAAATTCCTCCAGCAAGAGCCAATCCCAGAGACCTCCAGTCCCCAAGAAACCTAGCCGACTGATGAGTACCATCGGCGGCAACACCTCTTGGATCTCGCCCTCGACACCGTACCCCAGCAATATGAACCCTTCTTACCTCGACAACCCCCATCCTCCATCACACTATAGCAACAGCGGCAACGGCCACGGTCGATATATGAGCGATAATCATAACGGCGATGATGGCTCCGCAGTTACAGATTCGACACCTTTGTTGGCTGGTCAACCAGCCCCTCCAGTTTCACGACGACCACTAAGGGTCTTGCAGGCCCAGACCCAACTCTATGGCCTTGGAGTTCTCCAGAACCCCTATAATGGCTCGAACGAGAAGGCGGGTGATGAGGTGGATCCTACGGGCGACGGGTTCGATGCCGACCAATACGCCATCAACATCATGTGTAAGTTTATCTGTTGTCTGATTGTTGTCTGTTTTCTATCAAATCACTGAGAATTAACCAAACCGTTTTGTGTGTTTTATACCATCCTTCCTTGCCGTCTTTGATTAGCAGATCCTCATATCAGCAACAAAGTCTTGCACCACAGCCGCGCCAGCAGGAGCCAAGTTCTCTAAGGATGTCATACATCCTACCCTCTCTCTCCTTCCTTCTCTCTCTCTCTCTCTCTCTTAATCGATTTGTGCCTCTCTTTCATTTTTGTCCTCTTCCTATTATTCTTTCGTCTTTTTTCGCTAGTTTTGTACTTGTTCTTTCGTCCTCTTTTACACCGAAATACGCGCCACCCCTGTACCATATCCAACGATTCTCATTGATGCCACCTCATAAAATAAACGAGCTTACACTAATAAACATATTCCCCGTTTTGTTTTGTCGTGGGTTTCTTTTATCTTGCCAAAAAAGCTAATGTACATGTAGTTTCCCATATTGTTATACTTTTCCTAATGGTGCTTTGGCTTGGCACCATCGACATACATATTCCTGGTCGCCGATGGGATCTTGGCCGTCAATCCCTCCAGTTCCTTAGTCATCAACACCTGGCATCCCAAACGCGATCTATAAAGAAAGAGGGGAGAAGAGAAAGTGTTAGAGGAGTTGCCTCACAGAACCTAATTCATTTATGAGCAAGTGAGACAAAGTAAACCCCTTACGTGTCTGTGAGGCCAAAGGCAAGGTCCAGCATATCGTTCTCCTCGTCTGAAGGCTCCTCCAGTTTATCGAACGACGCCTCATCCAGAATCAAGTGGCAAGTCGAGCAGGCCAAGGATGCCTCGCATGCACCTATTATTATTTATTGTATGGATAATGATGCATAGGTTAAAAATGAGTCAATTTTTTCTCACGCACATCAAAGATCCGAAGTCAGTTGCATAAGCAGTCCTCTTCCCTTCGCTTCTCTGCTGTTCAGGAGGGGAGAAAAGAATTGATCACAAACACAAAGAATGTCCATCCAGGCTTACCTTCAACATCCATATCGGTGGCTCTGGCAAGATCCAAAAGGCTCTCGCCCTCGTTAGCCTCCACGGTCACTGTCTCGCCATCGGGTTTGACGAAGTTGACTTTAATTCCTGTGCCGGGAGCTGGACGGGGCATAGATCCATGTTGCCAGACTATCAAAGTGCACAAATAAAAGAAAGAAAAGAAGGTTAGAATTTTCTCTTGTGTGTTTTTTTTTGTTGAGTATTCAAGTAGACTTTCTATGCGAGGGCACAAACAAGGAAGCCTAGCTGACCCGAGATGTTCCATCTCCTCGGATTAAACGCCGTCCTCTTAGTCCCTTCTCACTTCCAGTTCGCTTGAAACTATACTGGCCGTTTTTCTTCCCATGTCAATGCTGTTGAGTCCTCGCTGTGGGCTGTCCAGTAAATAAGGTGGACAAAGGAAGTTCACTTTATCCGATTAAGAAAACCAAGGGCGTGTGTGTAACGCTTAGGGCTCTTCTTGTAGCGGTCATCCCAAGTTGAAAAAGGCAATTTGTTGAGAGAAATAAAAAACAACAACACCCACATGCGCAGCTGCTAGAGAGCTCCGGTCCTGCAGATCCCCCAAGTCCTTGTCCAAGAAGAAGTTTTTCCTAATTGGACAACAACGCCCATCTCTCTCATCCTTATTTTGCGAAGTCGTGGTCCTGTCTGTCTTGTTATCTGATCTTTTTCTAGTCCTATTTGAGTTTCGATCCATGAAGTGTCCTGACTGAACACTGGTGAAGGTCCAGCTTGGAATGCTCTTTGCGCAGCGGTAATACTGGATGCGGGGAAGGTCCTTCTCTCTCGCCTTGACACAAGAACAAGACAGTTACGCTGATCCTGATCAAAACCTCCTGTCCCTGCCTCCCTGTGACCGAACAACGTGAAGCACTAGGTGGCCCAGTGCTGCTCCAGAAGTAAGAGTGGACAGTAAGAAACCAGTTCGCTCAGAATTACCTGCTCCAGTAGAGAATGCTGCTTGTTGACTAGGGAGGGTGTTGCTGTTGCTAATGTTGTTCCAGGAAGCGAGTGATCCGATCCGTCCTGATTGCATCGAGATCGACTGATTCCTTGGGGTGCGACATGTCCTTGAGATGGCGCTGCGAAGGGCACGTGTGGATGCGGCGAGGATGGTCATTATTATTAGGAAGGAAGAGTGGGGAGTGGAGAGTGAGGAAAGAAAGGAAGGAAGGAATGAAAGAAAAGGAAGAAAGAAATAGCAAAGAGACACCTCGGGGCAGCGGGGTAATCAAAGGAAAAAAAATAGTGGAGTTGCAACGCCACGCGCTCCGGAAAAGGAAATACCTTCTACTGGTGGTCCTACAACAACGGCGGGCGTATCTTTCTGGTGGACATTTTCTCAGGCAGAGTCGTGGCCGGCCAGGCCTGTACTAAACACACTATCGATAACACGAGAACGGCCGATGCTCTAGAAGCGCCACCATAGGAAAGGACAACAACAAAAACAAAAGAATCGGTGCCCCAATTTCAAGAAGGGTCCCAACATTCATGAGGTGTACGATATGTCTACCATGCGGTAAGCGCGGAGACGCGTTGACAAGGCAGAACTCACGCCCCTTAAACCTACCGAGCCCTTGCAACTGAGCAACTGATCATCTGATCGACGCTTTCCCATTGTTACAAAAAGATGTGGTGGCTAGGCAGTGGCGGCGATGCCTTAGGTTAGCAGTCATATTCTTTAGTAGACATAGTATTAGTAGTGCGCCGAGCCCTCTTGTCTGCTCTTTGTCCTTTTACACATCACTTGGACGAGAGCAGTATTGACAAGAGTTTCGCTGGCACGCTGCAGGTAACAACCCCCTCTTTGATAATATGAATACAAGGTCCTTTTACACATCACTTGGACGAGAGCAGTATTGACAAGAGTTTCGCTGGCACGCTGCAGTGTATCGTTTTGTGTGATTCTTTTAGGACACTATTGTCACTTCCCCTCCCCCCAACCTACAACCCCTTCCCCCCCCCCCTCCGTACCAATTGAGGACCTAACAGCGGTCCTACAACTCTGGCCGTCGACCCTCTCCCCTGAGTAACACCATCTCCTTTTTCCTCACCTTGACTTTTTTACAAACAAAAAAAATAAACCTCTCCTTGACTTTTGCTGCAAGGATGGACACTTTGTTTTTTATCTGTTTGTGTGTATACGATTCAATTGAATACGTACGCATCAAAAGCCAAACACCAAGCTGTTTACTGTTGTTCTTATTTTATCCCTTGTTTCGCGAAGCCCCATATCCGAAGCTCGCCATTTCGCCCATTGCCACTAATGACGACTCAAGAAGGAGGGATGAATCAGAAGGTCATCGGCAAATTGAGAGAAGAGATAACATTCCTTGTTTACTCACCAATTACGGCAAAAGGAAGGAGACTCTTTTTTTTTTGCGAAAGTCATACATACAGGAGTTGAATCCATCATCGTCAAATGAGATATCGGTGTGGTATGGCTTGGCACTTAATAAATATCCCATCCTGGTGTCCAATCGCGTTTTGCTTTTACGCTACAGAAGCAATAAAGTGTCAGGCTGAAGTCTACTGCTGTGGATCCGAGCCATCTATATGGTGTTGTTAACGTGCTGTCGCTGATGCAATTAGGGAGGCATGATGCATGCCTCAGAATATATCAAAGAGAAAACACAGGGTTAAGTTAGGGGGAAGAGCAAATTAGGAGGAGGGAGTGAAGGAGGAAAGAAGATTCAGGGAGATCGTTTGGACCCGATCGCCAACAATTTTTGGTGTTGTTGGAACCCGGTTCTCCAGTATCGCAGAGACGCGGTCGTCAGTCTAGATGTCGCTTTTGAGTGATGAAACCAGGAGGAAGAAAGTGTTGAGTTGTAGCGTTCTTTTTTATTACTTTTGGTGTCAAGGACCGACACTACTCTCCCTACCTCCCTACTCCGTGCCTCACTGTCCTAAATCCTAATATCGTGAATATTTTGCCGCCCCTTTTTTTTGTTTTGTTTTTGAACAGCGAATTGAAAAAGTTGAATGGGACTGATCAAATGGAACCGCAATGGACGTAAGTGGTGATGGCGAGGTGAGACTGATAGGGTGTGCGAAGAATAGCGATGCGAATGCTCAAACAAGACAAGAGACATACGCTCGGCTGTGATCAGAATAGAATGATGCGTACTGCTTTTTCACACCCAAGAATTCGGAGGGCTCATTGCTCATGGCTGTTGTCTGTGGAAAAGATATTGCCCCCCCGCCGACTTCGAATCAGGACCACACGCCATGTGCTTACTTACCCCTCTTTTCATTATTCCATTTCCTATTCCTCCTCCTAGCCCTCTTTTCCCGGCGTACCCGTGTGACAAGAAGAAGATTCAGGCCACCACCTCGCTCTCTTTTCCGATCTCAAATCTAACAACAACAGAGAATATAATGCAACACCAACAAAGCTTTTCTCTTAGTTTTCTCTTTTTTTTTTTTTTTTTTATATTTATTTTTTTATGTGAGTACCTCTTTAGACTGACCCTTTCAGTCTTGGCTAATCGACAGAGAAGGTAAGTACAATAGTAGCGACAACATCCTTCCTTGCGTCCGGTTCACTCCCATACAACTCCCCCTTCCCTTAGTCGCCATCTCTCTCCCCTTTTCTCTCTCACCTCTCTCCACTCTCCGCCTCTAAGATCCCATTGTTTGCTTTCCCTATCTCTCCTATGTCTACAGTGATCAGTCGAAAATTAAGCCAATGAAGGATGCCCGCTGTACAACTCGCGCTTTCGCGGCGATATCCTTTTCTCTCACGTTGGTTGTCGCCCATTTAAGGGACACACAGGCTCAACTGCAGCAACACACACACATACACAACACAAAGAGTGAGAGAGACAAAGAAAAAAAACGTTACATATAAAGCTAGCTGGTTGCTGTCTGTCCTGCTTCTTTCCTTCTTTCTTTCTTTCTTTTTTCTTTGCTCATCATCCTTCTTTCAAACAAAACAAAACATAAACAAACTATCCACGCAAACACAGACATAGTCGTCGTCATCGTTCACTTTGCATTCACCATCGCCCTTACCCTTCTCCTCCAATACACATTTTTCACGAACCGTTCCTTCGACTTCGCTTCACTTCTTTCCCTTCAACCACAAACATCCTTCCTCGAACACTGTAACTTCAATTACCAATCCCCCTTCAACCTGCTAGCTCTCCCTCCTCCTTGTTGTTGTTGTTGTTGTTGTTCTTCCCTTTATCGTGTTCCTGCTGTGATCAATTCCATCCCCTTGGTACCACTCCACAGCTGCATCCAACAACCTGATATTCCCACTCCCCTGGACATCTTCCACTTTCTTTCACTCTCACATACACACAAACTCACAAACTGAACCTTACCTTGCCCCATCCAACCCAGCCCGCCAAAAGGAACTCAAGTCAGCCAACCTTCCAGTCATCAGCAATGTAATTGAACGCCCCTTCTCCTCATCCCTCATTCATTCGCATGCCATTCGCTCATGCAACGCCTCTCATTATGTCACTAGGGAGACCCTATGTGTCTTCGCTTTGACGCATGCTCTTCCTTCCCTCTCTGAAAATCCGAACATGAGGCGATGATTTCTGTTTCAGCCTTAATATTTCATTCACCTCTACCCATCAATGAATGAAAGACTAACCCTCTTGTCCTTCCTTCTCGCTTCTTGTTCTTCGCCTACTTCTCTCCTCCTATTTCAACCGTTATTGATTATCTGTTCTCAAGATTGAATCTTATCGTCCCTCATTCCTACTCATCTCCCTCCTCCACTCCCGCCCCTATCCTGACCCGCACCGCATAATTCTAGTCTGCCAGGGCAACAAGATTTACCACACACTTCCACCATTCTACCAATGATCAACTACAGAAATAATCATGATCACCACACCGACGAGGACGATCTCAACATTGACCCCAGCGAATTGTAAGTTGCAACAAAACCCACTCTCCTCCCATTCCCCTCCCCCTTTTTTCAATGGAATGATGAAGTGGAAGAAAAGAAAATAAGGAAGAAGAGAAAAAAACGAAGAAGAAAAACGAATTAGCTTGGGTAAAATGACTTCCACAAGGGGCAAAGTATATCCGCTGGTCAGGCAGGGCATCAGATTGCTCTGTTGCGAGTATCGATGACACATGGAAATCTTAACCTCCTTTCTTTTTTCTAACTGAATGCTAACTAATTGCACTCGATAACAACCAATAGGTCGTATTCCTTGGAGATTGTACAACAGCCTCAGCGTGCTCGAATGTGCGGCTTTGGTGATAAGGTAACAAAAACAATAACAAACAACAAGATAGAAAAGCAATAACGACATCGACAATCAAATAATTCCGTTTGGCGCAAGCGAGTAAGCCCTTTAGGAGAATCTCCGATCCGGGACAACAAAGATCACCTACCCGATCCTATCCAACTTTACTCTCAACTCTCAACTCACAACTCAACTCCCGACCCTGACGTTATTTTTTGTGCTTGCCCGATTGCCAATCACGAGGGTCATTGGTCCCTCTTTAACCTTTTCTTCTTCTTTTGTTTCTCTTATCCATTTCTATTGAACGTAAAAAAATATGACAGGATCGTCGCAATATTACTCCTGCTCCCGTCCTCAAACTGATAGCCATAACAAAAGAAGGCAGGATCGTCACTGGAGAGTAAGAATCCCCCATGACGATATTCACAGCTGATTCACATATCAACACATGCGCACCAAACACACAAATTGAGGGTGGCAAATGGCTTCAGGAAAGAGAAAGAAAAAGGCGCGGGAAACAGTGTTTTGGCAGACGAAGAGAAGAAATGGAGGCCGTGCTCCTCTGATTATCATTGTTTTCATGAGGCTCTGAATGCAGGGATGACTGACAGTTCATGACCACAGCAAAAGGAGTGCATATGGAACGGGAAGAAAACAGAGAAAATAAAAGGCAAGATGTTCCTTGCGGGGAGGACAGACGGACCATTGTGTCAACATAAAAAGACGTGTGGGTGGTCGACATGACCAGATCAACTAAAGACGTATCGTGTAACACTCTACTCCAGCCCAGTTCCAACCTTGTTTTGTTGTTTCGTTTTCTGTGTTTGCGTTTTCCCGGGAGCGCGCAATGGCGATAAATAAGGGGGGGGGGGAAAGGGGGCTAGGAAGAAGGGAGTCCAAGCACAAAACCACATACTCTTAACCGATCTCTCGGCTTGAAATGTAATGAGTGGGATTATTACGCCGCCATGGTCTGAATTTAAAACATCCTTTATTATTTCTTTATTATTTTGACTTGGTTCATAGTGCACTTTGCCGACAGGCTTTCATGGTCAATGCTGACCTTTGGCTGGAAGATGAAGTCACTGAGCGCAACCTGGTGCTGATCTCCTCAATCGCTTCCACAAAGTCACCGACACGAGCCTTCACATACATGTCTGAGCCTCATGCCTCAGCAGACCACGGAGACCACGGAGGTAACCCAGATACGACCTCGCATTGCTGCTAGAAGCAGTTGGTTTCAAAGGTCTTCATGTTCATCTTCTTTCCGAGTTTGTTGACGACTGTTCCTTTTTTCCTCTTTCCAAACCGTAGGCGAGCTAGGATACGTGACGGATCCAACGCCGATTCAATTTGCTCCTCCACGTACCTCAGTCATCACATTTCCCTACCATAACCAAAACCATGGATCATGGGCTCAACGAGAACACAATTCGCAACAATACCCAATCAAAATTGAACCAGACCAACAGGCCGAAAGAGGTGGACGCCGGTATGACGGGAATGGAAGGGGACCCATTGACGAATACGAATTTTATCACTACGGAGAGCCGTCTGACTGGGAGAATTTGTCGACTCCTAATCTTGTCGGCCAAACTACCGTGGGAGGACAGTCAGCTCCCGATCTGGACGGAAGAACGACTCACATTTGGTTCGCATTCAACATGCTCTCAATTCGGACGGAGGGCGTGTTCAAGCTACGATTCACCCTTTGCGATGTGATGCAAATGAAAGGGTAGGTTTTGCTAAATTACCAGCGCGTTGTTTCTCTTATTTCGCCGCTGATCTGTGATGTATGTACGCAAATACTAATTAACATTTTTTTGGGACCAATTTGTTTTTGTTGTTTCTGCGGGTTCCTAGGACGACAACAGAGATACTCTACCAAGTGTTCTCAGATCCAATTCATGTGCAATCTCCTAAAAAGTTCCTCGGTGCTTGTGGTACGGCACCCTTCAATTTTTTTGTTGTTTGGATGTAGTACACCGTAGTACACTTGTGAGACCAATTTGTTAACATGACGAATATTATTTTTCTTCCGACTTTCGCTTTTACTAGACAACAATGACCTTGCGAACCATCTCAACAAGTACTCGATTAGAATCCCTTCGAGGAAAGATGAGAAGCCATCCAAGGAATAATTGAATAAAGTTGCTCTGATTCCGCCACCAAATTACATTTCCTCTCACATTGTTCACACGTGACTACACCAGCTCGTTGAAGTTGTCAAAGCTCTCTCATGTTTGAATACGATCACTCTTTTCTTCCACCAACCTCAAAGACGATCTCAAAAGCCTTCACGCACAATGGATACTAAGGACGCGACGACTAACGAGGCATCAAGAAAGAACGAGCACAACGATGATTCGTTCTCTGATGACGATGTCGCTGTTCATTCCGTCCGCTTCAAGCGGAAAAAGATCGATGCTGGAGGAGCAGCACAAGGCCAGACGGGTGGCGCATCCGTTAATGGAGCAACAGGCACAGTGTCAGCGTCAGGAGCAGGAGGAGTAGGAGGAAAGGGCTCAGGACTCTATCTTGACACTATTCGTCGTTACATGTTGGACTTTGATTTTGAGAAGGTCTGCTCCGTCTCCTTGTCCAACTTGAACGTCTACGCTTGCCTTGTCTGTGGAAAGTACTTTCAAGGTATAGTGACTGGTTGAATCCCATACTACGTTGTGCACACGAAGTTGATAAAGGGCCATTGGACGGATGCAATGAGCGAATAACGCGGTACTGACCGTTTGTTATTGTTTTTGTTCTCATCTATTTGCTTTTTCTGGATCGATATTCGACACGCCTCAGGACGCGGGACAACATCCCACGCTTACTTTCACAGTCTGCATGAGAACCACCATGTGTACATCAATCTGAACACCCTCAAGGTCTATGTTCTGCCAGAATCGTACGAAGTAACCGACAGCTCGCTGGATGATATCAAGGTAGGCAGCTTCGAGCGGCTCTCTTTCCATTTATTGGCTTCATGATCATACCGCGTACCAATTGCTGTGCTAAATCTTCCTACTCACTCAGTTTTATGTGTTTTGTTGTCCTTCGTCTAGTATGTCTTGGACCCTCGTTTCACACATGCGCAAGTCAAGGCATTGGACAAGAACTCTAGCCAATCGTTTGATCTGAATCGCAAGCCTTATATCCCAGGTAACCATTGACATCTTATTTGCTCTGTTCTTCTGACGACTGTAGAAGTCACTTACTAACAAAGGAATTTCTCTCGATCTTCATCATCCAGGCTTTATCGGATTGAACAACATCAAATCAAACGATTATGTCAACGTGGTAATCCAGGTTCTCGCCCACATCCCTCACATCCGTGACTACTTTATGCTGCAAAAGTTTGACGACAAGTCAGAGCTCGTGAAGCGGTTCGGAACGTTGGTGCGAAAGATCTGGAATCCTTCGGCATTCAAAGGCCAAGTCAGTCCACACGAGCTTTTACAGGTGAGAAAAACGGACAAATAGAGCATTCGCGTTACCATCCGAACGGCACAGGGTCGAAACTCGTACTTCAGCTCGCCTTCCACGGACCAGTCTTCATCCTCACCAACACCAAAACTCTCTTAATTATTATAGGAAATTTCGAACGCAAGTAATAGACAGTTCAAGTTGACGGAACAGAGCGACCCACTGGCGTTCTTGTCATGGTTCCTCAACACATTGCACAAAGACCTTGGAGGCACGAGGAAGAAGAACAGCAGTATCATCTATTCGTCATTTCAAGGAGAGCTCTCGATCGAGACTCAACCAATCGACCCCAAGGCAGTCAAGGGCGCAGACCCTATGTTTAACTCGGACAGCGGTATGGGCAATAGAGGCGAAACGAACGAGATCAGCCTTCTGTGCTTGCTTGTGTTCATTACTCCGCAGACATTTCATTCATCTGCTTGTTTATGCCTTGCCGACTAACACAAGCGGTATTTGATTTCCCGTTCTCTACTCACGGACCTTAGCCATTACAAAGACCAAATCTCCATTCTTGTTTTTAGCATTGGAATTGCCTCCGCCTCCGCTGTTTCACGACGAACTGGAGAAGAACATCATTCCACAGATTCCCTTGACGACCATCCTTTCGAAATACGACGGCAGGACTCTCCAGGTTCGTTCACAATTACTTGCCTAGAGTTTGCTAAACAAGGGTTGCGATCTCAGGCATGGGCTGTTCTTCATGTGCTAATTCGTTTTATTGATTGTTCCATTGCCACCCTACCTTGTAGGAAAGCGTCGCAGACCTAAAGAAGTTCCAGATCACTCGACTCCCCAATTACATTATTCTTCACATCAAGAGGTTCTCCAAGAATAGTTTTGCTAAGGAAAAGAACCCGACCATCGTGACTTTTCCTATCAAGAACCTGAGCATGGCCGAGTGTATGTATTTTTCAGTATCACTTGTAAATGTTCCCATTGTGCTATGGTTTAAAGTAACACGCTAACCCGTGTACCTTATCTACTATTGTTTCAATAGTTGTCGCTGACCCAGAGAAAGAAAAGGTGCTTGGATTGCAGTACGACCTCTTGGCTAATATCACGCACGAGGGCGATCCATCTGTCCCTAGCTCGACAAGCTACAAAGTCCACCTTCAGCACCGCGCCAAAGAGCAATGGTATCAGATCCAGGATCTGTTTGTGGAAGAGATCAATGCACAGATGATCTTTTTGTCCGAGTCCTATATTCAGGTACGGGGTCCCCATATATTTTTTTACTGTCACTTTCATTGTCGTTGTTCCTTCGTCATTTTCTATTATGCATCCCTGTCCTTACTATTTTGCAGTGTGGTTTGCAAGGACGATCAGTTTGGCATAGGAAAGAATCGTCGATGTGGTGTACCCCCTATGCTAATTGGCTACTTGTTATGCTACTTGTTTTTTTTCTCGCACACTGACATTTTCCTCTTTTTCCCAATGGTGGCTTTTTCGCGTATGCATGTATTCTTTTCTCCTCCTAGGTCTGGGAACGCAAAACTCCAAATTGATGAACACACCACAAGTCCAAAGCAAGCGAAGGTGGGGAGAGAGAGAAGAGAAATACTCGATTGTTGTTTATGACAACGCTTCCTCCCTTCTTCCCGACAGGAATCATGCATAGGAATCCAAGAAAAATACGTCAATACCGAACGACGCCAATACAATTTGTGTTGTGGAGTAACGCTTTGGTAGTTTTGCAAAAACACAGACAAATACAAGAACGTGTATAAGAAAGCACCGATTCGACCTCTAGGAAGAAAGAAAGAAAGAGGGCGTTGGCGGCGTATGAAACATGCCAGTCTGGCGTGGTGTTTTTTTTATCAATTTGGGTAGTTCAATCTTCAAAGTGATGACGGAACACTAGTCAGACTCGACTAGAAGGCAAACAGGTTCGATTTCGACTTTTCGCTGTGGATACGAGAAAGGCTCTAGATTCGACCGATGCTTGTGCAAAGTAGAGTCTGCTTTCTTTCTTTTAGGGTCTGAGAGCACAAGAGTGAAACGGTTGGATTAGACAATCGGGGTGGACCTGGGAAAGAGAGCTCAATGAGAACAGTGTAGAGATGGAGTGAAGGATGAGGGCAGGGCATTGAGTGGGCGGGAGCGAGAGAGGAGAGTGAGAGAGGAGAGTGAGAGAGAAGGGACTAAGAAGGAGGAAACTAGGCGAGGAAGCGAAGGAAGTAGGGGTGGGAGGAGGGGGACGAGAAAGTAGTTGTTGTACCGACAGACGACGCCACAGCCAATTGACTTTCTTCTTTCTCCCGTCTCCCCTCCTCTTCTCTCTCTCTTCTGCGTCTTCCATTTTTTTTTTTTTTTTTCTTCCCTTACCCTTACCATACCTCTCACATCCCTCCTCCTCCTCCTCCTCCTCCTCCTCCTCCTTCTCTCTCGCTCTCGCTCTCTCCCCTCGCTCCGCTTCTCATCGTCACCCAAGCGAGCTCCTTTTCTTTCTGTTGTTATCATTCCTATTGTTTATTTATCCTCACACAATCGCCACCTACCACCCACATAGCTTACCCCATTCACACCACACTCTACTTCCTCCTCGTCCTTCCTTCAATCTCTCGTTCTTGATCATCGACTAAATATGCGCCACTCGATCACTCCCCAGCCCCAGCAACCGCTGCATCCACAACAGCAACCACTGCAGCAGCAGCAACAGTTCCAACAACAACAACAGCAGCACCTCCAGAACCAACAGGCATATCAACCCGTACCACTCACCCAACAATCCCTAGCACAGCAACAACTATTGCAACAGCAACAACTACAGCTGCAACATCAACAGAACCAGAGTCAACAGATACACCAGCAATTGCAACAACCACAACAGCACCACCATAGTAACCAACAGCTACAGCAGCAGCAACACCAAATGCCGTTACTTACACAGCACAATGGTCGCCCCCTCCCAGCGGCGCCCCTCCCTGGTCAGTCAGGATATCCGTCATATACGACAACTCGCAATGGATCGGAAACCATCTCACCGCTCCAGCAGCAGCAGCAGCAACAGCAACAGAGTCAAGAAAGCGAACACTATTCGTCCGTGATACCGCCACATCCGCATACACATCATGAGCTTCAACTCTCGTCCAACCAGTATCCAAACCTTCTTGATCCAATTCCGCCACATCAGCTCCAACAAACAAGACAAGCTTCGCCTCACAAGCAAAAGTCCGTTTCACATTATGGTCAACGCTTCAATCCCATGTACCCTTCACCAGCCTCGTCGGCCACAACGCCGCTCCTCTCCCACGCGTCCCTCAACCCATCGAACCCCTCGGAGGGCCTGGCCCATCATTCGACCGTCACCTCCCACCCCGCCACAGCGGCCGACACGTCCGCTGCAGTCTCCGCAGTTGCCGCCGCCGCTCGTTTGGTAACCCGACAATCTCTAACACCTCAAGTCTCGCCCCACCTGAACCCGGCGCGGGCTAGCCATGATAGCTTGACGCCTGCATGGTCGCCCGCTCACGCATCCACAAGCCCATCTTCGACTGCTTCTATGCCAGCTTACATGGACACGTTTGAGGTAAATAGATCGAGTGTCGTCGAGAATATCTGCGTTCAGTCGTCTTTCTTTTTCGGTCAAATTGGCCATATTGCCAGTAACGGAAGCATCGATCCTTCGGTCCACTGGACGCCCTTCTTATTATTATTTTTTGCCCAATGCACAAAGCAGCGACTATATCTCATCCATCCCTTCTTAATGATCTCAATACTCCTTTCCCACTCACTGTTCCGACAACAGTGCCATTGTTTTCCTTCCCCCTTTTTGTTATTTTTCCTTTGACAATTTTTTTGCCCTTGCCCTTTCTTGACATTTTGAAGGTGATCCCTCTTTCTGAGGAGAGTCTCCCACACACAGGCGACGCCAATGCTAACACAAGAGAGCGCACAACACAGGAAAGAAGGCAAACAAGGATGAGGAGTGTGCCTTAGTGTCTTGCCCTGGACAATCTTCTTGACTGTTCAGGCTTCCGAGTTGTCTGTTGGTTCTTTGGAGTTTTGGTTTTGTGGACTGCACGTGACCACTCACACATATCTCTTCTTTTTTTCTCAAACCCCTTCTTCTTCATTCGTGTCTCTCCCCTTTGTTATATCCGTGCATCCGTCGTTCTGCAATTATTGGTATACATCAGACCAAGTATGGGTCTGGGCTCGTCTCTGACCTGTCAAACCCATTGACCATGAGCAACCTTTATGCACGGTCATTGCACACGCCCTTCTATCAAGATCTGACCAATGGTGTCCATCTTGGCCTTGGGTCTCAGGCAAAGTAAGTCGGCCAACGCTGCATAAACAATGACGATCGCCACTTCTCTCTTATTCTTTTTTCGGTTCTTCATATGATGATCCAGTAACTAATTAAAAGACCATTTGCTCCTTATGTATTGTTTAGCGGCGCGGTGTTACAGGGCGCTCATTTGCCACTAGCACATGGTGGTCCACTCCTGCACGCCACGTCTCAGTCTCTCTCTGACTTTCCAGCGTTCGATGTCAAGGCCTACACCTTCCGTAAGAAGCCGAGGCACTATGTTGCTGTCAAGCACAAGAATGCATTGCGTATTGAGCCAATCATTTACCTCAAGACCAGCATCCTGGACTCGAATCGGCAAGTGGTCCGAAACTGGGATTACTTGCGGTTCAATCTCGATCGATTCAGAGAGAATGCACAGCCAAAGAAAAAACTGAGCCCCGATGGTAAGGCAAATATGATCGATGAGCGCTCCAGTCCAGTCTTTTACCCACAGAATTCTTTCTAGCGAATTTGCCCTACTAATTAAGTATGCTTTCCGATTCTTAATTTTCTCCGCGGATAAAAACGTTTCTAGAGATGAGAGGGGCAAGGATCTTGGACGTGGACATTGTCCTCATCTCGCCAAATAACAGAGACCGCATCATTGAGGACTCTTGCCCTGCTTGTGTCATGCGTATGGACGGCGAGAGAAAGGTAACTTAATGCTTTTTGTAATGCTGCATCGTTCTATATTGTCGTAACCATCCGCGTATTCACAATGCCGTCAACTGTACCTCTTTCAACTATGTAGATCATGCAAGTGTTGGCCAAGAACTTCAAACAGAGCCCTAACGGTGAACCCATGATCGACATCCGCAAGGGCCATGCGATCATCTGCATCAAGCTGAACTGCTACTGTGATCACCACAATGAGCAAGAAGGCTTTGTGGTTCGCCTGCAAACGTTTCCCGAGGTCGTCCGCGTCGGTGGGTCTGTGAAGCTTCGTATCTGCTGCGAGGCTCGATCCAAGAACGGAGGCCCTGAGCAAGACCAGGAGGAGGAGGATGGCTTGACTGATATCGATGCCCCAGCTTCCACTGGCTCGCGGTCACCAGCGATGGCACCCAACGAGCAGATGCTTCAGAGCCCATCCTTGAGCAATGAGAGCTCAAGAAGCCCAATGGTCAAGAGTCACCAGCGTACTCCTTCTGCCAGCTCAGCATCGATGGCCTCTCCAAGATCGATGGATGAGCGGATGGTGAACTCACTTGCGATGGACAATGCTAACATGAATGGACTCCGCAATGGCCACGGTCCCAACGGCACCAATGGTCGAGCTATGGCCCCTCCCAAGTTCCGACAGATCTACCCTCTCACGCCATGCGAGGGTACTATCCTCGGAGGTACTCGAGTCACCATCCACGGGGCCAACTTTGATCTTCTACAGAACCCCGTCGTCTTTTTCGGCAAGGTTCCTGCCGAGCTGGTCACCATTTCCCATCACGACGTGATGGAGTGTACCACACCTCCTGCGGAGAACTTGAAGCCAGGCATTGTTGCTGTGAAGATTGCATCGATGTCGTACCCTATTGGCCCCGAAACAGACCAGGTCGACTACATGTACATGGCACCACCAGACTACGACTTTTGCAACCTCGCCGCAACTTCGCTTTCCTACGCCATGTCGAACGAGTACCCACAGGACAACACTGTAAGCCATTGGTGCATTTTACTTCGTACGTTATTATGGCCCTTTTGAGGGGCCTTTGTATTAACTGTCCTTTCTTGTTATTTTTTGTTGCTATGCATAGTTGGCCTACATCCTCAACGCTCATGGCGCAGGTGCGGGTGTTGGACTTGGCTTGTTGGATGATGCCACAACGTTTGTAGGAAACGATTTTGATGTTGGCTTCGCATGGAGTGCCTCCGGCAAGGAAGACATGGCACTCGAGTTTTTGCGCACGGTTCAGATTCTTGCTCCAGGACGCATTTTGCCTTCCTTCAAGGTAAGAGTGTACTTTTATTTCCAATAAGCTTGAATATCTATATCATTCTTCTTTTCTCCGTCAACTATTGGCTAACTATTCGATTCTCCGATGGATATAGAGCGACTCTGGACACACAATGTTGCATATAGCTGCACAGCAGGGCATGACTCGACTCGCCAAGGAGCTTATTGCCATGGGTATTGACCACACTGCCATTGACAGAAATAGCAAGACTGGTAAGCTACAGTTTTAGGGTCTACTTTATTCTACTTGAACACATTCAATCAACCATGTCACTAATTATACAATCATTTCTTTTGTAATAGCTCTCCAATTTGCTCGCATGTCAGGTCATGAAGACATCGCTAGGCTGATCTCCGAAGCGAAGGTTCCCCCTCGCCCTATGGTCCCACGGATGGAGTCTGCTCAACACCCCAGCGCCACCATGCAGCAAACTGTTGCCACTTTGATCCTGAAGCACCAGGAAAACTTCGTCAAGGTTGTGAAACAGGAAGGTCACCGCAGGGGTCGTCAGCTCAGAGAGATGAAGGAGAGGGCCACCCACGTCATGGACATCAAGAACGAGGCCCTTACCGAATCCGAAGTCCATACCAGCGTACCGACAGAGGCGGCCAACGCCGAAGGAGGTCATGTCCATGAAGAACCCCGTGCAACTGGCCAAGATCTTCCCAAGGTGTTTGTCGAGGAGGCCGAAGAAGACGATATTATGGATGAGGAGATGTCGAACGCGTCGTCCCCTGAAGGAGCCAAGTCGCATGACGAGGACATGGACTCCAACGACGAATCTGGTGAACCTGATCACGGCCAGACCGAACGTAAGCGGAAGGCCCACGGTGCTCCAGATGGCGCCGGCGATGCGTCCCGCAAGCTGATCAAGGATGAAGACTCGCATGCTTCGGCCTCTTTGTCCTCCAAGGCTGAGTACCTTACACCCGCCCAGCACAGCCACATCCTGAACGCTACCAATATTTGGGAAAAGTCGCGTGGCACTGAACTGTTCGGTTCGACTGCCGCGCTGTTGACCAAGACTGGACTTCAGACATGGACTGGTGACACTTGGTCGGCCACATCATTGAAGGACTCGGTAGAATCCGCCTTGTCAGCTTCACGGAACGACACTGCCCTTCATGTTATGGCTTTGACTGGAACAGGACTCCACCACTTTACTGAGCGTCGCTCCCCCCAAGGGACCGTGATCCGCGATGTTGAGCACTGGAGTCTTGTCGAGCTTGAGCATATTGGTCACACCACAAATGGTCCCTCTCAGCTTGCTATTGACATGGAGGTGTGTGGATTGGGCTCCCGTGGTGGTCGATATCCTCTCGGTCAAAGGATTCAATTGACAGGATCCAAGGACAACCTGGGTGGATATGTCGATGCAGTGTCCAATGCTCACGACGATCTTATGCGTCACCTTGGCTTCAAGTCCAAGTTTGGATCGGCACCTCAGCAACATCAGCCCCATCAACACTACCATTTGCCCACGGAAAAGACTGAGGATTGGATCGATACAACGCTTACCATATGGGCCAAGCTCTTCAAGCTCTCGGACCGTGACCTGAATGGAATCGAATACTCTGCTCGTCTTGGCACCTTTACTTTCAAGCCTGCCCAGGATGACAGGAGAGCTTACTCTGCGCCACAGATCCAGACGGTCATGCGAACGCTCCGTGAGTACGACGAAGGCTCCAAGGTCCGGTTCGAGGGCATTCAAGCGTTGGATGGAGGCTGGAAGAAGCAAGAGGTGATTCAGGACTTGCAGAGGATGATCAAAGACATGAAACACATTGAGCGGTGGAACTTTGCCGGTTGCGGATGGTCCTCGGAGACTGCCCAGGGATTCTTGGACGGATTCGAGCCCACCGCGGAGTCGACCCATATGCTTAGAGGAGACGCAGGGCGCGAGCACTGCAGACGCATCTCCTTGACCGGTAATGACTTTGGAGGCGAGGATACCGTCGGTCACCTCTTTGCCAAGCGCCTGGCTACCTGGAGACATTTCAAGACTCTAGACCTCACTGACTGCAACATCGGCGTGGGCGGAATGGAGGCGCTCGTTGGATGTCTGGAGAACATGTTGACCATCCGTCTCAAGGGCAACCAAGCCGACAACCGCTGGTGGCAATGGGTCGACATGTTGCTGGAACGCAACCCCGATCTCCAGAAGTGTCGTCTTGGAGCACCAGTGGCTCCTTCGTTGCCTCACGAGAGTCTTCTCAGCGGCAAGCGCTTGGACACACTGCAAAAGTTGACTGTTCTGGATCTCTCGACCGCGCCTATCAACCAGGCTACCATCTCTGTCTTGGCCGCCTATGTCCCGTCCCACCCTGAACTCTTGACACTCACATTGTCCCGCTGCAACCTGGGATGGTCGAGCCTCGTCAGCGTGTTTGATGCTCTTTGCAAGGTCAACCAAACCACAAAGTTCACGTTGGATGTTAGCCAAAATCCTCTGTTCGAGTCCAAGGAGTCGATTGAGAGCTGGATTCGGAGCCTGGAGAAGTCGAGATCGTTCAACAGCGGTGAGCCCTTTGGCATTCACATGCAGGGTCTCATTGTCCGTGATGCTGTCTTGCGACGTGTCCTAGAGGCTTTGGAGCAGACGACGTGTTTCAACGAACTCAACGTCAATGGATTGATGATCAAGCGCGAGAGTCAAGTGGCCGAGTTAGAGGGACTGAGCTACCAGGAAGCTTGCTCCAGAATCCGCCCAGAGGATGCTTCGGAAGCCACCTGCTGCGCCCTTGGCCGCATGTTGGCTATGAACAAGACCTTGGTCATGTTGGATATCTCTGGCAAGGAGATTGAGCAGCAAGACCCTGATGTCTCTGCTACCGTTGGTTCAACCGGATCGTCAGTGTCGGTTGGCGGCAGCAGCGGCGGCGGTCGCAGAGGTAACTCGGCGGGCGGTCGGTCGATGGGTGGATTCGGCAGACGGATCTCGTTAGCCTTCCCTGCCTTGGCTGATAACGACACCCTCCAGCTGTTGGTCATGGACTACAACCGGTTCGGAGAGGACGGAATGGTTACCTTGGCTCAGGCTCTCAGTTCCAACCGCAAGCTCGGTGTGTTGTCATGCGACGGCAACGATGCCTACACTCACAAGGGTCTCAGGGCGGTCGAGAGTGCACTCCCTCCGTTTGGTATGGCGCCTGCATCATCGGCGTTGAGCATCCACGGAGTGACGTCTGGTCATCTGTCCAGGGGCATGGCACTATCTGGTCCTGTCACCTACCGCGGAACCATCGAGGAGGCACAGGCTGCAGGTTACAACAGCACACTTTCTGTGTGGGACTTTAACCCTGTAGAAATACTTCTCCACCAGGATTTGATGTCGATGGAGGTGGAGCGTCGGTTGGCTGAATTCAACCGCATCGAGACTATGCAATCGACGGCCCGAGAGCAGGAAGCCAAGTTTGGACCTCGACCTGCTGGCGGTGTGGGTGAGCCTGGAGTCGCAGTGGGTGGCGCAGCGTTGTTAGCGGAGGCCAAGAGACTGCACCAGGCTGCACTTGTTGACAGGGCGGAGTATTCGGATTGCCACTTTAGAATCCGTGGGGCGATCAAGGAGAACAACCGGAGGACCAAGGAGGTTTACGATCGTGAGCTTGAGCAAGCCGAGCAGCAGAGGCACCAGGAGATGCCTCTTTAGGTTATTTTTGTACCAATTGAATCTTTATTATTAAACCAAAAGAATTGTCAGAAGCCAGCCAGGGACTCTTTTAACGGGGTCGTTTCTGAGCCTCTTTCTTGCTGAGAATTAAGCTCAGAATTACATTTTTCTTCTCTACCAAAGTGATTCCAGCATTTTCAGAAAGACACGACTCATACCCCTTCACTCTCCCAACCCATCGCTCAACTCGCTATAACGACACCCTCGCAAGAGAAGAACAGCGATAATCTCACAACAACGATCGCCATAACATACCAACACCAAAACGATTCCAGTGATTTCCCTCCCCAGAAACACTCATTCCTCCCCAGCTCTCTAGGACAACGATTACAGCATGGGGACTAATTGTGCATCAACTCGGTCTCAGGAACAAAGCTCGTCACTGTCACGAAAGCAACACACGACCTCAAAGGAAACTCTTGCAAAACGAACGCACGACCAAGTCAAACACGAAAAACCCATACCCACCTGAATACTTGTGTGCTGACTTCAGTTTTTCTCTTGCGTTTACTCGTAATAATAACACTGAGCGCTGAGGACACCATGACCGCCTTGCCATTGCTCCCCAAGAACAACCACGACTTGGGCTTCCACCAAGAAACGAGTCTGAAGGAACGTTAACAGCAGTCACTTTTGGGCGCAATATTCGCAATGGACAACCAGTAACTGATCTAGGCTTACCAAACCAATCCAACTTCATTTTTTCATTTCTCAACCACGATAGGGAGCAAGCCGTTCTCCAGCCAAACAACTGCACCAAAGACGAAATGAACCTCCAGCGGCCGATGAGTACCTGAAATTAACAAAGTTTACTTTTGTTCATGTTTCTGAAATGGTCGACGAAGCCTCATTGACAATCCACATCAGCGACTACTACACAAGCAACATTGAGTCCTGCGACTCCTCAAGCGGCGACTCCTCAAGCGACGACTATTCGAGTGACGACGATGACATGGGTGACGATGAGTCGATCCTGTCCGACCCAACCATGGCCAATATCACGGATACCAAGGAATTTCTCGAGGGAAACCCAACTACTGACGGAGAAGTTAAGCAGAAGCTCAACAAGTACATTGTCGAGGAGGTAAGTTCTCGCCTGTCCATGTCAGCCTCATCTTCGTAGGCTTTGTGTAGGTGATAGAACGTACTAACATGTGTGCGTTTCACTTTTTTGCTCTCATTTGTAGAAGTAGATCAACAAGCTTGTCGCCCTGCTGGCAATTTGCGAGAAGTCGATGAAGACTTCGTGTTTGCCCACACTCCGCTCTGTAATCTTGCATATGAGTGAGTCCAGCTGAAAAAATATTCGTAATCTTGTTTTCTTAACACCATACCGAGCAATGCTTAATAGCCTGGAGCGATTACTGACCGATTACTTCGTTATTTTCTTCCGCTTCTAGTGAACCGTTACGACGCGAATATCATCTAGGAAATGCTAAAGAACAGCAGCCTTGTAGGCTGCCTTGGTATCATGGAATGCAAGTGAATATACTATACCATGTGACTTTTTGCAAAGATCGCACTCGCTTTGAAGGTATTGTCAGAACTCAAACTCACAAGCAACATTTGCTTCCTCCCGCTACTATAGACGACCCGAACCTGAAGGAGGGGAATCCAGGGTACCGGCAGATGTTCCCTCGAGTGGGCAAGTTCAAGGAGGTCGTTCCGATCGACGATCCAGACACCATGAAGCTTATCAATCGGTTGATCTGTCTCCAGTTTCCTAAGTGGTTGATACCCTGGAAGTGGACGCGATTTTGGTGGTGACTCTCATGATCAAGGTCAAGACCTTCGAGCTCGTCCAGGACATTGCCTATGACCGCCAGTTGATGAAAGGACCTCTTCGATATCTTGAAGAACCCATCGGAGCCAAAGCGTCGCCGAAATGAAGTTGTGCTGTTTGTGCACCAACTTTGCGACCAAGAAGACAACTCTCGCCATCTACAGATAAGAACATGTTTCTACAATATGTATGATCGCCGAGTTACGGTTATGTTCTCGACAGGATATCTAACTATTCTCTTTTCAATCTTCCTTCAGTCAATACAACGCCCTTCACAGGAATGTAAGTCCTGCTAGTCTTTTTGATTTTCTCGAGTTTGCCTTTGTCTCCTTTGACGACTAGGCTAAGCAAGCAGCCATCGAGATTATGCAGATCGCCTTGGAGACCAACCTCAAACTGATGCGTCAAGCAGGCCACCCGCCAAGGCTCCAAAGTCTTCTTTGATGCCCTTTTGATTCAAATCATCTTTGAGCGCAATCAACTCCATGTCCCAGTTTGTTGATGCCACCCAAGCCTTGCTGAATGTCAACCCCGAGAAGCCAGAAATGATCAGCTCGAGTCCTACTTTGCAGGAAGGTGAATCACCAGTCAGCGACGCGGACTTTACTGATTCCAGCGTAGAGTCATTTTTGGAGTTGTTTTACACATAATACTTCAGTACTCTGACCGAGCCATTCCTGGTGCTCACGAATGGAAGTGTCTGTGTTGAGCCGAATAGGTGCAAGGTTGACGATGCCAGCTAGGGAATTGATGTCTCACTCTATGTACGCCAACTAACTTTCAACTGTAGATTACTTTTTGGTTGTTGTATCCTGGATCTTCGTGAGTCAGTCAGTCGCGTTCAACCCCGCAGCAAGCTTGGCGCAGCTCTGCCTAGATCCCACTGAGGAACAGAAGGACAGCGCCTTCTGGACAATGTTACCGGTGCATTGGACAACAACATCAATATCAACAACAACAACATCAACAACAAAACATCTCAGCATATCACATCATAACACTACACAACACAACATACCGTGGCTCTATAATCAGCAATGCAATCCTAGCAGGACTGGACGGATCACAACACTATTTGGTTTTCCTGTCAAGAGTGCCCCGTTCATTCTTGACATCTATCTCCAGTTGATTTTTTCGCCCTCGCCCATGTCCACCGATGCTCTGTACATAGCCGTGAGACACCGCTTTATCGTGCATATTCATCGTCGTCCATGTTCTACAATTGTGTTGCTTAATAACTTCCTTTTTTGCTCATCCAGTTTTGTATTCCCCCTCCCCCCCCACAACAATCCCCAAAAAATAAATAAAAGGCATAGAGGTGTGCACATAGGTAACTGCAGGTGGAGTGATGAATTGAATGCCCTGATCTACACCCTACACCCAAAGACAAGCTCCCTAAGAGTCTGTCAATCGCTGTTACTGTAGAGTTCATCCGAATTGAGAGCAATGAAATAAAATGATGAGAATGAATTTCTCTCAAACGTTGAGTTCATCTTCCTTTCTTCCCATCGAATTGACGTTGATAGAAAGAATTGGGAGAAATAGATGGCGTTTTCATTTGTTGTTGACAATGGACCTCGTGTGACCAAGGCATGGACAACACAAAGGCGCAAAAAGAGCCCTCCTTCCTTTTGTTCACATTTTCGTTTCTCGTGCCTTTCCTTTGTCCACATTTGAATCCTGCTGGACAAACTTGCAACAAAAGTGGATGGGATGGCGCTAGGGTAGATTGCACCAAAATGAGGCACTGGCAAAGATATTCCTTTTAATGGAGTTAGCGTCAATTGTCGGAGGCAACACCTAGCATCATGATGCTCTCGTTATTAAAAGAATTAGAAAAACAGACTAAAAGAGGGGAGGAATGCAGCTAGTCTGCTGTCAGGACCCAGTTCGTTTTGTGGTGTTTTATCCAGACAGACTACTGCACCTCCCTTCTGGTCCGAAGACTTAGGTACAAGACACCGCCGTTGGGTTTCTCTGGGTGCTGTTGCATGGATGGGTGGTACTTACTACGTTTTACTTTTGCAATTTCTATTTCTCGATTCACTTTCTGTTTCATTCTTGCTTCCTTTCCTTCTTCCTTCTTCCTTCATCCTTCGTCCTTCATCCTTCTTTCATCTCTTCGTTTCCTCCATTAATACCTCTCGCCCCTTTCTTTATTTCGATATTCCCGTCCTGGCGCCCTCTCTCCTCTCCTTTCTTCTCCTTGTCGTCTCCGTATTCTCGTCCTCTACTTTGCTTTCTCTCCTGCTCTTTCAATCCCTTAATCCACACATATACCCAAATCCCATCTTTATATTAGTTGCTTGCCGCCACCTTTGTTACCTCTCTTTTCCCTCCAGCGTCTCCTGTTCCACCCGTTCGACTCAATCTTCACTTTTCAACACTCAACGAAGCACCGCTCGCTCTTCTCGCCACTAAAACCAGAGGGGGTGAACATGACGTCAAAGCAGGGTTCCCTGATCAAGTCGGAGCCACGATCAAGGAATAGGACGCTGTTTATCAGTCTAATTTTCGTTGTGGTCCTCTTTCTCCTTGCGCTACAAGTGGAGTGGGTCCCTTACCTCAATAATTACTCCTCGAAGGACGACGGCACAGTTGTCCTCGACAGCGCCAGGCGACATAACCGCACCATCATCACTGCCAACAATAACGATAACGACTACAGCAACGACTTTAATAGTAACAACCAAACAACAACAACAACAACATCAAATACACAAACGCCCTCTCACACACAAACAACAACGACAACAACGAGACCCGAGCCCCTGCAGCTGGAAGGAAACAAGGAACACAATCCTTTCATTACAATGTTCCCACCAAGACCCCCTGCAGAAGGCGAACGGTTCCTGGCCTACCTCCCCCACAGCGGCTTCCACAACCAACTCATCACCCTCGAGACTGCACTTCGACTGGCAGTGTCGCTCAACCGAACCTTACTTCTCCCACCGCTACACCTCAGTCACAAGAAGCAGGCTCTGGTCTGGAAGGAGCCGCCCATCCTTCTCAAGCAGTGGTCGGACCGCAACCGGACAGGAGTTGAGTATTGTCGAACTATCGAGCCCGCAACATGGCCCCGCAAGAATCGGAAACAGCGAGAGGCGATGACAGAGAAGGAGCGACTGACCGAGCACCAATGCCGATTTTACCATCTCTGGACTACGACTCCGTGGACCTATTTTTACGACATCCCCAAGATTTTGTCGGACGTTGTGGGCGTAGCGGGGGAGACGACGCCCATTCGAGTGTTCAATCGTCCGGAGATTACGATGGAGTGGCTCAAGGACAACCTTCAGGTGGAGGATCTGCAGAAGGAGATGTACTTTTTTAATGATACGAGTCGGTACGAGTACTTTATTGTGGATGATTCAGAGACGGACTATGGTATCAAGCCGGGAGACGAGAAGCCTCAGGTGGAGGTGCAGGTCGACCATTCAACACTCATCCCAGAGACCATGGCCACAGAAGGCAAGTTCTCAAAACGCCTTCTACTCACCGACCTCCACCGGCGCCCGGAAAAGATCCTCCACTTTGGATCTCTATTCGCCACCGACCGGTTCGAGGCACGATCACAGCGACAGCGGGATCTGAAACAGTATCTCTCCAATGGGATGGATCTCTGGAACCAGGCGATTCTGGACGCGACGAGGATGGCCGAGGATCAGATCGAGGTGTGGTCCAAGGGGACGGAAAGGCTTGCAGAGGGGTTTCTGGGAGTTCATTTGAGGACGGAGGATGGGATCTTTGAGAAGGGTGCGCCAATGAATCTGCAGAGGATTGTGGTTTGGGTTGAGGAGATGGTTAAGCAAGATCAGTCGCGGTATTCGTCCAAGTTGCGGCGGCGAGCAGATCCAGTACCACATGCGCTACCAGCAGCAGCAGAGGGAGAAGGTCAACCGGCGCAGGTACTAGCATCCCATATGCCCACCACCCTCATTGATGAGGCAGCTCCAACATTCCTGGAGCGGTGTCAGTCGAGTCCAGCCGAGTCACCGATGATCTTCATGGCAACAGATGTCCACCAGCCACGTTCAGCACCTCTTCTCAAGGATTTCCTAGACCGGTTCCCGTGCACGATGTTTCTGTCCGATTTCCGTGAATCGGATGCACTTCTGGAAAACATCCGGAACCCGGTGGACAATGTGCTGATGTGGCCGTATATGGTTGCGCTGATGGACGCCAACTTGGCGGCCAAGGGGCGGATGTTCCAGGGGACGGATCGGAGCACGTTTAGTGCGTATATTATCAACCACCTTTGGCCTGAGTATCATACTGAGGCTATGGGGGAGTATCGGTAGAAAGGTGCGATGCGACTACATGTATATTAGAAGATTTTTTTTTCATTTAGCGATAAAGATAAAGTGAATGAATGATAGACATCAATTAAGACGTGGATTGAAAGGATTAGCGTGACTCCAGTTGGGAGTTCTAGAAGGGCATGGAAGCCATAGAAGGATAGATCACTTGGTGATCAGACCAAAGAGAAAGAGAACGCAGGATTGAGTTTTAAGGGGTACAAGAGGGGAGAGCCAGGGAAACGAGTAGAGGGGAATCCGACGTGTCAGCGCAGTCTGATTGGCTGGACAAGGCTGGTCTGTTAGGTTCTCTGGCTCGCACTCATTGGATATATCAATTCTGTGCCCCGCCCCTTTATTGATGTTCTGCTATTAGTGTTCTGTCTATTTCGCTCTCCCATCATCCTCTCTTTTCGTTTCATCACCTCCCTCCCTCCCTTTCTTCTTTCTCTTTTTATCCCGTTATCGTCCAGGGCCCAACTCGCAGCACAACAACACCTCCCTCCTCCTCCTCAACGGCCTTGTCGGAATACCAGAACTAGCACCAAGGAAAACACACCAGCACACCTTCAGGAGTATTCAACAAAGAGACCTACCTAGCAAGCCAACAGAGAGAGATTGGAAAAGCAAAGATGGCAAAGTACACATTCGACGAGAACGGCGACACGTTCAACTTCTTCGTCCTCACCACCCTCGCCATCATCCTCATCCCCGTCACCTACCTCAACATCTTTAAGAAGACAGGTAAATATATGAATCTTATTCGAAGGACGTTTTTCAGCTAGGCAAAACACAGACTGGACTCGGCTTGTTGTTTTCCATCGAGCAAGGAATGAATACGAAGCCAACTACGCATAGACCCGAGAGGAACCGAGACTGAATGAATTGGAACACATACGGATGCAAAAAAACACACAAGTGTGAATGAACCAAAGAAAGCCACGATCTAACCACTTTCATGATTACTTCGCTTTCGTTTGATTATATTAGTCGTTACGGCAAAGAAAAATACTTGCCCTTGCGATGCCTGCCACAAGAAGTCTTCCCGAGCTGCCGCCCCCCGCAAGTCCACAGGAGTTGGCAAGAAGTATGTGTTCTTTTGACGAGATTCCAAAAACTGGGCTGTTCGCCCTTTTCCTTCTCTCCGACTACTGCAAACACCTTGACCGTGAACTAACTCTTTTTACTTTCATCGTGTATGTGGTGTGTCGTATAGGTCAATTGGTATCCTCCTTGGCTGGATCGTTTTCGCTTTCGTCGCCTACCAGGTCTACATCACCCCTTCGCCCGAAGTCCTCAAGTGGAACCCCTTTGACATTCTTGGCGTTGCCGATGTAAGTATATACAGCAGCAACAGTCGTTTTATCACACGCAATCGACGCCTTTTCATTTACTCATGCCAGGGGGTGAGAGAAAAGGGATAGGAAGCATGCACAGGAGACAAGCTTTATTCTTACTGATACATTTGTGCTTTCTGTCCTGGTTGATCTCTCTGTAGAATGCTACCCCTAAACAAATCAAGTCAGCATATCGTGGACTGAGCAAGATCTGGCATCCTGACAAGGTCAAAACCGACCTGCGCGAGGAGGCTGACACCAAGATGGCCGAGATCAATAAGGCTTACGAAACGTAAGTGGCAATCGAGGAATGCTATGGCAGGATCCGTCTTTGCCTCAAGGAGCTCTTTTTTTTGTTTACCAATCCGATCCACGACCCTGTTTTGCTCACCTCATTTTTAATTTCGTTCGTTTTGTTTGCTCTCGTTTCAATTAGTTTGACTGACGACATTACCCGCGAGAACTGGGAGAAATACGGACACCCCGATGGTAGCAGGAACTCGATGACCATGAGCATTGCCCTTCCCACCTGGTTGGTCGAGGCACACAACAACTTCTGGGTCCTTGCTGCCTACGGTATTGCCTGCGGTCTGATGCTTCCTTACTTTATCGGAAAGTGGTGGTACCGCTCTGGAGACTTCACCAAAGACAAGATTCGCACCAAAACCATGGGCGTGTTCTTCAAGCAATTGAAGGAGACCACCAATGCCAAGGAGATCGTCGAGATTCTGTCTCTTGCAGAGGAGTTCAAGGAGGATATCGTCAGCCGCCCCACGGATGAGGCTGCTCTGGAGAAGCTCGGTGCCCAGGTCAACACTGCTTTGGAGAACAAGAACGGCGAGAAGTTTGAATACACCAAGAAGACCACCTCGCCTGCCCCTTTGAAGGTCTTGACCTTGTTGTATGCCCACACCCTAAACGTCCCCGTTGAAGACAAGGATCTTGCCCAAGGTAATCAGCAGGAACTGCTCTATGAATGTGTCCACGCCCGACAAATGGCTTGTAGTGTCAGGAACTACGATTGGATGCTAACCCTTACCCGTGTCGCTCAATTGTGATCTAGACCAAGTCGATATTGCTTCCAAGACTTTGCACTTGATCCACGGAATGATCCAGATCACTACTGCACGCCAATGGCTCTCGGTTTCCCTTGCTTTGATGGACATGTCCCAGATCTTGGTCCAGGGTCTTTACTTCCACGATTCGCCCCTCCAGCAGTTGCCCTTTGTCGATACCGAGGCTATCAAGGCTCTTAAGGGCAAGAACCAGGTCAAGTCGATTAGCCAGTTCATGGACATGGATCGCGAGGACCGTGGTGCTCTTCTCCAGGAGGGCGTCACTGCCGATCAGGTTGACCAGGTTGCCACCGTTGCTAAGCAGTACCCCGAGTTGAAGGTCCACAAGGCGTTCTTCCGCGTTGCGGGCGATAACATCATTACCCCAGGATCTCTTTGCACGTTTATTTTGAAGGTCAGCGCCGTTATCCCCGGTCAGGAGGTCGAGGAGGAGGAGAAAGTTGTCAAGTCTGCCAAGGACGATGTCGACGCCTTGTTCGACGGTGTTGAGGACAGTGAGGAGGATGAGGATGGTAACATCAAGCCCAAGAAGGAGGACAAGACCCCTGCCCCTGCCGTTCATGCCCCTCACTTCCCCGGCGAGAAGAAGCCTTTCTGGTGGGTTGTTTTGGGAGACCACAAGAACAACCGTATTGTCGTTGCCCCTACCAAGATTGCCGATGTGACCTCGAAGCCCAAGACGATCCGCGTCCAGTTCCAGTCGCCCCCTCGCCCTGGCCAGTACTCGTTCAACCTGTTTATCAAGTCTGACTCGATCTTGGGAGCTGATGTCCTCCAGGACATGACCCTGACTGTTTTGGATGCTTCCCAGTTGCCTCCTGAGCCCGAACTGGACGACGAGATTTCTGAGCCTGACGAGGATTCGATCGCTGGTCAGATGGCGTTGTTGAAGGAGCAGGGTTTGGCAGCAGCGGCCATTGGTGGTGGTGGCCAGAAGGCCGCACCTCCTCAGAGCAAGGGCAAGGGCAAGGCGCCCGAGACCGACAGCGACAGCGATAGCGATTAAAAAGCGAAAGAAGAGTTGTAAGATCTTTTACCGCAGGCGTTACTTGTTTCATATCCTTTCTTTTTTTTCTTCTTTTCATCTCTTTTATTATCTCTCTGCCCATAGTTTATTTTTTGTCGAGTTGTAATAGAGCATTGTTTTTATCCTTTCTCTATGCTATTCGCATGTATCTTGTACCAGATTGTATGCATGCGTTTTAAGCTTGGAGCGTCGACAAGGCACAGATCACACCTGCAAGAGAAATAAGGTTGAGTGATGATAGGACAGATAAACAAAATTCCAAGCCACCCAAGGATGACTTCTTTTTTTTTTCTTTGACTCGAAAAGGCCTTCCCCACGCTTCTTTTTGTGTTTTTTACTTTCACTCCGCTCTTTATCCTTTCCACCTCCCCTCCTCTTCATCCCCTTGCCTTTCCTATCTTTGGCTTCTTTGCCTTTGTCTGGAATACACTCCTCCCTCATTTCTTTATCGCGGCCTACTTTTACGGTACAGGAAATACCCTGCCTTTCTTCTTCCTCACACACATATATCACACATAATGGACAAGCTGATCGTCCTCTTGCTCGGAAACGGCGGTCGCGAGCACGCTATTGCCTGGAAGTTGACCCAGTCCGACCGTGTCGCCAAGATCTTTGTCGCCCCTGGTAAGTTACTTGCTTATCCCTCTTGGCATCATGTTATCATTAAAGAACGTATCTAGTTCTTTTTTTTTCGTGAGAAAAATCAACTTCTGACCAAATCATCTATGCGTGTGTTTTCGATATATCAGGTAACGGTGGTACTGCCTCTGGCTTGAACAAGGTCGAGAACGTTGCCATCGGTGTCCTCGACTTTGCCGGTCTCGCCAAGTTCGCCGTCGAGAACAAGGTATTTAACGATTTAAGAAGGATAAAAATCTCTATTCGGGATCTGGATCGATAATGGAAAATGCGGGCATTCATCGCAAAACGATCAACGAGGAAATCTAACGTCTTCCCTGTTTTTCTATCTTTTCTGTCCATATGGATGTAGGTCAACTTTGTTATCCCTGGCCCTGAGCAGCCTTTGGTTGAGGGTGTCACCGCTGTCTTCCAGAAGAGTAAGCTACTTTTTTCTGTTTGCATATTATGTTGATGATCTGCAACAAGTCTTGACTTTTTGGCTTTCACTATTCTTCTTGACGCAATATCACTTACAATCCTTCCCCATCTTCCTTTTTTCCCTCCCTTCCTCCTTCTTCCTCCTCGCCAGTCGGAATCCCCGTGTTCGGACCTTCAGTCAAGGCCGCCCGCATGGAGGGGTCCAAGACATTCTCAAAGGACTTTATGAAGAGGCACAACATCCCCACAGCCGCCTACGAGAACTTTACCGATGCCGCCACGGCCAAGGAGTTTATCCAAAAGAGCGACTTTAATGTTGTCCTCAAGGCCTCTGGCTTGGCTGCTGGAAAGGGTGTTCTGATCCCCACTACCAAGGAGGAGGCTTGCCAGGGTGTTGATCAGATCTTGGTCGAGAAGGTCTTTGGTGATGCTGGTATGTATTCTTTTTGTTTTTGTTTTTGTTTTTGTTTTTTTTTGTTTTGGTTTGGGATACTTGTTATCGTTGGATGGGGCCCATCCGACCGACGCCATCGACCATTATCGACCATTTATCGAGGACGGCGGACAATCCAGAGCACACCACTGCCATCATCACTGCCGACAACCACGACTCAATTGAACAGTTTTTGCTGAGAAAAAAATAACAATGAGAATTGGACCTCCGGAAAGCCCAAAGGAACAGGCAGAAAAGGGCGCACTCTCATTCGTCGAAAAAATGCGGGGATTCTTCTTAATCGTTGACTCAAAGGCGGCCCTTGAAATATAAGGAAATCAAAAATAAGAAGTTGCGGAAGAAGAAAAAGAGATACAATGAAGGAGATAGTGGATGGAGGACAAGAAGACAGGAAGGTGCCAGCCCAGACAAGTTCGCTCATCGCGTGTGGTGCTGGAAGGAGGAAGGGAAAAAAAGAACCACAAGGAACAAAAATAATCGCTCATTGGATTGGCGTCATATCCCAGGAACTGGACCAAAACACTCGACTGCTGGATGGGACTGGATTCACACAAAGGGCTGAACTGATCTGGGCTCTGGAGAAGGAGAATGGGTCTTTGCTTTCACCGTAATCTGGATAAAAACAAAGATTTCTAACGAATCGTTCCCATCAACGAAATCCAATAGGAAACGAGCTGGTTGTGGAAGAGTTCTTGGAGGGCCAGGAGCTCAGCATCCTCGCCTTCTCGGACGGATACACCGTCGTCCCCTTGCCCCCAGCTCAGGACCACAAGCGCATCTTTGATAACGACCAGGGCCCCAACACCGGCGGTATGGGCTGCTATGCCCCCACGCCTGTCGCCAGCCCCGAGATGCTTGCCGACATCAAGCGCACCATCCTCCAGCCCACCATCGACGGCATGCGTCGCGACGGATTCCCCTTTGTCGGTATCCTCTTCACCGGCATCATGTTGACCTCCTCGGGCGCCAAGGTCCTCGAGTACAACGTCCGTTTCGGTGACCCCGAGACTGAGGTCGTCCTCCCTCTTCTGAGTGACGATACTGATCTTGCCGAGGTTATGGAGGCCTGTACTGAGGGCCGTCTGGACTCTGTCCGTGTCGGTATCAAGCCTGGTTTTGCGGCCACTGTTGTTGTCGCCTCGGGTGGATACCCTGGTGCCTACCCCACCGGCAAGGAGATTACGCTCCAGAAGACTGGCGAGGATGTGATTGTTTTCCATGCCGGCACGTCTATCAAAGAGTCGAAGTTGGTTACCTCTGGAGGACGCGTCTTGGCCGCCACTGGAGTTGCCAATGATCTCCGCACGGCTGTTGATAAGGCCTACGAGGGCATTGGAACAATTGCCTTTGACCAGATGTTCTACCGCAAGGATATTGCCCACCGCGCCTTCACCTTCTTGGCCGAGCAGACTGCCAGCGCCAACCAGATGACGTATGCCCAGGCCGGTGTTTCGATCGATGCCGGTAACCTCTTGGTCCAGAAGATCAAGCCCCTTGTCAAGGCCACGCGCCGTGTTGGTGCCGATGGTGAGATTGGAGGATTCGGAGGATTGTTTGACTTGAAGGCTGCTGGATTCAAGGATCCTATCCTGGTCTCTGCCACTGACGGTGTTGGCACCAAGCTCAAGTTGGCCCACATGACTGGAATCCACGACACGATCGGACAGGATGTGGTCGCGATGAACGTCAACGACTTGATTGTCCAGGGCGCCGAGTCATTGTTCTTCTTGGATTACTATGCATGTGGAAAGCTCGAGGTCGAAGTTGCCAAGGATGTTGTCAAGGGAGTCGCTGATGGATGTCTGATGGCCGGCTGTGCCCTTGTCGGAGGCGAGACCTCGGAAATGCCTGGATTGTACGCCCCCGGCGACTATGACTTGGCCGGTTTCGCCGTCGGTGCTGTTGAGCGCAACAAGATCATCCCCCGCATGGACCTCGTCAAGCCCGGCGATATCCTCCTCGGTCTCACCTCCTCGGGCGCCCACTCGAACGGTTACTCGCTGATCCGCAAGATTGTCGAAAAGTCCAACCAGGAATTGCACTCCCCCTGCCCATGGGACAAGACCAAGACTCTGGGCCAATCCCTCTTGACCCCAACCCGTATCTACGTCAAGCAGCTCCTTCCCGTGGTCCGCAAGGACCTCGTCAAGGCCATGGCCCACATCACCGGTGGTGGCTTCATCGACAACATTCCCCGAGTCCTCCCCCACGAGCTCGGTGTCGAGGTCGATGCTTCCTCCTGGCCTTTCCCCGACGTCTTCAAGTGGATCATGGCCACTGGAAACGTGCCCCACCGCGAGATGGCCAGGACGTTCAACTGCGGTATCGGTATGGTCCTTGTCGTTGCTGCCGAGGATGTCGAGGAAGTCACCCAGCTCTGTAGGGCTGAGGGTGAGGTCGTCTACCAGATCGGTGTCCTCAAGTCCAAGGCTGATAACAACGGCGAGGAGGTCGTCATGCGCAACATGGAGTCCAGCTGGACCGTCTAATTTCCTTCCGTCACCATTACTCCAAACAAATATCTTCAATCCCACACACACATCAACCACATCATTTCAGTAACAAACAAGTACCCTCCAGCATTATGTAAATAAACAAGCCAAGAAAAAAAAAAAGATTGAAAAAATATCAATCATTTCATGCATGAGTAAGTATATTGGAAGTCAGTACTTCGCGACAAGTACATGTGGCCAAAGTTTTTCTTTTTTCCTCCTTTCTTTTTACGCATGAAGAAGAAATGAGGGGAAGGAGGAGGACGGAGGGAGGGAGGGAGGGGGGGATTGTTTATTTTATTTACAGCAGGCCTGGTCCAACTTGCAGTCCGGGAACAGGCGAGCCATCATGACCATTATCCCTGTCACCTTCCTCGTCCTGCCTCCGTCTAGCCTTAGCTGACGAAGCAGACGACGAAGGTGACACTGAAAACTCCATTACCCTGCTATTCCCAGTCTGTGCCGCAATATCCTCCATCTCCATATCAATTTCGATCATCTCGTTGGTGCTGCTGCTGTAACTCCTCCTCACGCCGTTCCTAGTCCCGTCTTGACCACCATTCGTATCACGACAATCAATTACTTCCTCCACACTGTCCTCACGATAGTACTCCTCGTCAGAATCATCATCATACCCAGTATCCAGTCGCGACATCATCCGGTCCAATTCAGCATCCTCCACGTCTGGCTCCTGCTTATAATGTGACCGTAGCCGGTAGTTTGCCGGCAGCTGTGTGGTGCTGTCGACAATATCCAATGAGTCATCCTGCAGAGACGTCAGGGGTCGAAGCCGGTGCTGATCCTTGTCCAGGTTGCGAATCGAGTTGATCGATCCGATCGGGATCCCTTGCAAGGGCGACCTGATCGTCTTGGTCGAGAACGACGTCGACCGGAAGGCGGATGTCGACTGACTAGCGTAACTGACATCGCCGCCTCCACAGGGTGATAACGAATATGGCGATGTCAGTGGTGACTGTGAGTAGTTGAACGACGACGACTCGGACAATGATGTCGATGAGTCTGAGGGAGGGTATTCCGCAAATGTGGGGTTGGTCGTGAAGCCGTTCATGACGTTAGGATGGTTGCCTACTGTTGAATCGGGACGATGCGCTTCGTGGAATGTCTGGAGAGGCTGGTGACGTTGTTGTCCATGGACATTGTGGCTCCGTCGACCCGGTTCGTTCTTGTTATCATTCCTGTGATATGGATGTGATTTGTTGCTGCTGCTGTTGCTATTGCTGTTTCTGTTGCTGTTGCTGTTGTTGCAGCTGCCGTTGGAGGGTGGGGTACCGGAGGGTGAGGTACCGGAAGGTGGAGTGCTGGAGGGTGGAGTGCCGCGACAACTACTATCGCCGCAGGTACAGCGTGGTCCGGCAAATCGAGGTGGACTCTCTGAGTTCGATGCCGAAGAGGGGATACTTCCCATGATTGCCTGTCGTCGCATAAAAGGTCGACACCGCCTGAGAACTGCCACCAGTCCGTCTGCCGCTCCAAACAACATGGCCTCACATGGAATCTCCTCCCGACAATTGGGCGACTGGAACCAGAACCGCATGTGGGTCACCACGTTGGACGACTTTGCAAGCTCGGCCTGCTCGACAAACCCCCCTAGATCGTCTGCCCGAAGAAAGACTAGTAAAGGCTTTCCAACGGCCTTGTCGGGATCAATCTTGAAAATAAATTGGCAGGACGGTGACGCGTACATAATCCCGAGATTGCGTGAGAATCGGTTGAGGATCATGCAGGCTCTGGGTTCGGGGTCGAGTGTGGTAGGATTCCAGGTATTGGGGCCGAATGCCTTGTGATGCCGTTTGATCCGTTCAAATTCCTAATTAAATATGTTCATTGGTCAAGGTCAGCGTCAGTCTTCAATGTTAATAGTTGTTGAACAACGCTAGTATACATGTGTGAGAGTGTTTGCCTGAATGATCTGGTGCTCATGCGCATAAAAGATATCTGTCTGGCATGAGCGCGCAAACAGGACTGGCATAGGGAAGGATGGATGTACGCTCTCTTCTGCTCCACATGCTGCTGGAAAATTGAAGGGGAGGTGGTCCATGGAGCGACGTTGGAATACGGCCTGTTTTTCCGAGGCAAACTTTATGCACCCTTCTGTTTTTGTTCAAACCACGCCCCAAGTTATTCATGGTTTTTTTTTTTTTTTTTTTTTCAAGAGCGTTTGTTCGCCACGTTTTGTCCTCGGGGCACAATTGGCAGGTCCAATTGGGGCCCAGATCAAGAGAATGATTAACCAAAATGAAGAAAAAAAAAACTTCCCGCGTTACTCTGCGGACCAATCACCATGGCTGGTTCAGTCGTCATTTCCTCCAACCCCCTCTTTTTTTTTCATGCTCACCTACTCCTTCCTTCCTTCCTTCCCACCCCTTCCAACTTTTTTGTCAATCTCTTTCTCTCTCTCGCAAGGCCTGCAGGCATCAACAGGCATATACACACGCACGCAGATACGACATACGCTCTCACTTTGCTTACTCCCTTCAATGCGTCATTCACTCTGCCTTGTCTTCCGTTGCTTTACTCCTTGTTATTCTGTTATTTTTTAACCCAAATATCTCGACCCGTTATTCGTCCAACCACGCGCAGTGTGAAAATGAAAAGAAAAAAGTCCTTTCGGTCCCCGCAAATCGCAAAAGGGAACATCCAGGATAGTCAACTGAGACTCTGTTTTCATATCATCCTGACACTCCATGGATACTTCCGCTCTTTGGTTGGTCCTTTTGACTTCCTTGAATGTCGTCTTTAAATCCCTGGTGGGTATATGGTTCTGAGAGTTGACACATGGGAGAGAGGCCAATCCATACCTTGTGCCTGGATCCAACGAGACTCGTCATTGCGGCTGAGTGGGTATAGACCTTACGGACTAGTTCAGAAGAGAACATCAAAAAAAAAGTGGGTCAGTTAGGGTTTATTCAAGAAAGGATGCATTATTAATCACACAACACACCAACGAACAGAGATGATCTCAGCCTCTTTTGTGGCTCATTTTCTTCATGTCTAAATGGCCATGCGGAGGGAAAGCAGCAAATCATATCGATTGCGAGCATTTTTTTTACTGCTCTGTGGATGGTTTCAGTAGAGTTGAACCAAAAAAAAAAAAAAAAAAAAAAAAAAAAAAAAACTTACATGCTTCTTGTGCGGTGTCGATAGCAGTGGAGCAGGTAACGAGATAGTCGTAACAGACACTGAAGATAACCATGCAGGGCACATAGGATCCATCCTTGTGTTTGAAGCGGATGACAATCTGCGTTCCGACCATGTCGTTAAGAATGTTCTCCTGGTGGGTGCGTTTGCAGTAGGCAATGTCGTCCTTATGGATCATATCGTAGGCGGGCACGCCCTCAATCTCCTCGGGCTCATAGCCAAGGACGGCTGTGACCGAGGGCGAGGCCCAGATGAAGGTCCCGCTGGGGGAGAGGTCGTGGAATGAGATGAAGTTGTCGACTTCAAACATCCGCTGCTCTGTTGTTTGTTGTTGTGTTTATGTTTGGTGTCGTTGTTGCTACGTTGGTTTTTAATAAAAAGAGTAGCGGTATCAAGTTGCAGCAGTAGCTGTGATTGTTGTGTAGCGGTTAATGGTAATGGTGTTTGTCGAGGAGATAGTGAATGGGAGTTGAAGGAGTGTGGATGGATGAATGATTAAGTGGGTGCGTGTGTAAGAGTTTAGCCTGTAGATAGCTGAGGGGTGGTTGTCGGGAGTGATTTATCCTGCTACTGTCTGAATAAAAGGGGGAAGGGAAGGAGAGGAAGGGGGTTGAAAGAAGAGGAAGAAGAAGAAGAGGAAGAAGGAAAAGAAAAAAAAAAAGGTAAAAGTGTCTTGGAGGAGCGTAAATGTGTCAGTGCGTGAGCGGAAGAAAGTAAGAGTGAGAGTGAAAGAATAACTAAAAATGGCTGGGAAATAAAAAGAAGGCTGTGGATGATTTGAAGTTAATCCGAGAACGCACACACACAAACACATACATACACACACACACACACACAAAAGGACGAAAGTAAAGGTGGAAAGAGAGAAGATCAAAGGATCAATGCGAAGAGAGAGTACGATAAAAAAAAGAAAGGAGGCATCTTTTCTATTGGACATTTCCCTTTGTCTCTCCAATACTCTGAGCCAACCAAAAAAATCGCATACGGCTCCAAAAACCCATAGGAATAACCCTCTAACAGAACAAGAGGAACAAGAACAGAACAGGATCGTCCTTCTTTGTCTTATTCCTTTTGTGGTTGTTCCGTTCCTCTCTCTCTCTCTCTCCATCCCCAATCCCTTGTTTTCCTCCTTCGCCTCCTTACTGAATTTGCGAAAACGCGACGCACAAGCCACCCCGCGCTGATCCATTTTTTAACCCAGTCCTGCAATTTGTCAGTTATACAGCTGGACACCGCTCATGTCTTTTCCTCCTTCTGTTGTCTTTCTCTTCGCCGCCTTCTTCGTCGTCTTCTACGTCTTCTTTTTTGTACTTTAAGTTCATAGAACAAGAAAAAACCATGGTCACCCTCTCCCTCCCTCCTGCTCACTAGCGCGAGAGCGATGCATGGCTCTTAAACATTGTCTATAGGTCCGTTTGTCGTCATCGCTGTCCGCCTTTGTCGTTGTCGTTGTCGTTGTCGTTGTCATCGTTGTTTTAAGCGATTGTCGTTCACGATCTTCCCCATGTTGTGTCATCGAGCATGTTTGTTTCTCCATTGTTTCGGGTTAGGTAAACGTTGAGGTCAATTCTAAAAGGAGAGGATGATCAGGAAGGTTAGCATGTGTGTGTGTGTGGGCACTCCTAAGAGATTGTTGTTTTTTGGTCAGGGTGCGCGCGCTTTTGAACTCTGGATTATACCTTGAAATAAAGCGACTCGCGTCATTCATGAAGACGGGCGACAAATAGAAAGAGAGCGAGCATGAGACGCGAGAAGAGAAGGGAAGGCAGACAGACAAACGGACAGACAGGCAGTGTGCCAGAGGGAGAGGGAGATCAGAATGCTAAGGGGGAGGATCACCCACAACGCAGCAATAGCGCTCATCCAACCTTACTCATTCATGCCGTTTTTGTTGCCTCCTCGACTGACCAAGTCAAACTATCCGACTGATGATGGTCGGGAGATCAACGCTAAAAAGGAAAAAGGGGAAGGACGTGCAGGACGGGAGGGGGCGCGGGTCCCTTTTATTTGTTGTTGTTAGCATTCATTCTCCCCTCCAATGGCCAAAGGGCGACTGAAGTTGCCAATTGGCCAATTGCTGCTCATGTATGCCTACTGATCCGCGTTTTTCTATCGCTGATCCCCTTCTTCCTTCCTTCTACTCTTGTTTTTCCTCCCTGAATCGCTACCCTTTGTCAGTGCACTCGCTTGTCAACTCCTAAAAAGCTCAAAGAGGGAGGATGCAGCAAGAAGAGTAAATTGATGAAGCCGAGAGTCGGCGTTGTTGATTATTTTTCTGTTTTTGTTTGTTTGTCTGCGTATATGATTTCTATGCCCCTCCCGCCTCCGTCCTCCTTCCTTCCTCCTTTAACCTAAAAAATGTCGCGAATCGCACATCCCCAAGGTTGAAAATGTCGACCGCTTAAACGTTCTTTTATCACTCTGTCTCCCTCCCTCTCTTTCCCTCGTCTTTAACCTACTTTTCATGGTCGCGGGTTTCCGAAATATCCACCTTCTACTGTGCCTCCTTTTTGTGGACAAAAAAGCGACAGACATGTAAACCTAACCTCTCTCATTTTTCCCTTCTGTCGCTCTCCTTATTCCCCTTCCCGTTTTTTTTCTCCCTCCTCTTTTCGCTATGGTTGAGGTCTTCTGTTACAGTTTATTTTCCTCTTTGCTAGGTTTTTTTCTAATGCCTCATCCCATTCAATTTTTGACGATCAAAGTTTTCTTTCTAGCCACACCACTCATTTTCCTCCAAAAGTCAGCAGTTCTTTATGCTACTGTGGGGGGGGGGGGGGGGGGGGGGGGGGTTTCCCCCTTGCCTTGTCTTCGTTTAAGTTCAGAACGGCATTGCTGTTTTTAACATACTCTTTACTCCGGTCGTTTTTTGGGCGATCAAAATTAGAAAAATGACCTAGCTATTTTATATCACCCTAGCATGGTTTTCTACAGGTACAGTATATTTGTACAACAAAAGGGCCTTGATAGTTGGCTATTGCTCCTCCCAGTCTGTGAACTTCTGTTTCCGTTCCACTTGGTCATCCTCCTCCTCATTGTTGTTGTTGTTGTTGTTGTTGTTGTTGTTGTTGTTGTTATGGCCATACGCACCAGTATACTTCCGCAACTCGCCTTCCAACTCCAGAATGCGATCTACAGCTAATTTTTTGTTGTTGTTGTTGTTGCAAGATACAGAAAGAAAATTAGGTTTTTGTTTTGATTGATTTGTCGCGTTTTTTTTTTTTTTTTTTTTTTTTTTTTTGTTGCATGTCACGGGCGATGAACGGACCCGCTTATGTCATGAGGAGGGCGTTATATGTCAAGGTCATAGCATAGCATAACATAGCATAGCATGATATGACACGGGAGGTAGTAGTAACGTTTCAAATAATAGCAGGAGCATAAGGGAGCGTGGGAAGGAGGAGAATGCGCAACCCCATTATCCTCTGTTGATTTGTTCTTTGTTTTCTCGTCGATCGGCGATTGGGATGGATGAGGGATGGATGAGAGAGGGAAGGGGAGGGGGAGCAGGAAGGAAGTTGTGTTACGCTACCTTTGCGAAGAATCGTTGCCTTGGAGTCTGTGTTCTGCGCGCATCTATTTTGAAAAGATATATTATAAATAAGTGCAATTCGCCGTTAGAAAAACAGAAAAGAAAAAGAAAAAAAAAAGATGGCGCGACGCGACTTTAGAGAGGCGAAAAAGGTGACATAGTATATGGACAAAACAAAGATATACTTTTTGCGCGACGCGACTTTTGCACGCCAGATGACAAAAAAAAAAAATAGATCGTAAAATATGTAACGACAGAAAAAACAAACAAGGGAAACATACTCGGGAATGACACTTTTGAGTTCCTCAAAGCCAGTATTAATCTTCTCGCGGCGCTTCTGCTCCGACAGGATATGAGCCAACCGCCGCGTAGGGGGGACGACATAATCGCGGACACCCGAGACAAGATCTATTGTCGGGATGGGGACTTTGCGTAGCTGGCGACCATGGTACTTGCGTGGTGAGCCAGAATCGGATACTCGTGATGGGATCGTTCGTGGCTGCGGTGGGATTGATAGTCCGCGTGCGCTGCTCCGCGTTGTTGGGACTGGAGGAGGTGTCATTGGCGGTAGGGTATAAGGATCTCCTGTGCCTCCTGTTCCGCCTCCGTCTCCGGTCCATGTTGTTGCTGGTGTTGAGGTGGTTGCAGCCGAAGACGATGAGGTTGAGGAGATGGTGGAGAGGGCGTCTGCCTGCTGGCTGTTGTTCTTACTGTTACTGCTCCTGAAGTGATGAGACAACGAATTGATCCGTGTGTTCCTGCGGATCGGACTCAACGACGAATGAGGATGACTGGCTGGACTGCCACTCCGAGATCTTGGACGCGTCTCACGTGAAAATGAAGGCAGCATCGACACGTTGTTGCTGTTATTCTGAGATGATGCCAGTAAAGGGTTCGACGAAGACGAAGACGATCCGTCCTGATGCGAATATCCGCTGAGTGGGTGATGCTGCTGCTGTTGTTGATGTGAGTGTTGCGGCCCCGAAAGATGTGATTGACTGTATAGATGAAAGTTTGACGGCATAGGCAATGAGCTCGACATCGACGAAGGCGGCATCCCGAAAGAAGAAGAAGAAGAAGAAGAAGAAGTCGACGGATAAGGTGACGCGCCATGTACATCGCCAGTATTGCTGCTCTCCGCGTGATGATGGTGTTGAGATGATCCGTATGAAGCTTGCTGCTGCTGTTGATGATGGCTCTGAAATGCGGCAGGCATGCTTGGCAGTGGCTGGAACGAAGGCGAAAAATACCCACCCGAGTTCTTTCGATCCACAACATCTGGCCCCCCTCCTCCGCCTCGATTACCACCTCCACTGCCGGTAGGTACAGGAAGTGAAGGCGACAGGACAGACAGCGACGCCAGTGATTCCAATGATTCGAGTCCTGTTGCGTTGGTCTGTTGAAACCCGCCCCCACCGCCTCCTGAAGCCGAAGGCGATGATAGTGACATAGATGCTGCCGATTGAGGCGATGAAGGACTGAGCATCGACGGGATGTATCGATGGTTGTTGTCTGTTGGCAGGAAAGGGTTCGGACCCCCTCCACCTCCTCCGCCTCCTGGACCTCCTCCAAACCCGGGGAACTTGAAATTTTGAGGGAACGAGGGCTGTTGCTGTTGTTGCTGCTGTTGCTGCGGATGTTGAAGCTGTTGCTGCTGTTCCTCCCGGCGGCTCTGAAACCCTCCTGTAGCTGATGATCCCTCTCGTGAAGGACCTTGGCCTGTATTCTGTTGGAACCCCATGGTCTGACCTGTTGCCGCCGCCGATTGATCGCCAAGACTCTGCTGTTGCTGTTGGTATTGTTGCTGTTGTTGTAACTGCAGTTGTTGATGTCGTTGCTGCATAAGCTGTTGCGTTCGTTGTTGAGAAGGTGAGAGTTGACCCATAGGGGCCTGTGAAAGATTCATGTTTTTTTTTGTTGTGATTTGTTTGTTGTTGATTTGGTGTTGTCGATTGTTCTTGGTGCGATCGAAGAGATCCGGCTTGTGGTTCTTGAAAAGGGAATTGGAAGGAAAAGAGGTGTCGTGGGCTGATAAAGTCGCAAAAAAAAGTGTCTAATGTGTATAGAGTATGATATGCGGAGTGAATAGAATGGAGAGAGGTATCGATGAGCTAAGCTACAAAAGTACGAAAGGAAAAGACGAAAAAAAGAAACTGAATGAATGAATGAATATAAAAAAGGACGCAAGAAGAGTGGGCGATGGAAAAAAAAAAGAAGAGTCAGAAGGAAGGAAGGACGGAAGGGATCGATCTCTTTTACGAAAGGCTGGCTAACTGGAAAAAAAAAGTGATGATGCAAAATAAAAAATGGTAGTGTGTGGTGGACCTCGTTCTTGTGTTCAATGGTAGAACGAGACAAAGGCGTGTTCTCCAATCGGGAGACGCAATGATATTAAAAATAACTGGCTTCTACCCTCGACAAGGACAATACAATTGGAAAAAAAATAGATGAGATAGCCCGGAACAATGTTATTGTGCTCCCTTTGCTGGTAGGAAAAAATGCACGAGCGTGAATGAGAGAGCGAATGCTAATTGCGCATCAAATGGGAGATAAACAAAAGAAGAAAAAAGAAGGAAAAAAGGAGCAGGTGGTTGGATGATGATGACGATGATGATGATGATGATGGTGGCAGAGAGCCACTCTGTTGGATCTTGATTTTCGGATATTTTTTAGCGAGTTTGCCTTGAGCGAATAACGATCAGTCAGGAACAAACTTTGAGGATGGGACAGGCTAACAAAACAAGGGGTAAACAAGAAGTAGAGTTTTTGAAAGCGGACAGAAACTGTATAGAAACAAAGAAGTAAGCGTGATGGCGGGATGAAAGGAAGAAAGAGAAGGCGAAATTGGCGTTAATGAATGTCGAGTGAAAGACACGATCGAAGCCGTAAAAATATTGGACGAATGAAAGAATGAAGAATGACAAAAGCGGGACAACAAAAAAAGGGGGGCGAAGGAACCAAAGGCGCGCGCTGAAAAAGAGAAAGAAGAGATTAAATGGAAGGTATTAAAGGTGAAGAACGGATCGAATAGTCGAAAAATATGAAGTGGAGGACAAGGTCGTAAAGATGGAAGAAAAAATGGATAATAAGCATAAGGGTGGGGGCGAGAGTGGAGATGAATGAGATAGGCAGGGTGAAATGGGAAAGAAGAGAAAGAAAGAAGAGAAAGAAGAGAAAGAAGAGAAGAGGAGGAGAAGAGGAGGGAGAAGATGAGGAAGAAGAGAAAGAAAGAAGAAGAGAGAGAGAAAGAGCTGAGAGATTGACAAGACAAAAGGATAAGAAAATATACCGTCAATTAATCAATGGACGGGGCGAATGGTTCAACCAAACTGGACAGACAATAAAAGAAAAGCTAACGGTTATTCTGTGTTTTGCCTGTGTTGTTTGTGTATGAGTGTGTGTCGATTTTGCCAATTGACATCCCTTGGCATGAAGGGGGAGTCCTCAAAACACACACACACACAGAGAGATAGAGAAAGGGGGCAATCATCATATTTTTTGGTCTTTAGTTTTGTTCATGACATGTGCTTCTCCTTCAACTCTCTCAGGGATCTCTCGTGTCTCTGTGAAAACAACAACGATAAAAATTAAAAATGTCCGTGGTCTGAGGGAACTGGGTCTGTGTTTACGTCTGTGTGCGTGGATGAAAAATGTGGCATTGCACACAGACTAAGAAGCGGGGCAATGACAGACGTAGATGAAAGAGCATCAACAACATGGGAAGAAGGTACTCAACCAATGTACCTTTTTGTTTCTCTTTCTTTATCTTTGTTGCTATTCTTTACTCTTATACTCTTGTTGACCCTTTTGTTTTCATTGATCATCCATCAGATCCGAACATCCTTTAGTTTCTCTTTTCAGTTTCCCTCGTCAGTTGCCCCATCTAGTGTATTCAATGTTTTCCGCTCAAACCAATCCCCCCACTCTCTCTCTCATCTTTCCCTCAATTGTTCTTTGTAGGCTTAGTTTAATAAGCTGGTTTTGTCTATTTTCGCGAAGGATCGTCCTTTAAGACGAAGAGAGCCTTAGCATACCAAACAGGCTTATTATTTTCGGGGGAGGTTGATGGGGGAGATGAGTTGAGGCCATCGGGGTTCTCTTTTGTGTGCGTTGAAAACAAAAAAAAGAATACAGGTAAACGTGATAGTTTTAACATTAAGTAGGAAGTAGCTAATGACGATCATCGGACTGGGTAGTATGTAAACAAAATATCGGATGATGAAGGGTGGAGGGAGTGAAGCAATTAGCGATTCAGAGCTATTGGAGGGCATGGGGACGGGTCGGATCAGAAGAGCTGCACCATGCTTAGAGAATCAGATTAGTTTTTTTCTTGGCGCGTGGAGTTGAGCGAGGTAGCGGTGACATGCGAGAGAGGGAGAGAGGGGAGAGAGAGAATGCTGATAATTCAGGAGGAGGGAAGCGGAATCCTTATCAGCCTTGAGAAGAAGGAGGAGGAGTGACGATGACGAGACCAGACCAAGAGAGGACAGAAACCATCAAATGAGTACTGGAGTAGACAATCGACCCCCAGACGCATTTGTGATCAGTCATTTGAAATTCACACCACCCCGACCAACCAAGCTCCCAAGCGACCTTGCTTCAAACTCCTCTCACAGGCATCACATGGAAAACCGAACGAGCCACGCTTATTCACTTGAAATATAGAAATAAAGGGCTATCTCGTTTGGTTCTTACTTTTCTGTCTCTCGTATGATTCAACAGAGTCTGGTCAGAGGGGATGGATGGAGCCACTTTCTTTGCCTCTCACGTTAACATACCCTGGCAGGTACCTCGCTCAAGTTTCTATATCTTGCATTCGCGTTGCAAAAAAAATATCTAGTCTTCCCTCCTATATCCTTCTGTTTCCCTACACCCAGGATTGTTCTTCCTGGGGCCCATGTGCTTTTTTTTTTGCTCTTCGTTGACCAACATGGACGTTATGTTTTCGTTTGGTTGTTAAGGTTGAGTAAAACAAAATTGAGGTCGTCCATGCTTATTGTCTTGATGGTTCGATAGGAGGTACAGGAATTTCTATTCAGAACAAAATACAAAAAGAAAACGGTAACGTGCGTTGGCTGGCGTTGCACACTCTCCTCTCCTTTGTCCCTCCCCCTGTAACTCTCTTTCCGACCAATTGGCCACCTCGTTCGTTCCCATCCTCATCTCGTCCTTTGCATATTTTTATTTTATCCCCCTATCGCTTTCTTCTTCAATTGGCTTCTTTGTACCATTATTTCGATACAAAGACACAACTACAAGGGCTTTGCAAATTTCCTCCGATTGTACGTACCACCCTTGTTCATATCCTTCTTTCTCCTCCCTCCCTCCGTTCATCTCCAGACTTTCCTGATCCATTGCCAGTTTTTTTTGAACAATTTTGTTGCACGCATACACAAAAAAGACACAACTTCACCCTCGTGTTTGACAAATGGAGAAAGAAAAGTCTGGCCATGGTACTAAACCTTGCTCGTTTTGCACGACCATGTGTATATGAAAAGGATTTGCTTACTGCTGTGTCTGTGACTGAGTGCGTGGTTCTATCTCCTCCCATCTGTCATTCAAACACATACGCAGACTCTCTCACTCACTCCTCTTCCTTATCCTTCCATTGTTGTTCTTTTCTCTTTAATTCCAGATCGAAAAAAAGAAAACAAATGATGCGATAAGTCCTCTTTTCCTTCAACTTATCCCATCTCCGGCTCATGCATCAGAAAAAGATAGAAAACATCTTGCCACCATAACAAGGGCAGTAAACCAAGCACCGACTCGGACCTTGAAAAAAAATAAAATAATTTAAGAAGTGATGCTGAAGAAAGAAAAAGAGAAAAGAAAAAGAAGAGCTTTTTGGCTAGATCCGCGTACTTCGCGCCCAAACTCTCTATCTCCCTTGTCATCTTTTCTTTTAGACGTTCTATTTTTTTTTTTACTTGCTCTTATTCACTTTGAGTTTTCTGTTCAGCTCCTCTCAATTGCTTTGTCCCGGGAGTGAGAGAGAAAAGAGAGAGAGAGAGAGAGAGAGATAGGGGCTCGGGGATCCATTGAACTGATGACTGGCGAAAACTCGATCATTTACTAGAAAAGTATTTATTCTGACCCCGATACACTTTCTCCATTTTTGCCCTTTCCAGAGTACCTTTGACATTTCAAAAAGAGTTACCAGTGGCTAGATCACCCAAAGGCAGTTTGCAGTTCTGTTTACTCAATTGATTTACAAACACTACCACCGCAACAGAAATAGCACAGGGTCCCCCAAGTTTGCAGAACGCCGTTATATCAAACGGGGTTGTTTTCCATCGTCAACAGAGGGGCAACGAGAAGAAAAAAAAACAAAGCAACAAGCACGTTTTTGAGCGTTGACCAATCAACGTTTCATACCCAATGTTGCACTAACTGAATATGATAACTTACAATTGATGTCACCCTGTCTACTTTGTACTTGTGAAAACACAGCAGTTTCGTGGTTTTCATAATTCCCTCGTGTCAGAACCCGGAGGCGAAGGCGAAATAAATATAAAAAAAAATTGGGGTAATGGGACGGGGGGACGGGGCGGAGGTACATTGGGATCCATAAAAGACATCACAAGGAGTAAAAAAAAAAAAATCACGACATGTGGATGATTTACGAACCTTTTGTCGTCAGAGTTCTTATTAGCATGCGACATTCGTCAACTCGGATAAGAAAAAAAAAAAAAAAAAGAGTTTTAAGGAGTCAAATGTATGATCGTCGTACTTTATTTCCAGTACATGTTGGGTCCCATCACTTTCTTGCCCATGATAGAGGTGTCTGTCGCTCATGCTCATATTATTATTTCCTGTCTAAGTCGAGAGAGGTGCCACGGGACTTGTGATCGTCAAAAAATATTAATTGCTCAAAGGTAAGGGTATCAATCCAAAAAGCTTTTGATTTTGCTTTCTTGCTGACTACCATTTTGGCCCATTTGCCAAGCTTCTTCTTGAAGGCCCATGAGTAATGACTGCGATGGGTAATAAGATTTGACGTCCACAAGCCCAAAAAAAAAAAAAGAGCAACGATGAATTACGTTGAGTTACGTTGGCTTGCGCTTGAGTCACATTGGGAACGTGAAGGGAGATTAGACGGGGGGAGTAAGATCTGTACAGTCGATTTGAGTTGGATGGGGTGGATATCGCATGATTCGCATGATCTTCGAACCAATGCCATTACTAAGTCGTCGCAAGTCGTTATTTTGTATTGTGTAAAGAAAAGCAATACGCTCAATCCAAATGGACGACGACGTTTACATGACATGCCTTAGTGACGAACAAAAGATAGAGACGTTCTAGAGCGAACTTCGTTGCGGGAATCGGAGCGAAATGTCCCTTTTGGAGGAAACCTATTGAAAGAATATCCGTGCCTCGTTTTCTCGCTAGGCACCCCAACGCATTGGTAGGTGAAGGAAAAGAGATAGGTGAAAAAGAAAATGAGACGCGAACCCTTCCATTAATCACGTGCAGGAAGTGACCGTTGCAAGTGCTGGGGTCCAAAGTTAAGTTGGGCGACATCACTTTCACACCTTGTCATCACTCTTGGACGCCGCCCTCCGGAAAACAGGACATTCGACAAACACACAGGAAGCAAGAGTCGTCCGGAATAGCCCTTCAACAACATAGCATTGAATTGCAAGAGCCAGGCTTTCAATCATCACTGTCCATTCCTCATCATCAAAGGGCATTCCATCCTTTTCAACATTACAGCGCACCAACCAACATAGAAAACCGTCCGCGCGTCTTCCACCTTTCCTTTCTCCTCTCCTCAATTCGACCCGTGCCAAGATACACCAGACGGCAACGCGTACACGACTGAATGTACTCATTCTTGAGCGGGCTGTACAAGCACCTCACCAGGCGTGAGGCCTACTATATCGTCATCATCGGACTTGACAATGCCGGCAAGACTGTATGTACAACTTTCACCTCGTTCTCATCCTCTTGTTTTTATGTACCGTTCTGTCGCCTCCCTGGTTATAACAGGACGTGTCAGTGACCCCCCGATTGATGACTGTAACTCACATTTTCCTATGCTCTCCTCCTATTTCCATCTAGACATTACTGGAAAGAATCAAATCGATCTTTTTGGGTGTGCCTGGATTGCCACCAGAGAGAATTGCGCCCACCGTGGGATTGAACAGTACGTCAACAATGCTCACCCGTCACCACCATCAATTGCCTCACTCACTTCACAAGGCAGACTGCCAACAAAGCCAGTAATGAAGGGAGCAAGATGATGTTTTAATGGATGCTAATGAATTCCTTTGTCCTCATTATCACATTCTTAACCTAATAGTCGGAAGGATTGACATTGGAGGATCAAGGATCAATTTCCAGGACCTAGGAGGACAAACTGATCTGCAGACAATCTGGGAACGGTACTATCGGGAATGCCATGCTATCGTCTTTGTTGTCGACTCTTCAGATCCAGAACGTATCGAAGAGTGCAAAAATGCCCTTGGTAAGTCTCCACCTTTTCGCAAGGTGGAACCAAAGGTTGGATATGTGTTAATAGTCTTTGAATACGGAAGATGGGTCTATATGGACCGTGAAGGGTGATAGCGTTTTGACATGCAAAAGAAAAAAAAGAGGAGAACGATTTCATATTTTTAAAAGTTCGGAATGGCGGATAATCAACAACAGTGTAGGTGCAAACGATTAGGCTAACAGGATCCTGTGTCCTTCACTGGAATCTATATTCTACTAGAGCGAGTGATTTTGGACGACACGGTGGAAGGAGTACCAGTCCTGATGCTGGCGAATAAACAGGATGTGCCGACTGCATTACGCCTAGAATCCATCAAAGAGATCTTTAACCAAATCGCCGAGCGACTCGGCGCGCGTGATTCTAGAGTTCTCCCAATATCCGCACTTGAAGGGTAAGTTCTTCTTTTGAGTAAGGACGCATGCGCGTTTTTATTTACATGCTTAAATAATTGACTGATCCTTCCATGTGTGTGTGTGTGTGTGTGTGTGTGTGTGTGTGTGTGTGTGTGTGTGTGTGTGTGTGTGTGTATGGGAGGGACTCCTTTTTCCTTTCGCGAATTTGGTAGTTTAGTTCCATAATTGCATGACCAATCGTAATTTGTCCTTTTTCGTATTTCGTATTTTTTAACCCACTTTTTTCTCTTTCGCTCTGTTGAATGTGTTAGAAATGGAGTCAAGGAAGCGGTCGACTGGCTGTTCTTGCGGGTTCAGAGAAACAAGGTCAACCGTCCGCCCATCATCATCTCACAATAGACTTTCCCATCCTTCTCTACTCCTCCCCCTTATTCGAACCTTCTCAACACATTAATACAAAACGACAGCCAAGAACAACAGAACAAAGAGAGTAGAGGTGGGGGTATGGTATCTATGGAAATTCTTTAATATGCAAAAAAAACGAGGACTAAATGTCAAAGCTTAGTTCTTGTAGTCCTTGTTGAACTCGCGTCCGATCAACATCCTCCTGATCTCAGAGGTACCGGCACCAATCTCGTAGAGCTTGGCATCTCTCAAGATGCGGCCAGTAGGGAAGTCGTTGATGTATCCGTTACCGCCCAAGCATTGGATGGCATCAAGGGCCACCTCGGTGGCACGCTCAGCAGAGTACAAGATAACACCGGCGCAGTCGCGGTTGGAGCTGTGGCCGCTGTCGCAGGCACGGGCAACGGCGTAGACGTATGCGCGCGAGGCGTTGAGCTTGGTGTACATGTCAGCAACCTTGCCCTGGAGCAACTGGAACTCTCCAATAACCTGACCAAACTGCTTGCGCTGGTGGACATAGTCCAAGGTGATGTCGAGGGCGTTCTGCATCAGACCGAGGGGTCCTCCAGAGAGGACGAGACGCTCATAGTCCAAACCAGACATGAGGACATAGACTCCCTTGCCCTCCTTTCCGAGGACATTCTCGGCGGGGACCTCGCAGTCCTCAAAGATGAGCTCGCAGGTGTTGGAGCCACGCATGCCCAACTTGTCGAGCTTCTGGCCGCGCGAGAAGCCCTTCATGCCCTTCTCAATAATGAAGGCAGTGATGCCCTTGGGACCGGCCTTGAGATCGGTCTTGGCATAGACAACCAAGGTATCAGCATCGGGTCCGTTGGTGATCCAGAACTTGGTTCCGTTCAAAATGTACTTGTCACCCTTCTTCTCGGCAGTAAGCTTCATCGAGACAACATCCGAGCCAGAGGTGTGCTCCGACATGGCCAACGCACCAACATGCTCACCCGAGATCAGCTATATTCGTTTGTGAGAGTTGAGAATAATGGCATGTGAGTAAACAAAAATAACAGCGAGGGAAAAACGAGTAGAATTCCAAATTCCTTCCATGCAACATTTCGTCTCTTTGCTTACCTTGGGCAAGTACTTCTTCTTCTGGGCATCGCTTCCGTTGCGGTTAATCTGGTTGACGCAAAGGTTGGAGTGGGCACCGTACGAGAGAGCAACTGATCCCGAAGCGCGGGAGATTTCCTCCATGGCAATGGTGTGCTCAAGGTATCCAAGACCCAAACCACCGTACTCGGCAGGGACGGTGATTCCGAGGAGACCCATGTCTCCAAACTTCTTCCACATATCCTATTTATGTTTTTAGTTTTTGGTGTAGAGTATAAGGAGAGAGAGAAAGAGAGAAAGGGAGAGGGGATTAATGGTTGGAATGAGGTTATGCAGGAGATGCCAAAGAGGATGGGAAACGGGTGCCGTCTCTTGATGTTTTTTCCGTTGTTTGTTGTCACTTAAAGTGATTTCCCACAACAAAGGAGCCAAAAAAATACATAAATGAAAAAAAAAGCATATAATTACCATGGGGAAAGTGTTCTCGCGGTCAATGTCCTGAGCGCGGGGAGCAAGCTCCTCAGTAGAGAAACGGTTCACGGCCTGACGGAACTCCTCTTGCTCCTCTGTCAAACCGGCAACGTGGGCATTGTACGACGAGCGCGAGTTGTAGCGGACGGCGGTGGCGCGGAGACCGTTCAAGCGCTAATTGGGTGGTATTTTTTTTTTTTTTTTTTTTGAGGAAGTTGGAAGTGTGGAGTGTATTAGTATCGGGAAAAAGATGAAGAACGAGTAATAAAGAGAGTAGAGCTACTACTTGTTTGGACGATTGCGGTCATCCGAAGGAGCAGCCCATGATGTAACAGAAAGTGAACACCAAGGAAAAGAGTGAATGAGACAAAGGAGGAAGTGTGATGAGAATAAGAAAAAGGAGATCCTTACAGCGGCGGCGGAGAGGGTGGGGAGACGAGCGGTGGTGGCTCTCTGGAGGAAGGACTTTGCGAACATGGTTGTGATGTAGGAATGGAAAGAGAAAGAGTGGAGAGTGGAGTGGAATGAAGGAGGGGAGATGAACTGGAGAAAAAGAGAAAAGAAAAAGAGGGGATCCATCAGCCCTTTTGACCCTTTCAACCAGCAGATGTTCAAAACTTTCTCACGGGTCTGGGTGCACGTGACCCGGCACTTTTCTCTAATTGAACTTCCGATCGGTGTTTTGTGTGTGGGGTGTCCCACGGACAAAGATACACAAACCAACTTTTTCACTTGAAGATCGACGAGTCAGCCAGTACGCAATGTAGTAATAAAGTGTATTTGAGCATCTATAACAAAAATGCAACAGCGCCTCTTCTTCCTCTTCCTCTCACGGTCTATTAAAGCTGGAACCGATCAACGGTGGTGCCAAAGTAAGTCAATGCAACCCAGGAAGGCGCATTCTTCAACACTTTCCGCATCACTCCAATCTCCCCACTTCCAATCAACTCCCTCTCCTCATCCTTCCCAAAACCCTCCGTTTCCATCGACGTTAACTCAACCGTCAACTTGTCCTCAGGTCCCGAGGCCTTATACTCCAACTCCAAACTCCATCCATCGCTTGCAAACGTGCCCACATGACGGATAACATAGTGCGAATGGTGTGTGAAGGGCTCTGAGGACGTCAATGACCAAGAAGTCAAGTGGGTATCAAAACTGGCCACCGTCCAGATATAGTTGGGATGGGTGCAGAGGACCGTCAGTTTGCGGAGACCGGTCGAGGGATCGTACGAGATCTTCTCAGCGGTCAAGCGGGGTGTCTGCTGGACAAAGGTCGTCAGGGGTTCCTGGGACTCGGAGATGGTTTGGTTCTTGGTCTGGGCCTTGATATAGGGCGTGGTATCGATCACATAGGATTCCAAGAACTGGTTGAATGGATAGATGGCGCTCCAGTCACCGGGGTTGGCCTCGGCGGAGCGGAAGGTCGATATCTCGTTGAACAGCGTCTCGACCTTGGTCACATAGGGTTCATAGAATGGACCGGGGTCAGCATGGGCAATGTAGAGACCCGACTCGCCCGAGGTCATGTTGCGGACATGCTGGACAAAGACGCGCTTGGGGTGGAGTTCATCGTACGCCGAGCTGGTGGCCGAGGACAGGAGGACGATGAGAAGGTGGATGACCAAGAGGCCAATGACAATGTGCTTCAAGACTGTACGACCGAAACGGTGAGAGAAGGCGAGGACGGGTGGGCAAAAGACGAATGTGAGGAAACCGGTCAAGACGGCGACAATGTTGTCAACGGGGGCATCGACACCAATGCGACCGGTCAAGGGAATAAAGATGTCCAGCACACTGAAGATGACAAAGGCCAAGTAGGAAGATGGGATGATGGAAGCAATAAAGTATGTCGAGAAATCAACACTGAGGACCTCCGATCCGTTCTTGCTCTCCTGTGCGACCTTTCTGTAGTTGATGAAAAGGGCGATAGTGGTGCTAAGGGTGAAGAGCGCAAAGACGTAGGAACTGGCAAGACCGGCATACGAGACCGAGGCAAGGGCAATGGTGAAGAAGAGCTGGAGACTCGAGAAGGTATTCAACTCGTTGGCGCCACTACTGGCCTTGCTGTCATGGAACAGGTACTGGACACCAAACATGCCGGCGAGGGACATGGGCGAGAAGAGCAACGACGAAAGCCACTCGTGCGAGAACCACTGCATGGGTGTACCCAGAGCCTTGAGCAGGATTACGGAAACGTTGGGCAACAGAATCGCGGCGAGGAACGACAGGAAGATTGAGATGGTGCCGCGGACAGAGGGGCGAGAGACTGGGGTGGCCATAGTAAGGAGAGCCAAGCCGCCAATGAGGAAATGCGACTTGAGTGCGGTCGCCCACGAGTAAGCAACAAAGAAGAGGCCAAAGACATCGAAAAAGACGACGCTCGTGGTTGCCTCCAAGTTGGTGAGCTCCGCCTTCTCGGTCAAAAAGGTCGCCAGCGCCAAGGCGTTCTCGCCCATATGCTGGGGCAGACCAGCCTCCATGTACTCGTCCAGATCGAGATGGGTATGGTAGAGGTAACTGTTCTTGTAGACCGCCATGTCCAATCCTGTCAGGTTGCCGTGTTCAGCGAACTGGCGGTAGTCGGTATCCGATAAGATGAGTCCAGTGGCAAAGAGGTCGTTTGCGAGGACGGTACCGTGGGGGTGAGGCACGGTCGCGTAGGCATCGATCATGGCACGCGAGTTGGCCTGGAAGAGAATTTCCCGACCAGAGGTACCGCAGGCCTCCAGGTTGACGACGGCCCTGACGTTGTCCTTAAGCTCGTGCTGGGTAATGAAGGCATGAGAAGCATCCTGCAGCGACTCTTCTCCTCCGTTGAACACTACGTTGAGATGTCGTAACAATGTTAGTTCAGGTACCATCATTTGCATGGATAACTTTAAACAGTCCGCGTACCATTTCATGATGTCACATCGTGCTCATACAAACAAGGAAATGCTAAAATGAGGACTTACAGAAAACAATGCCGTTCTTCATCTTGGAAGGACGTTGGGACATGACGCGGATAATCTCCATCATGACGCCAACTCCAAGACCGTCATCGACGGCACCAGGGGATCCGAGGGTCGTGTCGTAATGAGAGTTGAGCAGGATAGTATTTTCATCACATTCGGGTCCACAGGAGAGTCGAACAATAATATTGGTCATGTTGGTGTACATCTTCATCACCACTATTGTTGTTGTGAATAAAAAGATAACCGTTGGCGTTCATGTTGAGAGTAGAGAGGAAAAGTGATCGATTGGTTCCATGAGAATTGGTGTCCACGCATGCCAGTGAGGTGTTATTTGTTGTGTTGTGACACAAACACACCCGGGCGAACAGACACACGGATAAGAGGAGGAGGTAACGCAAGGTAAAGTTTGAGAGGAAGAAGCGCCCATGGAAAAAAAATCACAAATGGGTTGTTGTGAAAGTGGGTAGGTTGAATGAAAAAAAAGAGAAAGAGAGCGGGAATAGAAGAGTTGAGATGGTGGTTAGTTTCCCGTGGTAATAGCCAACGACAAAGCACAAAACACAAACACAAGCTAACAACAACAACGACAACAGAAAACTGGTTGGCATACAATGCCGTTCTACTGGAATAAGAAAAAGTTGACCAATCCCGAAAGTCCCAAAACAACAAATGAGGGCTGAAGTGGTCATAATTATATACACACTCACACAGAGACTACAATGTAATGTGTCCCCCCCCCCCCCCCCCTCTCCTCTAAGACAGCTAAGGTACAGCCCTTCAGCCCTTCAGCTCATCCCCTGCTCGGATTTTTTTTCTTTCGCAAAATTGCTGGAGTTGTGAGAGTTTCGGCTCCATTCTTTGTCAGGGACGACTCGATCGAAATGGGGTGAAATGCCAAGTCCTGGCTGGCTGTCGTTCTTTCGTTCTTCCTCTGTGCCCACTGTTTGTTTTCTATTTTAACTGTTGGCTCCTGTCCTTGCATCGATGTCATATTCCTCTGAGGTAGGTCCTGCTCCTGTGTTTCCCTTGGCTGTTGCTCCATGTGTCCATTAACAGAACACAAATATATTTGTGCGAAATCAAAAAGAATAAAAAAAAAAATGAAGGTAGACTTGCCTTTGGACATAAAGTCGAACCGATGAGACCCATCGCTGACCTGAACCCACATATCAAAGTTAGGGAACGAGACATCCTGAGTTTCTGTAGCCTTGTTCTCTCCCTTCCAACGATGCTGAGCAACAAGCGATTGCTCCTTCAACTGGGCCAGCTCTTTGATCAGATACTCCTTGGCCTCGACCTCCTGCTCAGTCCCGACAACACGGTATCCGATATCGTGGGCCAGATGCCTGACCACCTTACGAACACTCTCCTCCGAGAACTGGACCTCTCCTGTCACCGGGTTGGTAGCATCTTGGACGGGCGTCGGGAGGGTGTAATGGAGCTGGTAGTTGATGATGCCCAAGATCAAGAGGAAACCGAGGAAGGTCGCCCAGGCGGAGAGAATAGTCTTGCGGGACGAGAATCCTGAATGTGCCTTTGTCAGTCCATGCTTGTTGTTTTCCTTGCTGGTGCCGGTGGAGGAAGGGAGGGTGGTTGAGGCGGCCTTTTGGTTACGCTGTTTGAGCGCACTTGGGGTGGCGGCCATGTCCTGAAGCTTTGTGTTTTAGTTTTGTGAGCGGATGTGATTGATCTTTATGTCTTCTTTGAAGGCGAGGGTTGTTTTCGTCAGAATCGACGAAGGAGAGTCAATATGGTGGGAAGGGAATAGGTTAGAGAGGGAAGAGGGGAGAGGAGAGGGGTAAAGGAGAAAGGAGAAGGAGAAAGGAGGGAAGAGAAGGGGAGGAATGAATGGACCTATCTTTTTAGAACAAACAGAAAGGCAAAAAAATAAAATAAAGAACCAGTCTCAAAGCACTGTTGCCCAGGAACTAAACAACCGTTCGAACCTGCCATCCAATCATCGTTCACTTCACTCCCCAACTAATACAACTAAAATTCATTGCAGCCAAACAGGTATTACGATAGGACAGCCCACGTTCTCTTTCGCGGGAATCCGACTCTGCCTTGTTCCTCTAATGAATCGATCGATCGTCTACCTTGCTTGACTCGTCACCGTCTCTACAGAATGTCACCATCTTTGCTCTCTTTGTTCCCTTCATCAGCCTCGTTGTTCTCTGGGCTCTTTTTCTCGGTACAAATTCTCAGGTACGACTTTCTGTGAAGGGTTCAAAAAAAAACGATGAACAGCCCCTCGGACTTGGGAGTGGCTGTTGTTATTTCTTTTGTTGAGACTCCACCAAGCCAAGCTTTGGCGGATGCAATTCTGATTTGTAGGTTCAAACAACTGACTTTCAAACCCACTCAAGGTTGAGAAAGAACATCTGTGTTTGTCTAGGAAGGTGTATTATTTTTTGTTGTTTCTAAAAGAGTACAGGAGAGGGGAGTCTATGCAAAATGGGAAAAGTGACGGATAGAACGAAGGAAAAAATGGGGGAAAGTTGCTTCTAAGCGATGAAGCCTCCCTTGCCGGAACCTCCGCCAAAGTTCCGGCTGACACGGCGGCCGACGGACGTGCTGCTCAGAATACCGCCTGATGGATGAACCTTGGCCGCATTCTTGGCAGAGTTGTACAGCCACAAACCCCAGAAGGTCAGGCAGACTCCCGTCCACTGCGTCGTGCCCAAAGTCTGGTGGAAGTACACAATACTGGCCACAATGACTACAATACGCTTGATCAACGACGCAATCGAGTACGTCACTGGAGAGGTGAGCGCCAAGACCGAGAAGGCAAAGATGTTCTGGAAAAAGTGCGAGACGCCGTTCAGGAACAACAGCCAGGAGACACCCCAGAATCCAGAAGAATGGCCCGAGGCGTGGTGGTAGGCTGCCGATTCGTCCGGGAACATGAGTCCCAGTCCCTCAGCGTATAACCAAATGGGGATCATGCAGATCGCAGCCATGGTCGACGAGTAAAAAAGAATGTTGATCTTGTCGAGCTTTTGGGCGTTGCTGGATCCGATGTCGTCGTCATCCTGATTGGTTCCTTCTTTGTTGCCCAGTTGCTGTTGCTTGGCCTTGTTGCTGAAGAGAATCTTTTTGGTGAAAACGTTCTGGGTCACAAAGACCAACATCGATGCCAGCGCACAGACGAGGCCGACAAGGTTGTTGAATTCGAGCGACAGTCTGCAAGCTAACATGACACCTGCTGTCAAAGGAACGAGGGAGATGTAGACATCCCTGCTGTAGGTTGTGCCCAAAATGACACGGTAAAAGACGACAGTGAAGAGCGGTGACAATGCCTTTGAAGATGATAACAAGGGGAGAGAATTCCAATGATTAATATGAATGCCGAGGTGTCTTTGTTTGTTTGTTTGTTTGTGTTTTTTTTCTTCTCTGGTCCATGGACGAATTGCGCAAGAGAAAATAAGGAGTTGCGAAAAGTGTTTTATCGGTCCAATACAAAGGCGTGGTGTTCCCAGCAGACGAAGGTTGAAAGGGTTCATTCGTCCATCCTTTCATCGTGCCTACCCCTTTTTGCCTGATCTGGCCTGTGCCAGCATCCCTGATAAAAAGTCGTCTCCTTGAAAAAATTGTTGTTGTCCAGAGAATGTTGAATCTGAACCACTTGCGCTGCTCTCTCTCTTCCATAGTTTTCTGTTGATTATCATGACTTCTTTTCTCCGTCTCCTTTCTACTGTCCTGACTGCTGTCCTGTCCCTGTATTATTGCTTTGAACGCCAATTCGACCCATGTCTCCTATCGCATCACTGCCAAATAGATAGAACAAAAAAAAGTGTGGCACTGGAGATGCTATGCATTAGCACAAGGAGCTCACCTTGATGGTATGGACGACACTCAATGGGACTCGACTGATGGCAAAACTGGAAAAGACATGTCCAACAACCTGGAACCCGACCAGCGGGGCGGTCATTTGGATAATGCCCATAGTGGGTCGGCGGATCGTGGTCATCCTGAATCCTGTGCCGAGCAAAAAACAGAAAAAGGACACAAACACGAACTGGACAAAGGTCAAGGTGATGGGGTATCGGAACTGGTTCATAATCTGCTTTCCAATGTTGTTGGTGACGGCCGAGGAAAGGTACCAGAGCAGACAAAGACCGGGCAACTTGGAAGCCTTGTAAAACTTCATGGTCATGCCGCGGAGCGAGCTTGGGTCCACACTAGCGCTGGTTCCAGCAGAGAATCCTGACGATGAAACTCCGTCCAAAGGCCGACTCGAGGGCAACGAGAGCTTGCGTCCATTGGAGGAAACGACCGCCTGAGCCGATTGAACCACCTTGCTCAGTCCTTGGTTCAAGGCTGGGGGAAGATAGGCAGCGACGCCAATGAGTGCCGATCGGTTCTGCTTCTTTTGAAGCTCTTTTTCGTCGTCCTCAAAGTACATGTGCTCCTGCTGGTATTGGTGTTGGTGCTGCTGTTGTTGGTGGTGGTACGAGGGTTGCTGATCGTACAAGGGCTGCTGGCTCTGTGCTGGCCAGCGACCGCCGAGAACGCTCGAGGTGCCAATGGCATGACTGCTGGATCCTGTGTACTGGGTATTGTAGGTGGTGGTGGTGGTGGTGGCAGACGCAGAAGCTAACGAAGCTAATGATGAAGCGCTGGTTGCGTCATAAAGAGAAGGCCCAATGGTCGGGTTCAGGGCAGGCGAGGTTGAGCGCAAGGCTGGGTAGGTCTGAGGCTGGTAGAGGTGGCTCACAGACAAAGGGGACTTTGCGAGAGGCAAGGCTGAGGAAGCGATGGGGCCGGAACCAGAGGCAGAACCGGCGGAAGAAGAAGAGGAGGAAGCAAAAGTGCTCTGAAACGTGGGTGCCGGTGTTGAAGAGGTCGAAGAGACGGTAGAAGAAGCTAGCGAAGTTGGAGTGAGGCTAGCGAATTGATAGGTGTTGTGGAGATGCTGGCTGTGGCTATGGGTATGACCATGGTTGTGGTTGTTGGAAGAGTGCGAGCCGGGCGAAAAGTTTTCTGGCGGGGACGAGGCCCCGGAGGAGAAGGAGGTCCTTGGGGTTGGCAGCTGTTGAACGTGGACCATGAGCGGGTTATCTATATTTGAAGGTAGGTTGTTGTCGTGGGGCTGTTGGTCAAAGAAGGGGATAGCAGAGTCATCGTCGTGGATGGCGGAGGGGGTGAGTGTGGCGGCGGTGGTGGTGTGGTTGTGGCTCTGGCTTGCCAGGGCCTCGAAGAGGGCATCGGCGGTGGGGATGCGGTCATTATCGGTTGTGGAAGAGCCGGGCTGGGGTTTGTGGGAGGGGGCCGACTGCCTTGTGGATGAGGACGGGCCAGCAGTGTTTGCCATGTGATGAGGTAATGAGTGAGGTTGATGAGTTGGGAGAAAGAAGGGACGGATGGAAGACAGGGGAGGAGTGAGAAGGGATAAAGAAAGGAAGAAAAGTGAAAGGAATGGGGAGGGATGCAAAGATGGAGAAGAAAAGAAAAGAAAAGAGATGAGAGATAAAAAAAAGGTTATCAGAAATAACAGCGGCTATTTTTGAATTGGATTTCAGGGAAGGAAGGGGGAGAACGAAAAAATGACCCAACGGTGACATTCCACTGGTGGGATGTGGTTCTCTTTTGCCTGCACCTCTTGTATTTTAGTTGCCTGTTGTTGTTCAAAGATATATGTCTTTGCAGGTACCAGGACACATGTATCAATGGTGCAGTGCCCCCCCTGGAGCATTAAGAGCGAAGGGGGTGTGTAGTGTGTGAATAAGAGACAAGGGACAAGAGACAAGAGACAAGAGACAAGAGACAAGAGTCAAGAGAAAAGAGACAAGAGAGACAAAGAGAGATAGAGGTGGGCTGTCAAGTTCAACAACGAAATCCATAGTCTCTATTCGATCCAACTCTGTGAGCATCTAATTATTGCATTATTTTTTTCAACGGACCCGATCCAACATCCAGTCCAGCTGAACGGGACTCTACAGCACTATTTTGCCCCATTGCTCTCTCTCTCTCTCTCTCTCTCTCTCTGACTACACTTCTTTCGACCACAGCACGACCCAGCCATGCACACACACACAAGAAAAACGTGCGCCCAACTCAACTCAAAGAGAGGAGGCGATAAAATGACAAGCATCACTCTGGGCAAGATAACAAATTGAACAGACGATCACACTGCAGGCACACACCATTGCCTTTCGATCTGCAACCAAGCCACACACTTTCCTCCTCTTTGCCTTCTTTGTTCATTTTTGTTATTCTTCCTCCGCCACTTTTCTCCTAGGGAACACACACAACCAACACGACCGAGATGGCACCTCTCCACTTCACAACAAACAGCGCTGTCGATGACCCCGCTGCTCTCCACTCCGCATGTCTTTTCGACCAGGTCAATCTCTTTCTTCTTTCATTCATTCATTCATTCATCCTAAACACAAAGAGTGGCTATGCTATGCTTCTGTGACCACACACTTACTTGCCTTGCCACAGACACAAAAATCTTCGATCCCATTCACCCACTCAACTAACGTCCTACTGCACTACTGCCGACCCATGGTAAAAATAGACGGATGGGTTGAGTGCCACTACCACCGCAGAGCAAGAGAACCCTAGTCCCCTACGCATATCCTCTTTGACTACCGCCCCATCCCCAAACGCGTCCTTGAACCCAATCACGACCTCCCCTGAACACAGCCGAATCCTCACAGACTTGTCCCCCTCCAACCCCGCCATCCTTCTCGCCCGCCTCTCAACTGACCCCGACACGCGTCCCTTTGTTTGTTCAGCTATCACTATCGTCTCCTCAGCAAGGACCATGGAACTCTACATCTCGGGCGAGTACTCGGGTACCTTCCGTGGCGAGTCTTTCCTCCCTTCGACTCCTTCCTTCACACCTGCTATTTCTGGACCTGGTGGAGCTGGAGGTGGATCGGCGAGTCCGCCGTTGTTCTTGATCCAGATCGATCAGGAGAGTTTGCTGCACAGATGTCGCAACTTGCTCTTCAAGGTAAATTCAAACGAACCAGTTTGTTCATTCTCCCATAGTGATAAGCTCTCAAACTATCGCGCGTCAATAGGCGACGCGTAATGTATCAAAGCTTGAAAGTTGTCTCTAACCACGAAAGCTCAATCTAGTTCTTCATCCCCAAAAAGCCAACGGCGTTTCAGGACTCACTCTCGATTCACTGGTTGATTATACAAGGCGCATTGCCACCACCCTCGCCATCGCTCTCACTGTCTAACCACGGTCCCACTTCTCAAAGTTCTCCTCGACACTCAGCAACACCGATTACTACACCAGCTTTCCTATCACCCCTGGTATCATTATCACTATCATCGACATCAACCCAACCAGGAAGCCCACCATCCTTGACACAGACTGATACAACTGGCGCAACCACTACAACAGCAGTCGACAACGTCGAACCAACAGCCACTGCTACCACCGCTTACAGCGACGTCTCGACCACACCAACCTCACACATATCCCCCGGCCACTCCACCTCATCCTCACAGAACCTCGGAAACCAGACATCCTCCAACTTTTCAGCATCTGCATTCGCCCACTCTTACATAATCCCCCCCGGGATCAGTACCTCGATCGACCTCGACAAGGTCCGCCAAATGCTCAGTCAAGTCCAGATCGACAATATGCCACAGGGTGCCAAGGATTTGATGCGGACTATGGAGATGCAATCCTTTGCTCAACAACAACAACAACAACAACAACAGCAACAGAGTGCCGCGGCGGCTTCTTTTATGGCGACTGGAGGAGGTCTTTCGCCTTCCCCTATCGTGTCTCCTCCCCCGCCTTGGGCGTATACGGCGATTACGCCACCATTGCCTCCTCTTCCTCATTCTCCTCTCCCGCCACCATCCATTGTCACATCCTCATTGACACCGCCCTCGGAATCAACAGCGGCGGCAGAAGGAGAGATGACGACATTTGTGACAAGGGCAGAACTGGCGTTGATGGAGGAGAGGATCATGACCAAGATAGAGCAGCGATTCCAAGAGATGGAAGATCGAATCCTGAACAAGCTCTTGCTCGCCAACAAACAAGCCGATGCTTGAACATTACAACACAACACAACACAACACAAATGAACACCTGTAATTCGATAGCGAAAACCCTCCCCCTGTACAAAATAATTTGCTCCGCATGTCAACACAAAGCCATTGCAACACAAAGATATTGGTGTGATAGAGATATGTACAGCCATTTACTTCCAATGCATGTGTGTGAGTGTGAGTTGAAAGTGAGAAAAAGAAAGAGTATGCCAATTCTGCAACATGGTTTTGTTTTATCTGCTGCTAGAGAGTCCAGGAACTCCTGAATGCGCAGAGGTAGGCCGATGCTGTTGTTGTGAGGACGTCGGTCCGCCATCAGATCCATTATTGCCAGTCCGGAGAGATCCGTAGCTAGGTCCAGGGATTAACAACCCTGTCCGCTCAGCCTGCCTCCGTCTACCATCGGCACTCATGGCGCCAATAGCGTCCAACAATCCCCTTGACTCCATATCATCGACATCTTCCTCAGTATCGTTATAGATAGGCTCGACGCCGAATCCCTTCCTACACCCTTGGATAAGGTTAAATCCGAGGGCAAGGAGGAACGCGAGGAGGAAGAGCCACTGCATGTAGTAGAATGCGATTCCCAGTACGGGTGTTCCGAGAATGATCTTTGTGATGATGGAGGATGTGACGGTAGGTGTGCAGAGTTCCGTTGGTGCTCCGACGTGGCAGGGGATGATCAGTGTAGGATAGTCTTTGCAGTCTCTCTGCAATACCACCGTGTGGTTACACTAATTGTCATAAACCGACAAAAAGTATTGTTTAGTAACGCTGGGATGTTTTGAAGTATCTTGGAGAGTGCTCGATTGAACATCAACTTGAAACTTACGTATTTCTGGCCGCCAAACATGGAGTAATCTGGCGCGACAGACATGGTCAAGGAATAGCTGAGGCCCGCAAGGGTGAGCATCAGAAGCATGGTTGCAGCCAAAAGCCCCTGAGGCTGGGTAGCAGCCTTGCGGAACCTGAACAAATTGACCCACAGGAAGCGGATGCCAATCGAAATAATCCCTTTTGTCGTCGACCAAAACATGTACAGGATAATTAACACCATCAAAATGTAATCCACTGGGAAGAACTATTAACAATCGAAAACACAGGAGCAGTTGTTAGCCACTGTTATACGTCTCTGCGGTCATGTTGTTGAAGGCGTTGTCAACTTACTGGCGAGAGGTTCAAGAACAAGAGGTTGAGAGGGTTGGGGATGTTTGGGTGTGTCAGGATATATCCACAAGGGGCGCCGCACACGTCCTCTGTCAAATTGTCGATGCTATAAGGTGAGAACGAGACAGCTGTTAGCTTGGTTTCCTCAAGTACAAGCAGAATGCATTTCTCACATTCCTCTTCTGTCGACATACGTTGTAATCCCGATAGATGTAATGAGCAGTACGGTGAGCGTCAATGCTGCCATCCCAAGAAGAACCTACACAGCAAAAAGAAAGCTTATCGCTTAGGAATAGAGTAAAACAATGGTACCTTTAACCAAACACTTTAAATGGTGTGTACCTCAAAGGGGCGAATGATGCATTGGCAACGGTTGAACCAGCTGTCGCGGACATTCTGGACCATCCTTGATCGGTTCTCCAGGACAAGCGCCTCTCTTGACAGTTCCCTGAGAGCATGGAGGTCCCGCTCTGACGCGCGCGTGAGTCCTCCCTGCGGATAGCGATTAATGATGGCGTTCTGTCGTTCCCGATTGGCAGCCAGTTGAGCATTTGTCTCGTTCATAGTCGCAGGGATCGATTTCAGTCCTGCAATCAAGTGCAATGGCAACAACGAAAGACCAGGCGCCTATAAGTGTATTGCATAACCTACAAGGTTAGAGCTGATATAAAGCATGAAAGGAACGAGAGTCGATTGAGCAAAAAAAAAAGGGGACAGACACTTACAGTGTAAAAGACCAGGACACCCATTCCGAAAAGGGATAGCACACCGGCAACAAAGGCCAGCGCTCCTGCTCCGTCTACATAGCGCAGGGATCGAACAAAAGGGATCGAACAAAGGAAGACGGTTAGAGTTGGGCATACAGGAAACGGAAGAGCTACGTCAAAAATCCATCACTGTTTCAGTAAAATGACGGCAATCCCAACGAACCAAACGCGCGCTCGAATTTCAGTCGCAAATGGCGGTCATTATCGCGCATAACTGGAATAAAAAAAAAGACGTTGGTAAGGCGAGGTTGACTTACCCAGATCGGTTAGCATCTTCCGGAGCCATTCCAAGTCCTTGTTGTCATGGTCGTTAGGTTTCATGAACAAGCCAGTGATCAGCAGAGTACAGGCGACAAGAATGAAGAATACAGTGTACTTGAGCGAGGCAACCAGCCTCTGCCGCATCGACTGTCCCTCGACCAGCTCCTCATAGTAAAAGTACGAGAGAGGGATCCAAATGAAGCAAAAGCTGGTAATCAGTCCGTACGCGCCTACATAAGGATGAAAAAAAAATGGTGGGGTTAAGACAATGTCCAGCTGTCAAGGGAACCGAGAAGGAAAACTCTCTCATGGCTCACTTTTTGTCTTTCGCTCTCATTTTTATCGCCATGGATCGGCTTCATTTCTTTGGAAGCGTCGGTCTTTCGTTTTGCATAAGAGCAGACAAACAAAGGACATATGCATGCGGGATCGGGCTGACTGACGCAGGACAGAACGAGAACTGCATATGAACAAAACCAAACAGGGAAAAATAAAACGGACTATGATGACGGAGTCAACAAAAACAAAGACAAAGAACAAGACTCCTCCCTCGTTGTTTTGCTTGCTTACCATAGTAAAAGATCTGGACAGTATTTTGCATATGGGCAATAGCTTCGTCCGTGGCCCAGGCGCTCCTCAGACCGGTGGCGGGGTCCATGATCCGCGAGACAAGGAAGATGTCGACAGGGAAGAGGGCGACAGTCGAGAGGCAGACAGTCAAGGCGAGGATGGTGACGATCAGGGCAAACGGTTCCCTGTCTGTCGTATCCGAGTAGTAGAGTGTGAAGAAAATGGAGAACCCCAGCAGGATCTATATGTGTGAACGCAGACAGAAAAAAAGAGGGTCGTCGTTTTTTTTTTGGGAGAAAGGCCCGAATAAAGTTGAAAAAAAAAGATACGTCTGACATGTCAGCATGATCGTCTTATTTCTGGGTTGGCTTCACAAGGTCCTGCGTATTAAGAACGAGTTGCTTACGGTGACCATGATGCCAAAGGCACCCCATGCAGTGGCGATATGTAGCACGCCGTCAAGCATGGTTGTAGTTGGCGTGAGGGTTGCAGGAGTGAGGAGTGAGTGTGAGAGTGAGTGCCAAGCAAGCAAGTGGTCAGTCGAGTAAAAGAAAAGGGTTGGTTCGTGAAGAGAGTAGGGGGTGTGTTTCCTGAGGCTGACTGGAGAATGAAAAGAGGAGTGAGGGGAATGAGTGCGGCTTTGAATGAAGAGAGAGAAAGAGAGAGGGAGAGGAAACGGAGAGAAGGGAGGTGAAGGAAGAAAGAGGTGAGACACGAGAGATTAAATAATGATTGTTGAACGTGAAAGTGAAAAGACGAAGGTTGTGTGACTGCGACACAAAGGGTCTTGCGAGCCAATTTGTGGTGGCAAACGAAGTTCTTCAACAGGCGCGCGTTTGTCTTTTGTTTTTTTTGTTGTCTCTCGTTGTTGTTGTCTTCATCCCGCCGTGCCCCTGTCCATCCAACCAACAAACACCATCTCACTCAACAACAACAACAACAGCCACCACAAACAGCACACACGCGCACACATAACCATCGCCTCTGAAAAAGAAACAACGAGAGCAAACAATAAGAATCGAATGACCTCGATGGAACAGGATCACAAACAGACTCCTTCCCCTTCTCCTCCTCAGGAACAGGAGGACATCACATTCCACACCGGTATGGACGAGGAATCAGAGACGGAGGATATGCAGGAACAAGAACACACTCAAGGACATCCCCAGTCCACAACAGAGTCATCACCTCTCGCAGAGGATGCATCTGATGTCGAACTTGAATCTGCCGAGCATGATCTTCAACACCTTGACCTCCAGGAACCAGAACAAAACACCGGGGAAGGTCCTACAATCGTCCCCTCCAGTCCTCAACAACCAGCCTCTTCTGATATTCCTGCCCCACCCTCCAACACCTTCGCCAACCTTTCTCGGCAATCCTTGCCCAACGCCAACGCCTTTGCTAAACGAAACTCAATCGCCTCCTCAGAAACCGCCGCCACTGCGGCTGCAGCCGTCAAGGAGCCAACTATCGAGCTGACGCCCCGCCTTGTCATCGAAAAGATGGTGCTCGTCAATTTCAAGTCCTACGCCGGGCGACAGGAGATCGGACCCTTTCACAAATCCTTCACCTCCGTCGTTGGTCCTAACGGAAGTGGAAAGAGTAATGTTATCGACGCCCTGTTGTTCGTCTTTGGATACAGAGCCAACAAAATGCGTCAGGGCAAGCTCTCGGAGCTGATTCACAACTCCAAGGGTGCCGAGGATCTTGAGAGCTGCACAGTCGAGATTCATTTTTGTGAGATCCTGGACTTGGTAAGTTGGCAGTTACATCTTCGGTTTTGAGGAAGGTATGTTGACACCAAACACGTAAATTACTCACACAAATATTTATCTGCCGTCGTCAACGCCAACCTATAACTCCTAGCCTGGACCGAATGAGTTTGAACGCATCGAGGGATCAGGATTGATTGTGTCGCGTCAGGCGTACCGGAACAACTCCAGCAAGTACTTTATCAACCGCTTGACGAGCAGTTACCTTCAAGTAACAGGACTTTTGAAAGGCAGAGGAATCGACTTGGAACACAAGCGTTTCCTGATCTTGCAAGGAGAGGTCGAGTCAATCTCACAGATGAAGCCCAAGGCGATTACCGAGCATGACGATGGTCTGTTGGAGTATCTGGAGGACATCATCGGAACATCCCAATACAAGGAGAACATCGAAAAGTCCGCTGTTGAGCTGGAAGCATTGAACGATGAGCGGTCAGAGCGACTTACTCGTGTCAAGTATGTCGAAAAGGAGAGGGATGCACTTGAGGTAAGTTTGCCAATATCTGAACAGTTTATATTGCATTCTCTGAAATGTTGGCTGTGACCATTGTTAATGACTGACCTCACGGCATATACCTTTCTATTCATAGGCCAGGAAACAGGAGGTGGAGGACTATATCAAGGACCAGAACAACTTGGCGATGAAGCAGTCTGCGCTTTACCAGATCTACTTGTGGGAGGCCAACAAGCGGTTCACAAAGGATACAAAGCAGGTGGTACGTCTCTATTCCTTGGCAGGACAAATGTTGCTGTAACTATCTCGTCTCTGAGATTGAGACGCCACGGTTTTAAAACATCATCTCTCCTTTTTATTGTAGGCTCACCTTGAAGCAAAGTTGGAAGAGGACCACAACAAGCACAAGGGACTCAAGGATGAGATCGAGAAGCTCGAGAACGAGCACAATTCGCGCGTCAAGGAGTACGAGGTAGGTACCCAATCTAAGGATATGTGTGACGGCATCACCTCGCATATCAACGTGCGCCAGTTCTTCAGTCTGATAACTTATCTATGTCGTTTCTCTCAATAGAAAGTCGACAAAGAAACGAGCGAGATTCTAAAGCAGCTGTCCAAGATCGATCGTGAGGATGTTCAGATGCAAGAGAACAGGAAACATTTGAGGAACAAGCAAAAGAAAGCCACCAAGTCTCTTACAGCAGTAAGGTTTAGGATGAGTATGAGATTGCTGGAAACGCGTGGAAAAGTTGACGGTATTAATATTCTTGCGCTTGAAATTACACGTCTTTAGGACAAACATTCACTCTCTGAGAACCAGTCATGGATTCGCAACCACGAATCAGATCTGGTCAAGCAGCAGACCGAATTGGAAAAGCTGGAGAAAAGTCTAGAGGCTGCCGAGGAAGAACTTGAGGTCATTCGCGAAAGTCTGAGAGGTAAAGCATGTAATGAAACAGATATACCCACCTGAGTTTGTTTCTTATTAATGCAAATAAGTGCTGACTGTTTTGCTTTCTGAACACTATATGATTAATAGGAAAGACGGAAGAGTTTTCTCAGCAAATAGAGGAGCATCAAAAGGAATTGGCGCCGTGGACGGCCAAGATCGTGGCCAAGCAGAGCGAGGTCGATATGGCTCAGTCAGAACATGATCTCCTGGAGCAGAGGTCGAGAAACGCGCAAACACAATATCGGGAAGCAGTATCGGCACTAGAGACACTCAAGAGATCACAAGCTTCGAAAGAGGGTGAAATCCGAGAGTTGCAAGAGAACATCGGAGCATCTGCGGATCAAATTGCAGGCATGGAGCGAACGATCAAGGTAACAGGGCGATCAACATACGAGCAAAAGACATCATATACTAAATACCTATTCGCTGTCGGTTCTCTAACCTCCTTTGTCCTTCATGACATTGTTCGACTCGCTCGTAGGAAATGGCAGAGAAAGAGACCATCTTGAGGGATAAGGCCACCACGGCAAGAGCACGCGCAGAGGAAGGCCGAGCATCCCAACAGTCGAATCAGACCCGCTCTGCTCTCTTGAATAACCTTATGCGTCAACGAGACCTCGGAAAGATTATCGGCATTCAAGGACGTCTGGGCAACCTGGGAGCTATCGATGACAAGTATGACGTCGCCATTTCGACGGCCTGCCCTGCCCTGGATAACATCGTCGTCGACAATGTCGAAGTTGGTCAGCAGTGTATCGAATTCGTCCGCAAGAACAACCTCGGTCGTGTCTCTTTGATCCTGCTAAACCAGCTCCCCAAACGTAACATGGGTCCAATCCAAACTCCAGAGAATGTGCCTCGTCTGTTTGATCTGGTCCGACCTGCCGATCCCAAATTTGCGGCAGCGTTCTACAGTGTGATGCAGGATACTTTGGTCGCCACTAATATGGACCAGGCCAACAGGATCGCCTATGGAAGGCAGCGCTGGAGGGTCGTTACTTTGGATGGACAGGTGATCGACAAGTCTGGAACCATGACGGGTGGTGGAACACGTGTCAACCGTGGCGCCATGAGCTCGACACTATCAACGGGCGAGTTCACTGCCGAGCAGATCGCCCAAATGGAGGCCGAGCGGGACCAGAAGGAGACCGAGTACAGATTCCATCAACAGCAGAAGGTCTCCTTGGAACGTGAATTGCAGTCAACGATTGCGAACGGACCCAAGATGGAGATGCGACTGTCGATGTTCAAGATGGATGTTCAGGCAAACCAGAAACGGATTGTAGAATCAGAGAAGCGCATTGAGGCTTTGAGGAACGAAGCCGAGCCCAAGCCTACGGAGGTGGCCAAGATGAAGGCATTGAGCGCAAAGGCCAAGGAGCTCAAGGATGAGGTGGTGGCGATCAAGCAGAACGCAAAGTCCATTGAGGCCAAGATCAAAGATTTGCAGAACAAGATCTTGGATGCTGGCGGTGTCAAGCTGAGAGCCCAAAAGTCCAAGGCCGATGGTTTGAAGGAGCAGATTGAGGCCTTGGGTGACAAGACGACCAAGACCAAGGTTGCCAAGAACAAGGCCGAGAAGGACACTGTCAAGTTCGGAACACAGATTGCCAAGCATGAGAAGGAGCTCGCTGAGGTATCTGTCGATCTGGAGGCATTGGAGCAGCAGATCAAGGAGAAGACTCAGGAGGCTGTTGGTATTCGCAAACGCGCCGAGGAAGCAAAATTGGTAAATGTCTTATTTAATCGTGCGATTATTATTCATATATCTTTGCTGATAGTTGAGACACATTACGCTAACAGTTTATTCATTGGTGCGTGCACAAATAGATCATGGAGGAGAAGAAGGAAGAGATGGAAGAGCTGAAGCTGGAACTTGATGCCAAGTTAAAGGTCATCAACCGGATCAGGACGGCCGAGGTGGAGATGAGGAACCAGCTGAACGATCTGAAGCAATCCTTGGCTGAACATGAGCGTCGCCTCAAGCACTGGGGAGATCTCTTAAAGGAGCTGACGATCCAAGAGGTCGACTATGATGAAGACGAGATTGTGGCGGAGCTGCATGTGATTGCAGATACCGATCTAGCCATGATTGAGAAACAGGATGTCGAGCTTCAGATCCAGCAACTCGAACACAAACTCTCGGAGGCGAAACCCAACTTCACAGTGCTGGAGGAGTACAGGAAGCGCGAGGAGGAATATCTGTCGAGAGCCAAGGATCTTGAAGAGATTACGATCCGTCGAGAGGAGGCCAAGAAGGACTATGATGATTTGAGGAAAAAGCGGTTGGACGAGTTCATGGCAGGATTCCAAATTATTTCCATGAGGCTGAAGGAGATGTACCAGATGATTACGATGGGAGGCAATGCTGAGCTGGAGCTTGTCGACAGTCTGGACCCTTTCTCAGAGGGCATTATCTTCAGTGTTATGCCTCCCAAGAAGAGCTGGAAGAACATCTCCAACTTGTCCGGAGGAGAGAAGGTAGCAAGGATGAATGTTGTAACAATGAGATGTTTTTTCGTGCACGTTATCGAGTCACTAACAGTCAATATTTTCTGCTTTCAAATCTAACGATTATTAGACGCTGAGTTCACTGGCGTTGGTGTTTGCGCTGCACCACTTCAAGCCAACACCCCTGTATGTCATGGACGAGATTGACGCCGCGCTGGATTTCAGGAATGTGTCGATTGTGGCCAACTACATTAAGGACCGGACCAAGAACGCTCAGTTTGTGATCATCTCTTTGCGAAACAACATGTTTGAGATGGCTGACCGACTGGTCGGAATCTACAAGACTGACAACAAGACAAAGTCAATTTCGATCAACCCTACAGCCATGTCGGTCATCAGGCCTACCCCCGTTCCGGCACCGATGTCCTCTAATTCGGGTGCTAACGGTGGCGGCGGCGGCGGCGGACAGCATATGAGGAGGGTGTCGACGATGTCGAGGCATGGATCTGATACGACGGGTATGACGGGTCTCGGTGGTGGTTCTGGAGCATCTGCGCCACGACGCTCTCTCGCCGCCTCTACCCCTGCTGCTGCTCCTTCGCCCTCACCCGCCTCTGCCAGTCAATAGAAAATAGATACATAGCTAACTTGACGGGTTCTTCTGTTTCCCTTTCAATATCCAACTTCCGTAATTCCTCATATCCGTTATGGTCGTCTGTGATTTATTTGTCAAAAAGAAAAGGAGAGTATGGTTTGGTATCAAGAGAAAAAAAAAAAGAGATGTCGACAAGGACGGGAGGGTAAGAAAGAGATAATGAAGGGCACAAAAACAAAAAAAAAGAGTATTAAAAAAAACGAACGACGAGAGCTAGAGGCCAGAGGTAAGGGCGCCGAGATCATCCTTGCCCAAGACCTGGACACTTCTCGCACGCGCCTTGACACGCAGGTTGCGATCATACGTGACAAGATAGATCCCTACCGCAGACGATGACGTCATGGGCGAGGGCGACAAGGACGATGACGACGATGAAGAGGGGCCATTCTCCTGATGCCAGAGACACAGCCCCAAGATAAAGTCGTCCACATTGTGGTTCCGCATAATCTCCTCGTCGCGATCATCGTAGTAGTAATAATCGCCCTCGCTTCCGCCCTCATCGTCCTGGTCGCGCTCATCATGGCTCCCTCCAGATCCAACAGCTCCTGAGCCTCCTCCCGACACTGCTCTCCTGTGGCGCTGATGGTTCGAGCGCTGCTGCGGTGGCTGCAACTGCTGTTGAGGCGCCTGTCTCTCATAGTTGAACGACTCGACTCGGAAGCTCAAGTCATTCATATAGTTGCCGCGACTGGTCTGGATCTTGAGACGACGAGGCTTGGGTCGCATCGCCAGGCAGCCCTCCAAATAGTCCAAAGCAGCTGCGGCTGCAGGACCCAAGGGTGCCGGGTTGTTCTTGAGTCCGTCTAACTCTGTGATAACCGCCAGGGGGATAATGACTGTCCATCGATCTGCCGAGACCACTCGTTGAATCACTGTCCAGTCCGACACCAAACAGTTGGTATCAATGACCAAGATCGAGTTCTCTGCCACCTGCAGCGCCCTTGAGGGTGCAGCACCACCATTCTGGATCCTACGATCGGTATACCCACGTCCACCTTTGCTGTTGTTCCTGCGACCTGATGCTCCATCCTGAGGACCTCCTCGGGACCCATACCCCTTGAGGGTAGCAGCTCCAGCTGCACGTCGGTTGTCGCTGAGCATCGATTTGAGCTGGTCCCGCTTGGATTTGAGCTCCAGAATATCGGCGTTGGGGGTGTGACCATCAAAGATGCCCATGTCGCTAAAGGTCGCGCTGAGAACGGGCTCGTCCTCGAGTCCTGAATCTTGACTGAGGCTGGCATGGGAAGACGATAAGAGATTGTCGTCCGTCGTGTCGTCCTCTGCGCTTCCTGCCTGCAATCCTGCCTCCTCTGCCTGTGCCGCGTATTCCTCGTTGATCTTGAACGCATTCTCGCAAAAATCAAACTCGACAACCTCCATGTGCTATTTTGTAAATATAAAGAGAAAAATATATCCTGATGTCAGAACATGGAATGGCGGATTTAGGCGAGTTCAACGAAATACGCCTGAAACCAAGAACTTACCATAGCTGCAATCAAACTCAGCTCGACCAAGCGCTTAGACAAGCGCTCCGACTTTGGCGGTTCCTGTTTCCAAAAGCTACCGCCGTTCAAATCGGCATCGTCCAGAACCGGCTGCAAACCCTTGAACATGGCGCCTGAGTATCGGCTCGTCGGCAACCAGGCGAGTCCTCGCAACTCCCACTCCTGGCCGAGGGGTGGGAGCGACAACTGGAACGAAACCTTTTCGCTTGCTTTATGCTGCCGATCTGCTAATCCTTGCTCAGATATTTCCTCTGAAAGAGCCGAGAGCATATCCGACTGCTCAAAAGGCGAAAGCTCGTTCCAATGGTAGTTCATGAACTGAACCAAAGTCGTCCAAAAGGTCGGCAGAGTCTCATGGTTCGCCAATGCAAGCCAATTGTTCAGCATGTCACTTCCAGATCCAAGGGGGCGTCCAGCCATCCACACGAGAACCGTGTGACAGTACACCAGCCAGCCCTGCTGCTCCTCCAACGACGACACGGCAACCTTTCGCTGAGTATTCCCGACGCTTGTCAGGTATCGCTGCATCGACTGCTCCATTGTCGACAAGAGCAACGTGGACGAGTACGGGAGAGTCGCGACTGCGGCCAAGTGATCGCGAAGTTGGCCAAATGTTGTATTGGCCTTGGCCAAGACGGACGCAGTCCAATTGAACTCGTACATGGCCGCAATGTTGACGACAGCCAACATAAAGTAAAACACGTCCCATCGCTCAGACACGGCCAAAGATTGCTGATCGGCGGAGGTGTCGGGGAAGCGGGGCTGGTGAAGAACCCTGAGCTGCTTAGTAAAAGTCCTGTGTCGCTTGTCGAACTTGTCGAGGTTGATCTTTTCAAACAGCATGGCGTGAAGGAGGAGAAAAGAGCCCTCACAGTCTCGACGCGTGGTATCGGCCAAAGCTGCCTGGCGAGCCTTGGAGGTCTGCTTCGATTGGATCAAGGTTTGAATCTGCTCGTTCGACGAGAAGAACGACATCAACGTCTCTCGCGCATTAACAAAAGAAGACCTCACAGTCAAACTACGTACAGGTCGTGGAAAATTAATAGAAAGGAATGAGTCAGTTGGTCGCAAAAACAATTGTAACGTAACGAAATCAACTCAGCGACATCCTGCGGCAGCGCCCCTGTTTTTGAGCTCACTCACCTTTTACTGTAATAGTAGAGCGACTCGAGTCCACGGCACCCAGACAATAGGGCCAGCTGGTTGTACATCTTGCCGTTGCCGGGTCCAAGGTCAATCGCCTCTCGATAATAGCGCCTCGCAACAACAAGCCAGTCGGTAGGAGGCAAGGAAGGGCCATCACTGTCGAGCTTGTGCAACCATCGATATCTGGCCAAGTCGCCCAAGATACCGACACACCGGTGCCATCGGGGTACTTGCACAATGCGTGCAAGTCCGCCATTGGGCGTCGCGTACTTTGCCTCCAATTGCTGAAGGGTGGTCTTCAAGTCCGCATAAAACACCTGGGCGACGCTAATGAACTCGGTAAAGTAATGTCGAATATTCTCAGAATGATCCTCGTCCGAATCCGAAAGACAAAGCCCTGCGCTCGAAAGGTTGCTGGTGTGCTCTGCGTTGCGAAGGGCAGCGCGGAAGGTCTCGATAAGTGGGTAGATGGCCAGTTTCCAGCATCGGGTGTCGATTTCATGCTTGAGAGACGACTTGAAGTCGAGCTGCATCAGCTTGAGGTACTTGTACGCCAACCTACGAAAGACAAGAGGAGGGGTGAAAATGGTTAGACTAACACACGGGATGCATATTTGAGACGAATGGCGTGAGATTTTTCATGCATATCCCCTCTGTAATTTGCCCGCAACTATGACCCATTTTCAATCACTTGCGCTATGATTCATATTTTGTTGAGTGTTGCTGCTTTCCAGGCCTTACAACTAGAAAAAAAATTAGGATTGTACCTTTTGGAGTTGTCGATGCGTCGGCTCCAGCCAAGAGACTCATCCTTGCGGTGGCCACTCTCCGAATCATCGTCACTGTCCAGAGTGCGGCGTCCTGGCTTCTCCATCAGCTTCCTCTCCAGCTGCTGAATTTCCTTGGTCAAGCGGACTAAGCCATCCGAAGGAGCGGAGGCTGCCGTGGTGCCTCTGGGGGCGGGTGCCGTGACTGGGGCGGTAGTCGAAATCCCCGATGACTTGGTCGCGGAACTGTTCTCCGGATAGTTGGACTCTAACAGTTTTTGGGACTGCGGCTGCGGCTGCGAGTTGGGCGAGTGCTGCGGCTGATTAGGGTCGTAGAGTCGTTGAAGCTGAGGTGGCTGACTCATCCCCTGTCGCTGCTGTCGGTTGTTGCTGTTCGAGCCTTGGTTCCTGGAGTTGCCCGTGGCGGCGCGCCCATTAGTCATGGACGAGGTAGAAGACGAGGCTGGTAAAACTGGGACAGGGTCTCTTTTATGGTCGAAGAGACGACCTGCGGGTCCGGACGGACGTCCCGAGCTGTTATTGTTGTTGGCTCGTCCAGGCATGTCTCTATCAAGACTGTCGGCAGCCAGGCGGCTGTTGTCTCGGGATCTGCCGCTGTTCCTGGGACTGTTGCGCGACTGGGAGTGGTTCTTGGGGGAGCTGTTGTTGTTGGTCAAGGGATTGGGGTGGTTATTCCCATGACCATTGTGGTTATCAGTGACGTTGTTGTTGCTGTTGTTGTTGTTATTGTTGGTTGAAGAGTTGATGTTGGTGCTTTCGGCACCACTGGCCAAGGTGCTTAGGCCATTCTGTAAGTTGGAGTTGAACGAAGGACTCTTTTCAAGTTTCTTTGAAGGAGCACCGCTGCTGTTGTTGTTTCCTGAAGTGCAGTTGCTGTTGCTGTTGTTATTGTTTCGTTGTTTACGGGTACGGTTGGCTTTGGCTCCCAAGGCTGAGGAGGAGGCTGAGGGTGGGTCTGCAGGGATGAATGGAACTGTCAAGCCTGTCTTTGCTGTGCTCATCACTCGGAAGAGGGGGGTGGATGTTGTTAGAAGAAGGACCAAAGGGTGCAAGAAGGGTGTCTGCGTTGTGCGTTACGACAAAGGAATAGTAAAACAAAAAAGAGATAGCTAGAAGGGAGCAAGGAAGGTCTTTGAGGTGAAGGGGGAAGGAGAGAGGGAAGACGGAGAGAGGGAGGAGGGGAAGGAGGGCGAGAGGGGCGACGAAGAAGAGAAGGAAGTGAACGATGAAGGCGAAAACGATGCGAAGACCATTAAAAAGAGAAGTGCCGGTGAAGCAGTTGGAGTGGATGTTGTTGTTTATGTGGCGCTGTGGAGGAGCTGATAGAAGAGTCGAGAAGGCCTTTAGTCAAAAAAGCCGGTTGCGAAGCAATATGATGCGTCAGTGTGGATGTGTAGTTTGTCTGTCTGTGGAAGAGAGAATGAAGATCATTCGCCGAATAGAAAACCCTAGAAAAACGGTGGGAGTCATCTGGGGACGGAGTCGTCTTGTCACCTGACCCTAATGCATAAGCCACATACTTCGAGGCGCGAAGAAAACTTTTTCTTGGACCGAACCAAGTATTTAAAGGCAACGCATTCGTGTGTTTGTTGTTTCCCTTATCCTTCTCCCACCTTCCAGGTAAGCACCCTACCCACCTCCTATTCCCACACCTCCATCCATCCACATCCATCTCTCTTTCAGCACGCGTTTGTCCAGCCCTTTTCATACCCTTTTCACCCTCAAGATTGACCTGATGAAGCAAATTTTACAGACCTGTTCCGAGCACAATCGTGCGGACAACCACTTATTGCCTTTTTTCTGATACAATTTTCATAAACACCACGCTCAATGGTTTACTTGCTATCATTTTTGGTAGTGTAAACTATCGAGTGTGCTGTTTACTTGAAGGGCAAAAAAAAAGGGATTCGCGCAACTCCATTCAAAGAGGATCGAGATGAACTCTCATCACTTTTCACAAAAAAAAAAAAAAAAGTATCGCTTAGATATTAACCTCCTTTTTCTCTTTGAATATGTTCAACAGATCAAGCCATAACGATGCGTCAAGAAAAGACAAGAACAATAGAAAAGAATAATAAACAAAAAAAGGACGATCCTTGAATCGATCCACTACAAAAAACTCCTCGTGCTGTGTTTGGTCTTTTATTTTCATTTTGCATGTTGCTTAAGAAAAATTTTCATTGAGAAGGAAAAGTGGAACGCGATAAGCAACAACGACGATCTTTCGTTCAAGTAGGCTGCAAGGAAGCGACGTAAAACATGGCCCAGGTCAGCGTCATACCGTCGTCCAACTGAACCGGTCGTTCGGACTCTGCGAAGTGCTTCCAGGCGCCAGCCTTATCCAGGGTGGCATAGTTCATCATCAGGATCGACTTCCATCCGTCGTCAATCTCTTCAGCACGCGATCGCAACACACTCTCCCACTCTTGCCTCACAAACTTTTCACTGCGGATCAACGGCAGCGCGGGTGTCGCTGGGATCATCTGGATGCCTTGTATACATTCTACAGTCGAATCAAAGAAGAACGATAAGAGCGAGGTGAAAAAGAGGGAAATGAAGAGAGGGAAAATATCAAATAGGATCTATTGAACAAACGAACAGCTTGTGTGATGCAATAGACAAAACAAATCGATTGCAACGACAAAAGGGTAGAAAACTTACCGAGACGGGACGAAAAGTAAGTGGTGTGGTCGACCTTGTTCTCAAACAAGATACCTGTCACCTTGTTGCCCACAAACGCCCGCGGATGGTTCATGTTGTCGTCTTCCAGCAAGAAGTACGCCCGGATACTTCGACGAGCAACGGTCAACATCATGGCGCCCATGTTATCCATATCTGGCCGGTCGTTGACACGACCCCAGAGCGACAAGCCATAGTACAGGTTGATGTCTTCCGACGTCGACTCCTCGTCCTTGCCATCCTGCGACACAAATATACCCTGGGACCAAGAGTGGCCCATGTACCAGTCGAAGGCGCGAAACCTGGGGAAATGGTTGTCGTTCGTGGACATGTTGGTTACGTCGCGCAAGAGAGAATCGATATAGGCGACCAACTCGTCTGATCTCCAGTTGGGATCCAAATGTCGAACGATTGCTGCTGCATGGATAAAGTAGCCATAGTGATAGTGGTGGTCGCTATTTGTGAAGGGCAAGATACAATAACATGAGTCGTGTCGGTCCACGAGTACCCACAGAGGAAAATAAAGAAGATCGTCCTGTTTCGACGTGCACATTAAACACATCTCACTGGAATCAAAAAAAGAAATAGCGACGACTTACTTGTACCAAGTATTACCGAAATCAGCCAGCGCGCCATGGTCTGTCAAACCTTGGACACTGACAAGGCCTCGCCAGGTCTTGTCATACACCAGCGGGAAAGCCTGTCTGTTCTCCAAGAATCTCGCAAAGGCGTTCTCCAGTTTGTCCAGACATCTCCTCTGCGTCTCGTCTGTCTCGTTAAGCACATCCTTGACGACCAGACACAACAGTGCAAACTTGGCCAGTCCCTTGCCTGCAAAGTACATCGATTCCAGATCGGTTTCCTCGTCAAAGTCACGCTCGATATCGCGTCGGGCCTGGTTCCTGATCACTTCCAGTTGCTCGGGCGTCACAGTGTCTTCCCACTCATCCGGCAAAAAGTCGAGAGCAAGACGATCTGGTTCGTGGAGATACCATTTCGACCCGGTATATGCGATCATCTTTCCCTTGGTTGTTGAAGGTAAAACAAGGACAGTCGGCTTGGTCTTGTCTGTCAATGCCTCCCGGTGATGAGGCAGAGTAAAGTGTATGAACTGCTTGGTGGTGTCGCCGGCTAGCTTCCAATCGATCCTGTAGCCTCCTGACCGGCTATCGAATTACCAGAACCAAAATTAAATGCATAAGGGAGTGCCCCGTATTCCGATCTTGGGAAGATAACACGACAAACCACAACAACACGAAATGAAGCTACTAACCTGTTGACATATCTGGGTCGAACAATTAGCTCCCCCTCCATCGGATATACTCCCATCGACAGGTCGTACACCCTCTCCGTCTCGTCCTCCATGCCCACAGGCAACTTCGCAATCTGCACCAACCCTGTGAACTTTCCCGATGTCGCTACTGCTAGACCTTGACCACGCATCGTGAGTCGGAGGGGACCATCCGTGCTCCTGTCAGGTTTGGCGTACAACAACCATGTCACTCCATTCTCAATCAAGAAGCGGTACTTGACCCAGCCATCCGCCATCGGTTGCGGGTCCAGTGTCAAGGTACGAATCAAAATGTCGGAGTAAAATTGGGGTGTCAGGTCCTTGTAAAGGGCTGTAAGGAACACCATGCCTCGCACAACTGGAACACGAAGAACTGATGTAGGTGGATCCTGTCTCTCCAGGGCCTGCTCACTTGCCGGTGTCAATTCGACAGCACAGCTAAACTCGCTAAAGTCTCCGACAGTCATTTCGTGGCGCTCATCCAGCTCTGTCGCAGAAATACCCACGCTGACCAGAAATGGGTTGAGGTAGTATTTTGGGGGTCGTTGCTCCGAAGCGGTAACATTCAACCCAGGAGGGCCAAAAGCCTTGGAGGAGTCATCTATATGCGAGATAGAGAGTCCATTTTGTGTCTTTTCAATCCTGTCCCATCGCAAACCGTAAGGATGTGTCCAGATCGGAGCATGCGAGTCGCCTAACATCAGATTCCCATAAAACTTGTTTGTCGGCTGGGGATTGGATTGGTCGGTGACTCGAACTCGCATTGGCTTGACAGGATGATCGCGCTGCTTGAAGAGGGGAAGAGGCGGTTCTGTCGATATGGGTTTTAGAACAGTATCTGGTCGCCTCCAGTCTGTCTCATAGTGCTCTGGAGTTACAGTCTCATCGGTGGAGTTGCCACTGCTTTGATCGTCGCTGTCGAAGTCGTCGAAATCGTCGAAGATGGTCGCGCTGTGGGGGATGGGTGTGGGGATGATAGAGGACCGATCGATATGGGCGTCGAGTTGATCTCGACCGAGTAAGCTTGAAAAGGGATCAGACGGGTCAAGAGATCCTGTGCTGAAGTCGACTCCCATGATGGTTGACTGGGGATGGCCGTGCGTTCCTGGAAGTGAGGTGGCTATTGTTATAGCCAGAACGAGAGTTAAGCAATGCCTCATTCTGGTTAGATTATTATGTGAAGGAGAAGAGGAAGGTGGGTATACTGAGAGGAGAGGGAGAGGAAGAAAAATAATAAAAAAGACGGAGATGTGCAAAGGGCGTTTATCTCTCTTACTTTCTTTTATATTTGCAAGTGTGCAAGTGGTGTTCTTTGTTCTTTCTCTGTATTCCCATCGAACTTTCTTTACCTTTTGTGCTATGTGCTACTAGTACTAAAATATAGGAATAACCTTCCGAAGGAGACAGACAGAGGAGGTCTAGGTTGTTGTTTGTGTCCACGCGTGCAATGGGGAAAGGGAGGAGGGAATGAAAGGGGATAAAGGAGAGAGAGAAGTCAATAGGGGAACAAATGTTAGGGGACCGATTGCACCCTTAAGCGCACCATAGCATGCTATTTATTCCTTGCATTAACGAATAAAAGCTACGTTTAAAAGCCTTCAGAGGCAGAAGAGGTGGTGGGGCGCTTGCTGTAGGGCAGCGAGTCCTCAGCAACGGCCTTGGGAGGACGGAAAGTCGATGGTTTCTTCCTCTTCATCTTGCCGCCAGAAGTCTTGCCCGCCTGGAAATTCCTCCACCCCTGCACACGGTCGTCCCTCTGGTCCTCCCACACCTTTTGGGCCTCCTGTTTCCGTTTCCGCTCAGTGATCACCTCGTCTGCTTTCCTCGCCACCTCGCCCTCAGCCTCCATCTCCTTCTTCATCAGCTTGCGCTTCCTGAGCTCGACCTCGATCAACAAATCCTTGGTCTTTTGCTTGACCAGCCCGTTGTACACGGGCGAACTGAAAAAGGGATCTGTGGGTGCCATCTGCAACGGCTGGGCCTTCTTGACCTCGAACTTTGCTTCTTCAATGATACTGTTGAGGAACGTCCGTTTGCCCAAATCCATGAGGTCCGTCTCTGCCTTCTTGAGTATGTCGAACGCATCTCGTGCCTTGGGGTGCTTGACCTTGTCCGGGTGAATCATCAGCCTAAAGGACAAAGGAGGAACATGATAATTAAGATTAGTATGGGGTCAGATCAACACAATGGCACGAAGACAGCACAATATAACAGGATGAACGAGCACTTACGACTTCTTGCGGTATGCCATCTTGATGTCCTTTTCTACGCAGCCAACATCCAGCTCCAAAATATCATATGGATCCAACTTGAAGCAGGCTATGATACGCTCGACCTCGGCATCCTTCTGAATGGCCGACGCCTCCACCTCCAAGAACCGATCAATGTCAATGTCTGCCATGCTAGTATAGTACTGTTGCTGTTGTTGTTGCTGTTGTTGTCGCTTGTCCCTTGTTTCTTGCAGTGCCCTTGTCGCGTCTGTGGTTGTGCTGATTCCTGTTCCTTGCTCCTGATTGTGGTGTGTGTTTGTGAGTGATGCAAAAGCAAGCCAGGCTGCTTGCTCAAGTCGTTTATTCGTCAGGTGATACATCACATGACATATCTCCCAGTCGGACCGAACATGAACTCGCTTTGGTTCGCGCGTCCAAAGAAGGGCCGAAGGTGTGTAAAAAGGGCAGTTAACAACAGGGAGCGGCTCAAGAATCGAGAAGTTTATGATAAAGGACTTGATTCAGGGAAGCGAGTAGACTACGAGAACTCTTGCTCATAGCAGGGGAGCGAGGTGAGGGGAGAATAACCGCATCGGCTTAGGAGTGCAAACGAACAAACAAACAACAAACAAACAAACAAACAAACAAACAGAACACCAATTTTTACATGGGCTTAGCATGAGTAAATATGAGTGTCGGCGGTCGAAAGTGAGTCTCACTCCACACCTCGAGCGTTCGCTCTCCACACCCGTGCTTTGGAAGCAATTCTTTGACAACAAAGAAAGAAAAAGGGGAAACGAGAGTTGCGCACCAACAACAAATGCCACCCGCACACAAGCCTCGGAAGGAAGTACGAAAGTGACACGCATGGATGTTATTATTGATGTTGGGCAGAAAAAGGAGTATGTTGCTTTGTTTTCACTGCTGCAAGGGCAGCCGAGACAGAGAATGCCGACCATCTGAGAGCGAATAGAAAAGAGTACAAACGCAACCGTCCTTTTTCTTTTTTTCTTCACTTTGTACTTTCTCATTCGTCTTCCTCATTGCTCTCCTCCATTCACCATCACCTCCCTCGGTCAAGACACTCCATTAACCCTTTTCCCTCTTCTTTCCTTACGCGCTCCGCCTCAATTGACTAATAATAATCTATCGCACAGAACGATCGAAAAAAATATGGCACAGACATCCCAGAACAAGAAGGACTTGGCCCAGGCCAGGACAAAGACCAACTTTGATATCACCGACATGACCAACTACCTCTACGGAGGCGCCGCGAACGTCGAGCAGCGTCGATACATCATAGACCTCATTGCTCGCGAGCCCATTTTTAATAAGGAGGACTGGTACGTTACCAGTGATTTCATGTGCTCCGCTACGCGTGGTTGTATCTGTATTGGCCTCGAACAAGAGGTGCTACTGCAGAAAGTGATACCGACATTGCCAATTTTGATTGTCCTACGTGTAGGCCCTGGTTGAACCATACCGATGCGGTCAAGCGCGGTATTGCCATGTCAACTCGTTTGGCCGAGATCAAGATGGAGCACGAACTGAACGACCTGGACTTTGCTAGCATGGTCGAGGCCATCGATGACAGCCTCCCTGTAAGTTCTGCCAATACCCTTGTAATGAAAGCAGGTGCCGCACCATAGCTTCGATTGATTCTAACTCCGTTTCTCTTCTTCTTGGGCCTCTGCCTTTCAAATGAATAGATTCTTCTCCATCACGGAGGTAGGACTCTAATGTATTTATGATGTTGGACAAATAGCAAAGAGCAATGTCAACTTAGCAACCTAACAATGTCGCTTTCCACACTCATGTTTTCAACCATAATAGCATTCATCCCGGTCATCAACTCGCAGGGAAGCGATGAACAAATTGAAAAGTGGATCCCTCTCGCCGAAAAGTACCAAATTATCGGATGCTACGCCCAAACAGAGCTGGGTCACGGATCCAACCTTTCCCAGCTCGAAACCACCGCCACTTTTGACCAGGAGACGGATGAATGGGAGATCAACAGCACAACCTTCACGGCCGCAAAGTGGTGGATCGGAGGTCTTGGCGCCATCTGCACTCACGCTGTCGTCCAGGCCAAGCTGATTATTGCTGGCAAGGACTATGGTGCTCATGTCTTTGTGGTCCCCATCCGCTCTTTGGACGACCATAAGCCTTTTCCTGGCATCCAAGTTGGAGATATTGGACCCAAGGCGTATGGAGGCTTCAACAAGATGGAAAACGGATGTAAGTTCTCATCAATCCTCTCGGCGTATTCGTCATTTTAGTTATTTTGCGCACGAAATGATAACTGACATGCTCTCTTCGATTGTAATTGCTAGTTGCACGCTTCACTAAATACCGAATCCCTCGCGAGAACATGCTGATGCGATTCTCTAAGGTCTCCAGGGACGGTGTCTACACCAAGCCCCCTCACGCCAAGGTACGGTACCCCTATTACCAATATCCTACAAGATGAATGATATGCATACACCACATTTACTTACAGCGATACTATATTGCTTTCTGAACAATAACAGCTCTCGTATGGCTCAATGGTGTTGTTGCGCTCGGTCCTTATTCGCCAGATGGCCCTGCACCTCTCACGTGCGACAACCATATCGACCCGCTACTTGACCGTCCGTCGCCAGTTCAACAACCCAACCAAGCGCAACGACGCCGATATCAACCCTGGTCTGGAGACCCAGGTCATCAACTACCCAATGGTTCAGAACCGTCTCTTCCCCATGATCGCCCAATCCTACGCCCTCTTTGCTGCGGGATCCGTCATGATGGAGATGTACATTGGGCTCATGACTGGCCTCTCATCGGGCAACATCGATGCCCTGGCCGAGGTCCATGCTACATCGTCCGCACTGAAGTCTTACTGCACCACCATTGCTGCAGCTGGCGCTGAAGAATGTCGCAAGTTGATGGGTGGCCATGGTTATTCGTACTTTACCGGTCTGGCGCACATGTTTGCCTCGATTGTACCCTCTAACACCTACGAGGGCGACAACTACGTACTTACCCAGCAGATGGCCCGCTATTTGCTTAAGGAGGTCAAGACTGCTCGCACGACCCCCAGCAAGGTCACACCTTATTCCAAGTACCTCCTCCTTGCCCTCAACAGAGACTCGTTCGCACACGCCAGATGCGTGGTCACCAAGGCTGAGGACTGGCTCAACCCCGACATCCAACTGACGGTCTTTGAACACCGCTGTGCTCGTCTGGCCACAGAGTTGAGCGATGCTGTCGATGCCGCTGGCGGCATGGAGTCAACAACCTGGTCGGACCACAACATCGAGTGCTATCGCATCTCACACGCTCACGCACAGTACGTCATGGTCCTTTGGTTCATCCAATCCATCCGTGAAGCCCGTAACCCCGAGGCAGACGAGGAACGTCGTGCTACCCCCGAGGCGATCGCGATCCTTGAGCGTCTCTCGAACCTCCATGCCCTCCACACCATCCAGACCAACCTTGCTGACTTCACCGAGGACGCCTACTTCAGCCCCGCCCAATGTCAATCCCTGCGTGCCCAAGTCAAGTCGTTGGTTGCCAGTATTGCTGACCAGGCGGTGGGACTGGTCGATGCGTTTGATCATCCGGACTTTTTGTTGGACTCGGCGTTAGGAGCCAGTGATGGCGATGCCTATCAGCGTCTTTGGGACAAGGCTCAGACTGAGCCTCTGAACCGGCGCGAGGTGTGTGATGGATATGAAGAGTATATCCGCCCCCTGTTGAAAAAGCATGGCGAGTTGAAGCTTTGAGTGATGGCGAACTAGCGAGTAGTTTAGCGTCTTTTTGTATCGCGATAGACAGAAAGAGAGAAAGCCAGTGGAATAAATATCCAGTTTCTATTTCAAGTTCATTAACTGACGCGTCTGTTTTGATGTCATAAAAAAGATAAAGAATAAAAAAGACCAATGCGAGCCTGAAAAGGATTATGTCAATGCAAAGGTCGCTCAAAAGAAGAAAACAGGGACCACAGGCGAATTCTTCTAAGTCTCCTTTAGATTTTTAGAATACATAACGAATAAATTGAATCGTGCGAATCGAGTCAGACCCCGCGTTTTCTTGACCAATCATCGACCGTGAATCCTGTCCGACTTTCCCTTTTCCTCCTCTTATCTTTTGTATTAAAACTCCAAAAACGAACCACAAAACGTCCATCCACCCTACTTCACTCATCATTATCCAGCATCTCCATGGATAGGCAATTGACCACCTTCAAAGGAGAACTCGTTTTCTATTTTAGACAAAGAACGGAAACGTGATAAAAACGTGTCGTTGTTGTTTGCGATTGTGGATCCGAAATCGTAAACAAAAAAAAAAGGAGCACGCTCGGGGTCCTTGTCTTGTGTACCATCCGCTGTCATATGAAAATTGACCAAAAAGAGGGGGTGCGGAAAATGAGGGAGAAAATTGTGTGTGTGCATTTGCGCATTTTTATCAGAGGGATGACATTGGTATTCTTCACGCCCGCGCTTTTATCATGTCGTTGTACCTTGAACGACGGCTATGTGGTTGCGTGCTTTCCTAGGCCTACTGACGAACTACGCAAAAAAAGTACAGTACATGTCCTGTTTGCTACTAAGAATAACAATTGAGAACACCGGGGAAGAAGGAGCGAGAGAGAAGTTCCGCACTACCCTTCGCCAATTCTCCTCCACCCCCTCTCCCTCGGAGTATTCGAGTACCCCTGGCCCATTTGCAAAGTCATTGAAAATATTCATCATTGAACAAATTCATGCTGATGATGCTGATTGATTGTTTCACCACCAAAAAAGAACTGATCAAATACAATCGAGACGCGAACGGAACGGAGGGGAGGCGCGGGTCTTCGACGCGTCTATTTTTCTTCAGTTGCATGTTGTTTTTATTTTTTTTTGTTCCGCGTGGAAAGAATGGGTGTGGTGTACGACCGAAGCCCATTTCGTGTGAAATCAAGAAAAAACCACTGGACCCTGACTCGCCCCCCTTCCTTTCCTCTCTTTGAGCCATGACATGAGCCATGCCATGCCTCCTTGTTTTCGTTCTTGCTTTGCTGATTGTTGTTTTTTTTTTTTTTTGCTTTGTGTGTAAGTGTGCCCGTGATTACTATCTTCGTTCCAAAGGAGCTTCCGTATCTCTCTCCTTCCCCCTCTACTTTTGTACGCACTGGAACAACAACAACAAAAATCCGTTGAATTTTGTTCCGTGTCTTCCTCTCATCTCTCAGACAAAGCCCTTTCTGATAATGATTTTTTCGTACTTGATACTAGCTAGTACGTTCACAACCCAATGCTAACCACATGTCCATTTTTTACCTTTCTGATATCCCTCTTTTCCCCTTTCCTTCCCAGTAGAGATAGAGAGAATAACGGAGGGAGGGGGGTTACAAAAAAGAGCAAAAATAGTAAAAAAAAAACAGATGAGGGAGTTGTAGGAGCCAAGAAGAGGAGGGTGAAGGAAAAAGAGAATAAGAAAAGGAAGGAGGGCATTGACAAATGCTTGAAGCCGATAACAGATTGACTCTCACACTTTCACTTTCTGTTGCATCTACCTCTCTGTCCGTCTTCCTTGGTCTCTTTTTTATTTTATGGCTAACCCTCCCTCTCAGTCAGCATTACCAGACCCTCCTAGGATGGATATATCTTTTGGGCACTATTTTGGGAGAGGTGGCGAGCTGTCTACAGGGAGTGGAAAGAAAGGCGAGGGTGGTTCTCATCGCTCTCGGGCGACAATCCAAAATATCAAGTGCAAATGGGGGGGGGGGTGTTGTCTTTCAGGCTTACTTCTACACTTCTTTTTTTGGTGCAGAAGGTGGTCGATGCGAAAAAACAGAAATAGGACAGAAACATAGATAGCAGCATGTGCCAAATACATTTTTTTGAAGTGGTTTTTATACTTGAAAACGAAAGTGAAGGAGAGAGAGGAGTGTAAGGTGAATGAGGTGCAAGAGGGTTTGGGAGAAGATCGTCGGTACTGTACATCGCGTATCTCCCTATTCATCGCCAACCATTGACTTGAGCCATCGAGTCTTTTACTTTGCATTGGCGAACATCCACCCTCCACTCTTCGAATACCATGATTAAGGTCAGGGTCAAGGGAGAGAAAACTTCATAACACTGATGGATTTTCTTCCTTTCTCTAATTCTGTGGGGTCCAGATCCACGTCCACGGAGCATATTAAGAGCGTTCTCTAGGATGACCATGGTCAATCGAATGAGATGTGAAGGGAATGAAGGATAACCATTGTCCATCGACCTATAGAAAGAGAGGGAGAGGGAGAGGGAGATACGATCGATCGTGGAATGCGACTGCAAGCAAAGTCGCTGTTTCTTTTTCTATCAGAGGGCCGACCTTGTTTGTCTGTTTGCCCATGTTCGCCCGAGATCATCCCTGTCCCTCGTTTTTGTGTTTATGTTTTTTTCTTTGATCACTTTTTTTTTTTTTTTTTTTTCTTTTTTCTTTTTTCTTTTTTCTTTTTTCTTTACTTTGCTTTGTTTTGTTTTGCTATTGTTGACATGTTTACTGTACCTCCTTGCATCGACTTGTGTATCCGTCCCTTCCTACTTCTCGTCCATTGATCTAGAAAAAAGTGACAGTAAGCCCTGCCTGCCTGCCTCCCTGTTGATGGAATGGTATGATGGGATGGTCGTTCGGAGCAGATATTTGTTGTTTTAGTTGTTGTTCTGAGAAGAGCACACTTCCCGCTTTCTCATCTTCCTTCACTCCTTCCTTCACTCCAGCAATCCTCTTTCACGCTCCAGTGTGGGTCTGTTTGAACGGATCGATAGTCAATAGTCCCCTTCGCCTCCTTTGTCATTTTTATGCCAGTTGAGTGAACAAGGAGTACAACTTCAGCCCCTGTCACTCACGTTCCATTGTCATTATCCTATTTTGAGTTTGTTCGTTATCAAGACTCTCTCACTCGTGCGCGTGTACATATGGTTTTGTTGACATTTTACTTTATCCTTTCTTCCCGCTCACTCAAGCACAGTGCACTATTACTCTATTCTTTTCAATTGAAAGGTACCTCTTGTCTTAATGCCTATTGTCTGTCTTTATCTACTCTATCAGTCGGATCCACCTTACCCTCACTGCCTCCGTGCTCCATATAAAAGAACACACCTTCGCTCCCTTTCTTCGCTCACTTTATCGTTACACCTTTTTGTCCGTTCTCAACGCCTCATTCCCTTTTTTCATTCATTGTTAATATCTCCTTCTTGTTTGCTTTTCTCAACTTTTATTTATTCACTCATACCCTTCAACTACCGCCCACCACCCCTTGTCCATAGTCAGCCATACCATTACTCAGGCACCCTGTAAATATACGCAATAACACAATTGACCCCTCCCCCGGATGCACCCAACTGCTCAATCAACTTTCATCCCTGATCTGGATATGAACCCACCACCGACCTGGTCAAAGCCGACCTCTGCCCTTGGACTCGCCAACCCCTTGCACCACCTCCCTCAAACCCAACAGGTCCGACAGCTTCAAGAACAGATCCAACAACACCGTCGGCTTCAACAGCAGCAATCCCAGTCCGGATATGGTCTTGGCGAACATGTCATGAGGAAGAAGCACAGTCAGGGCGGCAGCAAACCCAACAGTAACCAAGATCGTTCATTTCAACAATCCTTTGGTGCAAGTGGAGGTAGCAGTACCACCCATCAACATATCAACATCAAGAACACCGATGATATGAACAGTGACGACGACCTTGACAAGGATGATGACGACGAGGACGACGATGACAACATCGAGACATCGGACGACCGTCAGCATAGTAGTAGTGGCATGCAAAGTCTCCATCACCACCGCACTCTGTCCCACCCTCAATTGACCCAAGGATTCTCAATCCCTATCGGCTTTGCAGGCTTCACACCGTCATCGCCCCTCTCGCCGTCGTCTCCTGGATCGATCGCTTCCGAATCAGCGTCGATGACTGCCTCGATGCTTTCGCCCGGGCTCTTATCCCCCACGAGCGGAATTTACTCATCCGGTGGAAGTCATGCAAACCACAACCCTAACAGCGGCGGCAACAACAACAACGGTGGTGTCCACGGGATCGAGTCTTCTCTAGCCTCGTTGGCTTCGCTGTCAGTGATGTCGTCTTCGTCGTCGGTCATGCCCATGTCCATGCCCACATCGTCCCGCGGCCGGAACACATTCTCGTCGCCGCATCACAACTCTAGCCAAATGGCGACCACACCGACCACGTCGTCCTTCCAGCCTCAAAGTTTGCCGGTCATATACCAGAACCAACCGTCGGCCTTTCACAGCAGTGACGGTGGTCACAATAATGCAGGAGGCTTTATGCCGACATCCTCGGCCGCCGCTCAGTCTCCTTCCTTCAGTGCCTTTTCTTCGGCCTTGAGTCAACACTTTCAACGCCAGCAACAACAGCAGCAGCAGCAACAACAGCAACAACAGCAGCAACAGCAACAGCAACAGATGTCTTCGGCTGCCATGTCGTCTTCTCTTCCTAGCCACTCTACCTTCAACCCCTTCCAACAAGCCCAACATCAACACAACCCATCCTCCCAGCATCTTCAACAACAGCAGCAGCAGCAGCAACAACAACGACAGCAGCAGCAGCAACAGCAACAACAGCAAGAGCAACAACAACAACAGCAACATCAGCAGAGATCAAGGAGTAAGAGTCTGACCATTCCAACACCTCGCATCATCCCACCAGCCCGAGTCCTGCCCCCACGCGCACCTCAAACCTCGGCTCCTCGCAAGTACCACGGCCGCCAGACTCGCAAGGTGCCGGTGGCTCCACCGGTACCCAAGGAGGTCGTTGACCCCACGCGCCGGGTGGCCCATATCATCTCTGAACAGAAGCGTCGTGAGAAGATCAATGGTGGTTTTGATGAGCTCAAAAGTGTCATCCCAGAGTACGTTTTTTGTTTGGGCTTTGTTGTATTTTGTTTTGTCTCGTGGATGTGGATGTGGATAATCTATTCCCATGTGAATGGAACGGGAAGGGACACTCTCCTGGGTAAAGAGGGGAGAAGAAAACTCGCTGACATAATTTTATTTTCAACTGAATCATTTCTTGCCCTGTAGGTGTGCACAGAACACGGATTCGAAGGCAACCATTCTTAGAAAAGGTATTTGCCACTTTCTTATCCCTGAAAACGAACAATAACAATTGAGGACAAAGGAACAACGGCCATTGACGTACCAAAATACTGACCGGCTGTCACTCTTGTTTTACTAATAGCGACGGACTACATTTTACTGTTGGAGGAAGAGCTTCGAAAGTACACGGACATGTATCAATTGGAAGCAGGAGATCCAGAATCGTCATTGGAGGGCCATGAGCGTGAACGTTAGAAGAAGTCATCCCCCATTTCCCGTAGTGGCAATTGGCATGAACAAAGGCATTGGTATTGGCATCGGCATTGACATAACGTTTTTTTTTCCTTTCTTTTCTTTCTTTTATTTGTTTGTATGTTGAAAGATAACGGAGCGGAGGATAATTGTTTGAAATAAAACCCCTCTCATCATGTTTGTGTGTTTGAGTGGTTTTTGTCTGAACACAAAAAGAATATTCCTTATCCTAAAAAAATCAGACAGACAAAAAACGTGGCGTCAACAAAAAATAACGTCCGCCTCTTGTCGATGGATGGTCATGTTCTTGCGCTCTGTACCCTTAACAAGACTATCGTGTGATTCTCAAACCAGCATGCTCATATTTGTTGTGCTGGGATGACACTGTGTTATGAAAACGAGTAGAATGGCGAGCATATCATAGTAAGACGTGTTGACACGTTGCGAGGAAGACGTGGTCGCAGCCGTGGGTGAACGATGACCTGCCTGTGTTTCCTTTACAGCCTGTCTTTTCGCGTTGTTGGGTTCATATCTCGTTTCTTTCGCATGTATCTCCTGGACGCATGAATCCTCCTCCTCCCCTGTCTTTTTTTTCATTTCTCTTCCCCCTTACCCAATCTACATACGTTTGAAAAAACCCACATTTTGCTTGCATCCAACCACCTTCACCCCCTACCATTTCTTTTTTCCATTGCGACGCTGCTTAGTTTCCCCACTTTATGCTCACCTCTGTGTTACTCCTTTTTTAATTTTACCTTCGTCCAACTGTCCAACTTGCGGATGCTGCTCATCAATGAAGACGATGTACATGAGCATGAACTTGAAGTCCACGGTAACTTTTCCTTTCACATTCCACATTCACCGTCAAACGTGTGTTCCAAGACGGAGATATCTTTAGCTCCATACGAGCCCATCAGTTTTTTCCTTTTGCTCTTTTGTAATATCTATACAAGCAGGACAATAGACGTGGTTTTTTTCCATGGCAATGCTCTGCGGCGGATGGAAGGCTCTGTAGTCCTAGCTAGGCCTGGCTGTGCCATGCACATACACAAGCATATTGCTCGTTCTTGTATTCGCTCTCTCAAGCGTGCCTCCTCTGCTTTCTTTTGTGTGAGAGAGAAAGGATGGCAATGGAGTTGTGCCATTTCGAATCGAGTTCGTCTCTCTTTCATTCTTTTTCACCCCATCACGACTGCCTTCGCACAGCTTCTCTTCCCGTATTCCACCTCTTCACATAAAATATGAGACATCGTTCAGGCACCATCATTGAAACTAATTCTGAAGGTGATGATGATCCCCAGGAGTGTTTTGTCTTTGCTTCCCGTAAGATCATCATATATAATTACATTGGTGGGCGCCATGTTCCCACTGCTGTCCCGTTTGGCAATGCAAAGAGGCAAGGGGATATTAAGTTGTGGAAACAAAGCAAAGAAAACAGGAAGAAGCCATGGAGCAACTCATCCTGTCACATCACCTGCATCCATCCATAAGCTGGAAACTTTATCCCGCCGTCCTGTTGCATCCTGGTTTTTTTTTTTTTTTTTTTTTTTTGGGTTATCCTTCACTGTGTGTTTTGCTTACCCCTGACTCTCCGCGGGCTACCTCTCCCAATATTACTTTCATCTTATTCGTTCAATTGGCATTGCCTCTTTCTTTCTTCCCTCTCCCCTTCATCCTCTTCTTTAATCCTTCTCCCCTTCCCTTCCCTTCCTTTCCCATCCTTCATTGACGTACAGTTCTCCCCTCCCTTCAATTCTGACTGTTTCCGTCTCTCTGTATTTTTTTTGTTCAGTACGCCATCTAGGAGAGCAGACGGTAGTACCTAATCGTCTGGAAAAGGGACCAGTGCTGGTAAGAACACTACTCACTACTGAGGAAAAAAAAAGGGGGAAGGAGGATGATGAGGACGAGGAGGAGTCACGGAAGGAAAACAAGGGAAAAGGGAAGCAAGGGAGAAGGGACGAGAGAGGGAGGGAGGGAGGGAGGGAGGGAAGGGAGGGAAGGGAAGGGAAGGGAGGACAGGACGCAGCGTGTGCGTTGTGGGTTGAGTGATTCACAGTTGCACAGGAAAGCGCACCCAACAACCGCAAACTAGTATGCTGTACAAGCAAGCAATGGAAACGAACCCAATTGACCCTTGAACAACGAACAGTGCCCATTCACTCTTTTTACTTTTCTCTCTCCCTCTCTCTCCGCTTCACTTCCTCTCCCCACTCTCTCCGTCGCAGCTTCTCCCTCCCTTCTTTTTACTCACTCTTTATCTTTATCTTTTTCTTCTTTCATTACCTTACTTGCCCGGCACTGCTGTTGGACGGACCACTTTTTCTTTTTGCTGGCAAAACAGGGCTTTTGCGAAGGCACCTTCGGTCGCGCCACCACCTCTGACCAGGATAGCCAGAAGGACATTACAGACAAGGATCTTACGGACAAGAATAGAGGTCGTCCCATCCCGCCCTTGTCGCCATCCTCGTCACCTCTTCATACTACTGCCCCCCCTCCTCCTCCTTCTTCCTCCAACCCTCCACACTCTTCTTCGCCTTCGCCTTCGTCGTCGTCTTCATTTTCTCCCTCGTCTCTTTTGCCAACAACTCCTTTGGGCTTGTCAACTTCACTCTCTCCGTCTCCTACCTCTTCCTTGTCATCTTCCTCCTCTTGCTCTTCACCTTCCTCAGTCACTTTCTCTCCCGCCTCGCCGATACTGCCTTGGGCTACCACTCCCGCCCAACAAATGAAGACTCGCTCTAGGACACCCTCGCCATCCTCCTACAACAATACCCGGAACGACAACGAAGGAACTCTCGACATAGACCACAACAACAACTACACTACCACCTCTCGTCATCATTCTCATACCAGTACACCATTACCATCCATGACCGCCTTCTTGAGCCCCTTGAAATCAGGAACAGGAGGAGCAGCGCCGGCACCAGAGACAATAATAGCTGGAGATAATGTACAACCATTCAGGGAGGAGGAAGAGCAAGAAATGCAGGCGGGCATTAGCACGGGAGACGACTTGAGACTGGCCATAGGTCCCCTTGATGATGTTGCACAAGAGAAGTCGGAATCTTTATCACCGTTGTCAGAAGCAACAGCTATACCTTTATACCAAGAGACATACTATACCGTGGTATCACAACGGGACGATGGACACCTGCCAATACAGTGGGATCAGGAGCTCCAGCAACGAAATGAAGAATCGACCACCGACACAGAAGAGTACCCTTTGGCGGCCATCAAGGAACCCGTTCCAACTTCTTTCTACCCAAAAGGGTATCGTCGGCAGAAGACTGCTTCTTTGACGGGGATCCTCTCGCCTCCGACTCAATCGACAGCCTCGTCTATGGCAAATCTCAGCAACAGTTCTTCGGCCTCCATGACCACCAACTTGCTCGCTATAAAGTCCCACGTCTTTGTCCAGCAGGACCACCAGCAGCCCAGGCTCATGCCCATGGTCGTCGCGCCCATCTACCAGCTCTCGACTCCAATGTCCTCGACCAACTCTCTGTCGTCTCCCTCTCGATCTGCGTCTCCAGCACACCACCATTATCATTATCATCATCAACAACATCCCCTCGCCATGTCATCAACGCCGCTTACCGCTCAACTTGTAACAACTCTGGAGGCAACACCCACCGATAACTCTACAAGCCTGCGACTTACAATCCCTGCCACCTCTACCAAGGACGAGCTGCGACCAGGACAAGGTGGTGCTTCTGTAAAGTTTTCTATCGACAATTCACGATCAGGCAAAGGTCACTCGTCGAATTCGTCGACATGTTCGTGGACCTCTTCACTGGCACCGCCCTCTGTGGACGAAATGGATCCAGGAAAAGACCCTCACTCGACCTCACCTTCCACAGCAGCAGCTGTTCCTCCAGCACCACCGACCTCGCAGCGATCGCATCATTATCCAACACACCATCACGACCATTCTCGGTCCTCTGTCTTGGGCGACTTGAAGAACAAAACTCAAAATGTGCTCCGAAAGGCAGGCTTCTCGATCGCGCCCGATGCAGGACTGTTTGCAGATCGTGGATCGACAAAGCCGGCCGACCTCAAGGTCATTCGTCTCTTCCCTGCCTCGGCCTCCTTTTTGTCTCGTGCGAACGGCGATCGACATGGACATATCACGGATTCTAAGGATTCTTCCTCCGCCAGTACGGGTGGCGGTGCTGGTACGGCCAAGAACACGGGGTTCTTTGGAAGACCTCGGAGTCGGTCTGTTCGGGAGACGTCTAGGCCGTCACTCGAACTGAGTTCAGTTCTTTCACAGCCACAGCAACAAAAGACCTCGCAAACGACCGCAACAGCTGTCCTGACGACAAGTCCGACTTTGATCGACTACTCACCAAGTAGTCCGCCCCGACCTGCATCTACATTCTCTTCTTCTTCGATGTCTGTCTTCAAGTTTGAGCGCTGGCCACAATGGGGAGGCGGCCATCAGCGATCCAGCTCGGGACCTGCAAGACCCTCTGATTGGTCGATTCGACCCAAGAGGAGGATGACGGTCGGTCTTGAACATGCTCATATCGTCCCAAAGGGCAGCGACAGAATCTTGGACCAACACACAAGCAGCAGTAGTGTCGGTGGAGATCACCAACATGTGCGGACAGCATCTGGACCTCTGCCACCTCTGCCTCCTTTGCCGAGTAATCTGGCGCCAGTAACAATAGCAGACGAACGCGTGACGGCTGAGGAGCGGAAGAAGAAGAAGAGTCACCAGCGACGAGTGAGCGATGCGACGACTCTAACCATGGCGAGTACACGTTCTGCAGGAGCTTCTCCGCAACGCTTTCAACTACAGGGTCTCCAACAGCAATTAAACCAACCACCACCACCGCCAGGAACAGGAATGACATTGCAGCAACAAACGATTCCAGAGAAGCAGCCAACTCCACCGTCCAAGTCGATGATGGGGAACTGGTTCGGGATGGTCTCGAAGCGGAGATCGTTCCCGTCGGTTGAGGAGGAGGACCCGAAGCGACGATTTGTGTATGGAGGGCAACCTTATCATGGATTCGAGGTGTCAGGAGTGGGGTCTCAACGGAACAGCTTGATTATCCTCGATGACGGGGATGAGGATCTGGACGATCTGGACGAGGACTCGGACTTGGAGGAGGACGAGCATGCTACTGGTGTAACAGGCGAGGAAGGTGGGCGTGCGACACCTGTGGGCAGAGTGCGGAAGGAGAGACGGAGACAAGTTCTTGTGAACGACTATGGATTCATCTGTGCGCCAGATGAAAATGGCGGATGCGATGGCCAACAAGGCAATCACAACCACCTTCCCGGAGAGTTGCCGAATGGATCGATGGTCAGTGAGCTGGCGGCGAGGTTATCTGAGCCGGGGTCGTTTTTGGCAGAGCATGAGCGGAAGCGAAACTTGAAGAAACAGCACGAGTTCAACCGTGTGAGTGAAGCCAAGTGGATCCATGCCATGAACCAACTCCAGCCCGATCAAGTCAAAAAACTGACCAAGGTAAATATTTAGTTCTCTTTTTCTTTTTTTTTTTTTTTTTTTGTCTGACACGCATGTGAGCCCTGTAACGCTCACATAGATTCACTAACACAACCACAAAAACAATAGTTTAAGAAATTGGCGAGAGGAGGTGTACCGTCATCGGTCCGAGGACGCGTCTGGCAGTTCCTCGCCAATGTCGACCAGTACCGCGAACCGGGCCTCTTCCAAGACCTCCTCTCCCGGGGCCACCTCCCCATCCACGACGTGATCGCACGCGATGTCCACCGCTGCTACCCGGACCATGTCCATTTCCGAGACGGGATGGGCGGCACTGGCCAAGAGGATCTTCACTCGATCCTCAAGGCCTATGCACATTACAAACCTAGTGTGGGCTACTGTCAGGGGATGGGCCGTCTTGTCGGGATGATGTTGATGCAGATGCCTGTCGAAGAGGCCTTCTGGCTTTTGGTCGCGACCTTGGAGGATGGATATCTGAACGACTATTTCACGCCGACGCTACGACAACTCCGGATTGACGCTCTGGTGTTTGAACGACTCCTCAAGGCCCAGGACCCTCGACTGGCCCAGCACCTTGAAACCAACGACGTCTCGCCGATCATGTACATCACCCCTTGGTTCCTGACGCTCTTCACACTGTCCCTCCCATGGGCATCTGTCCTCCGTGTCTGGGATGTGTTTTATTTCGACGGGGTCAAGACGCTCTTCCGGATCGGGTTGGGGATTCTGCAGATCTGTCGATCGACGTTGTTGGAGAGCTGTCCGTCTAGTGCCGAGTGTATGGACTTCTTGCTCCATGTACCTCTTGAGAGACTGGGGCCTGAGGTGTTGCTGGACAGGACGGCGTTCCGGATTCGGTTGCGGAGGGATAGTCTTGAAAAGATGAGTGCTGTTACTGCTGGCGAGATGGATCTCAAAGAGGCTGGTGCGCGTAAATCTGCCGTTACTTCTGCCGCTTCTGGTGCTGGTACAAGAACCGGATCTTTCAGTGAGAAGCAACAATTGCAACAACAGGAAGAGGCCGAGGACAAGAAGAAGAACAAACGATCTATGATTGCCTCTCTGAGGGGAGTCAAGACAGCAACAACATCGTCCATCATCACCACTACCACGACCACTACAGCAGCTTCCAGTCCACCCACATCGGCCACCTCTGTCAGGACCACAAAGACTCATGCAACCACTTCGTCGCGAACCGACAATGTCGTCGTCGTCGTCGAACCCGCCACTACTAGTACTACAACAACCACTTCCCCAACATCAACAACAATAACCGCCATTACGACGGAATCTACAGCAGCATCCTCTGATATGAACCAAGAGGCATCATCACCTGTGGAACCCGATCACGACAATATCACTAATACTATTAATAATTCTAATATCGACTCGATCCACGACGAAGACGACACCCACAACGGCTACATCAGCAACACTAACAAGAACGGCCACAATAATGGCAATGATGTTACTTTGGAGGAGAACCAGGCAGAGTTGGAGAAACGGGTAACGACAGGGACAGGACTAGAAAGGAAGCATACACCGCCGCCACCGCCACTATTGATCCCTGTCAATACCAACAGCATGACCAGCGGCGGATCTACGATGTATTCCTCGTCGCGGCCAAACTCTCGGTCCAGTCTACGAAGTACACCTACACCTTCTCCCTCGTCACCCTCCCCCTCCCATCACTTGCTTCCTCCTCTTCCCCCTCCTCAATCACCTTCCTCGGCCTCGACCATCGTACTTTTACCCCCTATCCCCCCAACCACATTATCATCGTCTGTCAGCAACAGCAACATCAGCAACAGTGGGTTCTCACCCCTGGGAGTGTTTAGGACGCGAAAGAGGGCCGGCACATTTGTGTAAGAATAGATTCCCTTTCCCTCCCTCGACCACCTCCCCCATCCCTCTCTCTCTCCTTCTCCTCCCCCACCCCTTTTTTTGGACAAAGAAGAAACAGCTCGAAGAACGAACAGAATCGTCGAGTGAATGAAAAAGCTTAATCTTGCATGACCACAGTAATAAAGCGTGATGTTTTGCTTTGTTGTTTTTGTTCTGTTTTCTTTGGCTATAGCTTTTTGCTAACGTGTAAGCGTGTGAATATAAGCGAAAGGAGTTGGAAGGTATTATTTGTTGTTGTGTGTATATAGTGTGTAGTTGACTTGGATTGTTGCTGAAGTTGTTGAAGGTGAAGAGAGAAGAAAAAAACATTGTACGAGCGGTGAAAGAACCGTCACACATCCTTGCCAAGTTTGATCGCCAAGATGATAAAACCAAGGCCCCATATAAACAAACTCATTAAACAGGCCACACAAACCGATAATTCATAATTCGTAGCAAAAAAAAAGCCAGTCTCAATGGAACAAAACCGATCCTGTCCCCCGCAAACGAGAAAAGACTCCAATCGTTCCCCGCATGTGTGGGGCGTGCAGCAATGTACGCCTTGTGTGTGCGGGAATTTGCACAAGGAGACCCTTTTCCTCCAAGTGAAACGGAGGGCGATGAGAACTAGTAACAGTGTAAAAGCTTTTAGCCGTCAGTCCTTTACTGGACCAATGGGGCCAGAAGAAGAAAACCTGTTGACATCTTTACTTCATACTTCAATCCAAAACATAAACAACAGTGCACGAGAGGATGATATTGCAAAACGACATGACTATAGGTGGACAAGACAAGGGCATGGTGTATTATAATGTGTCTATTTTATTAATATTTACAACGAGGGAAATGGACTTAGATGCCCTTGCCACCGGTGACCTCGAGGGTATGGCCGGTAACGTAGGAGGCAAAGGGACTGCAGAGCAAGAGGACCGAGCCGGCGGCCTCCTCGACCTGACCAGCACGCTTCAAGGGGGTGTCGGCAAAAACAACAGAGGGTGGGGGAGCCTCCTTCTTGGCGCCCATGGGAATTCCGAGGGCAATCTGCTGGCCGTTAACAATCATGGTCTCACCGTTCTCCTTGGCACGGGTCAAACGGGTGTCGACATAGCCAAAGGCAACGGTGTTGCAGCGGACACCAAAAGGGCCCCACTCCTTGGCGACGGTCTTGGTCAAACCAATGATACCGGCCTTGGCGGTGGCGTAGTTGGCCTGACCAACGTTACCGTGGAGTCCAGAGGTGGAGGAGACCTGAGTAGTATGGGGCAGGAAGATCAAAGGGAATGTTAGATCGAAGCGCGTTTTGGACATGTACGAGAAAGAAGCAAAGCCGCGATGTAAATGCAATGGAGACACGAATAGAATAGATAACGTACGTTGACGATGGAGCGGGGCTCACCATCCTTGAGACGCATGTACTTGGCGGCGGCGCGGATGATGCGGAAGGGGGCAGCGTTGTGGACCTCGAGCATGAGCTGGAACTGCTTGTCGGTGGTCTTGTGGAGCATGCCGTCGAAGGTGAATCCGGCGTTGTTGACAATGATGTTGATCTTTCCGAAGGCCCTATAAGTTTTTGATGATCGATCCAATTGGAAAAGGTGGTTTGGGTTAGGACCAACAAATAAGACGGAAGGTAACTAAAAAGCACAGCACCGGATCAGAAACAAAAGCTAAGCGATTCGTACTTGATGGTCTCCTCGATCAAACGCTCGGGGAAGGTAAGGTCGGTGACATCGCCAGAGACGACGATGGCCTTTCCACCGGCCTGGATGATCTGGTTGGCAATATCCTTGCCCTTGGCTACAATGGACCATCAAAGGGGAGAGGAATGATATATGTCAGATCAAAAAAGTCAGTAACTCTCGTGATAATAGTGAACAGGAATACGGTTTTGCAATTGATCGGGTGTATTTCGGACTTACTGTCATCGAGATCGCTGACGACGACGGAGGCACCCTCCTTGGCGAAGAGAAGAGCGGTGGCACCACCGATGCCCTGACTAGAAGGATCATATGTAGCATGGAATTAAAAATATTTGTTAGTCGGACAAGTCGTGTGTGTATGTGTGTGTGTGTGCGTGGGAGAGTAGTAAGTGTGTATCGACCGATCCTGTGAGAACACATACCCGGCACCGGTGACGATGGCAACCTGGCCGGCCAAGAGACCGGCGGGGTGCGAGGCACTGCTGGAGAGGTGGTTCATGATGACCGAGACACGGTTAGCGGCGATGGCAGACATTGCGAGATGTGAAAGTGAGTTTGTGGAATGAGAGGGGAGAGAGTGATGAGTTGAATTGGAAAAAAAAAAAAAGAAGCGAGACCGAAAAGGAGGGGGTGTCCTTTTTATTTGCCCGTAGCGGTGAAGAATAATGACCGTTCGATCGGTGAAGGAGGGGAGTTGAGTCCGGGGACAATGTTGCAATTGAACCTTGGATGATCATTATCCGTTGATATGCTATCCACCCGTGCCCTGCGCCTTGTGGGATGCCAATGCCTTCCCTCCTTTTGTCGAGTAGGAGTCGAGTCCTCCGTTTCTGGAATGGACACACACCAAGCAAGGCCGTCCATACCTTTTTTTTACTCTTCCTCTTCTTTCTTCCCCACATGAAAATTGTGAAATTTTCCCTCCGTTCTCTCGCTGATCCAGTTGGATTCGAGCCCGACCAATACCCCTCTGCCCTCTCCATCACCCACGCCGGTGAACCAGCTTCTTCTTCGCCCGCTAAGACTCCCATTCATTTTCTCCTCTCTTTCTCACCCCACCCCACCTCGGCCTCATTTCATCCGGACACAGGGCTACTCTCGATCTTTCTCTTCCTCTCTCTCGGCTTCTCTCCTTTGCTTTAGTAGCCTTTGTCCTCACGTCAACAGTTAACAGACAATTGAACAATAGTATGTCAAGTATAGTGGAAGTATATTACATAGGAAGGGGCTTGCTTTTCAATTCTCTATCGTGCCCTTCAGTCTTTAACGCGGGGGTAGTTGAAGCTCCGTCATACATACAAAATGTATGCATGCATGCTTTGACAAATACAAGACACGTTTTTCGTTATTCGTTCTTTGTTCTTCGTTCTTCGTCTTGCATTTAAGCAGAGGCAGCATCACGCTCGGTCAACAGGTCCTGGATATGCTTGGTACGGAAGTAACGGTTCATGGTCTCTTGGGACAAGAACTTGGCGCCCTGGATGTTCTTGACGCACTGGTCGGCGCCGCACCAGCAGGGGAAGGGCTGGTCCATCTCCCATTCGCTCGAGGGGTAGAAGAAAGTCAAGTTGTCGCCTTTTGGTTTTGAAATGTAGAGACAGAAAGAAGAAGGTTGGTTAATCCTCATGAGGTATAATGAGGACCACTTCACAAGAAATAGAAGACACGACGACAAGGTGCAGAGAAGTGAAATCTTAAATTAAAGCAACATACCCTCCTTAAGGTCAACGACGGCGACGACAGTCAAGGTGTCGGTGTCGAGGGAAACGGTGGGGTTGCAGGAGTGGTTCATGAACACGACTATGTTATGAAGCAGTTAACAAGATTGTTGTTGTTAATAACGGTGTTCTGCCATGATATGATTAGATCTGATAGAAGAGTGTTTTGGATGTGTAATAACAACTGATCTGATGGAGCCGCCTTCCCCTTTTAGTCTAATCCGAGGTCGACCGTTGTTGTTGTTGATCGTTCCTGACAAAACAACATACAACAATAAATTCGTTCATTGGCATGTGGGTCTTGGCTTCTTCTTTGAACAAAAAGATCCGGATCGGCTTATTGTCTCCTCCTTGCCTTAGCTTGCATCCACCTCTCTTCCTGTCCGGATGACCATCTTCTGCTGTTCATTACACCCATCGGTGTCGGTCTTGGTGTCTTCGGCCTCGATCGTACATCATCAATTATCCCTTGTTGTCTTCCTTGCTCCTTCGTTCCTTTGATTCCTTGTCCCTTGCAGTCATGTTCATCCTCCTGCTGTAAACTGCAATATTCAACGATTCTTCGATCCTGACAGGGAAGGAAAAAAAAACTAAACTACAACAACGAAGAAACCACGAACAATAAATAGAGAAAGAGAGACATACGATCAGAGTTGAGCTCAATGTGAGAATCCTTGCCGGTCTGGACACTGGTATATTTCTTGGGGCCGGGGGTGATTCCTTCGACAGGGCAGATGATCTCGCCCTTGGCATAGGCCTTGCAGGCGATCAACTTGGAGTTGTAGTCGCCCTCGGCATAGACGACCTCAAAGAGGCCGGGGTGGGTGGGCTTGTAGGCCTGCTTGACGGCGGCAGCATCGGTGATCTTCTCGACCTTGGTGTATGTGACAGGCATCTTTGTTGATTTGTGAGTGGTTGCTGGTTGGGGAATTGAGAGGGTGGAAAGAGTATGCGATGTGTTGTTGTTGTTGGATGAAGAAGAGAGAAGAAAGAGAGAAAGAGAGAGAGAGAGAGAAAGGGAGAAAGAAATAGAAAAAAGTAGATAACAAGGAAATGGCCGAATGATATCAAAAAAAAAGTTGCTGGGCGACGAGCCCTTCTTAACAGCCCCAATTGGCTATTTTGTGTCCAAAGTTCCAAGTGTAGAGAAACGCCACCAGAGCCTCGGTCTCGGTCAAAATGGAGTGTCCATGTCGTCCGTACGTATTCCCCGCCAATTTCCTTGTGGTCGCGGTTGGGGCGGCAAATGGAATTTTGCGGGAAGTTATTCAGTCTAATAGGAACGGTGGTACATGGACTGAACGAATTCAACTTATGCGGAGTTGCACCATCGGTTAATAATCGTCAACTGGGAAAAAAGACATAAACGGATTTATGACGATTCGTTTTTCTTCTATTCTGTTCTTTTCTTTCATTCAAGTCTCGTAGACACAAGTAGACGCGAGGCAGGTAGTAGATATAGAGATACAACGAAGGAACGACACGTCCCTGGTTGAATCCATTATCAGATGCGAACCCCTACCTTCACCTCGTTGCCCCTTTCTTTGTGTCAAAGTGACACCGTCGTGTATTGATCGATTAAACGATTGAGTTATCTCTCCCTCTTAAGTGTTGCCCACTTTCTCCCTTGAACCATTCATTTCATGCCTATAGAGTCTGCCTTGACCTTGGGCGTGGCGACAGCTAGGAAGAACACCGTGATAGATCCTAGGCTCGATTCTGCCTCCTAGAATAGTTAGTATGAGGTTTGCCTCAACCCTTCTCAGGCCCCTTGAGCCTTTGAACTATTTCCCTTACCACCGATCGTACTACGATCGATAAGGCTCAGTCCGACCGGATTTTATTTCTACCTCAATTGCTACCTACCTTTTCCAAGAACTCTCTACGTTTCTCTTTCTCTCCTTTTCTATACTTTGTCTGCCCGTCCCCTTCTGATAGACAATTCATCGACAATCCGCGTTTCCTTTTCTAGCTCTCACCGTCCGCCTTTTCTCCTCTCTTCCTCCATCCCCTTTCATCCACACATATCCATCATCCACCTCATCTCATCGTTAGAGCGAGAGAGCGAGAGTAGACAGTGAGAGTAAACGAGAGAGTACACGCACCGAGAAAAAGTTCTCAACATGAAGTCCTTTTCGCGGCGTTTAGCTACCTTGGTAGCTATCGACAGCGTTACTTGCCTTGTCTCAATGCGCTCTGTCCTCGGACGGGAAGCCTCAGACGCAGTTAACCCATCCAGCCAAGAATACGAGGCTCTTACCAACGGTCATAAGAAGTACCACCATCACCATCACGGCGGTCATCCCCAACATGATCATCATCACCATGGCGGTCAACACCACCACAAACACCATGGAAAGCACCACCATGGCAAGCCCCATCATGGCAAACACTACCACAAGAAGCCTCACAAGAAGCCCCACCATCACAAACCCCCAAAGGTGGAGATCGGTACGTAGATCTTTCCCTGTCCTCATTCCTCTACCACTAAACTCCCGAGTGTACGTGCGTCAAATGACGACTAAACTTAATTTCGCGCTAACTGTTGACCTAACGCGTATCGTTTATTTTCTCCTGGATCGATCCCCCATAAAATAGCCAAGAAGATCTACCTTGTCTGCGATGGCTTTATTATCGACAAGATCGCCTGTCCTCGGAAGACCCATCCCATCATAATGTTCAATGCTACGCCTACCTGCCATTCATCAAGGCTCTCGACCAGATCAAAATCGACATGTTGGCGAATGCTGAGAAACCCGAGGCGCTGAGTCTTGAGGCGGGTACGTTCAAGAACACGATTATCGGAATGGGAAGGGTCATGGTCAACATCCAGCCACTCTTCCCCGCCAACAGCAAGGGCGTGTCTCTGCCTCTGATCCAGGATATGCGAGTCTTGATCCCTCTGATCGACGCTGTGATTTCCTGTGCCGGAGACAGCGGTGCCGACTGCTCTGGAATCACCCAGCTGATGAATGACTTCAACGACGAGATCACCATGTATTTGACCGAGCTTGCGGCGACTTCAGGAGCTGACGCCGCCGCGGTCCAGAACGTGATAACGGGGATCAACAGTGTCACATCGATCATTGACGATGTCTTCAAGACCCGCGAAGATACGACACTGCCAGATGCCGGAAAACTCCTCAACGGAATCATCGGAACCCTCAGCGGAAACTCCAAGATCTTCAAGCAGGCGTCTCTCCCCGTCAACATGTACTACGAGGCTGCCAAGGAGGTCCTGAGATGTGAAGGTATGGATGTCAGTTTTTCAGATTGATTCTGTAAGGTGTTTGGGATTTGACGCGTAAAGCATTTGCCTTTCCAACGGCGAGTCTAACCGTTATTGTCTTGTTGTTTTTTTCTCGCTTTTCTTTTACCTTCAAACGTCGCATCACTAGGCTTCGACATCACGATGTTCGCGGGCAAGTGCTCGGCCTATGGTGATCGTTTGCAAGGAATCCTAACTAACGTCATTGAGTGGATCCAAACCACTCTCAACAACATTCCTCTCATTGGACCCATTTTCACCACTCTGACCCTGGAAGCCCTCAAGCAGGTCGTGATTACTTTGCAGAACGGAGGAGGAGAGGCTGTTGGCGGGGTCATTGGAATGGTCGTCGGTATCATCCACATGTTTGGACTCGTCCTGGATGCTGACAACACTGGTGATCCCCAGACGGACGCCATCCTCGCCTTCTTGGGCATTGCCGATGTTGCGGGAGACTGCGGTGGGCGGAAAGGCCAAGCGCATGGGTGCTATCGAAATTGCGAAGATCCTACTCCAGACCTTGGATCAACTACATCCTCGGTAACATTCCTTTTGGCCTTGGAGGTATGATTACCCCCCATCACCAACGGTATCCTTGACGCAATAGCGAACGGCCTTAATACCGGCACATCGGCGGGCTATCACTCTTGTCACTACTACCCTCAAGGGCGCGGCCAGTGTTATCAACTTTTGTCTTCCCCGGCCTCTTTACGAATGTCCTCAACACCTTCATTACCGGCCTTGAGGACATTGCCAGGTGTTTTGGCGACCTTTGGAGACGCGGACGATGCGGACACCCCACCAACGCAGTCGTTGATGTCTGGCGTAAGTTATCTTCACTTTCACTTTTGTTTCTTTTTTGGAATGATGCGGCATTGCTCTCATAAGGGAACCCCAACCATTAATCACGCTTCATTATCCGTTTGCATTGTTCTTTCTTATACGTGAAGACCCTCACCTTCTTCTAATCGACAAGAATGCGTAGCGACCGAGACTCGACAGAACCAACAAACAAACAAAAACCAACAAAAAAAAAACGACGAATGACAACGACGATCCGCCAGCAAATATACACGAGATAGTAGTTTATGTTTACTTTTGAAAACATTCAACCCAGGCGCAGGGATGCGAAGGCAAAACATCTTCGAGCAAAGTTGTACTGTACATATCCAACGACGAGGACACATTTTTCCTCAGAGTCCGATGCGCAGACGAGCGCCTTGTAACATACACCTTTTTGAACATGTTCTGCTTTTTGAGTGTAGTGAAAGGAAAAGGAAAAGGAAATAAACAGAAAATCAAACATGCAGTCTAGACGGGCCAAGTACTCCCGAAGGACAACAAAAAGGAGACAAAGGACTTTGAAGAAAGAAAGCAAGATTGTATTTTGAGAATGAAAGAAAACGAAGACAAAAGGGGAAAAAAAAAAGTAAGCAGGAAACGCGAAGAGCTAACTAGATCGAGTTGCGTCGGATACGTTTGCCACGACGACTCTTGGCACTCTCCTTCTCGGCCAGTAAGTCGCCCAGCCGACCTTCCTTGCTCCACTTCTCCAGCATCTCCTTTCCATACTCATAGCCAACCTCGCAGATCTCCAAAAACCGTCCAAACTCCAACGTCCCAAAGTCCTGGACGGGGGGCTTAAAGTAAAAGAACTGTCCGGGGGTCGCCTTGGCCGCCTCCAACTGCTTGACGCTCGACACATACGCCAGTCTCGACTGCAGATCGGCCAAGTTGGGAATGTTCTGGTACACATTCGAGAAGGGGTTCCATCGGTTCAAGAGGACAAGCCATCCCGAAAGACTGTCGCCATAATTGTGAAGCGACGTGTCCTCGTCACTTCCGACATCGACCGCGAAGATGGTGTTGGCGCCCAGGGACTTCATGAACTCGACTGGCAGGTTGTCCATGTACCCTCCATCGACCAACATGTGTCCGTTATCGCACAGCGGTGGCAAGAAACCGGACAAGGACATCGACGCACGGATGTAACGCCACGCGTATCCGGACTGGTGCATCTCCATCCTCGAGAACGTAATGTTGGTGGTGTTGCAGTAATACGACAACCAAAAGTCCTGGATCTGGGTGTCGCTGAAGCACTTCCAGATACCGCGGTTGAAGGCATGTCCTGTCGTCCACGAAGTCACCGGGTACGTGAAATCGGCCACCATACGCCACTTGGCCGCCATTCGCCCCGCAAACATCTTGGCGCGTCCAAAGATGGCCACATTGTCCGACTCGCGCGCATAGAGACCTCCAATGAAGGCGCCCATACTGGTGCCGCCCACGATATCGATCGGAATGCCAGCCTCCTCCAGTGCCTTGATAACACCGATATGGGCGATTCCACGAGCACCGCCTCCACCCAAGACCAAGCCGACAGTCTGTCCAGTCAATCGTCGAGCCAACCGGGCAAAGTCACTCCTGTTCCCCTTAAATGCAGGACTCTTTTGAGAGTTGTTGTGTCGAATGTTGGTGTAAAACTTTTCCAGGTGGTCTTTGATATTCATGATGGTCTTTTTCCTGGCCTGGTCGCTCAACATGGTCGGACCCTTGTACGGCATCTGGATGTGATGGTGCGCATGGACCCACACTCTGGACTTCAACCACGCCGCCGTCGATCCAGGAGCACAGTGTCGATTCGCGTGCAGCAGAACCAACTCCTTGCGCGCCGTCGTCTTCATGCTGACAAGGAGTCGCTCGTAGTCGCCCACCGCAGGATCCTCGTCACCGTGGCCGATGAGCAAAATACAATCAGCCTGTCGAATACAGGTCTGAGTCCAAGGGGATGTGAGGCCACCGTCAGCGAGATAGAGAACAATCTGTGCCTGCTCCTCCTGTTCGTTCAGCCAATTGTCCAGTTTAAGCTTTCCAATCTTGGTGAACGCGTGCTTGCCAAGGAGACCCATCACCGTGCTGTGGTTTAGCAGGGTAGCAGTTGAACCAATCCCAACCAGCGCAGAGCGAAGACGGTCTGCAAACTCGGCCACAGGAACACTTGAGGAAACGGGCATGATTCCGATGGTCCTGAGGTTGGAGTTGTTGATAGCTGAGTCGGGCGTGACGCCAGCAGCTTTGATGTTGGAGCCCATCTTCAAAGCGTCGCTAGCTCTTTGAGCAATCAGTCTCGAAATGCGAATAGTGATTTCTGGGTGTCGCTGTGCCAACGCGTTGAAGAGCGACTTTGGCATCCTCGCCACCTCCGTGTCTCGAATGGCGTGCAGAGTCGAAGGGAACGGTGTGCCCATCAAAACCTCCATCTCTCCGACTGACTCACCCTGACTGAACTCGCCCAGGATCTCGATCTTGCCTGGCTCCTTCTCCAGGATCGTACGCAGTCGTCCGTTCAAAACAATGTAGATTGAGTCGCAGTCGTCGCCCTGTCGATGAAGCACCTGGCTGGCGTTGATTTGCATCCATTCCATCGCGTAGTCCAGATGGAGTACTAATAAGTAAATAGTGAATAGGTAAATCGAAAATGTCAGTACAATGATTGAGAATTCGCCATGCCTATTACTTGTCAAGACATACCGATGGGAGAGACCAAGGTGATGAGTCGCTTGGCAAGCGTCAAGAGAACGGTTGGGTTACGCTCCATGACGCGATCAAGGGCAGCCTTGGACAGATAGCCGACATAAGCGTTGGTGTGTGCACTGACTGTCACAAAAGACGGGTACCCAGATAGGGCCGAAAGGTACCCCGCCAGCCCTCCTGCCTGGATCGAGAACAGTGGGTGCGCTCGCTTTTTGTGAATGGATCCGCTGTTAGGCAGGGTGATATTTGGTTTTGTCGTAGTAAGGTTTGCCTTGAGATCCAAGGAAGAGAGGTGAGGTCCAAACATGTTCGTAGGCCAATCCGACTTCGTCTTCTCCTGCTTAGTTTGCTGCATGGGCGATATCGAGACATCCAAGACTCCGTCAATGACAAAGAACAGTCCTGCGTTTCGCTCGCCTTCCTCGACCAAGGTTGCTCCTGCTGGGAAGTACATTATCTCGACATCGTTCTCCATCTCGCTCATGACCGACGGGACAGTCGAGGACGGATTGGAGGTGTTCAAATCATCCATGCCCATGCTGGCCGTATCCGAGTTGGTCGAAGATCCGGTCTTGCGCATCGGGTAACCTCCAAGCCCACTCGAGCCCGTCATGTTTGCCTGGAACATGGCTGAAAAATAGTCCGAGCTTCCGGTCGTCTTCAAGTCTGGTCGCACATTAGGCTTTGAGGGAGGAGACTGCACAAGACCGATGCTTCTTGAGAGGCATTCCATGACTTGATCCCGCAAATAGCTGTCCTCTTCTTCGTTGTCGCCCATCAAGGCACTGAATCCAGACCCATGACGGACGTGTTCGCTGCTGTCGATAACAGGCGACATTGGGTTGGGGCTGTTGCTCGCCGACCTTCCGTCCATGCCCTTTGTACCCTAAAACCACCACAATGTGAATTAAGTTATTAGCGATTTATTCCACAAACTCAAGAAACAGAACTTAAATCAACACGTATTCTTCTTACCAGGCGACTAGCACGCTTGCGCGAATTCCTCATACGGATGGCGATAGGATGGTCATCGTCACTCTCATCCCGAACGGCGCTGAACTTTGTTTTGAGGTACTCCATCGTCCGGGGTCGGAAGAAATTTGGTGGCAAACCGTAGCTCCCGATCTCGTTGATGCTACGCTCCATCCGCAAAAGGTCCTTGGTCAGACCGAGATACTTGTGTCCCGTGAGCAGGGTCACTCGTTGGAACCGTATCAGAATGACCTGCACAATATGTGCGGCTGCCTGAGGGAACTTTTGTGTCAGACGATGGAAGGCCTCTGCTGGGATGACAGCGAGTGTGGTATCGACCATAGCCTTGGCAACAATCACACGGCGTTTCATCTTGGGAGACTCATAGCTCGGAGAGGGAGTACGGGATGGTTGCTGTTGCTGTTGCTGCTGTCGTTGATATTGCTCTTGTGTCAACGCTGGTGGGTACTCTGAGTCCTCAAAGCCATGAATGTCCGACTGGCGAGGGGTCATGTCTAGACCGTCGGACGAGTCTGCCACGGGGGTGCCATCGTCCTCGAAGAGCGCCATGTGATCCGGATTGGAGAGTGGACTGGTCGGGGTGTGGATGGCCGCCTTGGTTCGAAGTCCGTGTCCGTGAGAAGCAGAGGAATGCTTCTTTTTCCCAGAAGAGAAAGGGGGTGGTGAGAGCGACGAGCTGCCCTCGTGCTTCTTGTGCTGGTCGGATTGGGCCGAGGTCATTGTCGGACTGGTAGGATCCTCACCATCGTTGTTGTTGTTGCTATTGCTGTTGTTGTTAAGGTTGGTGCTGCTGTTCTGCCTGCTCCTTGGGTCGGACCTCTTGAATTCCTTCAAGGGCTCATCCTCGTGGCGTAATTTAACATTTTCCGTAAATAGCGACAGGATCGTAAACAGACTGCTGAGCGTGCCTCCGTTTTTGACCTCGTTTAAGAGTTGATATCCATGATCTGGGTCGTCCCAAGAAGTCGAGTCGAGTGTTTCATCCTCGTCATACCCGTCCTCCTCGCCCTTGACCACCTGCTCATACACCTGAACACAGCCATCGACGACAATGTAAAACGACTTTTCAAGATCCGGGTTCTGCAGGATGGTGTCGCCAGCGGGCAAACGACGCGTCTGGAGGTGTCGAGCCAATTCGTGGAAGACGGGTTGTTCGAGGTAGCCAAAGATTTTGATGCTGGAGAGAAAGGCGCTGAGGAATTCATCCGGATAGCCCAGATCTTCCTTCTCCTCCTGGGGGCTCTTGAAGGGGTTGTCGGGATGCAAATCGAACGAAGAACCGTGCTTTCCTTGGCCCGTTTTTGGGAGGCGAGAGTACTTTGTGAGGACGCGGTACCGGATCACTGCCCAGGCGAAGAAGCATACAAAGGCAACACCAATGAGCAAGGTGGTGAAGGTGAGGTGGAGTGTGAAGGACCACGACAAGAGGCGGTAAAGTGCTGTGGGAAGAGTCATTGTCGTGAAGGTCAACATGGTGACCGAGAAGGAAAAGAGCGACCGGATAGCGCCTAAGGAGGTGACAGGTTGTTCGGCGTCGTGGATGGAATCATGGTGGAAATGGCGGTGGTGCGATGGTTGATAGGGTTCTTTTTGCTGTTGCTGTTGTTGCTGATCATCCTGGTGGGTATTGATATGGATATTGCCGTCATGAGCGAGCTTTGGATCCAGAGGTGGCTCCGCGGCCGAGGCAGCAGCGGCAGTGAGGGCTGCAATAGCAGAGGTGGCAGCTGATGCGAATGCTATTGTTGTTGTTGTGGGTGAGGGAGCTAGAGAGATTAAGGAGGAGGAGGAGGAGGAGGAGGAGGAGGAAGTTGTCACTGCGTTAGCAGCAGCAGAGACAGCAGCAGAGGCTGTGGAGAAGACAGCAGTGGCGGCTGTGGAGAGGAGCGACGCCGCGGCAAGGAGTGAGTCTGGAGCGTTGTTGTCGACCAGAAGCGACATTGTGAAGGGAGTTGGTTTGTTTTAGAGTGAGTGGATGTGAATGCAATGGCCGTGGAATGGGTGATCTCGTGGAGAGAATGAGAGAGGAGAAAAAGGGGGATGGAGGAGAGAAATTGGAGAACAAGAACAAGAAGCAGAAGAAGAAGTAAGAAGAAAAAGTAAGAAGAGAGCACGAAGGAAACAAAGGCGTTTTATTTGAAGTATCACGGTCATCATGGATTACATACGTTTTGCATCGTTCTCACTCTTCCTCGTTTTTTCCCTCACTTCCGTGCTTGTTGGCCTGATCTTCTTTCTTTCTCCTCATCTGGCCAGATAGATCACACACACAGCACACAGACGCAATGAATGACCACAAGGTGACGACATTCAATGGTGCCTGAGCTTATGGTTTCACAAGAAAACCTTTTTCCTGCTCCCTCCTTTCCTTCTTTTCTCTTCCTTTCTTTTCTTTTTTTTACAATTGGTAATGATGTTTAATGTGTGTAGTGAATCTTCTCTTTTCTTTTCTTCAAAGCAAAAAATAAAAAAAAGGCGGGCTTAATCGCGAACAAGGGTAAGGTTGAAGGTCGAACCGTTGACCTCCTGGGCCTCCTCAATAACAACCGCATCCGCCCCCTTCTTGGCGGCAATAGGCTCCAACGACCGCTTCAATGCACGGACAAGCGTCTCATCCTGCTCCTTGATCACCTGCTCCAGTGCATTGTTGAGGTCCTGAGTAAACTCATAGTACATGTGGATCATATCCGTAGGCTCCAAACCAGCCTTCTTGCGCAAACGCTGCACGCGGTTAATGATCTCACGCGCCAATCCCTCCTGCTCCAGCTCGGGGTAACGCTTCACATCCAACAGAATCAACACATCCTTGTCAGAGTTGGTCTCCAAGCTGTTCTCGGACGACTCAAAGAACCGGACAACAGTCAAATCCTCCTCGCTCAAGTTATGGCCCTCGATGGTGATCGCCTTGTTGCGGATAAAGTCCTTGATCTGCTCCTCGCTCAACTTGGGCAAAGCGTTCTTGACCTTGACGGCATCCTTCTTCAGCTTGGCTCCCAACGAACGGAAATCGGCCTCGACCGTGTACTTGACGCCATACTGGGCCTCGTCGGACGTGACGATCAGGCTACGGACGTTGAGCTCATCGACAATGTACGACTCCAACGACTTGACATCGGCGTGGTACTGGGGGTCGGGGTGGATGACAACCAACTCCTTCAGGGGGGTCTTCAAGCTAATGGTCTTGCGCTCACGGGTGGTACGGCCCAACTCAATGACGGCCTGCATCCTCGACATGGCGCGCTCAATATCGTCATCAAAGTATTCCTCCTTGGCCTCGGGGAAGTCCAAGAAGTGAACCGAGCGATCGTCGACAATCTTGGGGTCCTTGGGCAAGAAGGTCTTCAAGGTCTGGTACATGTTCTCGGTCAAGAAAGGAGTGAAGGGCGACATCACGCGGACCAAGGTGTAGAGGACCTCAAAGAGGGTGTTCATGGCCTGGGTGGCATCCTCAAGACCGTTCTCACCCTTCAGGCGGCGACGGTTGAAGCGGACGTACCAGTTGGTCAACTCTTCGATCAAGCGCAACAGGCGGGGCACGACGGTGTAGAGGCGGTAGTTGGTCATCTCCTCGCGGACAAACTTGATCAAGCTCTGGCAAGAGGCCAACATCCAGCGGTCCATGACGTTATCGCTCTTCTTCAAGGCGCCGTTGTACATAAAGTCGTGGTTGAACTCCTTCTTCAGCAACACAGTCTGGTTGACAAAGAACTTGTAGGCGTTGTACCAGGGCAAGAAGACCTTGGTGATGACATCCTTGACACCCTCCTCCTTGAACTTCAAGGTCTCGGCACGAACGACAGGCGAGTTGATCAGGTAGAGACGGAGGGCATCAGCACCATAGGCATCCAAGATAATGTTGGCCTCAGGGTAGTTCTTGAGGCGCTTGGACATCTTCTTGCCGTCGGAGGCGAGGACGAGACCGCTGACAATCTGGTTCTTGGCTGGGGGAGTGTCGAACAAGTGGGTCGAGAGAACCAAGAGGGTGTAGAACCATCCACGGGTCTGATCCAATCCCTCCGAGATGAAATCGGCGGGGAATCCCTTGGAAAAGGACTCCTTGTTCTCGAAGGGGTAGTGCTGCTGAGCGTAAGGCATCGATCCAGACTCGAACCAACAATCAAAGACATCCTCAACACGGCGCATGGTCTTGCCGGTCGTGGGCGACTTGAAGGTGATGTTGTCGATAAAGTGGCGATGGATGTCGGTCAACTTGCCGCATCCCGAAACCTCCTCCAGCTCGGCCAAAGAGCCAATGCAACGCATCTCGGAAAAGTCCTCGGTGGCCCAAATGGGGATGGGGGTACCCCAGTAACGGGAGCGGGAGATGTTCCAGTCGCGAGCGTTGGCGATCCAGTTGGCGAAGCGCTTCTCCTGAACGAATCCGGGAACCCAGCGAGACTGAGCGTTGTTCTTCAACATCTTGTCGACAATGGGCTGGACGCGAACGAACCAGGAGGGGAAGGCCTTGTAGATCAAGGGAGTGTCGGAACGCCAGCAGAAGGGGTAGCTATGGTTGATCTGGGTCTGGACAATCAAGCGACCCTTGCCCTTGAGGTGCTTCTGGATCAACTTGTCGGCCTCCTTGACATGCATGCCCTTGAAGTCGGTGATGACATCAAAGTACTTGCCGGATTCGTCGACGGGGCAAGGAATGTGACCATCGGCGGTAATAACGCCGTGGTTGATGCAGACACGATAATCGTCCTCACCGAAGGCGGGAGCCTGATGAACAACACCGGTACCGGCAGAATCATCAACGTACTCGTCGTTCAAGACGCGGAAACCAGTGGCCTCAAACTCCTTGTAAAAGTACTCGAAGAGGGGGACGTACTGGATACCCTTCAAGTCAGCTCCCTTCATGCGCTCGAGAATCTTGATCTTGGCCTTGGAGGGGTCCTTGTAGAGGATCGAGAGGCGCTTCTCGAGCATGATGTAGGTGTTGCCAGAGGCCTCGTCCAAGAACTTGATAAAGTCGTGGGTGGGGTTGACGCAGAGAGCCAAGTTGGAGGGCAAGGTCCAGGGGGTAGTTGTCCAGGCCAAGAAGGAGACGGAGGGATCGTTCAAGAGGGGGAAGGAGACGACGACGGAGGGGTCGCTGACGTCCTTGTAGTTCTGCTGAGCCTCAAAGTTGGAGACGGGGGTGCTGCAGGCGGTCGAGAAGGGCATGACACGGACACCACGGTAAACCTGGCCCTTGTCGAAGAGGGTCTTGAAGACCCACCAGACGGACTCCATGAACTCGACATTCAAGGTCTTGTAGTCGTTGTCGAAATCGATCCAGCGTCCAGCACGCTCAACGGTCTGGCGCCATTCCTTGGCGTAACGCATGACAATGCTGCGGCACTCCTCGTTGTACTTGTCGATACCCATGGCCAAAACATCGGCCTTTCCAGTGATGCCGAGGGCCTTGTCAACCTCGTACTCAACAGGCAAACCATGGCAATCCCAACCGAAACGACGCTCGACGCTGTGTCCAGTGCTGTGGGCGAAACGAGTGACGATATCCTACGAGATAGTATTGTTCAATTGTCCAATGGCGGGTTAGGAGCAAGATCCGGAATGCACTGAACGAGAGAAGCTCCTGTTGACGCCTGCTGCCAACCTTACCTTGATGGTACCGGCAAGCAAATGTCCGTAATGGGGAAGACCGGTGGCGAATGGAGGTCCGTCAAAGAAGGCAAAAGGCTCCTTGTCCTTATTAAGTTCCTGGGAGCGCTTGAACTACAGAGGGGGGCCAGATATAAGAATGCATTCACACGCGATGAGTAAGCTTTGCTGGAAGGGATGTTCCTGCGCAACAAGAAGGAAAACGATTTTTCTTGTCGGAAAAGCTCATGAAAACTTACGGCGTCAATCTCGCGCCAGAACTGGAGAATCTTTTCTTCCTCCTTGGGGAAGTTGAACTGAGCGGATCCTACAGGTCATGAGGGAGAGAAGAATGAATTAGTTTGCTGTAAAGACATGGCACTTGTGGGGTTGATGCAGCGAGGTCAATGTCTGCTCTTGCGAAGTGAGCCTTGAAGCTCAGTCTGTCTTCACACTCCGGATCCTGTTGTGTACTTTATGTCTGTGTTCGTTTGTTGGTAATCATTTGGCCATTATAGATGTCGTGCGTGCGTGTTTATGCTGGCTGTTGTTGACTGACTGGCTGACTCACTGACTGACTGACTGCATGGTTGCTGGTGCTGGTGGAGGCGTTGAGTGCTTACCGTCAGCCATAATGTCGAATATGATGCAGAAAGGAGAGAGTACTGAAGCCGACTGACCTTGCGTGCGTGGTTCTCTCTTTATTCACTTTGTTGTCGGTGGCTTGGATGACTCAACATATCTTAATCCACGCCGCCTGATTGGCTGGTCTCTTCCTCCTTTCCCACCCACATCAAATAAGTACAGTAGCAAACAGCGGGGAATGGGGAACGGTGATTGGGAAGGACGCGCCCATAGGAAAACCTATTCTTGCTTAGCAACTGCTTGAAGCTTCCTATCGTTGCTAAATACTGAGGCAGACATCCTTATGTCGGCTCCAACGGCCTGAGAGGACTCATTACCATGTCTCCTATGCTAAAAACTGACGATGGATATCCGAGATCACGCAATACTCCTGCCTTTGTTGAGATGATTGCAGGTTATTGTCTGTTGTGTCAATTTAGAAGGCTTGTCGGAAGAGAACAGATAGACTGGCACGATGATAAGACCATCATCACACTCAGTCGTCTTTTTTTCTAAAGTCAAAGTAGGTACATGTTCGATCAATGCAGTTGCGAATAACTTGCCAGAGTGTTGTCAACGTATAAAAAGTTCGCTAATAGTCTCTGTGAATATGTAGCTATGAGTGAATGATAGATACATAGCAAAGTACCAGTGTGATCGCCAATTGATAATGATAGGTCGATAGTGTATGTGTTGAAGGATAGCCTGTTTATGAAGGAAGTGGAAGGAGCGGTATTATTGATGATACAGAAATAGGCATGAAATTGCAATGCATGCATACCGCTTCATGAAATGAAATAATGCGGTCCATGTTAACGTTATTTAACACCATCATGTGTTTTCACTTCCCTGTTCCTATTGCGACCCAGTTGTTGATCCTCATGGGGATGGTATCAGTGATATCGCACTGATGGTGCCTGGATGGAACTCTTAATTAAGCAGTCCTACTGTTGTTTACTAAGAGCCTCGTTTTTTTTCTTTTTTTTTTTTTTTTCCATCTCTCCTGCGGTGTTTGAAAGAACAAAAAAAAAAAAAAAGGAGAAAAGTCCGTTCACCTTCGGTCATTCAGCCTATCAGCCTATCAGCCTCCAGGCCACTTAAGCTGGCCATGGCCTTGGTGGTCCCAACCACACCCCCATAAAAAAAACTTCTCATCATTCCTTCCTTTGTTCTCTCTCTCTTCCTCTTCCCATTCTTCATCCCCCATCTCATTACCTTCCCCCCCTCCCCACTCTCTTCCTCTCTCCCGACCTCCTTTTTGGCCTACTCCCCGCCAATAATAATACTTTTGCTTGAACCGCTGTAACAACAACGACCTTAAGCAACTGCACTTCCTCTCTCTTCGTCTTCCTCCTCTCACACCCCCCACATACATATATATTATGCCTTCTGTTGAGATGCAAAGCGGTGCCGCGGCCGAGATGAACGAGCTCACCGAGATGCTCTCCCAGCTCTACACCGCCTCCACTTCCGAAGAATGCGATGCTATCGCCAGGCACATGGCCGCCCGTGTCCAAAAGGAGGGTCTCATCACCCTCAAGACCAGCGACATCCTTACCAACCTCGAGGCCGAGTGCAAGAACAAGAAGTCCGGTCTTGCCCGTGAGGGTGCCCTGATCGGTATCTGTGCCCTTGCTGATGTCCTTGGCCGCCCCTCGGAGCCCTTCTTGATGCCCCTCTTGCCCCTGATCCTCGATCTCTATGCTGACAAGGGCCCCGTCGTTCAGGATGCTGCCTCCAGAGCCGCTTTGGCCATCATGGCCAACATGCCCTCGCAGTCTGCCCCCATTGTCTTGCCCATTCTCTTCCAGAGCATCGGTGGTCCCGGCAAGAAGTGGCAGACCAAGGTCGGCGCTCTCCAGATCCTTGCCGATCTCTCAAACTCCTCGCCCATCCAAGTCGGTATCGCCCTTCCCGAGATCATTCCCATTGTCAAGGACTGCCTCTCTGATACCAAGAAGGAGGTAAATATTTTTTTCTTTGCTCATTGTTATTATTCTCAAACGGAGATAGTGTTTTTCTTGTGAGCTACTCCGCCTATTTTCACTTTCTCCCGTTTGTCTCGCACATGTGAAGGGATCGGGATTTTTCATTGGAAGTACAAAGAAGCGCAGAACAAAAGGAATGCTGGTTGCATGTGTGTCCGCATCATTTTTTTGTTTTATATTCCTGTCCCCCCTTTTTTCCTTGCAAAGTTATATCACCCCCAACTGTCTGTGCTCTATTTCTATATCGCATCATGTCTGTGCCCCTTCCCTCTTCCCTTTGTCTCGCTTTCATATCGGTGGTTTTTTGTTCCTTGCCCCCTTCCCCCTTGTACGATAACGCAAAGAGGGGGAAAAAAGAATTCTGCGCCAATATCTTTGCCCACGAGTTAGCGAGCAATGGACCTGATTCGACATAAACACAGGATTAAGAAGCGGACAATCAGCCAACAGGAGCAAGGGCATAGGAACGAGGCATAAGGAAGGAGGGCACCTCCACACACAAGGCAGCAAAAGAAAAGAAAAAAAGAGAGAAAGGTGTGGCTGACTTTGATTCTTAATCCGGCTTTTTTGTTTGCGACCGATAAGAGAAAGAGGGAATTCTTTTGGACTATCTGCCTCTAGACCTTCTCCAAGGGGTTCTACATTAAATTCAGTATCCAATTGCCCGCTGCAGGAGTGATTGGCAATGACGATGACGGAAAGAAAGAATCCTGTCCCGCTAAACATATGCATCTTTTTCTTATTCAATTGTAGGTTTCTGACCAGGCCACAAAGACCATGTTGCGTGTCTGCAACGTCGGTGGAAACCCCGATATCGCCCGCCATCTCAAGGACCTCTGCGAGTGCATGGCCCATCCCGAGAATGTGCCCCAGGTCATGGAGAAGCTGTCCGCCACTACCTTTGTTGCCGACATGAACGGTCCCGCCCTTGCCATCATGGTCCCCCTTCTCGTCCGTGCCCTCAACGAGCGCTCCGCCCATGTTCAACGTCAGACCACCATCATTGTCGACAACCTCTGTAAGCTCGTCAAAGATCCCGCTGAGGCCGGTCAGTTCTTGCCCGAGCTCTTGCCCGGTTTGGAGCGTATTATCGATATTGCCGCCGTCCCCGAGATTCGTGCCTTGGCCACTGCTGCCAGGAATACCCTCATCAAGGCTGGAGGTGCTACCAAGGCCGACCCCGCTGCCCAGTCGGACTCGATCGTCCCCACCGAGGCCGTGGCTCGTGCTGTTGTCGACAAGGCCGTTGGCAAGTTTGGATTCTTCCCTGCCTTCTTTGATGCCGTCAAGGCCCATGTCTCTCTGATGACGATTGTCTTGGTCAAGGAGGAGAACTTGTCGCCCCGTGAGTGGATCTCGATCCTTGGCGATTACTTTGCTGCCTTCATGCCCGCCGCCGACGGCAAGGCTGTTGTCAACACCGTTGCTGAGCACTACGTCGAGGCAGACCGCAAGATGAACGGAGAGAAGAACGTCGAGGATACCGAGGAAGGCGAGGAGCTCTGCAACATTGACTTTTCGCTCGCCTACGGAGGAATGATGTTGTTGAACCACACCAAGCTCAGACTTCACCGTGGACACCGCTATGGTCTCTGCGGCCCCAACGGAGCCGGAAAGTCGACCTTGATGAGAGCCATTTCCTTGGGCAAGTTGGACGGATTCCCCTCGTCCGATGTCCTCCGCACTGTCTTTGTCGAGCACTCCTTGCAGGGTGACCAGGGCGAGATGGCGATTGTTGACTTTGTTGCCTCGGATCCCAAGCTTGCTTCGACCCCCCACGAGGATGTCGTCAATGCCCTCAGGACTGTCGGCTTCAACGACGAGATGCAAAAGAACACTGTCTCGTCGCTCTCTGGAGGCTGGAAGATGAAGCTGGAGTTGGCCCGTGCCATGTTGATGAACGCCGATATCTTGTTGCTGGACGAGCCTACTAACCACTTGGATGTCGCCAACATCAAGTGGCTCGAGGACTACCTCATCAGCCAGACCAACGTCACCTCCATCATCGTCTCTCACGACTCTGGATTCCTCGACAACGTCTGCACCAACATTCTCCACTACGAGCGCAAGAAGCTGAAGATGTACAAGGGTAACCTCTCCGAGTTTGTCAAGGTCAAGCCCGAGGCAAAGTCCTACTACACCCTCGCCGCCACGACCGTCAAGTTCGAGTTCCCCAAGCCCTCGTTCTTGGTCGGTGTCAAGTCTAACACCAAGGCGATCATGAAAATGACCAACTGTACTTACACCTACCCCGGAGCCGCCAAGCCCTCGATGCACAACGTCTCTGTCCAGCTCTCCCTTTCCTCCCGTGTCGGTGTTATCGGACCCAACGGTGCCGGAAAGTCGACCATGATCAAGTTGTTGACTGGAGAGACCTACCCCCAGGAGGGAACCGTCTGGAGACATCCCAACCTCCGTATCGGATACGTTGCCCAGCATGCCTTCCACCATCTCGAGCAGCACTTGGAGAAGACCCCCAACGCCTACATCCAGTGGCGTTACCAGGGTGGTGCCGATCGTGAGATCCTCGAGAAGCCCACGGTCGCCATGACCCCCGAGGAGCTCGAGCAGATGGAGACTTGGGTCATCGGAGGCGATGGCTCCAAGCGCCAGGTCGAGATGGTTATGGGTCGTCAGAAGCTCAAGAAGTCGTTCCAGTACGAGGTCAAGTGGAAGAACCATGTCCACAAGTTCAACACCTGGATGCCCCGCGAGAAGCTCCTCGAGCTCGGATTCGACAAGTTGATCCGCCAGTTCGATGACCGTGAGGCCTCTCGCGAGGGTCTCGGTTACCGTGACCTCTCCCCAGCCTCTATCCGCAAGCACTTGGAGGATGTTGGTCTCGACGGAGATATTGCTGATCACAACATGATCAACGGTCTCTCTGGAGGACAAAAGGTCAAGGTCGTCATTGCTGCCGCCATGTGGAACAACCCTCATATGTTGGTCCTGGACGAGCCTACCAATTACTTGGATCGTGAGTCCCTCGGAGGTCTTGCTGTCGCCATCCGCAACTGGGGTGGAGCCGTCATCATGATTTCCCACAACACCGAGTTCTTGGGAGCCCTCTGCCCCGAGACCTGGACTGTCAACGCCGGATTGCTGACCAGCAACGGCAAGTCCGCTGTCCTGGAGGGCAACTTTGAAGATTCCGAGAAGCCCATCGTGGTCGTCAACAAGAAGAAGAAGAAGTCGAGAAACGAGGTCAAGGCACAGGAGGTCCGTCGCCGTCTCCGCCACTTGGAGTGGTTGGCCTCCGACAAGGGTACCCCCAAGCCTGCCGACTCTGACTCTGACTAAAGGGAGTTTTGGCTCCGTTTTTGTTTTTGTTATTTCATCTCATTTCTTTTGATACCTTCTTCATGTTTTCATCCACACACACTCCACTCTCTTCATTTTTGCATTTTCTGTTCTCCCATCCATCTTGTATCCATATGTAATCATCCTAGACGATAGAATTATAAAAAAGAGGATTTCTCAATTCCTTTCACACGACAACTTGCTCCGTGGTTGAACATGCAAAGTGTAATGGTATTTTTTATTCTACTCGAAGCAAAATGCGAGTGAGCGAGGGGGGAGACGACAGAGGTTGTTTACAAAGAGATGGTCGCCATACCAGGTCCACCACTACTAGTCTTGATACCTTCCTCCGACAAAGCCGACTCTGCAGTCGCCACCGCAACATGGCTCCCTCCATTCGGCGCCATCACCTTGGACTCAGTGTTGGACGGCAAAGGAGGCGGCAAACTATTATTGTTCCCACCAGAACTCATTCCGTCCAAGGAACCCCTTCTTAACCCGCCCGACAAACCTTCAAGCCCACCCGAGATGGACGCCCGGAAGGGGTGAGGCTGATAGGCCAAGGTCATCGATCGGGTCTCTTGGAATTCCATCATGGCCTCGTGGAAGGACCCGACGTTACTGGTGCTAGTTGTGTAGGCGCTCATGGGCCGTCCGTGGACGGATGAGATCTGGCTGGCGGTTTTTTGATGTGTCAGGTGGTGTTGCTGCTGTCGTTGTTGTTGGTTGGGCGCCTGTACTTGCTGCTGTCCTTGAAGATGATGATGGCGTTCATTTTGCGCCTGTGAGCTCAGTTCAAAGGCCCGCCCGCCCTTGGGTAGCACCCCACTTCCAGTATTACCCTGCGAAGGCTCCCGTCCTCTCAATGCTCTAGATCTCGGCGTCACAGGGGTGTTTGAAATCGTCACCGAGTCCATCAAAGGCGTCGCACTACTCCCGAAAGGCCCCCCCATCGTCGACAGGGAGGTTCCAGAATCGGGTGACGTGAACAAGACGGTTCCTGCGGCACCATGCTTATGTGGGTGAGAGGGCGCTGGGGAGCTGTTGTAGGTTGTGGAGGGAGTTGAGAGAGTGGATGAACCCAAGGAGTTGGAGGGTGAAGATGGGGTTGTTGAGGCTGCGTAAGGGACATTTGCTGATGTTGCGGGTTGTTGCTCTTGCTGCTGCTGTTGTTGTTGTGAGGCCCCTAGGGTTCGCGAGTCGGCCGATGTAGGCTTGACTGACTTTGCCGCAACAGGCTCTTCAACTCCTCTTTGCTCCTCCTGCAAAAACTCACTCTCCTCCTCTGGCTGGACAACAGTATCCTGGGTTTCTCTCGAAGGCGTCTTTGACAACGGCTGAAGACTCTGAGAGGTCGAAGGAGGAGCTGGATCGACATTCTGTTCACCGGACGCTGACGTAGTCACCGTCAAGATCGTAGTGATGAGCTGATCCTCATCTGGATTAAACCTCTCCCGCCCCACCAAATCACTCGGACTGTCAGACCGATACATCTTCGTGGGCCCTTGCGCAGCCGCTGCTGCCCCGGGGCCTGTCGCATTAGCGCCTGCCATCGACGGCAAATGTTCAATCCGTCCAGAACTGTTCCTCGTAGTCAGAACCCCATCCAACGTCGCACTACTCATGCTCATCTTGCTCTCATGATGTTGCCCGTGTACATGCCCATGACCAGCAGACCCCGACCGAGGCAAGTTCTTGTTCCCGCCCCCCGAAGCACCAGTGGGTCGACTAAGTGAATGCGACCTCTTGACTTTTGAGAAATCGTAAATGATAAACTTGTCCTCCATCAACTGCATCTCACTCGAGAGCTCGACCTCGGGGGATGTCTGGGCGCGCTTCTTGGCCTTGAGCGGGTTATCCTCCATCAGCAACTCTTCCAACTCGTGCGTCGCGTCAAAGTTTGCCTTTTTCGACTATAGATTATTTTTTTTGTTTTTCAGAGGCGAAAAAGGACAGATGTTAGAACATTCGATCCATTAGCGGGATTACATTGTGACACACGACCTAGGAAAGACAAGAAAAGGAGTTACATCAGGCTCAAAAGGAGGAATCGCTTCCTTGGTGACCAACTTGTCCCATTCAATCCCCTGGAACCAAGGATGTTGCTTAAACGCGTCCAGTCCCTCCGGCGTACATCCCAAGCGTTTGCTAATATCTCTCTCGCATAACTATTTCAAATTAACGTACATTTGTCAGTTGGGGGTTTGTCTTACTCTCTCAAAGAAGTGTGGGATGCGTATACATTTGCTCAACACATTGTCGTGGAGCGAGGCAAATTACCTTGGAGAGTACGTCTAAACAAGGGGCACTGATAATGTCATCGACATTCTCTGGGAATGGCAAGGGGTCTCGCAGGATCGAATTCGTGAGCAGGTCATTACTCTTTCCCCTGAATGGACGCTAATAAAAATAAACACCAAGCCAAAAAAAAAAACACCCTATTTAGATGCATGAACCCAGAAACAACGCTGATGACAAAAGAAGGAGGGGAGGAGAGGACTTACCCGCCCAAAGAGGAGCTCAAACATAACGACGCCTAGACTCCACCAATCAACCGATTCAAAGTATCCTTTCCTCATAAGCACTTCTGGCGCCATGTATGCCATGCTCCCTGCTATTGAGACCAGCGGCTTTGAGGGGTTGTAGTACACCGCGATGTTGAAATCTGTCAAGTGAGCGTGGCCGTGCTCATCCAGCAGCACATTATCCGGTTTTAGGTCCCTATGGATGGGAATAAAAAAACAAAGAAAAAGGTAGTCAGCTTTACATCCGCCAACACTACAAGCATAATGTTCCCTCGCTGTATTCTTTGTCTGTCAAAGTTACTTACCTGTGAATAATCCTCCGAGAATGCAGAGCGTCCAAAGCAAGAGCCAACTCTGCCACATAAAACCTCACAACCTCCTCCTTCATCGGCCCCGCACGCTCCAGATGAAATCTTAAATCACCACCCAACATCAAATCCAGCACCATAAACAGATTCTCATCGTCTTGAAACGCATACCGCAGATTACAAATCAACGAAAACTCGACCTCTTCGAGGAGTCGGCGTTCCTGGATGATGTTCTCGACGGCCCGCATGCGGATACATTTGGCCTTGTTGATGTATTTAAGGGCGTAGATTTCTTTGGTTTTTTTGTGCTGGACGACGCGGACTTTTCCAAAAGCTCCCTTGCCGACTGACCGGAGGAGGTGGAAATGCGATAGCTCGACTGAGATGAGGAGAGAGGAACGAGAAATGGGATAATAGAATAAGTGGTGAGGATGTGTGTGAGTTGAATTTCAGGGGTGAATACGTGTATAAGCATACGTCGCAGAAACACCGCATGTCTTATCACATCAGTGTGGAAATGACAACATGGGGTTGATGAATGCAGGGGTTGGTGTTGGAAAGACTCTTCAATATGCCATGTGGCGTGGCCAATTATCATGATGCATGAATCAAATAAGAAAGGGGGGTCCATGCAAATGAACTGTTGGATTTTTTCGTGCTTGGCAAAGGTGTCACTTACTCTCAGAGGTAAAGTCAATAGCCTCTTCTTTACAGCAGCCTGCTCCCATGATGTGTAGGTATTATAAGTGGTAGTAAAAAAGTGGCGGTTGGAAGGCTGGCGATGACGATGGTCAATGGATGATTGATCAGCAAGAGAGGCAAGGGTATCGAATGGGTGGATTGAGCAAGTAAGAGTGTCTCCCTTGGTTGTCGAGCCAACGCCGAAATAATACGGCGGGAATGGAGGGTATATTGAGAAGCAATTGGAACCAGAAGAGCGGTTCTTTCACTAAGAACGAAGTGAATGTTAACAAAAACTAAAGGTGTTAGTAAAAAGGGTACCATTGTCAATTTGCGCACTGCATGGTCCAAGAAAGAACGATATTACTCAACCCGTTCCCTCTCTTTCTCTTAGTTCGAACCTCCGTTCTTTCCCTACAAAGAGAGAGAGAGAGACCAGGCTCTGTTGCTTATGAACGACCAACCCTTCCTCATATGCCCATTATTCTCCTTCCCTCCCCCTCCCAATCTCACTATCTGCATCTCCACCCCTCCAATTCTGCTGTCTTCATCCTCTTTCCTTTCCCTCTCCTTCGTCCATCTTTTTCGCCTTTTTTCCTTTCTTCCTTCGCATTTCACGTTCAACATCTTTTCGTTTTCTCTCCCCTCACTCAAAATGTGGATCCGGCATAAAAGCACGCGTATAACAAACTCATTGTCGTCCCCTCTTCCGGTTTTTCTCTGTCTCATTTTTCTCAAGGGGGGGTGAGGTGGAGGCGTTCAAGGGGGTGCTTTTTTTTTTTTTTTTTGCTTGTTCACACAGACCAAGTCAGATCAGACTAGGCAAGCAAAGCAGGGAAGGGAAGAGAAGGGGCATTTAAGAAAAAATGGTTTTTGGGCAAAGCCAGGGCCCCGCATGAGGTGCTAATTTAAATTGCCCAAAACAACCTCGAACGACTTTTTCTCTATTTCTTTTGGGCAAGAGGACAGGATGACATGGACAATAAAGGGAGACGGACGAGGAGGTGAAGGAGGAGGTGGAGAAAAACGGTGGGGATAGAAGGACATAACAAGAGTAGGAGGTGGAGAAAGGGGAGGAGGAGTAGGGAAAGAAAGTGATCGAAAAAGATGGAAGTTGAATGGCATTGGGTCCCAACTTCACACATGAGTGTAGGAGTGTGGAAGCGTGCAGACAGAAGGACAAGGAGATCAGGTGGGGTCCAGAACGTCCCCGTCTGTGTTGTGTCTTAGACGTGAAAGGGAGAAAAGTACTTGATATCGTAGTGTGATAAGGAGTTGGATGAGAGTTGTAAGAAGAGGTTGGTGTTGTCCGTCAACTTTTTGTGTTGTGTCCCCTTTCGTCGTTGTTAGTTGTAGTCCAGCGCGTTGTTGATCAAAGTACGAGACGCCCCCAATCCGAAACCCTTTGGCAAGACTGAACCAGGTACCATCAGTGATTGAGACCATGAGGGTTTGATCACAAAAATAAATTAGGATCCACTGTTGGAGAGGGTGAGAAGGATAGGGAGGGAAGACTCACAAGTAGGGAATGGTGGGTGACGATGGAGGAGGTGAGTGCGTGAGGTACGTTGAGATAGTGCGAGATGCGAAGAGGAGTGAAAGTAAATATGTGAACCGCGAATGCCAGACAAAATGACAAAGGTAATTGCGGGCAATTAGAGAGAAGAAATTAAGTATATATGTAAGTACAACAAAGTAATAGTTAAGAGAATAAGGCGGGAGATAGATGGAGAGAGAGAATGAATGGATGAGGAATGAGATGAGAGAGAGAGAGAGAGAAAGAGTGGAGAGGAGAGAAGAAAAGAGAAGTGAGAAGGAAGAGGGTGCAAAGAGATATAAAAAATGGTGAAGTAATACAGTTATACATGAAGAATATGAGAGGGTGGACTAGCACGGAGGTGCAGGTAATTTCGAGGGACAAAAAACGAGGGGTGCGATGTGAGGCAAGATCAAGAGAGCGAGCGTGAGGGATGACAAGGATAATTGTGGACGTGGAGGAGCGAGTCAGTGTGTGAGAGAGGCGATGGACATAAAGCAATTCAATATTAAAAGCGACGGGAATGGCAAAATATACAAGGTGACCGACGGAACAAAGATAGGTACCAGGGAATGATAGGCAACTGAAAAATAGCAAGGCTAGCAGAGCGTTTTCTTGAGGGATGATGAAGAAAAAAAGGACAGAGGGGAGAGAGTGAAAGAGAGAGGGGCAGGAGAGCGTGGAGAGCGAGGGAGAGGAAGAGAGGAAAGTATAAAGACGATATTAGAAGATAGAAGTTTAAGAACTGAGCGCGTTGGATGAGAATATAAAGTGAAGGTGAGCGATGAGTGAAAGGGCTTGCTTAGGATACTTGGGATACATGACGAGTTAACGTCCAACAGATGAAAAAAGGGATAAAAAGCGAATGAACGAGGGGAGGGGTTTGGATGTGGTGCGTAATGAGCAGTTCACTGATCATGGTTTGAGGAGTCCTCTCCTATATAGCCACCTAAACAAACCTTCATCCTTCTTATTTCATCCCTGGAAAGCTCAACCCAAGCCAGGGACACCATAACCGTAGTCCACGGCACCTTCAACCAGCACGTCCAATCACCCATTCACAAGGCCTAACACTCTGACGAGGGATTAATCACCACGAAGGGAAAGAAATAAAAGGGGCGTCCAACTGAGCAGATTCGTTCCATTTACGAACTGGCAACCTTGCACAAATGGGAACCGTGGATCATATGGACATTTGTGTGCACCTTGCAGGCTTCAGGGTTGTGGCATTTGGACTGTTTGAGACGAAAGGGGTTGTATGATTAAGGAAGGAAGAGGGGGGAGAGTGTAGAAGGGAAGGGTGGAGTGGAGGTGGAAGAAGATAGAAGAGGGTCTGCATGGACTCGATATCATGCCAGGCAGGGATAATCATCTGTCAAACAGTAAATAGGGTTGGTGGATCCTATTTTATGCACGGTTTCCTGCACTCGTTTGTTACTGACAACGACGTAGACTCCCTTTCTTTTGCATTTGTCGCAAGGAACGGGGAGCAGTGACAATCTTGCACTCCATCTATTCCGCCAGCATAAAAACTGTTTAGTTGTCATTTGTCGTTCGTTAGCGGCCGATAGGCGTTATTGGCCTACTGCCAACGGACGACGAAGATAAAGAAATACGAAACGCAGGACACGGACTCTTCTTTCATCAACGCACACAACGCATATGAGGACACTGTCCTTTTTTGTTTATTTACAGGGTCAATATGGTATGCAAAGTCAGGGGGGTGTGCTAAAAGGGTCAACGCGTCCAGGAAGCTAGCCCAAAGTGTTACAGGATTGGTCGTTGCATGTTGGGATAATAAAACGGAGTAGAACTGGGGGTACAATGAATGGTTCCGATATTATTTACTGCTCGTTCCATACCTTCGTTCGTTAGGAGGAAGTATATTATTTTCTTGAGAGGGAAGCGAAGGCAAGACAGAGAAAGTGGCCAGGCAAGAGAGAGAGAGAGGGTGCGTGTATGTGTGAGAGGGTGAGGAGGCCGCAAAAAAGAGATAGGCGAGAGAGAGAGAGAGAGAAAACGAATAGGAGCACACAAGGAGAGAGACAAAGTGAACAAGAGAAAGATCATTTCAAAATTCGCACGGAAAGAAAACAAGGGGGAGTACAAAAAAGTCAAGGAGCTTCACGGCTCACTGTTTGTACACGTTAGACATTGACATATTGACATGGACGAGAACAGAGTGCATTAAGAGTATTATTTATTTGGTTAAATGGGTGAGAAGAAAAAAGGTGTTGTTTCGTGTTTCGTGGGCGGAGGAGGGAGTGAAGAAGGGGATATGGGGATCGAGAGTCGTTGTTTTTTTAATGCATCCGAGCATTCTCAATCTCGTCAATCATCTGCTCGTACTCCTTCAACCGCGAGGGGCTTCTATCGTTAAAACTGTGGGTATCGTGCGGTGGCTGCTTTTGCTGCTTCTGGTGTTGCTGGTGCTGTTGCTGTTCTTGTTGCTGACGGAGATGATTCAAGTACTCCTCCTCATTGTCGCCATCGCTGCTGTCGTCCTCATCTTCGCCGTAGCCATAGTATTGGTTGCCGGTGTGCATGTCTTGGCTATGTCCTCCTGCTCCTGCTCCGTAGGAATAGCTCTGTTGCTGTGGCTGATGGCTCTGGGAGAGGGGGGCCACAGGACTCTGGTGGCGCTGAGGGGGTTGTTGTTGAGGGGGTGGAGGCAAGGATGCCGCGGGTGAGGCGGAAAGGGACGATGCTACTGAGGCTGCTCCCCCAAATCCGCGAAGACTGGTCGCGGGCTTGGTGCTGTTCCATGGAACCTTCAACAACTCGAGCTCCCGTGTGATGGAATCGACAGAGTCCCGGCGAGAGCTAGTCTCTTTCTGACCCTGCTGCTGCTGTTGCTGTCCTTTGGTGCTCATGTTACCGTAGTGGTTATAGCTTGCATGGCCATATTGGACATCGTCGTCGCTGTCCTCATCCGCATGAAGCTGCTGTTGATGGTGGTGTTGTTTCTGCAGGTTCAGAGTCGAGTCCTCATAATCGTGGTTGTACGACATGTAGCCCTGGTTGGCGGTAGGGGTCTTCCTTAGGGGCGAGCTGGAAGGAGCATTGGCAGGGCTGCTACTGACACTGCTATGGTTCTTGGTGACACTGCCAGCGGCTAAGCGGTAGGCGCTGGCCACAGGGGAGGCAATCGAGACAGGTGTACCTTGCTGCTGTTTTTGCTGTTGAGTGCTCAACACGCTGGCAAGGTTGTTGGTGAGGTTGGTAGAGTTGAAGGGAGAGTTGGGGTTGGAGACGTTGCTTTGCATGTCTTCCAATAGCAAGGCGACCTTCTTTTCAGAGTCCGAGAGTCTTGCCTCTAAGACCGAGTTGTCACCTTCCAAGACGTGGATGGTCTCCTGAGCCTTCTTCAAACGCTGCTCCAGATCCTGACGCTGTTGCTCCAACTTCCTCTGGGCTTCCTGGGACATATTAGAGTTGCTGGTAGGCGCGGCGGCGGCAGCAGCCTGAGCTTGAAGAGCCCGGTCGAGTTGGGTCTCGAGCTGCTCGTTCATCTCGACAGTCTCCTCGAGCTCCTGCTGCTTGCTGTGGAGCTCCTCCTGGGTCTGGTGGATCTCGCTGACGAGACGTTCGACATCGGCCTTGAGTTGAGCCTCCTTCTGCGTGGCCTTGACCTTGATCGCCTCGGCCTGATCTTGCATCGACTCGAGCTCCTCCGACATGGACTCGTTGAGACCCTCGACCTCCTCCAAGCGCTCGGTGATCGAGATCACCTTCTGAGAGAGCTCTGCAGCGAGCAACTCAGCCTCCATCAGACGGTTCTGGACATCATTCGTCTGTTGAGTCAACTCCCGGCGCTCTTCGTCCCAATGCATTTGAAGCATCTGAACACGCTCGTCGTCCTGGGCCTTCTGACCCTTCTGCGAGTTGGAGTACGCGAGGGCCTTTTCGTGGCAATGGGAGTGCTCCTGCTGCAACTGGTTCAACTCCTGCTCGACGTCGTCCTTCTCCCGCATCGTTGCTGCAAGATCGTCCTTGAGCTTGCGGAGCAACATTCCTGTCTTCTCTGAGTGCTGGATAGTCGCCTGACGCTGGGCTTCAAAGGTCTGAAGCTGCTGGGTATGGTAGTCACGCGAATCGACCAGGTCCTGCTCAAGCGACCCGATCCTCTCCTCGGCCTCGCGCACCTTCTCCTCCAGCGTAGCAGCATATTCACCAGTACCGCGAGCTCGAGCATGGTTAACGACGTCCTCGGCAATGATGCCCTTCTCTTGCATCACATTCTTGAGCAGACCAAGCTGAACCTCATGAGCCTCCAGTTCCTTAACCTTGCTCTCCAACTCGGCCTCGGTTCTTATCAATTCGCTCCTGAGTTCGGATGATGCCTCCCGCTCCTGAGACAACATCTTTTGCAGCGAAATAGTCTCTGCACGGGCCTGCATCGATGACTGCTCGAGACGAGAGAGTTCCATCATATTTTCGGCCAATTCTGAGGCCGACCTGGAAGCGGAATCCTGCGAAGCTGCATGCAACCTCTTGAGCGAACCCAGCTCGTGCTCAAGCTCAGAGACCCTGGAAACGGTGCTCAGGATAGCGATGCTGTCATGCTTCCTCTCTGCCGACCGTTGGTTGCCACGGGGGTTGAAGGCGCCGAGACCATCTTCGACCAGTTTGCGGAGCGTCACGACCTCATCCTTGGTGACCTGGCATCTTGTCTCGAGTTCCTCGACCTTGGACTGCAACCGTTCGGCCTCGCCCTTGTAACGACCCACGTCACTCGAGAGCTGGAATCGCATGCTCTCCAATTTCTCAACCTTGCTTGAAGCAACCTCGGACTGAGTCTCGGCACGGATGGCTCGCTCATTGGCAGCAGAGTAGGCCATCTGGGTTCGCTCAAGAGCCTTCTCATGTTGCTCTACCTGCTGCTTTAGACTCGTGACCTTCTGGAGCAATCCTGAGGACTGAGACTGGTGTCCAGAGAATCCTGCCTGGACTTCAGCAAGCTGGGTTGCATACTCCCTCGACTCGGATTCGGCCTTGGCGGCCCTAGTATGGAGGGAAGAAAGCTCGGACAAAGCGCGTGTATGGGCTGACTGAGCCTGTTCGGCCAAGAGGGCAGAACCACTCGACTGCTCCTCGGCTGAAAGACGAGAAGCTCTCTCCTGCTCCAGAGTCTCCTGAACCTTGGCATACTGGGACTCGAGAGTGTCGAGCTCGTTCAGCGCGTTTGTCAAACGCTTCTCCAGATCGGTCGCCCGCTCTATCTCGACGCGAGCCAGCGCATCGGGGTCTTGCTGAGCATTTGACATTGACAAAAGCTTGGCCTTCAAGTACGCCGCCTCCTGCAAGGCACCGGTCCTGATCCTCTCAGCCTCCTTGATCTTGAGAGATGCAGACTGAGCCTGCGTTGCAATCGCCATCTAGAAAACATGCGCGTTTCAATAAGCACACAGTTAGGAACATCCTTTGTATCCGAGTGTCTGTTGACAAGGAAAGCGATACCTCGTTGTGTTGTGAAAGTTTACCTTGGTGGTCTTGAGTTCCTCCTTAACCCGAATCAAGGCCTTAGTGATCTTGAGCTGCTGACCCTCCAACTGAGCATTATCAAGTTGCTGCTCCAACTCGATCATTGACATCCTCTTGGCCTGCATCGAAGCATTATGCGAAACAGTGGGATCCTTCTTGCCCGAAGAAAGCAAAGTGTCTCTAGCCAAAATGACCTCGGTCACCAGCCAGTTCTCGCGCTTCTTCATTTTTTCAATCTCGAGCTTCAGTTGCTCATTCTCGTCCTGGGCAGCCTCGGCGCGGTTTTCGAGTGACTTGATTTTGGCCATATCCGACGCGGATGTCCGTGCGGTCATGTCACCGCCGGCTGTCGTTGGAATGGGCGAAGATGGGGCTGGTCCGATACCCAAACCAAACGTGGACCCACCAGATCCCCTAGTAACAAAGCGACCGGCTCCAGGAGACGAAGATCTGCTCTCGATAACTCCAGGGATAGGTGTCGATCCTCCTGGCGCCAAGGATGATGACGATGATAATGGAGGTTGTGGGGGTTGAGGCTGCTGCTGGCTTGGGGGTGGCAAGATCTGACCAGGTCTCTTCTCGGCAACAGCGGGGATGTTAATCGCTCCTGACACGGGGGGAGAAGGAGTGCTGGGTGGAGGAGGAAGGTTGCTGCGCATGAAGCTGGCGGATGGTGGAGGAGTTGTCAATGGGCTGATGGGACCCACAGGAGAGTTCGCAGCGCCAGGAGGTGGTGGGATATAACTAGGTGCTGTTTTAACGCTGGGAGGGGGAGGGGTGGTGTTGAGCGGTGCAGGTGGGCTTGTCGTGATGGCCTCCATGGCATAAGGGTTGATTTCCTCTTCGATGGGCGCATTGTCGTCCAAACCATGACTTGCATTCGCAAACTGGTGGTTGTGATTGTTGCTGTCATTTGGAAGAGGTCGTGCCGACATTGGAGGGCTGCTGGAGGAGACGTTGATGACACGCAAAGGCGAGGGGCTGGCCTCTCCTGAAGTCGGGGTCATGGGCATCTGGTGCATCGTCCTGCGGCTACCGTTGGGACTGTTCAAAACATTAGCAGTTCCAATCACAGCGCCTCCATATCCACCTTGGAAATCGTCCTTCAGAGTCTGGCGCCTGGTAGCAATAGAGAGACCCTCCGCTTGATAGTTGGTGGACTGATTTCCTGCCCCGCCTGCATTCTGGAAACCGGCACTAGCTCCGCGTGGTGGTGGTGCTCCAAAGGTAGTCAGCGGTCGTTGACCGAGTTGAGGGTTCATCAACTGGCTGGTTTGCTGAGAGATGCTAATATTGGTCGACGAGCCTTGGCGGTCAGGTCCGGGCCCAAAGGTCGCAGGTGAAGAGGGTCGCTGTGTGTGTCGACGATCGGGGCGATCAGGTCTGTCAGGGCGTTCTGGTGGGCCTGTCGAGATTGGCGCATCAGAAAGTTGTTGTCCAATTGAGGGTGGCTGCTGAGATGATGCTTGACGTTGAGGGATCACCTGGGGTCCCATGTCAGGATAGCGTATTTTGGCTAGATACGATGATAGCAGTATTCACAAGAGATACACCTGGTCAGTGTCCTTGGCTCCTTGCTATTTCAGCATTATGCATGGAAGTCGTTTAAGTTTTCAGAGCTCAGTCTTGGGCTTACATAATTCGAGGACATGGATCAAGGCGGAGTCTTCCTGCTTGGTTTGCTCCGATTCTCCTCCGAGGACAAAGATTCTGTCCTTGATAGCGCACATGGTATGACCACTGCGAGGGCTAGCAACAGGTCCCACGTTCTGGAACAAGTACCACCGGCGCTCTATCGTATTTAAAAATGACGGTAAGACGTTTGCGTGAGTGAAAATTGAATCAAAGGCACAATCATCTGCATCACATAGGGAATATCATTTGCCAAGAAGGTTACCGTGAATCTTAAAAGCATAGGCGTCGTTCAGCTCGGTGCCATCAGGGCTGTTTCCGCCAAAGATGTACATTGTTCCATCGGTAACTGTACAGGCATGTCCGTGACGACCAGTGGGCAAGTATCCAGATGCCGGGATCGGGGTCCATGTGAGAGCGCGAGGGTCAAAGCACCAGATATCGTTGTAGAAGTAGTCGGCGTCTGCTCCTCCGAAAACGTAAATTTTGCCATCGTGAACACCCGCACAGTGGCCGGAACGACCTGGGGGTGACTCTGTTTGAGGCTCCAGCTTTTCCCACCTTGGACTCTGGGTAACTACATTGTGGATGGTAATGAGTTATGAGTGTGAGTAACAGTATCGACAAAAAACTGAAGGCAAGCACGGCCAATCATAGTTTTGTTCCTTACTGGTCTTCATGTCAAAGGCTGCAATGTCGTCAAGGTAAAAGTTGTCGAGCTGTCCTCCAAAGATATACATTGTCGTTCCAACGCTGCATCCAGTGTGAGAGTGGCGAGGGGTAGGCAAGGGTCCTTGGAGGGGCGGCCTGTTCCATTCCTTTCGTGCCGTGTGCAAAACGTGCAGGGTATCATCGCATTGACCGGACATGGAGTCCCAACCGCCGAAATCTAATTTATGAACCAACAAGGAATGGAGAGCGTGTTAGCGCAGTACGATGTTGTACAACACGGACAGTACCTGAATGTCACTTTTTTTTTGATGGCTCACATGCAAAAAATGCACAACAGTAACTATGCAGAAGGTTGCTTACAGAGAATATATTGGCCTATACTGACGGCAGAGTGCCCACTCTTTGGCATGGGTGCATCGGCACCAACAACAGCGACAGCCTGGCACTGCAAAGAAACTAAAAAGTGGGTTATTTCAACGAAGGTGGATTTTCGAGTTAGTGCCCGTTGGCGTGTTATTTCATTATTTTATCGGCGCGTGGTGGTTGGGGGGGTCGTCACTCTTCATCCTTCCTCTGATCCTCTCTCCCTCCCTGTGTTACCATCCATATCACATTCATTTAAGTGTTTCGCGCTTTTTTCTGTCTGGAGTAGCATCTAAAAAAGCAAGCCTAACGCTCACAGAGTGGTTCTCTCTCCTTTCTCTCTTTTTTGGACTGAGCCCTTTTTTTGCTCTTAAGTCAGACTCGGGTTTCCACTTGGCTTCAACACTTTACTTTGTTGACAGCAAGAGAGCCCAATGGAACGCAAAAAAAAAAAAGAGGGAGAGAGAAAATTAAATGCAAACAAGCCCAAAGAGAATAAAACACTACGAAAAGTAGCAGGAATCACAACGTTGCTAGAGGAAGAGAGCGAGCTAGCTCTACTGGACTCTCTGTTCGCACAAGGTTTCTTCGTAATAAAAAACCTTCTCTTGGGCACAAAAGCACCCGCCCCAAGAGAACATCATTCCTCCTCATTTTCCAAAACAGCACATGCTCGACACTTCTCTGTGCTCGTCCTCAACCTGTTTTCAAACAAAACTTGAGGGTTTCCTCCCACTTACCAGAGTCAATAACAAAGAGGTCCCCTTTTGAAATTCCACGTTGAGCGCCTCCATACAAAAAGATATCAGTCCCGTTGGCGATAATAGAGCTAGTGTGTTGGAACCTTGGGAAAGGGTTGGTGCCGAGGATCCGACGCTGGGCCCAGAACAGTTGTGGGGTCGCCAAGAGTCCTGCAGCTGCTGCCGTCGAGCCTGGGGGTCCACCAGAGTTCCGAGATTGCAACGGTGAAGGGGGTCCACTCGTGGGTGACTGAGGAGGAGGATGACCGTTCTGGTGGTGGGGGAAGGAGGGGCTCATGGGACTCCTTGGACCGTTATTGGAAAACGAGTCAGAGGCATATCCGCTGTTATAACCGCCACCGTTTGGGCCGCCGTTAGAAGGCATGCCATTCTGGAGACTGCTGCTGCTGTTGGAGATGCCGTTGAGTCCGTTTGGAGAGGGTGGTGGGCGTTGCTTTGCAGGCTGTGTGTTGTTGTGATTGGCGGAGGATGTGTCCTTGTCCTCTTTTTTCTTGGTGAAGAGACCCATGTTGAGGAAGGTCTTTTATAAATATGTGTAAAGGGATGAGAGGTATGGTTGTTGGAAGACGAACAAGGAAGTATCTTTGCGCGAAGGGAAGTATGAGGTTTAAGTGAGACGGAATGGGCCCGAAAGAGGTGAAAGTCGGGATGACAAAAAAAAAGGAATGGTATGGGTGTGAGGTGAAAGTGAATGTGAAAAGTTAAGGAAGGGACGTTCAACAGTGTGTGGACGCAGTTGGGCGGAAGTGCATGCCTCGGGGTTGAGGATGAGAAAGGGAGAGGAAGGTGGCGGATGACGGAAGAGCAGAGGAAGAAAGGGATGAGAAAAAGGAAAGAAGAGAGGAAGGGGAGTAGGTAAGCTAAAAGAAGGATGAAGGAGAAGGAGATGATGACCACTGAATGGGCGCTCAGTCGCTCTCCTTTCTCCTCTTTGGCACAAGGGAAAAGTCCTCGTTGTTCGTGTCCTTGTGAGTTGTTGTTCCTGAACAAACGAAAAGCTTAACTGTTTTTCAGACACAACACTCATTGGTCCAATTTCAAGAAGATGTTGTTCAGGCACGATCAGTTCTTTAATTAACTGCTTTCAAATAACATGTTGTCTTCAAGCTGACACTCACGCACACATGCTTGCTTACCCTACCTCCGCGTTTTCTTTTCTTCTCTCTCTCTCTCTGTGTTCTCGCCACACTCCCCCTCTTCCTCCACACAAACATCACAAAGCACAATAAACACGGAGGAGGGCACAAGGAAAATGAGCACAAAGAAACAACACCACACCATTACATTCATTAGAATTATCATTATTTATTTATTTTTCTTTTTGCCGCCAAATTCAAACCCCTGAACACAGAATTTCAATGGCGCTATTGACATCCCCTCCAGTGACCTGAAGTGCTCTCATGTTCTTGGTTGGATCCCAGAACCCCATTTCACTCAACTGTTGCAGCTGTACCTGGAACCGCTTCTCCGGCGCATTCGCCGCAATCAGCGACGACGGCAACCGCATTCCTGCCATTCCATGTGGCATCATTGTTGGTGATGGCACTGTTGTTGGTAGCGATGCTGCCGTGGCGTTAATAGGACTGGTCGGACGCGCGCCTACATTGCTGCCGCTGCTGTTCATTTGGGTGCTCATCTGAGCAACCTGACTTAACGCATCAGGGCTAGCAACCATTTGTTGGAACTGGGGTGACCGCAGAATGTGTCGCATATCAGGTCCCAGCATGGCCTGCAACATCGGATTGGTCGCCACCATCGATTCAAGGATCTGAGGGTTCTGCAGCATCGACGACATGAACTGTGCAAACGTGGGGTCCTGCATCATCTGGCTCATCACATCCGCCCCCTCCATTCCCTGACCTCGTTGTCCATTGCCAACTCCATATCCAAATCCTGTTTGCGCGTTCGTCGGATGTGCTGCTGTTGGGTTTGGTGTTGTTGGTGTTGTTGAAGTAAATCCAGTCCGGGTGCCAAACGTGCCTATTAATGAAAACCAAGAATTGAAGAGGTTGGTTTAAATGATTTAGACGCCCGTCCTCTTCCTTTTTCACAAGTGAAATAACTCACAATCGCGAAAGCTGATGACTGTACCTGCAGGTTGTTGCCGACTATCTGGGATAGCAAAAGGGGCTGCTACAGAGAATGCAGGTGAGCTGCTGAAGGGTATAGGTCTCTGCGCGCCTACAGCTGCGCTCGCTGCTGCCATTGCTGTCGTTGTTTTTGTTGCTGCTGGACTCCGGACCATATGAACAACATTCCCATGGGTCAGGTTACAGCTCTCGATGGAATGGGTATCTTTGAGGACCCTGCCGGAAAAGACGAGTCGCATTCTGTCCGAGGCAGTGTTTGAGGCCAATGCGACTCGCTCCTTGAGATGGAGGACCGTGTCTGTGAGGGAGAGGGTGATAGGGTAGATGTTATCTTTTGATGCGCGAACATTTAGGGTTATGAGTGGAGAGATTGTAGCGGGCGAGGGCGATGGAGAGGTGGTGGAAGGAGGAGAGGAGGAGGAGGAGGAGGTCATTTTGTTTGAGTGGGGAGAGTGGAGAATGGGGAGTGGAGAAGAATGATCGATGAGAGAAAGAAGGGAGATGGTAGAAGAGAAAAGAAGAGAGCGATAGAGCAACAAAAGAAAAAAAGAAAAGCAATCAACAAAAATGGCGACAAGTTGTGCAAAATCATCCAACAGACAAAAGTCCACAGGCACAAGCAGAGGATTAAAATACAAAAAAAAAAAAAAGAGTGGCGAGCTCACCGCCCCTTGTGTGTCAGTGTGTTCGTGTGTGCTCACCTTCCACGATCACTTTTTTTTTCCCGTCCGATCGCTGTCCAGGTGGGCGAAGTGGTGCAAGTCACGTGTAGAGTACATTTAGACAAATGGACCTATTGTCGGGATCCACTCCTTGCTGACGAGTCCTCCCTTCGATTCGATCGAAAACACGCAATCTGTGTACGCGTCTTTTGTTTCTGTGTTTTAAACCTTGAGTGTTGTTACATATCATCTTTCTTTGTTTAAAATGAATCTACGCAACCCTATTTCGTAGAAATAGTATCTATCTAGTATCCACCCCCCCAAAAAAAAATCTTAGTAATTAATCCAAAAATCAAGAGGCAGCAGTGAACGCATCGCATGCCAATGATCCTCGGCCCCCAAACGCTGCATCCCATTCAACGTATTATTCCTATCCAGAATCAGCTCTCCCTTCGACGGGTCATACGGTGTCTTCAACGGCCAATCTTGGAATGAGCTCAAGATCCAGTCTCGCATATCACTCGGTCGGAGGGCATGACCATTATGTCCACCTTCTTGATGTTGCTTCTTCCAGAAATCCATCTCTTCCTGAGTGGGGAATGGTGGAGGCTCGTATTGGTCGAATTCAATGGGGAACTGCGCGGCAAAAAAGACAATGTTTTGGTAGTCATCGTCGTCATCGGGAGACTCTTTAAAGGCAACGACATGCTTGAATGCTGTGTGGAGGGTGCGCCGGACCGAGTTGAGGGCTTGAGCCTTGATCGGATGCTCTGAACCCACCATGTTCTAAATAATTGAACAAGTACAGAAAGAAACCCGAATTAATAAATCCTTAGCAACCTAAGACAGGAAGTGGACCAAGGAAAGAAAAGGTGACAATAATGGCATACGCAACGCGTTTCCTCAACAGCCTCCCCAAAATAAAACGAGTCATCTTACCATGGCCAGCACGCCATCGGGTTTCATAATCCGCTGAATATCATGCAATGCCTCAAGGGAGAACAGCGAGGGTGGGACGCCGCCGCCTGTGAAGACATCGTGAATCACATAGTCGTATTTGCCCTCAGGCGCGTTCCTGATGAACTGTCGGCCATCCTGGATAAACTTTTCGTGGGGTGCAGGCCAGTCAAAGTACTCGGTCGCATAGTCGACAACCGCAGGGTCGATCTCCACAATATCCACCAATAAGCCGTGCTGGATTAACGACCCTGAGGCGATTCCCACTCCAAGGCCACTAGTTGATGGGTGAGGTGAGGAGAGTGAGCAAAATGTTGTCCCAGCGAGAAGTAAAATAATAATATATTGGGGAAACCAAAGAAAAACACAGGTCAGCTGGTCAGGTTCTGTTTTGTGTGTTTTTTTTTCCAATCGGATATCTTCAGTGCGGGCAAACGAGTTTTTTTCTCCTTCGTTGTTGCAAACAACGCTATCGGTGCTTAGAAAACAAAACAAAACAAAATAAAAACAAATCGATCACTTACATTTGCAGAACGGTCTCTTGGTGGCCTTTCTCACGGTTCTTGATCAGACGAACAGCTGTAGTTTTAGGCGTAAACACAGAGTCATTAATCATGTTGTCAGTTGACGTGTCGCAGTAGTCATCTACTGCCTGTTCCATTGTCCATTGTTCTCCTGTGTATGATTGCGCCTCGGTTGGTTATTACCTTCGGGGATATAAAAGCTTCCAAAGATGGAGTCTCCAGTCTCGGCATACATGCCTCCGATAAGTGAGTGTCCAGCACGCATCACACGGATATGAAGATCATTCCTCCTACTGATATTCTCATCGACAACGCTGATCCATCCAGTGACACTCTCGTTTCTTGCCAGGATGGTGTAATTGCCATTGACTGCGTTGTGCGCCTTGACGACCGATGCCTGGCATTGAGGGTTGCGGGTCACATTCTGAGCCGTCAGGGCTAGAACCAGTACCAGAGGGATAAAGCTCACCGCCAGCGATGCTCGGCTAGACGCCGTCTGGGGCTTTCTCCTGCTGCTCTCAAGGCGTTCATCTGGAAGGGCGACTTCACCGTGGATAAATGCCAGCACTACGGATAAAGACAACAGCGATCAAATGATAGATTAGAAAGTGGATAAGGACAGGGGAAATCACAATCAAAATTATTATTTCTTTTTGAGAGCACAATTGAGGAAGAGACTTACACTTGTGGAGACTGGAGATGACTGCAACCAAGATGGCAGAGGAATAGACGCGGGGGCAGCTCTGCCCCTGAGGTGCCATCTGGAAGACCACCAGTGTCAGTCCCAGGATCGCACCGACCTGGATCAAAACGCAACTGATCCATGTCCTGATGTGGACACGCTCATACGACCGCAGGACACAGGCCAGAGTATTGGCGAACCCCAAAAGCGCCAGGAGCGGGTATGCAAGGACGAACTGGGTCAAGTGAGGACCCCTCCAGGGTCCAAACTCTCCGCTGTGCTTGAACATAACGTGAGTCGTCAGGAACGCGCTCGCAAGGACCAGTCCACACAGATCCAGACTGGACACAATACCTCTTCGAAGTCCTGCATCCTTACGAAGTCCTGCAGTGGTCGCTTCGGCAGCCAATCGATCCTCCACGGTCAAATGCGTGTTTCCTGCGGCTATTGAAGTTGAAGGAACGGCGGTGGCGGAGGCTGCACGTTTGTTGAGAAGGAAGGTGTAGATCATGGCCAGCACGACACCTACAATGACAGAAGCGAGAGAATACTCAAGGAAGCCCTCCTCGATAAAGATGCTCCCGTAGATAGGTTCCATCATAGTGGGCGCCACGCGGAGGATCATCCCCGCGACCAAGGGCGTGACAATCACCAAGGAAGAGCGGGTGACGGTCACAAGAAGTTCGAGGAGCATGGTCTGCGAGTGGACCGCTGCCGGCTTCTGTCCCGCCTTGGCATCTGCCTTGTTGGAGCTTGTCTTGGACTTTGTTGTAGTCGTAGTTGTGGTGGTGTCGTTTTTGACGGTGGTCTTGGATGACGGGGCGGTTGAAGAGGTGGAAGAAGAGGAAGTTGATGTGGATGTGTGGAAGGCTGTTGAGGAGGAGAATGCAGATGCAGAGTCTGGTCCTTGTCCGTTGCTGTTGTTACTTTCGTTTCCGTTGGATGAACCCAGGACGGGGGCGGGGCGTTTCCTTTGCTTCATGGTTGATGGATGTCTCCTTGTTTTCGGGTAAGGAATGAAATGAATTTACGAAAGAGCGAACCAGCACAAAAAAGGGCCTAGGTCGTCGTCGAACTCAGCTCCAACTGAGACACGACTGGTGCTGTGGTGGCTTTGTTGACCCAATTTATTTCATAAAATTCAGTTGATCAATTAGCTCGCTTTAAACTTTTCACACGGCAATGGTGCCCTTCAGTGACTCTTCATAACCAGTCCCAAGCCTGGGGACAAGAGGCAGGAACAAGACCTGAGGTCTATAGGCCATCCCTTTGCTCGACGCCTTGGCCTGGATTGACAACGGCATATAGTTGAAAATCAGGTACCTCGCACATCTCTCCAGAAGCGTCTACTCATAAGCACAAAAAAATGAATGGTTAAATTCGAGCCATTGAACGTGAAGGGGGAAGGGAAGGTTGCGCAATAGTAAGCCGTTTTAATTTTTGTACCTGGCCATAGATCAACTTTGCGTTGATCTGGCTCGCTTCGTATTGCTCCTTGACATGGAGTAATTGCTCTTGCGGTATGCCTGGAACGCCTCTTGGATGCCCTCGGATGTGAGCGAAGTCAAGTCATACAAGCAGCTAGCAAGCACAACTGCATCCTGCATAGATGCCACCGCCCCATGTCCTGAACTAGGTAGCAACTAATTGGAATATGAACCATCACAGATTGAGAGTGAATATCCCATTCGTTTAACCATGAAAACCTCCTCATCTAGTATTCAGGTCATCTCCCATACCTTAGGAGGCCGTCCACATCCCTATAGTTTAACATGAACTGCAATGCAGACATAACCTATTGGGTCTTACCATAGTACTAGCATATATAGCAATACCCATATACTGTTGTTGATGAATGGAAGTTGTATGAACTATCATCCCAATCTACCCCAAATCAACGCCCTTTAGTAGATGTAGACGAGTCATCTCCATTAGCCACAAATAAGTTTCGGAAAGAAAAGTTGCCTGAAATCCGCGCTGACTTTACACAGTTCACGCGCGTTCAACAGGCAACTTTTCTTTCCGAAACTTATTTGTGGCTAATGGAGATGACTCGTCTACATCTACTAAAGGGCGTTGATTTGGGGTAGATTGGGATGATAGTTCATACAACTTCCATTCATCAACAACAGTATATGGGTATTGCTATATATGCTAGTACTATGGTAAGACCCAATAGGTTATGTCTGCATTGCAGTTCATGTTAAACTATAGGGATGTGGACGGCCTCCAAACCGTTGACTTTTCTTACCAGTCAAAAATCCTTCTCCAATCAGAAATTGGCTGAGTGGAAGAAGACCTTTTTGCGGTTCACGATCAACATTGTCTATCGTCCAGGCCTCCTCAATATTATTCCTGACACTCTTTCTCGAGCAGTTCCCGAGAGTGTTCTAAAGGATGATCATCATAAACAAGTGACTCAAAGCAGGACCAGTCAACATACAAGAGTAACAAAAAACTCTTCTAATATTATGAGTGTTTCTCATTCGAATGAACAATTGCAATCGTCGCCCTCTATGGGCAGCTCTAATTTACCACAAAGAGTCTTACAGGCACAATCCAATGCTTCTTTCGTCCAAAACATGATGGATGACACCGAATATTTCATGCCCTCTCCTGAAGAAAGGGAAGAACTACTTACAGAAGTTCACGCATTCGGTCGCAATGGTCATCATGCCATGATTCAGGAATTGTATGAACGCGGCATCAAATGGAACAACATGCAAAAGGATTGCTGTGAATATGTTAAAACCTGCATCACTTGCCAAAGGGTCAATATTGCTAAAAAGGGTTATCATCCCATGCGAGCTATTTATGCAACCATGCCTGGAGAGCATCTAGCTATTGATCTGGCCGTTGATTTGGAACCTTCCAACAGAGACGACGTGCATATTCTTATCGTCGTAGACGTATGCACTCGCTTCGTATTCCTCCATGCAATAAAAGACAAGACTGCTGCTGGTATAGCTCGTCATCTTTTTGATCTGTTCTGCTTCATAGGCTTTCCTAAAATTATTCAAAGTGATAATGGTGGATAGTTTTCAAACAAACTACTCCAGGAAGTCCTATCAAAATTGAAAGTAGAACATCACCTCTGCACTCCTTATCATCCTCGCTCCAATGGTGTTGCCGGAAGATCCGTTCAGAACGTCAAAAACATGCTGAGAAAAATGGCGCAAGAAAACCCTACGGATTGGGATCGACATCTGCCAGCTGTACAGCTGCAGATCAATGCACGTGTGTCGAGTCTCCATAACTCTTCGCCATTCAGCCTGTTTCTTGGTCGTCCTTTCCATCGCCCAAGTGATCACAGTGGCACGGAAAGCAATCTGTTACCGACGAAGATCTTGAAACAAGGCTACGATACCTGACTCAGTTGGTTTATCCAGCGATATCGGAAAAGAGCAAGGAAAGGCAAGACAAAATGGTAGCCAGGTTCAACAAGACACACAAGCTTGTTAATTATGAGAATGGTACCATGGTCATGGCAAGAGATGAACGCACCGAAGGAACTACGGCTCCAAAGCTTAAAGGTCCTTTCATGATTGGTGATAGATATCATGATAATTCATATATCTTGCTTGATGGCACAGGTTCACCACTTTCACGTCGCTATGCTCCTTCTCAATTGAAGTATTATGGAAGACATAGTTCACAGCTCCCCACAACCAGTGAGGAAAAGAGTTCAGAATCAACCGCTATAATAGAATCGTATGACGTTGAAGCCATTCTCGATCATACACAAGACGAGAAAAATCCTCATATGTCCACTACTATGTGCGTTGGAAAAGGTATGGTCATGAACACAATAGCTGGATTCCGTTTACAAACTTTGACGATATCCAAATAGTACGTAACTATTGGCGTCAGCAGAGAAAGCAATTGCTTCCTCCATATGTCCTGGACAATGTGTCCCACGAGAGACAAGACAATAACAAAAATAAGGGCACGTCGAACAAAAGAAAAAGGCTGGCTACCGATGGTGTCATGCCCTCCCACATTTCCTCTTCATCTCAGAATCAAGGCGTGCGGAAATCAAAACGCAACAAAAACTAAGCCTTCGCTTGCTTTCAATAATCGTGCTACCTAGTCCTACTCTATTTTCCCGGTTACTTCTTCAGTTGTTCCCACACTGCCAAAGCTTCGCAGTATGCAGCACAACTTGCACGCTGTGACTCCTGATAAGAGATCCAAGCAGCTTGATGAGTCGCATTATACGTATTCCAGGCGGCCTGATTGGCTGCACTATTGGCACTCCAGGCAGTTTGAATCGCCACCAGATTGGGATCCGCTTGCAAGGGTGGGCCAGGATGGACAAAAAACAGGTCGTCCAGGCACTTGGGTGGGAACACCCACCGGCATTGCTCCGTGTTGGAACGCTGTCTAAAAACGTCAAAAGTGCATTGAAGGACGATGTCGCCGTTGCCAAGGAGGCCTTTACTTGTTTGCAGGACGCGGTTCATGAGGCATATGGGGTCAAGAGGCGGGCACAGAGGATTGTAGTGATGTATGTTGAGAGGATGGCCGTCGGTGATCTCATTCCTGCCGATCGCGAGTATCTAGATCTTCTCTGCCCAAGGATCGTACCTGAGGAGTCCAACAATAGTGACAACATTGCACACATCAATTCGGACGATGACGACGACGCCAAAAAGGATCGCCAGCAGCAGTTTCTGAACGGGTTCTTGCGCTTTCTATACTCTGGTAACTATCCACGCGAACAAGGTGTCGGCCGATCCGTCAATGGATTCATTCAGCGACTCCAGGGAATGGGCTTGTTTGATCGTTTGCGGCAGTCTCCTTTGCGCGAGAGATCTGCTTTGCGCGAGAATACAGCATTTCCGCCCACCGAACTTGTGCGATCTGTATCTTCCCAGCTGACGGTTGAACTCAAGAAGATGTACAGCAACGGAACGCGTGAGATACAAGAGCAGGTACGAGTAGATCATATTGTCTTTGAAAACATAGTTTGTATGTAACGTTCTGAAAGCAAGTTTTTAATACTATGTGTTTAATATCTTCACCTTTTTTTATCATAGCTGAAGAGACGAAAGGACAAGGTTGAGGGCTCGTTGGTAGGATGTGACCTGGAGATTCGCAAAGAGATGACAGCAGTGGAGAATTTTCTGGTCTTCAACAGAATGAGCGGAAACTCGCGCCGGATTATCCCTATGTCCGCTAGCAAAGATGGATTTGTGTCCTTTTCAGAAAAAGAGATTATCACATTGTTCTGGAAGAGACCCACCCTCAAGGTCAAGATTCTGGAGTTGGTAACGCCCGTGTTCCCTGGCTGTCTGGCATTGACGGATGTGACGGATATCTGGTTGCGCGACCGAGAGCCAGGCTTCGTGATCAAGAGCCCTCTTTCCGATGTTGCCCCTGTTGATCTAACAAGTCGACAGAAGGGCAAAGTAGGATATCGAGCCGCTGTCAAGTTGATGACCATTTCGGAAATCAAAGCCCATCTCCTCACCATCCGCCAGCCAGCGTTCGACCCTAGAACATATGCCACGAAAGGGTATGTGCTCCGCGGTTCCATTCGGACGAATGGTTTCAGTATTCAACTGGCCGCTTTCAAGTTGAGGGAACTGCAAGCGGTCCGGTTTAGGAGATTACCAGAAGATCGTCTGCCGCCTCGCTTGACGACTACAGTGGGCGGATTGGACTATTACCTGACGGAGATTCGCAACATTGTTCGGACCAAGGAGGACGTTGCACAGTTGTGGCCGAATTGTGCGCCCGATCTGATCAAGATTCTGTGTCTGGACTTGGGTCAAGCCTGTGTCGTGGGTGCCTACGCCTCATTGCCGGATTCAACACGCTCGAACGATACTAGCAAGGGAAAGAACCATGCCGCCTCGACTGCCATGGACATACCAACCACCTCGACTCTGGCCGCCGTGACCACATTAACCAGCCCTCAGTCTCAGGTTTTCTATAACCTATCGGTAAAACAAAAGGCAGTCTCTCAACCATCTTTCAAATTCCGGCGATGGACAGAGGAGCAGAAGCGGATTGTCCCTGCAGGCGCCACCGAGTCGGTTGAAGAAATCGAGTCGAATTTGCCCCCTCTCCGAGGTGACGATGCGAGTATCATGGATTACGTGGAGGAGATCCAAAGGGCGGAGGACCAGTTGAACGAATTCTACAATGGCAACAACATGCGATACCACCGCCACAATTTCGATGCCAGCCGCGCTCGAGAGGAGGAGTTCCGGACAATTGCGGATCGACTGCTGAGTATGATTGGAGGTTCGGTCGGTGCAAAGAGAAACGAAAGCACTATGGCCGTTATCGGCATTGGGTTAGGGCGATTTGCGAGCCAGTCAAGATTAACATCTCTTCACGGAACGTTCTTCGCTTTCTTTGTGTGCCTGGTAGGTGTTTCATAACATCGGCGTTGTCTTTTAGGGGCGGGCACATTTCATTTATTAACTTGCCGAACATATCACCATTATGTCTTTTTGGGCCCGTTCGCTTGGATACATCGTTGTCGGTATCAATGAATACTATTCCTCGAAGAAGTGCCCTCGCTGCCAGGCCTTCGTGGCGCAGGTTACGATCCGGAGATTGTTCTGCAAGACCTGTAGTATGTACTTCCACAGGGATGAGATGGCGGCACACAACATGGCCAATGTGGTTCGCGGCCACCTTCTGGGCCAACAGAGACCCGACTACCTCCAACCAGTCGATGCACAGGGCCGATATCCTTGGAAGGAGGACCTCAGTAGCAGCGCAGACGGAGCTGGAAGTAGCAAAAGTACCTCACCCAACACCGATGCCAAGCCCAAGTCAAGTCAACCTCGGCAGTCCAGGAAGCGCAAGGCGATCGATGACACTCAGCCCCCGCCAAGTCCAACCCGGTTGTCGAAGCGCAAGGCTGTGGAGGAGGCGGACTAATGGGAGGAATGAGTAGATAGGTTTTATTTTTTTGAGTGTTGCACCCACTCTATAACGTGAAGATTGTGGGGCAGTGCTTTCTTCCACTGTCACACGGGTTTAGCACGCAGATTCGTTACACGGGTTTAGCACGCCTATTAGTCTCAACCTACCTTTTTCTAGTAACTAAAGTCGTCCCTCGTTCCTAGTATAAGTAGACCGTCAGTCTTCCTTCTTTATTAACCTTGTCTTACAATAAATCCACTAGCCTAAGTACATCCTTCTCCTTACACCCTTCCACCTTTCTGCCTGTTTCGTGGCACCATGGCATTGAAATTTATTCCCTGCAATGGTTTATGAACTATGAGTAGGGTGTGGGAGTAAGAGTGGGCAAGGCTTTAAGAGCGCAGAGAATGGACTTGGGGCGTTGGCGAATTGCACCTCTGGTCTGGCATACAAATGCAATTGACAAAAGAAAAAAATGGGAAGTGCAAATAGTGTATGGTCTCTCACTGCTGCACGCATGCATCTATTAGTTCTGGGTAAAAGAGCATTTTCGCCAATCGAACTTTGAACGCTTTAAGTGCACGCCTTCATAGGCCAAATCTTAAAGATCACATTCGCACATTGAATCTAAGAGAGCCTTTTGTGGAAAATCATCCACCTCTCATTAGGAACACACGAAATCTATTTTTTGGTACTTTGACAATACCGACTTAGACGCATTCTGACTTGATCACAGACTATTGTGCTTTGGTGGGGACCTGCCTCATCGAGACTTATGCAAAACAATTCACCCAAGGTATTTATCCGTAATTCTCGTAAAAGGATAACGACCTATGTAGAGCTGCATGTGCAGGCAGTCTAGAAGACTCTCCGTTCCACATGCACCCAAGGGCCCGACTCTATGCAGAATAATTTGTCGGTAAAGGGTTTTTACCAACACTGTAGAGAGAGAGAGAGAGAGAGAGAAGTGAATTGCTCAGGTTCTGTGACTCGTCCATGCACGCCAACAGCTCAACTCTCCCTGTCATGCATCTGAGCCAAGTTCCAATTGCGAGTTGCCAGTCATGCCGACTTGAGTTCAAAAAATACCAGAAAAATTGAACGCCCAAAATTTAGCTTCGAGTGACACCATTGCTGCTCCAAGGTATGTCATAGGCATGGCGTGTGTAAAAGACACAAGAAAGCGCGCGATGCGATTGTTCTTATCCTTGAGCCCTGATCTTTTTTGCTAATTCTCTCGCCTCCCCCTCTGACTATATGCACCCTCATTATTTGCGCTCTCGTTTGTTTGTTTTTGTATAGTCGCATTTCTGATTGTGCGAAAGTCTCCAGGCGTCGCAAGGAAACAAGAAACCAGACAAAGTCGTTGATAATAACTATAGCAATGAGATAAGTACTGTAGGTCTCTCTCTTGTGTTAAATAAAATGCGGTTAAACTAGGCAGACATTTTTTTTGGGCGATTTCCTGCACACCATCTTTCTCTCCCTCTCCTCGTTACTCATCATTACTGCTCATTCTTTTATGTACCGTAATATTGGTAAAGGAGATTGAAACAGAAGGGAAAAAAATGGCGCCAATAAGAGGGGAGAGACAGTGTTCGGCTCGTGCGACAGTGTTTCGTAACAAACGGGTTCTGGTTCGATAACACGTTTCGTTAAGACCATTTACAGGCACTTAGTACGGGCTTAACTAAACGAAAGCAAGATTCGTCGATTCGATAAGAAACACTGTCGTGTGGCACGCTCGGTTGAGCTATTTCTTCGTGAAATAAAAAGGGATAAATAAAATAAACCCGTGCTGCAACAGAACAGCTACAGTCACTCATTAGAACGACAAGTATAAAAAGAGAACCACCCTTTTCTCTTTTTTTTTATCACTCAACACCTCTTCTCTGTTCCACTCCCTGATCAACTCAAGTTCACGACTCTCACCATGGCTGCCACCTCCAAGATCCTCCTCCTTCTTTTGGTTACCCTCCTCGCTCTCGTAGGAAATGTCCTCGCTTGGAGAATCGACCTCATTTGGAGCCTCGATGCCCTGTATGAAGCCCGCCTTCGCTCAAACTGTTACAAATACGACGGCAAGTTTAAGGCCAAGCCCTACAGTGGTCAACAGGTCTGCTCTGGAGATGGCGTGTTCTGCATCAGGTTCCCCAAGAGCGCCGACCGTGAGAACGGTGGAGTTGAAAACCGTGTCGAGGTGTGGTATGCTAATACCTATGACGTCTGCACCTGCAAGACCATTAACACGGTCGTTAAGCCCCCATTCTGCCTTGTCAACCAGCCCTGTCCCATTGGTGTCAGCCATTCGTGTGGTTGTGACACTCCGAAGTACTGCCAGTAGAGATGGCATTACTTTGTGTTGGATCTCGTTTGCCGTCATTTTTTATTCCTCTATATTTCAGGGAATAGTAAATAAAAATCGTGTTTTTTTTCTCTTTCTCTTGGGCAAACAAGAACTAACATGAATCCAACATGTCGAGGTGTACCTGAGTAATCTAATTATTCCTCAACAAACCAGTTCAAAGTCATCGTATGCTTCAAGCGTGTGCGGTGGGTCTCAATCTAATAAATTCATCGTGTTCCTGTACACTCCACCCTCGATATAAGCTACAAATTGTAGTTTATATCGAAGGCGCCGTGTGTACGAGAAAAGACGATAACAAATAGCCATTACGATGTTGAGAAGACCTGTTTGATGCCACTGGAGAGCAATGGAGAGAGCCTATGCGAGCTTATTCTCTTTGTGCGACAAACAAGGTTCCCAACGGCTGAAACCCAACAAGCAAATGCTCATCTGATATAACATCGTCTGGTAGCTGTCACCAATATCCCCTTTCCATTCCATATTCACGAAAATGAAAATGGCTTGCCTGCTGCAATAAAGATGAACAACTATCGACAACTTCACACAATAATGACAGGAGTTCCAAAAGAAAGCGTTCACCGGTTCGTTTGGTCAAGACGGACTATCGCCCATGATATTTCATCCCAAAACTTCACCCTAACATTGCTCTCGTGCATGAAAAAAACTTGACACAAACAAAAGAATAAGCTCACTCTCTCTCTCTTTTCTCTTCTTGCTTTCTCATTGTTTTCTCTCTTTCTCTCTCCATGCCTCGTATTTCTTTCTAAAGTGTTCGACAAAAATGATCACTCTTTTTGTGAATTTAGCTTTTTTTTTGAAATGCTCATTCATCAATGTTCCGATTAACCCCTACAGTGCTCCAATCAATTGATCAACCAAAACACGATTTCGACGTTTTTTTTTGAAATACTCATTCATCAATGTTCTGAGCAACCCCCAGATTCCTGTCATTCATTCTCTTGATTCGTAACCTCATTCATCACCACTTTTCTTTTTTGCATGAACCGACATCAGATCATCGCTAGAATTGAAATGCTTGAAATTGGTTGATCAATTAATTGGATCGCATGTAGTGGCGAATGATTTCCATGTAAAAATTTACATGGGTTTAGCACGGAACGAACTGATTTCTTGAATACACTATGTCAATGCACTTTCTTCAGGCAAACTGAAAGCAGTTCCATACAAAGGACATGGTATGTGATCTACAAAGCGTTTATATCATTTACAGAAGGTATTGTTGAAGTATGTTTTGTTACATGGATCTAGCACAATTTTACATTTTGTCATGATATTGCACTCTATTGAGAATAGCTGGCTCCGCACATCAAAGAAATTAGATCGCACTTAATGTGCTCTATATGGGACTGCTTTCAGTTTGCTTGAAGAAAGTGCATTGACATAGTAGTATTCAAGAAATCAGTTCGTTCCGTGCTAAACCCATGTAAATTTTTACATGGAAATCATTCGCCACTACATGCGATCCAATTAATTGATCAACCAATTTCAAGCATTTCAATTCTAGCGATGATCTGATGTCGGTTCATGCAAAAAAGAAAAGTGGTGATGAATGAGGTTACGAATCAAGAGAATGAATGACAGGAATCTGGGGGTTGCTCAGAACATTGATGAATGAGCATTTCAAAAAAACGTCGAAATCGCGTTTTGGTTGATCAATTGATTGGAGCACTGTAGATTCCTGTCGTGTATTTTCTTGATTCATAACCTCATTCATCATCACTTGTCTTTTTCTGCATGAGCCGACATCGATTCATCGCCGGAATTGAATATCATTTTTGTCATTCGCCATATATGGCGAGTGATCTCTATGTAAAATTTTACATGGGCTTAACACGGAACAATCTTTTTTATTAATCCCACAAGCTCAGTACACTTTCTACAGATAAATTGAAAGCAGTTCCGTACAAAAGGCGCCAAGTGTGATCTAAAGATCTATGATACTCGAGACCAGCCTTTCTTAGTTGAGTGTAATATCATGAAAATGAGTGAAATCATGCTAGATCCATGTAACAAAATACTTTAACGATATCTTCAATAAATGATATAAATGTACCGTACTTTTCCTGATTTCTACATCACACCTGATATCGTTTGTATGGAACTGCTTTCAATTTATCTGTAGAAAGTGTATTGAGCTTGCGGTATTAAAAAAACAGCTTAATGCGTGCTAAACCCATGTAAAGTCATGCATATAGTTCAAACACAAAGACTTTGGGTAGGAGATCCAAACTTTGATAGAAGGTCTTACACGATTGAGGAAGTAAGTCATTGAAGTTTTAAGGTAGATAGAAACTAAAAAGACCCCGCAAGCTAAAAAAAGAAAACCATGATGCATGTAATCCAATTAATAGATCAAGCAACATCGGGCATTTCAATTCCGGCGATGATCCAATGTCGGTCCATGCAAAAAAAGGCAATCTGTGATGAATGAGGTTACGAATCAAGAGAATGAATGACAGGAATCTGAGGGCCATTTAGAACATTGGTGAATGACCATTTCAATAAAAAAGGACGAAATCGTGATCAATTGATTGGAGCACTTTACTGCAACAACATTTCATCAGTAGGGTAAAACTAACCTGTCTCACGACGGTCTAAACCCAGCTCACGTTCCCAATGAGTGGGTGAACAATCCAACACTTACTGAATTCTGCTTCAGTATGATAGGAAGAGCCGACATCGAAGGATCAGAAAGCAACGTCGCTATGAACGCTTGGCTGCCACAAGCCAGTTAATACCCCTATGTCCCTCAGACAACCACATATTTCCCATCACGTGACTTCCGCCACAAACTGAGCCCCATCCAAGATCCAAAACCCCGCCCCATTTTCCAAGCCCTGTCTAAAGTCCCAAGCCCCGTCCAACGTCCAAGCCCCGTCCAATGCCCGTTCAAAGTCCAAGCGCCGCCTTGGTTACTTCTATTCATCCGGCCCTTAGCATAAATAGACCCCTTGTTCCCCTGTCTTGTTCCCCAGTCTACAATAACTCACTTCCATCTGTCCCCTGCCTTTCTTCTGCACACTTTCTTCTTATCCCTTTCTTTTCCTTCATAATAAAATATAACAAAAGCAATACACATTCTTCCGAGTCCTGTCTGATCATTGCAGCTGTTGTATACGTGCACAACATGTGTGAGATGTTTAGCATCTGCTAGTCGCAGTAGGTGCATGTTTACTCACGTGCTATGGGGGTTATTTAAGATAGACAGATTCCAAAATAAAGAGGATATGTTTCTGTCCCGCTCACCTCCTTGACACATCCTTTTTTACACCTTTCCCTCACTACTTTATTATCATAACTCCCCTTTGCTACAACAGCAGCAATCTCCTTACAACTTTGTTAGGAGTGGAAGGAAGAGATGTAGATGTATTATGGTGTTGCGTGTCTATTTATCTAAAGCTACTGTAACAGGAGCAGAGCAAGAGTGTATGAACAAAGGACAGAGAGAGTGATAAGGACGAGAGGAAGGACGAGGTAGTAGGAGGGACAAGAGGAAAGGCTAGAAAATGGATCAGGTTTATTGTACAGAGAGAGAGGGTATTTATACGTCTATGATATTAGGCATGCTGGCGAGGTAATAATAAGCAGGGGTAATGTGTAAGACAAACACACAAGATATTAACAAGGTAAGTAAGGAATAAGGCAGTAGAAAGCAGGAGGCAATCTACAATCCTGTTACACTATGATCCTGTGACACTATGATTATGATACTATCACAACGGTCTACGATACTATCACACTTTTTCCGTAATGTTGCCGATATATTCCAGGTGTACCGCGACATGGCCCCACATTCCCCTCACTTTGTGATGCTGCTGAAAGGAGGTGCGCATTTGTGCACCTGCCGGCGGCTCCAAAACAAGGGTATAGTCTGCTCCCATTTCTTCTCCGTAATGAGAGCATGTGCCGAGTGCCGATACCACATTAGGCTAACGAATCGACGTTGGTTCAAGGAAGAAAAGCAGGACTCGGTCAGCATGGAGATGGACATCATGTCAAGGCCTTTCATTTACGCAGACAAGTTCAAATCCGCTCCCGAGTGGAAAATAATAACCGGGGTTGCGATAATCAATGAGGTTATGGGGAAAATGGAATAACGAAACAAAGAGAGGGATCTGTTTATTCAGGAACGAAGAGTGCTTATGTACTCTTTGTTCCCTATGTTACACGCGATTATAGCTCAATGGACATCATGTCAAGGCCTTTCATTCACGCAGACAAGTTCAAATCCGCTCCCGAGGACATATTACCGGACGACCAGTTCCTGACGACCTACTTGTATTTCTTTCCGGAACAAGTCTATGCGGTCCGTCCACCTCTGTCAGCTGCCGTTATTTCAAGGCGCTTTGAGGCGATCGACAACCACGTTTTGCAGATGAAAAGGAAGGCAACAGATCTTGATCAAGAAGGATTTGAGGAGCTCAGGAAGGATTGCGATCGCCAGGCATCGAAAAGGAAGCGCGTCAAGGTTCTTTCACATCAAGCGGTAGACGACAACCCATTTCCAGAGGATGGCAGCGAGTGTGAGGAGACTAATCGATGGATATACTCCCTCTGAAGTGTCAGACGATAGCAGTGAGGACACATAAGTTCACGATGACTTGACAGTCAACTCTAGGTGTGGGTATCGCATCAAGACGAAGCCCGTCCGAGAGAGTCCCGACAATACCCTTTCAGACGATGAGGGGTTTCGAGATGGAGGGTCTATCGATGAGGGATCCAGTAGGGAAGGATTTGATGATGAGAGGTCAGGAAACGAGAGCTCCGTCGGCAAGGGTCCAGTTAGAGGTAGCGCACGCCATACGTGTGATGACAAGGTTGGCTCCTTAAACGACATGCCCCTTTCGAAGAGCTCCAGCGACGAGGATTCCAGTGATGAGGGTTCTGGCGATAGTTGTTATGAGATGAGTCCTGCTGAAGGCTGTCGAGATGTGATGGTCCAAGATCCTGAGGAGGGAAAGAAAGAACGAGGGCGAAGGAAGAATAGACGTCACAGGAGCAAACTCGAGGATCCCAACCGAACCCGCGCTCAACGTAGTTACTATCAGAGACTCCAAACTCTGGACGGCAAGGATCCAGCCAAGAAGAGAAAGCGATCTCACACTTGCTCCCACTGCAAGAAGCCTGGCCACAAAATCAAGAAGTGCCCTAAGTTGGCTGCGCCAAGGGCGAAGGGGGCCGTGAAGAAGTCCAATGAGAGGGGAAGTAGGCCGTGGTCGAGAAAGCAGTGATGAGAGTGGCCAAGAAAGGGCTAACGAGGGAGAAGGAGCTTGAGAAGTCAAAATGCCAGTAATACGGCAGCATTGAGGTAATGGCGAAAGTAGAGCAGGCTGCGAGGATGGATCTAGAAATCATTAAAGAAGTAAATAACCCTGACCTTCTTACTGTTACTTTATTTTTATTTGGTGGTGTTTTAATAAGTCGTCAATTGCTCTTGGCAAACGAAGAAGGAAAGAGGTTGAGGTTGTGAAAAGAAGGAGAGGAAAGAACGAAAACGTGCACCAAATAATGGGGAAAAGATGATACAAAGCGGATAGGGTGTGGAGGGTTTATAGAGTAAAAATGGTATTAGGTTCCCTAATAGGTTACACGGGGTACAAACCATGTACCAAGTTGTACTGAATGTTACACGGCGTAGAATCCATGTACTGAATTGTACTGAAATGTACTGTGCGATCAAATTGCAGTACCACCCATGTACTGCAATTTGATTGATCCAAAAAAAAAAAAAAACCTCATTTTCATAGCTAACAGACGCCGTGAAAGACCCTTTTTACAGTTCTTTCTCGCCTTTGATCTTCAGCAATGCAATCGTGGACATGTCGCCACTGTAGATATTAAATCCGGCACTCGGGATAGAGATCTCCAAGAGCTCCTCGTACACGCCGAGTTGCTCCAGCGCAGGGAAGATTCCTGCATTGAGTGCCATAATTCCACCTAAAATGACGAAAATGAACAACGGTAAGTGCTTCTTGCCTTTCTGCTTCACGTTGTGATGACAGTCTGCAAGGATCAAAGGTAGGGATGAAGAAGAGGGAGGGGGAAGTGTAGATATTACCGAGAGGACGAACAAACTTGGATCGTTCATAGATCTCAAAGGGGATGTTGGCCTTTTGAAGGGCAATGGCGAGGAGGCCTGCCAGGCCGGCACCTACAATTAGAACTTGGGGCGGCTTGATATTTGCGTTATTCGATGGAGACATGTTGGAGGGGCATGCAGCGGATGGAATCGATCCGAAGTGTTTGAAGTGAAAAGGGTTACGAGATAAGTAGAGAGGAAGGGGAGGAGAGAAAAGGAGAAAAAGAAAAGAAGAAAAGACAAACAGGTGGTAAATAAGCGCACTCGGCATCGGAACAACCGCTTGCTGGATTCTGAACCCCCTTCGTGGTCTTTTACTTGAACAAGTTTTTTTTGTTTTGTTATTGTTGCAACCTTTGTTGAGCTCAAAAAAAAACAAAATGGAAGGAGTGCCTTTTTCATACTCCAATGATGCCCGTTTGTCGCAACCCCGAAGGGAGGTCTGAACCATAAACCGGTTTGTGCTTCGAGTTCGTCAATGGCACGTCAACTTTTCAATACGAGAACGTAAGGATACTACCCTCTCTCTCGTCTGCACCCACCAAAGAACCACACGCACCACGCTTAAACCATGCACAAAAATATCTCCATCAAGGAACGAGCGGATAAAGTTATCGAAGAAACAACAACCGGTATGTTCTCTATCTGCTCAGCTACCTTCTTAACCCACGACCCAGCAGGGCAATTAAACAAAAACCGATGGAAGCAACGACCTGACAAGAGAAACGAATCAGTTCATCCAATGTCCCCACGCGAGGGTCCTTATGGTGTATTTTTTTCTGAGCAATTTTTTGTTTTTCTTTCCGTCGTTGTAGGTGTTTGTTTGTGCGACGTTACGCCCAGACAGCTCTTGCATTTTTTTCGAACCCATTTTGCCACTCAACTATCAACCTTTAACCCTTTCAGCCGAAGCACCATACACGTCCTTCGTTTTCACATTCATGTTCTTCGGTCTGGGCCATTTTATGTTCACTGTCTTCTCCATCCCCCCTTCTCTCACTTTCTTTATCATCTTCCCTTCCTCGCTTTCTTCCTGATTAATCCATAACCCCTTCCTTTTCCCGTTTGCTTCACTTTCATTTGAATCCTCACAACAACATGAACGGCTATAATGAACAACCATCACAACAACAGCAATAACAACATCACAACGAACGTCCACCGCCGCCACGCGTCAACGACGGGAAACCCCCTCACGTCGTGATTGTAGGAGCGGGACTGGCTGGACTCCTACTCGCGATCCTACTCGACCAAGCCTCCATCTCCTGGGAGATCTACGAACGATCCAAAAAGATCCGGCTCCTTGGTAACAACGAGACATATCATATGTGCGATTCTCATCCCCTTCGCTTCATGTCATTTCTCGTCAATGGCTGAAGTGGTGATTATCAATTGACGAGACAACAAAAAAAATATCATTTACTTTTGCTAATAAAATAGGAGGGATCATAACGCTGAATGCGGGCATATTTCCGGCGCTTGAGCAGCTCGGGATCTATGAGGAGTTTCAGAACGTCTCGTTTCCCAGTCAACAGTTCAACATCTACAGTGGAGGCATGGCCAAGATTGCCACCCTCAAGACCAAAGGTGAAAAGAAATTGTACGTCCCTCGTTTTTGCATGTTGTTTTTGTGTTGTTCGCATTCTTGTTCAGGCTTCAACATTGACATGCAGGTTGACGATTGTAATCATGGTTTAGTGCAAAGAGAAAATCGACGGGCTCTAATATAAAAAAATATATATATTCTCCTTTTCTATGTGCTCGCATGCATGCATGTGTGTCGTCCCCCAATAGAGTGGGGTACGATCGGATGGTGTTTTCACGGCCAGGGCTGTACAACCTCCTGATGGCAAGGGTGGCCTCAGAAAAGATCCATTACAACAAAAAGGTCGTGTCGATTGAACAGAACCAGGATGGGGCCATGATCCTGTGTAGTGATGGCACAACCTACTATGGCGACATTATCGTCGGTGCCGATGGCGCCTATTCAGGTAGAGCAACTTTGCCTAAAACCATTTGACCAGTTTTTTCTCTAGTGTATTCGATTCACGTACCACCGTTCTCAACCTCGCTGTTCCAATATATCCATTCTGTAGGTGTGCGACAGGGTCTGTACAGACAACTCCAAAAGATAGGACGGCTCCCTTCCTCGGACGCACTGGAGTTGAGCAAAGGATACATATGTATGGTTGGCACGACCGAGCCTCTTAACTCAGTCCATTACCCGGTCTCGATGGCGAAGTCTCCAGCGCGTATCAAGTCATTGGCAAGAAATCAAAATATTCCGTACGTGAACCAATGCCTCCTTTTTTTTCTTTCGCTCCGGTATTAATGTGGATACTTGCTACCTTATTTTTGTTTATCTTTCTATTGCAATTGCCCTCCTACCTCATAGTGGAGCGCATTCTCGGTGCCGGGGAACAGGATATGCTGGAACGTCGTCTCACAACTCGCAACATTCCAAGAAGCCGTCGATAAGAAATTTCGAAACTCGGAATGGAACCCTCAAACAACAGAACCCATGATCGCCGAAGTCAAGGACTTTCTGACACCCTTTAGAGGCACCATGGGCGAATTGATCTCGGCCACACCTACGGACATAATCTCTAGGGTCTTTTTGGAGGACAAGTTGTTCGAGACCCGGCACGCTGGTCGGACAGTCCTTATAGGCGACGCGTGTCATAAGGTATAAAAAACAAAGACTTGGATACTGGATGTGTAATTTTTTTTGATAGTGAGATCTTCATATTTTTATCCTTGGTGGTTCTTAATCCAACTAGCTGCTCCCAAGTTCAGGACAAGGAGCAGTGACAGCGATGCAGGATGCCGTCGCATTAGCAAACTGCCTCTACGAACTAAAATCCTTCTCGCCAGACCACATCCAAGAAGCACTTCAAATCTACAAAGACGAACGGTTCTCTCAAGTCCAGGAGCAATACGAGGCCAGTAAAGTCAACGCCAAACTGATCTACGGCCAGGTAACCCCACACGTACTCTTCATGCACAGCTCCCTCCATTTTGAAACCATAACGATAACGTAACGAATCTTCAAAATGCTTTTTTTTTTTACTCCCTTTCTACGTCACGTCCATTTTTTTTTCTGGTATCACTCCTGGTCCTTGAAATGGTAGACGTTCCTGGAACGGTGCGCACGGCATTTGATCTTCAACTATATGCCCATGTCGGTACAGGCCAAGGCGTCAAGTAAAGGAATGGCCTACCGACCCCAAGCATCCTTCTTGCCCCTCGTCGCCGACCGAGGGACATGTCATGTCATGCCCCAAAAGCCCTCAAAACGCTACTTGCATGAACAACTCAAGAACTCCGCAGCAACAAATGCCACGGTCATATAAAGGGAAAAAAGGGGGGAGGGGGGAGGGGGGAGCGTGCATATTCAATGCTGAAACTCCCTTTTTTTCGGAACGCGTGAAGCATTCAACCTTTTTGCTCTTCTATTCCATTCTCCTCTCTTTTTCCCATGGCGCGTTAAGTTTTTGTCTACGTTCGTTGTAGGTTTGCGGTTTATATAGTTGCGACTTGAGCATGGACGACGGAGGCGAGATAAAGAGGGTCTTGACGAGACTATGCTTGGGAAATGAAAAAAAAACAAACATCCAGTATGTGACCATGCTCACTGCGCACACACAGGAGAGTTGAAATAAGGTTGTGGTTTTTGACGAGGCGCAACGGCGCACTTTTCTTTCCTCACCCACCCTCACAGCATCCTTCGCAATTCTGCTTCTTTTTGGAAAGCGTGTATTTATTTATGTGATATTGTGGTATGCAAAATACAAGGTGCTAAAAGTCGGCGAGTTCGCCTCCTCCCTCCCCTCCCCACCATGGTCCGCAGGACACACTGTCCTGCATGGGTTGGGGGGAGAGAGGCACGCACTCACAACAAACAACAGCAAGGTAAATGGGATTTAGGCAGGAGTGATCTCGAGATCATTGTTGCCTCGGCTGTTGCTGCTTCCCTCGCCACTGCCAGTCGCAACAGCATCAGAACCCTCGCCGTGCAACAGCGGTCTCTGCTCGCCCGAGATGGCAGCCTTGGTCTGTCTCTTGGCATCCAAACGGAACAACCAGGCCGAGAGGAGACCCCAGTAGATAATATACGAGCCCACAGTCCAGTACGAGGCAATGTTGCTCCAACCAACCAACGCGTTGGCGACACCCCACCAACCGGCATCAGGCTTCTTGGGGTCACAGCATTTGAGCGCCCAGAGGTTGACACGGGGATCATACGTGCCATCATCATCACCCTGGGCGTTGGTCAGGCGGTTCCAGCGATCCGACTCAAAGGCAGCAATACCCTTGGCGACTAACCCGGCAGCGATCAGGAGAAGCAAACAGGTCGAGCCAACAAAGAACCGGTGCAGACGCATATGGTTTCCTCCACGGTAGATAGCAAATCCCACCAACCAACCCAAAGCAACACCAGCAACAATAGCCAAAGGCATAGCTTCCCACTCCTCATTGAACGTAACACCTCCAATAAAGACAACGGCCTCGAGACCCTCACGGAGGACGGTGACCAGGGGGAGGAGGAAGAGGGCGTATTTCCGGGACTGATAAGCGAAGCGGCCGGCACCCTTGGAGTTGCTGTTGGAGATCTGGTTGTGGTTGTCTTCGTCAAGGGCCTTGAAGAGCTTTGTCTTCCACTTGGCCTGCATCTGGTTGGTGCGGAGCATGGCCAGACCCATGACGGTGATCATCAGGACTGCGACGAACGAGAAGCATCCGACCCAGATACCCTCACTTGCCGCCCACAGGTTGGTCGCATACAAGTTCCTATTTATTATTCGCAGTAATAACGATGGATTATTGTGGGTTAGTATGCCATGCGCAGGAGAGCATATGTTTGCATCGTGAGAGTATTTTACAGGAAAAAAAAGAAAAAAGAAGGGATATTTACCAGACAACGATGTAACCAGCCCCAATGATGAGCGATACCACCAACCCCAGCACAGTACCTGCCCAGACCTAGATTACCCGATCCGCAAGACAAACAGCAAGTGCAATTTATGTTAGTTCACCACATCAACAACTCGACAAGTTCACAATAGACAACATAGATAGAATCCTTTCCCACCCCCTTGAGCGAGCAGAATCGACTCTTTCTCCTCTCCCTCTACCCCTATTATCCAACGACCTGAAAGGGAGCAAGGATAAACCGACACTAGCCCTTCCCGCCTCCTTCTCTCTCATAACTACTTCAATTGCCTTTCACGCCCTTATCCCTTACCTGACGAGCCAAACGCTGGCGCAGGGCCTGGTCCTTGGGCTCAGACAAAACCTGGCTCAGGAACGAGAGTAACACAGAGACAATGATCGCTGCCTCGGTCGTTTCTCGAAAAATAATGAAAAACGTAGGTAGAGAAAAGGACAACGTCATGGCTAGTGGTATTTGTATGTATGTGAGGGAATGTGATGTATGCTGGTGTGTATGCGATGTCGAGGTGTGTGAATGAATGAATGAATGAATGAATGAATGAATGAATGAATGAATGAATGAATGAAGAAAAAAAAAAAGAAAGGTCGATTCGTGGGAGAGGTGAGGGTGAGGAGGAGGGGACAAAGAGAACAGACAAGGAAGAAATATACAGCGAGTGTTCTTATTGTGGAGGAGAAAGAGAGGGAGGGCGTAAAGGGAGAGGAGGAAGGAAAGAAAAGAAGACAAAGAAGTTTGAGAGGAGAAAAGAAAAACAAAAAGGGCACTTTTTTGGCTTATCTGATTGAACTGCATTCACCTTTTTATCAGATGGAAAGTGGGGAGCCAAACGAGACACACAGTTCCCAAGCCACTTATCAGATGTATTCCCAAGAAGGCAACGACCCACGGCGCATCCCCTTTCTTTTTCTCTCTTTTGACAGTGGAAGAAGGTGCAAATGGAAGGAGTCATTGGAAGCAGGACATCTTTGCTGCACTACGCTACTACGAGCATAACACAATAGACAACAAACACACAAACAAAAGAAAAAAACAGCGCTAAAACTCATTCTAGAGGTGCCACCGGGTGCATAGGAGTTTTAATTCGACGGTCTAAGGTATCCCAAGAACTACGGGCGTGTGTGCCTACGTCAAACTGGGGAAGAAGAGCGCCATATGAAAAAACAAAAGAAAGAAAAGAAAAGACAACCAAAAGAGGAGATGCGACGATTCCTTCCATCTAAACCGCAACATCCATAACCCGCTCTCTCTCTCTTCACACACGAACACATAGTCACCTTGATTACAATTAGTCGCCTCTTTCTTTTTATTGAAGAAAGAAAAGAAATGAGAATGGATAAAATGGATATGAACAGCCAAAAACACGACAAAAGGTGGAAAACATGGTGATGATAATGACAATGACAGTGAAAAGTTTACAATGAAAAAAAGAAGAAAACACAAGAAAAAAGACCTCTATACCACTAGGGAATAAGAACTACCCAAAAACAATTGAACGTGAACAAAAGGTAAACCAAGGAAATTACATAAAAACCTTCACTCCCGCTCTACTTCTTCTGAACACGCTTCGAGGCCTGAGCCTTGGACTTCTTGTTCTTTCCTCCAGCAGACGATCCCTGGGGCTGGCTGTTAATATAGTCCATCAACTCGTTCAATGACAAATGACCCTTCGATCCAACCTGCGCATCTGCATTCGCTGCACGGATAGCAGCCTCAGCCAAAGCAGACTTGGTGGCAGCTGCAGCGGCAGCCGAGAGAGACGTGGCCTTGTGGCTGACTTGGTGCTGTTGCAACTGCTGGGCCTGCTGCTCAAGCGCAGCTTTCTCATACAAAGCCTGGTTGGCTGTGTACTCGGCAGTGTTCTTGAGCTCCGACAACCAAACCTCGGCCTCCTTGGTCCTCATGTCCTCAGCGCCAACCTACAACAACAAGGCAAGACACAGACGATTAGTACACAAGAAAAGAAGAAAACAATAGTTCATGCATGACACAAAAATCTCCAACTGGACTTACAAGCTTAAGGTACATGTCGTAGGCGAGCTGCTCCTCCTTGACAGAGGTCTCAAAGTCTCCCTTGAGGGCATAGGCCTTGGCAAGGACGTGATGGCAGTTGGCCAAGTTGGTGTGCTCCTTGCCGTGAGCAAGCTCCTGGGTGGCCTTGGCGCGCTCAAAGAACACGCACGAGTTGTCAAAGTCCCTGAGCGACTGCAACATGACAGCGACGTTGTTGTCGGCAGTGGAAGAGTCGGGGTGGCCCTTGCCATAGATCAAATCCCAATACTGGATAGCGTGCTTGAGGTACTTGAGCGCAGTCAAGGTGCGTCCAGAGGCGTGCTCAAACAATCCCAAGTTCAAGTAGTTGTGAATGGCCTCGGGAGAGTCGACACCCTGGGTTCTCTCAGAAACAATGACGGCTTTGCGCTGGAAGTCCAGGGCAACCTCTTTGTCGTCGGCGTGGTAGTAGATCATAGCCAAAGCCTGGTAGCAGCGGGCAGTTTCGGGGTGCAAGAAGCCATAGGTCTGCTCGTGGAGGGCCAAAGACTCCAACAACAACTCGAGACCCAACTGACGGTGGCCCTGGGCCAAACTGGTCTTGCCGGCCTCGAAAGCTTCATCAGCATAGGTGGAGCGAGTCGAAGCCTGTTTGACGAGAGGGAGGAGAGTCAAGACATCGCTGGGCTCAAAGGTGACGGCACGCTTCTTTGACTTTGCAATCTTGCGCGACTGCTTGTCGTGATTCTTGTCGGCCTTGTCCTGCTTGGCAGCCTTCTTTCCTGAAGCGGCGACGGGCTCAGCGGTAGCAGCAACAATGGGCTCGGGAGTGGTCGACTCGGAGAGGGGCGAGAAGATGTAATCGCGGGCCTCGACCTGGATACCAGCACGGAGACAGACATCGCGCAGTAGTGGGACCTTCTTCTCCTTAGCAATGTTCTTAACAAAGTTCTCGGGCAACTCGAAGCGGTAACGCAACAAAACCTCAGACTGGATGGCATCACGCAAGCTCTCAGGGGTGAAAAGAGCATAAGCATATCCGTCCTGAGCCAACGTAGCGATAGGGTTGGCGTTGAGCTCATGGCCCAACAAGCAGTTGAGGATGTGGGAGATGCAGTCGGCAATGTGGGTGGTAGGGAGACCGCGGAGCGCCTTGCGAATGATACGCTTGACGGAACGGACAACCATCTCCTGCATGGCCAAGTAGTGGATGTGGACAAGGGCAAGACCCTTGCTCTCCTTGGCCAAGTTGGCAATACGTCCGAGATATCTCATGTTGATACCACGGCGGTGCATGGCCTTGGTCAAGCTGCCACCGTCAATGGGTGACACGACATAGGCGGTAAAGTCCTGGAGCTATAACATTGGATGTAGAAAAACAATGTGAATAACGGATGATCATCATCGAAGAAGACATAAAAGAAACATATGATATGAATGTTTACCAGAACATTGATAACGTCCTCGCGCAAGAACTTGGAAGCCTCGCGAACGGTCTGCTCCTGCTGGGTCTTGGCATCAGCACTGTCGGCAGGGGTCTTGACCGAGGTGAAGGCGTCGACGTTGAAGGAAAGATCAAAGTCCAGAATGTTAACATCGTCCTCGGGGTTCGAGGGGGTAGCCTCCTCCTTGGGCTCTTGTTCCTTCTTCTCTTCCGACGACTCGACGGTGGCCTCCTTGGTCTCCTTGGCCTCCTTGTCGCCCTCCAATGCCTTTTTCTCCTCCGCACGCTTCTGGATCTCAAGGGCGCGCTCCTGTACCCACGCACGCAACTTGTGCTCCCAGAAGAGCAACATCAACTCGGGTCTCATCAAGGTCAGCTTGTGGGGGTACTCGGGGATATTGTCCTTGGCGGCAATATCGTTCTCCAAGAACTCGACATCGACAGGGTTAAGGCGGTAAAGATCCAAGAGGTAACGACGGCCGTCAGCGCCCATAAGTCCCTTAGTGTCGAACGAAGTCCAAAGGTTGGCTGACTTGCCCTCGCCATCCTCGACAGCGTGCTCGGCAATGTGGAGGGCCTTGGCGGCCTGGCCCAAAATCTCGTGGAACTTCTCGTCCGACTTGACCTGAGGACCGTTGTCGACGGAACCGTAAACGATCGATGACTCCTCCTGCTGTCTGAAGATACCGGGGACAATCGACTGAGCGACGACACGGATACCCTTGTAATCGACAACGACTGTTCCCAAGGTGTAGAGACCCTCAACGTCGACGCCGTTCAAGGTACGGACACCCTCCAAATCCTTGCCGGTAGCAACGTGAGCAGCATCGTCGCCTCCCAACTTCTCAAAGGTGTTGCGGCCGTCAAAGCCCTTGCTGAAGAAGATGTTGTTGTAGACGTACATGTGCGACTCCTCGGGCTCCAAGGGGTTCAGAGCAACGACGTTGCCGTTAACGACATCCATGGCGCCACGGACAGCAGCATCGGCGAAGTCAGAGCTGATCTTGTTAAGGAAGCGATCGCGCATGACGCGCTCCTGCAAGTTGGTGCGGGGGAGCTCACGGTGAGACTGAAGCTCGTCGTTCCAGTCGCGCAGGCTGTCAACCGAGTCAGTGCCATAGTTGAGGTAAGCCTCCGAGGGACGAGTGGGGTCGAAGGTGTGAGGAGCAGGCTGAATGGCCCAGGGGTAGGCAGGCTGAGCAGTGGTGACAGGGAGAACCTCGAGCATATGGTGGCGGGTAATGAACTCCTGGAGCTTCTTGAAGTTGGTAGCAAACATGGGCGAAACCTTCTCCAAGAGGACAATCAACGAGTGGTCGCTGGCAGCCTTGGAGTCTTGGCGAGGGGTGGGGTCAAAATGGTTGGAGGTCGACTTGTTGACATGGAATCCAGTGGCGGTCGAGGTGATTTGGACAGTCTCGCCCTCCAAGGTGGTGACAATCAAGTACATAAGATCGCCGCGAAGGCGAAGGTGGTGAGGGGGAGGGTTCCATCCCGACAAGGCGATGCTCTTGACGCACTGGACGGGGGTTCTCTCGAGACCCTTGGGGACGAAATCCGAGAGAGCAGCGGATGCGTTGACGTCGAACTTTGAGAAAACGGTGCTGGGGGCGGTCTCATAGGTTGAGTTATCCACGGGAATCTCCTCTACAGGTAGCGTAAAAAATGACATGTTCATAGGATGTCAGTCCATGTTTCGTGTTGTTAATTGAGGTCATATCGAATGTCCTCTTCAAAAGCACCTTTCTATCTTACCAACATGGCCAGACACAGTCGAGAGGAAGGACATGGCAGGGTCGATTCCGACAGCGTTGACGTTCAACTTGGCAGGTCCAGCAAGCAAATCGCGAAGGCGGTTGACGTGAATCCTTGCCTCGCGCTCAGTGTAGTTGTCTATTTCACAAAGTAAATAATATTGTTGCATGGTCAGTCAGTCATCCATTTTTGGGTTGTGCAGCTCGATGCACAGTAAAACCAAAGTAAAAACAACAACAAGCATGGAACAGGGCTCTCTCAATCTCACTTGGACATACTCAGAACCAAATCCAGCTCACTATCAGGGGTGATACCCTCAACATCGCCGAGCTCCATAAAGTCGTTCAACTTGACACCGTTGAAGGCAAGAGAGAAGCACGAGTGAATGCAAGTCTCTGTTGACTCGACAATTGACTGGCGAACATCCTGAATGGCCTCACGAGGGCTGGCCTAGACACAGGCAAGTACCACGTAGATCATCGAGTGAGAAAAAACAAGATGAGATGTTAGCACCATGTGTGAAATATCGCAACAATCAAGTCCTGATCCTGTTCGATTAGAGTAGATAGAAAGTGCACCTACAATGACCTGGACCTTTCCGTCCTTGTTGGGAAGGTTGACGGTGATCTGGTAAAACTCTTCGGCGCCGGCTTCTTCGATCACTATTGTTTGTGAAAGGGGTAAAGAGTAACGTGGGAGTTTAGAATCTATGTCTGAGTGATGAATGCAGGTAAACAAGTGGCCATCAATGTAGTATGTAGGATGGCTGTTTGTTGTGCAGGCACTCGACTCACCTTGCTCAGTGTCGACGACGGTGTCAGCAACGGGCTGTTCGGGTTGTTGGTCGGCCATAGCTGGAGCCAGAAAGAGACCGGAGGGAAACCCCAAGGAGAAAGAAAGTACGGAATTAATCCATGCAAACAGATCAAGGATTGAACAATAATATCATATAGACCGAAGAGTGGAAAGCAGAGAAAGATAAATCGTTGGTTAGTTTCCTGTCGCGTGCCCTCCTCAACAAGCTCTGGTCTTCGTCCATATGTTGTCCTTCTCTCCCTCTTTGACGAGATCATTCTGATCAGACCAAGTTCGTACCTGAAATGTATAAAAGAGAGGGATTTGAAACAGAGGCAAGGATTTTAGAGGGGGATCGAGATCATGAGCTGCTTAGGCGTGTTATGATAAGGAAAGAGAGAAGGAGATCCCGAGGTTGGTCAAGCTGTATGTGGTAATGAAGGGAACCGAGGGGTGAGGCGGGAGGGAAGAAGGGAGGGGAATGGAAGTGTGGGGAAGAGTGAGGAAAGAGAGGGAATGATCCCTTCCCTTTTTTCATTTATGGCCAGGCTGATCGGAAGTTTGGTGGCAGCATTCTGTCACCTGACCATTGACACATTGATGCAGACAGGGCAGTCACCCTCGGTCGTTTGGATGAAAACATCCCACGGACACGAACGCTTTTCGCCCTTGTGCCTTTCCCCTCGCTCTCTCACGTATTCATCTCTAGCTCTATGGTTCGTAAGAATCCTCGGCAATGTTGCATCAATTGAACATATGTGCGCTATCAACCGGGAGCTGACAACATACATTCGATCCACCTTCAACCACGCTCATAGAAAAAGCTATATACCCCCCAGGGAAACGAAAAGCGGAGCTTTTATTAAGTTGGATGCTGTCGATCCCTAACACAAAAAAACGCGTCAACATCTCCTACCTTGGCGAAGACCCTCCTACTAGCCATACACTTAATCCCAAACTGCAAGCAACTCCCCATAAGTATCATCAAACCCGCCCACAAAACCACCGCCCAATACTTCCTCCCCAACAAAACCCGGAGATCGGCGACCCCAAACTAACCCAATCCCCAACGCTCATCTCCAGCCCACAGACGACCGCCGCGACCGAAACTGTTGAAGCCAAGTAGGGTCCACAACAGAGACCGTAGATGGCTGAGAAGGCTGCGAAGGTCCAAATGAAGAGGAGGGAGAAGGAGGAGGCGAGGGTGGCGAGGAAGAGGACGTATGTAGCCGATCCTTTCGGATATTTGACCCATGATGATTCGACCGAATTCTGATCCGCCGTTGATGAGTCCGACTATTTTTTGCAGTGGCGATGTCTACGCCATGCCCTGACCAATGGTGACAACCAAAGCCTGCCAAACTCACCGCCACTCAGAACAATCCCCGTTACAAGACCTCACCGCTTATTGAGCCATTGCGCCGGCAAGGTGATGGAGGAAAAAGTGGGCCAGACTGGCACCGATCCCGTAGGAGACTCCTTGGGTGGGGAAGAATTGCCGGATTTTTTTGTCGGGAATGCGGCGGAGGTTAATGAGAGAGTCATGATAGTGACTCCTGCTAGAGTTGCTTCACGGTGGCCGAAATGGTCGCAGATGGCGCCAGTGAAGGGTTCGACGAACTCGTTTGAGACCCATGATAAGGTACCGATCCATGCAAACTGGAATGTCGATGCCGAGCCTCGGGGTGTCTCTGTCAGACAGTAGTGCTACCGAGGGGAGAAAGAAGTATTTTTGAGAGCGAGAACGATTCACGACATAGCGACTGCAAAACAACAGCGCTCCATGAAACCACATAGCAGAGTTTCAAGTGCAAACAACAGACTAAAGATATACTTGAAATACACCGTTGGCGTTATAGAACCCCATGGGTACCATATGCAACATGAATCCAGCAAAGACAACAACCCAGCCGATGAGAGCTCCATCCTCAAGGTCGAGAAGGTTGAGGGCACTCTGTGATCCAGATCCAATAAGGAAATGGTTTTCAGAGTCGAGTGTGTGGGTCACATTGGTTTGCAGGTTGTTCAATGTAGTGGGAGGCTGTTGGATTAGACATAAGTAATATATGTGTGTGTGTGTGTGTGTGTGTGTATGTGCGTATGCGAGAAGGGAGGATTGAAAAGGTGTAGTGTCGCGGTTCCTTTAACACGCCGCAAAAATAAGAAGACAAAAAATAAGAAGACAAAAAATAACGTCGGCTCTCTCGTAGGAACAAACGTCTCTCAAGGGCAACGGCGGAGCCACCATCTGCAGCTGATACTTTATTCTTTAACCAATATACACTGGGCAAGAGCGAAAGAGAGAGCAAGGAATCAAGACAACCTTGAAGCAAGCTCTCTCAACACTCTCTCCGTCTGTTGCCATCATGGTCCCACCACCACCACCTTACCCTCCTGAGATCCAAAGGAAAAGGAATTCAATTTTTCGTGCTCGCACCCTTGGACTCGACATTGTCAATTCGGCCTTTCGCTGTCAGGGATGCATGTCAGCGACGAGTAAAAAAGAGAGCGATGATCCAAGACGACTCTTTACTATTGCTACCATGTACGCTGTTCGTAGCATGTATCCTTTGTCTTGACTTTTTCCTCTTTCTTCACTCCCATTTGAGAATTTGGCACTACGTCTTCCGTTCGCATCTGAGATCATATTAAAGTGCTCCAACATAATCTGCATGATGATTTCGTATTTGAACGACAAAAGAAAAGGCAGAATGCGGCACTGATGTCGCCCGTCCCCATGGGACTGAGAAACAATGAAAAGAGTGTGTGTGGATGAATAAGTAAACCAAAGCGAGAACATGAGAAGCGAGAGTGAGCGAGCGAAGAGTAAAGTATGAACGAAGGTGAGAGCAAGGGAAGGAAGATAAAGATATGGTAAGAACAAAAAGAGTGAAGAGATACAAGGCTCGTTCAGTCTATTGTGCGCCATTTCTACGCGTCTTGCTAACTTAGCTGGAACCTCCGTGCCTTTTTGTATACTATTCGTCTGGTGCACTGAGTCAATGATCGAGGAGAGAGAGGTATAGTGGTAGTAATAATGGTAAATAGAGATAGTGATAGAAGGATCTGGAAGTACAGTCAGATGTATGTAGTGGAGGAAGAAGAAGGAGAAGAAGAAAAGAATGGCAGCTGAAGGATCGCCGTCTTTGTCTTTATCCGCTGTCTGTGAGGTATGCTGGTAAAAAAAAAAATCAACAATCCAAGCTAATCGTAATAAGGTCATTAGTCCCCTTTCTCTTGCGCACACACCAGAGCAGGAAGCAAAATGCAGGGCGTGCTAGCCTACCTGTGCTAGCACCGTACCGCTGCTCTAGCAAGCGTACACAAATGAGTCAATCGTGTAATAAAGAAGGCCAGTCACTGCTCTTGGATGAATGATAAGGGTCACTTCCCCGAGGACAGCCTCTGATTGGCCCAGATGCTTACCACTTGCACGCGCCTGTTTGTCTTATTTATCTCCGAGCAATCCGTCGGATTTGTTTTTTTCTTTCTTCTCTTTCTACACTTTCAAGTTCACTTCACCATTCCACCCTCGAATTCAGTAACTGCCTTCTCTACTCTTTACATCGGCATAGACATATCCTTCCTGAATTCTCTCTTAATAGATCAGCACACCCCTCTCTCTCCCTCTCTATCTTAACGACCTAATACACACTCTCTAGCATTCAATTCCACTTTTCAATTGCATTTGTCCTTTCTGTCTTCACTTGTATAACAACAACAACAACAACAACACACACATACAACTACAACAACAACACAGCTTCTCATGATGCAGCAACAACAACAGAACTACCCATATACCCACTCCTCAAAGCCAGCAGCACAGCTCGCCCACCTGGCTGCTGCCTCAGTAGTACGGAAACCAGCCTACACTCAAACACAAAAGTTCAAGAGTAAGTCCTCGCTCTCTCTCTGCTTACCGACAAGCAACTGGATCTTTTCATCAATGTGGATCAGTGTCCACCAATCTACCGTCTTCACTCCTTCTCTCATCTCACCGCCATGATACTATCGATTTACTCCACCTATAGACCACTTCCATGCCGGTGCAGTATCCCTCTCGCTCTCATATGCAGTCATGCACCCACTCGACACCCTCAAGACAAGGATGCAGGTCCCCGGCGGCAAGGGCATCGCCTGGTCTGCCGTCTTCACCCGCGAAACTGTCCGTCTCCTTGGCAAGGGCTTCCTCATCAGCTCCATTGGTGCCGGTCTCCAGGTAATATTCTCTCCTTTATCTTGCCCCTCTCCTTTGCTACGAAACATGACCCATCACCCTCATCCCTTGCCATCTCCATTTTTGCATCTATTTTTTTTTTGACACCTGAAAATTCTAAACTTTATATCTCTTCTCTTCCGTTATCTTCATGGAACCGATGATTAGGGTGGAGCGCGCTTCTCATTCTACGAATTGACTAAATCATACCTCCTCCCACCAACATCCCGTTTCCAAACCGGCAACACCCCACCTCAACACCCCTGGTTCCTCCCAACCCTCTCCCCCATCCCCGCGACAGCCATCTCTGCCATCATCGGCGACCTCGCTTCCTCAGTAATCAAAGTCCCCCGAGAAGTCATTACCTCCCGCCTCCAAACCGGATACTACTCCAACATCGAGGGCGGCGTCAACGCAGGATATGTATTCAGGGCAGTACTCCGGGAAGAAGGCGTACGAGGCCTGTTCAGGGGCTTCTGGAGCACCACCGCTCGGGACTGTCCCTTCATGGTGATCCTCTTTACGACCTATGAGAACTTCAAGGCCTATCATACTCGCAACCTCCAGATCCAGATTACGTCCGACCCGAATTATATCGCCTCTTCGCCTGTCGAGGTCAAGATCCCACCCATGACTTCTACGTTGTTTGGAGGGATCTCTGGGTTCTTGGCAGGCTACTTCACAACGCCCATGGATGTCATCCGGACCCGGATCATGACCTTCAAGAAATCCGCTGCCGTCATCACTCCAGGACCCACTACAGGATCGATCCAGTCTTTGAAGTCAGTAGTGGATTTGACAATGACCGGAATCAGTCGAGAGATGTACCACCAGGCGACGGTCCAGGCCGCCCAGAAGAGTGTCCATTCGAATGCGTTTGTGGCGAGCATGCGACATGGACAGAGTGTTTACAGTACCTTCTTTGTTGGTGCGATCCCCAGGAGTCTGTGGTGGTTCTGTGTTTGCTCGATCTTCTTTTCGACATACGAGGTTATGAAGCAGAACTTGATGCCTTTGGACTACGAGCCCAACGCTACTCGCAAATAAACATTCTTCTTGAAGAAAAAGAAAATATCATATGGAATTGAAGGTTGTTGTTTCGATCTGAAAGTTACTACCTGCAAAGAAGATTTTGTCCTTGAGGATAGAGTGAAAGGAGATTTGAAGGTCATTTCGTAGACAGAGTGAACATTGGTCATTGTGATCACAAGAGAAGAGAAGAGAGGCAAGGAGAACATCGCCCTCGACTTCGAATGGACCTCAGGAAGACAGTTTTGGCCTCTGTGGAAATTTTTTCACTTCCCTGGACTTTGTGCCAAAAAAGAAAAAAAGAAAAAAAGAAAAAAAGACAAAAAGAAAAAAAGAAAGGGCAAGGGGTTGTCTTGTTGTTCAGTTGGTTTTATTAAGTGGGTAAAGTATAACTTCTTGCTGGAGATGTGAGGGGTATAGATGCGCTATGGCTAGGTCGTGCAGTAAGGTTGATTTAGACGTGGCGGATTTCGATCTTGTGAGTGGATCGTCGCTCCTCCTCGTCGACATTCGCACCACCCCACTGTGAAGAGCGGACCAAGATCGAATCAATCGCATCACGGACAGTCAAGTGGACCAACCCTTCCTCCTTCAAGAAGGGGCTCGAGCCCAGACCGTTAACCGACAAGGCAGCGGCACCAATGTCACCAGGAGCGGGGCGCTCCTTGGTCGATTCAACATTGAAGTTTCCACCCTTAGCGCTACCATCTGCCCTGCGGAGCTCACTGCCGTCATCAGATTCGATGTCCTGAAGACGGATCTCGCCACCATTGTTGTTAGTGCTCGCGCGGGAGAGAGGCGAGGTACTGTGGCTGTTGGAACCATCGTCGTGCTCGAGAACCTGGACCTCCTGGAGGGCGATGGGGCCGACGGGTCTGGTGATACCAGACAGTTCGAGGATGCGGAGGACGTTTGCTTGGATGCCGACAAAGTGAAGCTCAAAAAAGTACTGTGGGTAATCCGCCACACCAGCATAATCCTTCAAGATCTCGCGCAGGTCAAACAGACCCTGGAGACCGGTCGAGTCAATGTTATTCACGGCCGAGAAGTCGAGTACAACAGCCCTGAGGCGGGGGAGATCGTCATCTGTAATGTTGGACTCGGTACCATGAGCAGTCTTGCGGAGCCCATGGATATGGACCTCGAGATCGTCGGACCACAGTCGCTCGGTGGCGGACTTGACCTTGCCGCCGAAACGGGTATACTTGTAGGTCTCATCAACAACCCAGGTCTTGAAGGTCTCGGTGTTGGGGAAGGTAGTCGACTCCTCGATACGGAAGACCAAGACACCATGGGGTGCTGGGATGGTGTCGAGGGTACTATCGACAGATGCGTCAATAAAGACATCAGGACGGTCCTTGACCTGACGGAGGACATGGAAGTTAGGCCGGGCAACACGGAAGAGGAGGACGACGAGAGAGAAACCGACTCCGGCGGCGATACCGGTCTCGACAGAGACAAAGATGGTGATCCAGAGGGCGACCTGGGAGGAGAGGAAATCCCAGAGGTTGATCTTGAAGAATTGATAGAAAACTGAAGGAGGAGAGATCAAAGTCGACACGGCGACCATAATGACTGCTGAGAGGGCAGCATCAGGGATGTAGAAAAAGCTGTGTTGTTGCAAAACAAAGATAGGGGTGAGGACAAAAAAGCGTGGACACGAGGGAAGAGAAAGGATGTGGAGAGGATGGTTAGTGTTTTGCGAGGTTACACCCGGTACATGAAGTCATGCATCTTGACTTTGCGTAGCAGTAAAAGACCATCCATGTGGCCAAACAAATTGCAACTAGCCCTGGACTAAGAGGGCCTCAAGCTAGCTTTTGCTGTCTTCATCACGCCCTCACACCATACAACAGAACATGCATGCATGATCCCTTAAAAAAATAGAAAAAAACTTACACAGGTGTCAAGAAGAAGATGGCAAGGAGGACAAGAGCACCAGTGATAAAGCCAGCAAAGGGAGTCTTGACTCCACATTGGAACTTAACAGCAGAGCGCGAGAATGACCCCGTCACGGCGTAAGCGCCAAAGAAAGAAGCTGTAACATTGGCCAATCCAAGGGTCAACAGCTCCTGGTTCGAGTCGATTTGGTAGCGGTTCCTTCTGGCAAAGGCTTTGCCGATAGCAATGTGTTCAAGAATAGTAGCCAATGCAATCGCAGCCAGTTTGGGTGCAACCTCAGAGACCAGATCTGCGGGAAGCGTACCAGCAGCGGGTGGAGGCAAACCCGAGGGAACAGTCTTCAAGATCGAGAGGCGGTAGATGGGCTGACCCTTGCCGTCGAGGGGAACATTCTTGTTGACGGCGTAGGAGAGAGCGGTGGCGAGGACGGTGACAAAGAAGAAGCGCGAGATCTTGATCAACTGGATCGAGAACCGACCACGGCCCCATCGATCGACCGCAAGACCGATCGAGAGCAGGATGAACATGGCGACGAGTCCGAAGACGAGATCGAGCCAAGAGAGGGATTTGATGGCCTGGAACATGGTGATGATGATGGTGTAGACAGGTGCACGGTTATTGATGCCAGGTACTCCGAGCCATTTGGGTACCTGCTGGATAATAATCGTAGCAGCCGCACCGGTTGTGTAGCCGACCAAGACAGTGGTAGGGAAGAAATCAAGAATAATACCGAGGCGGAAAACACCGAGGAGCATAGTAAAGACACCGACGATAAGGCAGGACATGGCAGCAACTTCGGGAGGGGTCATCTTTCCGGCGAGTTCAGCAACCAGTTCTCCAGTGACGAGCGAGATAACAGCAGTGGGTCCGATGGTCAGATCCTTGGAGGTTCCCATGAAGCAATAAAAGATGGCACCGATGTAAGCAGAGTAGAGGCCGTGTTGGACCGGAAGACCGGCGACCTTGGCATAGGACATTCCTTGCGGGACCACAATTAGGCCGACTGTGACACCTGCAATGATGTCCCTGGCTGCCCATCCACATTGGTATCTTGGCAACCTGATAGGTTTTTTTTTGTTTGCATGAATCGAAAGATAAATTGGCAGAGAGGTATGAGCGCGAGATCGTGATTTACGAAGGAGGCAGCAAAGGGTACATGCGACTGGGTAGGAGAGAGTTGTATGTGTGTTTACCATTTGATGATGGGAAGACGTTCTGTGACATAGCGGGGGAAATTTCTTGGGAAGGACTTGAACCAGCTGCCGACGTTGCGACCAAAGTCGCGCAATTGTTGGTCAGCCATTATTATTGTTGGTGTAGGGGAGGAGGAGGAGGAGGTGCTGTGCCTTTGAGGAAGATGCTGACGGTATTAAAGGGGGGAAGAGGGATGGATGGTTTGTTGGATGAAGAGAAGTAAAAAAGGAGAGCAAGTGTCGAAAGGAAAGGAAAGAAAGAAAGAAAGGGAGTGAAGCACGAGGAAGTGCAAGAAAAGGGTGGTGGTGGTGGTGATTGGTTGGAGTAGATCGGACGAGTCGTGAAGAGCGAAGAAAGGAAAATAAGGTCAGAGGAAGGATTGGTGAAGGCGGAGAGAAGGGAAGGGGATGAGTAACGATCGATGAGGAGGCGGGGAGTGGGGTTCCTTTTATATGAAAAGAAGAGGACGACGATGACAGGCTGGAGGTGGTGGTATAGCATAGAAGATAGCCAGTTGAGTAGTAGCACAGTGGGCAAATGGGACAAAGGCACCAAAGGAGAAAGATGAGAGCACACTCACACAACGGAAATGAGGCAAAAACGAGAGAGAAGACCTTCCTTTTCGACAAATTTCTATCCAACCGCACATCTTTTTCATGTTGTTGTTGCACATCTCGGTGAGCACTGACACCTCCTTTCACTTGCACTCCACGGACAAAAGACTTACGAATGCGGATGAACATCACCATCCTTCCTTTCAATGCACAATAAACAAAACCTCACTTGTCCTCATAAGCACCTAAGGAGAGACAGAGAGCGAGACAGTGAGATAAAGAGATAGATGTAGGCTTACGATCACATCATTTGCAATCATGCAGCCATGCGATAGGCTGCATCGGATCACTTTCTTTCAAATCAATTCATTTCGCACTACTGATCACTCGTTCTTTTTTTTTTTTTTTTTTTTTTCTCCCTCTGTCTCATCCCTCGCTGCTCGGCCTGATTACTCCACACCTTTTCATTGATCACTTTCGCCGACCTGGACACCCCCTCCTCGCCCATCTTCGAAAAATGCTTCGCCGTTTCTTGATCGAGTGATTAATCACTGTCTCTTTCTGCCACTCTCGTCTTCTTTCTCCTTGCTTCAGTATCGTTCTTTTTGTCTTCTCGCCCAGTAGCAGCCCGGCAACCGCCTTCTTTGCCCCTCTTGTATCGTCCCTTTAAACTTGATCTCTCTCTCTCTCTATATCTCTCTCTCTGTATCTCTCTCTATATCTCTCCCTATCTTTCTATCTCTCTCTCTCTCTCTCTCTCTCTCTCTAAATTCTGAATTATGAACCGGCTTATTCGTTGCAAATGAAATGAATGTGTACGCTGAACAAGCCAGGTGACTCTTCCTCCTTTTTTTGTATTCAGTCTTCTCTTGTATTTATGGTTCTGAGCAAATCGAACTAGAGAAAATTTCGTCATTTTGCAAAGATCGTCGCCATCGGACTGAAGAAAAACGTAAAAAAGGGTCGTGCTCTCTTTCTTCACTTGCAGCGTGCTGTCCAACGACAAAAGAAAAACCTTGTTTACCAAAGCCGACAGATAAAACAAATCGGCAAATATACATACGCATAGACTACATAGACATCAAACAAATAAAAAAAGACGCCATCAACGACAAAACAAGATGGCACTCCACCCATCCTCCTTCTTTCCGTCCGTTTTGAGTGAGCATCTCGTTGTCCTAATGGACAAATATCGCCAAAAATAATAATCAGTCGTACAACCGACAGGTGTGGGTGGTGCGGAGGAAGGCGAGGAGTTCATGAAGGAGAAACAACAACAAAAAAAAGACGAATGAGGAAAGAAAAAGTCGTGTTGGACAAGAAAAGACCGTTTGAAGAAGCATCTGGACTCGCTTCTTGCTCTCTCTCTTCCTTTGCCGATTCTTCCATCCTTCGCTTCATTTTTCTGCTGTTTGGTACGCTTTTTTGTGTTGTCTGGATTTCGATCTTGGTTCATTTTTGTTTATTTTTCCCGGGTCATCCACTCTATCTTACCACCTAAGCTTATTTTTTCTTGCACTGCTCTAACCTGTCGGAGAAATGTAAGCGCGAGGATGTGACCGAAGGGAGTATGTATGGCGCGTTTTGTGTGATGTGTTAATAAACTGCCCTTGTGGATTAACTTCTGTAGACAGACACGAGATCCAGATCTACTGTCTTGATGCCTAGGAGAGCATAATGGGATCGTTAGAACAAGGAGCAAACAAAAGACAAAAAAAAAGATAGCACGCCTATCCCTTACCACTACTCTTAAATTTCTCTCCCGCCAGTCGATTTTTTTATTTTTGACACTAGCTGCTTGACAATCTAGTGGACGTGCTCTTTTTGACGTCAATTGGACGATTGGTTGGTGGGCACGCGTCGGAATGTGGTGTATCCCCTTCCTTTCTTTCCAACGACCATGTCTAACGTCTCTTATTGTTGTTTCTATTTGCTGCAATGGTGAACAGCGTTTATAGTTTTTCTTCAACGGATCAAGAGATGAATGTTGCTCAGTCAAAGCCCCCCTCTTGCTTTTTTTTTTTTTTGTTACAAAGCCCTCTTGCTTTTTTTTTTGTTACAAAGCCCCCTTGCTTTTTTTTTTTGACAAAGCCCCCTCGCTTCAGGCACAGGATCTGACCTATGTCACGTGCGATGCGTCCGTTGGAATGGAGAGGAATGCTAAGCCACTGCATTGGTAACTGATTTATGAGGCATGAAAAGAGAAGACAGACTCTTCAACCCTTCTTCACCACACCCAAAAACGCCAACATGAGCTTCACCCAAGAGGACACCCATGCCATCAACACCATCCGCGTGCTCGCCGCCGACACCGTCTTCAAGAGCAACTCTGGACACCCTGGTGAGTTACCTTGTCTCTCTTTCTCAGAATCAACCTCAAACGCGATTTAGAAGATCTACTTTTGCTACTTTATTTCTCCACCACGCCTGCGCAAGCACCATTTTTCTCTCTCCTTTTTACTGACTCTTTTTCTCACAACGCCTTGCCTGCGTTCATCTGTAATGTCCTGCGCTTCTTAGGTGCCCCTATGGGTTGTGCCCCCATGGCTCACTTGTTGTTCTCCCGCTTCATGAACTACAACCCCAAGAACCCCAAGTGGGTAAGGCGATGAAAACTTCAACCCTCTTTTTATTCTTTTTGACAATGTGAAACTACCAAGGATAGCGGACTCGACAGCTGACTTAGCAAATCTGCCCTGAATAAGTACACCCAACGACAATTCAAACTGACAGTTTGTATTCTTTGTTTTTCTGTTCGATCGTCGTTAATGATGGTATTAGGCCAACCGTGATCGCTTCGTTTTGTCGAACGGACATGCCTGCGCTCTCCAGTACATCTTGCTCCACTTGATGGGCTACCCCACCACCATGGACGACTTGAAGTCTTTCCGTCAGCTCCACAGCAAGTAAGTTCTTTGTTCATTTTCGTGACGTCTCATCTTTACTCTTTCTCCCACCTATACTCTAACCTCTCTTGGATACGCGATTGGGATGTCTCTTCTCAATTGATGTGAGAGAGGCACTTTCTTCGAGCGAGAGAAAACATGTTCGCATCAAGTGTTCAATCAACATAAAAGAGGATGAGGATGATGGTTTTTTGGGGGGACATGGTGGAAGCAGACGTTGTGTTTTGTTGTGTCGTTGGGGAATGGATGACCAAGTAACTCCAAAGCGGAGAGATTATTTTTTTATTTGATCTTTCTTCTTTCTATGCGTCACCCACCGTTTTTATTTTATTTTATTGTGGACTGCGAATCAGATCGCGTCCCCACCCTAGTGTCTCCTCTCTGTGTCCCTTTCATTTTCTTTATCTTCTTGGGGCGAACACAACGCAACAAAACGCCGACATACAACATCATCTGTCAATCCAGGGTACAATCCCCCCAGCAACCATAGTGCCGACATTACCCATCCACTTCGCCCTTTTTTTCAATTGGTGCGCTATCTAACCATGTGATCCTCCTCTTCTTCCTAGGACCCCCGGTCACCCCGAGTGCCACATGACTGAGGGTATCGAGGTCACAACCGTAAGTGCATCTTAACATCTTTACTCTCCCACGCTTCGCCTCCAACGGATCATCCCTTTCTTCTTTCTCACCAATGGAACGTTTCATCCTACAAATAGGGTCCCCTCGGTCAAGGTTTCGCCAACGCTGTCGGTTTGGCCATCGGTGAGGCCCACATGGCTGCCACCTACAACAAGCCAGGCTTCGAGCTCTTCAACAACTACACCTTCATGATCACCGGTGACGGATGCTTGCAGGAGGGTGTTGCCAGCGAGGCTGCCTCCCTTGCCGGGTAAGTCTTTATCTGTACCCATCGCGAGAGTGCAGGTTTTTCCTGGCAACCTTCTCCACATTTTGTGTTGGGGCTCAAAGATCCACAAAATGGATAGCGAAATATGTTGGTGAGCCAGTAAGATAAGCACAAGCCCCAAACTCAACTCTCTTTGTAATTTGTTCTTTTACATTCTTTTTTCTAACAGACACTTGCAGTTGGGCAAGTTGATCGCTCTCTACGATGACAACCACATCTCCATCGATGGTGACACCGAGGTCTCCTTCACCGAGGACGTTGTCAAGCGTTTCGAGTCCTACGGCTGGCACGTTCTTGTCGTCAAGGACGGCAACAGCGATCTCGAGAGCATCGCTAAGGCTGTCGAGGAGGCCAAGAAGGTCACCGACAAGCCCACCTTGATCAAGGTCTTCACCACCATCGGTTTCGGTTCCTTGATGGCCGGTTCCGAGAAGGTTCACGGATCCCCCCTCAAGGCTGACGATATTGTTCAGTTGAAGAAGGCTATGGGCTTCAACCCCGAGGAGTCCTTCCATGTTCCCCAGTCGACCTACGACCTCTACCACGCCAAGGCCACCAAGGGTGCTGCCATCAACTACGAGTGGGATGCTCTCCTCGAGAAGTACTCTGCCGAGTTCCCCACCCTCGCTGCCGATCTCAAGCGTCGTTTGGCCAAGGAGTTGCCCGAGGACTGGGCCAAGGCTCTCCCCCGCTTCACCCCCGCTGACAAGCCCATTGCTACTCGCAAGCTGTCCGAGGCCGTCCTTAACAAGGTCGCCGATCTCTTGCCCGAGCTGATGATCGGCTCCGCTGACTTGACTGGATCCAACTTGACCCGCTGGAAGACCGCTGTCGATTTCCAGCCCGAGAACTCTGGCATCGGCAACTACTCTGGACGCTACTTGCGTTATGGTGTCCGTGAGCACGGTATGGCCGCCATCATGAACGGTTTGGATGCCTATGGCGGTATCATCCCCGGAGGTGCCACCTTCCTCAACTTTATCTCCTATGCCTCTGGAGCTGTCCGCTTGTCTGCCTTGTCCGGACACCGCGTTCTCTACATCATGACCCACGACTCCATCGGTGCGTTCCTCTTTTCGTTTGTTACTTCCAGCCCTGCTATATGTGTCAAAATCATCTGGAATCTTTCTCTGACCCTTCGTTTGTGTTTTTCCTGAATATTCAATTAGGTCTTGGAGAGGATGGTCCCACTCACCAGCCTATTGAGACCATGGCCATGATCCGTGCCACTCCCAACTTGGTTGACATGCGCCCCGCTGACGGTAACGAGACCTCGGGAGCCTACCTCTTTGCCATCTCTGCCAAGGACCGCCCCACCGTCTTGGCCTTCACCCGTCAGGACTTGCCCCAGCTCGAGGGCTCCTCGGTTGAGAAGACCCTCTTCGGAGGCTACGTTCTCCAGGAGGTCGAGGGTGCTGATGTTACCTTGGTCGGTACTGGATCTGAGGTCTCGCTCGCCGTTGATGCCGCCAAGTTGCTGGCCGAGCAGGGTATCAAGGCCCGTATTGTCTCGATGCCCTCGACGACCTTGTTCGACGAGCAGTCGCACGAGTACCGCGCCTCGGTCTTGATCGATGGCGTCCCCTCGGTCTCAGTCGAGGCCATGACCACCTTTGGCTGGAACCGTTACGCCCACGAGTCGTTGGGCATTGATACCTTTGGTGCCTCCGGCCCCTTCAAGGAGGTCTACAAGTACTTTGAGCTCGTCCCTGAGGATGTTGCTGCCAAGGTCCAGAAGATCGTTGCTTTCTACAAGAACGAGGGTCACGTCCCCTCGCTCGTCCGCAAGTACTTCCACTAAATCCCTTCGTCTAATATCCTGTAGATAGAGATGGAGATATGCTTTTTTTTGTCCACTCATTTTTCTTTTGGTTGGGTTCTTCTATCTGGCATTATCTCCCAGCATTCCAATAAACAACTGTAAATAATCAAATGCTGTTGTTTATTCTTCATTTTTCTATTGTGCATGCAACTCTGTAAAAAAAAACCCCCCCTCCTTCAATCATTTAACCAGAGATCTCGGTCAACTCGATAAGCCTCTCATGCGAGAACTTCTCAGGCTGTCTATGGAAATCTTCCAACAACTGCAGCTTCTCTGGTTGATCGCCCACATAATACTGTTGCAATCCAAACGTCAGAATCTGGGCATGGTCCAACGTCAGGACCCTTGGGCTTGTCGAGACCACACCGTGCATGAGGACAATCTGTTTGTCGTCAATCAGTTCTGGGTAATGAGTGAGTGTGAGGAAAGGGCGGGCGTTCTCGCCGTGGGTCTTGTATTCCAGGAGGGAGGTGAAGATGACTTGGTGGAATGCGAATTGCATCAAGTAGAATTCTACTCCGTCGCCGTGGCTCAATGGCAATATGAACTATGTTGTAAGGAAATGACAAGAATATGAAGTGTAAAAAACGAGAATATTGGTCAGGACAAAGAAAATTGATAGACAGATCCGATGCTTTGCGTTACTGCGTAAGACGTTCTCAAGGGGAAAAAAATATGTTCAAAGAAAAAAAAAAAGTGGGGGGGGGGGGCCTTACGAGGGGGTAGTCTTTGGAGCGCTTGAGCATCTTCTTGTAGGTCTCGGCAGGAACCACGGCCGAAATGCTGTCGTCCTGATCCATGTGTTTCTGAATCCAGATCTTGCTGATAGCTTCGGCGTCCAGATCCTTGACCAAGTCCAGCTTCATAATCTTATCCAGCGACTATTTTTTAAGCAGAAATGTATAAGGCAGGGTACGTTAGTCAGTGTGTTCTTGAGCTGGGAGAAGCGAGTGTGCAATTGAGAAGACTTACAGGATTTCCAGAGCCAGGAGCGCCGCCGGCCGAGGAAGAAGAAGCGGCAGATGTAGCTCTGGCATCAGCGACGGGCTGCTTCTGTTTCTGTGCTGATGAGGACAAAGACTCCTTGTTATCGGTCTCGAGTGGTTGGACCTTCTTGAAGGCAGTCTGGGTAGTAGGCAAGACCTTTGCCTTCAACTCCTCAATCGACTTGACACCCTCCCTATTCGAGTAATTAATTACAAAGGACAAAAAAAAAAAGGGTCAGCCAAAAAGATCGGGATCGGGGATATCCTCATCCATGTCTTCTTCTCGCTCTAATTGTTTCCCGAAGCAACGTCGTAATCGACTCTCCACTTATTATCCTCGTAAAGGGAAAAAGGGATGACTTACTCCTTGGCACGCTGCTGCAGCTTATCGGCATACTTCTGAGTATAATCGATATGCTTTGAGCGGAAAATGATTCGGCCAGGGGCAATCGAGGCATAGTTCGAGGTGCGGGGGGTAATGCTGGTAGGGACACTGCTGAATCGGGGTCCTGTTGCCAGACGGGTCGATGCCGTGAGGAAGGAACGGAATGCTGATGCCATGGTTGAAGGAGAAAGAGCAAAGAATGTGTGACAGAGTGAGATAGAGAGAGAATGTCAGGAACCCAATGGAAGGGGAGGGGAGCTTCTACTATTTATCCAAGCCACCGAATCGAAGGGGGACTTCGCCAGGACATACAAAACTCCCGATAGATGCGAAGCCAACCGTTCAATTAAGTCCATATCATAGCAAGTGACGCGGTATTTACAGGAACATATCCGTGTCAGCACCCCGGAGAAGCCAGTGCAATGTTGATGATGGTAAGATGTGACATGTATATTGTATGCTTTGTGCAAAATGTAAGTAAGAAAGGGGATCTAAGAAAAAGAGGTCTAATTGGTAATCTCAGGAAGAACAGTATTCTCGCCGACAACAACGCAAGTGCCATCGGGCATTGTCAACGTGAAATCCGTAGTAATCCACTGTTTAGCAGGCCGGACCGCCACAAAATGAACCCTTCCCTCGGCTTTATCTCCCCGGACCTGGAACTCGATATCGACCCTTCCCTTCAAATGTGCGACTGTCCCCGAGATCCATGGCCAGCTCGGGTTAACGAAATCGATTTTGTCACCCAAGAGTTCCTGGGCCTTAGTATCGAATTTGACATTGAACAGTGTTCCACGGACGATGGATGTTCCTTGACGTTGATGGTTGGCAGCGACGGCGATCGATCCGGCCCAGAAGGCGAGTCCTAAGATTCCGGCGAGGATGAAGACGGGGGTGCGGGAAGCGACGTTGGGGAGTTGGGTGGTTTGGGCCTTGAATTGGGGGCTGTGCTGGGATTGGTTCAGGGAGGATGTGCTCTTGAAAGCTGGGTTCTGAACGAACTTTGACGTTGCTGTTGCTGAACTATTGCTGCTGGTGGTTTGCTTGGACGCGGATGTGTAGAATCGGACGGAGGAAGGTTTTGATGACACGCGAGGCATGAGGGTGGAGAGGATCGAGCGCTGGAGGCCCAGAGTATGCTGAATGCGTGCGCAGGTTGCCATGGTTGTTGTTTGTTGTTTGTGAATGTACAGTCTTGTTGGTCGCTCCTTGCGAGTGTTGTTAGTGACAATGAAAAAAAAAGAGTCGATCCGACACACGGGTCAATGGGTGGAAAACGGGGCAAGTGGCTTTCGGAAGGAGTGCCTGGTCAGGATGCAGTCACGACACCGTTTGGTAGAAAATCATTGACAGAAAAACGCGAATATTCTTTCTTCTCCTGCGGCTCGTCCTTTCCCTCCTTCCTCGTCTACCTTCTACTACAGATCTAGCAATTCAAACCTTGGCTATCAACAACAAGTCTATTCCAGGTTCCATGTGGTAGTTACCGCGCCTAGAGTAAAAAAAAGGGCTGTGCAAAAGGACGCGCCTACTCCAGGTAGGTGCCTCCTCCCTCGCCCCGCGCCACTGTTCTGCGGCACTCCGCAGCCAGTAGAAAGCTTCGGAAGGTTCAAACTTGTCCCTGTTTGCCACCATCAAAAGAGTTCGTGGCACCCATTGACTCGGATATCGTGGTCGCCATGGATGGGGCAATTTAGACTTGCTGCATCGCCTTTTCTGACTCTCACTTGACACGGTGAACTTCTACTCTTACCCCGTGCACATGGCATGGCTGCGTCGCAAAATAAACATAATTGCCACCTTGTGCTCTGCTTCTTTCACTTTCTCGCCCCTTCTTTTACTTCTTCAAAGTTCTTGTCACACCTGACTGATTCTTTTTCTACTCATACTCTCTAGTTTCGTCAATTTTTTGCCGCTTCACCTCCCCTGTCCCCCCTATGTGGCACCTGCCTAGGTTGACCACATTGCAGTACCACTGCGGACTGCGGGGCAAAGTCAAATTCACGTCGGATCTTCGCTCGGAGATGGGCATTTGAAATGTCTTTCGCATTCCTACCGTAGTCCATTCTGCGGATTTGCGGAGGATGAGGCGACGCAAGCATGGGGGGGGGGGGGGGTTCGGAAGGTAGACGGAAGAACATGGAAAAGGAAGGATCTTGATAGAAGGTAATAAGGGGGAGGAACTGCAAGAGATCGAGGAGATCGAGAAAAACGCCAAGCGCCTATTGAGTCGAAAAAGGTGGAAAGGTCCTTCAGTTTTGTCATTTTTGGAAAGGTTACCAATCCTCTTCATTGCTAACAGCCTCTTCTTGGGTACTTCCGAGGAACAGTGGTGGGTGTAGAAGAGTAATCGGGGAAAAGACGGCGGCTGAAGTGAAAAAGGCTGTCAACTCAAACACATTCACTCGCCACTATTTGACGCCGTTCAACAACCTTTGCTCGAATAAAGGCAGTCCCTGTCTTGGCTGTCGATTCTTTAGCTGTCAGGAAAGAAAAGGATGCACGGAAAATAAAAGAGGGAAGGAGGGAAGCACAAAGTTCAAGTGTTCATTTCACGGAATGAGAAAATTACCACAAATGGCCAGCAATCGTACAAAAAAATAAAAATAAGCAGAGGGAACACCTGTCTGCCATTTCTGTTCAACAAGAAGCATTAGCTAAAAACAACGTCAACGATGACAATGAACGAGAAGAACGAGGACGAGTGGCGTGCGGCGGATAGGCACAACGGACTTGAGTGGCGAGAGAAGAAAGAGAAAGGGAGAGTTGTCAGCCAAGAATGGCGGGTTGTTTGTTGATGTTAGCCAAGAGAACTTTTTTTTATTGTTAGCAGTTGAATTGGAATGACACAGACAACATACATGCAAAAGAGCACACAAATATGAATCCGGAATGTGGATGGAGTAATGGAGTGAGAAATGTAATAGGAGTCGCAGTAGGAATTATTGAGAAAACTCCTTGATTCATTTTCTTCGCCATTGATTTAAGTCGACAAGCATCTACTAACATCTACAAAGAAGCAGTACTCATCATGACTTGAAAAGGGGCGGCTTTCCTGTCCCTTACTTCTCAGAGGGGGAGTGAATGAACCATTGGCCAAGAAATGAAAGCAGGGAGGATAACTATACTAGAAGTTCGATCTGTTGATGAAGTCGACATGAAGTCGACAATTGCCTAGCATTGCTGGTTTTTTTTCTTGCCACCACTTGGCACAACTTGACCGAACTCTGGGACAGACTACCACTATACATTATCATTGTCCACCGTTTTGTTGCGTAGCACATAACGAGAAACGATATAAAAGGGTCTACCTTGCTCGCCATTTTTTCTCGCTTTCGTTCGACTTGACTTCGCCCTTTAGTTAATGCGCTCACTCTCCTTTCCTTTGTTTCATTTTGCCATTAACACAGACACATACACATCACACTACGCTCTCCCCTATAGTTTAGTCACCCTCTGCGTCAAAAATACCATTGACGCTACTCGGTTTTTCTACTCCTCCCCTACCAAAGAGCGCAGCACTTCCTTCTCTATCGTCTATCTCCATCAACAAACCCCTTCCCCTGGGTACTATTCAAGAAAAAGGTAACAAACAAAAAGTTGATTCACAACGTTCATGCATCGCAATTCGCAATGAGATTTCAAATCGCCGTCCTCCATTTCTTTTTTTTGCCGCGAAATTCACATATTAAAACCGGCGTTTTGAATCAAGCATTTCACAACCAACCTAATCACAAAGAAAGTATTCTGACACAACTCTTGACCACCGTCTCACACCCTATGTTATAGCCATTTCATTCTTTTTTCCGTATCCACTCTGAACCTTTCACACTTCCAACACCTATACCCAACCACAAGACTCCCCCTTATCCACTCTTGCTCCTACCCCCAAGATGAACATGGAACGGATAAACCCGCTCGATCTGCCCGAGATCATCATGACCGTCGGCCGCTGCCTTCCGCTCTGGAAACACAGCGACAACCTCGGCTTTTACGACTTTAACCCAAAACACCTCCTCTCCTTCACCCTCGTCAACAAGACTTGGCGTTCTGCCTTGTTGCCAGTCGTCTGGTATGTCTACAATGGCTTTGTGATGCGCCATGTCCCTAAGCCCATCATCCTCAAGTACTCGGTCCATTTCCGTCTGGTCTTTGGAGACCGTTCTTTCCCGGGTCAAGTTCTGTCGAAGAATATAAAGTCGTTGGTAATCTCTTGGTGGGATCAGGGGTTGTTGGACCTTGTGGGGGGGAATGCAGAGTCGTTGGAGTATTTGTCTTGGAAAGGCGCCAATTCTACGGGTGGAACTGGAGGTGGGTGGCCGAGTCCGGATTATGGGCTCTTGATGAGGATGGCTCCGACACTCAAGGAGTTACATATGTCGCATTGGACGCTTTCTGGACAGGAGGTTGCGCGGTTCTTGGGTGCCTGTAAGCGACTGCATCGATTGGATTTGGCCGCCATCGATTGGATCGATCCCATCCCTGAGTGCAACTTCACCGCCGCTTCCTCTTACTGCCGCCCGGTCTCGTCAGACACCGCTGGCCAAGGGCTGACGGACCTCAACCTGGACATCAGCACGCCCAAAGAAGACGCCTTTGTCGACCTCCTCCGGTATAGCTGCCCGGACCTAGAACGGTTCACGCTCTACTCCGAATCTGCTGCGGACTCGCGTCGTCTGACACCGATCCTCCGAGCCCACTGTCGTAAACTCGTCGGACTTGACTATGTGACCCGGTTCTCGTCCTCGCTCGACAGAAGGGATTACCTCTCCGATAGCGAGTACGCAGATCTGGTCCTCGCGGTTTCGGACAATGTGAGGCAGATCAAGTTGGATATCCCTTGGTTGGACGCTCAGTTGACACGGGCGATTGTGCTGCGGCCTTTGACGCTGCAGTCGCTCAACTTAAAGTTTTACGAACGCAGAATGGCACCGCCAACCTCATCCTTCTCTCCTTCCTTCCCAATATCCTCTCCCCCACCTTCATCGTCGCCGTCGTCGTCGTTGTCTATCAGGGATGCAGAAAACCTGGGCCAGGTCATCCTCCAGCACTGCACCAACCTCCGCGACCTATCCCTCTTCTTCAACCCGCACTCAATGGGGCCCGAAGAAACCCTCAAACTCGTCGAGAAACCTTGGGCTTGTCTCGACCTCCAATCCTTGGCCCTCGCCGACATCAGTATCGGACTGTCCACCATCAGTACCACCACCCCTCACATTTGGCAAGGCGGTATCGACGAAACGGCCATCCTCCCTTCGTCGATCTTTCCGCAGTTTCCGCAAGGACCTGGACTCCAACCCTACCACTGGCAACTGGCAGCTGCTGCTGCCACGGTTCCGAACTCAGTCGTGGTGACGACAATGACACCGCCAAACAATAGTAGTCAAGATGCCCAGATGCAGTATGGAACGTTGGCCAAACAGCGGTTGTTTGAACAGATCCGCAGACTGCCACAGTTGACGCGCCTGAGTCTGAACCATGTCGCTTACTCATTAGACGGCGAGGGCCAAGCGTCGACTCATCGATCCTCTCGATGACCCGATAGCTACAGAAGAACTCCCTTCTTCTTATTCTTCTTCCTTGTTTTTGCTACCTCTCTCTCTCCTTTTTTACTTCCTTCTCTCCATCTCTTTCCCTCCATCTCAGACTGTTATAATAAACTTGAACACATAGACGAAAACATAATTGCGCATGGGTGTTTGTTTGTTATAAATGATGTCAATGTGCATCTTGCAACCTTTTTTTTTTTTTTTTTTTTGCTTGGCCGTTTTTTTTTTTGGCGGCAATCATCGTCCAAAGAAACACGGAATGAAAAGAGGGCGACAAACAATGACTAACAACCATGACTTCAAACAAACTTACTGTCTTTTTTTTTCTCGATGACATACCGAAGTGACCGAAAACAAAAGCAAGCGGGGAAGTACTCCACAAACAGAAATAAAACGGACCCATACCAGTCATTCTCGGTAGCCAAGAAGCAAATACAATCAAAAATAAAAAAAATAAAAAAAGGATCTTGGACCCTTTTTTTTTCCGACATCCGACCCAACTTTAAAAACAAACGCGGCGTCAATGAATAGTCATCATCTGTCATTTTTATCCCAACCCGATAGTACAGTGCTGGCTAGGAGAATCTTACAAATCCTGGCTGCGCTGATAGACAATCAAAAAGACAAAGGCAAACCCATGCGTCTAGATTGAGGTAATGAAAATAGTCTTTATTATCCAGCTTTGTAAGATGAAAAAGTACCCAGTACGCGCATCGAGAGCCGCCGATAGGCAATTGCAAATAATCGATCCCGCGTCCATTTGATATCTAGCACAAAGCTCCTCTTCCCCCTCCATTAGAACATGGATCCAGCCATACGAGAGATACCCCGGCTCATCAACCCGCCCATAAGCCCCCCAGCCCCAGAGCCACCCAACATATTGGACGCGAATCCCGAAGCCCACTTCTGCTTGGCGTCCTTATCACACTGAGTGTATCCGATCACATTCGCCATGTTCAATGCCAAAGCGACGGCCACGATGACAAGCCAAGTCAGCTTGAAGGTCAAGATGCAAAGGATCCCGAAAACGGTCCAGATTGCGGGGGCGACGTAGAGGCCTGTCCAGAAGAGGCGAGAGTCCACGGGGTTGAGAGGTCTGCTTGGCTATTATTTTGGAGATGGGGCATGAGAAAGGTGGTGGTTAAAGAAAAGGATTGGTAGCAATTGCGATCTTGTAAAAATAAGGGGGCGGGCTGGTCGGACAACATTCCTGCTCCACAGCTATCCCATATGTTCTCCTTGGCAAAACATCCACAACACAATACAAAACAATACAACACAATACAACACAATACAACACATAAAACGAATAAAAAGACGTACGTCGCGGGACTCAAAGAGCCAGGTAGTAGATCCATCCTCCTTGTTCTCGCTCCACCACCTCAGACCGACAAGGAGACGCCCAGAGACATTCTTGACGGTCCAAAAGTCAAAAACGAGCAACAGCACGCAGAGGACAAAGATCAGCACAAAGTTGTCCGTGAACCAGGTTCCGAAAAAGTAGGTACAGATTGCACCAATGCGGAAGAGGAAGTGAAAGATTAGGCACACCGGGTGGCTAGATTGTAAGATATGGAAAGACAAAGAATATGGTTGTGAGTTGTGAGTTGGTTGCGTGAAGGGTTGCAAAATAGGATGGAGAAGAATAAATGAAGACTAATAATAACGCTCTCAGAATAGACTGCTTTTGTATTCATGCGCCTTGCCTCCTTGGGAGTCAACACTTGTCAAGAACGACATCTTCCTGGTCGTCTTTTGCTGATTGTCTCTTGTCCACCCATCAACTGCCTTCCTTCTAGACTCAATTACTTCATTGAAAGACACTTGCTGTCTGCTGTACCTTGACTGTTTCAAAATGGACGGCTGCCCGCCTGCCTCTAGGTCTGCTTCAAGGTTGTTGTTGTTGGTATTGCTGGCGCCCATCGGTTGCGCGTCGGACAGCAAGTTCTGCCTGTCTGTTGTTGCCTATAAGCAATGCGTACAGAGGAGCAAATGCATAATGTTGTCAGCTTGAATGAAATGGAGTATAGTTGGATGGGGATGTCCCTGAGTAACTTGCTGAATAAAAATGCCAAGCCTTTTTCTTGATTGGCAGAATCAAGACTGTCCTGGTTGTTTCATACCATTGCTGGTATTTGCGGTTATGATTGTATGCGTGGCGTCCTGTGTGAGGTTGTTGTGGTCTTGATGAGTGAAGACAAAGCGAGTCCTGTCTTGGGGTATAGGTTGGTGTCTGCTTTGGTGATGATGATCGCGTAGGGAGAGGAAGAAAGAAATAAAGAGCGATACTTAAGCACTCTTCAACATATGTCACCCAATTGAGCCCCCTGAAAGGGACTGCCACGATTCATTTTCGTTTATGTCAATGATATTGATCGATTTATTCAAAAGATATGGGGAGAATGTGCAAGGTTGGTTGTGCGAATAATGTATATGTGTATCGACGATGCTTCTCTTTCTCTTTCTCTCCAATCCACTAGGCAGAAAAGAATTCGCTAACGGTGTGTCCAAAGCGGTCAGATGCCTCCGTCATCTGCTCAAAACTAGCATACGCAAACGTCGCACGCAAGTAGTTTGCATCCTCATCAAACCAACAGTTCATCACATCCGCAGGGTCGACATCCTGGGGCTTGGGCTTGCAGCTGAACTGCCACCCGGGGACCATCAACACCCCATTCTTAACACTCTTCTGAAACAACTCGAGCATCAACACCGAATCCTTGACGGTCTTGTAGCGTGGGTGCTGGTCCAGCTGGATCTTAATCCAGATAAACATCCCTGCCGAGGGCTCAATGAAACTCGCCTGCTTGGGGTTAAGATGGGTCCTGAGCGCCGTCTGGAGGTGCTGGGATCGCTGCAGGTACTCTGTGCGGACATTATCGGTCAAATACCGCCTGTAGCCCTCCTGGCCCCAGTGCGAGACCAACATCTCGGCGAGAATAGCCTGCGAGAACCCGCTGGGCTGCTGGATGGTCACTTCGTTGTGGTACTGCATAGTATCACAGAACCGAGCGTTCATCGAAATGTATCCGACACGGCATCCAGGTGCCAAGGTCTTGGAGAATGTGTCAAGTCGGATCACGCGACCGTCGGTATCCATCGACAGCAACGAGGGCATCCATGATCCACCCTCGACATGGAACTGGAGGTAGTAGTAAGGATCATCCTCGATCAGGATCAAGTCATGGTCCTGAGCAACCGAAAGAATATCCATCCGTCTCTTGACTGACATGGTCGCCCCTGTGGGGTTCTGTCCGGTGGGAATCAAATAGACAACGCGAGGTTTGGGCTCATTGGTCTGCTCAGGGTTAGATCCCCAGTTATCCAAGAGTCTTCTCAAACCTGTAGCCGTCATGCCCTCACCATCCATCTCGACCGCAATATGACCAACCCCCAGGGGATCCAATGTCTCGAGTGCAGTGGGGTAAGTCCACTCCTCGACAAAGATCTTGTCACCTCTGTTGCAGAGCAATCCGATTACTTTTGAGAATGCGTCGGTGTTGCCAGCAGAGAGGATGACATCCCAGTCCTGGTACTGGGGCTGATGCATCGATCGGACGTGCTCCCTGCAAAAGTCTCTCAGCGACTTGATGCCTGTTCCAGTGCCGTACTAGATATTTCAATTGGTAAGGGTAAAGAAAGAGAGAGCAATGTCAGCCTTGGATACTTTTGCTGTCAAAGTATGCGCCTGTGCTAAAACGATCCTCCCCAAAAGAAGGTTGCCTGGATCGAATGAACAACTCAACCAAATGGTCGAGTGGATCGAGTCACCCACACAGATCGAGTCCAAAAATGTAAACGAAACAAAAAAAGTATCCTTCAACCCCTGAAACTGAACGAAAAAGAAACATGAACACCCAAAGCTACAATTAAAACAAATAGGAACTACTTCTTACCTGCAAGGAAGCGGTCAAGCTCTCGATCTTGTCAGGATGGGGTGCAAGAGGGACAGTGACAAGGTCAGACGAGCTAGTCTTTGTCTTCTGTTGGTGTGTCTCTCCTGCTGCTGGGCGCATGCTTGTGATTTGCGCCGACAAGGAGTGGAAAGGGAACGTGGAAGGATGAGGCAGACCTGGATCGATGCAAGAAAAACGTTAGTGGAACGGTTACACTGTACTTCACTAGCTCCGATCTCAAAACATTTAGCATGAGAATGTAAAATGTTGTACAAAAAATGAGGAGATGAATGGATGGAACTGTAGTACTGTACCTCCACCAAGAGAGATCATATCGCCTTTCATAATAGGAAGGAGGCTCTTCAGGGGACTCTTCTTGCGTGCAGCTCCCTCGACGGAGAGGAACTTTGAAAAGTCCTTGGCCATGGGCAATTGCGAAGCAGATGGAGCAGGAGCGGGCGACATTAATTTGGTTTGTTTTTGTTTGTGAGGTTTATGGGAAAGATATGTGGATGATCGAAGGATCGACGCAAGGGTTGGCTGCAAGTGAGTGAGCTGGCTGGAAGATGGGTGGATGTAAATGCTGGTGGGATGAGGAAATGTCGGTCAAATCTGAGAAGAGGCAGATGAATGGACAGTGGGTATGTTGGATGAAGAACTGGGATGAAGACAGGGAAAGGAAAGGAAAAAAGAGGAGAGAAGATCGAAGAAGCGGCGCCCTTTTTATATGTGATCGTCCGTTAAGAGAATATCCGTCAATAAAGAAAGTTCAACCACTCGCAGCACCTTACTTATTGCCTTCTCTGTTCGCTTCTCGTTCTCGACTCGACTCGTTGCGCCATTCATTTGACAAAACACACAACAACAAAAGGGCGAAAACATAAACAGCAGGGCAGGAAAGAGCGCCAAAGCAAAAAAAAAAAAAAAAAAAAAAAAAAGGTTCATCGACGGACCTGTGATATCAAAACAAAACATACACGCCCTACTTCCGTCCCAAAGCAATGCGTGCGAACATATCTAGGAAATAACTCCAATGGATGCAACTAAAAAGCCCCTTCCTCTCCTTACCCACCCAACAACAACAAAATATAAAAAAAAACAAGAGCGCCTTACGAGAACGAAACAAACACACAAAACGAAGGCAAGGAAATGCATATAAAAAAGAGTCATCGAACTCACGACCGGCGATTTGGCATTTCTGCCCATCCCTGTTCCCGTGGTTGATTGAACTCTGAAGGTTTGTTCGCTGGTTGGTTAGTCTTCGCAAACGATAGAGAGCAACAAACACCTGGTGGCGGGGGGGAAAAATGAAATCGAGAGCTCTGCCTTTTGTTTTGTTTGTTTGTACAACAACGCTTGTAAATACGCCTTATGGTAACTCCCCTCCACCAACTTTCCCACCCTTGTTGTTTTACATCTCGATCCAACATAAAAAGAGGTTACTCCGCAGCAGAGGCAGGCACAGGACTAATCCTTCTCACACTCTTCTCCGACGTGCGGACAAAAGTCAGTCATTTCAGCAATGCGCTGTACGAGTCGAGAAATACTTAGATGGGCAAAAAAACAACAACGTTACATGATAATCTAGTTTTTTGTGACAAACATTGCCTGCCGCCTGGCACAGGCAATGAACACTAAAAACCCCTAAACACCGACCTATTCGCAACAAACGACATATTTTGCCACGAGAACTCAGACCCTTTAATGCCTTGTAGTCTACCCAATGTATGGAGTGTTTGGGGAAGCTAAGGAAATATGTTGGGTGGATGCACAAAATATAACAGGGTTGACGCGAGAAAAGAAAGTGAACGAGAACCAATTGATCGTGTTGCACCCTCCATTCATAGTAAATGAGAAGAAAAGAAGAAGGAAAAGACAATACAACAGACGACGCTCAGTGTTTATTGCTGGGAATGAACATTTTCTGCCCCAAAAGACAAAAAAAAGAAGGGCCACCACGGTTGATTTCAAAGGACAAACAGCCGATTGACCCGGATCAAAAAAAGGAGGATATGTGTCCGATTAGGTAGGTCTAGACGAGGGTATGTCCGATCCTAGGGCAATCCTGACTCAAATGACCAGGCACATCGCAGTACCTGCAGCCGGCCTGACACTCCGAGCTAGCATGCCCCAACTGTGCACAATTGCCACAGCGCACCTCGCCTCGCTGACGCCAATGCGTTTTCTTGGGTCCAGCAGCCTCGTAACCCGGAGGAACACTACCTCCATTTCCGGACGAAGGGGCCGATGACAGCAAAGACGCGTTGAATGACCCTGTCAGGGGGGACATCAGCGACTCCATGGATCCACTGGACCCCATGGCCGAGGTGATGCCACTAGTTGACATGGACGACTGGGATGGGGAGTCCATCCCGCTAAGGGTACGATGGGCCATCAAAGGCGACGATGGGGCTGAAGGCTGGCGACCAAGACCAAGGAGGCCGCTGTTGAATCCTGGGGGTGGCATCGAGAGGTTGCCCATGCCTGAGAGTCCAGGAGGTCCCGAAACCACCGAGTGCTGCTGATGTTGCTGGTACTGTTGTTGGTGTTGTTGTTGCTGCTGCTGCATCTGTTGCATCTGCATGCGGTGCTGGTGAGAAGCAAGAACATGCTTCTCCAACTGACGACATCTCTCCTCCACCTTCCAGACATACCGTTGAATCTCCTCAAACTCCCGCTGCTTCTGCGCCTCAATGGACTGGATAGCCTGCTGCTCGTGCTCACGCGCCAACGAGGCCAGAGTGGAGTACCGCTCCGTCAACGACGACACCTGCTGCTGCATCGAGACCAAAGTTGTCAAGAGTGACTTGTTCTCGACCTGCAACGTGTGAACAAGCGAGACAAGGGTCTGGTTGGGGAGCCTGGCCAAGTCCTCGGCGTTATCCGTTCCTGCATCCTCCTCATCGGCCTCCAGAGAAGACTGCGCGGCGAGTCCTTGCAAAGGAGACTCATCCTGGGGCGTGATGGTCTTGGCGAGATTGGTGAGAATGTCCAGGTGAATATCCGAGCGCTCTTTCTGTTGGCCTCCGCGTGGTCCGTTCGTTTGGTTGGCGAAGGACTTGTCACCACGCTCCTCCGATAATCGCTTCCGGGATGCCACCTGCTGAATGCGTTCTGCTTCTCTGGCTGCCTGGGCAGCGCGGTTGGCAAGAGTCGCAGCAGAAGGACCCCATGTAGGGACCTTGGCGTCAGTGCCAATAGCAGTAGAGGGACTTGATCCAGCATCCTGTACTTCGGCCACAGTAAGAGCAACGGCAGGAGCGACAGTAGGGGCGACAGGAGTGTCCGCCACAGGTGCGGCAACGGCGGCTGGGGTGGCAGTGGCGGGCGCCGCTGCTGGTGCCGGTGCGGGAGCAGCATCCTTGACAACCTGCGACGACAGCTTCTTGGGCTGCTGGATTTCCTTTTGCTCATGCGCCTTCTTCTCCTTGGCCCTCTCTCGCGCCATAGCCCCCTCGACCTCGCGAGCCTCTTGAACCTGACGCGCCGCCTCCTGAGCCCGGCGTTTTGCCTCTACCTCCTCCGCTACGGCCTTTCTCACCCGAGCTGCCTCGGCCTCACGAGCGTCTTCGGCAGCTTTCTTCTCTTGGGCAAGTTGGGCTTCCTTCTTCTCCCTCAACTCCTTGGCCTCCTGTCGCTCCAGGGCTTCCTGTGCCTCCCGAACCTCACGGGCATGTCTAGCCTCCTCTGCCTTCTTGGCGACCGCTTGAGCAGCGGCACTATCTTCTGCATCGGCAGCCTCTTTGGCCTGACGCTTGGCATCCTTCTTGGCCTGCTTCTTCAGCTCCCTGGCCTCCTTGGAAGAAACCGCCATCAAAGGCTCAACAGCGGTGTTCTTGATGACTGGTGTGGCGGTCGGGCGAGTTGAACCGGTATCACCTCCAGATGGCTCCGCGACAGGAGCGACTAGCTCTGGCTCTTCGACGGCAATTGCAGCAGCGGCAGCGGCAGCCTCGGCAGCCTTCTTCTTCTTCTTGTCCTTCTTCTTCCTGTTTTTGCTGGATGTCAAAGCTCCTGTCAAATCCGCGTCCTCGTCATCCGAGACCTGGGCACTGGCAGTCGGTGTGACATCGCGACTTGGAACCAGGTACCCTTTGGTGCTGAACTTGCTGTCGCTGACATCCTGACCAATCGACTTGAGGAACTTTTTCTCCTTCTGGATAGCCGCCATCTCGCCCATAGCACGCGCGCCCTCTCGCATCATCAGACGGGATACCATGACAGCCAACACACGACGACCGGTCTTGACGCCCTCCCTGAACTGCTGGGCCAACTTCATCCGACCCTCCTGCGACTTGAGCACTCGAGAGCGGAAATGGTCATCGTGCAGTCCCAGCTGCACAGCCTCCAAAACCTCGGCCTCCTCCATCAAGATCCCGAGAGTGTTCAGACAAACGGTCGCAAAGTCAAGGCTAGAGAACAAAGTTAGGCGGGACTGGAAGAACCATTTGCGCGTCTCGACAGACAGAAACTCGAGTTTCTTGACCCTCCTGCGGAACTCCTTGTTGGCAACCTTCTCGAGTCGTCCTTGAACCGTCTTTTGCGACTCCTGGAAGTATGTAGCGGCAACCGACTCGACCTCCTCGTCAACCTCCTTGAGCTTGTTGAGGACCAAGACTCGGAACTGGCCCATCTTAGTGTCGAAGATAGGGATCAACTGCTCCACCATCTTGAGAGCATTGCGGCACTTTTCCGGACTCTCCTCCAAAATCTTGTCGATCCTTGCAGTCCCGACTTTGCCCTCCTGGATACGCGTCAAGGCCAGTTTGAGGATCTTTGTCTGTGCCGCTGCCAACTCTTTGATGAATTCGCGGAGAGATCTCTCGGAGGACTCCAGAACGTCTGCCATGAGCTGCTTGTGAACGTGCTGCATGTTGTCGATAAACAGTTTGAATCCGCTGTCGACCTCCTCTACAGGATCCACCTGGGGACTATCCGATACTGAGCCCTTCTTCTTGGACGAAGATTTCTTAACCTTGGCTTCGACACCTGTCCAGATCTTCGTAAGGACCGGTGGTAGGGTTAGTTAGTGTAAATGGCCATAATCACGACGACATACTGTTGGAAGACAAAAGCGAAGGTGGGGCAGTAATAATTACCTCTTGGAATGAGACAAGTTGTTCCTTGTATGTGTGAGCAAACTCCTTGCCACGGGTAGGTGCCAAGATCCCGGAGCGAACCTTCTCTGCACCGTCCATTCGTTCTAACGCTTCCTCAACATGTCTCCAGACGGGACCAATCTGCTTCCGAAGGCCTTCCTGATCTCGCATCCTCATTCGCTGCAGTTCTTCGTTAAAGAGCTCCTTGTCCAGATCGAGATCGGCTGGGGTCTTGGAGTGTCCCTTGGTATGTTGGCATGTCGGGTTCATGATCTGGTTCTGGAGCTGAGTTTTGGTGACGCGCTTCAAGAGTGGGTATCCCTGATGTCCGAGGGTCATCTGAGCCTTTTCGATTGAAATGGTCGAAAGGATTGGAGTGACGTCGTCCTGCTGCTGGTTCTGTTCCTGACTCTGAAGAGGGTATGCCGCGTAGAGGGCTTCAAAGTCGACCAGGGAGAAGACCTCGGGCGATGTGTAGAGTGCGCTTGGTTGTTGAATCCAGTCCCGAACAGTATCGACAATCTCGGTCACAAATCCTTCTTGACCAGACCCGGCAGCAGGCGCAGGTCCTGTTCCTGTTCCTGCTTTGCTAGCAGCAATAGCCGCAGCTGCGACCGATCCTGCTCCCGAGACGCCATTGGAGCGTCCATGTCCATGGCCACCACTGTTCGCTATAGTGTCTGCTGTCGACCGTTGGTAGAACCGCTCGCAGACGACCATGGCGTATTCCTTGTGTTTCTTCTTGGGTTCCGATCCTGAGCCAGCGTCCGAGCCATTGGAGCCATTGGAGCGAGGGCCGCCCTTTTTGTCAGTGCTACCAGAATTCTTGTCCTTGCCAAACGTTTTCTTGAACACCCACTGAGCCCACTCCCGACAGTAGAAGCAGGTGTTTTGATCACAGGCGCGAAACTTTGCGAGTTCTTTGGTGAGAAGGGCCATTTCGACCTTGAGAGAGGAAGGAACGAGGTGCGGGTGTTGCATAATGGAGGCCTCAGTAGAGGATTGGTGGCGTGGATCAGCGTCGGGTTTGGAAGAAGGATTGGCCTTAGTTCCTCCTTGAAGGAGGGGGACGATTGTGGGGAGGTGGAGGTCAGACTCGGACGACATGGCGGCGTGATTATTAAAGAGTAAGAGCGTTTGAAATGGAAGGGTAAGGAAGATAGGAATGTAGGAATGTAAGGAGTGCACAGCTGTTTTGTCTCTTGACGATGTTGCGAGATGTCAAAGAAGTGGGTAAAGCAAAAAGCAGCACAAGGCCAACAGGAAAAAGATAACAACAGGCCAAGGTCACGTGCCCAATGGTATGGCCGCTGCACTTGGGATCACGTGGTTGCATGCAAAATGAAAAAAAGATACAACAATTGGCATTTCGCCCTTTCGTCCTTTTGTTTTTCCTCAGAGGTAGAATTCATAGAAGGACTGAGGAGGATGACAAACGACGCAGGGATACATATTAAACATGATTGCTTGGCACACGGATAGACATGGAGAGAAAGAAAGAGCTGCTGGGTCATTACACATTATCATTGCATTATTAGAGAGAAAAAAAAGAGAGTTGTTGCCATTTACTACTTGCGCGCTTAGAATCCACCTCCAAAGTCTCCACCTCCAAAGTCTCCGCCACCGCTATAGTCTCCGCCACCGCTATAGTCACCGCCGCTGACGTGTTCCACGGGCGTAACGTCGCTGCCGCCGCCGTAGTAGCCTCCGTGCATTCCTCCTCCAAGCATGCTTCCTGCCATCAGACCCATTGCTCCACCTAAAAGTTACCAAAAGAGACCCGACAAACAGTTAAACCAGTTAGTGACGCAGAACGATGAATAAAGTGGGACGACATTCTGTGCTCACAAACAAACAACTCTCACTCTTAACACAAACAAATCTTCACACACATCAAACACAAACACTCCAAAAGAAAGAGAGCAGTGAACTCGAACAAAAAAACTTACCAGCCATCATGCCCATAGCCAGACCAGCGCCAGCACCCATACCACCTTGGCGGTTGTAAGAGTCATAAAAGCCGCTCTGGTTGCTACTGAACTGCTGTCTCTGAAGCTGTTGAATCTGGTGGAAGCGAGTTGTCTCCTGTGCATGGTAGGAAGGGCCAAGAGGATGGGCCCAGGTCACATTATTTGTCTGAGGGTGAACATAGTACAGGCTCTGCTTATTAGGGTCGTATTGCGAAATCCTATTTTTGTTTCAACAAAAAGTGATGAGGGAGCAGGAAGGGCATGAGCTTGACAGCGGGATGAAAAGTGAATGATTAGAGTGAAAGCAGACGTCGAGTGTTGAGTAAAGAGTAATGAGTATATGCGTACCATCCTTGGGGCAAAGTTGATGGAGGGATGTTGACAGCGTACTGCTGCTGTTGTTGCTGTTGGTGTTGTTGTGGACGGTATGCGCTTGAGCCGTTGTCGACGCCTTTAGAACCTGAGCAGCCCATGGTTGGTTGTTGTAGTAGAAGGAGAAGGTTGAAGTGGCAAGGATAAGAGAGAAGGGTTGAAGTGGCAAGGATAAGAGAGAGCGGTTGAAAAGAAGAGAGAATGAAAGAAAGAGTGAGCGTAGTTGTGGTTGTGGGTGAGTGTCGTTAGATGTTGAGGAGTGAAGAAAGAATGTGACGAAAATGGAAAGAGGGAAGGAAGGAGGTGTTACCGGGTTTGCGAAACAAATCCGAATTTTCGACTTTTGTTCAACATCAGAGAACCGTCCCCGATGAAGCTCAAGAGGAATAAAAAATTAGTGGCACCAGCAGTGCCGCACCACCGACATCATTCGTGTGATGGTGACTGCAATATTCAGGGACAAAACGAAAGGATTTTTTTACGACGATCAGTTCTATTCAGGGGCTGATCGATACGTAAACCGAGACCGATAAACAACAAACACTGCAGCACAACATTTCAAAATGATGCGCCTAAAACCTCTCTCATCTTCCGTCTCGTTTCTCTTCGACAATTTACTTTTTTTATTTGATCTACATCACCTAACAATGCGGACAAGAAGGTGGCGTATATTTCTCAGCCACTGAAAACGATTGCTGACCAAGTCTTCACCCACAACTCACCCAACCCCACTTATTTCTTGTTCACAATAGCAAAAACGTGTCTTCTCTTCACCGACTCATACTGTCACAAGGGGTCAACAAATCCAACCAATGAGATGATTTTCGTACCTGGATTCACGATCAGGCAATCGAAATGTGTGTCCCTGGTTCTTCATATCGTTCAGGTACTGTTCCTTCGCATAACGCCAAGAACGAAAGTCATTATTCCCGCTCTCCTATGTATTCTGCGCAACATCATGCACTCACCTGGTGGGAAAAATAAAGCAACCAAACAATTCAAACACATGATAACCTGCAGACAATGGAGAAATGGAGAGGAAGAGAGAGAAGATAAAACAAAACAAAACAAAAAAAAAGTGAATGGAAGGGCGTTACACTACCCTGATCATGCGCCCTCCCCCTCCCCTTCTCACTCACTTCCCCATCGTTCAACCTATTGGCCCCCGCCATATCTCTGTTTCGTTTATTTGTCTTGGAGCGAGAAATGGCGCCCAGTGCTCAGGCCGCTGGCTTGATTAGTCTTTTTTTTTACCTTTCTTGCATCGCCTCAATCCCCATCCGTCCATCGATCTAAACCGAAAGACCTCTTCAATGTTTGTTTGCATGCTTGCTTGCTTGCTTGCTTGTGTTCGTTTAAAAAAACTGTTTGTTTTATTTGTATCCGTTTCGCTCGAAACTTGCGAGGTGAAAAGAGGGCAGAAGGTCAAACATATTAGGGTAAATAAGAGAGAAAAAGGGGGAAAGAGAGAAAACTACAGGAAGGTTTGGTATTTAAGCCTTGACATCATCATAAGCGATCTCGGTCTTCTCGGAGGCGACCTCGCCTTCCTCGACGGTGGTATCCTTGATGGCCTTGAAGACGACAGGGATGGCACCGAGGACACCGACAAAGATGAGGACAACGCAGACGATGAGCTCGCCCATACCCTGGCCGGTGACGTTGCGGGCGTTGTGACCGGCAGAGGGACCGTTACCGATGGTGGAGGTCTGAACAATGGGGGCGAGGATACCACCCAAGTTCTGGACGAACTTGTAGAAACCAGCGTACTTGGCAGCGGTGTTGGTATCGTTGGTGAGAGCACCCATGACCCAGTACGAGAATCCCTGGTACATGGCATCGGTGATTCCGTACATGAAGTAGAGGAAGAATGGTCCAATCCATTCGGAGGTGTTCTCAACGAGATCGTAGATAACCCAGGAATCAGGGTCCTTGATAGCCTCACCAGTTTTGTCGATAACAAATCCCTTGGGGCCAATCTTGGACTGGTAGATGAACCCACCGACGTAGGTAGCAGTGAGGACACCGGCCAACAAGAAGAGACCATAGCGAGCACGGGTGGTACGGGTCCACTCCTTCTTGTCCAAGAAAGAACCGTAGAGGATGGAACCGATGATCTGAGCCAACCAGTAGAACATGGAGTTCAATGAGCGAGTACGGATGGAGAAGTTGAAGGCGTTGACAGCGTTGAACTGGTAGGTATAGAACCAGTTGGAGGAGAAGAACATGGGAACCAAGCACAACATGCGCCAGTCACCGAAGAGCTTGATGACAGCAAGGAACTCGCCAGTGGGGTTGGCATAGGCGACCTTGACGACGGGGGAACCATCCTTGCGGAAAACCTTGTTGGTGGGCAACAAAGCAACGGAGCCGAGGGCACCAATGGTCATCAAAGTCATGAAGGCGGCATAGGAGGCAGTCGAGGCACCGTTGGCCTTGGGGTCGTTCCACTGGATGGCGAGGGGGATGATGCATCCAATGACACCACCGCAGTTGAAGATGGTCCAGAAGATCGAGAAGAAGCGACCCTTCTCACCCTCCTCGGGGTAACCCATCATGACGGCACCCTGGGCAGTCCACAACCAACCGGCACCAATACCGAGCAAGCAAGAGGAGACGACGACGAAGGCGAGGGACTGGACGAAGTGGTAGGTGAGGTAAGAGCCGACATAGAGGGTGTAGGTCAAACCACCGAGGATGAGGAGAACACGATGACCGAAGATGTTGAAGAGAGCACCGGCGAAGAGGGAGGAGAAAGCGAACATGCAGGACAGGGCGGTTGAGGCCTTGTTTCCGACATCGGAATCCTTGGGCTCAAGACCGTACGAACCAGCGCCGTTCAAGGCGTTGAACATACCGGGGCAGCAGAAGCAGATAAAGCCCTATTGGAGATTATTGAGATATAATGAAGAAAGCCGTTAGCACAAGATCAAGATCAAGACAGCAGAGAAGAGAGCGAAGAACTGAAGCCAGAGAAGAAGAGCAAGGCATGGTATGGCAAGAGGAGACTTACCACAATGATGACTTGGGTGATGGGGTCGGAGTACTTCATTTTGGAAGTTGGTTGGAGGTGGAAGGAAGGGAAGGAAGGCGGGAGAGGAGAGAGAAGAGGAGGTAGGGGAGGATGAGTTGAGAGACCTGAGGGTGAGTAGAAAAAAAAAAGACAAGAAGGCGGATGTGGGGGTGGGTTTTATAGTCAAATCGAAGGGGCAGCTGGATGAACCGAGGAGGGACTAGAGAATGAATACTCCTGGCAGTTCAATGGCTCTTTTTTTTCTGGTTGAAAGAGGGAGAAGGATACTAAGATGAATCGGATGAAGAGGGATGAAAAGAGGATGGGTGGGATTGAGAGCACCGTTCAGAGAGTAAACTGCGAGAGTGGGCTGCGTTCGAAAATCATATTAAAAACACATCATAAAATAAGAAAAGTATAAATTTGAGTGGACGCTGTATGAATACGGCATACAAACAACAATAATAGCACACGATCGTGCTGTATTCAATTGGCACTCTATTCTTTCTCTTTCTTTTTGCTTTTGCTTTAGGTCTTCCGGCAAGGTTAGTCAATCCAATCCAATCCAATCCAATCCACCAACCCACCACCACAAACGAACACAAAAACAAACAGGCAAGACGGACAAGGAAGGCTAAACAATGTTATCGTCAAATACACATCCAATCCAAGGTTACGCTCCCCTCCTTCATCTTCCTGTGTTCTAGCCTGGCACTCTTCCTTCCTTCCTTCCCTTCATCCCACCTAATCTACCTCAAGACCTCCTCTCGTTGCTTCTATCTCGCTTCGCATGGGAGTACAATCAATCTCCCTTCCAACCACGCGTTGGTCTTCCTCCTCTCTCTCCTTTCCTTCCATCCTCTATTCTGCGTTATCTCTCCAACAATCAAAAAACTACCAAAATAACAGCCAAGTCCCATTTCGTTCGCATGAACAACACCTTCCTTCCTGCATTGCTTTTTTTCCTCACCTTTGGCGTGGTTTCCTCCTTTTTTCGCACATACGAAAAAGTAAGCATGAACGAGCGCAGGAAAAAACATCGAAAGCAACTCCGTCTTGCCAAAATGTCTCAAGCTCTTTTACTTTTGGAGAAAATGAACAGCGGGAACCGATTATATTTTCGAATACACACGGTGGCTGGCTGGTTGGGATAAAAATTTTGGAGAAACGCCAACTCTAAAGGTCTCGTTCCCGGGGCACCGTAAACCACCTTTGAGAGACGTCAATATAAATGGTTGGCGCGGGGAGTGGAGGCTAAAATAGGAAGGAATGCGAGTGGCGGATCCGAATAGCAACTTTTTTTGCACCTTGTGCTGCTTGAAGAAGGTCGTGCGGTTCTTCGCACTGCTAGCTGATTAGACTTGGATGAAGATGAGAAACAGTGTGTTATTCGTCCTGCGCCTTTGCCTAGGGGATATTGATCGAATATCTCCGAGTCGTCGAGGATCTTTCTTGCATCCAGTGTTTTCTCGACTTTTCAGAGCAATTAACGTGGAGAAACTGACCTTGAAAGTGTTCCATAGGTTCAACTCTGTCAAAGCAGCAACTCACATTTGTTTTCTTATTAAAACTAACAAAGGGCTGACTCCAATTGAACAAAAATAATAACAGACGGAAAGATCTTTTTCAGGTGTACGAGATAACAACCTTGCTGAAGTACCTTCCGTCCCTGTTGGCCCCTTTAGATTGGTTTCTTCGGAAGAAATCGATTGGTTCCTGTGTTGCAAAAGAATGTCAAACATCAGGAACAACAGAGATCCAACTAAGATTGTAGAGGCATGACCTTATGGACACATGGATATGGCGGTGGATGGAGAAAAAGGTGGCCACAAGATAGAAAGATGATTTTTATTTGTTCCCTGTGCTTGAACCTTGCTGCTTTTGCTCCTCCATTGGATTGGAGAAAGCGGGATGAAAGAAGCTTAGCAATGAATGAAGGGATGATCAGCTTATTCAGTATTCAAGACATGACAAAAGAGTAATTAGTCAGAACCGAAAGGCTAGAGAGTGATGTTGGTGTGAAGCATGAAGAAATGGGGCGTTGATAAAAATAAACAAAGAATGAAATGAACGAAGGATGTGAATGACAAACAAAAGTGGGTTTTGCGATTATTTTCAGATATGCTATCAAATCTCCAATTGCTCTTCCTTTGCTGTTGAACCAGGACTAAAGCAAGTGACGGAAAAAAGGGCCGTGGAGAATGATGGAGAACGAAGGTGATGAAGGTCAAGGAAAAGAAACGCTCGGTTGCACAACCTGGGGAGTGTGCGAGAACAAAATGACAATAGGAGGAAGCGAAGTAAGGCAAAAGGGACGAGTCGTTTGTTTTATCAAAACCATCAGTTTGCATGATCTCTGTGCGACAGTAATGGATTGGAAAGTTGCACTTTGGTCCGACAAGGTTGCATTGCACTTCCATGGTAAGAAGAGGAGAACCAGTCGCCTTTTGCCTCCGTCTCTTCTCATTTGTTTGTTTTGTTGATGTTGATTGTTGATTGTTAACAGGTGTGTCTGATATAGTTTTGTGTGTTTGTTGACTCTCTCAGCATTTCCTTCTTGACCCTCCCTACCTTCTCTTCTTCCTGTCTCTTGTCTCCTTTCTTTTGTCGTTTTGCGTTTGTTTATTTGCGTGCTTGTGTATGTCTATGTGGTCTGCAGTCAGCAGGTCCTGGTGGAAAATAATAAACACAAACAAACTTGTTTTGTGTTCAGGGCCATCCAACTTCCTTCTCCAACCTCCCAATGGCTCTCCACCTTGTCAGGTGTGTCTGTTTTAAAGTTTACACTTTTCTTCTCTTTCTTGTCGAAATGACTAGAGGTTGTTTTAATCGGAAGTGGTATTATCTCCGCCCTCTTGTCCATGGACACAACATCAACAAAGAGAGCCAGGGGGAAAAGTGGGAGACACAAGAGAAAAGAAACAAAAATCTTTGAAAAAAGTAATCTCGACCATCGAGAGAGCTCCTTCCATACCCCTTGGTTGCTGATAGGTCGCTCACTTGGTCGACTGTATGATCCGTTAAGGTTTCCGTTGGGAACACAATCGACAATCAAGGTTCGCAATCAATCCTCGCCATCGACTCGACACACAGAGCGACTGTCTCTCACATCCAAACACGACAAACCGAGACAGACACAGAACGAGAGCAAATGGAGACAGACATACAGGGAGTGCTCCTCATCCAAATAATCGAAAACCCAAATGACCCATCTCCCATTTCTCCCCCTTCTGCCCTGCCCTGCACGATTATTTTGTTTCTTTTTTCGGTTGTGCATGGGGGTTTCTTCTCCCATTTCCATCTAACGCATACGCCGCAATTTGGTTTCATGTACAATCGAGCATATAAGTCAACTGGGAGAGTTTACAATAGAGCGCCCAAATGTGGATCCAAGACCAAGAGCGACGCATGGCTTTGTTCTTGCTTTCTTTATCTTGCTTCTGCGCATCCTTGATCAAACTTTTGAGTTTTTTGGGGAAGAAAAGAAAAACACAACAGATGAGGAGCGTCAAAGTCCCTCTCTCATCCCATCTCCTTCATATCCTTTTGCTTCCTTCTCATTTCGCTCATTAATGCGAATGGAAAGTTATTGATAATGAAGATGGTACAACCAAGAACAAACAAATGTTGTTTCTATGCTTGTTGTTTACAACCTCCACACATTTCTTTGGTCAAGTCGAGAGCATCGTTTAGGTTTCCCTGCGCGGCTTTTGTTAGAAAACACCAATGAAGTAAAAAATAAGGGTTATCAAATCTTCATCTCCATCCTCTCACATATGGCGGTTCGCCCCCTCTCTTGTCTTTTTCCAAACAAGCAAAGGTCATTGAACCATTATATATTTTGTTGTATCTCCTTGAACCGATGCTCTGTACCTGTGGAGGAGGAGAAGAATGGGCGTCATATCTTGCCGTGACAGAAGAATATTATCGCTTTCATATCATTCAACATCAATCCCTTCTGGCCTCTCAAGAACCCCTAACCTTGATCAAAAGGAACATGTACCTTCAATTCCATACCTCCCTCCTTCACAGTATATTTGTTTACTTTCCGTCTGCTCGTCTGCTCTAGCCCAGACTCCCTCCTCACTCGCATCATGGTGGTCAAACTATACCGGACCCAACAACAACAAAACCCCCTTCGATCCTGTGAGCGATAAGAGATTGTGATCCAAAGGGTCATACAAGAGGGAAGGGAGAGAGAGGGCGATGCAAGACCACTTCATCAAGGGAGGAGGTTGATGCATCCGTATCTGGTATACTTTTTTTTGTCAGAGGGAAGGTGTCAGCCATCCTGTGCCGGGCGAGGGTGTGAGTGTTTATGGGTCATCATCCAGCACTCCTCTCTCCTTTTCCACTCCGGCTGTCTTCTCTCTCGTCCACTACTTAGAGTGTGAGATAGGGGGCCGCGGAGCCAGCCCCACTTTTCTCATGTCGTCTCGTACACTCTCCCTTTCGCCTCTTTAATCCCTAAGTGCATTCCCGCGACCGACTTTCGGAGCTGGCGGAGATTGTTCTTCATATTGGATGCCACGGAATAAGTAAAAAAAGAGGAATGCCTTTAGGCCTTATTTCTCCCAATTCCTAGAAAAAGGCCTGCCTTTGTTATTTCTGAACGCTCTCTCCCTCCTCTTCCTTCTCTTTGTTCAACTTTGGCTTTTTTTCACCTTTTCGCCGTCTGAACTAGTTTCCCGACTCTCGGGAATCAAGGATTTTTGCAGGAGGACCCAGGATGCGACTCTGGGAGGGTCAGTACCTTCGATAGAATCGTGTTCGTGACAGAAATGGTCCCTTTTTCAACCTACTCTGGGATCATGATTTGACTGTGCAGGATGATAAAGTACGATTAGAAAAGTGCTTTGCTGCGGTAGACAATAATCCTCCTAAGGCGCTCCTCCAGTTTTTATTCGCTCATCGGTTCTATAACAGAAACTGACCATGACCCAGAACAAAGACAGACGAACTGATCAACCAAGGGCGAGACGGTTTCCCATCGCCACCCTCACTCTTTATCGTTTGATCACCTCCCCTCCCTTCAGGATCGTTCCCCCGCACACTCTATCAGTCTTACATTTTGAGATAGGACTGACCATTCACATTCGGCCAAGAAAAATTCAGGAACGGACGTTCTGACAACCAAATGAAAAGACTTGGCAAAGGATCGACGACCTGGACCTTTCTTTTCTTTTCATTTCTTCTTGACTCCCTCTCTCCCTCCTCCGTCGACTACTTTGGAAATCTTCTTCTGTTTATTGTGAGTATGAGTGAGTGAGTCTGATTTCTTGCAAACTTGCAGAAGGAGGCTTCTTTTGTTTGTTTGTGTGAGTGGGCATTGTTTTTCCAAGCTAACCCTCACCTTGTCTGGCGGGATGGAACAAACCAATGGGTGGCTCCTCGCCACCCTCTTCTCATCTTTGCCTTGTTGTTGTGGTCCTAATATGGTTGGGTCAATTCGATGGTGCAGGATAGAGGGTTTGTTGTTTGTGTTCGGGTGACAACCCCATTAGGTCAGGTCGACAATAACAATCACAAACAAAAACAACAACAAAGAAAAGCGTACTTCTCCAGAGGTACCATCCCTCTCATTCTGACTCTCCATGTTGCGTGGGCAGGGCGGACCCAATCGATGGGCATTGAGATAAAATTGATAAAAGGCATGATCGAGCAGGATTAAACTGGGCTCTGTAAACTCAAATATCCACTTTATTTTCTTACTTTTCCTTATTCTATTTCAACTCAGTGGATTGTGGAAAACACAAAGTAAAAAAACCCCTCCGGTGCACACACACTCGTGGCTGGTTCGATTCCACTGGCCTCTCCCATTACACGCAGAAAGAAGAGCAGGCGCTTACCCTTTGGAAGGTGCTTCGGTTCGTTTTAGGAAGTGTTCTTTTCCACGGATACGAAATTGATATGGTTCGGGACTGAGACAATGCGATGGTCTTGAGTTTATCGTACTCCCTTGTTCACGCTAAAATTTTCCAAACTACGCCTCCTCTCATTCCTGCCACTCTCACACGTTATGCATACGTACATAACTTGTTCTTGGCACTCCTTATCGACTCTCCCCCAGGTACTGTTCTTTACTTTTTGGTGATGGCGGGTTCTCTTGGGATCCATCAATGTGTCTTGGCTGCTTTTGCAAGTTGTCGCTCTTCTGTTGCCCTTTGTTAACAAGTTACCAAAAAGATACTCTTTTAGTCGTTAAATAGTAGTAAAAAAAACAGTGATGTTCTTACCACGCGAGATGTGCCCGCAGTGATTGTATGCTATTGTTCACTTTTTTCTCTTCTAGCCCAGTCACATACTGTACTATCCTACACACTGGTAATCTCTCTTAAGAGAGTTTGTAGACGGTCATCTTTGGATAAGAGGAGTGCCTCAATTGAAGCAAGGTGCCTAGGATGTAAAATACCAGTTACTCTTCTATCCGTACCCCGCTTGTGTAGAGTAATCATACCACCCCAACAAACAACTTAAGATAGATCAATATCGCGTTTCTACGATACCACCAAAACCGCCTCCTCCTTTGGTTCACGCCGTGATAACTAATCCAGGGAAGATCTTTTGATTGCGCACCTTTGGGGGTATGGCGAAAGAGAGCGAAAGAGTAGATAAAATATCTCTTGACGAGAGCCCTGTACCTGAAGTTGTACCTGAACACAACAAAAAGTTACATGGATACATTCGGCGCTATTTTTATTAACAACGCCCAGCCAACTAGCCGACATTGATGCTTTTAGTGTGAATGGTCGACATTAAACCAACAAGCTTCGGCTCAATTCCTGAACTCTTTCTTTCATTATCACTCTCGTTTGCTTCCTTTCTTTGCTTTGCCGAGAAGAGTGGCTTCCTTCCCTCCTTCTCTGCCTTCTTTTTTCTCACTTTCCTACACTCCTTTTTTTTTCTGTTTGTTTTATCTCTGCATCATCTCCAGCCAAACAGCGAATCGCATTCTTATCAATCCAGCCTAAAAACAACAACATCGACCAAAACAAAACAACATGGACTCACTATTCCCCTTTCTCCAATGATGAACACAACAACCACAAACAACAATAACAGCCGACAATTTATTTTTTTTGCAGCATCGATCTTGCAGAGAGAGAAAAAAAAAGCGCCATTCAATCGTTCCGGAACTCTGCTCTCCCACCCTCTCCCCACCTCGCACTCTCATCATCATCGCCATCTCTTGCCTTCTCAAGCCCAAATACATACCCTGTCCTCGTATGTTTGACTGACTCTCCGCCCTACTAGTCCATTTGTTTGCCCACGGTTCAAAAAATCTGAGTAATCATTCACCAAAAAAAATCTTCAAACGATTCTTTATATATGTACCGCAACCCTTGCTGCCCCCCTCCGTTCTCACACTCCTGCCACTTTTTATTCTTCCCACCTTTGTCATTTGTACATCGACATCTACTTCACGATACGCTTCTTATCCTTCTCTGCTCACTCTCCTCCTCTCCAAACATCTCTTGGCACTTCCTTCCGCCCTTTCAACAAACCATCCATCGTCATCCATCATCAATCCTTCACATCCATCCTCGCCCCTCCGCAACCCTCCCTCCTTGTCTCTCACACACATTTGCACTCACATCCCATCCCTTCCCCCCTGCACACACCCTCAAAAATGACGGCAACAAAATCCTCCTCATCATCACCGCCCTCCAACTCCAAGAACGTCTTCCGTATCCACGGGGTAAACGTCCTCAACCGCAAAAACGTCGACTCTATCGCCCGTCTGACAGCACTCGAACGGCGCAGGGCGACTCATATCTTGGATGAACGCCAGAGGCGCGATACTATGAACCAGCTCCTTACGGAACTCGCTAACCTTGTCCGAGAATCTACTACCGACCTCATCTCCCTCGACCCTTCCTCCTTGTCAACGACCGAGGAGGCTTCTACTATTGCAGCTGAGACTGCCTTGACAGCTGAAGAGACATCTCAACAACAGCCATCCTTACCACTCGCCTTAGCAACAGCAACCACACCGACAGCAACAACCACTACAACCAATGCAGCAACACCAAGTCTGAACCCAGAAGGGACCGAAAGGCGGCCGCCCGTAAAGTCAAACTCTATCACGACACTCCGCAACGCAATCGCAGAAATCCATCGGCTACGAACATACGCCGGCCTCCAGACCATCATCGGCGTCCAATCAACCGATGCTTTCTCCTCCTCGCGTTCGTCGACATCCTCCCCCTCTCGGTCCAGTTCCCCATCCTCTGACCTCTGCTCGCTCTCAACATTGGCCGCCTTGGCCTGTCAGCAAGGCATTCGAAGTCACGAGACTTCTCCACAACCCCCACCCACAAAGTCACGGAGAAAGTCCAACCCGAAAACAACCAAAACCAACAAAAACAACAAGCGCGAGGCCTCGTCAATGGACGAGGAGGAGGAAGGAGACCTAACCATGCGCATGGTAGACGCCCGTGGTAGTAATAGTACCCACAACCAACTCTACTCACCCCCACTCTCGCCCTCAAGCCCCACCGTCTCCAACCCTCACCACCTCTCCATGCCACCAATACACCAACAGTACTACCACCACCATTTCCAGTACCATCAGCAGCAGCAGCAGTACCAGCAGGTGATTGCATTGACGCCACCAAGTCCCACTAGTACGACGACAGTTCTGCCGCCACTGCATTCGATGGTCTCACCGATGGATTTTGAGTCCTCCTCTTCTGGTGCTGCTACTGGGTACCATTTTGGTGGCGCTGCCCAGTCCAATCATTTCTAGACCCTCCTTCACGTTCTTTGCCCTAATATCAAACCTTTTTTATCATTCCATACCATTCCTTGTAATAAAACCATATCTTGTACATTATGCCTTTTCCTTGTTCCTTAGGACTCTTCATGGATGTGTGTTTGTTAGGATGATGGTTGTTGGACACTCTCCGCCATAATTATTGATAGGGTTGTGAAGAAAGAGAATGAGCTATGTGACAATATTGAAACTACGTGTGGGGAGGGAAGTGATAGGAAGAGACAGTAGGGGTCCAAGGGCCTTTTTTGTGTGTATGCAACAAGAAACGAAAATATTGCAATCTACGAATCGCGTCACACTCTGGGGCGACAACGCGAACAAGAAAGAAAAAAAAATCTAATCTACAGTGCGCGTATTTGGGCTGTCTAGGCCTTCAAAGCCTGAGCAAACATCTTGGAGTCGGACGACTCGACCGCAGAAAGAACCTGCGTCGACGAAGGCTTGACCTCATCGACAGGTGAAGCGACAACCGATAACGACGACGAATCGACCACAGTCGACAGCGAGGTAGTAGAAGAAGCAGCCGTAGAACCAAAGAACGAACCCAACGCAGTCGCTGTCCGATCGCGTCCAAAGAAAATATCTTTCGTAACCTCCAAAACATCCTGCGCATCCTGCCAATAAACAATCTCTGCCTTGACCAGCTCCGGCCGTTCCTTGATCCTTTGCTCCAACGAAAGCCCACGTCTCGCCAGGACTAAATCCCCGCGCTCTCTACTCAAATGTGTGGACGGGCAAAAGTCATTACTGGCATCGCCCATGTATATGACTTGTTCCCATGGATGAGAGTCGATCAGTTTTTGGAGTTCGAGACCCTTGCAGAGGTTGGGTTCGCAGGGGAGGGGGCAATTGTGGGGTTGTTTGTCGAGACCGTGGTACCGGGTGACATTGAGACGGCCTCTGGAGTCGAATGATGCAGGGTTGGTGAGGAGTCCTGTGAACAGGTTGTCAATGTTGTACGCCTACATGGAATGAACAGAAAAAGGAGCGAAGGAGAGAAATACCATAGACAAAGATAGAGAGAGAAGAATGGCAAAGAGTGGAATCGAAAGTGAATAACGAAGGCGGTAAGGGACAAAGGGACAGGTAATTAGTTAGAGTTGGAGGGGGGGACCAAAAAAACAATAGACATACCTTCGCAAGTTTACTCCACATTCAAAAGCGTATCAGCCTTTGTTTATTCATACCTTGAGGATGGTTTCAATGTAGACGGTGTTCGCATCGGAGAGGACGTACAAGTCCGAGCCCTGCTCCTTCATCAGCTTCAAGGCCTCGATTCTCTCTGGGGCCTATACGTGTTATATGATGTTCCGGAGCAAAGAATAAAACAAATCGCCGCGTACTTTTGTTAGGATATGGAAGATGTAACCGGTGCATTGTGGAGTGTTTGCTAATGCGCACCATTTGGCAGAGACAGAGAGTCAAATGGGAACAAAAAAGAAAGAGAGAAAGAGGGGCATGTTTGTTTCTGCAAAGTGTTTACAGGTGAGAAACTGACTTACAAAGGGGATGCTGGCCAGGGTTCGCTCAATGTCCTCTCTGCTGACACCGCGGTCAAACAGCTCTCCTAACAGACGTTGCCTTTATAACAAAGGAAACCAGGTCATACACGGCGATGAGTATACATGCATGGATGATGATCCCACACTTCTTCGCTATAGCCGCTGATAGATGGACACTCACTGGAGATCGGTCCATTGGACTTTTCCGATGGAGTCGAGCTGAATCTTGGAAAGCTCTGCACTCAGATGTTCAAAGACAAAGTAGTCTGAATCAGAGTCGATTAGGGTCCTAATAATAAATGAAAAATGGCGACGCACGGTGGAAGATGTGGGGAAGGGTTAGGCAAAAAAAACCAGCCAGGGGAAAGAGAAGTGTATCAGGCAGCCCCTGTCATTGTTTATTTTTGCTAATAGAGTCCCCGTTCCTTGTAGTCGAATCGGTTGGCGAGAGCAGAAGAGGGAAAGAGGAGGATCTTTACCAGTCAAAGTCAAAGACAAAGAGACGTTTTGATGGTGACATGGTGGGTATGGGTATCTATTGTCTTGAGGGGAAGGGAGAGTGGCGTATGTGCTTGGATCTGTGCAAGAGGTTGCAGGAAGGCTGAAAGAAAAAGGCGAATTGTTTCTTTCTTTTGTCGTTGTTGAGGAAGAAGGAAGAGGAGAAGAAGAGTGGAGAGAAGGGAAGGAGGATAGAGGCTAGAGAGTTATGGAAGTGAAAGAGAGAGGGAAAAGAAAAAAGAAATGAGGATCTTCTTATTTCATCCGACAGACAACCATCAAACAACAAGGTTGATCCCCGAACAAAATAGCGCAAGAGGCCTTGGGACTATGACTCTTCCCTGACAGCCATTTGCCCTCTTCGCTCAATGTACCATTTCGCCCGATGGGCCAGCCCAACAATAGCAACAGTGATGATGAGCAAATGGGGCGGACAGGCGGGGCTAAACATGGCGGACAGATATGAATGTTTCTTGCAGGGCGCCCATGACACACAATTCTTCCGTCGCTGTGTGCGTCCGATGCCGCCTTTCATTTGTGGATGCAACAACTACAGCCAAAAAAAAAAGAATGAATAAAAAAGGGGACCACAAGTGTCAGTGCACCAACACCCCAGAATGACACCCAAGAAACACAAGAAAAGGAACAAAGCCCAGCCAATCCCAGGGTCCAAGTGGACCACACCCACCCTTCAACTCCTGTGGACAACTTTTTTTCTAGTGTTTTTCTTGCCACCAAAAACATGAGATCAAACCATTGGTTCCAATTGCTTCATGTGTTTCTCATATCCTTTCATCTTGAACGCTAGGCTTGTTGCTGCCGCCTTGCACTACCCGTTGCTCGTCACCTATTGTATGAATTCAACAACAACAGTAACTGAGTAGAGAGGAGGCCAGACAGATACATGTAATGGGAGAGAAAGGGAAAGAGTGTAGAGATATCTCAGGGTAAGAATAGTAGGTTGAGCCATTTTCCGTAGTCGTTGCTTGCCAAGGGTGGGGTCCACATTTCGTCATCGATCGAACTTGGCATTACACGTGGGAAAACCGACAAGATTCAGGTTCAGCTTCTTGTCAAGAATTCTGGACGAGTTCACCCTCACCCACTTACTCAGCGCCAGAAATAGACTCTTCAGCTGGCCTGACGCCCCACTCCACTACACCAGTTCACGAAATATAGCCTCTTTGTCCACTTTCTAACACCATTGCCATAGTCAATCATCCCTTTGCTTTGCTACTTTGTTTTTGTTCAACGAGATGTTGCTTTTATTTTTCTACGTCTGGGATTGAAGAGAGTACTGAAGGGGAAGAAGATATTATTGAAAAGGAAAAGGAAAAGAGAAGGGGAGAAAAGAAAGTTATACAAAATCGGAAGAGCATATTCTAGAAGCTACAACGTCGTCTTTTTGGCTGCTGACTTTTTGTTCTTATTTTCACTTTAGAGATCCATGCCAAGGACGAGGTACTTGGGGTCTGCATGTGCAAGGACATCAGGGTGGACCATCTCGAAACCAGCGTACATCAAAGTACGGACAAGCTTGGCTGTAAGACAAGAAGACAATATCAAGGAGAAAGGGAAGAAGGTGAAAAGAGGGGGGGCAAAAGACAAAAATAGGAGTAGGTTAGAATGAATCGGAATAAAAATATTGCATGGGTTGGCCGCCAGTGTGGAGAAGAATTACAGCAACGACAAAGATGCACACTATTGTTACATACCGAGATTGGGGTTGGACTTTTCCAGGCAGAGATGGACGGTTTGGCATCCAAGCTGTTCTTCAGCCAGGTCAAGAGCAGCGACGACGCTCTAATAGAGAAACAATAAAAGAAGTGGGTTGTTAGCACTTAGTACAAATCCAGTACGTGATGACAGATGCCAAGTAAAAGAACCCACATAAAACAAAAACGAAAGGTTAAGAAAACTCACCTCTCGGATATCCATATCGTCCCACCCGTTGCCTCTCAAGAACAACGCACCCTCGGACACGAACCCATACCAGGTGTTCATGTTGTTGGAGTCGCTCGAAGTAATCGTCAGTCTTGCATCAATCTTCACATCCTTCAACTCTTGCTCTCCTTCCTCAAGACGGATAAGCGGGGGTTGGACGGTCTCATCGTTGGCCGAGAAACGGAACTGCTTCATCTCTCTCACAAATGAAGTCGTCTGCTCCTCCGAGATACCGCCCCGGCGACTCTGCTCACAGGTTCTGCTGCCACTGAAACCTGCAAACTTCATCGCGCAATCATTAATAGCGATGTCAGGGCCGCCACTGTCCTCTTCCTTCCACTATTTACACCAGGTCAAGAAGCAAAAAAAAATGAGTCAGAACGAAGGCACTTTAAAGAGGACAAACAGCTTTGTACAAAAGTAGGGGCAAGCGCGCAAGAAAGAAAGAGAGCTTACAGGTTGAATAAACATAGGTCTGAGGTCCCATGCTGGCCTCGTCAACATGGCAGATGGCCAAGACAGTGGCCTGCTGGATGCGACGGATGGAGGTCGAGGCAAAGTTGTCGAGGGGGACGTTCATTGAGAGAATATTACTCATATTCATATTATTATTATACTGTTTGAGGCCCTCCATGATAGTTTTGCTGTCTTCGCTGAGCGGTGTGGAGAAATTGGGAACTGGGGTGTTTGTGTGAGTGTGTTGGTTTGAAGATGATGATGTGGATGATGTGGCACGAAGATCGTACGGTTGCTATGTTTTTGTCGTTGGGTGTGGGGGGTGTGATATTTGGGATGGTGTATGGTGTGAAAGAAGAAAAAAAAAAGTCGAGGCGTCCGATTGGCCATTAATAACAAAAGAGTCCTAAAAAGGGCCCTTAAGTCATCACATGATACCTGCACGTGACGAACCAGGAATCTTTGATTTCGGAACCACACTGTTCCAGAAACCAACATTCCAATAAGCAAGTTCCTAGTTGGTCCAGTGGTCAGGATTTGTCGCTCTCACCGACAAGGCCCGGGTTCGATCCCCGGACTGGGAATTACCTTTTGCCTCCTCGGATGTTTACGTTTGTTCCTTCCAGCGTTTTTTTAGGTCCTCTTTGCTTGCAACTTTTTTTTTGTTTACTTCTCTTTTGCGCCATTCACCAAACTGGAAGTCCAGAATGTCGGCGGCATGCAAACATGGACTCAGGCAGGACTTAAGGTCCGCCCTTTACCGATGGGCGAACCTCGCTGTCCCCTCACAGTCGTCGATCGGGATCACTTCAACCTCCAGCTCTTTTTCAGCCCGTGGCAGTCTCCTCATTTCCCGACTTCGCCCACAGCCACAACAACTCCAAACCCGCCCCTTCTCAAGACTCCCCACTAGAGCATCAACAGCATTCATAGTCAAAAATGACGAATGCCTTTGGACACCTCACCGACACAATCTTCACACGGACTCCGGAATAGACCTCCCTCCACCACCACCAACCAAGCGACCCCTGATCCGATACACACCCCCTGGCCCCCCACCCATCGACCAGAAACACCAAACCCTAACCCTTTACACCATCACCCCCATCCCAGAATCCCAGCTCGAAGACCTCCGTGAAGAACTCTTCCTTGAACTCGTCAAATTCGACATCACAGGCAGGATCTATCTCGCCAAGGATGGGGTCAATCTCCATGTCTGCACTCCAGTCCAACACGCCGAGTCCCTTCGCTTGTCTCTCCAAACACTTGTTCTGGATCGGTTCGGAAAGGGGCCCGATGGAGCTATCTGGAATGTATCGTGTGATCAGCCTGGAGAGCGAGTTTTCAGAAAGTTGAAGGTTGCTGTCAAGAAGCAATTGGTGGTTGATGGACGGTTGGATCAGTGGGCAATTGGAGACTCGGAAGCTCCCCTGTACTTGGAACCGGAGGAGTTTCATAAGAGGCTGGATCAGGTCGGAGACAAGTCTCTCCTGATCGATATGAGAAACCACTTTGAAAAGTACGCGTTCTTGTGATCATTGTGCTCGGTCTTTTTTTTTCTTTTTTCGCTTGTATGTACCAAAGAATTAACCCGTTGCTCTTTTTTTATGACGATGACACACCGTAGTGAGGTGGGAACGTTCAAGACGGCCGTCAAAATGGATTGCACGACATTCAAGGAGAACATGGATTTGCTGGATGAGCTTCTAGAGGGTCGGGACAAGAGCAAAGAGGTCCTCATGGTCTGCACTGGAGGCATCCGATGTAGTGTCTCTGGTCGGTACTTGAAACAAAAGGGATTCGAGGATGTCAAAATGGTAATGGGAAAAAGAATACCTGTTGTTGTTCAAATGGAATGAGTATAGAGAATCAATCCTCCGTCAACTAACCGTACCTTTGTTTCCACATCTCAATCTTGCAGCTGAAGGGAGGAATCACCAGCTACGGTCGCTATGTCAAGTCCAAACCCGAGATCAAGTCACACTTTGTCGGCAAGAACTTCACCTTCGATGGCCGTCGAGGCGAGCGCATCACCGAGGATGTGATCAGTTCCTGTCACCAGTGCAGCACCCCTCACGACAACATCACCAACTGTGCCAACACTCGTTGCCATGCCCTTTTCATCCAATGCCCCACCTGCAGTCAGAAATGGAACAACACCTGTGGACCAGAATGTCATCATGCTGTTGAGACGGGTTGTGGACCCGCCATAACAAAGCCATATGATTATCATACTCAAGTCCGCCCTGGCTCGCTTCTGACGACTGAGGTATCCAAAGCCGCCTGATTCTTAGAAATGTAATAGAAAAAGAAATTGATTTGCAAATATTTACATTGTATTTACATAACGTTTTTGTTCTGCAAAAGTACAGTGCGCGCGAGTAAGTGATATGCTTGGTGTTGAATAATTGTGTGTCGCAAGAGGCAGAAAGAGAAACGGTGGAGCGAGAGATACAAAGTCCTTGATCCCGACTCTCCCTTAATCTTCGCTAGGCTCATCCTGCTGCTCAAGATCCATAATAAACTTCATCTCACTGTCCGAGACAGGTTGAACAGAGAGACGTCCACGGTTGAGCAGCTTCATCTGACTAAGTTCCTTGTCCTTGTACTGCTGAAGCTCCTTCAACGTTAAGATGCGCTTGAGTTTCCGTTCGTATTTCACATCGACCATGAACCAGCGAGGGTCATCCCTGGATGATTTGTTGTCATAGTAATGGCTCTTGGTGTCGAAAGCTGTATGGTCCGGATATGCCTCCCGTGCAATCTTGGCCATTGCTATGTTTTTTTTTTGAGAGGAAGGATAGACGGTTGTCAAAAAACGCGGAGTAAAAAAAAACGTACGTTAATGCGATACGGTCAGATGGATGTGTTGTTTTCCAAGAAAGGTACTTGAGGGACTTACCGACAATGCCTGGTGCCTTGGTATTGGAGTGATAGAACAGGACTTGGTCTCCGACCTTCATGCTATTCTTCATCAAATTCTTGGCTTCATGATTCCGCTATAATTGTTTACACACAAGGAAACGAAGCTCCAATGTTAGAAACACGACTGTTTTGTCACCGAAAGGTACCAACATGCTGTTTTACTTCGCTACCTACGACGCCATCCCATTGTGAGGTAGAGTCCTTAGAGTTGATCAGATCGTCAATGCTGAAGGCATCAGGCTCAGATTTCATCAACCACACGCTGATACGCGTGCCATCCTCGTTCGCCAATCCTGTTGCCGACAATGGTTGTTGCTTCTCGGTGGTGGTGGTGGTATCCTTTGTAGGTTTTGAGCCAGTGCCGGATTTTGTTTTTGTTCCCTTAGCTGGGGTATCCATCTTTGTTGATGTGGTAGTGGTGTTGGTGCTGTTGGTGACTTTGGCTCGCTTGGTTGCAGTGGCGCCAATGGTGGTAGTCTTGGGTTGTTGGACCTGGAAAAAGTGTGGGGTTTTTGGAAAGTAGTGTTAGGATGGGACGTGTTTTGATTCTGAACCTGTTCATCGTGTGTGATCTCGAAAAAAGGAAGTACCTTGTCAGATGTTGGAGCGCGTCGCTTAGCCCTGGTTTCCATTGCGTGTAACTTGTGGGTGTGTGTTGTGTGGGAAGGAACAAGAGCTGAAGGTGCTTTTTTTTTTTTTTTTTTTTAAGGTAAGGATGACCGTCAGTGACGACACATCAGTTTTGTCCAATTAAAAAGTGGAGCTGTCTAAGTGTTCCTCGTACGTGCACATCATCTACCTCACTCAGTAAAATATCCTAAACGCACATGAGGATTGTACAGTCCGTCCTCACCGGGTCCAGACGACCCTTGGAACAAGAGCTGAAGGTGCGCGAACAAACATACAGTGAAGTTGGTCCCACCTACACGTGATGGGTTCGGAAATTAGTGGCGCCAGCCGCAGCCGTCCCTCCTTGAGAAATAAAAAATTCCGCAATCCCCTCCTTCTCTTCTCTCACCTCCTCCACCTGCACTTTCACTTCCTCAAACACAGTCCTTCTCTACGGCACCAAACCTCTTTTCCGACAAAAGAAAAAGTATCCAACAAATGACCCTCGCAGAAGATATCCTCCACCCATCGCCCGCCAAGGAGGCAACAACCCACAAGCTGAAGCGAGTCGTCCAATCGCCCGATTCGTTCTACATGGACGTCAAGTGCAACGCCTGTCAGACCATTACTACCGTGTTCTCCCACGCCGACATCGTCGTCAACTGCCCCAAATGCAGCAATGTCCTTTCACAGCCCACCGGTGGATTGGCCAAACTCTCCGAGGGTACTTATTGCTTTGTAACGGAGCAAGAAAAGAGAGTAGCGGACTGATGAGAATGTTGCTGTGGAAGTCATTACTAATGGATTTCCTTATATGCGAAATAGGTGTGTCTTTCCGCAAGAAGGCGCAGTAGAGGCTTATTCCTGAGTGCCCCAGCTATCGTCAGGCGATGTAAATAGTGTGAATTGGTACCTTGGTGCCCACCGTCAAGAACCAGAACACAAACAAAGGGTAGTACGGACAGAGTGTTCAACACAAATAAAATCCTTTCTCCAACATATCAATGCGAGGGTGAGAAGATGGTGTGAGGAATACGTAAGAGGGGTAGGTGAAAAACAATGAAATGTTTTTCTCATTGGACACCAATGAGATTGAGACTCAAACGTTCGGGTTTTGCTTGTATTAGAGAGGTTCTTTGTCTATCCTTATTGCTCGCGTTTTCTGTTGGCCGCGTCGTGCTTGGGTGTCGAGAACCGCCTTGCGAGGGAGGAGACCATCTTGTAGAACCAAAACACGTTGAGCGAGTTCAGTGCAACGTTGGCACTGGTATAGACCACTCTTAGGTGCATGGGGACCAAATCTAGGACAGGTAGCACGCTCATCAAGCATTCGTAGGTTGTGTAGACGCCAAACACGATGCGCACACAGAAGAACACGGTCAACAAAAATAAGCCGTTAATCTTTTGGTAGATCGATCCTGTCAATCCTGTCTTGTCCTAGTAAAGTGAACCAATTCGTAAGTGTCAGTCGCTAAGTCTACAAACTTGTATCTTCCCGAAGGTGTGGGGTTGTTCCCTATGGAAAATGTTGTCGTAAAGCGAATAAACTTTTCATCAAGTGACGGCCGTGATTTTGTTGACGTACCATGAACCAATGGATGTTAAGGAAGGGTGTGCTCAGCTCAAACATCAAGTAGTAGCTACCATAGTATTGCAAGAATGGTCTCTATTAAGCAGTAAAGCAGAGAGAAAAAAACGTGTGTGAGCGAGATTGGCATGTTCTCCGACCATTCTTCCACACTTTGCAAACCTGTCGTCCCATGCATAAAAAAGACAAAAGACAGCATGCAGGAATGATTGCCATGCATATTCACAGCATGAACAAAAGCGCAAGGGCAACAGAAGGGGGCAACGTACGAAGCTGAAGATGAAGACGCTGAAGGAGCAGATTCCGTGCAAGACAAAACCGATGCCAAAATCCTTGATATGTCGGATGCTGTGGATGGTGTCCCATAAGAAGTATCTATGCTCATTCAAGAAAAACATTTATCAAAAGTGGACAATTTAACGTTAGTCATTGGTATTGCTGTCAAAGAGCTGCGTTGAAGTCCTGCACACAGAAACCCTTTCTTGCTCTCTCTGTCTCCACCCCAACCAAAATAAAAAAAAAACGTCAAAGCCCAGAGATGTGGGTTGCACAGAAATTGTCACAAAAGAAAGAAAAAATAGAGTTGATTTTGGGCAAAAGGAAAAGGGGGGGTACAACTAAGGAGAAGGGAAAGGATCCAAACTTCCCACAGTCTCATCCCACTTTTCTTTTGCCGTTTGGTCCGGAGTATATGCTCGTGGTCGACTGTTCATGCCAAGAGCTCGGAGTTGTGTATGCGTGTCCGTCAATCCTGCTGTCCGGTTACTCCTGCCTTGTTGCTCCTGAGCGTCTTTCCTGTACACCCGTTTTGGATTGGCCTTGACTGTCCTCTTACCCGCAACAGACGGCGTAGACCTGGCCAGCATAGAAATCGTATCCAAAGATCCTGTTCTGTGTCAGGTTCTCATTCCAGAACAGTGGGGTCGCCAAGGAGACAATGGTAAGAGCATGGACTGTCGACACTACATGGACTATCAAGTCATTCATAACCAAAAAAAAAAAAAAAGTGACGTAAAAGTGAGTTCAGGCTGTCTCTCTCGAAATGCAAAGGTACTTCCTTCTAAAAGATTTCACAATCTCTTTTCAGCTTCAGAGAAGAAATGAGTGAGAGGGAGACACATACCATCCCAGTTTAGCTTCTTGGATCCTTGTAGCTTGGGGTAGGTGACAGGAAACAGAATGGGGCAGATGACCTGTGAGAGCTGGACGATGATGCCGCAGACAACGGCAGAGGATAAGAGTGTTGTCCAGTGGTGCTCCAGCATACTGACGCCCAGGGTTTCGAATATAGAGCTTGTCATTCTCGGTCAATTGTCTTACGTTTGTCGAGAGGAGGAGGGGTTTAGGAAGAGAGTAGTTGGTAGGTGAAGGATAATAGTGCTATAATGGAGTGTAGAGTGGAGTGAAAGGGGAAGGAAGGAAGAAGGCAGGAGAAAGAAGAAGAGAAAGAAGGAAAAGAAGGGTGATAAAACGTAAAGACCGAATTAGAAATGTGGCGAGGTTATTGGCGATAAAGAAATCTCGGCCCTTTTGTTGTTCAATTCCAGAGAAAAGGAAATGAAGTGGGGACTGGTTCCTGGCAAAAGGGACAAGTTTCTACCGGGACCTCTTATCCTTTGTCTTTTGTCGACTTTCTTCATTTCGTTGCGTACAACAAGTAGGCCATCCGATCATTCGTTTGACTTTTCCCCATTCTTTTTGTTCTCGTACTCTCGCACTCTCGCACATTTCTCGAGAGCACAACTCAGTCACAAGAAGAAGGAGCTACGCCCCCGTAACTAGTCATGATCTGTGCTTCGACCTCAAAACATTACACGGTTCTTCTCGCAGAGATATTTTGGTGTTTTATTCGGCGTAAATTACTACTTTTCGTTCTTCTCTTTTATGCATCGTTGGAGTGACCAATGACCTTCGTCAATTCTATTAAGCACAAACAGAAGGAAAACATGCGTTACGACAATAATTCATATCGAAAGAAGACACGCTTTCAGGACGATCAATCAATTGCAATGATAATCATATTCGGTAAAAAAAACGTACGCTCAAACTTGATGTTCTCAGTCAAGACGGTCGTCTTGGCCTCGTTATCCTTGTTGACGGGGATGGCAACAACGCCGTTGCTCTCAGTCCATCCCTGAGCCTTGATAAAATCTGCCAAAGCCTGACCCTTCAAGTGGAGGTATGCTCCCAAGTTGTCGGTCTCGATCGACTGGAAAGTCATAGCAATAGCACCGGCAATGTCTATTGCAAGCAGGCGATAATAAGCAAGTCGATGAGGTGGTGAGTTTTGAGAAAGTTGTACAGAGGCGCGCCAGATCAGAAATCGATCGACTTTCGAATTGAACACCAAAGCACTCTAAATGAGGTGCCCATCGATAAAAGCATCTCAACCCGACATGAACGTACTGGCGCGGATCGAGTCCTCGAATCCAAGAACCTCGGCGGTCAACTCCTTGTAGATATCATCGCCTTCGTAGAGCTTCCAGAAATCGGCAAAGCGTGCCTGCTCAATCAAATCCTGAAGGGCGATCAAGCGGACGACGGGTTCCTCTGTGACCATCTGCTCGTTCAAGAGGTACAAGCACAGGTTGAAGTCGGGCTCGGGCAAAGTAGTCAGGGCCTTGACCAAGATGTTGTTGACGACCTGGTCGTTGGTCAAGTGAGCGTTGAACTGGTACCTAATAGGGGAGTTGTCCAGGAGCCAATTGGTTATGAACGTTAGAAAACCCTGCTGGTGATCATCAAGTAAACGTTGTCCATGTTAACCGCATTAAACGTTCTTCCGAGGGCACGTTTTTCGCGTTGGCGATAGTTGATCTAATGTGCGTAGCCGCAGTTCCTCCACTGCGATATGGTGATCCTGTAGCCCTGAGCATACGTTCGCCTCTGCGAAGAATACAAGTGTATGCGATATAGTATCCTGTTGTGAATTGCACAGACAGTTGATAGTTGTCCTGCTGCCCTTATGTTCGCTTTCTAGGGAGAGAGAAACTGGTCCCTGGAGTTACAAGCAGTTATGGAAAGTAGGATGCTTACAACTTGAGGATGGCCAAGTTGGCCATGGCATCGCACTCCTTGTTGGTGCACTGTGTGGCGAGATACTCCTCGAGAATAGAGACGTTATCGGGGTTGTATCTGTCGACTCCGTCGATGAGCGACTGGATGACCTCAGGGCGGGAGGCAGGGGTGTTGGAGACGCGGGCCATGACGAGCAAATGAGAGAGTGTCGGGATGAGTGAGGATGAACAAGAGATGATAACGAAGTAAAAAATATATATGTGTGTGTCAAGCCAGACGGTGCTTCCTCAGCACTCAGTCCTGTCACAGCATTTGCACACAAGCACACCCTGACAGCCTTTTTCTTCTTGTCCACAGTGGAAGAGAGGGACAAAAAAAATGTCGATGGAAATCAAAACAAACAACGTTAAGGGGCAGCTGTGGAAAGGAGGGAAACAAACCGGGTGTGATGAACATTGCCAGGCACACGTTTGCTGCGGTGTGATCTGGAAGAACAGACGCGCCACGCTCGCTCGCTGCGTAAACGCACACGCCCTAGAAAACGACCTTACTCATCCACCCTTACACTCACTCTCCTTCTCATTGCTGGCAACAAGTAGCCTCTCTGTCCTTTTCACGAGTCAGGCTTGTAATAACCCCTCGTACCTGTCATTCCATCACAATCAAGGAGCATGAACAAGAGGATTTCACACTGATGCTGTTGGGAATGCTTTAATTTCTTTTGAATCAGATCTGCCTCTATTTTTTGGATCTAGCGTACAACTTTTATTTGATGCTGTTGTTGAGTACAAGAGTCTAGTGGTGCTCCTCCTTCTTGCCGGTGACTATGATAATGAAACAACGGCGAAAAGGGAAGGTCAGTACAAACCGTCAATGGTATTCAGCTTTACGTCCCAATATAACATACAAGGTCAATGTCCAGCTCTTACACTTGGGGTTGCGGGGATCGTTCCTGAACGACTCGCCTATTGCACAATAAAACGAACGATAAATAGCATATAGGTCAATTCTCTATCATCTCCATTCACGCAGACAACACTCGGCAATTGTCGGACGCCTCATGTCCTTGTATCGATATGTCTTGTCGTGATCCTTTGCCAAGTAGCGTAGAGTATTAGGCGTTATGAAACTCTTATCCTGCAAGACGATAGTCAAGTCGTTGGTGGTTGAGAAGTGTGTGGCAACAAAGAGGTGCTGTCGAAAGTCTGACTGGAACTGATGGTTTGTCTGCTGATCCTGAGAAGTCGAGAGAAAATGTGTGGCAGATGGGTTGGTTGAAATACGTACTCTTCAACATGGTCTCCTGAGCAGCGTTGATGAGGTAGAAGGTGACGACACCTCCGGCCAGGAAAGGAGCCAAAGGGCGAAAGAAAGGGGTAGACCAGGCACGCATGTTTGATGTAGAGGAGATGAGGAGTTGATGGAAGGTGAGGAAGCTGGCGCATGATGAGGGCAAGTAGCAAGTCCAGAAAAAAGCGTACAGTCATTACACGTGACTTGGATGACTTTTGATCTGCGGCGAGTTCACTTTTTCCCTTCTGCAGGCAATGGCGGAGTAGGTTTTCGCTATGCTGGAAGGAGGACTGACTCCTTGACGGAACGATCGATCCATCGTTCTCTTCCTGTTCCTGTCCACAACAGCATCGGCTGTATCTTACTGTCGTGCTCTGCTTGGTCAGTGCCAATGCAAGATTCAGGTGCAAAAAAATATCATCACAACGGCAACATAGCTGTACGTGTTTTATCTTGTCCCTTCGTCAAACCTTCCCCTCGTTCCATGTCCAATGTCACCCTTCGAATCAATCACAATTTGATTCAGGGACGATCAGCAGCCAATCAGACGAGCAAATTGAAATTGGGCTTGTTTTTTTGGCCACTTCAACTTCGTTATTATTGTCATTATTATCATTGCTTTGTCTTCACACGCACACACGCTTTTCAATTGGAGTCGGTGCTTTGCCCCTTGCCATCCTCATTTACAATTATACGTTTGCAATCATTTTGTAGTTGCTATCAATCATCGTGTGCTCTTGCTTGTCGCCTTGTTCTTCGTTCATAAATCCCTTTCTTGGGGTTTGTGTCTTGGTGTCGGTTGCTTTTGTTGATGTGTTTGCGCACATTATCTTCCCCTTATGTGTGTATGTTTGTGTGTGTGTTTTCATTTCCCTTTTTTCATCAGCGAACAGTTGCCTCTCCTTGTCCTCTCCTCCTGCCTCCTCTACCTCCCTTTCATCCTCATTCACCCTTTCTTTGTTTGTCCAATTCCTCTTCTACACTTGACTCCTTTTAGTGTCTTCTTGTCGTCTAGTCTCTCTTGTTTTGTTCTTCAAAGTGGCTGTTTCCTTCTCGACCTTTGATGTCCCTTTGTTGTTCCTTTTCGCTCTTTCCTTTGCTCCTTCTTCCTCTCTTCCCTTTGACTCCCTTTTAGCCCCTCTCTTTCTTCATTCTCTCTCTCACTCTCTCTGGGTATTTATCTCCCAACTCTTTCGCCCGCCCCTGCTCCCGGCTATTCTTGTCTTCTGCTCCTCTCTTCTTTTTCAACAACAAAGAACAACAAAAAAGTGTACCAAACTGACTATTCGTCCTATTTTGTTTATTCCGACCTCTCACTCGCCTCACACTTCTTCTTCACCCACCCCATTCTTCTTTCCCTCCTACCTTTTTATTCAGGGGAGAATACATCACCTTTGGCCTGGGCAGCCCCTCACTCATTCACCACACACAACGTAGCCACCGCCACTCTTCAACACACACACTCTCTTCTCCCACTCTCTCACACCGTCCAATGTCCGCAGAGAGCATCGACTCATCCACCCTGACCTCGGCCGACAACAAACTCACCCACTCCCACCAAAATCGCCCTCGTAAACACTCTGCAGACAGCCGAAACAGACGCGAAGTCATCGCACTCGACGGCCAGATGTTCGAATCAGCCCCTGCGCAGGAAGATCCATCTGCCGCTGTTCTGCATCTTCAGGTACAGCAGCACATCCGACTAGTGCCTCTTTCTACCACTTACCCTTTCCTTCTTTTCTTTCTTTCGCCCCTGTCACCGTCCCTGTCCTATTGTTGTCCCATCACCCCCCCCCCCCCCTCTCGTCTTCTTTCTCCATGGGGCTTCCTTCGTTCAATCATACATATTTTGCCAGGAGCGCCACCCCAACAAAAAACGCCATGCGAGAAGTAGGATCGACCCTGCACATTCACTGCCACTCTTTGCGTCTTCAAGGGGGATACCAAGAGGAACATACGACCAACCAACTGACTGACTGCACAAGACTGACCAGCTAAACTAGAGCAGCTAGAACTACAGGAAGAACAACAACATCATCGACCCCAAGGGCCACGGTAGGGAGCAGTCGAATGTGGCAAAGAGCCCAGCCAAACTGTAAAACAACAACAACAATAACAACAACAACGACGGGAAGCTGGACAGGACAATAGGCTTGGAAAGGATACTTTCTTGGTCCTTGGAGCTCGCTCTCGTTTAGCCAGCCAGACTTTTAATGTTTATTAGCGCTCTCCTTCGATATTATGTTTCGCTCTCTTTCTCTCACACTCTTCCCTCTCTTTTTCACTCTCTCCCCCACTCTTCTTTCCGCTTGTCCCCTTCACTCTCTTTCTCTTTCTTCTCTTTCTTTCTCACCTTTTCTCTTCTTCCCCTCTTCAACTGAGGCTAATCTAATACATATCCTCTCTTGACACTGGACCTCATAGGACATTGCTGCAAGCAGCTCTCACTTGGATTCTCACCCACAGGACTTACCTGACTGTGCTCAACCATCAAGTCCGCTAGGTGACGATAACAAACGACTCAACGTCCTCGACACCGCGAACTCAAACCACATCGACAACACAGCCAACACAATGGACCCAGACAACTGTGATTCAGAACCAAAAGCCTCCACTTCGAGCACATCCCCAACCGCCTCTTCAGCGTCCTCGTCATCCTCCTCTACCACCTCCACCCCAGAAGCGACACAGCCTCAGCAACCTGGATCAACTGACAAGCAAAGTCAGAATGGTGGCCAAGACACACTCACCGTCAACCCTGCGCCATTGGTTCGTTCAGGCTCCCAATCCAACCGCCAGAGCATTTTTGTAGGCGAACACATTACCATCTCGCAAGATGGTCCCATTATCGAGGCCCCGTCTTCCCACTCTCCCGGTTCCAATGACGATCAGGAAGACATGAAGGAGGTTCAGATCGAAACGGCGGACCCTTCGCATTTGTTTTGGGTATGTACGCCTTGCTTGTTGGTTGTTTGCGCCTTTCAACCTTGTAATATTGTTGATGGTTGTTGAATAGAAAGGCCGGTTCCAACACTAATTGTACTTTTAATTCCATGCAACATGATATTTGGCAATATTTAGGTTCCCTTTCACCTCCATCCTGAGATTGCCCCGAACGAGTACAACAGATGGCTCTCAAAGCACGGAGTCGACTCAGAGTCCGCGGACGGAATGGTCTCATCGAGAAGCCCTTCTATCACCCGGCGAAAGTCTGTTTTGTCTGCCCAGTACAACCCGGACGAGGATACTGACGATCGACCCAGCAAACCGCCAAAGATCGAGGAGGAAGAGCCCGAAGGTGAAGACTTTTTGTCAGGAGTGTTCTCGGCACCCTTGGAGCAAATGGGCGAGCCACCATTACGGACAAAGACATCCCTGAGACGCAGTGTCAGTCTTTCAGCGTCGTCTCCAACAAGTATGTCTATCATGAGCTTAAACCTGGCATCGCGCGAGGACAACTGGGCTTTGGTGCATTGTCACAATCGTCATTACAATGAAGGTTCTAATCCGTTATCAATTTTCTGTTTTGACGCTATCTAGGGAGCAACTTCCCATCGGACGCCGTTGAAGAGGACTTGATAACAGTCAAGCGACCAGGAGGACTGGAGCGGAGCGCCCTTTCGTTGCTGCGAAGGAGTGCCAGGACAAAGATTCGTAGGAACTCAACAGCCTCCAACGACACCAGGCATGACGTCTCAAGATTGCGCCAGACCGTCAATGCCAACGGCGAATATCCGGCAGTCTCTCTGGTCGACCCTGGCCCATTGCCTCGTCCATCTGATTCCCAGGATTCCACCACCACCCCTACTCCCGTTACACCTCAGGAGGAGCTCCCTAAACCCACCAAGGATACAGAGACTCAGCCGTTGAAGCGCTTCGTGTCTACACTACGAGACTCGTCCAAACCTACTATCACCACATATGTCGAGCCTCACCTTTTGGAACAGCAACGCAGGGATCAAGAGGCAAGTGGAGAATTGAATGATGGAGAGGAAACACCCTCGTTCCGAATCAGCGCGCCCGGAAAGCTCGAAAACACGGTGATGGCACAGTTGGCGGAGACATTGGAAAAGTCTCGCAAGGAGAAGCTGGACAGCTTCACTATCAACTATCCCATTCCGCCTCCCGTCAAACTGGCCCACAACCTTCTCCAACAACCATCTTCTCAAGACCCTTCGGCACCGAACAAGCCTTCAAGGCCACAGCAGCAATACGACCTTCCAGGAAAGAACAAGCAGCCTGGTCAAGGAGCGGCTGGCATTCACACACATCAGAAAAAGCCGTCGTCATGGTCTTGGCTCTGGGGCAAGGAAAAGGGCGAGAAGGGCGCAGACGGATCGACTCTTGGAGGAGCGGGCTCTTCTCCTGGAGGAATGAAATCTGCCGCGGCGACTCCATCCCAGACTTCCAGCATTGAAGCCAATACCCCGACTACCTCTTCGGCCGAGACGACCGTCAAGAAGCCATCGACACTTTCATTGCTGTTTTCCCGGAATAACAAGTCGACTTCGGCTAAGGCCCAGGCGACAACAGCAGAGACCACGCACTCTATCAGCATGAACGGCCAGTCATTGACGTCGGACAGGCCAAAGTACAGCAATTACAACCGACTCCCCATCCACATCGAGCGAGCCATCTACCGTCTATCACACGTCAAGCTGGCCAACCCTAGACGACCCCTTCACGAGCAGGTCTTGATCTCTAACATGATGTTTTGGTACTTGGGCGTCATTCAGCAGCAACAGCTTCAGCAGCAGGCCGATCTCCAGCAACAACAAGCCAAGGATTCGACCAAGGGTGGCGAGTCAAAAGAGGAAAAGGAAGGAAAGAAGCCCAAGAAGAAGAAGAGTCAGAAGAAGAAGAAGAACCAGCAGCGAGGATCGGGCAAGTCGGCTGAGCGAGTTGTCAAGGGGCCTGAGTATGAGAAGCAGCAACAACAAAACTTGCAAGTCCAACATTCACCCCGGCCTCGCCAGCAAGGATCCAGTATGCCACCTGGAGGCCCTGCTCATCAACAACAACTACAGCAGCAGCAGCAATACGGACGGTCACAGCAGAACGGCCAGGGAGGACACGATGAAGAGAGCAGGGCAAGCGGGACGGACTATTCAGACTCGTATGAGGAATCGGATGGGGACGACTACACGTCACAGGCAGGACAAGAGTCGATAGGATCTCAATCCGATACGCTGATGGCGCTGTCGATCCAGTCTGCACGGATGGCAACTGAGGAGGAGGACGAAGACGACGATGTCCCACTGGCACACTACCAGAACACGCCATCGCGCCAAGGCGTCCCTGTCTCCTAAACAAATATATCATTTTTTTTCCTCATTCATCTTTTCGCGATCAACTATGTTGTGTGTACAAGATTAATGTAAATGAGACATGAACTATGATTTCAGAGGCTCTTAATGTATTGCGACCATCATTAGTATCAGTTGAAAACTTGAAGTACCATTCTTGTTCGTGGCACTCACAAACGAGCAAACAGAATAACGACAAAAAGAATCAAACGTACATACGCCTACTTCGCGTAGGATCCACGATGTGCACCGCTAGCAGTGGCGCTGGAGATGTTGAATGTTGTTAAGTTGATGTGTTTTTAGCCTTCAACATAGCGTGGAGGTGAAATGCCAGGTGTACCCGTCGTCAATACCGGTAGCGGACAAACATGAAAATAATAAAGAAAAGGAATGGTTAGGCCCAATAGAGCAACGACCAAGTGGCGTCGACCTTTACCTGTGATCAAGAAATCAAACAATTGAGAAGAAGGTACTTACATCACAAAGTGGAAGGTCGGTTTATACTTTCAGGTATGGGTTTGGATGGAGGCGAACCCTTGGGAGCCTTTCCCTGTATCGAACGGAAACCCATTTCCTGGCCTCATGGATGTTTTGCTGAATGGGATGCACATTATAACGGCGATGTTCAGGGCGAGATGCATTGAAGATAGGTGCTGGATAGGGTGGCAAAAGGTCAACAGTGTAAGGGAAGCAAGATGGAAAGTGTACGAAGGAGTGGCGAGAAGAGAAGAGTAGAGGGGAAAGGTGAAGGGAAAACAAGTGGAAAGAGAAGCTCATAGTGGGTTGCTTACCTTGTAGAACTTGAGTAGCCGGGAAAAATGAGGAGAAAAGTGAGGAAAGAGAATAAAAGAAAATAATAGAAGATGAGTTGCATTTTGAACGCATTGTTTGCGGGAAAAGCGAATATGATGTGCTGTTTCACTGATCCGCATAGAGAACGCCTTCGCAAATTGTTTTCAGCACCAGACCTAGGTGAGGCCTAGGGAGTATCCGTCATGGACGATCAAGTTCTCCAGCAGAGAGATAGGATAGAAAAATGGAAAAGAAAGTCACATTTTTCCTATTAGAATATGAATAATAAAAAGATCGGTGGTCTGCCCAGCTACTCGAACCCTCTTTCACTTCAAAATGGTAATTGCGGATGGAGCAGGAAATCAAACCGTGTCTCAGCCAATCAGAGCACAGGGATCCCTTCAACCAGCAATAGAAGCCATGGATGCCAGCATCTACCAACAAATACCCAGCAACACATCCATCGGTCTCCACCAACCGCCAAGCGAGCCCCATTAGCCATTTCATCGACATCCGGATCATCCCTACCCATCTTACCGTCCTGTCGAAAGAAAGTTCACGATATATCGGTTATTCTTGTTGAACGATGGTTCCCTTGAGAGCTAATCGTCTTAATGACAAGATTGGGAGGGAGGGATCTAGACGAAATGGATCAGTTCAACAGACAGGAGGATGAAACGCCGTTGCCGACCAACAGGAGCACGCTGAACTGCACCTCGACCTACATCAATACTTGACCTCGAACCTGCAACCAACAAAAAAGACCTGATGGTTTTTTTCCCCCTGTAAACTGGAAGGAGCCTTCCTTTGCCTGGCAGGGATCTTGACAAGCGACCGTCGATGTGACAGATCACAAACACGGAGGAAACAGACATCGGAGAAAAGAGTTTTTTTTTTCTAACCTGTTATTATGATCACTTTGTTTTTGAATCTAGGCTCGTGGACCCAAAAAGCACTTGAAGCGCCTCAATGCTCCCAAGCACTGGATGCTGGACAAGCTTACCGGCACTTATGTATGTGAGCCAGGCCTATGCAGTACCTTTCCTTCAGAGAGAGCGTCGACCTTTTCTTTTGACTGGACAGAGCGGGAGACACTAGGAGTGTGATGCAGCCCTCAGGATCCAACACTTCTTTCTGGTGCGACTTTGGATGAGACCACACACACGGGTTGACTCGACAGCGTGAACGGAGAGAGACTGTTGTCAGGCTGAAGCCGACCATTATCTCTCTTTTCCTTTCGGACGCAGAAGCCAGTTGCAACACACACCTTCACCCTTACCTGGATGAGAACTGCCCAACACCACTCTTTTCGACAGACCACCAGCAAACGCCCCCAGCGACGCCTTCATGGCAGGCCAAGCTTAAGCAGTAGTCTGTTCGACGCCACCAATGCAGTCATGGAGATTTTTGCAACAACACAACAATGATCGACCTCAGCTGCTCCACAAACCGTACCGAATATGACAGCTCGATCAAGAGTTCCAATTCCTCTCTTACTCACATGCCTGTCCCTCTTTCCCGGACAAATATACATCTCTGTAGGCCCCCAGACCTACCGCTGGTCCCCATAAGCTCCGCGAGTGCTTGCCCCTCGTCATCTTGATGCGCAACCGTCTGAAGTACGCTCTCAACGGCAAGGAGGTTCAGTCGATCCTTATGCAGCGTCTCGTCAAGGTCGACAACAAGGTCCGCACTGACTCGACCTTCCCCGCTGGTTTCATGGATGCCATCACCATCGAGAAGACCGGTGAGAACTTCCGTCTCGTCTACGATACCAAGGGTCGCTTCACCGTCCACCGTATCACCGCCGAGGAGGCCAAGTACAAGTTGTGCAAGGTCAAGAAGGTTCAGCTCGGTGCCAAGGGTATCCCATTCGTTGTCACCCACGACGGCCGCACCCTCCGCTACCCCGACCCCTTGATCAAGGTCAACGACACCGTCAAGCTTGACTTGGAGACTGGCAAGTTCAACGAGTACATCAAGTTCGAGGTCGGCAACGTCGCCATGGTCACCGGTGGTCGCAACACCGGTCGTGTCGGTGTCATCACCCACCGTGAGCGTCACGTCGGAGGCTTCGATATCGTCCACATCAAGGATGTTCTCGACCGCCAGTTCGCCACCCGTCTCTCCAACGTTTTCGTCATTGGTGAGGGCAACAAGCCTTGGGTTTCTCTCCCCAAGAACAAGGGTGTCAAGCTCACCATTGCTGAGGAGCGTGACCGCCGTCGCGCTGCCAACTAAGTGTTTTAAACACTTGGTCGTCCGTTTCATCCCCCCCCTTTCTAAAACTCTCCTTGCTGTCTATTAAATAAAGGCTGCCTTTTTGAGGTCCGAACATTGCTTTTTTTCATTTGTTTTCATTTGAATGTTGGTTGCTTTGCTTCTGGTCATACTGAATGTCACGAGCGAGCACAGGACTCATGGACCGTGTGCTCTAAGGGTGAACAAATGAACGAAAAGCCCATGCAAGGATTGGACGGGTGTCTGAACACGGACAACAACAAAACAGATCTGCGTGATAAATGATCATTCACAATAGCAAAGTAGCTCTAAAAAGGACAATTTCGCTTTTGGATGTTGTTTCTTTTGCTTCAGCAATAACTATGGAAGTAAACTATGTTTTTGCGAGAAAGAAAAAAAAGAAAAAAAGACCCTGACCATGTCAGCTCCTGGCCATTTCTTCGTTCTGCGGTAGGTGAATTGGGTTGTAGTAGATGTATTTTACACGGTCCAGGGCTTGCCACTGGTCTTTGTCTCGTGGTGAGGCTGGAACTCGAACTGTCCGTCAACATTGATCGACTTTTTGAGAGTGCGACTAGAACGCATATAAGACGAAAAAAAAGAAAATCATAATCAGCGCTCCGAAAACAAATGTCTGGATAAAAACGACCACAATCAAAATGTATCTTCCGGATCAAGAGATAACAAGAACAGAAAAACAAAGCAAAGGGTATTGTAGAAATCCGTGTGCCACTTGCGACTTACCCAATGCTCATGGCCATATCTTGGTTGTCTGCGGTGCGGGTCCACAATGCTATCCTGAAAAAGCCCTTGCGAACCGACACAACAACGCCACATACTTCGTTTTCATACTCGAAAGCCTCTCCGATACAGGCCAACATCTAGAATAATAAGATTAAAAAAGGCTGCTGTCAGTTCGAAGTGTCTCTGTTTTTCTGCTCTGCATCCTTGCACTGCAGATCCCACTTCAACGGAAGAACAAGGAGTGTTAAGAGGTCGTCCGTACCGTATAGAGCCAAATGTTGTCAATATCGTTCATGGTCTTATTGCGGGGAAGCTGAATGCTCCACTTTCCTCCGTGCTTGTTGGCGGGGTCCTCCCACATGGGCTTGATTCCATGCTTGAACAGATGGTAGTTGGAGCTGATCGAAAGGTCGCAGGTCTTCATGATGTTGTTGTAAACACTATGCGCAGCGATCACGTACAGAAGAAAAGAGAGGCAGAAGCATAAGATATTAGGTTAGTTTGAGATTTCCTGATAAACCGTCGGGAAAGAAGCTGTCGGTGTAAGTGAAGACATGGAAGTATGTTGGCGATAGAAAATCCATGGAGTCGATCGTGTACGCGGTGAGAAAGGGGATCCGCATAGAGATAGTTCTTCTATCACTTTCTCCCTCTCTATTCGTCTACTGGCTTCATCGATCCGCAACGGAGTCATCCTGCGTCCTGTGTGTTCATTTTCTACTTTTTTCTGTCTCCTTGAATATGCCATTGATCAATCCTTCTGCTACGGTCTTTTCTTCGTTGTTATTTTGCGGTTGTGCAACCGACAAAAAAACTTACCCCCAAAAGTCCTCGACGGTGTCAAAGGTGATGAGTTCCTTGAGGGACTGCTCCCAGTTGTTGGCGTTTGATTTTTTGCCGGGGTTATCGAACCAGAGGGTCCATGAGTTGTTAAGAGGGTGTTTTGCGTTGAAGTTGACGGGATCGTTAAAGACGGTGACGTATTTGTCGCCGGAGGGCACAGCAAGGTTGTCGCTTTGAGCCATGGTGGAAAGTTACAAAGGTAGGAAAGAGAGAGAGGGAGTGTTTGGTGTTGTGTCTGTATGGGGATAGGAATGTGAATGCAAAGTATATATGAACGACAAGAAAAAGAACAAGAGAGAAATGCAATAGGTGAAACAAAAGAAAACAGCAAAGAAAAAAGAAAAGAAAAGAAAAGAAATGAAGACAGGTGATTTGGAATGTGTTAGTTGCTCTGGAAAGGGAGAGGAGAGGAGAGAGAGAGAGAGTGAGTGAAAAGGAGAAGGGTGGTTGTTGGGAGAGAAAGAGGGAGGGAGACGTAAGTGTGTGAAAGAGTCGAGTGCGAAGATGGGAAGGGAAAGGGAGGGAGGGGAGGAAGAGACGTGGACGAAGGGAAGAAGAGGAGGATAGTGACAAAGGGAGGTGAAAAGAAAACAATGAAAAAATGACAAAGAGAAAAAACAGTGCAGTCGCATTGGGGGTTATTTTATAAGTCAAATCGGGACTGAGTGACGTCACGTTGACCTTGCTTTGGAGACACCACTCAAGGCCGCTTCTTTTATTCTCCAAGCAAAGTCTCGTCTCCCCTTATTTCCCCTTCTCTCCCCTTCTCTCTTTCTTCTTCCCCTTCTCCATCGCTTTCCTTCCTTCAAACTGCCCACATAACAACAACTACAGACATATCATCAACACTCTCATACCCATACTCACAGTCTAAAGCACACGCACACAAGACCACACTCGGCCTTAAAAAGGTACATTGTCCATCCAACTCACACCACAACCAACCAGCAACCACCTACCTAGCCTGATCGCCATTGTTCGCCAGAATAAGGACCACACCCAGCCTTGATACTCGCTCCCCTACTTACTCTGCTAGCCAGGAATGACCTCGCATCGTGTCAGCCTCATACACACCTCGCCTAGCAGACACACCAATCTCTTTATGCTTGCATCGTCAGGAACGACTGAAGAACAGTTGCCAAGAGTCAGGAACATGAGCAACACCCAATGGACCACTCTGTGCAATGATGTGTCCCACGCAATACAATGCCCTGACCTAACGAATGCAACTCTTACCTCCTCGCTCCTCCGTCCTGATGGACAGACGCCCGCTCGTATTGACTATGAGCTCCAGAGCACCAGAACAACTACAACCGACGGAGACGCAGGATGGACTCAACACAGAAGCTGACTCTGTTATCCGGTATTCGCGCGAGTTCCTCATGGCGTGCGCGGAGAGTCCTCTTGTCCAGAGACCAGAGGCTCTTCCTCCTACTAGCGAATGGTTCGGGTAAGTTGATCATCCTGCTTGAGGGACTTCACTTTGTCAATAGCACATGCCATCCTCTCATAGGTGTCTTTAACATCCAGTTAGACTGACCTATCATCACTTGCGCTTGCTCGATATTAGTGAAATTGTGAAAGAGGAGCCAGAACTGAACAATGGTGGCCGCAAGGTGCCAAGGTATGTTTCCCATGATGAGCTCGCCCCTCTTGCAATATCAACAAAAAAAATAACACGGAGGACATGCGTTTGTTAATCGATCGACGACTTTCTTATTACCGCCCCTGGCTCACTCACGTTTCCATTTCTCTTTGTTGCCAACGCCCCCCACTAGCAAATCAACCATGCCAGGTAACAAGAACGGCCTCTACCACATGCTGTATTGAATACATAATATGGACATGGCAGTGATCAACCAACTGACTCCCACCACTCTCCTCTTACTGCGTGATCTTGTATCGTAACACTTTTAGACCGTATCGTCCTCGGTCCTCCAAAAATGAGCTTTGCGTCCTCGTCACTGGGAGGATTGAAGAGGTCGGACGATGGTCTCTCAGGATTCAAAAAGTCGTTAGAGGCAAGTCATGATCAGGCACAGGCTCTTACTTGGACACCATGCTACAACAGCTTAATCGATCTCGGAAGAGAGCAATGTGGACTAATCATGGACTGGGTCTCTCCTTGGTGATTTATAGACTCCCAGAGAAGGCCGTACCCCTCGCGGGCCACCCAGCATTCTGGAGCAAGGATTTGGTCGCGAAACAATTGAAAAGCTGTCTTCTCACAAACTCCCCAAGGTCACGCCAAAGGATATCACCGGGCTGCTGAGTGGCATGGAGAGGCGACGAATGGACGCACCCCGAGGCAACAACTCATCCTTAACAGGTATGCAATCTACTTCATAGAAACATTGCTACCCTATCATTATCGAACGCTCAGCAAACGTTGCTCTTCTTAACTAATACAGGAGTAATCGCATTATGAATATGTACAGGCTCAAGACAACCAACAAGTCTACCAGGCTCAAGAATGGGCGGAGCAACCACGACAAGGACCTCTGGACATATGATGTCATCATCCAACAACCCGCTTCTCAGCAATGGCAATGGCGGCAGTGGTGTGGGTCTCAACTCTCGAGTTCAGCGTTCTGATGCGCCTGAGTGGATGAGCTACAATCCTGACTCGGATGGAGCGGCGAAAGAAGGATATGATGGAGGCGACCAACCAGCATTTGTGGACGACATCCAAGCCTGGAAGGCACGCATGAAGGAGCACGAACGCCGAGAGAAGGAAAAGGAGCTGAACCAAGGCCAGAGCAGAGCTGATCCTAAAGGTCCCTCGAGAGCCGACAGCAGTTCTTCATGGAGGTCAGGTGGTCCTGGGGCTCAGACTGGTGACGACGATAAGACGACTGGTGATGCAAAAGGCACACCAACATTGGAAAAATCTCTTGGTCGGTCAATGCTATCCAACGAGCCCATCCAGGATATCGACATGTTCTTCAGCCCTGGAGGAATTGATCTCAGCAAGCCTTTCGACGCATCGACGGCGTTTGACAAGTTTCTGTCTCAGCATACGATCGCAGCTTCCACAGCAGAAGATCCCTTGCAACAAAAGCCAGCTCGAAAGACGGATGGCTCGCGATTTGCGCGTTTCTTTGCTGAGGATGAACCAGAACCCGCCAAGGAACCAGAGCAGCCTAGGTCAAACAACGACATGCCAGGAAAGCAGCTGTCCCTTGATCAGCTCTTCCAGTCTCATGCGCCAAACTCTGCTGCAGCATCGGCCCCTCCACCATTGGGCCGTATGCCCTCAGAAGCCGAGATTCTTCAATCCATGAAGGGAGCCCAATCTCCTCCTGCCAAGCTTGACGATATGAATGAACTATCGGATGACGCATTTGGATTCAGCAAGATTATGGCTGCTCTTTCCAAGGTAATTTATTCACCCAAATGGTACTGCGGCCAGCACCTTGCAGACAGAAAAGAAACTGCACACTCACCATAAGCCATTGGCGTAATTTTTGTTAGCCTCCTGTTAGCAACCCAGAGTCACTGGCGTCCTTGAGTCCAGTGAGCTCTCGGCCCGCGACGCTTCCTAAGGGACAGGATGGACCAGCTCCTTCCAACCAACCAAAACTCAACGCACCTCCAGGATTGTCTGCAGCATTCCAGGACCCCTCCATTGTATCTTACCAAACCAAGCCGGCAACACTCCTTGACACGCTGATGATGGGATCTAATGAGGCCGCAGTGCCATTGAATACCACCCAAGCAATCCCCTCCGTTGCTCCTTCCGAGAACGCAGCAGGACAGACACCTACAGCACCTTCTTCTACATCCACTACGATTACACCCACGACAACAGTCACACCCACGACAATAACCTCCATGACATTCACCGCGACTTCTACTACTGCCACTGCACCTGCGACAGAGGCGCCCCGCCCAACACCACGACCTGTTCAAGTAGCTTTTGGCGGCGGTATTCCTACCTCGGTGTACCGCCAATTGAGCGGGAAGACTGATGGACAGAAATCCGCTTCTCCACTGATCCGACCCCTCGGCTCTGCCAACGGTTCCAGCACCAATGGAGGCGGCTCAAGCCCATCGCTCTCATCACCATCGGTGAACAGTCCTCGCCAATTTAATGCACAGGTTGCTCAACCTGCTCAACAGGGGCCTCCTTCTCACCAACCACAGCAGCATCAGCCGCAGCAACAGCAACAGCTCCCGCCTTTGCAGCAGCAATCACAGTCGCCTCAGGTTCCACAGCAGCAAATGAACAAAAACTTTGGGCCCTACAGTCAGGGCCCTGGACCTATGCTTCATTCACCCGCGATGGATCCGAGGATGGGGCCCATGTTCCCCAACGGCGGTCCTTCACCCATGGGCGGACATGGTCATGGTATGGAGAACGACCCTCAAGGATTCTTCCACGGCATGCCCATGCAGCGCCCACCCCAAGGAGTTCCCCCTCCTTTCGGGCAACAGATGCCTCCTTTCAGCCAGCAGATGCATGTGAGCGGGCCTGGCGACTTTATGCCCCCACACCCCGGTCAGATGGTAGGAATGCCTCCTTTTGGTGCGCCTATGCATCCTGGCATGTTCCCGATGAATCCTGTGGAGATGCTGATGCACCGTGGTCCTGGTGGACCTCCTCCACCTCGCCCCATGCCTGGAATGGGCCCTGGTCCTGGCCCCAACCACTTCGTGCCTAACAACTTTGGCCACCCTATGAACGGCATGCCCCACCATGGTAAGTTAGGTTGATTACGATAGTTCTGGGTGACTTGGCAATCTCTTTTTACTCGTACATGTCTCTAACTACGCCATCTTCCTACGTTCATTCTTGCAGGACTTCCTATGAACCCTCCTTTCTTCCCACCTCAGGTCTCAAAGCCAATGATGACTCGAGAGGAATTTGAGCGCAGAAATAGACAGCAGTAAAAAAATGACCGAGAGTGCTATTATATTTGCTTCTGCACGATCTTTGGCCATTATTCTTTTCCCTTTTTATTTTCTGTCCGTATCCATTGCCCTCCTTTGAGCAACATGCTGAAAATTCTTGGCTGGTCTATCTTTCATTAATCCATCGGCGCTGTTCTAGTCGACAGCATGTTCCAGGAACAATATTCAAGTTCCGGTAAGAAAGAGCGCACTGCCTTTTAGAAAACATGCAGCTGAGTGGGGTTTTCCTCTTGCTTCTTCTGAGAGAAAGAGAGAGAGAGAGAGATGAGGAGGTGTATTTTGTTGTGAGCCTGGATCGCTTTTCCTCTCTTACGCATTTCTATTTTTCTTTTTTTTCTATTTGGGGGTGTTTTGGATGGGTTGCGTCGAGATCCCTGCACTGTTCTTGCGTACTCATGCGACAAGAGTTGGTCATGAAGCGTTGCCCCGGTGCCATTATTGACCCCGTGGTGTCCACTTTCCTTCCTTCAATTGACGATAATGAGCTGGGGTACTTCCGCAACTGAAAGCTTTAAATGAGGCCGTTGGTTGCACAGGTCTAATTAGAAAGTGTACTAAGTCAACATTGTTCACTTCATTCGGTATGGTGTTGAATTCAAATTGGTAATGGCTAACTGGTTCTTAGATTGGCAATCAAAGATTTGTTGTCGGTGCACCCTCTCATCTACAGTACTTCTTTGCATTTTTTTTTCCTTTGGAGCTCTTTGTGCATTGTTTATTTGAACACCGATGTGCTAGCTTGACTGGACTGGGGATGAACAGCCGGAAGGGACGAGTGATGGTGGTGCTCTCAGCGGTCGACATTTTTTTTGTCACTTTCCGCACTTCACTCTGTGTGTTTTTTCTGGGTGTGTATCCCGATTTGAATCAATGAATGGATGAAGGGTGGTGGCACTCGAAGCTCAATTCTTCTTTTCTCTCCTCTCTCGTACGGCCTTGCAATTCATCCTCCTTCTTCAATTCCTTCATTTTTCTTGTCTCTTTTTAATTTATCTCAGGTCCTTCACTCTCTCTCTCTCTCTCTTCCACCATTCCCTCTCTCCCTCTTCCCCCTGTCCTTACCTCCACCCTACCCCTCTTATTCCTCCCACATTCTTCTTCTCACAGATACTGTCACCTAGAGGCCCCTTTCCTCGCCCCATGGCAACCACCCCCTCCCCTGCCTCCTTCGACCACCCTTCCAACCGCTGATGGCCGACCTTCCTACCTTCATCTCTTCCTGTATCGCCCCCGACAGCGCTGGCCAGAACGCCTTCCTGTTCGGCGTCCCCAAACCCGGCACACTCGAAGCACATCTCATCAACCTCTCCGATCCCCTCGCCCCCACTTCAAAACTCGTCTCTTCAACCTCCACTTCCACCGAGGCTAGTTGGGATGCCAGTTCCAGTCTAGGCTGCTATCCATACTTAGGCGACACTCCTTCCTCTCAACCCTCTCCTCCCCCCGCCACCAACACAACCGCCCCTGCACTTACACCTGTCCCTTCTTTTCCTCCGTCCATTACAATCGTCCAGTTCGGGAACGGTGTCCAGACACAATTCTACCCCAATGGCACCTGGGTAACCTTTGAGACGACCACCGAAGCAGCCTCGAACTTTTTGACTCCCAAGATGTTCAGTCCTGTGGGTTCAACAAATGGTTGGAATTGGTTCGTAGCCAGGGCTGGAGGTCAACCCAAGACATGGCAGTACCTCCGCATTGGAAGCAGGAGTGAGGCAGGATCAAAAGAGTGAGTGTTTTTTTCGCTTAGAGTGTATGTGCCTGAATTTTAATAAGCAAAGCGCAATTAGCCAATCAATCAGGAAAACAGGAACAACTTTCCCTTTACTCATTGTCTTTTGTCTTTTGTCTTTTGTCTTTTCTCTTTTCTCTTTTCTCTTTCCTGCCTCTTTGTCTGCATTGTATTTTTTGTACTCCCTCGCTCCCCTCTGTGTGGCTCTCCCCATCCATTCCATTTCATTTGTTCCTCCTCTGTCCAGTCTGACCATTGTGGGCTCTGAACCGCTCCTGACGGTGGGCGCCATCGCTCCAGACGCAAACAACTACGGCAACGGTCTCCTCTTCTATATCGACCAGTCTGGATCCACAGGATCAATATACCGCGCAACAGGCAACAAGCGACCAGACAGGAACCTGACAACAACTGATACACTGGTAACCCTCGGCAAGCCCAGCCCGCTAAACATGAACAACAATACTCTCACAGTCGATGCTGTCCCAGTGACCACGGCCTTTGCTGCCTTTATTTTGGACAAGGTACCCATTCCAAAATACGTTACACCTCTCTTTGCTCTTTGCTCTTGCTCCTCCAAAAGAAAAATCCCCATCTTTGATCCCTGCCCCATGCTCACACCATGCACAAGTATCACATACTACACATCCCAACATAACACAACATGTTTAGCTCAGCACATCTATATCTACGATTGTGTTCCAAGATCTATATCTGCACAGAGGTACTATTGATGATTTTACTCCTAGCCAAGGCTGCCTGTTCCCTATTAACCCGAATATTGTTATTTGTCTATGCGAATAGAGTGAACAAGGAGTCGTTTCGGTGTACTCGATCGACCCCCGCATCCCCACTCTCACCCTCACTCGGACACCCGTCAAAGGATTTTCGCCTCTCTTCCATGTCACCCAATCCTTCACCAGTCTGAACAGCAGGATTGTCGTCTATGGGGGAGCAGTGCCAAATGCCATCCACATCTTCGACGTGATCTCGGGAACATGGACGGGACCTGCCCTTGTCGATCCTTCAGCAGCGACCACAGTGCCTTCCCAAGGTCTGAGCATGGGAATCATCGGAGGAATTGCGGCAGCAGCTGTTGTTATTTTGCTTGTGGTAGGACTGGCTATCTGGCGGATACGACGACGTCGCAGTAGGAGAACTACACAGACAAGGTCACCCACCGACGATATTCCATTCAACGATGATGTAAAGGTCCCAGTCAAGGAGGATACTATTGACCTTCTAACAATGGACAACAAGAACCGGCCTCGATTCCACGATCGCGGACAGGCCTCAGAAAGCGCCCTCACACCTTCAATGGCACCATCGTCAATGCCAGGAACACTTATCGGCGAGCACAAGAAGAGAAGCAGTAATCAACAACGGAGACCAGGAGGAGTGTCGAGACATGCCAGTGGCTACTCGCTGCGATCAGAAGGAAGCTCAAGTCGAGTCTCCCTCTACCCTGCCAACTCGACCGTCTATCTTGCTGGACCTGCTACTGTCATTCCACCCAACCCTACAATACCCTCAGCTTTTTCAACAGCCAACCTCCAGAAGCTCCAAAACGCGGCAGCGGTCTACAGGTCGACGAGTGCTCCCGGAACGCCTAATCCACGATCAGCCGATCCACCAAGTCGAAAGGGATCCATATACAAATTTTCCGTCCCAAACGACTATGACGATCGACAGCCGCTTCACCACCACGAGTCTTCAGAGGAGCAGCAAGCATACCTCCAAATGTCTTCAAAGTCGACACCTAACGGTTCACCTGCGAGTATTACTGGATCGCGGCCACTTGAGACAGCCTCCTCAGCAACACTTGGTAACAGCAGTTATGGTCACAGTCATAGCCGGAGTCAATCGCGGAGCGATACATCTGTCAGCTACCCTCGCCCTTCGTTCTCATCCTCATCTCAGCCAGCATCCCCAAAGCAACCTAGACCATCGACTTCGACAATAGACAGCGATCATCAATCCCAGCAATCCCATCTGAACCAACAGCAGCAATCCAATCCTTCCAGTCGTGCGGCTTCTCGGCCACGAAAAAAGAGAACGGATGGTCCCGCGCCGCACAAATCACCTACTAGTCCGACATTCCCCAAGGAGTCCTCACCCTCATCTTCACAGAGATACGCCGACCATCGTGACTATGGCTCCTACAAGATTGAATACCGAGACCCATTTTTCCTCCTCCAACAACAACAACAGCAACAACTCCAACAACTTCAGCACCAGCACGGTTACTCTAACCCAGCATCACCTACATCCCCCACATCTCCATACGCACCCGCTGCTGGATCTTCTAGGCTTGTAGCGGCTACAACAACCACCCACTCTCCATCGCCGGTCCCATCAGAGACCGACACCCACTTTGCCGGTGACTTTCCCATGCCACCCAAGATGGTTGCAATGAAACCACAACGGAATCGCTCTGCTCCAGCTTCACCTACGTCGCCTTCTAGTCAACTTGCTGCTCTGGCTCCATCAAGACCAACTCGTCGACAGCAACAACCGCGACAAGATGAACAGTACCACCAGTATCAACAGCAGGTGCCGAGTCGGTATGACGATGTACAGGCGATGGTAGGGTCTCCGGGCACGATGAGTCCAGTGACGCCTAAACTGGTTTCCTTGCCCCGTCCTATCCCTCGTGAACGTGAGCGGGAGCGCGAGCGTAACCGCAATCGTGATCACACATAATAAATACCCACCTTTCTCTCTTTCTCCACTCTCCTCTCCTCCCCTCTCTACCTTCACTTAAAACTGCACTTTCTATCTTACAGATGTGTTACCATGTCCAAGTAAAGTAATAAATAGATGCTTCGTGTCATCTCGATGATACTCAGCTCAGTTTCACGTCTTCATGGACGATTGCTCCCTTGACGGTACGAAACCAATACGGCAACACATGTCTACAGAACAAGGCGACAGAAGTAGGAAAAAAATGGGAACAGAGTTAAGTTAAGTTAGCCTATCCTTTTCATTCTCGTTCAGCGACCCCTTCATATTCTCATCATCTTTTTCTGTGGTTTGCATTCTTATAAGTCTTTCCGAGCGATTATATCCTTGGTAGCTATGAATGAATGGCAAAGGCCATGAATTAACGACGAAGGATTTTTTTTTAAATCTTTTTTTCCCTAGCTTTTTTTTTTTTCTTTTTTTTTGGCTACACAATTTTTTATTGGAAGGGGTTACAAACAATAAACTCTTCAGTGCACCATCCATCAGTTGCAGTCCGGTCCGAACCTGGCTCTGCACAACAAGTATCGCTGCTTTCACGGCTTAAACGGAAGAAAATAAAACTAGAAACGAATGAAGGAGATTCTTACCATCCTCTCCATCATTGACAACCTCCTCCTTCCTGACAAACTCTCCAACAACCGCCCATCAGCAGCGCGTGGGTCCTTGGTCGTTCCAGGGCACCTTCTTTCATAATGTGTGGCTAGCGAAACTCCACACGGGCAGAAACCATCGTGGGTGATGTAACCGTATCCTTGACTCCAGTCACCTCGGGGGCCTGTGTACTTGGATGTCTTGTTCTTGGCAGAGATACCCTGGGTCTGCTCCCACGCGATCGTCGCGGAGCACCGAGGTCTCCAGATCAGCTCCGAGGCCTGCGCCTCCAGGTAGCCAACAAACTTGTGCAGGACTGTCTTGGCGATGTTTTTTTTTTTTCGTACACCTGTCTTGGCGATGGACATTGGGGTCCGGAACACCGCGTACACGGGCAGAAACCATCACGGGTCCGAAAACCAGGCAAAATGAGATCATTTTTTGCCACCAATTGTAGTTGATGTTATGTTGGTGGCGTGTCTAGATTACATGTAGAACACATAAAAATATCATTAACAGCATAAGTTCCTAGTTGGTCCAGTGGTCAGGATTTGTCGCTCTCACCGACAAGGCCCGGGTTCGATCCCCGGACTGGGAATAATCTTTTGCCGCTGTGATTTATCAAATGTTTTTATTTTTGCTGCCTCTTTGTCTGACTCGTCGTTTGCAGGACGGGGCTGATTGTTTTCTTTTGCATTCTTTGTTACCAAACACGACGTCAATGTTTCGCAAGTTGCCTTGTTGCAGAATTACGACTTTTCATTCCGTACTGTTTCTTTCCTCTCCTTCTACTTCTCCTCTTTCTTTTCTCTCCCCTTTCCTCCTCTCTCATTCAAGCACCACTTCCAACTTCAGATCCTCTCCCTCAACCCTAGCCACATACCCCAAAATGACCTCCCTCATCGAACAAGCAAAGCAAAAGGCCGCCTACCAGGCCGTCGACGAGCATGTCCTCCCCACCCACAGGGTCATTGGAGTCGGCTCCGGATCGACCGTCGTCCATGTCGTTGCGCGTCTTCTCCAGCGCGACCCCGAGTTAAACGCTAAGACCGTCTTTATCCCTACTTCATTCCAGTCCCGTGGACTCTTGTTGGATGGTGGTCTTACCGTTGGTGACGTTGAGCAGTAAGTTTTCTTTTGTTTCAGGCGTTGGTCGATGCTTGGATCCTGAACGGCCTTTATAGGCTGAGGGGTTTTGGTCTCCCGCGATAATTTGGATCAATTGAGATCGCAGGAGATGGCGTGGGAGTGATCAGTGCCGCAACTAGGACCGCACATGAGATGGCTACCAAGGAGGAGGATTGACGGTCGACAACAACTAAAAAACGGAACTAAAGCCTCGTGAAAATCGGAGGTGAACCAAATATGGATGACCCTTGCCTACTCCTCCGTGTCTATACTTCAAAAACTGGGATCCCAGGTCACTTCTTTCACACGACGCATTCCTCTTCTACAACAACTCTTGGACCCCGGACTACTTCTCACAGGAGCTTGCTACTCCGAAAAAGAACAGATCGGAGACCTAAAAGCGGGGAACTGCTTTTGGAGAAGGAAAGTAGTCCTTTCATGTGCTTTCAGGCCTCTTCATTGTTTATTTAACTTTTTTTTCTACCGTTGTTGTTACACCTACTTGTAAAATAGGTACCCAGATATCGATGTGACGATCGATGGAGCAGATGAGGTCGACGCACAGTTGAACGCCATCAAGGGTGGTGGAGCTGCCCACCTCCAGGAGAAGGTTGTTGCCGAGGCTGCCAAGAAGTTTGTGATTGTTGCCGATTACCGCAAGGACTCCAAAGTCCTTGGTGAGCAGGTACCGTTCTTTTTGTTGCTTACACAAAGAAAAGAGAAGAGTGATCCAGATGTTTGCCTGCCGCTGAAAAAAAATTAATTGCGACGTTTGATTTCTCGTTGACTCACATCAAAACAAACATCTTGTATTTTTTCTCTCCATCCAAAATAGTGGTTGAAGGGAGTCCCAGTCGAGGTCGTCCCATTCGCATGGAGAGCAGTTCTCAAGAAGCTTCAGGCACAAGGATCCAACGACGCCAAGCTGCGCATGGCTGTCGCCAAGGCTGGCCCCGTCGTCACCGACAATGGCAACTTTATCATCGATGCTCCTTTCGGCCTCATCAACGACCCCGTTAAGTGCTTGAGGGACATCAAGTTGATCACTGGTGTTGTTGAGGTTGGATTGTTCTGTAACATGGCTGAGGTTGCTTATTTTGGTTGCGAAGATGGATCCGTTACCATTAGGACCAAGTAGATTGATCTTCTTTGAAGGAAGACGGATGAACATGAGCAGATCGAAAAGAGCGAGTTATGTAGATATTTAAACGCATTGTATAAAAAAAAGAAAACGAATGAACAAACAAAAAACAACAAATGAAGACAATATGCCGGTTTTAATGAGTGAGTTAGCGATTGAATTATGCAAACTCGCCAAAGGCGTAAGGCGCGCTGCCATCTTCTTCAGAGGCTGCTGCAGACTTCTTGGCCTTCTTGACAGGTCGTTTCTGGACAGGAGCCGACTTTGCACCGCGTTTCGTCGTGATAGGAGTGATAGGAGCGATCTCTTTCTCTTCCTCCTCCTCCTCCTCTTCTGCTTCGTCCGCGTCTTCGTCCTCATCATCACCCATATCCGGCTCTGGAGTTGCCTGCTTTTTGGACTTGCTCTGCTTCTCCTTAACAGCTGGGACCAACATGGGCGCCTCCATTTCCTCTTCCACCTCATCACCACTATCTTCTGGATCCTCCTCCACCCCCTTCTGAGCAGCAAGCACAAACGAGAACCCTGCCGTCTCGCCCGAAAACACCATCTCATCCAACACAAACCCATCATCCTCCGCACTCAACCCATACCCAACCGCTTCCATCGTCCTCTTCACAGCAGGAGGGTTGGTAAAGAAAGGTGACTTTCCAGATCCCAACTCTCTCAGGAATGACCGTGCAGTGGTTAAGGTATCCGGAATCCCACCCTTGAATAAATGCCCTTGCTGTCTTGAGAGGGCTGCCAAACATTCGAACCCGGTATCAAACCGAGGGACGGAATAGGTGATCATGAGGGTCTGTTGTTTACACCGCATGAGGATCGAGGCTGTAGCGGCGACGAGGTCCTCCCCGGGGAGGAGCTTGGATCTGAGCATCGAGTCGATGGGCCCGTGACCGCCCTTGTTCAAGAGTGCTCCTAGGTTGACATAAAACTTGACCATACTACTGTTGGATGCAAGTTCCTTGGACTGTCGGAGGGATCGGAGGACGGATGCGCGACCGACGCTGGGGAAGCCGACGATTCCGACTGCGATCGATGGTTTGGTGTTGTCGCTGGAGGTGGTAGCTTGGGCTTTCACGAGTTGTGCGAGCGCGTCGGCGCTGCTGTTGGGTGACTCTTCCACGGCGTTGAATGCCACGGCCGCGTATTCTTGGCGCAGGACTTCCAACCAACGCTCCACATTATGCCTCGGCACCAGATCTAGAAAGCACAAAAGAACAATAATTAGCACCGCATATCTTCTCTCTCTTTCAAGGACTACAATCCTTGAATCTCCCTTCACAACGAACCACAGAAACCATTATCGATCCCCTTACCTGTCTTATTCAAGACAAACACCAGACTCTTGCCCAATTTCTTGACCAACTGCTCCAAAAACGTCGATCGACACCGCTGGGGGTCCCTAGCATCCAGGACAACAAGCACCAGATCCGACCCCTCAACAAGTTTCTCCAGTAAGACGCGTCCAGTCCGAAAAGCCTCCTTGGCTTTTCTTTGACGCTTCTTGATCGCCGCAGGGTCCAACACCAGAGGCTCGTTTGGCACTCCTGCTTTCTTTCCATTGGCGCCTCCTGCTCCTGCTGCTCCCGATTTGCCTTTACTAGCACCCTTTTTCTTGTTCTTCTTTGCCTTTGCCTTTGCCGATCCTGATCCTGATTCTGGGGCTGCGGTGAAGTTGGGTTGAGTCTTCTTGTTATCGGCGCGGATGATTTTGGATCCTAGGGCTCTACCCTGCTGACCGAAGGATTCGCCATACACACTCTCGACGATTCCGTGGCTCGAGGTAATATCTATAATATGAGACGATGCTAAATGTTAGCCTTTTGACCATTGACGTCTACAGTTTTTTTTCACAGGACGTATTAAGATCCGTTCAGCATGACAGTGCACCAATTTCTTTGTCCTTGAAGTGCCAGGGGGTTTATTTAAAGTAGGTCAACTTACTTTTACGCGCCATGGTGGTCGTTATGAATGAAATGAAGATGAATGGTGAATTCAGAGAGAAAAAAAAAAAACAAATTGTAAAATAACAACATGACTGTTTATTTCTCCCACACAAAACAACGGTCGCTTTATGATGACTGCGCCCAGGGTGAGACATACGAGAACCCCTTGAACAGATCCTGCTCGACATTATCCAACTGGTAATCCGTCGGCGTCTCGCCCGGCGCCTCGCTCGTGAACTCGGTGTCAAAGTTGGACACATCTGTCTTGGACGCCACCTTGGGCAGGAAGGGTGGTCGGATCCGCTTGTGGTAGACGTCGTCAAAGTTCACGTTGCGGAAGTACGCGTGTGCCTTGATCTCATCGGCGTCCGAGGGTCCAGATCCCAAGCGGTTAGTAGGAACCTTCACCAGCAGCTTTTGGTTGACAAAGAAAGAAAGGTATACTGAGTTAATACATCTAGAGTAGCGCAACGATGTTATGAGGTGCAGAGCAATAAACGACAAAAGCACTAAAACGAAGGACGTACAGATTGAAGGAGAGCTTGCTCGTGACGTCCAAAGCCTTGAGGGTATAATGGTTCATCTTCCAGGATAGAGTCGTAGATATCATCTTCCTCCTCTCCCGAGAATGGAGCCCGACCCAACAACATCTCGTACATCAGGACTCCGTACGCCCACCAGTCAACAGCGCGGTCATAGGGCTGCTCCTCCAAGATCTCGGGGGCCATAAACTCGGGTGTCCCGCAGATGGTATGAGTGGTGGCGCCATAAGGCATGTTCTCCTTACACAGACCATAATCTCCAATCTTGATGTGGCCATCCAGAGATAGCAAGATGTTGTCCAACTTCAAATCACTACAAAGTGAAAGAGAAATGGCGAACACGTTAGTATATGTGTCAACCATATCTAATTGAGCCTGAAACAAGCTATCAGAGGCGTGTGGCTTACCGGTAGACAATGTCGTTCTCGTGGAAGTACTGGAGGGCCAGGAGAACCTCACACCCGTAAAACTTGGCTCGGTGTTCGCCAAATCGCTTGTCCTTTTGGATGTGCATCATCAAATCGCCTCCTTGCACGTACTCCATGACAAAGTAGAGACGAGTGTCCGTTTGGAAGCAGGAGTGCAATGTCGTCAAGAAGGGATGGCGCTCCTTGTTGGCCACCTGGTAAATTCTCTTTTCAGAGCGAGCACTAGAGTCGTGAATGAATCAAAAAAATGTCAGTACTTCAATTCAAAGACAACGCGCTGAATGGCATCCTTCTCCTTGGCAACAAAAAAAATGAGTGCAGTAAACGACTTACCTTTCGATTTCATCTGACTTGACGATGGACTCCTTCTTCAAAGCCTTGATGGCATACACGCCTCCATCCTTCTTATCCTCGGCCAGCATGACTTTTCCAAAGTTACCCCTACCGAGCACAGCCAAAAAGTGGAAATCGTTCAGTCCATACTTCTTCATCGGCTTGGCACTCTGCTTGTTGACAATTTTCAACGTCGGGAAATGCGGCTTGGGCATCACAAGCGGCCGCTGAGGTTGCTCAAGCAGAATGGGAACTGTCGATGGAGTCGCTGTCTTTTTCTGTCTTTTCTCCTGCTCGATCTGAAGCTGCTCCAATCGAGCCTGCTCATTCCTGAACTTGTCCTCCAACAGTGCCTTCTCCTGCTGCTGCCGGCCTGCCCGCTCTGCTTCCATCAGCTGCTTTTGTTGTTGCTGTTGCTGAAGTAGCTGTTGCTGTTGCTCCTGCTGTTTTAGTTGTTCCTGCTCGTGGAGTTGCTTTTGCTGCTCCTCAATAAAACGCTGCTGCGCCTTTTTGCGCTGGTAGTGATCAAGCTCCTGCTGCTGCAGTTGAATCTGTTGTTGTTCGTAGAGTTGCTTCTGCTGCTGTTGTTCAACGAAACGCTGCTGCTCCATTTTGCGCTGGTAGTGGTCGAGTTCCTGCTGTTGCTGTTGCATATGGAGCTGTTGCATTTGCTGCTGCAATTCCGTTTGGTTGGAGTCAACTACGGGCGAGACGGATTGCTGATTCTCTTTTCTACTTGGAGGAGTTGGTCGATCGTGCTGAGGAATCGGTGGTACTGGTCTAGGAGTAGATGGCTTTTGGTCTTTGGGCTCCCATGCCAATGGTTTGCTTGTCTTGGTGGGCGTCAGTGGGGCTCGCCCGCTGGGGTTGCGACGTCGTATCTCCTCCATGAGCTTGTTGGCCGTTTCCGCCGGCATGCCGCAATGGTTTGGCACCAGGTCACTGCATCCGTCATGAGCAACCGCAGGACACTCTACGCGTAAGGAACGAAAATTAAAGTAGTGACAGGATCAGTACAAATACCTCGAACGCGGTCCATTGACGCTGCTTACCTTTCCGTGCAACATACCTGTACACTTTTTGTGCCGACGTCCAAAAGTCAACATATGACCGCAGTGCGAGCACCACGTAGGTGACAGGTTGGTAAAGGTCTCGAAGCGGTGAGGAATGCGGTGAGCAAACTTGGCTTCGTCTGGGTCTTCCACATTCCTGGAAGAGATGCACTTGATAAAAACCTTTTCGGCGCATTTTTGGTGGCAAGTGAATTTGCAATCTACATAGTGAGAAATGAACAACATAGCGTCAGCATGCGGGGCTATTCCACAACCATTCATCCATAAGAAATAGATCGTTGCCTGCGCCCTTGACAACTTGCCTTCACATTGAGCCCCCTTTCCAGTGAACAGTTCGGTACAGAGTGCACAGCACATGATCTGGAAGAACTTTTGTGGAACGAACTTGTGTCCTTGGATCTCGCGAACCTCATCCTTGCGTCTACGAACGGCGCCCTGACGTCCCAGCTTGGATGGCCGCTTACGAAGAGCCACATCTTTGACTATAATTATTGCATTGCAACATCTGAGATTAGTTCGCGTCGTGGAAGGCGAAGTGCCATGATTCTGCGAACATAACACAATCCTGGACCATAAATCGCAACCAGGAGTACTTACCAAAATTGAATTTGAGGCTGATCTGTCCGATGGGCTCTAAATCCCACCAGGATTCAATGCCTTCGACACCATTGATCGGATTGTCACCCAAAGGTCCTGTTCCAGGCCGGATGGTGGGGGTTCTCGACACAATATCCTGTACATTTGCAGCCACCCAGGCGGCATCATTGTCAGCCTCAACTTTCTTCCTGCGGAGGTCCTCCACCAAGTCGGAAATCTTTAGCCAGAACATGCCGATGGGTACTGGGACATGGTCGGGCCTGTCAAAGACGGCGATTTCGATCTCACTGGCCTTGGTGACCGGTACCTCAAACTCTTCGTTCCAGCGAATGCCATTGTGGCCGCTCCGAGCCATCCTAGTCTTTGCTCTTGTGGCTCCGTCGATTTTGATGTACGCCATTGATTCTGCTGGTCTCGAGTTCCGTGTCGGCGCATTGTTCTGGTGTCGGATACCACTGATACGGACATACAGAGTACCGGTCATGGGTCGCCTCAGCGCTGTTCCGGGAGAGTTGGTGATATCGTCTTCCCCTACATGAAATGCCAATAGTGCCGTTGTTATTCACTGTTGGGTTGGGAGCATGATGCTGCATAAAGTTGGCAAATAGAGTAAGCGCTCGAAAAAGAACATACCTTGGCCAGGGATATAGAGCCCTTGATACTTTTGAAGGGCTCGCTTCAACAGGACGACTCGCTCGCCACTCTCGACGTTGCCATCTTTGGCGGACATGCCCAATTGCTCCAGCCTCTCTGACGCGACCTTGACCTTTTTCTCAATGTCCAGTTTGTAGGCCAGCTCGCGCAGCTTGAAGGTGACCTTTTTAGCTGTAATTGGAGTCGGGGCTTTCAAAAGATCTGAATAAAAGCAATAGGCGAGAGCGCAATAGAATAATGACATGGGTAAATAATCAAAAAAGCTCATCGTGCGTTTTTTTAAGCATGCAATTGGCGCTTTCGGTCCTTTGTACAATCGCATAGCCCACCCTTGCGCCTCTTGGTCCCTGTACTTCCCTCTCATGATGGCGTTCGTCGACCCTGCTCCCTTTGGAGCGATAGTCAGTTGAGTTCACATGGGGACAAGTTGATAATGAAACAACAAATGTGTCGACAACCTCCCTCCCTTGCCTTCTCTTCCCCTGCCTTGCCTTTTCTGATGATAAGGAAAAGAAAAAGGCTGCTCCAATATACTACCTTTCGCCATCTTTGAAAATAAAACAACACACTAAGACAAACCACCAGGTGCATGGAAAGAGAGCTGGACTTACCGACGGTGGACAAGGGCCGACTGGAGATAAAGTCCTCTGGGTAGTGTGAACTCGTTATGGAGTTGTTCCGACCAGTGCCCATCCGACTGTTAGTGTTGTTATCCGACGAAGACGATGTTGATTGATACGAGCTTCCACGACTGCTCTCGAACCCGGCCTTGAACATTGGGGGAGCGTTCTCAAGACTCGGCAGAGTAATAGGAATATGAGTCCGGGTGACCTTTGTCGAGTTCTCCAATTGTTTCTTGAGCTGGAGTTTGTCGAACTCGTTTTGAAAGTAGTTGATTCTCTGCTGGGATTCCTCCATCGTGGCGTCGCATGCTGCCTTGGCGGCGTCGCTCTTCTGGAAATCCCGTAGTTTCATCGTCGCTGCTTTGATTTCCTTTTCCTTTTGAAGTCGCTTCCGGACATCTTCCAGCTTTTGGTCATCATCCATTTCCTAAGAAGAAGGTCCCATTCACAACAACAAAAAGCGAAGTAAAGTGTAACGGCGTTAGGCGTACGTGTACATAGTAATAAAACGTGGAACCGCAGTTTGTTTAACTCGTTTAAAAGTGGTGGGGTACAATGGTATGTACCACGGTCTTGGGGTCCATATTGAGTTGCTGCCTTGTTCTACCGGTTGTGGTAGTGGTGGTGTGGGTGTGGGTGTTGGGTATTAATAGGTGGTATTAGTGGTGGAAAGTGGTGTGCAAGAGTTGAGGTGAGTCAAAGTCTAGTCTGTCGACTTCTCTTTCAGTGTGTATGTGGATAAGTGGCGACAAAGGAGTGTGTATCGAGGAGAAGAGCAAAGAAGATTGAGTGCTGTCAGGTTGAGGGCAGCAAAATCTAATGTACTAAAAAGCTGAGGACTTATGCACGTACTTGTTCCAATCCAATTCAACCTCCCCCTCCTCTGTCAATCGTCTCTCACGTCTTTACCCCCACTACTCTCTCTCGCCTTTGCTCTGATTATTGCAATTACCCTTTGCCAGAATTGTCCATTCGAGCTACAAGTGAATTGGAAGAGAGTCGTTGTTATCTTTGAACTTATTCCCTCTACGAGTACCATTATCATTTATGGGGGAAGTGTTCAATGTCAGGGGTTATGATGGTGCCTGGGAGGATCAACCTGGACCAGTTGCCTTCACTTAGGGTTTACCAGTCACAATTGACGATTAGAGAGTAAACATTTTTCAAAGCTGCCATGTCCGTCTCCTTTTCAACTCCACCCATTGTCGAACTCATGCTCGCCGCAACTCATTCACGGGCGCTCATCGCCTCCTCACCCCCCTTTACTCGCCACCTCTTCACCTCACCCAAAGCCGGTTTCTTCACCGCTGTATCCTCAATCTCACACCAACCCATACCTCGCCAGCCAGCTTTCGCGCTTTTCTCTCGGGCAACGAGCAGTAAAAACAGTCTCCTCCATTCAACACCCTCTCTGTTCAGGACGCTCCACTCTGCCTCAACCGCAGGACCCGAATCTACCTTGTCCACAAAGCTATCCAGCAAGCGCCTTCCTGCTCATTCTCCTCCTTCTCCTTCATTTCCACACAGTCAGGTCCTTCTGGATGGAAGCATCCAAGTCCAATCGCCTCTCGGATTCGAAGGAACCGACGGACTGGTCAAGGTCAACGCTCGACTTTTGCGTGACTACATCCAAAGGGCCCCTCACCCACCTTCCAAGGACTATATCACCCTCTCCTATTACCAGTTCCGACCTATCCCCCAAAAGGATGATCTCTTGAAGATCCAGTACTTCTTTCTCACAGACCTCCGTGCTATGGATGTCGTGGGAAGAATATACGTCTCGGCCGAGGGTATTAACGCCCAGATCAGCTGTCCCAAGGATCGGGTAGAGGACTTTAAGGAATATTACGCCACCCAATGGCCCATCTTTGACAAGATCCGTTTCAACCCTGCCATGTCCGAGGGTAAGGCCTTCAAGAAGTTGCACGTCCGAATCAAAGGCCAGGTAGTGTTTCTTTCGAACTCGGGGCTGAGGCTTGTCTTTTTGCTGGCTAGTTCGCGTGGTTGCTTAACACTGGGGTATTTTTTGAATTGCTGGTCACGCTCCTGCTAATTCAGGGTTGCTTATGTTTTCTTTCACTTGAAAAAGTTGGTGGCGGATGGGATTGACAATAGCTCCTTTGATATCTACAACGAGCCAACATACCTGACTCCTGAGGAGTGGCACAACGAGTTGTCTTCCCAAACAACACCTCCTATCCTAATCGACATGAGAAACCACTATGAAAGGTACCACTCGGACTCTTCTTTAAATGTCAGCCGTTTCTGTCTCGCATCAATGACCTTTTTTGTACGAATGTACCTGCTAACGCATACCTTCTTTCTTTTGTATCTGTTCACATAAACAGCTCAATCGGACACTTCGAGCATGCGATCCGCCCAGATGTGACGACGTTCAAGGAGAACGTGGATGCGATGTTGGATATTTGCAAGGGCAAGGAGGACCAAGAGATCTACATGTACTGCACCGGAGGAATTCGCTGTACCCGATCAGGCGCGCTTCTCAAGTCGAGCGGATTCAAGTCAGTCAAGATGCTTCGCGGAGGCGTCACCGCCTACGGGCGCTACATCCAAGACCAGCGAGAACAACAAATCGCAGAGGGTCGCGGCGAGGAAGAGGTCAAATCGATCTACAAAGGCAAGAATTTTACGTTTGACAAGCGTCTTGGAGAACCCATCACGGACGAAGTTTTGGCGACGTGTCATATCTGCGGCACTGCCTGTGACACTTACTCGAACTGCTCCAATATGGCTTGTAACTTGTTGATGATATCTTGCCCAGCCTGTCAACAGAAGCACCAGGGCACCTGTGGATCTGGATCGTGTGTCGAGATGGTACAGGAATTGAACGAGAAACAGAAGAAGATTGATAAGAACCATCCGGGTCTGAGGGGAATGAAGGCTCGTCTTGGTGTTCAGCCCTTCCATGAACATCGTTTACGTGTCCGCCCCTTGAAGGTCATGGAGACTCGTAGAAATAAAACGCGTCTCTAGCGAAATTGTATTTCCTACATTTTATTATTGTTCATCACGACTCCTTCCGTTGCTTTGCTCCTTGATCTGTGGACCCTTCACAGTCCAACTACTTCCTCTCTAATGCATTCCGATCCTCTCCCTACGCAATCATGTTTCTCCATGCTCCTTACCCTTCCCTTCTCCTCACCCTCCATGTTCTTTTCTTCCCTTCCCTTTCAGAGATCCGTGTAACTCCCGAGTGAGGTTGTTTGTGTTTCTCACAACTTGTCACAAAGCAAGAAGAAGATGCAAGGTTCTCATGAGCAAACAAAGGTAAAAACAAGGGTAAACACGGGAAATGACAAATGGGCCAAAGTGTATCAATGAGTGCTTAGGAAGTCAAAAGGCTGTGCAGAGACTCAAGCGGAGAGAATATCTTCTTGAGCATTACTGGGTGATGGACAAAAAATGAAAGTGCTTGATCGGCACCACCAATAATATTTGTGGAATATTCCTTCGTGTTTGTCGGAGCATTAGTGTAGATGGGACTAGGACTAGGACTGTTTGTTACCAGAGGCCAACAAACCAGTCCTTAAGGCTTGACAAGATTTAAGACAAGAAGGAAACCTTAGCCATTGGTGATTTTCAAAAAATACTCCGGTGAAAGAAAGGAGGCTCGTCACTTTGTCTGAGCAGCAAAAATGCCAAGGTTTACTTAAGGCGTTGCATTATCATAAAAAAACAAGCAATTGGAGGTTGCTTAGCATGGGGTGTGGATACGAGAGAACGGGAACCAAGAGAAGTGAGGGGTACCAACGCTGAGGACGGGGAACTTGAGAAAGGAGGCGGGATGGAGCTTGGGCTATGATAGGCTGCTTGCCCTACTGTTGGTTGCTGGGGAACCGTCACTGTCGTCTATGGTGGCCAACTCAATCCATCGCATCGTCTCAACCTCGATTGAAATTTACGTTCTGCCCATTTTCAAAGGCAGACGACTCTTTCTTTCTCTCCTGTGAACAACCACTTGCACCTTAAACACTCCTCTGATCACGAATAGGACGGAGAAGTATCCAGAGAATCGTTGCTCCTTCTCAAGCGTGCAGTCAAAAGCAAAAACAAAAAGCGAACAGGATCGCAGAGGGGGGGGAATGTATTTCACCCTAGTCCACTTCTAGAATACATAAAAAAGGAATTGAAGGGGAGTGTACGGTTCACATTCGTTCTCTCCATGGTCGGCTCCTTTTCTTTAATCCCCTCTTGTCCCTTCACACCATTGTTCTTAGCTGCTTGGTAAAGAGAAACATTACCTGCAGACATAGGTACAGGCACATACGCGAAAAGGAACTCAAGGTTGGCTCCATCCCTCACCCATTCAATTTTTACCTTTGGCTCTTCGGCCTATTGTCCTCTTCGAGTTGTTCTCTTGTTCTTCATGCTTTGACCATTGATGTCTTGCATCATAAATCGAAAATAGATAAAACCATATCGCCCTTCTAACCATACATAAATATTCTTGCCCATTGGTCCTGCTTCAGTAAGCTGTCTGCACTGTTGGGATAGAAGGGATCTCGAGATGTAAAAGCAAAGTTCAATGCCAGAGTGTGTTAGGCTGTTATACACAGATAATACACTGTGCACTGCTGTCGATGTATTTATTGCATGGGTCCGTTGCTTCTCCAGAGATTACTCACCTTCCTCTCCGCTCCGGGTAATTGATACATGCGACCACTGCCACTCCTATTTTTTCATTTTTTTTGTCTCCGCGATCGCTCGCAGCCATCGACACTAATGAAAAGGAAGTGGAAAATGAAGCCATCATTTCGTTCATAAAACCGACGCTCACTCACCTCTCTCTTTAGTTTGTTATTGGGCTTCTGACCTAGGCAGACAAAAGCCATGTATGAGACGCTTGTTTTCCTAACAACGTATCTGCTTTTCTTTTGTTGGTCTGCCCTTGATCTGCTTCTACCTAATTCGTAGTGTCATAGCCTGTGTCAGTCGAATCGGGCGCGAAAAAAATGGTAACGTGTCGACATACACCGCAGGAGAGGAGGATTGAGGCAGTGGGGTTTGTTTTGAACAGACGTTGAACAGACGTTGTTAGAATAATATGAGGTCTTGCTGTTGTTTCAGCGCCAAAGGATAAAACGACAGTTACGACACACGTTGCTCATTGAGACCAAAGGAACCTACCCCAGGTCAGAGCCAATCGAAGAGGTCGATGCCATAGCCCTTGAAGAGAGAGACATACGACCCCCCAAAAAAATGAAGACATGCAGGAGCTCACTCCTTTCCCCTACAGATCACATCGGCGTACAAGATATGAAGGAGCTCTGTGGGGAAAAGGGGCCAACAGTTCATTTCCCGTTTTTTTCTTTTCATTTCTATCTCGCCTGCATGCCAGAAAAAAAAAAGAAATGAAAAGGTCCAAGCGATGCATTGCAAGATTGATAGATGAGCCGACGAAGGGGAATGGAAAGAGATTATCTCCCGTTCGCAAGGACGGCTTCAAAGAACTGGTTTGTTCATGTTTTTGTTTTTGTTTTTGTTTTTGTTTTTCAGGGAGTGATCTCATTCTTAGTTGGCTTACCGTTTACCCAGAGTTCAGAGAGTTTAGCAAGAAGCTTTCTTTTGTTTGTTTGTTTGTTTGTTTGTGGAGAAGGTCAAGGAAACCCAACGGGACCAATCATGGGGCATCTTCAAAAGCGATGACAAGCGAGAGAGAAGGAGAAAGGAGAGGCTAACCATAATAACAAGAAAGTGTAAAATCATACTCCTCTCGCTCCATGCCTGCCTCCTCTCTGTTCTCTTTTTCATTTCTGAGCTGAGTTGAGAACGCTGCAGTATTTGGCAGCGAACCCGTTTTTTTTTTTTATTTTCCGCAGGCAGAGAGGAGAAAGAATAGGAAGGCATGTTTATGAAAATGAATGGCATCATTCGACTCAACCCTCATCGCCTTCATTCTCATTGGATACTTCATTCTTTGTGAGCCAACAACTGAACAAAAAAAAAAGTGTCACTGAAAGCACACTCAAAAAACAAACATTATCCAAGAGAGCGAAGAGAGGATAGGAGAAAAAAAAACGAGAGGCGAAAAAGAGAACTCTAATTTTGACGAGGTCCTCTCTGTTCATTGGCATACGCCCCTCTGTCAACCTGCTCGCCTCCCTCTCTATGATTCGCTCCAACTCTCTTTTTCTCATCGCTCTCTTGTTTTCCTTTCTCCTTCAGTCCAAGGATGCACACCTGCCGGTTACAAAGAGTTCCCCGATCTAATTCATAGGAAAGGAGTTCTATCTCCCTTACTATGAGCGACTGTAAAGTGTAGTGTGGTCGAATATCCTCCGAACGTGTTCGTCATTCTCGCCATCTGTTTGCTCTATGTTGTCATATCCTAGCCACACACGTTTTTTCAGCCTCCTACCTTTTTTCATCACCCGTCGTGGCATCCATGTTGTAATGCACGGCTCTACACACGTTTTTAATATTATTCGCAATTGGCGCCTGTTTAACATGATATATCGATAGCCTCTTTATTTTCTGGCCATTGTGCTGAGATGAATTAAAATGAACAAAACAATGTGTTTTTTATCTCTTTTGTTTGGCTGCAGACAAAGAGGTGAAGAGTCATCTCTGCACATATTTGTGTATACACATACACGCAGACCGACATCCGCTGCTCTATCTCTCTCTGAAGAATGTACTGTACAGTGCCTCTCAGTTTTCTTTTTTTGACTAACAAAAAATAAACAACAGGGAAAAATAAAAATAAAAACAAAAAAAAAGAGATGAGAGCCGTCCTTGATGGTCTGGATGCATAATGCATCTCTTGTTTTGTTCGCCAAAGTCCTAAACAAGCGACAATAAAGTAATGGAGAGAACGGGAGCAATTCGCCCATGGTTGCACAAAAAACCGAACTACTGTAGTGAACATCACAGAGTTGAGTGAAATGGGAAATGGACGCGGGGACAGAACAGAGAGAGAGGCTCATCATCTGTCATTCTCCCTTCCCGCTGTCATTTCGGACACTTATGCATACGCATCCAGTCTCTCTCCTCATTGTTAGTTTGTTTGTTTATCACTGCTCTCTTTGTCTATCGGTTCATTTGTTCATTCTTTGTTGTTCTCGTCTGACCATGTCGGCAGGGCAGGGCTGGCTGGACCATTGCGATTGACTTAAGCGCATAGGTCCTTGTCGCTTTTTTCCCCTCAGCATCCACCCCACATTATTCGCCGTCCTTGCTCTTCTGTAAAAGGGACCAAAGCGGAACACGGCAGAGCAGCGACCGTTCTCTTCTGTCAGTCAGATGATGATGTCAAGCACGATAAACAAACTAACGAACAATTGCAGCTGTCATCTTTTCATTCCTCCCAATGCCCATTGACCAAACAACGATCGCGTCCTGTTTTTGTTTGTTGCAATGATTCATTCTCCCGATGCGCGTAATGCGAAACGAACCTTGCCAAATTGTCGGCCCGCCCCACCCCCTGTGTCATATCTCTTCTTTGCTTCTTTCTTTTTCTTGACGTCTTCTACAAGAACAAGATGAAGCGTGAAATATGCTGGGGATTGGCACGCTAGTGGGGCATGATGTTGGCAACGGTTTTTTTTATAGCAACAGAACTCATCCCGCAACTCCATTTTTCAAACATTCTCCTTTCTCGCGTGCCTCTCCGTGTTGATTCACCTTTCGTCAGTTTCAAGTCCCTGACCCCTTTGACCCCTTCCTTCTCTCCATTACTACTACTGTCAATCCTCACTGTTGCGCCTCCTTTTTGCTGAGGTCATTTTCGGCCCGGATAGATCATCGCTCGTTCCCTTCGCCACTATCTCAGGTTTGTTTCTAACCGGCTTGTTTGTCATCCTGAATTGACTTTCTGGCTACGGCAAGCTCTGACCCGGTTTCACATCTATGTTTTTTTTGCACCACGCGCGATAGGGAATGACATACACAGGAAGAAGAGAAGAAGGGAAGGGAAAAACTGAGATCTCCTCAATTGGTTACATTCGTCGACCCTATATACAGTTACCGTGCCG